CCCCCCCTTTTCTCCTCCCCCGGGAGCCTCACAAATCGGCACCACTACGGTTAGTGCACATCTTTTTCCAAACACTTCCTGCACCTGCCTACCTGATATGCCGGACCGAAGCCGTGGCCTCTTGGTCTCCTAGATCCCCAGCTGCCTCCCCGCCATGGCCCATCACCTCTCCCGTCAAGCCGCCCTGCAGCATGAGGATGCATCCGGACCCGCCATCTTCTCGCCCTCGGTTGCGCGCATCGCCGCTTCCACCGCCCGCGACTGGGCCTACGTCGACTCTTGGCTCGCGTCCAAGCTCCCTGCTGGCCGGGCCCCGCCGTCCTTTGAACGCAACAGCGAGACGCTCAAGGCCCTGCTGAGTCTGTCCGCCCACAACGAGGCCGCCGACGACGAGCGCCTATTGCTCGCTCGAGCTGATGACGCCGCCCTCGACGAGCTGCGGACCCACCACCAGTCGCTGCCCCAGGGTGGCCTGCTGCCTCAGCAGTCGCTCCAGGCCAATGTGCTCGCGGCCGTTGAGGAGGGCATGCCCAAGGAGGGTGCCAGTGCCCTTGGGTCCCTGGCCCGGCTGGCAGTCTTGGCAGGGGACGCGGAAGCAGATCCTCAGGGCCTCGCGCGCTCCATAGTCGCCTTGCAAGCTTCCCTGTTCGATACGGAGCAGATGGCTGCGCGCGTCGAAGCCGTTCTTCACCACGCCGAGCGGGCGGCCGGCGAGGCAGCTGACCTCTTGAACAACCTGCAAGATCAGTCTTACCGGCCCCCCTCGGACATGGCCAAGCGCAATCTGGACCTGCAGCGTAGCATCAAGGTGGTTTCCTCGGCCCCGCCGCCGGAGCACACTGACCGTACCGCCGCCGCCGACTCTTCGCCCCTGCCCCATCCTACCGTCGAAGACGTCGCCGACCAGGAGCACCACCTTTTCGAGCTGCTTGCACGGAGGAGAGAGCTCGAGCACCAAATGGCCGCCTTCGCTGGCCTGCCCAGCGACCCAGACATGGCACGGAGCGAGGTTGACGCGCTTCGCCGTCAGCTGCGGGCCGTCACCTCACATCGTGATGCCGCCTTCGAAGATCTGATGGACCGTGACAGTCCCGTGAAGCGCCGTACATAAAACTGTCTGCTGAGGCACGCTCCCTCCGAGATATACAACCGCCTTCTGGTTAAACGCCAACCGAGCGCTTCTTGCGAACCGCAACCCATTCCGCAGCAACGACCATCCGTTGTCAGCCACTAGTTTCGCCGGTTCTTGCCGGAAACTGCACCGCCAAGCCTTCCGAACTGCCGCCCCAGGCCAGACTTCTTTGCTGGCTGCGCCGGGACCACTGGCGTAACATCCTTCTGAGGCACTGGGGGCGCAGCTCCTGGCCCCGGGCCCCGGCTCTCCTTCCCCTTCGCCTCGAGCGACACCTCGCCTATTCGCAGGTCACCGAATCCCGGCGCGGGCATTTCCTCGCCTTCTAAAGTGTGTCGCTGCACCCTTCGCGCCCTTTCCTGGACGCTGCGGAACTTCTCCAGAAGCTCCACCCAGCGGATGCTGCCATCGTCACGGCCCTTGAGTCGGTTCGGCCGATCATAGTTAGAGCTGCCTGTCGAAGTCGACGCACTGTTATGAGCGCTTGTGTCAGTCATTGCAGCCGCGCACGGAAAACGGCCTGGAAGCCCCAGCGGTACCAATGCTTGGAGTGTAGGCATACCTTCGCGGCGCCACATGTAAATACCCGATGGAGCTCACACTATTGAGCCGGTTCTTCAACGCGGCAAAAGCCGACGACTGCGGCAGCAGCATGAGGATGCCATACATGCACTTGTACAGGTATGGGTATTTGTCGGGCTCCAGGAGCTGGAGCCTCAAGTCTTCAAGCACCATCCATGTCAGTAAGTGCGACACGGCGTGCTGCTTGTCAGACAGAGGAAGGGGCGCACGCACATGTGAAGACAGGGGACTCAATCAGCTGCACCAGCTTGTCGACCTGAATCAAGAGGTCGACGGTCATGTCCAATTCGCCACTGTGTGCTGTCAGTGCCTGGGATGTGACATGTCGGGTGTTGCCTCTACTGTCTCTACTCACAAGATCTGAAGGAGATGATATGCTTGCTCGTATGCTTGGGCGAGCAGGCACAATGAGAACGTAGCGACGGCGTTGTAGCACCACGACCTGAACAACGCCACAAATAGCGTCTGCCCGTCCTTCGTTTCGAGGTTGCGCAGCCTCTTCCGCACCTCGCCAAGCTGGGGTGCTGTGATGAGGTTGTTGTTGAGATTTTGAACCATGATGCTGGCAAACTCGACATCTTCCTCCTTTTCTATGCAGTCCGCCAGGGTTCGATAAATCCGCTCGGGGCTGAGGCTCATGCATAGCTGGCGGATGATCAAGTTGCCCCGAGTCTCCAAGAGCTTACGGTCTGTCGAGAACAATTGCAACAGGTTCACCATGAAGTTGGCAAAGTAATCGTCCTCGCTGTTGCGGGATATTTGCGAGAGCAATTGGAGATCTTTCTTGACGACAGCGTCCGAAGGGTCCGAGAGGGTTTTGAGGAGAGCGGGAAAGGTTCCGTCATTGAACGCAAGGACCTTGCGAGGGGCTTTTCTGTGAAGCATAATAAGCCACGTCAACGCCGCCACACGAGTCGCCTCATGGTCGTTGAGGAACAGCAGCGTCAGCGAGTTCACAGCCGCAGCATAGTCGAGGTCACCCTGCGCAGACGAGACGAGACCACCCGCGGGCGACGAAAGTGACCTCGCCTGGCCTGGCGTGGGGCTGTGAACGTCCTGGTCGCGCGAGCTTGCCAAGGAAACCCGATTGCTGTGAGAGTCGTCGAGTCTGTCGGTGGGCAGGGCAAGTCTTGAGGCCGACTGAAACTGCGGCGCGGCTCCGTTATACGCCCCAATCCCAGACTCGTCGGATAATGACACGACATATTCCATCAGGCAGTTGTTGACGCGGGTTGCGGCCTGATGAATTGTTTCCTTGCTGCTGGCCATGGCTGGAAGCATATGTGCCAGTATCTTTGGCGTGAAAGGAAGAACCTCTTCAGGACAGATGTCTAGAAATTCCACAATCCATCGTAGCGACTCCAGAAGACAGTCCTCTTCTTCGTCTGCAAGTCAGCAATCTGAGGCGCTTTGAGTTCGGGGCGGGCGGCAGTGACACGAACCTAGTGGCGAGTCCAAAGTTGACGTCAGAATCTCTAGAACCTCCTTGTAATTGATTTCCACGTCCTGACCAGGAATCCAGTCTTCGACCACGCTCTCGTCGTCGTCATCATCGAGAGCCTCCGAGTCGATCTCATCTCCTTCTTCCAGGCCAGGGTGAAAACTGCCCGTGTCGACCGAGTCCTGGCGTTTTCTCTTGCCGCCTTCTTTGGATTTCCGACTGTCTGCGATCCCCTTCTTGACCCGAGCAATGCGCTTTATCTCGTTGAGGAACTTGTCAAGGCACGTTTGCGTTGCAGTCCGTACGTCCGAGTTTTGGTCACCCAAAAACTTGAGCAGCCCGCCTAGAAAGTCGGGTAGGTAAGTGACCAACTCCAAGTCGGGAATGGAGTCCAGCAAGGTGATCCAGCCAACAAGGAACTGGCGCGTGAAGGGATTCACGACCCAAATGCGCTCCTTCAAGAGTGGGATGAAGCGGGATAATGAGAAAGCGGTTGGCAGTTGCGAGCGCGGATCGTCCGAGCCCGCTTTGTCGTCGTCACCGAGATCCGGGGGCGCCTCCAACACCGAGACGTACGAAGCCGCGGACTCAGAAACGATGTCTTTGATGAGGCGGTCCAGAAGCTCAGCTCCGTTCTTCACCGAGAGCTCCGAGTCTGCACCAAGCTAAAGAATCGCGCGCATTCAAAGTCAGCGGATTCGGTAGGACTATGGCAGAGAGGCGCCGTTCGAGGGGATTACACACTCGGCAGAGCTGATCGAATATGTTGTTAAAATAGACGAGAATCTCCCCTTTGGCGACCTTGGCAATGTTGTACATGGCCTCGCAGGCGTAGTACCGAACCCGAGCATCCTGATCAGTGAAGCAGGCCAAGACAGGCGGCACGATCCTGGCTAGATAGCGCGGCAGCTCCTATAAGAAGGGGTGAGCAGCAACGTTTGCGAGGGCACGTAGAATAGGGGAGCGATGGTAGCTTACGGGTCCGAGGGCGATGGCGGCAGCAGCAAGGCCGATGAGACCGCCGTTGCGGGCATGAGGTTGATGGACAGCATAGGCGTAGTCGTTGCAAAGCTGTTCGAGAATGTCGTATACGCGTTGGAAATCCTTGGCGGCTACGAGATCGCGGATGACCCTCTCGAGCCTTGCAGTGTCGCCATGTCAGCTCGGCTCATCTCAGCCACTCCCTCACTCACAGTTGGCGCCGCGACAATGGAGGTCGAGACTTGACAAGGCGCGACGGGCGGGGGCGAAGAGGGCCAGATGCTGTACTCACTCGAGCGCGCCAACCTTGCGCTTATCGTACAGCTTGTCGTTCAGGGCTCGCTGGATGCTGGCGTCCATGTTGGCTGCCGGGACATGCTCGTCGCCGCTCGGCACGGCAGCGCGGGCCCGCGGCGTTCCCAGGCGTGACCTCGGCCAACAAGTGCGACTGAGTGACGGCGGCACGTATCAGACAACTAGAAGTATCGTATGTTCGCCTCAGCCGTTGGTTGGCGCATGTGTAGCGGACGCGCTGGTGGACAGCCGGAGGGACGGAAACAAACAGACGATGCGAGCGAGCGAGCTTGTCTGCCTCAACGGTGGAGGAAGCTGGAGTGGGACGTGGATGGATTCGATGGTGCGTGACCAAACAGCTGGAGGTTCGGCGGGTTGGCTTGCAGTTGCTGCTTGTGGCACCAAGCTGGCTGGCTTGCTTGGGGGGGCTTGATTGGACCCCCCCCCTCTACCTTACCTCTAGTAGTTGGTACGGCAGGCTCTGGGCAGTGGCGTGGCGGGTGCTAAGGCAGCCACGGTACCTCGTACCTACTATGCTTGTAGGTACCTTACACCTCGAACCTGGCAGGATGCTTGTCGTTGAAACTCGAAACCTGAAACCTTGCAAGTCCTGCCGCACAGTCCTGCAGCTGTTCCACTGAAAGTCCAGCGCTCGTCGACACCCCCAACGGTGGCCTCAGCATCCATGAATGGAGGCAAGTGCACGTGAGGTGGCCCATCCCCATCCAACGCGTGCAGCGGCCTCAGCCTGCGTTACGACACAAGGTGTACACATATACCGCGAGCCGGACTCATCCTGCCCCCTCCCTCAGTTACAGAGCGTACCGGGACGCCCCACGAACCTGCATCGGCTTACACGACTAAACGTTTGGCCCGCATCACGAGAGCCCGCACAGTCCTAGTCGCTGACATGACGGACCGCCTCTTGGAGCGAAGCGCGCCTACGTGCTTTGGGCCCCTCGTCGCAACAAACTTGGCGCGCTTGACAATTACCCAATCTTGCGTGTGTCTCATTCATCGTGTAAAGTGGCTTGAGCTACTTGATCTTCTCGTGCTGTCAAAGACGATATGTTGTTGCTCAACAAGGGTCATCATCGCTCATCAAATGCCCAGCATGGAGCCCCCCTGGCTATATCGCTGGCTACATTCCTGATAAAGCCCGTGATCGCAGAAAAACTGCAGCCAAATGCTAATGCGTGTGACTGTGGCCTGAAAGGTCGCCGCTCTGCGCGACGACCCGCTGACACTTGGCCAGGATGGCTGCTTGCCGCGAGACCTCCGAGAGACGGCCGATGACCTGCTTGTTCCCGTCTGCAAAGCCGTACAGGGCGTAGGGGATGCCCACGTCGTTGCAGAATTCTTGCACCAGCTTTTGAGCCTTGCGCAGATTGTGTCGCGGCATCCGGGGGAAGAGGTGGTGAATCACCTGGAACTGCAGCCCGCCGTGGGCAAAGTCGAGCCACTCCGGGCAGTCCACGTCCATGGTAGTCCGCAGCATTCTCTGGGCAAACGATTCGTTCGGCCCTAGGTCCGCGGTGCTCATGGCAAAATGCGACAGGACAATCTGAACATGCAGAGGTGAGGACGCGATGTGGCTGACCATGACGAAGACGAAGCGAGACCAGTTGTCGGGGATGCACTTGTACAAGATGCCGTAGCCGAACCACGTCCAAAAGAAGACCTGCCCGACTATCTCCAGCCAGCGGTGCCAAGCGCCCGGCCCTTTCTTCGGGCCTCTGTTGGCGAGTAAGTAGTCCCATGAGAGCGCGTATAGGTTGAACCTCCCCAGCGCCAGGAGCGGATAGTACGTCCATGACTGAACGCGCAGAAGGACCTTGGCCACGGCATCGTATTTCATGACCCGGTCGTAGTAAGTCGATCGCAGGTTGCCCAGGAGGCGGTGCGACACGGCAAAGAGGGGCATGTGCTCGATGTCCGGGTCGTGCTCAGGCGCGTTGGTCATGATGTGATGGACGTTGTGGTTTCTCTTCCACCAACCCATCGACAACCCGCCAATGAAGTCTGCAATGATGATGGCGACAAGGCTGTCGATGTGATACTTGTGTGTGATGCCCATGTGGCCGGCGTCGTGAGCAGCAAAGACAAGCTGGTGCCACATGAAGCCGAGGAACAACCCGCCGAGAGCGTACTGGCCATATCGCAGGCAGATGAGCATGGACACGAAGAATCCGACGTAGCGGCAGCAATCCACAGCGTACGCCATGTTGTCGCATTTGTACAGCCCAACATCAACGACTTTTTGGTGCAGCTCTCTGTACCTGGCCAAGATCCTCGCCTGCGTTTCGGGATCCGGAGCCGGGTACTTGTCCAGGTCGAGACTGATATGTTCTCGCGTAATCGAATCCAAGTACGACATGCCGTCCATTTCGGTTTCTACCGTGGAATGGGACGAGGTGGAAGAAGGTCGACGGGAGCTGCCGGTCGCGCGATGCCGAAGTGCTTGGCCATCCACATCGAAGACTGGGGACGGCGATCGGGAGCCCTGGGTGCTCGACTCGTGCTCTTTGCCGTTGTCTACAGCTTGGCCGTGGCCATCGTCGGCGGTATCGGCGTCGGCATCCTCCATCGAGCGTTGGGGTCGGAAGACGCCTCCCTGTATCGGAGCCAGGAAGTTCTCCCAAGTCCCTTCGACGCGCCCGATGCGGTACCGGGCCATGCGCTGCTTGGCGTCCTCGGAGTGAAGCCTAGAGCGGCCAAAGTTAGCACCGCAAGTATGGATTGTGCAGCTGCAAACCGGAGGATATTCCGTACGCTTCGATTTCTGCCGTGGCATCCCTCCCTACCATGTGTAGGATTGCCTTGTCGCCACCAGGATGGTACGGGAGCCACGCGTCTACCTTGAGAATGTGGCCATCGAAGATGACTATTTTCCGGCCGGCTGCGATCAGAGCCCCGACCTCGTCGCGCCGCATGACCGGATACTCCCGGGGCTCGCTCGCATCGTGTGGAAGCGCCATGTTGGTGGCGAGCAGGACTGCGGCAGAGGCGGCTGTTGCAGAAACAAAGGCGCCACAAGATCCGCAGCGCCAAATGTCGAAACGTAACGGCCACACGGTCCGTGGCTCGGATTGAACGGCCGCCCGGGGGGGGGGGGGGGGGTGTTCTCGTCCTCGAATTCGGGTCAAGACGAGGGAGAAAGCTCGGTTCGACTAGCGACCAGGCAGACCGGCTCAAAGGTTGAGACGGTGTGATTGTGGCTGCGGGGGTAGTTGAGACGTGGTGCTTTCAGCGCATCTCGAACTGACCTCGTGGTGGTGAAAACGTGCCCGGGCAGGACGACGAGTAACCAAGTTATTATTGCCACGCACGGAGGGGTCAATCGGACATGGTCCGCCTCCCGAGAGTCCGTCGGCTGCGCTGGGGATGGATGGAACACGGAACGGGAAAGCCAGAATGTGGTACGACGCGGCGTAAAGGGCCCTGAGGATCAAGCCCCTGGCTCAACGCCCCCCATCGGGCGCCCCACTCGACAAGAGACTCGACGCAAGGAACGAGCATCAATCGACGCAACTCCATAAAAAAGGTTGGCTTGCGGGCCGGATCGCGCGCTCCGCCACACCATCACGCGTCCCACCTACATAATAGCCCATGCACAAAAGCACTTTGTGCGTTGTACGGTACGTATGTAACGTACGTCCTCGAATCCGGCACTCCTCTCGTCGTCGCACGCGCAGCTTCGCCGCCATGTGTCTCGAGACACATTCGTGCCGCTTCTACGAGGTACTCGTACCTTTCCAACGACAGCCCTTACTGTGCTATACTGTCGCCTGGGGCAGTCGCGTTTCTTCAAGGTAGTCAGTCGTACGCGTCCTGTTCACAGAGCTGTCAGGTGCCGCACCCAAATGCTCGCACCACCTAGGTCGCGAGTAAACACGTCCTCGTCTGCACGTGCCCACGAACTGCCAGGCCTCTTCCAACTCTTGCCAATGCTCCGTCTACTCCTTCAGGCGCCGCAGCCTTCGGTCCAGAGCCAAACAGTCGCGCACGGGAAGCCAGGTGACCTCGGTGCCAAGGATGGCCGGAACAGTCCACCAGCATGCTGCAACCAATGCCATAAATGTGATTATTTTACACGGCCGTCAAGGCCGGCCCCAGAAAACATCTGACGGTCCACATGCCACGTCCATCTCTGCCCCGTCCCTGTCCCTGCCGCTCCGTGGGGCTTCAACTCGGCGAACCTTTCTACCTCCTGATTCCCGCATCTAGGTATTTAACACTCGGGCAGATACAGATAGACAAGAGCGTCTGACCACGCTGAAGGCTGCTCGTGATATTCCTCTTCGCAACCTCGCTTAGAAGTGGATGGCCTTGGCGTTGGTCGCCATGGCCGCCTCCTTGAACGCCTCGGCCAATGTCGGGTGAGCGTGGCACGTCCGCGCGATGTCCTCGGTGGAGGCGCCGTACTCGAGAGCCAGCGTGCCCTCGGCAATCATCTCACCGGCATTGGGTCCAATGATGTGGACGCCGAGCAGCCGGTCCGTCTCGGGGTCGGCCAGCATCTTGACGAAGCCATCCGTGTCCAGGTTGGTCTTGGCGCGCGAGTTGGCGCTGAACGGGAACGTCCCCACTCGGTAGGGGATCTTCTGGTTCTTGAGATCCTGCTCGCTCTGGCCGACCCACGCCACCTCGGGGTAGGTGTACATGACAGACGGGATGCAGCCATAGTTAACGTGACCGAAGCCCTTCTTGATGTATTCGACCACCGCCACGGCCTCCTCCTCGGCCTTGTGGGCGAGCATGGGGCCAAAGGTAGCGTCGCCAACGCAACGGATGTGAGGGATCTTGGTTCGGTATTCGGAGTCGATGATGACACGGCCGCGCTCGTCCAGTTCCATGCCAATGTTCTCGAGGCCAAGGCCCCCGGTGTAAGGGCGTCGGCCGATGGCAACAAGGACGACATCGGCGTCGAGCTGCAGGCGCGTGTTTTTGTTAGCGCCCCATAACGATGACGGCATCGAGGGCAGGCGACAGGGCCGGCATAATTGTGCTTACAGTCTCAGGCTTGCCGCCCTTGGCAGCGTCTACTTCCAGCTTCACCTTGTCGCCGGACTTGTCTCCGCTGATGACCTTGGTGTTGAGCTTGAAATCCAGGCCCTGCTTCTTCAGGAGCTTCTGGGTGGACTTGGCGATCTCCGTATCCATGCCAGGGCCTCCAATTTGGCCAAGGAACTCGACGACCGTCACCTTGGTACCCAGCCGCGACCAAACTGACGCCATCTCAAGACCGATAATGCCGCCGCCAATGACAACCATGGTCTCCGGGATCTTCTCCAGCGCAATAGCACCGGTGCTGGTGACGACACGCTTCTCATCAATCTCGAGGCCGGGGAAAGGAGTGGCTTCGGAGCCAGTGGCGATTAGGATGTTCTTGCCGCGGACCGTCGTCTCGCCTCCATCGTTGAGGGCCACCTTGATGTCGTTCTCGTTGACGAAGGAGCCCTCGCCCTTGATGTACTCGACGCCATTCTTCTTGAGAAGAAACTCAACACCCTTCGTCAGGCCATTGACAGAAGTCTCCTTGGCCTTCATGAAATTGGCGAGGTTCAGCTTGACGTCTCCAACCTCGATTCCGCGGTTCTTGGTGTCATGAAGGATCTGGTGGTACAAGTGGGAGTTGTTGAGCAGAGACTTTGAGGGGATGCAGCCGACATTGAGGCAAGTGCCGCCGAGCGTGCCGCGCTTCTCAATACAGGCCACCTGCAAACACGAGGTGTCAAGGGTCAGCGCTCTGTGTGACAGTGCGAACAAGAGATGAGGGAGGGCCATCAGTGACGACAGTGTTCACCTACCTTCATGCCCTCCTGGCCAGCCTTGATAGCGGCGACGTATCCAGCGACGCCACCTCCGATAATGACCAAGTCCTTCTCCTCTGTAACTCGCACCCGCATGTCAGTGCAAACGGTCCGGATGACGTGTCGGGGAAAAAAGACGCGGTGTTGGCGCAGACGAACCAGACGCAGAGGCAAAGCCACGAGTCCAGCGTGACAGAGTTGACGACGCAACAGCGGGGGACACGCTGCAGAGGCAAAATGCCAGTTAGCAAGTGGACATGACCGCGCGGCTCTGCCTGTGTTGCTCTTGAGGCGGCCGACGGGTCGCGGGCGTTGAAGGCTGACCAGGCAGAGCCGAACAAAAAGTTTGGGATCTGCACATACGACGAAGTTTTCCAGGCCGTGGGCCGCACCGCATTGCGGGCTATTAAGCGACTGGTGAGCATCTTGAAGCACCTAGAAACGCGTTCGTGGGAGATTCAATGGGTGCCACGCGGGTGATTGGGGTGCCAGGAGGGACGTTGAAAGCGTTGGGGCGCAAAGTGGTTGGAAACGGAGGGTTGAATAACTTAGCACGTCGTCGTCGGAGAGCTCCAGCGGCCGGCGGCGGTGTCGGGCAGGGAAGGCCCGGAACTGGCCCTGGCTGGGGTGGCGACGCTGGATGCCGGCAGGTACTTGCGCAGCTAAGGTAAGCAGGGACGCCACCCGCGCGCGTATCGAAACGGAGTCTAGGCTACTTTTACAGCGGTAGCCGAGCATCGCTGGCGGGTCACTTGGCTGGCTTTAACCGCCACAGTCTGAAAAGTATGGCATCTACATCTTCGCCCAGTACTCGCGAGATCTGTCCCGCTACCTTCCTGACATTAGACCCTTTTCGAAACTTTTCCCTTGCTCGTAGGTTCCAGGTTCTCCATGATGGCTGCCCTCGCCGCTGCCACTACCTATTACCTAACCCTTCCATCGCAGCGCGTCTTCAACGGCGGCAACCCGCGAGTCGACGAGGCGCGAGCGTGCCTTCCGAACGTGACATTTTCGTCGTGACAAGTGCCCTGTATTGCCACTCGCTGCAATGTTGCCTGTCCGTCCGACCATTGCTGCAGCACACTTGAGAGAGCGGCCACTGCCTCCGCGGTTGACGTGGAGTAACAGCTTCAGTCAGAAAAAGTAAGCCATTCCTAGCACTGCGACGTTTCCCGTCCCAGGTTTCTTGGTCGCAGCGAAATCCGGAGTGCAAGGCCCTTACCGCGCATGGAGACCGGAACGGCGGTACGGAGTACATCTTTGGGGGAGGGGGAGCAAGGTACCTGCAATGGAGGTTCCTTTCCACTTGGCCTTGGGGGCTGCCTCCACCTAGCACCAAGGAGGAGTTACCGTGGCATGGGGTACTGGCTCCCCAAAATAATGCCTCAGCGGCGCGACTCCCACATGACCAAACCCGAGGGAATCCGCTTTGAGGCGACCTTAGCCGCCCGTTCTGTAGGCGGTCTCCCGACTGCCGTCCGTTCAACCGGCGCGGAGGGCCGATACGGATCGGGCCGGTGCCATGTTGTTAAGACTTCAACTCGGCACGTTCTAACTCAACACCAAGACATACGAAAGGGTCACCCAAGAACCGGCGCTTACGCGGCAAGGCCTCAGCGAGCAAATGCAAGCAACAAATGATTGTTGCCAATACTTAGGCCAACGGTCCATCGGGGGGCCACCTAGTCCTCAATGCCCACGGCCTGCACCACGGCCTGCGCCCTTTGCCTTACGCGTTCCAGCTTCTTGCCATCTTTGGTACCAATCAGCTTGGATTGTCGCACTCGCTTCCTCAGGAACCAATGTATGCCCGCGGCCAATGTTGGGGTCTCTCGCGCCGGGCCAAACACCCGAAGCACGTTGGCATCCTCCTTGCTGTCTTTGCCCTTGCAGTGCCGCAGCAGAGTGACCAGGAATCTCTCCACGAATGCGCCGGTCCAGCGGTTCACCTCGGGAAGCTCGAGGGGCTTGAGGACGGCGATGCTGAGCGCCCCATCGGCCACTAGCGATGCGTAGAACCGGGCGACGTTGGCCGATCGCCGCTCATCCTTCATCCTCTCGCCGTCTGCGGTCTCTTCTTCGTCGCCATCCTCGCCAAAAAGGGATTCTCCGAGGCCGCGGAAGATCTTCCACAGTCGGTCCTGGAGTGCAAATCGGACCCTGCTGTTCTGACATGCTAGTCCTCCCACCAAGGCATAATAATCGTTGTATTGTGCCTCGCTGCCAACGCACTGCACGAGAACTCGCGCAATCTCAAGCTGCTCGTCTTTCTTCAATTTGAGGTTGACAAACTGTTGGTATCCGTGCTCGTGGCTGTTTGCCGACAGAAGTGCTGTGAAGATGGATATTTGAGCCATCGTGCTGAAGCCTTGCGCGCGTGCCTTTCTTGGGTAATCGGGCAAAACGAAATCCATGTCCTCATCGTCTTCAGACACGTTGCCGTCACTACCTCTACGGCCCCGCGCGACGTTCCCAGCTCTTTCAGCAGCTCCAACGTAAGTAGGCACGCTGGCGCCAACAAGCCACCATTTGCCTTGAGTGTCAGATCCCTCGACGTCTTTCAAGCTCATGCCCATGGGAGCCAGGCCTTCAAGACGGCGCGACCGCGACTTGAGCTCGCCCAACCGTTTTCGTATGCGCAGCACATGCTCGGAAACGATGCCAGAGTCTATTCCTTTGGCCTTGGACTTGCTGTTCTTGAGATCGCTGATCGTTTCAATCATGAACTTGGTCCTAGCCGACACGTTGGCATAGCCAATCTTGGAGACGGCCTTGCCAAGAGCACTGGAGACGTGCTTCAAGGCTTGCGAGTCATCTCGACGCAGCAGCTTACCGGCCATGCGGCAAACCCTGAGTAGCAACTCAACGTTCATCTCGGACAGATCCTCGAGGAACCTCTCCATGTAGTCGAACAAGATCTTGCAGCTGACCACTTCGAAAACATAAAGCTGGGTGAGGAATGTCATGATATTGGAAGCCTCTTTCCGTATGCTCGACTCTTCGCTGTTTTCCCTGTCGGCTCTCTCAAACTCGCTCCCAAAGTCGTTGACGATGCGGCGAATGAGATGCGAGCCAAAGCTGGATCCAACGATCTTGTACATGGCGGCGCAGAGTCCGCCTATTAGTACGAGGAACTGGTCCGGAAGAGCTTCAGGTTTGCAAATCTGCGCCATCATCGCATCTGTCAGAACCTCGGTTACATCGCCACGCGCGTTTCGCTGATAGAAACCTTCGATCGCATCGACGATGGATAAAATGTTGCTGTCTGTGAGCCTGTTGATTTGCCCCTGAATTTGTTTTCGCAATCGACCCTTGGCTTCGTCTCCTGACGCGGATGCGTTCCTCATGGACGGAGGCACGTACTTGGCGACCACCACGCCTGTCGTCGGGGCAACGTAAGGATTTTCTCTTTTCCGTGCCATGGGCTCAGATGCGTCGTCGGCTTCGGATCCAAACCCCTCGAACGACTCGTCGGAAGCGTCCAGTTTGCGATGCCGCGATTCTGCCTTGGAGGAATCCACGCGGTTTCCGAAGTCGTCGTCGTCGTCGTCGGTCCCCTCGGGGGTCTGATCATCGTCTGACGACTGCTCTGACGACTGCTCTGAATCACTCCCCATGCCCGCTGCGGGTTGAGTGGTAGCTTTCCTCCTCTTTGAGGTCAGCCAGTCTTCGTAGTCTCTCTTTCGTTTCCGACCCTCGTCCTCGCTTTCTGATGCATTTGCCGTGAGATCGCCAAGGAGATCGTCCAGCCCATCATCCGCGAATGATTTCGGGAGGGACTTCCGGCCCTTTTTAATGCCGAGTTTTCTCTCAAAGTCTTCGATTTCGGCATCATCCTGTGAAAGCTTTTCCCGAACGGCGGCATTCAGACTTGCTCCTGTAGCTGTGCCTGTCGGGGGTTCCGGCGAGGCGTCTGTATATCCCGCGCTGGTTTCATCATCGCTGTCATCGTCTTCCACCTCCCCTTCAGAGCCGTCTTCGTCTCGGAGGGGTTCATTGTCGTCATCTTCCTCATCGCTGCCCAGGGGCAGCGGTTGTCCCCGTTTTGACCGTACGACATGCGTGGGGCGTGTCACTTCTGCAGCGCGATGCGCCACGGGCCGGTTGATGCTGGTCGACGTATCTTGCCGAGAGTATCGTTGCGATTTCTTCTGCGCGCGCTGCGCCTTGCGCTCGTCCTTGCGCGACACGGGCTTGGTGGTCCTTTTGCCGGAATGCCCTTGATGGCCGGAACCTGGCGTAGGAGCATCAATTCCCATACGTCGAAAGAGCTTCTGTTGGAGCTCTGGCACGGAGTTGGCCGGCATTGTGAGGCTGGGTATGAGAATCGCGTCCCGGTGCAGTGAGTGAGTCGGCTGGGGATGAGATGGCGCTTTGTTGCTGCTGCACGAGACGATATCCTTGGCGTCTTCGTGTGTCAAATCCCGGAAAAGGTTTCCGGACTGGGGCCGTCTGATGTCCCAAGGATATGGTCCAAGGCGCTCATGGCAGCGCGCGACGAGCAGTAGACCGAAACCGGTTGCGATGTCTGGAAATTTTAGGCAGGCAAGCCAGGGTAGGTTGCGCCAGGAGAGCCAAAAGTTTGCCGTGGTTGCGCCTCCAGGGTCGCGTCGCAGTTTCGACCAGTGGCGGGCGGGGCTGGTGGCCCACCGTAGCCAATTGAGCGAGGTGCAAGGCAATGGAGGTACGTACAGCCAATCTGGACCAGGGCACGCACGATGACGGTAGTACGTACCTTACTTGCTGCGCACCTTCTTTCGCTCCAGTGGCCTCCGTCGACGCAACACTCATTCACCTTGGCAAACCTCTCGGCCAGCCTCACCTCTCGACAACGCCGGCCCCGCGACCCTGAGGCAAGAACACTTGTTACGTGAGCCCTCGCAGTCAGTTAGGCTCAGGTTGCCTGCCCTCGCCCTGCGCGCCCCTGTCGCGGCAGACGGTCGCCCACGTCAAGCCCGCCTGTGTCCCCTCGCTGTCATCATCCTGAGCGATGGCTTCACATCTCAGCCAGGACGAGGTGGGTCCCCTGCTCTCTCAAGTGAACAGAATCTCAATTGGCTGACGCAACCCTCCGCTGTCAAAGTTCTTCGTCGGACTGGAGAAACTCTTCAATCATCGGAAGGGGAGCGACCATGGAGCCGTCTACCTGACCCAGAAGCGCCGTAAGTTTGGCCCAGGCCCTCCCCTCCCTCCGCTTCAAAATTATACACTCTCCTCCATAAATTGCTGCGAGCTGCTGCACCTGGCCGAGGGGAGAAGGCTCACCATCGCGCTCCGCAGTCTCCCACGACCAAGACATGCCGTCTCCTACAAGGGAGAACCCCTGCCCTGATCTTTCTCCGAGCCAGCCCATGCCGGTCATCATCCGGGCTTCAAACGGCAAGTCTCGAAGGGCAGAAGGCGACAAGGTTAAATTGAGTACCATCGTCAAGCCCCATGAACTGGACGGCTTTTACAGTCGGTATGCTGAGGTCTGCAAGGCGGGAATGGTAGCGTTGAAGCCGAGGGATCGGAGCAAGAAGAAGGCCAAGGCTAGAAAGAAGAAGGCTACGTCGTAGATTCATGGCGCATTCCAGAATCCAATTTCAAAGCCACAAGCATGCCTTTTTACTTCATACTGATCCGTGAGCTTGAGTTTCTTGCGATGGTTTTCCTTCCATTCCGGCTAAGCTCGGTGAATATCAGGTCACGACCCATATCGGTCGGGCTGTTGCGATCAGCGGCGACATTCCCCGGGCGGCGAAATAGGGCGTAGCGAGGGATAGCGAATAGGCCACCTCAGGGCAGATGCACAATGGCTTACAGACCTGAGAAAACACACTTGAGCAGCGCTCGACCTGGCGATATTCAACTGTCTCATTATGGCAAAGCTTCACCCTGCCGCGAGATAACGGCGCATCCATTCGCCAGGCGATACCAGCGGGTTTACAGGGAACCCGCGACTCCGAAGAGAGGGAGTGGAAATGAGAGGCGATGGCGGAAACTTGGTCCCGAGAATAAATGCACCAAGACAGACATGTGAGGTCAGGAATCTCTTGGACATAATGTACGTATGCTCAAAGCTCGAACACTCTAATGAGCACTCAACGGCACAGGATACAAGGTATTTCAGGGCAGCCGACTACACATGGGCACCCTAGATTGCCCGTTCGAGGGCAATGAGGGCTTCGACTACGTCCTTTCTTTCGTCCTGACGACAGCCGGTTGGCAGAATTCCTTCATTAGTTGACGGAGGTTGTTCACCATCCTCGCCGGGAACGGAGATCGACAAAACGTAGTAGACAGCCAGGAGTCTCGAATCCCAGGCGGCATCAACATCTCTCAGTAAGGCAAGCTCCGTTGCCAATGGGGGGAGAAAGCCGTTTGTCGCAGAACTGCGTCACCTCAAGAACGGACCATGGTCTACAGTGGGCTGGAGGTGTTTAAAGGCATGCGGGGGGTTCAAGGGAAGCAACTCACCTCTGGTACCGAACCGCCCGCGACTGTCTTGTCGAAGAAGCAGGCCGTCGCGTCGCGATCGTCGCGACGGAGGATCCTTGCAGGTCGAGCCCGACGGCAACAGCCTCTACTCTCGGCGCAGGCATTCTACCCAAACTGGAGGCCGCGCGGTTGTAAAAGCCTCCATCTCCAGTGCTGGGGGCGGATTGGATCGTCTTGTGCTGCGGTTCCCTCCCGGTCGCCGTCGGAAAGCACAGCATCGTCGTCAGGCCTAGTCATGGCGTCCTACCAGCGAAGAGTCGTCACCAGCCATGCTTGTCCGCCAGCCTCTCCAGCGCCCTACGCTCATCATCCGCAACTGAACCCTAAGCCATCCGGCAACCTGACACCATCGTTTGCTTTATCCTCATACATTCTAGGTAGAACCCTGCCCTCTCCCCTCTCCTCATTTGTCCCAGCGAACAGCAGCCCTCGCCTGCCCTCGTCAACCAGCGGCCCGCGACACCCGCATCTGCGCGGCGCCAAGACAAGAACTGTCCGTCATTGTCACGGACGAAACGCAAAGCCACCCATCCTCCAAATCCAGCTACCTACCTTGGGTACAGTGGTTCGGCAAAGCCTGGAGGGGGGGCCATTGAGCGTCAAAACCAATCCACCTAGAACCCTGGGAATTTTTCGGTCGCGGAAAGAACTTGACAAAACGAAAAAGAAATATGTGGCGAAGAGCAACTGGATCGCCAAGCACATAACCTGACTCGTGAAGACCAAGACTCGAGGCCCTCCAGTCACCTTGACGACGTGGAACCAACGGCGCTCACATAATCTGGTCTTGGGTGAGGCCCGCATGGGCATCCGTGTCCATGCTGTCGCTCGCGCCCTGATTCAGATACTTGACGAAGCTCAAGTTCAGAGGACGGCCACCATACTGGTAGCCCTGGAACTTGGCGATGGCGGTATCGGCGGTATCAGGGGTGTCGAAACGGACAACACCGCTGCCGCGAGACCGGCCGCTGGGCTCGTACTGAATCTCGGCTTGTTCCACCTTGCCAATGGTTGTGAAGAGCTCGACCAGATCGTCGTTGCTGGTAGACCAAGGAAGCTGTTTTCGGCAGTCAGTAACATCAACGCCATGGGCAAAAGCAAAAAAAGTGATGCTCACGTTCCGAACGTAAATCGTCTCGCTCCTCTCAGTGCCAGCGGTGGCGTGGTCGGTGAACGGGTTCGGGGGAACCGAGGCAGCGGCTGGGGCATCGAAGCCGCCGCCGCCGCCGCCGCCGCCGCCGCCTGCGAAACCGCCTCGGCCGCCGAATCCGAATCCTCCACGGCCACCTCCAAAGCCACCGCGGCCAAAGCCGCCGCCGCCAAAGCCTCCACGCATGCCGCCACCGTAGCCACCGCGTCCAGGGAAGCCCATTCCGCCTGCCGCAGCGAAACGATCCTCCCGGACCTCGAGCATACGACCTTGCCAGTCGTAGCCATTGAACTGCTGGATCGCGTTCCTAGCGTCGTCAGGGCTCTCAAAGACAACAATGCCCGAACCCTTAGGCCGGCCATCTGGACCGACGTGGACATCGGCACGAATCACACCACCGATCCGAGCTGTACACATTCAGGGAACGCCACTTCCTGTTGTAGGAGGAAGAAGAACTTACCGGCTTGTCGAAAGAGGTCCTTCAAGTCTTGCCAACCCACATTGAAGGGAAGCTGTAATATACGAGGTTAGCGTTCCTGCCATTTCTCCGACAACGACAATATGGCCTCGCAGGTTGACTCACATTGGCCACGTACAGCTGGCGACCGCCGCCTCCAGGAGCGCCGCCTCCGCCGTAGCCGGCGTTGAAACCACCCGACATGCCCCCTCCAAATCCGCCACGGTTTCCACCGGTCGCGCCGATGAATCGAGGCTCAGCTTCGCGATCCTATGGCGCCTTAGTATTGAGAGTCAGGAAGGATTAGGTGCGACTCACTTCTCGCACGTAAACAAGCCGGCCCATCAGGTTTTGGTTGCTGAGTTGAGCGACTGCTTGCTGAGCCTGCTCTCGAGTGGCATATTCGACAATTCTGTGTGGCAGCATCAGCCTCTGGCCATACGTAGCAAATCGTGGGGAGCATATACATACCCGCAGCCCTGTGATGATTGGGAGCAAACGCCAGGCGTTAGCTAAACGGCCCCATCAACGCCGGCGACGCCGGACACCCACCGCCAAAGGCAGCCTGCACCCTTGGTCTCCGTGTACTTACCTTGGACATTCCGTTTGGAAGCAGCAGCACGTCCGCAAAGAGCACCTCTCCAGCTAAAGCACACAATCATCAGTTATCCACGCCCTCGATCCGTGCCATCCACTGATTCGTACCCTGCCTCATGAAATCCTTGAGATGATGCCACTTGACATCGTAGGATAGGTTGCCGACATAGACGCGGCGGTCCTGCTGCGAAGTCTCGCGAATGTTGTTCATCATCTGTTCGCGCGCCGCGGCCCGTTCTTCGTACGACCGATGTGGTGCCTGACCGCTGAAGCCTGCACTGGATCCTCCACCAGGAGCGCCCGTTCCGGTCATGGGCGAGCGATCGCGATTGCGACGATAGTCGTCTCGGCTGTTTGATCTGCTGCGAGGCGAGTAGGAGCGGCGACGGGGCTGCCTGCCGGGACTCCTCGAGCGTCGACGGGGGGATCTGGACCTCTCGCGCTGCGACATGTCAGCTGGCCTGGCTGGCTGTGATAACGAAAGACAAGAAGACAGCGGCAGGCCCGGGTGTGGCTGCGTCCCGATGGCGGAAGGGTGGTGGTGGTGGTCGGGAAGAGTGTTGGCGCAGGTTCGTGGCAGTCGCAGGTTGGAAAACACGCAGGCCAACGTTGGACGTGGGAATCACAGATCAATCAGGCCGATAGTGGAGCAGGTCGGCTCTGACTCCACTCCTGCGTCAGCGACCAGCCAGCCCAGCACTCCAACCGATTGCGCATGAGCTCGGCAGCCTGGGACAGATGGAAGACTGCGACGAGCGAAAATGCGCGCGTCGCGCACCGAGCAGCTTGACAAGCGGTTTGCAGGCGTGTCAAGCTGCAGCGAGACCAGACGAGAGCTGTGCAGCGCTACCGACGGGGACGGTGGCGGAAGGATCCGGCAAGGGCGGTGGCGCGGGAAGTGAAGGGACGTCAACGTTGAAGACGAGGGAACAACTTACAGGCCGGTAAGTATCGCCAGAGTCCGCTGCGAAGGCGTGTTAGAGCCGATGCGAAACCAGTTGCCTGAGAAGACACCGGGAAGGCAAGATGCGAGACGAGCTGTAGGAAGAGGCGGAAAGAGAGGGCGACGAGCGGGGAGGAGGGAGGGCCTTGTGGTTTGAAATAAGAGCCTACTAACCCTTCAGGTTACCTGACCTTGCCAGCAGGTGAGGAAGTCAGGCAGGCAGGTACCTTGGAGGTAGAGGTGGGGTGCAACGAAGGGGGACACAGTGAGGTGAGGCGATGCGTGGTGGTGGTGGTGGTGGTGGTGGGAGACATGCAGGTAAAGGGGGGGGGGGGCCCGGCGGCCGCCTCTGGCAGGCACCTCAGTCTGGTGCGGTGCAGCGCAGCGCAGCGCAGCGGAGAGTGCAGTGTGCAGCGCGGTGCATGACATGAGTGAGGAAAGGCGACGCGAGGAGCAGGTGCTCGCTCGCTCCTGGCTGGGGACGACTGCCAGCTGTGCTGTCGACCGGGAGGAATGGGGCAACAAGTGGCATGCTCGCTGGGTAACACGCCGAGTGGGAGCGGCAGCAACCGGACGATGAGGTGCAGAGGCCGCTGCTTGCCATTGTGCTTCCACCTCGGGCGCCGGTGCTTCACCCATCCATCATCCACGGGCATGCTGTCACCGACCACCTCAACAGCCGGGCGGACACCACTGCGCCGTGACGCGGGCACAGCACAACACCGCGCCGAGTAGGGCAGCACAGAGCAATGCCGAGAGTCTGCGGCTCAGTGCAGGTTGCCAGCCTCAACTCGGGCGTGTGTGGAGGGGGATGGGGTCGGGCAACAAACAAAGAAAGCGATCGGACAGGGCATAATGGCAACCGGGCGGGGGCGCGCAAGGAATGCGAGAGCCGGCAAGAAAACAAGAGACAGAGAGCGGCCAAGGCGGCAGAGCGGAGAGAGCGGACGTACCCATGGCCAATGTTGCGCGTCTGAGGGCAATGGGCAATGGCAACCGAGGCGACGGACAAGGCAAGGAAGGCAAGGGCAAGGCTGTCGGTCGCGGAAGAAGACGCGGTCGGTCGAGTTGCGCTGTCCAACAGAGCCTCTCAGCGAGGGCGGACGGGACACTTCCAAGCTTCTCCGGCGGGCACGGCGCGAACACGGTGTGGGAATCCCAGGAAAGGCACGATGTGCTATGGGTACGTGGGTGGGCGAGTCGTCAATCGGGCAGGGCAAGGTATGGCGACACGGTCGCGCTCGAGACGGCGTCGGGGGCGAGACGAGGCGACGCGAGGCGCAGCGGTCAGCGCCCAAGTGAGGAACGAAGGGACGGATCTCGCAGCGCTCGCAATCGGGGAGGGCGGCCGAGAAGGTACCCCCCTCCTGAAGGGGGTGCGGGGGCGTGTGCGGTAGGTAGGGAGAGAGAGCCGGAAGAAGGCGAACGAGACGAGCAGAGGGAAGGGAGTAAGTCAAGGTTGGCGGTGCTCCCTGTACGCGTGAGCAAGGTAGGTAGGTACGAAGTACTGAGTACTTTTCTTCCTTCCATGGTAACAAGGGTGCCTCGGGCTCGCGGACTGCTAACTACGAGGCAATAAATGAGATGCTTTATGCAAGACAACGTTATTAAGTGCCGCTTTGACCCGTACCTCTACTTAGGCTTTTTTTTTTTTTCAGACGGGGCTACAACAAAAAGCAGTCCATACGAAGTACTCGACGGCGCCCGTGAGGAATTCAAGGGGGGGCAATGCCTAGGCCTGTACGCAGTCTCCCCGCATAACGGGAGGCTCTGCGTGTGGCCAGTTGGCCAGGTCGATGAAATTCGGAGAGAAAAGACGCGGCCACAGTCTGTCATGGAAGGAGCCGAGACAAGCACCGAACACGGCCGGGCGGGCGGCGCCATACCATCTCAACGTGAGCTCATGTCGGAGCGGGTACCTTGCACAGTTGCCCAGGTACCGCAGCAAGTGCTTGCCCTTCCAGATGCCGCCTCGTGAAGGAAAAGTTCCATGCCCGGTATCTGAGGAAGACTGCTTCTGCCAAGGACCTGGGCCGCAGAAGACAGCATCTGACTGACACTGTGTGCCTCGCTCGCTCCCCACTGAGCTGTACGAGCATGGTACCCCGTATGCGATTGCGTATGCCCACAAGTACTGGGTAGTAGTGCTCGCGGGCCGCCCACGTCCTCGAGTCCCTCGCTCGGCCCAGAGGCCAACGAGACCCTCCGTACCTGCAAGTTGCGAGGCCATCGAGAGCGGACCCGAGCTCTCAAACCCTCCCTCGGGCGGCGACGGGGCTTGATGCTGGGTGCGGCATCCTTGAAGGCGCCCAGGATGGATGGATGGCTGGCTGGCTGGCCGGCGCTCGGCTGCACGACAGGTGAGCAGCAAGGTGAGAGAACCCTGATAGCGAGCTGCAATTGGACAAGAGCTCTGTTGGCGGCGGCCAATGAGCAGTGGCCGCCGGGGTCGGGGTTATCCGTCATGTCAGTCAAGGTAGCCGGAAGGTACCTCGCGTACCTTTGGGCGTTGGATCTTGGTACCTGATAATCACCAAAAAGAGAGGAGGAAGAACTGGAACGAAGCCCGAGGTCTTTGGGTTGCTGGGAAGAGACCCGCCAGGGCTTGGCCATCATGGGACATGCCATGCTTACCGACTTGGTACCTTGATTCCTTACGTACCAGACGGGAGGCATGGCAGGCAAACGAGCACTCCCGGGCGCGCACGCGAACGCGCACCATGTCGGGGCCGCTGGCGATAGAGTTTGAAGCCCGGTCCGTCGCGTGCGGTCGCTTCAGTACCTACGTTAGTAAATTACTACTGTATTCCATCTTGGCGTCTAATCGTGTGTGTTGGCACCGCAGGGCCCAGGAGCTCGCACTTACCAAACTGCAATACGTACAGGCCACCCTATCCATCCATGAAACTGACTGAGAGGCGAGATGGATGGATGGTGGGGAGGCACTGCGAGTGCATGGGCACGAGAACGGACGAGGTAGGCAAGGAAAGGTAGCCCGGTCGGCATTGACTGTCTGCCTGGAAGCAGGCCCAGGAATCGGCGGCATCTCTGGTGACATCTGACTTGGCAACTTAGTACCTTGGCTGCCTTACCTCGGTCACCCTGCGCTGTGGCATCGCTCCCTCGCCCGAGCCAAATGTTCGCTTTGCACTTTGTCGGCATCATCAGTTGGCTCGCACAAGACGGGAGGTCTGGTGCCCAGATGAACGTCGCACAGTGCGCTACAGCCACCCCGAGGCGGTTAAGCCGGCATCTGCAGCTGCTGCTTGTTCATCACACTCGCTGGCCAGGACTACCCGAGTCCAAAGTGGAACCCAACAGCCCGTGGTGCAAACAGGTTCGACGCAGGGCACCAATGTGCAGAAAGCCCTGGACACGCCATTGCTCAGCCCGTCTTGCAGACCTAGGTGCTCGCCTTGGTTTGACGCTCGATAGCTGTTGAGGTACTCGGCGAGTACCCCTGCTCTCCCAGCTCCTCCGAGCCTTGGGCGTGTCCCGGGCGTGCCATCGGCGTCGATGGCGGCGGCTGACGGGATCCTTGACGTGATGGAAGGACCCGGCTCGAGCCTGTCCACCAGCCGGACCTGGAGCGAGAGACAGAGACACCCCCCGGACAAGGACTGTGCGCCGCGCCGCGCTTCCGGCATGCAGGCAGCCGGCGCACCTCGTAACGACGGTGGCTACCGCGTTAGGTTGGTTAGGCCTTGGAACCCGTGGAAACGAGCGCCATAGGATCCTGGCCCTGCAGGCGTTTGAATGGGGCAACCACTGCTGTTCTACAGCTCCCGGTAGCTGTTGGTGCGTCTTTGCCAATCGATGCTGCTCGGCGCATGGGCTTACCACTGCATGCCGCCGAAAGCGGCTGAGATGGCGCACCGGGGCGCGGGTCGCTGCTCGTGTCGGCCGCAAAGTGCTCAGCGGCCGCGTCGAAGGTGGTACTCGTGGGTAGGTGTGACGGGGAGGCGGCCGGGCATCTTGGGTGGGGGATGGGTTCAACCGCCCATCTTCGCGAACCAGGCAAGAGTCCAAGTTGGCAGCTCGCCATGTCCCTGTCGGGATGTAAGCGACGAGGTAGGGCAACATCCGTCCACCGAAATAAAGGATTTTTGCCATTTCAATTGATTCTTGCTGGGCGTTATTCTCTTGTCGCAATGCCTACTGCTGGACGACGCTGGCGTCCGTTTCATCTTCCCCATCAAGGTGCACCACAATCTGTTGAGATGCCCCGCGAGCGTCAAGCACATGTGGAGGGCCGAGGAGAAGGGCCATCAACGCAGCGTTTTATCCCGAACAACTGGCAAAGGGCTCGCCTCAATGCGGCGTTGGCTGGCCAAGTTGAAAAGTTTGGCATGGCCAGGACGACGCTGCGCGGCAGGACAGGACAGGACAGGACAGGACAGGACAGGACAGGACAGGACAGGACAGGACAGGACAGGACAGCGGCATTCCCAGTCTTGCAGGAACGAACCTAGAAGTACCTAGCCAGTACCTACAGTCCGTCTCCCGTCGCCGGGCCTCAGGTATTCGCTCGTACCTTGCTGCAACAAAGTCCGGACTAGCGCGCCGCTGGGTTCGATCGTTCTTGCAGCTCCGAAAGGCCCCCACCCCAGTCGGCAGCCGTCCCGTTCCATCCTTCCGCCCCCGTCACGCCAGCTCTGGAGTCTGGACCCAGAATCAGCCAAGGCCAAGCACACGTCGTCGAAAACCTCATGCGCGCGCAACACGTCGCCGCAAGCCCCGGTCCCACCGCGTAAACCCGTTGCCGCCAGCGGACGAACAAAGCACGTCCTCAACCCGATCACGGCCGATCGTCGCCGGCGCGCCCCCCTCGATACCGCCTCTCGCCATGTCGTTGTGCTGCACCAGCAGCCGCGCTGCCGCCCTGCGGCTCGCCGCCGCGGCCGCCCGCCGATCGCGAGGAGCCTGCGCCCGACACCGACCGTTCCACTCCTACGACCACCCCGCGGCCGAGGGCGCATTCGGCGCCGTCGAAAACTCCATCCTCGCCGCCGCCTACCGTCATGTTCCCGAACACGGCTTCTCCCAGAGGGCCCTCGGCCTCGGCGCCCGCGACGCAGGCCTTCTCGACATCAGCCCCAGCGTGCTCCCCGACGGCGCTTTCAGCCTGGTCCTCTATCATCTTGTCCTGCAGAGGCAAGCTTTGGCTGCGCAGGCCCAGCGGTTGTTTGGCACGCAGAGCTCCGACGCGGCTGCCCTGGGTGTGGGCGCGAAAGTCACCGCCTTGACTTGGGCTCGTCTCATGGCCAACAAGGACATCATCCACCGATGGCAAGAAGTTTGTTGCCCAGGCACCCACGCTCCGTATTCGCTGATGTAGCGGTCTTGCTGACGTCGTCTCCACCGTTTCCCAGGCCCTTGCCATCATGGCTCAGCCCAGCTGCGCTCCGGCCTCTCTCAAGGAGCTTGCTCTCCTTTCGGACGAGATCTGGTTCCTGTCCGGAGACAAGTCGGTTGACCCTTCGTGGTACAGCAAGCGAGCATCGCTCTCCATGATTTACAGCACCACCGAGCTCTTCATGACCAACGACAGGTCTCCGTCCTTCTCCGAGACTCGCCGGTTCCTCGATAGGAGATTAGACGAGGTTAAGACTGTCGGCGGTGCCGTTGGGGCGCTTGGCCAATGGGCCGGGTTCACCTTGTCGGCGGGCGTCAATGTTTTACGCAGCAAGGGGGTTGGTATATGAACCAACTTGTGCTTCTGCCAGGGCCGATTCATCTTCGCGCCAGGTGTACCATTTTGTACAATACTTTCAAGATAGCCACATAGACTCCTCCCATCCGGCGCTCTGGCCGCGTCTAAATAGGTGAGCCGTGGACTTTGGCATGCAACAGCACCCCTGATACAGTCAAAGTCCCTTTCGGTGCTCACCACATTGCTAGTACGGAGCGATGGACTCCGTCCCCTGTAATTCCAAAAGCACCCCACACTATGTTCTCATGTCAAAGTTCGCTGCCGAGGATCAGTCAAGCTAAGACGACTCTGTTAGCCTGTATGCTTAGTAAACCATATTCCGAGACAACATACCGGATTATCTTTACATCTTTGTCAAGCCTCGCTCGCCCTTCTATGGCATTCGGCGTGATCAGGATGTATTGCCTCGAAACAGATCGTCGAGCCGCGTCCACCTGCCACAGCCAGGCCATTAGCTCCAGGACAAGACATGCTCCTCTAAAAGGGCATCTCCACTTACCAGCATGTTGGTGCTAATGGCTCGATTAACATTGTCCATGAAAACATCAAACTCGTCCAGACATCGGATAGGTGAGCCGATCGCCTCCCACACGGAGAGAAGCATGCAGATGGACGAGAAGGATTTCTCGCCGCCGGATAGTGTCTTGGTGTTCCGGCCCGCAGAACTCTTCTTGGTCTCATCCGGCTCAATGTGGATGATCACCTTCCTTGCCCTATGGTCCAAGTCGATTTTCCCTCGAAAGCCGCGCTCGCTTAGGAGGTAATTGAACTGGATCCTGATCCGAGCGCTGATTTGTCTCTGAAACTGTCGCCAGAGATACAGACGACGCTCAATGGCTCGTTTTAGTGACGCAATGGTTTCGTCGACATCGCTCGTCTGCTTCATAACGTCGTCGTATCTGGTCTTGGACTCCCTCGCACGGTCGTAGATTTGCTGATCGGTTGCGCCCAGTCGAGCCTCGCGTTGCGCCAGCTGCTCCCCGATCTTCTCGTACTTCTTCTCAATACTCTTGTAGTCCTCTCCCTCGGGGATATGGACACGGCCGGGCGCAACGGTCTCGGCCTGGCGAATGAAATCCTGAACCTCCTCGGCCTTCTCCTCACGTTTCTCTTCTGCCCGCCGAAGCGCTGACTTCTCAATGTCAAGCCGTTCATAGGCGTCATTCTTCCTCGAGACGGCAATGCGCCTCATGGAATCGTGGGACTGGATCTTTTCATCCGCTTTGTTGATCTTGTTGTGAAACGTCCTGCCTTCGTCTCTCACTTTGTCGAGAAGCCGCTTGGCCTCCTCGGCTTTGGCGTTGAGGTCTCGTTTTGCCAACCTCATGTTACCGTATTGATTCCCAAGCTGTGATTCCTCGTTCCGTTTCGTTTCCAGTTGGGTTCGGAGGAGGACTAGGCGGTCATCAGCACCTTCAAAACCGTCGAGTTCCGACTGTATCCGCTCAATGTCGGCTTGCGTTCGACGAAGGTCATTGTCGAGTGTGCTCTGCTGCCTGCGATGGGACTCAAGCCCGGCCCTACATTGCTCGACTGCCTGTTGCGCTGTTCGTTCCTCGTTCCTCAGTTCCACAAATTCGAGTCCAAGCTGCTTCAGGTTCTCTTGCTGCAGCGCAAGTTGACGGGCCGAGTCTGACTGCATTCGTGGTCGCAACCCATTGGGTATAATCGGGCTCGTCCCTATTGTGCCCGATCGATTCGTGATTCGCAGGCCCTGGCCACGCTTCCCCTTGCCGTCGTGGAAGCAAATGCAGGCTGATACATTTCGAGGCGGACCGTGGTCGATCATCACGCGCTCGGCCTCCAAACGCTCCTTGACAAGGATGATTTTCTCGATTTGGTTGTTGATCACCAGTTGCGAGCGAATCAGAGGATCGTCAAACTCGAGAACCCGCGATATTGTGTCAAACTCTGGGTCGGGCTCTTGTCCTGTCGTATCGATTTGCCCTCCGTAGGCAATGTAGATGGGCGGCGGTTTTCTCATGCCCGTCTGCCGCATCATGCCTGAAAGGCGACTCTGATCACGTTTGCTTCTGACGACAAACGCGTTCAGACCATCACCCAGAGTCTTCTCGAGAATCCCCGACCATTCTGGCTTGAGAAGTTTGATGTGAGCTCCAAGAGGTCCAAGAGGTTTATCGTCAAAGCCCCGGTCGTTTTCGATGGCCTTCACAAGATTGATGATGTCCCGGTCGTAGCCGTCATAGACGGAGCCAGTACTCCTCTCAAGTTCCCGCACGCCGGATTCTGCGGTCAAGATGTCCCGTTTCTTGGATTCTCGAAGTTGCTGTTGCTTCTTCAGAACCTGCTCAGCCTCGGCAAGCTTGCTTCTCAAGGCAGGCAGTTGGTCGTTGCTCTCCATTCTCTTGTCTTTCAGGTTCGTCTCCTGAGCCAGCTCCCGGCCCAGCTCCGTCTCCTTCTGGATACGAGCAGAACCGGTGGATTCATCCAAGCGTTGTTCTTCCTCCCGAATCTTAGCTTCGCAGGCTTCAATTTCGGTCTTTGCAGTCTTGAGACGTCCGTAGGCGTCCCTCTCCTCTCGATGAAGCTCAGTCAAGTCCTTTTTTGCTGCATGAAAGGCGGCCTCGGCTGCGGCTGTCCTCTCTTCGAATGCTCCTTGCTCGTCGTTGAGGGCCTCGCGGTCTGCTTTCGCTCGCTCCAGCTTCCCTTCAATTTCATGGAGGGCCTTGGTCATCTGTTCGCAGTCGGTTTCAGCCTGCTGTATCCGATGTTCGCGAGTTTCTATGTCTGTGGCGCGGCGCTGCAGCTCCTGCTCCTGCTCTACAACCTGGGACCAGACGAGCTGTGTCCGGTACAGTCTTGCCTTCTCCCGAAGGGTGTTGTTCTTCTCCACTGTTTCGGCCAGGCGCTGCGCGTCCTCCATCTCTTTCTTGACGTATCCTATCTTCTCGTTGAGGTCGTCTCGGAGGATCAGCGTCTTGTCCAATGTGTCCTGAGACATCTTGTAGTCGTTGTCTAGCTGCTCAAGCTGGACTCCCGACACGAAGTACTTGTACTTTTGTGCGGGAGTGGCAGAGTTGAGGAATTGTCGTGCATTGTCTTGGGAGAGAACAGTCAGGGGGTTGCCCATCTGCAAGCCATACCACTCGGAAATCTCGTCCACCTCCTGTTTCTTGGTCGAGATAATGCGGTTGTTTTGGCTTTTGATCTTGAAACCGCTGCTGCCGGACTTTGAGAAGTGGCGTTCGACAATGATTGTGTCACCGTACACATCGTGTTGATAGGCATCAGTCCCGGCGTTCTTGATCCTCACGGTGAGACTGCCGTGCTCTTCGCCCTCTTTCACAAAGGACTTTAAGCTTCCGCCTCTGTTGGTGTCGCTCGCCTTACCACCAAGGCAAAGGGTCAAGGCCGTAAGGACGGCGCTCTTGCCACTTCCGTTCTCACCGACGATGAAATTGATCAGAGGCCCGAGCTCGACGTGTAGGCGTACATGGCACATGAAGTTGCAACAAGTGATACTCTCGATGATTCCGCTCTCGGCCACCATGTTCTCGCCAACGTTGGCTGGCCGTCGCTTGAGCTTCTGCGTCGCTTGCCAGTCATCTTGTTCAGGATTTTGCAGGTGTCGGAAACCGGCATCTCTCATCATTTCGTATTGGGTCTGGGGTGGCGCGTGTCCGCCTTCGGAGGCGTCGTCGTCCTCATCTTCGGAGCTCGACAGATCGTCATCGTCTGGTACCGAAGAGACTCCCCGAGTCGGTTCGTCAAGGGACAGTCGAGCTCGCTTGCGCTGGTTTCGCGCTAAGTCAGCCAAAGCGCTCCGGGCGAGGCAAGGTAGCACTTACCGACTGTGGATCGTTCACGAGAGATGCGCGCGCCTCCCTCGTGTCGACGACCTCCTCGGTGTCGCCATCGTCCGCCATATGACGATTTCGTTTCACGGGCGCCATGACCGTGGGCGCCGGCGGTCGCTCCCCGCCGCCAGCGACAGCGGCAGCCGCGGTACGTGCGAAACGTACTTGTATGATTGTGAGGCACTGGTCGACGGAAGCCTAGATCTGGGCAGAAGTCGTCTCATCGGGAATGGTGCGGGGTTCGGTTGGTGTTTTGTGTGCAGGGTGCTGCAAGCACCGTGATGCAGGTTGCGATACCAGGGACGCGTCGCGGAGAGGAAAGTCGACGCGTGCGTTAATGAGGCTTGCCCCGCTAGTGCGCCTTGCACCTGGGCAGTGAATGTCAAGTGGCCTCCTGTGGGTGGGGCGCCATCGTCGCCGCCTGCCTACCTACAGGCACCCTACCTTGCCTACGCACAGCATTGAGTGGAAGGTGCTTGGAGGAACATGAAGGATCCACCGCCACCTGGTCCCTGCTTGCCTGGCTGTTGGTGTGGAAGCTCCGAGCGCAAGTACCGTGGACAAAGTGGGCCCTTGCTTTTCAGCAATCCCGTCTCCGTGCCAGCAACTAACGTCAACTCATGTTCTTGGTGACTGGGATTGCAGCCTCACCTCACATCTCTGCCCCATTTGCTCAACCTGCCGGCCGGCGACTCTGCCTGTTAGAGCTCGATCCTCTAAGGCTGCATCTCCATGGTGTATGCGGCTCGACTCGAGACTCCGAAAATCTTGGATATCTTGAGGACCGCGGAAAGTGTGCACTCTCCGCCATTGCACGGCTGCCGTCCAAGTCCGTCATTACGCACATGAACCACCGGTTGTTGCCAGCCGCCTCTGGGATTGCAAATGGCGGACGGGAATGGCAACGCCGCACCTGGGAGCGATGATCAGAGGTCCGGCGATACTGGACCACAGTCGCATTTGCCTGACAACTCGGTCGAATACTGCATGTTCCTGCTTGAAGGACAGGTCGACGCACGCAGGACCCTGTCCAACCTGGAGTCTTTACGGAAGAGCGCCCTCGAACTCGCACAAACTTTGACGGCAGACTACATCTGGCAGCGCGATGACTTCAATCTTGAGCTCAAAATAACAGATGGTGCGTTACCCGCGACGAGGATACGCACGCGCTTAGGCCCAAATGCTGCTGTGGCTAACATAAGACCAAGGTCTGCGCTATCTCTACGGTGTCACGGAATATGGTGATGCCGTTGAGGATGAATGGCTAGTGGTTTACATCCTGCGAGAGTTGACCAGGCTTCACCCAACACTTTGGGCTCGAGCTGCCGACACCGACGGAGAGTTCCTTCTGATTGAGGCTGCCAACGTGTTGCCACCGTGGCTCGGCCCAGAAATGGACCAGAATCGGGTGTGGATGCACAAATCAAATCTTCTCGTCATCCCGACCGAGGACAAGCGCAGCGGCTCGTCGTCTTCGGGGAGTCTCCCGCTCCCCCAAGCGGTTGACTACATCACAAGCAAGCCCGACTCTCTGGTGCAATCGCCTTTCATCGAGGCCGAGGCTTTCTATCGACTGGAGAAATACCCAAGGCAGATTTCTCAGTCCGCCCATCATTCCATTATCACCATCCCGCGCAGGGTTGCCTACATCCTCCACGAGATGCCAAGATCGATTGCGCCTGCCGTGGAGGCTTTCTATCACCGCGACGCCATTGACCTGCGGTCGGTCATGGCAGCCCCAGAAACGCGGCGCTTCAAACCCGACGACATGGTTACGGTCAGCGTGCGGTTCAGCAGAGTTCTCTTCGCGCAGCTCAAATCGCAGCGCTTCGAGCCCCCACCTGGTTGGCAGCATGCCGTTGGAGCCGTGGCCGATAATGAAAGAAGCATGGCTAGGTTAGACATGGGAATGAAACTCACCTGTGGCTTCGAGATCCTCGCTCGCGATGCGGAGAAGAACGGAAGTCGCAGCGTGCGCCAGGTGGGGCTTCTGCTCGACGATCTTGAAGAGGACGGCGACGCTACACTGCCACAAGACAAGGAAATTGAGTCGTGGCACGACAATGAGCGCGAAGACGACGACTCCTGGATGGATATAAATTACGAGGATTTCGAGCGCGAGCTAAGCGGCCAACGAAAAGACGCAGTTCCTGGAGCCACAGACACCGGGTTTGGCAGCGCTCAGACCAAGGCAGACCTGAGAAAGATTGTTTCGCGGTTCGAATCTTTCCTAAATGACGAACGAGCTGGTTTGGATGGCGCGGAAATTGATGACGTGGATGACTCGCGCGACGAAGACGGGGACGACGACGACGACGAGCTGAGTGAGGAGGACAGTGAGTTCGAAGACAAGGAGGTTGGTTTCGACGAGGAGGCATTTTCAAATATCATGCGGGAAATGATGGGAATGCCCGCCAATGTTGCCCGGCCGGCCAATGCAGGCGATTCCTCAAAGACTGTGAGCCAGCCTCCGTCTGGCTCGACAGCAGGTGCTGGCGAAGGCGAGCTCGGCATTGAGGAGCTGTCGGCGCAGATGGAGGCCGAACTGAGGGGGCATGGAGCGCTGAGGCTCGACACAAACACCGACAAGCGCATCACCACCGGCGGCAAAGGCAAGGATGTCGACGGCGGCGATCATGAGCCTGACCAGGAAGCGAGCGAGGACAGCGACGGAGAGATCGACGTGGACTACAACCTGGCACGAAACCTGCTGGAGAGCTTCAAGGGCCAGGCTGGAGCCTCCGGGCCAGCCGGCAACATCATGGGCTTGATGGGCCTCCAACTTCCCAGGGACGAAGGCGACTTTGACGACCAAAGATAGGACTTGAAGTGAATTCTCTTTGGACGAATCGCCCGGGTCTCTTGCGCCTTATGCTGTACACCGTTTCTATGTGAACAAAAGCACGGCTCTTTACGACTCTGCGACCCTCTCGCCTCTGTCATTGACATTTCATCCGTCGCCAGCCTCACCATTGTCCGGCTTCTGCCGCTTGACCGGATACACATCGTCGTCATAAAGCTGCCGCCATACGACTCCCCTATCGTCCATGCTATCGAGCCTCCGAAGAGCCTGAGTCAGCCTCTTTCTGGCAGGCATTTCCCTGTCATCGCTGTCACTCTGCCTCCGGCAGTACTCCCTTACTATGGCAACGACCGCATGGTGGCATTCATAGAGGAGGCGGCGGACTTCAATATGCGCTGCATCATCCAAGAGACCGCCGTGGTGAGGACTTGTAGTGGCACTAAGTCGCTCAGCCATCACAGGCATGAAGCCAGACCAAATCTTGGGGGTAGCGTTCCTGCTGAGAACCGACGCGAACAAGGGATCCCCGAAGACGCTGTTACCTAGGCCACGAATACCGGTCACCACGAACGACGCAGACACCCGCCCTTGTCCGACCTTGGCTTGCTGGGATGCGCTGTCAGAATCAGAAGCCTCTTCGCCGTTGGGGCCTGCCGTGGGAGACGCCAATTGCCTCGCTTTAAGCAAAGAGTCATCGGGTCCATGCATGTCGCACCACCGACCGGCAATGTCCACTTCGCTCCCAACCGGGGTGACAAGGGTAAGTTGTTCTTCACCGGCATCGACTACAACCAAGCGCGGCATCGACACGGCATCTAGAAAGTGCTTGAATCGATTCACGTGGTCCCTGACTGCCTCGTATCGAATCGCGACCTTGAAGTCCTCGGCATCGCGAAGAGCCGACTCCAGGAGAGAAATGAAGGCATCGGACCATTTCTCATAACACGAATCTCGATCTGGCGTTGAAGCTCTCTCCCCCACGCGGCCGGCGCTTTCGTCGCCTGATCGCGGCGATAAAATAGCGAGTGCGGTGCCGAACTTGCCATTGGGAGAGACTTGAGATGACAAGTGCCGCAGGAGGCGTCCAGTCTGGAGATCGAGGTCGTCTTGCTGGGCCGTGTCGAGTGAAACCCCCAGCGCTGCCCTAGGCATGCCTGGGGCCGGCCTAGTGATGATGTACTCGCCTTGAGCAAGATGCCTTGCCGTCCCATGCCCCATGAGCTGAGGCAGAAAGGACAGCAGCCTGCCCGAGGTGCAATTGCATGTCCAATAGTTTGCGCCGCAGTCGCTACAATCCCCCCGATCTGGCTTCGACTGGTCCAATATGTTGGCTGGTGTCGATGCGTTGCCGGCGCCAGATCTGGCCAGCCATTGCAAGAGGGCAACCTCTGACCTCATGGCGGAACGCTCAGATCGCAAGAGCCTCGCCACTCGAGGCGTGAAGGACAACATCAAAGCGGCTCCATCAAGTGCGGCTTCCGCGCGGTAATGCAGGTAGGGCCCTGCGGTCGGGACGAGTTCGAGTGTTTTAGGGACTGTCTCGGGGATCACGGAGGCGAGAAGATCTTGGATGCCCTCTGCCGGCAGTGACTGACCGTCCATGGATATGGCGGCGTGGGTGCGGGCTGCCAGCACGAGCCCGCGGTGTGCGACGTCGCGGCGGTCCTGGAGGCGGAGAAAGGCAGCCGACGGGCACAGACAGTCCACCATAGCTGGAGAGGGCCGGCGGCGAAGGCTGGCGTGAGCACAACAGACGCTCAGAAGGCGAGAAAGAGGAGCGAGCTGGACCTATGGTGGCCGGGCACGAGTGTTTCGGGAACGGGTAAAGGACTAGTCGGTGGAGCGTCATAGAGGAGGCGGGACGAGGCCGAGGGTGCTGGTCACGTTCGACTATAAGTAGTACGGCCTTGGGCCAGATGCGAGGCCGGGCAGCGGTATAGATGGAGCTTACCGCCTCTTCAGGTGACCGGGAAGAGCCGTCGTCTCGACAAAGTGCTACGGGGATTGTGATGTTGATATGGGGTCGGCTGGGCCACGACAAGGGTGGCGTTGGTCGGTCAGATGTTGACGAAGAAACTCCAACGGCGCTGTGCCTCGACCGGAAATGACGGGCAGCGAGCGGGCGACTTGTCACGAAGCGCTTCCGAGCTCCCTTGTGCCGGCATGCATGGGACGCAATGGGGAGGGGGACCCGACGCGGCCAGGGAGGCGACGGAAGGCGGTGCAGAGGGACGAGGGGTAGGAAACGTAGGTCCAAGTGCGAGCAGGTGCTAAGAGGCGCACGCCCTGGCCACGGCCCTTTTGGTTGCAGGACGGGGCGATTGGCGAGCAACGCGCTCGAGTGGGTGTTCGCTGACGATGGGCCGCGTGCCTGAACAAGACGGCCAGTCGATGGTCACAGGAGCCAAGCAACGATGAAGAAGCGCACGGAGAAGCTGGCTTGGGCCGCGGAACCTGCAACGAAACCGGGGCCGATGGGGGTGGACGGGGAGAAGAGATGGAGGGCGGGAAAGCCCCCCTTGGGAGGGGGGTGTCTGTACAACTGCGCCGGAGTTGACTGGCCCGGACTGCAAAACGACGCCGGCCGATGCCGCGATCTCGGGACGACGCTGCTCGGCGGAGGAGCCAAGTCTGCGTTGCTACGTTGGCGTGCCAGCGGCGTGGCGAGTGAGAGGTGGAAGGAAGCGAGTGTGCCTCTTTCGGGCGCGACGACGGCGACGACGATGATGGGACGCGTTGAGGGTCGTTCTGGTTCGAGTGGCTGTCCAAGACGCATGCTCGAGTACGGAGAGGTGTCTCGCGAGCGAGGCTCGGCCGCAACAGACTGAAGGACGCAAGAAATGGACGGCCCTTCCGCGACGGCGGAGAGCATCTACTCGGGCAATAACTAAGTTGGGCCGGGCCGACACCCCGGCTCCTCAGGGTGAGCGAGTGCCGCAAACGGGCGCGGAGCCTTCAAGTCAAGTCAGGTCAGGTCATGTCGGGTCAGGTCAGGGACAGTAACTCGGCAGCGGGAGGGGACATGGGGTAAGGTAGGTGAGGTGAGCCTACGCGCCCACTGCTACTGAGTGGTCTGTCACCTCATGCGACGCCAGAGTCGCTGGGCGATGCTGGCAATTGGGCCGGGACAAGCGAGTTTCATGATGCCCAGTGTGGAGGGCCGAGCCGGAGCCGTGGCAGGGCTGAGGAAGCTTCCGTTAGACTGGGGTGGTCAAGTAACAGCAACAAGGGCAGGCGATCAGGCCAGGACAGGCCAGGGCGGGACGGCGGCGGCGGCATGTCAGCGGCGCATCTCATGGCCCGGGGGCCTGGCGACGATTACTCGCACGTCTGTACATGACATGACCGTTAGTTGAGGTAGTTAGTTACCTTGGCTGTCTGTCCGCTGCGCCATGGCCGCCGGTTGGCCGTCTTGGCCGAGCCGAGTCCCATTCCCCAGGCATGTCGCAGAATCAGTCTTGCTTGGTAGTCGCTAGGTGATGTATTAGTAGGCCTTGTCGAGGCCGCCGACCCATCTCGACGCTTGATACAAAGCCGTGGCGCCGGTGCAAAAGTCGGCGGCGGCCCCTTCTCCTGCCCCATGGACGTGCCATCGTGGGTACTGTAAGCCCTGTCTCTTATACACATCTAGATGTGTATAAGAGACAGGGCGAGAGGGCTGGTGCTGATGCCGGGTAAGAGAGGAGCACGACAAGCGAGCGTGCCCCATGGCGGCGGCGGCCAGCGCCAGCAGCAGCAGACGCGATCACGTAGGAAAGAGGGACGAAAGCAAGGCAGCAAACGGCAGAGAGACCAGCACGTAGGTACCTCGTCATCTCTTGTCATCTCCGACAGCTTGCCTTGCCTTGCCTTGGCTTGCCGCAGCTTGGGCCGGGCGAGAAGCAACATCTTGCGCATCCCATTGTAGTAGGCGTCGGCCGAGTTGGCTAGGAAAACCCCCCCGAAAAAAAAGAAAACCCGACGTGTTACATGCTGCAAGCTGCGGCGGGCTTCTCTCCCCCCCTCGGAGGCTTTTTCCCCCCCTGCGATGGGAAGGGCCGTCGTTGCCTTCGTTTCGTTGTTCGCTCGCTCGTTCGTCGTCGTCGATTCGAGGGGGGGAGACAGGGCGTGGTTGCTTGGGCCCGGTCGTGATTGGGCCCCATAAGCGAGCATGCGGCGGCTGCATTCCGCGTCCCGCAAACTGGTGGAGCCGCCCCTTGTGGCTTTTGCAAGTTGCAACATGGATTGGTGACGGATGATGGGATCACCACGGGAAACCCCCACGCCCGTCCCGGCCGGTCAGGTACAAGCAAGCTCATACGCCGCACGTAGCTGCATGGATGTAGGTACGGAAACATCCAACGTTGGTGCTCAGTCAAGTCAGCACTGCCGCTAGAACAATGGAAGAAGGCGAGGGGGCGTTGCTGTATAAAGAAGGCGACGCAGTGAGAACACGGCACTTTGGCCAAGGAAGGCGCCAGCGTCATCATGTCTTGTCACTGGCTTGCCTCGCCTTGCACACAGGCCATTATAGCCACATACGAAGCAAGTCAGGACCTCTCTGATTCCACTCTTGGGCGTCCGGCCGTTCAAGACGACGAAACTAACGACGACGACGTTGATGACGGCGCCTCCTCCTCCCTTCGTCCCTCCCCCTCCCCTTCCTGTCTCGTCCGTGGTCACCATCATCGCCACCGCCGTCGACTGCATCGCCCATCAAACGCCAGACAACCCTACATACGGTCGGATTTGTGCTTCCTCGTGTCGGGTGCCCCATCTGCTTCGCCGATGCGCGCGGGTCCGCGGCCCGGCAGTCGCTGTACCTCGCCCCCTCCGCACATACATGCACGCGATACATCGTCCACGACACGAGAGAGAGAGAGAGAAAGACTTCGCGCTCGCCTTCGTGTCCCCCCGCGTTCCACCCTGCCAAGCCGCGCCCCTTTTTCGAAATCGGACCATGATCTCGGAGGGCCTCACCGCCACTGCTGTTGCTGCTGTTGCTCCTGCCGCAGCCGCCTCGTCTCCCGTCCTCATGTGTCGCACATTGGCGCCCGTCCACCTCCCGCGCCGGGTCAGGCCCTGTTTTTTTCTTCTCCGTTTTCGCGACCGTCGTCATGGGCGCTCGCTGTTGTGACGAGCATCAGCCCTTTCCCGGCCGCACGCCGGTTTCGTTTGTGCCACCGTGGCGCCGGCATATGCATACGTCACGTCGTCGGAGACTTTGCTGTCTCGTAACTCGCTGCCGCGCTCTGAGCATGCCTGGCCTGGTTGGTTGGCCCTTGGTGCCGGAATGGAATCGTCCCAAAACCGCGCTTTGCAGTGCCTAGTACTGTATCGCGACCGCTCCCCCTCTCCGCCAAAATGGCGGTGGGCCGTTACGATGATGTCGTGGGCGGCTCAGTTGTCGGAGCCGCAGGCGGCCCTCCCGCGGCGGCCTTCTCGTCGGCCGTCATGCCGTAGAGCGCGTTGACGTTGTATCGCTTGAGAGTCTCCCACTCTTTCCCGTCCACGACCGAGATACCGCAGAAGAGCTGGCAATCCGTAGTTAGTAAAACGGCGGCTCGCCCCCTGAGCACGGCCGACGTACCTGGAAAATCTCAACCAGGATGACCTTGTCCGGATTTCCGAGGTTGACCTTGTGCCGCACATCAACAAGGCTCGCGATGCTCTTGATGACTTCGTCCGACTTGAAGGTGGTGTGATTTCGGATGTTGTGCCGGATGGCGTACTTAGGGGGTCAATGTCAGTCTCCGCATGACACCGTTCCCATCGGAACAAGGGTTCCCTACCGTGCAAGCTGTCCCATCGCTCTCCGCTTGGGGCGCTTGGGTTGCTCCGTCACCCTCCTCAGGAGTGAGCGTGAAGAAGGGCGCTAGGACTGACCTCGCCACCCTGACGATGCCCTTCTCCGTCGCCTTGTCTGTGTTGAACACGGGGGTGAGGCGGTTGATGTATTTGACTTTTCGCTGCCTGGGGTCCGGGCAGTCTCTGGCATCCCGGCAGATCTTGAGCACGAACTCGCCCGGCTGTACCGGCTCCATCGTCTTCATGAAGAAGAGGCACTCGATGCCCGCCGATACGGGCGAGAAGATCTGCCTCACCTTGGGCTTGTTGTCGTCGCCCTTGATGGCGTCGAGCTCTTTCTGGATGGAGGCCTCGATGTCCTCCTCGGCGTCGGTCTCCTCGTCCGCCTCTGCCGCGCGCGGCGGCTTGATGTCGTACAGCGTCTCGCCATACTGGGTGCCACCGCCTGGTCAGCCCTGTCGGGGGAATAGCCATGTGGCAAGAGCCGCTCTTGAGGGGCCGCTCACCTCTTCGCAGAGCTGCTTGAACTCTCGCATCGCCTTGGCTCTCATGCCCCTGGCGAATGTGACCCAGATGCCTTCGTCGCCGACGTCCAGCGCGGCGCCCACGTCGACCTTTTCACTCATCTTGGCATTTTGGTGCGGCGTCTTCCACCTGCCCGAGCTGCCGCCCTGGAAACAATTCCCTGTCAGCATATGAATGCTTACAATGTGCAGCCACCTTTGAGTGCGAGACTCCATCTCACAATGCGTGTGTGACTTACCTTGCTTCGTTTGTACGAAGACCGGCTGCCGTCGCCGCCACCAGACTGTTGCTTCCGCTTCCGATCGCCGTCGCCCATCGTTGCAGAAATATCCCCAATAAGATCGCAGCACAGACAATAGAACAGAAAAGTGACTTGGCTTTTCTCGCTCGTCGATTGAGATGATATTCCAGTGGCGTAGGTGAGTATGCGAGCTCATAAAAGTGGCTTCCAGTGTTCCACCAAATGGGAATAATTTTGCAGGCTTATTTCGTTGGCCGATCTAGCATACCCTAGAGCGGCTGCTACTCCACGTGGCTCAGGTGACATTCATTTCCGGGCCGGCGCCCCCTCCCAAGTCTTTGACAACGCTCACGCCGTCACGTTCAATTTGCTTTCTAGGCTTCAATTTGGTTCATTATTTTATTGATTTCGCTCTCAACCACAATAGACACCATACGTTTGCGCCTTCTAGTCCACCGTTTGTACCATTCCCCTCAAGTTCCACGCGATCAGGTTACTTCTATGCCGTCTTCGCGTTGTTCCTCGCGCTCGCCTCGGCCGTCATGATCAGGGCCCGGGGCGCATCCTCCTTGGGCATGTGCACCTCAATGAGCTGCAGGCAATTGCCGGCGTTGAACTCGGCGTTGGTGAGCAGCTTGTTCAGCTCATCCTTCGTCCGAACGGCGAACTTCTTGGACGTCTTGGCCCCGCCAAAGACGTCGACGAGGGCCTGGTGGTCCCAGGTCTGGATGTCGTTGTACTCGGCCTCCATGCCGTGGATGAAACGCTCGATGGTGTATCCCTCGTTGCAAAGAATGAACCTGTCAAGGTGTCGGTCAGTCACAGATTTCGCGTGGTGAACGAACCAAATCACACAGCCACATACAGGAAAGGTTTCAGTCCGTGACGGATCATGGTGCTTAGCTCCTGGGCCGTGAGCTGGAAGGAGCCGTCACCCACAAAGAGGACGGTTCGGCGCTTGGCGCCCATATCCTGCGCGGCGAGAGCGGCACCCTGGCAGGCTCCGACGGACCAGCCAATGCTGCCCCAAAGAACCTGGCTGAGCGCCGTGACGCCCTTGGGGAACTTGGTGTCCCAGATGCCGAAGTTGGCGGTGCCGGTTTCCGTGACGACGATGTCGTTCTCGGCAAGGAACTCGCCGACGCGAGGCCAGAACCAGGCCTGCGAGATGACGTCGGTCTTGTCGACGTTCTTGCGGACCTCATTGTCCACCTTGGGGGACGGCTGCACGGAGAGCTGCTTCACGTCGAGGCGGTCGATGACTTTGCGCAGGACGCCCTTCATGCGAACGCCCGGGTACGTCGAGTAGCGGACGATGCAGTGGTCGCTGTGGAAGTCAATTGTCTGCATCTGCGACGTCCGGTAGGAGAAGCCGGCCGTGTTGAAGTCGCTCTGGGAACCGGGTGTGGTCAGCCAACCTGCAATCAAGAACGAGGGAATGCGATTCGGAGAGACAGGGGTGGCCGGTGCCAACAACTGGTCGCAGGACGGGGCGGGCTTACCTTGAGCGCGCCAATGCTGAGAATGAGGTCCGAGGCCTCGAGCGTCTTCTTGACTTCGGGGTTGGAGCCCTCTCCGGCGTAGACGCCGCCGTAGTTGGGGTGCTGCTCGTTGACGGCGCTCTTGCCCATGGGGGTGACGAAGACGGGAAGGTTCGTCTTCTCGATGAGGTCGTGCACCTCCTGGAGGACGCGGTGGCGGATGGCGCAGGCATCGACGAGGATGACGGGGCGCTCGGCGGCGTGGAGGTACTTGAGGACGACGTCGACAACGTAGTCCTCGCGCTCGGGCTCGTTGGCGGGCTCGGTCAGGTCGATGGGGGTCTGGAGCCTCTCGCCCTCGACCTTGGCCTCGATCATGTCTGTGGGCAGCATGACGTAGACGGGTCGGGAGTGAACCCAGCACTCGCGCAGTGCCTGGTCGATCTGGGCGGCGATGTCGGAGGGGTTGGTGAGGCGGGCGACGTTGCATGAGATGTTTGCGCTCATGTTGGCGAAGACGTTGAAGTCGCCGTTGCCGAGGGTGTGGTGCAGAAGCATGCCGTTGCGCTGAGAGATGGTGGAGGGGCAGCCGACGATGTGGACGATGGGGATGTGCTCGGAAAAGGCGCCGGCGACGCCATTGATGGCCGAGAGCTCACCGACGCCAAAGGTGGTGATGAGGGCGGCCATGCGGTTGTTTACGCGGGCATAGCCGTCGGCGGCGTAGGCTTTGGACTCGGGTGTCAGGGCCACGCGGAATCGCATCGTACGATGTGAGGACAAGGACTATCAAGACAACGTACCGGCATTGAGCTCGTTGACGCTGCCCACCCAGCGCAGGCCGCAGCCGGGCAGGTAGTCGAGGGCGACGAGGTTGTAGTCGCCGGGCAGGCCGTGGACGGAGCGGACGCCGACCTGGTGCAGGCGGCGGAAGAGGTACTCGGCGACGGCAATGGGCTGCCGGAGGCTCTGGACGCGCAGGTCTGTCATGATGGCGGCGGAGGGGTTGCCCTTGTAAGTGAGAGATGACGGCCAGCTGCTGCTGTTGCTTCACGGACGAGCTGTCGAAGCTGGCTGACTCGACACGGAGGAGGACGAGTGATTACGGTACAGACGGTTAGGTCGAGGCGGGGGAAGAGGAGGACGAGGAGGACGAGGTGGAGGGAACGACCGACGTGCGTGCCTTCCTGCCAGAAGGTGCGAGGGAGAATGGTAAAATACGAAGCAGCAAAACAGCCGACCGGACCTGGAAAAATTCACACAAAAAACGGACCATGCGAGCAGGAAGCAAGCTCGAGCAGGGCAGGCAGGCAGACAAGGCAAGCAACCCACCCAGCTCGCCTCGTCGGCCTATCTGTCGAGCCTCACGGTCGATTAACGTTTCGCACCAGTGATGTAATTGATGGAAGATGGGCGCTGGTGAGTCGCTGACGGCGGGCGGGACGCATCCGGCTCGGGCGGACCCACCGGCCGTCCACCCTCCTTAGGTCACTTACACTGGAACAAGGACAGCCCAGCCCAGCTGCCAGCCAAGCCCAGCGACCGCCGCCGTCGCCGCCGCCGCCGCCCCGCCCGGTGGTGGCCCGGATCAGCCGGCTCGCCTCCTTGCGCCTCGCACCGCGCGTGGTGGACTGATCACGTTACGGGCCAGCCCGCCGGTCCACGCATGATGTGACGAGTGCCATGATGGGCCGCCCGCCGCCCGAGCGCGCAGCGTGCTTTGCGTGCTTCGCGCCATGCGCAATCGTGTGATGTGCCTTGCTGTGGCGGGGCCCAGCGCCCGTCTTGTCGGCCTTGTTGTCATGACTCTTTTTTTTTGCGGCAGGGGCCGTGTCGTATGTAATATCTTGTCGTCTGGTCCCCGGCGCCGTCGCCGGCCCTCGCCCGATCCTCGCCGGCATCCTCGCCGCCGCCGACCCTCACCGAGGCATTTTCACAGTTAATCTATATTTGTTCTTGGCCGATCTATATGCCCCTAGTCGTACATACCCGTACATGCGTGCCTTCCTTTAATGTACAGCGTCTCCAGAGCAGCGAGGACAAGGAATAAAAGGGGCAGAACCAAAAAACAGAGTTTCGCCCGTAAACGTGGTTGACAGGAGATGTTCCCGGTGTCCGTCCGCCTCCCCCACTCCCTCCGACATCTCACCTACCCATGAGCCAAGAGGGCCTGCAACCACCAGACGCCACTCACCCGTCCACTCACACCGGGCCGTCGCTTATCGTCAGCCTGGATAGCCTATATGGCCGGGGACCCAAGAGCAGCAGGCAGGCAATCGCTTTGCAAGGCCAACAAAAAAATCGGCCGGCCCATCATCAGTCGCAGCGCCCGTCCTTCCAGCCCGTGCGCCACCGCTCTTCCCACTTGGAGCAGTCAAACTCGGGCTTGCTGAGCTTGCGGTTGACCTCGTTGTGCGCGCCGCACAGCCACATGCCAAACTCACCCCGGCTGCCCACGCGCGGCGCCTCGCGGCCCATGTACGTCTGGAAGTCCTCGGCGCACACCCAGCACGGGTACAGCTTGGAGAAGAGCTTGACGAAGCTCAACAGGTCCGACTGTTGCCCGCGCGAGGGCTTCTCCGGATACGTCGCCGCGATCGAGTGCAGCAGCGTCCACGAGCTGCGCCCAAGCACCTCCACGTCCGGAGGACAGTCGGCCGGCGGGCCGGACGGGGCTGACGTTGCTGCTGCTGCTGCTGTTGCCGACCCTGACCCTGACCCTGACCCTGCCGTTGCTGCGGACCTGGCCGGCCCCGTCGTGGGAGCGGCCGCCGCTGTCGTGTTGCCACTGCTGGTACTGCTATCATCGTGCTTGACCCATGCCTTGGCCTGCGCCGTCCAAGCGGTGAAGGACGTGCAACTCCGGCAGCTATGCGCGCATCCTCGGTGTATCAGCCTCGGCGTCCGATCCGACCGCTGCCGACGCAAGGGGGCGACGGGTCCAGGGGCGATAGGGATTTTTACTCACGGCTTGCCATCCTTGCCGAGCACGACGCCCGGAGGATACTTCCTGGGCTGCTCGGCAGCCGAGCCCGCCACCGCCGTCGGCACATCTGCCTCTCTCGCGTCGTCCGCCATCGCCAACGCCACTGCGACCGCTACAGCTCGCGGAGATTCGGTGCGAACTCTGGTTCACCGCGCAGGCCCGTATCAGGTGACAAGGAGAGCACGTATTCCGGCGCCGAAGAGAGTAAAGTGAGGCGCTGATGAAGACGGCAAGGCGAGGCGATGCGATGCAAGATATGGCTGCGAGGTGAAAGAAAGTCGGCCAGCCATTTGTCAGACGAAAGTGAGTGAGAGCCAGGGTCGGCATGCAGAACGCATCCAGCGGCATCTTATCGATAGGCACTGCGCCGCGTCCCAAGACCTGCAAAAGTACAGTGGGGACAATTTAATTTCGAAACAGTCGCCACCACCACCACCACCACCGCCGCCCGCCGCCATGTTCCTTGAGACGCTACTCGCTCGGCCCGGCTTCCTCAACGACGACAAGACCACAGAGGGCGAACACGCCTCGGCACTCGCCCGAAGCCCCCTGCCCCTCTCCAAGCCGCCATGACGTCCCCCGACGCGGGCAGTCGCCGGACGATTCCTGTACTGCTCCTCAAGACCAAGTCAACCCCCGGAGACTCCTACCAGGAGCTCTTGTCAACCGCGCACCGCGGGCCAGCCCACGACCTCGCCTTCTCTCCACGCTTCGTGCCCGTGCTGCTGCACCGCTTCGCCGACAAGGGCACCGGCAGGCTCCGTGACCTGCTCAAGAGGGGGCGCATAGGGCATTCTCCTGGATGCGACTATGGCGGACTCATCTTCACATCGCAGCGGGCTGTCGAGGCCTTTGCGCAGGTGGTGCAGGATGGGAGAGGTGCGTACATTGACGGCTCTAATTCGGCCCCCGTGGGTCTATATGTTACATACTGACGACATGTCTCCAACTGGCGCAGATGGAGATTCTAGCTGGCCGCATCTGCAAGACGTTCCCATATATAGCGTCGGCCCCGCCACGACCCGCGCCTTGAAAGCCGTCGCCCAAGTGCCTGGCCTGCAGATATTCGGCGAGCACACGGGTAACGGCGAGGCCCTCGCCCATTTCATGCTGCAACATTACGGTGAATGGTATCGCGACCGCCCCACGCGCCCCCCTCTGCTGTTCCTCGTCGGCGAGCAGCGCCGCGACATCATCGCTCGAACCCTCATGAACCCATCCCTCGACGCCGCCGATAGGATACAGGTCGATGAAGAAGTTGTATATGGGACCGGCGTCATGGAATCCTTCCCGGAAGACTTTGCTACAGTGCTGAGCGCCACCCATGACTCGCCGTCGAGATGGGTCGTTGTCTTCTCCCCAACGGGATGCGACAGTATGCTCCGAGGCCTCGGCATGCTTGACGAGACAACCGGCAAAGCCAGCAAGGTCCGAGAAGACCGAGGCACCTACATTGCGACCATTGGGCCAACAACAAGGACGCATCTGGTCGAGTCCTTTGGCTTTGAGCCACATGTCTGCGCCGAGACCCCGTCTCCGGAAGGCGTGCTGCAGGGAATAGTGGAGTTCGAATCGAGAAGGCAGCAGTCTGCCGGTTGACTGCCCCTGCAGATGATGCCGATGTTGATGAGCACGCCTCATTCGGTGTGAGGTGGCGGAGCATGCCCGGCGTTACGTCTGCCCCGGATGCCATATTCCTCGAATTACCCCATGTGCTGCCACGCCCGCAACCCGCTTGTGCCAAACACGCAGTGCCTGATTGCCCCAGTTAAGACATATGCGATTTTGCCGTACCGTGACGCCTGAAGTCAAGTCCGCATGTCGTAGGAAATGGTCGTATCACTTCCCGCTTGCGCAGAGAGTATAGAGGTTGCCCCTGTCGAGTTCAAGGACCTCGAGTCAGCTTGAGCTACACTGAACGCTTCAAGCTCCCAGAACCCAGAGCTCGACGCCCAGCACGCCAAACTTTTCGCCAGCGTCGCTCAAGGGCTCGTTGCCAAAGGTCTCACAGCGAGCGCTGTGGCCAACGTCTAGCGAGTCATCGAGCCACAGGCCGTAGTGGCCCCCGCCCGAACCGACGCTGAGGAAACCCGTCTCGCAGTTCATGTAGCAGTCGTTGAGGCCACTGTACGGGAAAGCCTTGAAGCGTATCGACTCGCTGGGCGTTGAAGCGCCACTGCCGGCTGCGGAATCTGGTCGGGGCGGCGGGGCCAGTGTCGTGTGCCGGGTGAGATTGGTCGTGTCCGCCGAGGGAGGCGGCGGTAGGGAAGCGAGGGTGGAAGCTCGCCACAGGAAGCACTCGCCGTTGCCAAAGTATGACGGCGCTGGGTGAGGGTACTCAGAGAGGTACCCGCCAAAAACCTATCGAGGGACGCAAGGCCCTTTGGTCAGTCCTGCGGAGAGAACGGCACTGCGCGTCGTGGAGGATAACTTACCCCGCCTTCCTGGTCCTTTACAACGAGAACAAACCCAACTCTCCGGCGCTCGTACTGTCTGCATTTCTGGTAGAGCGTGGCCAAGCTAGCGCCGTCCTGCTCCAGGCTGTAAACGAGGTGCCAGTCCTCGACAATTCGCAGCCGCTCCGGCACCATGGCCCGGATCTCCTCTGCCACGGCGTTGGTCAGCAGCCGGGCGGAGGTCGGCGTGCTGTCGCGGTAGCCATGCAGCACGAGGGGTTCGAGGGGCGGGGGGCGGAACGGGCTGGCTCGTCGCACCGCAGGCTGGAAGACGCCGTTGACGCCGTCCTTGTGGTGGTGGTGGTCGTGCTCCGCGTGCCCGTGGTGGGAGTGCCGGAGCGACCCGTCGAGCTGGCTGCCGAATTGGCCGTCCTCGGAGGAGAAGCGGCGTATCAGGCCCGTCCACATGCTGCCCAGGTACGACGACGACGTGGGCGACGAGGGCGCGGGCGATGACGCGACGCTGTCGTGCTCGGCAATGGGGAACGTAGCGGACGAATGCGTGGCCGGGGTTCTGGCTGCCGACGCAGGTTCAGAGACCGGGAGTGCCTCGTCGGCGGCCTTGTTGGAGGAGGACGGGGGAGGAGGAGGAGGTGCTGGCGGTGAGGGTGAGTCGCTCATGGGGAGTGTTGGCGGCGTGACAGCTGGTTCGGGGAGCCTAATGGGAAGCCCAAGACAACTGATTCGGGTCGACAAGGTTTCGGCACCATGCGCGGTGTGCACGAACTCGCAAAAGAGCTTGCTATGAGAGTTGATGGGGCTAGCGATAAGACGAAGCGTGGATGTGCAGGTCTCTGAAGAATCCGGACACGACGGCTGCCATGGACGACGTGGGCTGGCAAGCAAGCAAGCGAGGCGAGGTACCTGGGGCGGCAGCTCGGTTCAGTGCCACCTGGCGGGCACGAGCACAGCGAGGTGAGGTGGCCCTTGCCGCTGGGTTGACGTCGTTCCAGCGGGGGGGCCGGATAGCCCTGTTTGTGGATCGCTGCCCAGCTGCTAGGCCAAGCATGGTAGCCACCTTGCCGTGTCGGCCGTTCGAGCCGCCTGTAAGGTAGGTCCCCAAGCCCGCCTCACCGGCCGGAGAACGGTGGCGGACCTCCCTTGCGCAGCCTTTGGGCTTGCCGAAACCGTCCGTTGGTCACGAGGACCGAGAAGCCTATTCACTTTCAACGGTTCCGCGTCCAAAACGGCCTGACAGTGCCCGGAACAGATTAACTTTGGTTCCTTGAGTCTGCTCGCTACAGCTGCCTGACCTTGATTGATGGTGGGCTGTGAACAATAAACACAGCAAAAGACAGTCGCGGCACGTTTCCATGAGCCTGCAGATGTTGGGACGGCGCCCTGTGGCGCCTCGCCAGCTTCATCCCACGCGGGGCGCCGCCCACGCCGCCGTTACGAGGCATGTGAGAGAGGGTTCCGGTTCTGTGGCAGGCCAACACGTTCACCACAACAGTCACTCACGACACGCAATGGTCTGCGCGGCGCAATGCACCGCAAGGTGTGCAACAGGACTAGACAAATAACCAAGAGACGAACTGATAGAAGAGAGGGCGAGATGTGAGATGTGGCCCGCATAGTCATCCGCTCTCCCGCTAACGCTTCTCCGCCCTCTCCCGTCGCTGCAGGGCAAGGTGCATACGTGATCGTGGCCAGTGCAGCATTCGCCAAAACTGCGCAAGGCTGCGATCTCATCATTCAATTCCAGCATGGTCTTTATATCCTGGCATACGAGGCTTGCTCGTAGGCCCTCGTCGGTCTACTTCAGAGCACCCTTGCGGCGCCTTGGCGCTGGCCCCGGGTCGTACGAGCCGTCCGCAGCACCGAACGCTGTCGGCCTATCCCCGTCCTCTAGCCACCTCTTGAAAGCCCTTACCGCATGATCTCTTCATAGATGAGCTGTTTCAGCTGTTCTTTGCTCAGGTTATCCTTGTGCTTGTCAAAGTCAAAGAATTCCTCTGGGATTGGCGGCGCGGTAGGCTCGTCTTCGGGGTCATGATACGGCTCGAGATACGGGTGTTTCAGAGCCTCCTCCACCGTGATGCGCTTCACGGGGTTGAAAGCCAGGAGCTTCTCCAGCAGGTCGAGCGCCAGGTCTGACGTCTTGGGGAATAGCGTTCGGAATGGCACCTTCTTCTTGAAGGGCAGCGACCGGATGTATTCGCGGGCCCGGCGGGACTTGATGCCATAGTAGTCCTCCATCGTCGGCGTGCCCAGAACATCCAGGATGAGCGTGAGCTGATGGTGATCTGCAGCGCGGTCAGTCAGACATCCGCCGCCCCCATGCATTGCTTGTTCCTCTGGCTGTAGAGGCACTCACAGTCCTTGCCCGGGAAGAGCGGCTTTCCGCTAAGCATCTCAGCGAGGATGCAGCCCACGGACCAGACGTCGATGGCCTTGGTATACTCCTTGAAGGTCAACATTATTTCCGGGGCGCGATACCATCTGGTCGCAACGTATTCGGTCATGAAGCCAGAGTTGTCCTCCTGTGATGCGGCGGAACGGGCGAGGCCAAAGTCGCACACTTTGAGGTCGCAGTTGGCGTTGAGCAGCAGGTTCGACGGCTTGAGATCTCGGTGCAGCACATTGGCCGAGTGCATCGCCTTCAGCGCACGCAGCGTCTGGTAAATGAAGTACTGGCAGTGATCATCAGACAAGTCCTGGGTGCGGATGACGCGGTGCATGTCCGTCTCCATCAGCTCCTATTTTGAGAGCGCCGTCAGCATTTGCGCAACAGGGATCATCGGCCATTCGCAGAGACACCGGGGAATGCCACATACCTGTATGAGATAAACCTCGTTGAACGAGTCATAGCCCCGCGGCTTCTGGATATCGAGAATGGAAATGATGTTCTCGTGGTTGAAGTAACGCAAGAGCTTCATCTCTCGCAGGGTTCGGAGGCAGAACATGGAGTGGTCGAATGGAGTGATCTTCTTGATTGCCACTTTCTGGCCCGAGGGCTTGTGAATGGCAGAGCTGCAGTGGGTGAGTCGGTGATTAGCAACTGTCCAAGCATGAGGCGAGCTACTGGGGGCGATTCTCCAGCTTACCAAACGACTCCGTAGGCGCCCTCGCCGACGACATCCTGAATATCATACTGCTCGCTCACATTGAAGGAAATCTTACGAGAGGCGGCGCCGCCACTCGGGGCGTTTGAACGAGACATGGTTGATTGGCGATGCTAGCGGCTGGCGTTGTTGGTTGGTCGTGAAGCAAACAGAATTGGCCGAGTGTCGTACAAGTCCAGTCGATTTGTGCGTATGCTGCTCAGCAGCAAGCACCTGACAAATATTAAGTAGGTCGAGGCGGTCCGAAAAGCCGGGCTCGTGACGAAGGGAGTCTTTGCGTTGAGGCGCGTTAACGGTGAATGGGGGGATTTCGCGCAGCGGATGACCAGCTAGCCGCGGGAGCAAGTCGGGACTGAGATACGAGGCAGTGAGTGACAGTACGAGCCGAGCGCGACGGTTCGGGAGCGCACGAGATCTGGCGTAATCCGTACGAGCGACGGATGGAGCGCGCGGAGCGTCTTGTGAAAATCGACAGTTCGGCAGCCTCGTGGCGGGCGGAAAGGAGGCGCTTCGGTTCAGCGAGATGACGGTGACGCTTGGCCGGATGCCCCGCTCGGACCTCGTCGTGCCTGGCGGTTGAGAGACACGGGCTGCGGCGCGTGGGTGGATTACCGGGGCCACAGGCAGTCGACCGTAGGTACGTAGCTAGGGAGCCTCTGCTGGAGTCGGCACGTCTCAGGTTCGGGGACAGCGGCGCGGCAGGAGAAGCAGGCCGGCGAGGCGACGAGTGGTGTAGACGTGCCGCGATGGAAGCTTGCCGTCGATTCGAACCTGTTCGCGCGCGCAGGACGTTGGCGGTCGGCAGAGGGCGAGGGGCGGGGTCTGGCTCAGTCAAATAGCCAGGGAGGTGGACGGGACGGATGGATGGCCTGGGACAAAGCGCGGGCGCAGACAGGCAGTTAGTGCCGCAGGACGCAACGCTGGCTGGATGGAGCCGGGGGAGAGGGGAAGGGTTCCAGTGGACGCAGCGCGGCAGGCAGGCGGGGCTCCGGCATGTGACGTCGCTGGGGGATCAGGCAGAGGATTGATGTGTGATGCGAATGCAGATGCAGATGCAGAAGCAGACGCAGAAGCAGACGCAGGTGCGGAAGATGCACAGAATGCGCGGGCAGACGGGAAGGGAAAGGGTAGAAAGGGAACCGAAAAGGGGGGATGCGGTGTCGTCGCGAGCATTCGACGAACACTCCCAGGACGGGCGGGAGCTTGGGAAGCTTCCAGGTTCCCCGTGCGAGGTGGCGCCTGGCATGGTGTCGCAGCGCAGCGAGCGACACGAGCCCGAGCTAGGTACCGTACTAGGTACCGCACCCAGGGGGCCCTGCAATCCCGTCCGTCACTGGCATGGACGACTGCTGCCCGCCCGCCCTGGGGGGATCAGGCACTGGCGGGTCTGGAAAAGAGGGGTCCGAGTGCCCCTCACCACTGGCGGAGGCGTGTCCAGCGGCCTGGCTGAGGCTTCGACGACGGGCTCCCACCGGCCGGCCTCGCCTCCTCAGTGGCCAGCCACAGCAGGGGGGGGTCCCCAAAGAGGCCCGTCCCGCCCCTCACCATCCCCTCCGTGTGGTGGGCTTTGCTGGCAGAGCTCTCAGCTGAGCCGACTTGAAAGAATCCATGACGAGGTGTGGTGTGGCCGGCCGTTGACCTGAGTTGCAAGCTGTGCAACGGGACTGTTCTTTGTAGCCTGAGCAGATGACATCTCCCTTATTCTTTCTTGCCAAGGCTACTTGTGCGGCACTCGCCGTCCATGCAGGGGCGAAACGTGACGTGAGACGGGCGAGAGAATCGCACGCGCTCCTCGCTCGCGGCAACGACTACGCCAAACGAAAAAAAAATTGGCCAACGCCGCCAACTCACCTTGTCGGCTCGGTGGCTGGGCCCCGCTGAGCTGAGCCAAGAGACACGAGGAACGAGAGGGGGGAAATCGAGCCAAAGAGTTGTACGAAGGTATGTGGATGACCCGCCGCATCAAGACCCCACGATGTTGCCCGGGAGGGAGTCGTCTTGTGGTGCACGTTTCGTTCAAAGACGCGATGATGCGTCCGCCTCGGCCGAGCAAGTAGCACACGTAGGCACGTCCCGCACGAAAGTATGGATGAAAGAATGAGGCGGCGAGCGATCGAATGCAGGGAGAACGGAGGAAAGCTCCCAAGAATGCAGGTACGGTGCTGTGCTTTCGTCCACCTGCAACTCCGTGCCCGCCTTCCATCCTTGCCCACCTGCGGCGCTCAGAGAGAGAGATGCTGGTCACCCCACATGGCCGCAACAGACGTGAGCCCCAGCCCGTGTGTGTGGTCCAGCTCGACCCGGTTATTACGAGCACGGGGTGACGGGCCAAACCTCACCATCTCACCTCAGGTTAGCCGCCAGAGTTTCACATCGCGCCCGGCACCATCCCTTTGGCTGGCAAGCTGGCTGGCTGGCTGGCCGCCCCTGGCGTCGCCTGGCTCTCCCGTCTGCCGCCTCTCCCTGCTCGTCGTACCTGAGCTAGTGCCACACAGCTGGCCCCATTCGCGTTGCCGCATCCCAGCGCCTTTGCTTCTCACCAGGAGCCTTGCTCTGCGGCATGATGTGTGCTGCCGCAGGTGGCTGTGCAGGAAACGCCGGTGCACTGATGCACTGCCAGGCGCCAGAACCCCCACCCCAGCAGCACGAGTCGAGCTCGCGCGCGTTACCGGGACACGCCGACGGCTCGTCAATCGGCCAGTGACCTTGCGGGCCGATCCCCCACCAACGGGGCCACGAGAGCTTCACAGAGCAGCGAAGCAACAGCTTCAGTACGGCGCCAAGCCCCGCCTCCCCATTGGCCCCCGTTAGGAATGACTGCATGGCCGTACGTACGTACAGTACGAGTATGTGTGTGCATAGTCGGACGGAGCTTCGCCGGGCTGGGCTGATCAAAACGACGGCCCAACCCGCGCAAAGCGGCGCACCACCCGCCGCGTGTTTCATACCTACACAAAAGGCCCGGTTGCGAGACCCAGGCCAACCCTCAAACAAAGCACCCAGGCCAGGGAAAGCAAGCCGCCATGGCGGTTGGCGTCGTCTGCTGGGCGGCGCTCCGCTCTGCTGACGCACAGATCCAGATCACTCGCGCCGTAATGCAACCATCCAGTGTGCGTGTGCCCTTTGTGCGGCGAACCTGAAAGCCAAGGCGGAGACGTAGGATGATGAGCCTTTGAGCCGCCAGGTCGTACGAACGTAGTGACATGCGTCGAACGTCGGACCAGGGCCCAAAAATAGAGCTCCGAGCTCGTCCCGCGCCCCCAGCTGCGCTTGGTCCCTTGTCACGAACACGCGCCGGTACCTTGCAGCATCACATCTCGTGCGGGCGCCGCCGCGCCGACGCATGGCCGTTTCTGACACACAGCCCGGCCACCGTCCCGACTTCGCGTGTCCACCACGTCCACCTTCCGCGGACGGTCCCTGGCTCATGGCAGCATCATTTTCCAATAGTGAATTATTAGCAATTGCTCAGCTAAGATATCCGTTGGTCGTTTCATTTTCGCCTACTTGGCGCAGCGCCGCCTCCGTGCAGTTCGTCAATGCACAACTCCTCTCCCCGTTCGTCTATACAAGGAAGATGCCGAATGCTCCTTTGTCACTCATCACTGCACCACCTGTCACGTCACCGTTAGCTGTCGAACTTCCTGCCATCTGGGGAAGCAACTGACCTTTTCTCTCAAGACGCCCAGCCACTGCGCTGCACTGACGCCCTGGTCCGCCCGGTCCTCCACAAGAAGCGTCTGCGCCCATAGTTTCAGGCTGGGCTCGCCGTCTTCCCGCACGATGTAGAGGTGCGGCACGGTGATGCTTCCCACGCCCAGTGACCGGTGATCCTTGCTCTTGTTCACGACAGCCCTCACCCGCTCGTTGAAGTCGCTATCCAGCTCCGGCACCCTACCCTTGCCGACGTGCACCTGCGAGCGATCCTCGACGCCGAACACGTCGGCAATGAGCTGAGGCACCGCGTCGCGGCCGACCCAGAGGAATTGCGTTTGTCCGTCGTCAATCAGATACAGGCCGTACGACACGAGTCGCTCCGACGACAGATTCAAGGCCGGAGGCAGAACAATCTGGCCCGTCTCCTCGTCAGGCATGCCCGCGTTGTCGGGCATATCATGCAACGAATACAGCCGGGGGTAGATGTACCGCATCAAGAGCGGAACTGGCAGCGTCGACAGGAGGCACAAAGCGGCAGAGCGAATGTCCGAAGGGATCTGCGTCGACTTTCGCAAGCCGACATTCTTGATCAACCCCAGGAACAAGACAGGCAGGCCACGCAGGTTGGCCGGGAACTGGAGACCACCGCCACCCATGCTGCCACCTGCAAGCTCCTTCTTGAAGGTCTGCAGGAGCTCGGTGAGCTTGGCCTGGAGGGCATCTCGGGCGGCCTCGAGACCGCTGCCTAGCGTCCTCTCGACGGCCTTGTGGCTGAAGTAGGTGGTAATGGCGCACTGATCCGCCGACGCATACACATCGGACAGGTTGGTCGTAGTCGGGAGGGCCAGCGTAAGAACCCTGATTCGTCGCTCGCCGTTGCATGTCGTGTGAAGCACAGCGGCCTGTAGGCAGACAAAGTTCTTGGTGATGTTTTCGTCGATGGCGACCTCGACCACATAGCACTGGTCGCGCGGGAATGCCGGGAATGCGCACAGATCCGAGCTGCGGTTGAAGAAGTTGCCGTAGAATGTGTTCATGCGCAAGCCAGTCGTGGCTCGCACACGAAGCACAGCCTCCAGGCCAATCTCCGAGGACAGGTAGTCACTGAACTCGGAGGCAAACTTGAGCGCGTCCTCGGGGCGAGATGCGTGCCAGCCAGGGTAGAACCAGGTCTGGCCACCAGTGTATCTTGGCAGGTTGCTCAGTGAGGCCACGTCCTGGTATTGAGAGGAGAACAAGAACATGTCGATGGACACCTGGTTCTTGGAGCACTCGACGGCAAAGCTCTTGTAAAAGCTGTTGCCGGTCTGCAAGAGGCCTCCCTCCTTGGAAGTTCCCAGCAGCTTCTTGTCCTCTCTCATCTCTAGCTTTCCGGCACCCACGTTCGGCAGGGACGCAGTGAGAACGACAATCTTGCCGCCCAGGGCAGAGATGAGCTTGTGTCCGGCACGCAGAGCCGAGCCCATGCAGGAGCCGTTGCTCTGGTTGTTCTGGAACATGTCGGGGAGCTTCTGCAGGAACTTCTCGATACTCTGGCGGCTGTCCGTCAGGGGCACCAAAAGGTCGTGCGGGACGGGGAGGAAGGGCTCCTCCAAATCACTGACGACGAGCATGTTGGTCTCGGCATTCTCGTCATCGTCCTTAGGGATGGAGAAGTAGTGCAAGCTGGTATCGACAGCCAAAAACCCGAGACGTGTACGCCTGTCCGCATTGGGTATCCGGTTGAGGCTGTCGAGGATCGTCCGGGCACTCGTGGCCAACAGACCGTTCGAAACGGCGGCGTAGCTCACATCGAACAGGAACAGGTAGACCAGGGGCTGGGGTGGGCGGACCATGTATTCCTGGGGTGCGACGAACTCGACTACGGAGTGGTTGAGCTCGTGGCGTTGCCAGCGATCGACAGTCTGCTGCGCGGCCGCATCCCAGTCGAAGGCCTGGGGGACGTCGTTGCTGAGGTTGCACATGTTGCACCTCCATCGGTGGCCGTGGTCGAGGAAGGTGACGAAGGGGTTGATGTAAGTGCGGCAGCGGCGGCAACGCGAGATGACCTGATCCTGAACAATGGGAACAGGGTCCTCATCGTCATGGAGCGCGCCGTACGGTTGGATAACGAGCGCAAACGGCAGCTTGGATTTCTTGAGCAGCGAATTGGTCGTCGGTACGGCGTTGAGCGTCGAGCGAACGTATCGAGGCGGGCAATTGGCATCGGGCGACGGCGTAACGCTCGTCTGTGAGGCATCGTGTTAGCAGCTCTCTTGTGTCGCGACGTCACGAGACGGCGGAGGGGGCGACTTGCGTTGGGGGGAAGGACAATCGGCGGCGGGGGCAGGTCCAGTTCCGCAACGGAGAAGGGCTGGTTCATCAGATCGGTGGGATACAGATGGTTGAGAGGTCCAGCCCGGGCGGCCTGGGCTGCTGGTGCGGGCGCAACTGGTTGCTGCTGTTGGGGCTGGCCACCGAGCTGCATGCCGCCCATTCCTTGAGTGATGCCGGCGACACCCGGAGCGCCGGGCTGGCCACCGGCAGCAGGAGCCGGATAGCCTTGGTCGGGGGCCTGATAACCGCCATAGCCTGCCTGCTGGGGTTGAACGCCAGGCTGCGGAGCTCCATAGCCCTGGGGATACTGGTATCCCTGGGGCGCGGCCTGCTGAGCATCGGGTTGGGGATAGCTGCTATAGCCGGCACCTTGCTGCTGAGCCGGGGGGATTCCGTATTGCGGCGCTCCGCCTTGGACTTGGCCGCCGACGGCAGCATTGGCGCCGGCCCCTACCTCAAAGGCGCCGGCGGCGTAGCCTCGCTTCTTCTTCTTTCCGGCGGCGTGGGCGTGGGCGGCATCTGGAGGGGGGCTGCCGACCGACGCAGGCTGCTCGGGCTGCATCTGCTGGCCCGGAGACTGGGCATAGCCATCGTTTGGGGGAGCCGACATGGCACGAGGCGGCGGCGCAACCGCGGGAACGGGAGCTGCTGGGGATGATGTGCGGGTGTGGGTGGCGGAGGACGGCGGTCAGAAACAGCTCTGCAGCGAGTGCAGGCGCTGGCCAAGGAGTCGATCTGAAGCCAGAGGTCGGCAGCCTTGGGCGGAGGGAGGGAGGGAGGACGCGTGTGGCGTGCTGGCCCTGGAATTGACGCGGAGCGTTGAGGTTGGCGAGGAGGGAGGAGGAGGAGGTGAGCAAGAGTTGACGTGTGGTGGTGCGAAGCTGGCCGGGCCCCCCCTAGTAAGGTGAGGTGTGGAGAGGCTGCCCCGGTGGCTAAACCGCACGGCCCGGTGTTGCTTGTGTGTCCTTTTCCAGAGACCAGCCTGAACCTCCACACTGCTCCAGGGCTGTCTCTTATACACATCTAGATGTGTATAAGAGACAGGTGCAGCGCAGCCCACGTCGGACCTATGCTGCCTGGCGTCTTTGTCTGTGAGTTGCCACCTTGGCAGTTGAGCGGTGGTAGCAAACCGTCGAAGAGACTTTGCCGGATTTTCTTTTTCTTTTCCCGGATGAGTTGTGGAATCGTGCGAGCCGATTGGGACGCCAACAACAGCGGTGGCTCATGGTCTGCGTAGCTTGCTCTTACGGGTGGTGATGCCCAGCTTCCTACATCGGCTATGAAATGCTCGATGAAGCACGATAGTGGATGAATTCCCATTTCGCAAGACGAGACAGACCGACTGGCGGACCACCGACAAGAAAGTGCCCCGGTGGAATGTGATGTGCCCGTGACGCCTATCTACTGGTGCCCGTTGTTTGCTTCGCACGCGCTTGAAGCTGGCACCACGGAGCCGATCCATCTGATGGCTTCCTCCTACGTACTACTCAACACAACGATCTTGAAGTCGTGGGCGCCGGACCTATACCATACGTGCGTATTCCCGACCGTCTGGCACGCCTAGGAAGTTGGGGAGAGAGCGGGCGAGTCGCGCCGAGACGCCGTCCCTCCACCACGGGCCAGGGGGAACGCAAAGCGGCACAGTGCAACCACCGCCAGCCGGGCCAGCACCGGCACCGCACCATGGAGTGACGGGCACCGGGAGTTGCGATCCGCGGTGGCAGGCGGGCAGGACACCGCCGGGCTACCGTCACCGGACGCAGGAGCTGAAGCTCTCGACAAGCCAGCCGCCGTAGAGAGTTAATTTCGCATTCCCCTTAGCCCAAGCAGGCCATCGTAACTCAAAGTAAAATATATGCTGGCACAGCTCAGCTGCGAGGAGACCACCATTCCGTGGAAGCCGTCCAGCAGGTACTGTAGGTAGGTAGGTAGGTACTGCACCTCAGGTTCACAGCTACAGCGCGCGCCATGGCAGCTGAAAATCCATCCCACTTTCGCCCTCGTCCCCGGGGGGGCGGCCTCCCCTCCTCTCCACCCTCCGTGACCGAGTCCCTGCGAGCAAAGCGCAGGCACCGCCTTCAAAAAAAGCTGGGGGGCCCACGGGCGCGCCGAAGAAACTTTGTCATCGCTCGGCCATCCTTCTCTGCCTCCTTTTTTTCTCCCCTTCTTTCTGCGTCCCGGCGCTGCCCTCTTTGCCTGTCCGTCCCGCAGCACCTGTAGCAGCTTCGTTGCGCCAGACAGTTCCTGCATCCCGCACCTCACCTACTGCTATTAGCGACCCTCGGCCCCCTCACCTCATACATAGCTACGCCCGTGCGTCGAACTCTCGCCTCCAAGTATTCATATCCCCCACGGCGAGCCGGTCGCCTTCTTTCGTCGCGCATACGAATCGCCTTCGCGAATACCACGCACAAACTACGCAGCAATGGCGCGCGGCTCCAAATCTGCCGTCTGGTAAGCCGTCATACTACCCCTTGCAGGCGCGCCGGAACGAGAGCTTGCTTGCCCGCGCGACAATGGAGTATCTACCACGAGCTTCTGCGCTCGCGCTGGCGCAACACCACCGCAAGAGCAACGGCCAGGCTGACATTCCCCCCCTCGTCGCGACGCGCGCACAGGCAAATCATCCCCCTCATCGTCGCCATCGCGGTCCTCTCCGCCATCGCCTGGGTCGTCTACCAAGTCTACGTCTCCGCCACCAAGATCCGCGACACGGCCTCGGAGCGCATGGGCAAGAAGAACGTCGTCTTCACAAAGGACGGCGTGCGCGTCGGCGTCAAGCAGGTCCAGAACGAAAAGTACGTCGACGCCACCCAGAGCTGGGTCGTCAAGGCGTGGAACCTCGGCAACGCGCCCAAGGACGAGGAGATGTAAGTCTTGATTGCCTCCCGCCCCCTTTTCTCTGCTGCACGGAACGACTGCGCCTGCGGCTGGTGGTTCTGGCGTCTGACAATATCGTCTAGCAAGAAGAGGAAGAAATAGAGGAGCCGGTTGCTAGCGCAGGTGGCAGCGGCGATTGTGGCTGTGGGTGTCGCGATTTGCGGCACGCGACTGGGACCCCATCCCATGACCTCACGACGACCGCTATGGATCGCACTGTTCGTGCCAGCTGCTGCAGGCCACGAGTCACGCGGCCGCTGCCAACCTGGAACCGGCTGTGTTGAGGTAACGACTGATGACAAAATATTCATGTTTTGAGAGACCGCCGCCATCACGTTGCCCGTTCGCGTCGCAGGCGGCTGCACAGTGGGTACGTGATTGGGGGGTCGAAGTTGGTCTCCTGTTCGAGGCTCTGGGCGGTACGGCTTTTGCAGAACATTCATGGCTCCACGAGTAATTCTTGCGGTCCCGCCGCCAGTCTCGATCCGTGTACATACTACAATATGACGAGCCAACCTGGCAAGGAGCCATATTTTGGGTGTCATGCACCGGTGGTGCTGCTGGTGTGCCTTCACCGAGTTGCCATTGTGACAACATTTCGACCAGGGCGGCAGACCTTTATATGTAGTACCGCGAACTTCCAGTATTCACCGAGAGCATCGTTCCACGTCCATTCATGTTGCATTTTCCCCTGATATCCATTACGTACGGTGAGTTCCGTCGCCTATCCAGGAGAGAGGCCCAGCAAGAGACGCCTTTTGACAGCCAAACAAGCGCCAGCCATGTTTGCAGCGCATAAACGGCACACAACGCGCCCGCAGTAGTCCACACACGCTATCCGTCACCATGCCAAACCAGGGGGGTATGGAAAGCTCGCCTGCCTGAAATCGCAAATCGAAGCAACCGAATGATCCTCGTCACACGCCTCTCGTGCCCTTCTCAAATCGTCGTTGTCGTGAAATGCTGCAGCTGCAGCCACGTTTTTGCCGTCCACTCGTCGATCTTGCCGGATGTCCCCATGGCCTTGCTCACCAGCTCGGCCGTTTGACGTTGTATCGTTTCCCGCTGCATCACTTCCCGCTGGTGCAGGGGGTTACTCGTCCCAGCCCCCGCTGCTGCGGGAGACAACTTGCCCGAGAGCAGCTTCTGAAAGTCATGCGCCTGCGGATACGGGTTGGCTACCAGTCCGTCTCGACGGATCAGCATGGATGGAATCCGGACGTTGAGCTAGGAATTCGGGTCAGTTTTCGTCGTGATGACAATGTACTCAGGGTGCCATACCTGGGTGAGCATGTGCGCATAGCGAACGCCCAGCTGCGCCCCGATGTACTCGAGGCGGCCCTGAACCCACGCTCGCTGGGAGTCTGTAATGTAGTCTTGCCCGTGGATGAGGGCCAGGGGCCAGGTCATGAAATAGCCACCCAGGCCCTTCTGCGCATCTTCTTCGCCGCATCCGAAGCCCGAAGAGAAGTTGGCCCGCTCCAGGAGATCCCTCCGCTTCGAAAACCAGCCCAGCTGGTACGGCACGGATGCGATGATGTCGGTGATGGTATCGACGCAAGTACGAGCGGCTGTGGCGTATTCGGGTGTCGTCCGATAGTCAACTGGGGACGAGATCCAAGCTGCACATCGGACGATTATTGATGCCAAAACAATGCGAGAGCATCGCATCATGTTCCACACACTGCACACCCACAGGTCCTGGTATGCATCAACACGTCCTGGGTACACCTCGGCTTTCGTGTAGTCGCCGTACGGTACATTGTCTTCCCAGGCAACCGTCTTTGCCTGGAAGTGGTCGGGGAGATTCTTGGACCAGTTTGCGCATGCCAAATCGTGGGCCTGACATCGCTTAATCATGTCCATCACTTTCTCGACGTGGTCGGGAGACCGAGTAGGCGTTGTTAGGAGTCGGTTAGTCTCCGCCCGGAGCTCTCCGATGATGATGTTTAGTCGCTGGCAATCAGACGCGTGCTCGTCCCGGACAGTGTCATTCATCCACCAATCGGCACCCATGACGGGGCTCTTGGAAGTAGTCAGGCTGTGGATAATCTTCACGGGTTGAACTGGTTAGCGAGGCCTGCCCGTAGTCGGGTGGTTAGGCAACAGGGACGGGACATTACTGACCATCTGTGTTCGCACGGCGATAAACATTGCCAAGCCAACCTTGGTCCTCAGTTGCTTGCGACCCCTGGCCCTCGCCAGCTGGATTGCGCCTTCGATGTGTGATCCCCAGGCGAGCATCCCCAACTGTCTGGCCGTGATATTCTCAAACAAGCCTAGCAGCAGCACCGATGCCAGCGTCGTGTCTTGCTTGGCAACCTCGGGATCTCGAATGGCGGCGAAGGTGGCCGATAGAGCCTTTGTGTACTTTCCCAGTGCCTCCTTTTCGAAGTCGTTGCCGGTGCCGACGCGGTTGTTGAGGGAGGCCAGAGCACACGCGTCAAAGGCATATCTGAAGTGCGGGGGTATATTGCCCAGCTTCATAAGCGGGATCAGAAACTCCATGTAGCCTCTGACGCTCCCCTGAGGCGGCACGAGGACATAATTTGAGACGAAATGACAGGCTGCTTGATCCTCGAGGGGCACTTGGGGCGAGGCTGGAATAATCCAAGTGTCGGTGGAGGAGGCCGGAGAAGATGATGACGCGGAACTCTCGCTCGACTCGGCGTCCTTGCCGTACTTTTGCTCTAGGGCCTTCTTGTTGGCCTTTCTCGCCCTCCTCTCGGTGGCCTGGGTCTCGTTCCGGAAGACCAAGTCGAACTCATCCTTGTAGCCGGGGCATATCCTTCGGCTCTTGGCACACTGGTTGCAGGTGGGCTTGGTTTCGTCGCACTGGGTAGTCAGAGGTGAGCACGTCTCGTGTGTCCAAATCGAGCAGGGCCAAGTTACCTTTATCCTGCGGGTTCTGCACATCTGGCAGCCCCGCGAGGGCTTACCGCAGTACACCATGGTGGCTGGGTATTAATGTGAAGAGAGAACCCAAAGGGGCCGCCCAAGTGAGGGAGGCGGGCGCGTATTGGCGCCTAGGACTAATATCCTGCAGTGCTATGAGACCCAGAGGGCCAGAGATAAACGGCGTGACTCCAAATGAACCCGAGGAAAATACAGCAGACGTTCAAATCGGGTGCAGAGAACTGAGGATGTGTGACGTCGCCCAAAACGGTGTTGGCTGCACGGCGGCGGCGGGACGCGTCTCGAGGGCAGTAGGCGACTCCTGGGATTTCGCGGGAGGCGAGTCGGCCTCAGTAAACGAGCAATATGAGGCGAGCGCGACGGCGCCGGATGGGGGAGAGCAGCAGCGCCGATGGATACGATGGCGGCAAAATCGACAAAGGACGTCTCTGGTCGCACCGGAAGGGTGTGAGCTGAACAGCGGCGCGGCGGTGCAACTGAGACGGGCTGCGGACTGCTTCTTGCGACGGCGAGCCAACCGAGCTTTGGATACGAATGAGGCAGACGGTTCGCTCAAGGCTGGCGCGGCGAGAGCAGAGGCAGTGAGAAATCCGTGGTTCTATGCCACGGGATGGGAGAATCGATAGAATAGTGCGCGAGATGCCGGGTTGCCAACGTTTTGGACATGCACCACCTAGACGTCGGCGGTGCTACCGTAGGAGCTGCAGGAACAACGACGTGCAATTTTGGCGTCGAGTCGCGTGGATGAGGAGTCGAGACGTGTGCATGAGACGATGCCTAGGGCAGAATCGGACGATGGCTGGCGGCGGTGCAGGGAGGGAGGGCGAGAGCGGCTCTGAGGATGTAGGTGGGACTTTGTTTTAGTGAGTCGCGAGTGAGAGGTGAAGGCGGGGATGTGTTGTCATGTAGCGAAAGTCGACGGGCTGTTGGATGTAGAAGGCAATCAGTCTGCCCGCCAGAGTGAGAGCAGGCGGCGCGTGCGCGAGGGCGAAGGACGAGGGCGATGTCAGGTCAGACAAGACAGAGAGCGGTCGACCGGTACAGACGAGCGAGACATGAGACGGCACTTTGGCGGCAGACGACTCATGGTGGTGGTGGATGTGGACTTGCGGAGGATGGGAAGCGTCCGTATCTGTATTGGTGGCACGGCCGCCGACGGACCAGTCAGAGGCGCGGACGACGGCCTGGAACGGAGTCGGGGGGACCTGTGGATGGACTTTTCCGCTGCCCGGACGGGACGAGCAGCAGCCTGTGCTTGGGGCCCCCCCCAGGGCTGGCCTGGCCTCGCCTGCCTGGGTCTGGCTCCCCGCCGGGCGCCCGCTGAGCCGGGACACTCGCGGCGCTGGAAGTGCCTGGGCCCGGGGGACGAGGGCGCTGTTCCAGCCCGCCCGGTTTCGTACAGTGTCCAAGGTGCCCGCCCGCTCAGTGAGGTGGCGTTGGATAGGGAGGTGGTGCTCGGCCTTGGCCCTCCCCAAGCCCTCCCGTCCTGTCCATTCCAAGGTTTCCAACCTCAAAGTGCTAAAAGACGGGCCCTCCACCGTGCGTGTCACGGAGGCCATTGCCCAGACATGGCGGCACTGCGATCCGGACTTAGGTTTGGATGCCTCTCACTGTTGGAGCATAATACGGGACTGCTGGAACCGTCTCTCGGGGGGTCCCGTCCCGAGGCAATCGGGCGACACGCGCGCCCACCCCCACAGCCCGGATCTGATGTGTGTAAGAAGTATAAGTGAAGCAGCAGAGCCGGGTTCCAGGCGGACACGGAGCCTTCAACCGATCTGTCCATACCTTTCTCCTGCCCCTGACTGAGAGTGCCGCCCGGCGACGACAGAAGCTTCTGCGCCGACTCCGGGCCCTGGACTGGGCAGCCACGTCTCTGCAGACGCGGAGGCGCAGCCATGCCGTACCAATTTCGTCCAAGCACGAGCAAAACAGGACGAGCGACGCGGTGAGGAGGGGGCGGCGAGGCGCCAGAGGGGAGGACAAAGAACCTGGCAAGGTTTTGAGTTTGGGTCGGGTGGAGGGCTGTCTCTTATACACATCTAGATGTGTATAAGAGACAGCGAATAGGCTGCAGCCTCCAGCGGTCTGCACCCACTGTCTCTCCACTGTCTGTCTGCCCGTTTCTGCGGGCCGGCAGCCCACCACAGACAGTTCTGCAACCCAACGGCCTCGAGATGTACATACATGCGTCTCACCCTCCATGCAGCCGAGAGGGATGGGTGCCAGCAGCTCGCCGCCGACGCAATGCTGCTGCGCTGTGACGAGGGCAAGCCATCAAGATCGACGAGATGTGAGCTGAATGTAGCCAGCCTGGACAACCCTCGTTGACACCCGTCCGCTCCAAAGGAGGCAATTGCCAGCGAACCTTCAGTGTTTTCTCCCCGGCCACCCGCCCACTTCCCACCGACGGCAACATCGTGTGTCCTCCCCATCTGCACCTCGCCGTCCACTTTCCCTGAGCAACTTGGCAACCCAACGACACACAACGCAAGGTACGAGGCCCAAAGCAGACTAGGGCTGCCTGCCACGGGTCTTGGTGACACGGCCCAAGCAAGCTAGGGAAAGGTAAAGCATGAGGTGAGGTGAGGCGAGGCGAGGTGAGGTGAGGCGAGGCGAGGTGAGGTGAGGCGACGTGTGAGTGTGGAGAGGCGCACGTGTGACTGGCGATCCGAGCTCCAAGATGGAGAACAGACTACGAGTCCGAGTGCTGCTGCAACCTCGCATGCGCTAACGGGTCGATGCCAGCTGAGGCGAGGTACCTCCATGGACCTCAAAGACGACGATGACGGAGGCGTTGATGCCATCCATGCCCACGCCATGTCGCGATCCGTCGCAGAGAAACGTCACCCGTTGGACGTAGATTCAACCACTACGTCTCCCGCCGGGCCGCCTGTTGGACGTCCTTCTTTTCGAGACAAATCCAAACAGGCCTCCACAACCGCCCTCCCCCCCGCCGTTGTGGCGCGCCGCTAATCCGGGGAAGCCGGGCGGCGGCGCTGCCGCTGGCGAGCGTTCCTGGGCTGGCGCGCGGGTCCCAGAGGTCAGCTGGCACGTCGCGCCTCCCAAGGTTCCCAGTTTGGCTTCTTTGGCTGGTCCACTGGCACAGCGTGCGCGCATGTATCAGCGGTCCGTCATCGTCGTCAAAACCACTCGACTCCGTTCCTTCACACGCGCGCAACAGCACCGGCCGGTGCCGGATCCCCTCTCCTTCACCCCCACCCGCCATGCCGCCCACCAGACCGGGCAGACGCACGCCGGGGGGCCGAAAGTGCCGTCAGGCCATGCATGGATCCCCGTTCGACACGCGCAGCGTCGCATTGACACGCGCTGCTGGTGGCCTCTCGGGGTCTGCGTGGGGCTGCTGCGTCGCTCCGACATGTTCCCCCCTGGCCGATCTGAGCCAGCTGTCAGTATTATGTAGTATGTACGTACAAGGTATGGCACAGTGCTTTGTAGTTTACGCGTAAAGCTGTTTGCCGGATGGCACGTCGGCCTGACAAAGGTAAATCTTCAAACACATTGAAAGTGCCATGTATGTTTACTTGGCAAACTCGCCACCCAGTCAGTCAGTCAGTCTCGCCAATGCCTCCCGAGGCCCCTTTGCAAGAGCCCGTGCGGCGTCATTCACTCAATGCCAAGTCACCGACGGAAGCCACAGTGCCCCAAACCATATACGTACATACATCTACGCAAGCTACACCGATGCGATGCGCAGAGGGCTTGGCCGCTGCCGCAGACCCGAAACCCAAGAGTCGACGCCCCCCTGCCGGCGATCACGCGCATCCTGGCAAATCCTGGAACCCATCCAGCGCAGGCTCCCGCATGGAAAACTCCGTTTTGTCCGTGGCTGCCACCCACATGCGATGCAACGGGCTCTGTCGGAGGCAGGGCATGCAGGCAGGCAGCGTGCCATGCGTGAGTACGAGTACGCCCACGCTGGCTGTCAGTCCGGACAGCGTCTGCAACTGCCGAGACGCTCCATTGGGTAACAACTGCACCTGGTACAACGGCGCTCCTCCCCCTTCTTCGGGCTGGAACAGCAAACGCCCTTTGTGTCGCCATCGAATCTCTTCCGGGGTCGATCCTCGATAATCTCCCGCTCGCTTCCTTCTTCGCCTCGGCGCATCGCGTGTGCTTCGCGCCGACGCCGTCTGCGTCTGCAGGGCGCAAGCGAGGCACCCGCGGACGCATCCAGCTGAATCGTGCTGGCTAGGCTGGCTGATGAAAGAAGCAACCATGCTCCAGCCAGTGGCTCGCAGTCTTCAGGTCCGCTTGCTCCTGTATGCAGCTATCGGTCCTGTCAGGGGTTAGTTAGTAGTAGCGAGTATTTGCCATACGGGTACAGACTGTCCCCCCGGCGCGCTGCCAGACAGCAGATGGAACCCATGATCACCAACACTTCAAGCATGACCCCAGCCAGCTAACCGTGAGCTGATGCGACAGGCACAAGGGGGTGGCTCCGTCAACGCAGCCGCCATGTACCAAGTACAAAGCAACATTGCCAGCCTTGGCAGTGCAAATGCCGGCCAGAGCTTTCTGCTCCCTGGCGGTAAATCGTTTGTGCCATCGTCGCAGCGTCTCCGTCCCCCCTTTGCCCAGCCGCCGAAAACCGTCTTGGCAGGACGCGGACGGGAGCGTTTGGGGACTCGTTTCGGCAGCAAAACACCCACACGGGTATTATAATGGACAGTTTTAATGCTTCAAACCCTACATAATACTACGAAACCCTACTACGGAGTCTGTACGTTGTATGGAAGACATCACGGCGCTGCTTCGGCAACGGCTCTTCGTCTGCGACTGGCCCAGCAAAGCCCAGCGCGAGACTTTGTTTGGGCGCGGCGGAGCTTCCCTTTCCCCATGTACCACGAGTGCATGAGCAACTCGCAGCATCGGCCGGCAGGTGGGCGGCGGCCGACACGATCTCGTCGATCCACCGGTCGGGGCTTGGCTTCGTCGCGCGATCCCCCCTGGGTGGGTGGGTTCTCGACGGATCATGATGGTTCATGGTCGCCGTGGCGGACGGACTGGCGCGCGCGCTTTGACGTGCGCGGCGACCCGCTGTCACCTGCTGTTTCCACGTCCACGCGATTTCCGGAGGCTGGAGCTAGAGTTTCAGAAGAGGTGGCCCGACGACGAAGATATGCCAGGGGAGAGGAGTGCGCGGGACATGGCTCTGCCGTGCTGTGTGCTCTTGCAGTAGGCCAGGTTAGGTTATTACTTTGGTTCGGTGTAACCGTTGGTGCCAACTGCCAGCCAAACCTGGGTTCCGCCTCGGGATGGCATCTGATGACGAACAAGACGGAATTGTTTCCTCACACCGGGCGCGTCACTTTTCTAATAATACTCCGGACCGGACTGGGAGTCTGCGGGAATACCCCTGGCAGCCCGTCCTCTTCCCTTCCCCACACAGCCTGTCCGTCATCCGTCTTGTCCACCGTCTCCGGGCTCCAGTGAGTTGCATGCACCCGGACCGGCAGGATTCCGAATCTCCCACAGCATTCTCGTCCTGTCCTGTCCTGTCCTGCTTCTCTCCACCGTGGGTGGTCCTCACCGTTGCAGCCCAGCGTACGTGCGTACAAGTACATGCAGATTCCTCTCGCGTCGTAGTACATACATACATGTGCAACAGCGCTTCTCCCCTTGCGTGTGACGTGAACATGCCTCGGCACGTGCGCCTCCCCTTCTTCACCCCCCCACGCTCGTTATGGTCTCTAAACCGGGCCAACGCCGTACGCTGCGTATTGCCTATTTGGGCAACTTGGCGAGCTCCATCAGAGCGCCAGCACGAGGGCAAGGGAACAGGCAAGCAGGCCAACGATGCCTGACCATTGACCATAGATGCCAATCGAGTCACCTTGCCATGAACAAACCGTTGAACCATTCACGCTGTAGCTGTTGGTATCATGTATCTACCTCCACAAGTTGCCTGTTCTACTCTGTACGTTGCCACGGACTTCGTGTGTTTCCCTGGACGTGCCTATGCATGCATGCACATGGCACTGTGCCGTCTGCCTCATCACACATATACCCCAGACGCCGCATCCCGCATCCCCCGGAACCAACAAAAAAAAGAGTGTCTTACACGCGCCCGCTCCCCCAACATTCGGCCGAGCACGAACCCGGGCGTTTCCATTTCACCTGCACCGACACATCACGCCCCGTTCCGCTCATCCGCGGGCATCCGGCGAGCGAGCCACGCAGCGACTGCTCAAACGACCGTAATCATGGAATCCCTGCGGCCGAGGTCCTGCCTGCCTGCCTGCCTGCCTGCCTGCCGGCTCTCGCACGTCGTCTTGGATGGCGCCCTGCTTTGGCGTCGTCCCCCCTCGACTCTCTCCGCGTATGCGCGACAGGACAGGAGGGGTGGAGTCGCCCCGCGTCTCCGTTGCTTGCGCCGCTCCGTAGCCCGTCCGCTTTACATCACTCTTACACGCCACGGGCCAGACGTCTTCTCGTACCGTACCGTACAGTGCCTCATTCATTGTAGGTGCCTACACAGCATAGCAAAGAGACGTGCCTAAGCATCCGTCCGCCCGCAAACGCCCTGCCCATCCTCGTAGCCCTTCCTCTATCTGCCACCGTCCCCTATCGTCCCGCCCGGGATATAGAGACACGCCGTGCGCCTTTCTCCCGCCAACACGCCCGCCAACCATCTTCATCGGAGGCAACAGGTCTCTCCTGCCACATGGCGGCCATAGCCGCGACGCCCCGAGCCGCGGCCACATCGACACCGCTTCGCATATGTCACGCTACGAAATCAGAGGAACGGAGACGCCGGCGCATCTCTCAGTACCTAGTCACGATGCCATGGCCCCTAGCCCTCGAACAGGTTTGACACCCCTTCGAGTGCATCTGGCGTGGCTCTGCGCCCGCCAGCCATCCCGCTCCCCCGCGTCGCCCCCGACTCCGCAGGCGGGCCTTCGTTCATGAACCCCTGAGCCATCTTGCTCCGGTTGTGCCGCTTGCCACGCGACGTCCCGCCAAATCCCGCGCTCTTGGCCAGCTTCCCCATCTCGGACACGCTTACTCCCTTGAGGTCTTTGAGTAGCTCCATCACAATGGCCCGTTGTTGTCGCATATGTGATCCCGGTCTCGTCATGTACTCGCTCAATCGGTCCAGCTCCTCCGGGTTGATGTTCGGCAGCGACAAGAGCACGTTGCGAGGCGTTGCCGTCAACGAGCCGTAGTAGACGACAATGGTGGCAATCAACGACGCCAGCTCCTTCTGTACTTCCACAAAGTACGGCTCGTGAAACGACGTAACGCAAGCCTTCAAGACGTCCGAACAAATGTACTCGCGGATCACCGATGCTAGCTCCGGCGGCACAGGCGACGGGTTGGCAGGTGGTCCCGCGATGCGCGGCTCTTGGGCGCCCTGACCGACGCGTGCTTGCCCATGCCCTTGCTGCGGGATGTGAAACTCCGGTATCAGCGAGATGAAGAGTCGCAGGATCATACCGCAACATCGAGTGTCTCTCATGCGGACACCGTGGGTGCAGAATACGAGCAGCGGCTCGACGATTTCTTGACGGGCGAGGCAGAACCTCCGCAGAGATGGAAATCGACCCGTTGCTTCGTCCCCAGCACCGTCATTTTGGGTGCGAGACGCCAGCGTGCCAGGATCTGATAGAAATCGGTTAGCAACCAACGGATAGACATATGGGAAAGGGTCGCCGTACTTGACTTTGTGGGGTCGAGAAAGTCCGCCACCATCATCACGGCCGTGTACGTGACCTGGCGCAAGATGCTCTCAGTCTTCATCTCTTCCTTCAACCCGGCTTCTCCGTCGACACTGGTGCTCTGCTGTTGTTGCTCCATCTTCTCCCACTCGCCGTTGATCTTGGCGTCCATCTGGCGGAAGCATGCTGAAATCAGCTGTGGTAGGAACTGTTCTCGATGGTCCACTGGACAATCATCTACCAGGTATCGGACCAGGTTCAACAGATTTGTCTGCTGATGGGTGGACAGCCAGATGGAGTCGGCAAACAGTGCATTCGACAGAGGCCCGGATAGTCCGTCCACTCCGTAGAACTGAAGGTCCAACCGGCTCATACAGTATATGATGGCATACGCCGTCTCTCTGACGAACCGCACTGAGCCGCGAATGGTTGATGCAAGACCCTCGACAGTGTTCTTCTTGTCTATCACGCGGGCGTAGAAGTCATCTTTGCTGCCGTCAGATATACCCGCCTGCCAGAACCGGTCGCTCAAAATCTTGTGCACGACAGGTCGCATTTCGGCAGGAAGATGCAGCCAGTTGTCCGGGTTGTGCGTCGCATGAGCAAATCTGCGTGGGGGCGTCAGTAAGGATTCAAGGGTCAGGGTTAAACAGCTGTGTCGTTTGGTAGTGCGCACCTCAGATACTCGAGCAGGTCGGCAAGAATATTGGAGTAGCCTTCTCGCCACAGCGCGTACGAGGCCTGGAATGCTGCAGACGACTTGTCTAGCCTCTCTACCGAAAATGCCAGGAATGATTTCGTCGGGCGCAATGGCAGAGCCTGGATGGAGTTGTCAGTCATGTGAAACACAAGCCCGTCTCGGCTGCACCTACCTTGAGTCTCTCCTCCAGTTCATTCTGGAGTGCCAGGCCTTCCGCATCGAGCTCCGCGGAGCCCCAGTCCTTGATCTCATGTGCCTTACGGCTGACCAGGTACTTCTGGGCCCTGTCCAGGCCGAGGAACTCACAAAAGCTGGAGTAGGAGTTGAGCGACGCTCTGACATTCTCGGATCGCCACTGCGCCTTGACCGGCTCAACGAACTCGGAGAGCTTTTGAATCTTGGTTTGTGTTTCAATGCCACTGGCGCGGTGTCTGCATGTACATCAGTATCAGCCTGTCCACCCGGTGAACGAAGGGGCGCCCACATTATGAGGAAGAGGAAGCTCTTGTACGCGAGAGATCGCTTCTCGTCTAAAGCGCCAGAAGACATCATTTCGTTCACGCGGGCCTCGATCTGGTCGTATACATTCTTGAAGCAAAGCCGTGTCAGAGTCCAAGTCAGCGGGTACATACGGGTGGAGCCTTACAAGTAGGTGATCAGGCATCTCTGCTGCCAGACGTTGCAGTTCTATCATGCTCTCCCCTTGAAGGTCTTTGACGGCGTCGTTGAACGCTCTGAAGTCGGGCTCCAGATTGGGCCAAGTCACAAGGATGTGCTCGAGGACCTTGAGCATGACATCGGTATTTTTGTTCAGGGCGGTGGTAGAGAAGTAGACGAGCAGCTGAAGCTTTCTCTTGCGAATCAGAGGATCCTGGATAGCACCTCAGGTTTAGCATGTCATCACTTGGTGGTAGTTGAAGGGGTTTCATACGTCAAAGTTCAACTGGAGGAGCTTGTCACACCAGGACGCCAAGATGCCATCCACCTCAGCAGCCTTTTGGGCCTAGATGGACAGGGTCAGTGTCTTAAACCCTGCCTCACGTCGATGTCACTTACCTCAGTCTTCGCATGGGATCTCTTCCACTTGACGTAACCCTTTAGCGCGGCCTCAACCAGGGTGAATTGCGAGTCGACACGAAGCGCAGGCATGGAATGTTTGAAGTAGGTTTGCTCTGCTCCTGTCAGCATGGGTACGACAACGTAGTCTTAAGACTTGTAGGAACTTACTGTTAAAGGCAGGCTGGCCGTCATAGAGGTGCTGGAGGAAGTACTCTGTGCTGGAAAGGATGTGGGAAATGGCTTCTTCGAGCCGGAGCTGTACAATGAGCTCGACGATCTGGCAGCTGTATCGGCGATAATTGCCCAAGAACGCGTGCCGTTCTGGCATTGTGTCGGTATCCTCCATGAGAAACAGATAAGTGGCATCTGTGGAATCCTCCGGCAGATTCTCGTAGCGTACGAGTCTTGAGCTGCACACTTCAAGGAGCGGCCCGATCAGTGGCGTGACCAGCTCACTGTGGCCCAGCACCCTGTGGCTCAGGATCCTGGTCCAGGTCACGAGAATAGGAATAGAAACCATGAGACTCTGACTCTGGACGACAAGCACAAGCAGAGCCAGAAAGTCAGACTGCGCAGCGTCGGATGGCAGCTTCGTAAACTTGCGCTCAAAGTATTCGCCAACCGACGACAGCATCTAGATGCGCGTTAGATCGCTTCGTCTCGATTGAGGAATGTAGATGTACCTCTGAAAGCTTCTTCAGGATCTGGTACTTGTCATCATCAATATCTTCGGCATCGACGGTTGCCCACTCGAACAGGCCTCTGCACAGGGCAACCGAGGCATGGGTGTACATGGGGGCCACGAGCTGCTGGAACTCCTCGTCGGTGAAGTTTGTCCGACCGTAGAGAGCATGCAAGGCATCCAATGCAGCCTAGTGAACCGTCGTGTTAGCAAACCTGCATCGCGTTGCCCACTCGAACGATGCGCCACCTGCCTTTTGCACCTCAACATGCGGTGAGGCCAAGCCCGCCGTCATAACCTTGACACATTGTGCAGCGGAGATTGCCTTTGGAATCGCCCAAGGCATGAGGGACAGCATGACGGAGAGAGCCCTGAGGGTGCAATGCGTGACTTCACTGTTGTCTTTCGAGGCTGAGTTGAGGCAATAGCTCAAAAATTCGGTGATGCGGCTGAGCCATCCCTCATGCCCCTGGCGTACGTCGGGACCAGGCTGTCGGTTCGGGAATGCCTCCACCAAAACGGCAGTCGGCGTGAAGACCTCGACGCAAGCCTTGCTAAGGACGCCTTCCCTCATCGCCACTACCGGATCGTCACCGGCGAAGACCTCGTCGGACAGTGTTTCGAGGATGAACATGACGAGCTCCTTATGAACGCCCGAGTCTGGGACCTGCCACAGGTGAACGAGCATGGCATCCATGTCCATCCACCCGGCACCCCAGCACCGCTTGGCCACTTCGACCCATAGTTGGGCTGTCTTGTTCCGGAGATATGTCGGGTCCTCCCTCGATATCGCCTGGCTGAGCTCGAGAACCCAGTTGCGAAGCGCCGTCGCTTGCTCCTCGCTGTATGTAGACCACCTGTAACGTATTGCGTGCTCAAGCAGAGACAGGGCGTAGTGGCGGACCACGGGCGATTGCGACTTGTCCGCTGCAAGCCTGTAACCCTGAAGAGGTGCCTCCGGGAGGTCTTTGACATCCTCTAAGAAGGATTGCGCTTGTCGGCGAGCGTCGTTGGCGGAGAAGGGACTGTGGACAACTTCGAGGGCGCCGTGTATCTTGGCCAAGGTGTCTGCGCCGCTGCCGTTGCTCTGGTCGCCGCCAGAGGGCAAGACGCCGCCGTTGGCAGACATGGTGCCTGCAGTGGAAGCGGCGCGTGCCGAGCGGCTGGTTTCCAGGACCTTCAAGGTTGCCCTCCGGACGCTGCCTCAATGCCCCCGTGATGGTTGGAAAGGGTGTAAGGTTTTGCAGACCACAGAGTAGGGGGACGCTCGTCGGAGCCGGAGGTGTGTAGCGGCGGTCGAGAGTCGTCTAACGGTCGAGGCGGTGGGCTCGTTGCGAGATCGGGAGCGAGCGAGCGTGCACGCAGGTAGCAGGTCGGTCGCGAGTCGGCGGCACCGCACGAAAGGAAGCGCAGCAGGTCGTTCAAAAGCTGCCTATAAGCGATGAAGGCAGACAAGTCGTGCGATGTGCGGGCGGATCAAAAAGAAGGGCCAAACAAAGGGTGGCGGAGATACCAGCAGCGAAAGGCGGCATGAGCAAGCTGGAGGTCGCGCGGCAAGAGAAGAGGCAGCTGGAGTCAAGTGGTGGATCAGTTACCTTACCTTAGCTGGTGACCCGGTGAGTGGCAGCCCGTCCAGTTCGGTGGAGGGGTGGGGAGGGGCCCAGGCCCGCCCGCGCGAGGCACCCGCCGGCAGCTGCTGCTGATGTGGATGCGGGCCTGCCATCGATGACCTCCACTTATTGCCGTAGGACTTGAGGAACGCCGAGCCGCCAGCTGTTTGCTCGTTCGATGACAATCTATCTGGCCGTCCTTGGGTAGCCGACGAGCCGCGTCAAGCTCGTCGCCGAGGCCGGGTCTCATGGTGCCTACAGACTGTTCATCACATAGGCACTCACTACGTGTAGGGTTTCAGTACCCAAGTAGGTACCCAGTAGGTAGGCGCCTCACCCACAGGGCCTCAAGTCCCTGGCGCGACCGGGCTGGCGGCGCCCCTGCTCGGGCGGTTTGGCGCCTCAGCTACAGCGCCCGCCTTGCAATGACAGGTACCGAGGGATAGAAGGGGTTGGGATGGTGTCTGCGGATGAATGCACCCCACCAGCCAACTCCAATGTTCGTAGCGTCTCCAGCCCGTCTTGACGTGCGGCCAAGATGAATTCGTCAACTTCCATTGCATGAAGCTTCCTCAATATTCCACAACTTGCAACAAGGTCTATAGAGGCGCTCACGCAGTCCATTGCCAACTTGAAAGTCGCCATTATGGGCCCTATAAATAACAGTTCCCTTGCCCATCAAATCGCCCTACCAAGTAGCATGTTCCGCGACCTACTTCGTCTGCTTGTAAACGCCATAAATACAACCTAACTCATGAATTGGGAATGCAATTGGATCCGCCGAGATGAAATCTTGGGGAAGCAGCGGCTACTGCGCTTCAACAGCCATGTTACAAGCAAGCTGCCCAGATCTGGATCTGCACCATCGCCTCAACCTACGCCTAACGCGTGCAGGCTGCATTATCGAGAAAGGAACTGTAGAAGCAACGGCTTGCTGCAAAAGATACTGGTGTTCCAAGACATTGTGTTTGGCCCAGAAAGGCTTCAAAACAACACGGTATCCCAGGCTAGCGTAGCCGCGCATCCTGACGTGCCGTTGTTTGCCTCTCAAGGTGGCGCATCTCTGGCAGCTCCCACTCTTTTCTTGCTTCAGGGCAACGGGTCACATAGAGACAGCAATCACGGGAGAGCAGCATGAATCTATTATGCGGCCGGTAGTGCCGCTTCTGGAACATGGCTCCCCTCATAATCCCACAAGCAAAGTAGCTTATCGTAAAAGCTCGTCGAGACGCAGCGCAGCCCACTCTCGCTCCCTGGCAACGGGACGAAATCCGAAGCGTAGTTCATGCTTTTGTGTTCCTCAAACCGCCCAAGGACCGTGCAGGCCCAGCCCGAGCCGTCGCTTGAAATCTCTAACAGTCGAGCACCTGCGTGCATGCAAGAGGCCAACACGCGAACCGTCCGCGGCGACTTGATGTCTACCAGATTCAGCCGCCACACCCCGCCACCAACGTTCTTCTCTGCCAGGCGTCGCACTTTCTTCATGCCGTATGATGCATCAAGATCATGGATGGAGAAAACACGCATGTGGTCATCGTAGCTCCCGGTGACGACGACGCGGCCACCGTCGTCTGTGAAAAGCGGCAGGGGTAGAATAGCCGTGACTCCGGCATCGTGTTGACCCTTTATCGTTACTGGGGGAAACAAGGCCTCGGAATCCTGGACCAAACCTCCGTCTCCCACAGAGTATGATGCGTACCGGAGCATCGAATCATCCCCACCGCAATATGCAGAGACGGTTTGCTGACCCTGGTCAAGAGGTGAAGAGAATGCAATCGACCAGGCTTCGAGAGAGTTTGGTACGTCCAAATCGATGTGGCCCTCAATCTTCCAGTCGCGGTCCAAGTGCAAGAGTCTGGCAAGGCCAGACGAGGTCGTGACGGCAATAGCATTGGCCAAGGTGGGATGCCAGGCGCATTGAAGAAAAAGAGTGTCGTCGTCCAGGTCAGTACATCGGCTCGTTGCCACGTGCTGCAGAGGACTGGCTGCGTCTCGCTCCGGGTCGAACCTGAAGATGGCCAGTGTACCCGTGCTCGACACTACGGCCAGGATGTCTTGGTGCCTGGCTATGTCGGGGTGGAACCGTAGATCTAGTAAAGCAGACGGATGCGGCGTAGTCTGTAGCTTGATGCTGGTCAAAGTCAGCAAAAGGGATCCTACAGGGCAAACATTCACAAACATTTTGTCGCCTTCTAGCCGGAACACGACAAGGCTACCATTACGGCTTTGCGGCTTCTTTGCATCTTCTGCTTTTGGGTCTTCATCTGATGGCCCCGCGGATGTGTCGTCCTTTTGCAGGTTGTAGGTGCCCACCACGAAGAAATCTGGATGTGTAGGAGAGAAGAGCAGGCAGCTCGGGGGCAGATCAAGAATCAGCGTTGCCTTTGGCTTGATTGGTAGTGTGGAATCCATGACCACGCCTGGTCAGTGGGACCAGCAGTCTCGATACCCGGCTATTGTGCAGCCGTTGCTGGGTGTCGGCGCCGATTGAGTGCAATGGACCTGGATAGAAATTGTTTGATGAGGAGGTCTTGTAGCAAGCAGATGGCCCACCGAGGGCCTGGCGTTGGAAGAATTAGCGGGACCAGGATGCAGTGCGGCCAGGCCCGCCGGGCGCTTGCGGCGCACCCACTGTACAGTCCCATGGCCACCTACAGTACCTTGGTTCCAGGCCGTGGAATAAGCGGGAGCGCGGCAGGGACCGTTGCCGGATGCACCTGCCAGTGCTCAGGTACCAGAGAGTCCTGCAGACTGCAGGCATCGGGGGTGGGCATCCGTTGATCCTTAACTTGACCGGCCATCCAATCGACTGCAGGTTCGCCTTGACCTTGCGCGCTCTCTCTCCTCTTCCCAGCATGGCCACCGAGCTGCTGGCTACCGAGGGAACCGTGCCAGTCGCTCTTGTCTTCAACATTCTCGATTGGTCTTACTCCGAGCGTCCATGATCCCGACCTCATTGAGGCAGCCCGGACGACTGTCCTCGCCGTTCAGTACGTCATCCCAGGTCCCTTTATGCGGCGACGGGAAAGTGTCGCGTTGGGGAATAGTGCGAACCAGACATGTTTGTTTGCTCATATCGACTCCCGCCAGCATCCAACTCTGCCATCTTCTCATAGCCTGGTCTCACAGCCCTTCGCTTGGCTATTACACAGATGGCTTCAGTTCCTTGCTGCGCAGACACCTTTGACGCCATGGATCTAGACGACTCAGACTTTTATGGTACCTCGAGCACCAACCCGGGCTTATAGACCAACTATACTGATCTGACCACAGGTGACGAGGACACCACTGAGAGTCTCCAGCGCCGCGTGGCAGAGTTCAACCCAAGCGACTGGCTTCGCAACCAAAATGCGAGCAGAGCCCGACCGCCACAGCAGGCAAATTTCGCCGGTGAAGCCTCTCAATTTCATAACCCATATGCTGGAGTGCCGTACGTCTGGCAGTTGACAGAAAAGGTCGACGACTTTCTTGCCCGCCTTCCACCTTTGACCACAGAGCAGAGCGAGCAGGTTCCGTGGATCTTCATCTGCAACCCATACATACCCAGAGCAGATAAACGACAGAGCGACAGCGAGCTCCTCAAAGGAAACCAAGACGAAGCACCAGTGGAAGAAGGAAGCAAGCTCGAGTGGGTGGTCCAGGGAGGCATAGAGAGGCTCCAAATGCTCCAGGACGTGCATCGAATGCTGCAAGAGGCGGGCAAGTCGCCATCCTTCATCCAACGGGAGATGAACAAGCAACGCAAGAAAGCTGGGTTGGACGTTTTGCATTTGGCACACGCCGGCAAGGTCCGCACAGGCAAGGTCAGTAACACGTCATTGCTGGCCTGTCAAGTCCGAAGTCTCGCTGGCTGACCCTTGAATCCCGCGGAGCCGCAGTGGCTATTGTTCTGCCCACCTGCAGAGGTCAACGAGACGTGGGCAATCCTGGCCCATGCCACGGCCAACAATGAGCTCGGCATCGCCGCCAAAGTTGCCCCACGGCCACAATCTGACGACCCAAGGAGGGACCGCCTGATTTGCGTTTACACGGCCGACTTCCATGATAAGGCTGACGTTGGCCGAGTGCTCCAGCGGCTGCGGGAGCTGAGGTTGGTGGAATCCAAAGGACGCGTGCTGTACTACAAGCCCGGTGAGTCACAGCAGTGTCCTGCAGGTGAGGGGAGTCCTGCTGACCGGCGACGCCAGACATTTACACGTACGTCGGCATCGCCCATGGCAATCCGTGGGGATTAGCCGCATCGATATACAGCTCCAGAGATGTGTTTTAATGCACTTGGCGCAAGACAGAAGCAACGGGCCATCTGAAAAAGTCACCTGAAGAATGAAGTGAATGAGATTGAGAGTGATGACACGAGTTTGATTGAAATGCAAAGGTGAATCTCGCTCCAGTATCCAACGCCACCAACCTAAAGCTGCTTGCTATGCTCCCTTTATTTCATGTAAAAATCCGATCGCTTGGCATTTGCTGAAAGCCACCGTTGGGTTGCCAGCCTTCAAGTGACGTCGTCACCGTAATAGTCCGGGGTGCCGCCTGAGTCTACATCTCGGAGCGGGAGGACGAGTCGATAAGCGCTGTTGCCGTTGAGGTAGTAACGATGCAACTTTTTGGATCTTAGGAAGCCTAGCCGCTCATAGAGCCTCATGGCCGGGACGTTGGTCTCTTCCGTCTCGAGGACGATCTCGTCGGCATTCCGGTTGACCATGGCGTCTATGGCTCGTTTTACCAAGGCGGTGGCGACCCCGTGGCCGCGAAAGGGCGACGACACCGCAAGCATGGCGATGTAGCCCCGACGGGTGGGAGGGGAGTGGGAGGAATGAACCTCAAGCTTGCAGACAATGACTCCGATGAGCGATGAGTCGGCTGGGTTCAGAGCCTGGATACCGTAAGCGATGTCATCGTATGAAGGGAAACTTCACGAGGGTGAGACCGACCATGAAGCATAGATGTGCCCATTGGCAAAGAAAGTAGCGGTACACATAGATGCTGTAGGGCTCGCTAAGGTCTTTAGAGATGAGTGATCTGATGGCCGGGAGGTACTGAGACTCCAGCCCGTGCTGGTACTGGATATACTCCAGTCCGGGGGGCTGCGCCATGGTGAGCCCTTGAGTGTCGGATCCCAACGGCAGTGAGCGTCGTGGTGGAGGATTGTTGATCCAGTAGGACGAGGTGAGCTGTACGCAAGGTATGCGACGAGCCGAGTCCGACGACCGGACGGGAAAGGTGCAGCAGCGGGTGAGGTGAGGAGATGTCGACGTCGACAGTGGCCCCTCACCTGGCGCGGTCGGTGAGTTGAGCTGGTCAAGCTGGCTCCGGGTCGGCAGGGTTGGTCACGCGGCAGGTTGCACAGTCGGAGGCGCCTGCGCTGGTGCGCCGGTGTCGCCTATGACCGACTTTGGAGCGAAGGAGGCGTGGTTGCCTGGCTTCCGTCCCACGCTGTCACCTGAATCGCACGTGGGCAACGAGGCGGGCTGCAGCAGAGTCGGGGGACTCAAGACGGTGTCGGCGAGGATGACTGGTGGCAGGGCTGGCGGACGCGGGCTTGTGCCCGCATGCCCCCCGTCGATAGGTGCCTTAGTTACTTCGCAGGTAGGAGCGTCCTGTGCCGCGGCGGCCGGGGCGGCAAGCTACCGGAGCGGGATCAGGGCCGGAGGGAGCGAGGCTGAGCTGAACAGGCAGGAGGAGAGGGAATGGGCAGGACGGACGCTCGTATCGAGCGGCGCCGGAGAAAGCTGCACGAACCGCCGTGTAAACCGGGGCGGGCGGATTTCGCGGGGCCTAGACTGCGAACGGACGGGCGCACCTCAGTTTCCAGGTTGTGTGAGTCTGTGAGCTGTGAGCTGCCCGTGCGCGAGCAGGGGAGGGGAGTGGAGGGGAGTGGAGGGGCAGCGGCTGAGGCGGGATGGAAAGTGCAGGCGCTTCAGGTTTGGGCGGGGCGCTGGTCGGAGCTCAGGTAAGGCACAGGCACGGAGCACCACTGGAGATGCGAGAGATGCAACCACACAAGCCAGCTGTGGCACGGGCTCGATAACGGTGCGCAAGCCACCTCACCTACCTGCGCAGCGCGTGTTGCACGCGGCCGCCACCCTTCGCCAGGCACCTCACATGTGATCTTTCAGGACCTGCCCTGCGTAAGACCAAGGGCGGCGACTGCTACATTCAAAACGGCCAAGAGACCGAAAGGATTTGCATCAAGCATCGGTCTAGTAGCTCGTGTCTCAGGGTATGGTAGAGCTGGGATACACCTCCAGGGACGGCACCTATAACCTGGTGGGCGCTACTGTGGCTGGCAGCTCACCAACCCCCCCGTGACTGACTGACTGACGTCGTCGCGCGCGGCGCAAAGTCACCTTACCCAACCCGTACACGTATTGCTGTCCAGCCCTCGCGCCAGCCGCGCCTGTTGTAGAGTTTTTCCGTCTTCATGTTCGTCTCGATGCAATTCTCCCACTCACACGAGGCAGTAGTCTGGTCACCTTGGCACCTTGCTTGGCGCCTCATTCCTATCGTCCCGTGGAGGACCGCCCTTGCAGCGCGCTGTATCCAACTGTAACGCCCCCTGCCCCGCCTAAACCACCACCTCGGCGCCGCAACAACATTGACGTTGCCCGCCTGCTGAGCTGCCAATCCAAAGCCCCAGGGTCAGGACGTCACAGCTTCCCAACCTCTGCATTCTCGCCGCCTCACCAGTCTCGGCCTCCCGCGCGCACCTGCTCGACGCGGCCACGACCTCGTCTGTATCCGGGCCGCGCAATGGCCACTACTTTGCGTCGCCGCATCCCGCACGAGACCAAGGTCATCGACGACGATGGCGCCGAGCTGCGCGAGGACAGCCCGGCTGTCCAGCCGGCACCGCACGTACATGTCGTCGAGCGGCCACCCAAGACCCGCAAGCGCCGCAACACCTTCATCTTCTTGCTCGGCAGTCTCTTTGGCCTCGTGGCCGCCGGCTTCTTCGCCAAATCAAACGACCTGATCGACTTTCCCGAGTTCGGTGACCTGTCCATGGACAGTCTGTTCGATGTCCTCCCTGCGGGCTTGGTCCGGGACATGCGCGACCTCGTCCAGGGCGAGCGCGAGGTCACCGACGCGTACGACTCCTTTTCCGTCGGGCTCAAGGCCCGCGCCGAAGGCTTGGACGCGCACCACCCAATGATCATGGTCCCGGGAGTCATCTCCACGGGCCTCGAGTCCTGGGGCACAGCCAACATCTCGAGGCAATACTTCCGGAAGCGTCTGTGGGGTAGCTGGACCATGATGAGGGCACTGGTGCTCGACAAGGAGGTGTGGAAGAAGCACATCATGCTCGACAAGCGCACAGGCCTCGACCCGCCCTTGGTCAAGCTGCGCGCCGCCCAGGGCTTCGATGCGACCGACTTCTTCATCACGGGCTACTGGATCTGGAACAAGATCTTCGAGAACTTGGCCACCATAGGCTACGACCCCACAAACTCCTTCACTGCCGCCTACGACTGGCGCCTGTCTTACCCTAACCTCGAGGTCCGAGATCAGTACTTTTCCCGCCTAAAGTCCTACATTGAGACCGCCGTGGCCTTCGAAGGCCGCAAGGTCGTTCTTGCGTCGCATAGCATGGGCAGCCAGGTCATCTTTTACTTCTTCAACTGGGTGCAGTCCGAGAAGGGCGGCCGCGGCGGCAACGACTGGGTCGAGCGCCACGTGGACTCGTGGATCAACATCAGCGGCTGCTTGCTGGGTGCCGTCAAGGGTTTGACGGCGGTCCTATCCGGCGAGATGCGGGATACGGCGCAGCTAAACGCCTTTGCTATCTACGGGCTGGAGAAGTTCCTGAGCAAGGAGGAGCGAGCCGAGATCTTCCGAGCAATGCCCGGCATCTCGTCGATGCTGCCCATCGGTGGAAACGCCGTCTGGGGAGACAAGAGCCGGGCTCCGGACGACCAAGAAGGGCAGTCCTTCTCGTACGGCTCCCTGCTTAACTTCAAGGTCGCCGCCAACTGGACGACGCCAGAGAGGAACTTGACCGTCGACGACTCCTTGGCTTACCTCTTCAATACGACAGAAGATTGGTACCAGGACCATGTCAAGGGGAGCTACTCGCACGGCGTAGCGCATACGGCTGCTGAGGTCAAGGCAAACCGAAACGACCCGCGCAAGTGGATCAACCCTTTGGAGACCAGCCTCCCCAACGCGCCCAGCCTCAAGATATACTGCTTCTACGGCGTCGGGAAACCGACGGAGCGGGCGTATTACTATCGCGCGCCTGACCAACCGCTCGCGACAAACCTGAACATTACTATTGATACGGGGCTCATTGAGGGCGAAGTCGACCACGGTGTTGTGATGGGCGAGGGGGACGGCACAGTGAACCTCTTGAGCACCGGGTACATGTGCAATCGAGGCTGGCAGATGAAGCGGTACAACCCTGGCAAGTCCCGAATCACGGTCGTGGAGATGCCTCACGAACCGGAGCGCTTCAACCCAAGAGGAGGGCCCAACACGGCCGACCACGTCGACATTCTCGGGAGACAGAATCTCAACGAGCTCGTTCTGAGGGTAGCTGCGGGCAAGGGCGACACGATTACGGACTACGTGGTGAGCAACATTCGCGAATACGCCGACAAGGTGGATATCTATGAAGAGGGGGAAAGGCCGTGAGTTGGTCCACGGCGTGCCGGATGGCAGTGTCGACGGCGGGAAGGTTGTCTGATATTTTAGGCGTTTGGCGTTTGAGCGGCGATACATCACATGGGGTTGCTGGGACGGCTGGCTCGTGTTTCGGAGCCGATACAATACCCTCGGGATGTGGCCACTGGATGGATCGGACGGACAGCGCATGGGCAGGAGCATTGGTGTAAAAGGGGGCAGCGACGCTGGGCCTGGAGGTGACGCCTGTAAGAAGAGAGACGTCTGGCCTGCGTCGGATGAAGCATTGGACAGCAGTGTATGAAAGGCATGGAGAGACGTTTGCCAGCCAACGGACGAGGCCACAACCGGCAATGTACATACTTCGTACGTATACGATAAAATCTGGAAATGAGGTCGCGGTGCAGGGGCCTCGAATCACCTCGTTTGCCAAGCAATTCTTACACTGCGCATTAGCGAATTGTATGTAATAGAAGCTCACGCCTTCCATCGGCGGGCTAAATTATAAGCTCAGCGGGGGAGGGCCGACGCCCGGGCGGGCATTGCAGTGGCCAACCTCGCTCGGCCTTGGTTTGTTACCCCACCACCACTCTCGCCTCAGACCACCACCTCAGCCATCAACAGCCACCATCCATCCCGTCTCCCACTTGCCTTGCGCAACCAAACGTCTTCGTCCCGCATCTTCGCTCGCCAGACCGCCCGGTCGGTCGGCCCACGCAGAACCCCGTCCGCTCTTGATCGCTGCAACCCCTGCCCTGCGAAGCCCGATGCAGTCGTTGCTGGTGCTGGACGACGACCCGGGCAGCCATGGTCGACTTCGATGAGGCGCCGCCCTCCCCGGCCGGCGACGAGCGGCTCTGGACCGGTGCGCATCGCAAAACCCCCGCCGCCGTGATATCCGGGAGCTGACGATGATGTGGCAGAGCTCAACGAATGCGTGTCGACCGAGTGCGACAGCACGTACGAGACCATCGACAATGCGCTGCGGACATGGCTGGACGTGACGTCCAAGTTTCGCGATCGAGACAGCGACTCGCAAGACGACGTGCTGGTCTGCGCCCACTTGCTGCTGGAGAGCCCGCTGTTCAAGCAGAACAACGACTACGTCCGCACGCAAATCATCCACAGCCTGCTGCAGGAGGATGAGGCTGCTTCCTTGCACGCCATTGCTTCCCTGCTGTTCCTCGACGGGCGACTCGACGAATCTACCTTTCCCCGAATGATATCCGAAGACTGCTTCCCGCGCCTCCTGGAGCTCATAAAGTCCGGGCAGGATGACGACGATCCCCGTCTTCATCGCCTCTTGCTGCAGCTCATGTACGAAATGTCACGCGTCGAGCGCCTCAAGTTGGAGGACCTGATGCTCGTTGATGACGCCTTCATTCACTACCTGTTCCGCATCATCGAAGGCGTGTCCGACGACGTCCAAGATCCGTACCATTACCCAACCATTCGAGTTTTGGTATGTTATTTGCATGCTCCCCGCATTGGCACATATCTCTGACCCGGAAACCATGCCAGCTTGTCCTCAACGAGCAGTACATGCTGGCGTCGACGGATGCCGTCACCGATCCGACAGGCGCGCAAGTGCCCCTTACCAACCGCATCGTCAAGTGCTTGAGCCTCCACGGCCCGCAGTTTCGTACCTTTGGGGAGAATATCATTCTCCTCCTGAATCGCGAGACGGAAACGTCGTTGCAGCTGCTGATCTTGAAGCTCCTCTACCTCCTCTTTACGACCAAGGCCACCTACGAATATTTCTACACAAACGACCTACGCGTCCTCCTAGACGTGATAATTCGGAACCTCATGGATTTGCCGGACGAAAAAATGTCGCTCAGACACACTTATCTGCGAGTCATGTATCCCCTTCTGGCGCACACGCAACTCAGCCAGCCCCCGCACTACAAGAGCGAGGAGATTGTGCGTGTGCTGAGGATCCTGCGGGGCTCGCAGAACGCGCATTTTGCGCCTGCAGACGAGACGACGCTGCGCCTAGTCGACAGGGTCACCAAAGTGAAGTGGCTTGAGGAGTCCATGGAAGAAAGAGCGACGCCACCGCAGGGTGAGGGGACGCCCAAGTACCTGGGTATCAGCTTGTCCCCATCACAGTACGCCAGCAGTATCAGCGTCGGCGACGTCGCCGGCGTGAAAGAGCGACCAGGCGTGCAGACACCGAGCCGGCACGCGGTGACAGCTGGCCTTGGGGCTACGACGGAAGCGAGGTCCCACGAAGATATAATCAAGGTGGTCAAAACTAAGAAGCCTCTTCCCGCAGTGCCGAAACACAAGCACGGGACCCCTTTTGTGCAGATACCGCACATCCAAGTTAATGGCAGCGGCAAGAAGATACCACCAAAGGCGCCGCCGCCGCGCCGCGCCGGGAGGCTAAAATCAACGTCGGAGCCGTCACCGGCCGAGCCTACTATACCAGAATGATGCAGTTGCCGAAGACTGCAACTCGTTCTATGACAGCCCTGCGGAGTCTCTAGGGCCCTTTCTGGTACCGAGCAAAATGTCCAATGGGGCCCTGATTGTCGTTTACTTGAGGTACATAGCTTGTCGACTGATGGCATGGGGGCTAGGAGTACGTATGTACGCTTTGGCTGTTGAAGGGCATTTGCAAGTTTGGCGTTGTGGAGTTTTATGCTTGTGTGGACACATCCTGGGGCGGGCGCGACCGAGAGGGAGGTGGACGGCATACACTGCAATGAAGGGAGCATTGATATCCGGGGCGGGTTCCTCTTCAGCGGGCACAATTGCGGCATGTGAAGTTGCAACGAAGCTGGACTGTCTGTATCAAGAGGCACTGTCGGCGCATTGCAATGCAATGCAATTGGAAGGGCATTTTTCCACACATGGGGATTCGAATGACGATCTCGAACAGCGGTGCTCGATGCTCGCCGGTAGAATCGATACAGTTGCCCGGAGGCAAGTAGGGTTGGGTCCGGATCCGGCGCTGGACGCCGGTGGAGCGGTCTGACGTCCGGCCGGTAGTTGCCGGGCCAAAGACACTTTTACAATTCTGGGTCGCCCGGGGCCTTGGCGGCCGGCGGGGGGTTTTGCAAGCACTTTATCACAGCGGACGGAGATGACGTGAGTGCCGTGTCGTCGCGAGCTGAATCAATCTGCGTGGGCGCTTGAGGTTATGCGCGAGTGGACACGCAGACGGGGATTGTGGGATGCGTGCGAGCGAGTCACGAAGTTTGTCAATGCCGTCGTGAAAGCGCGCAACTTGTTGAGACCAGTTTCGATAGACGGACGAACGGCATTGGCGCCGGCACCGGCACGGCCGAGCTGCATGCGCATGGAAACAAGTCGGTGCCCTGAGAGTAGCACGTACAGCATGGCGAATTGGGCAGCGCGGGACGAGGCGAGGCGAGGCGAGGCGAGACGTTCGCGGGGCGGCGCGGCGCCATCTGCACGATGACGACGGATGGACGGATGGCAGGTCGCCGACGCCGAGCAAGCCAGCAGCAGCAGCGGTGCGACTGTCCATCCTTGCCCATCCCATCCATCCCACTCAATCCCCAATCTTGCCATCTCGGCCCGCGTGCGTGCGTGCATGCGCAAAAATGGAAGCGCAGCTTGGGCTGTCTCAGTGGCGGCGGCGCCTTCCAACCATCCATCGACCATCCTTGCCGGGCATCCAGTCCCGTTCTCCAATTGGGGATCGACCTCGGGGCTGGCTTGCTTGGGGCGAGGATGGGGATGGGATCATGGATGGAGGGGAGGGATGGAGGGAGGGGCGCGGGGTGGCTGAGCCCCGAGAGATTGGCGGTCGCTCGATTGACGTCATGAGCGCGCCCCAAGTCCCGTCCCCAACGGTGGATTCGGCGCGGTCGGCGACGGCGCATCAGCCGGTCTTGCTTGGCACCGCGGTGGTGGTGATGGTGCGGCTTTGCTGAATTACATTGGCACATACATGTGCGATGAACTACGGTTGACGTCGACGCCGTGTATGTCATGTAATTGTTGGTTGCGCACTTGCGACGGCGTTGACGGTGTGAGAAAGGGAGGGAAATGGCTCATGTTTGCGCCGCTGCGAGCGAGCCCGTGCAGTTTCACATCTCGCATGTGCTGCGGCGCACGAGATGGGCATGCGGTGGAGGCAAACCATGACAAGAGCCAAGTATCTGGGCTGGGCCCTTGCGCGGCGTCCATGGCTTGCATATTTGATGCGAGGAACAGCGGCAACGGCAGCAGCGGCGGCAGCAGCAGCCACAGACCCTGGCGTTCCAACGGTGCGACGCGCCCTGCCGGCAAGTAATCTACTGCGCGAGGTAGCTGTCTGTTCAAGTACGAAAGCACTTGATACAGTGCACGACTCTCAGGATCCAATGTCAATCCAATCATCCGCCTGGAGTCAGCGACGTGCATGGCTGCGCCGACCGGCGGTGGTGTATTGTCGCCTGACGGAGGGCCCGCCAGGGGCCCGATTAATGATCACGAACCGCCGGCCTTGAAACCCCCCCGTTGGTGCTGCCTCGCAGCCGGTGGCGATGGCGGCGACGACGACGACACAGAGACGACGACACTACGGCGGGGACTACCAGGGAAGCTCCCGTCCCAGCGGCACCAAGGTTCCAGGTTGGCGGAAGCACCCACATTGCTGGTGCTGCGCCGCGGCACGCCGCCGTCTAATGCCCGTAGCACCGCCGTCCTGGCTTGGCCTTGCAGGTTGGTGACGAGGTACGTAGGACAGCAGGAGCTCCCGTTCATGATTCAAACGCACTGGAGACGGCGTGATGCGGCCAAGGCCCGTGCCAACGGATGGAACCCTCAGTGATTGCGTCAACCACCGGCTGGCCGCCTCCACTAACACCACCTGGGCAGTCATGCAACAGCTGAAGCCCAGAGGGGGGCATGCCTGGGTCCAAGGCCAGCCTGGCAGGGCACCTGCGCTGTAAGTTACAGCCTGGAGGCGCTGCTCGCTGGTGCTGGTGCTGGCACTGGCCGTACCTAGGTCGGGCATAGGTATTATGTAACTTATCCCATGCCCCGGTCCCGGCTCCGCTTCCCAGCTGTGCTGTGCCTGTGTTTGTGCGCCAAGCAAGGAACTGCCCGGTCAACTGGACAGCCTGGGTTACCTCGCCTTCCACGACGGCAATTCAACTCAATCTCCTCCGCTGGGCGCGCGCGCATCCAGCAACATCACCCCCGTCATCGTCATCGTCGTCGTTGCCGTCAACGACAGCCTCCTGCTCCTGCTCCCCGCCCGGCCGCCGTCGTCCCACCGGCGCCGTCTCAGCCGTGCTCTCTCCACTCCGGCAGTGCGCTGCTCTGTCTCTCAGTCTCTCTCTTGCACTTGTTGCCATTTGCTCGCGCCGCCGCTCCACCCTCCGTCCCATCCCAAGCCGTCCGTCCATCCACTCACTCCATCCATCGGGCCCCCCTCCCCAGTGTATCGCAGCTCATCAGTCTCCGTCAGGCCCGAAACCTTGTTGAGCAATTTGGGGCCCCGATTCGCCCGCCGCGACGCCGCGGTGGGCTGTTTGTCCAGCTCGTGCGGTGTCGCTACGTAACAACGGCGCCCGCGTGCTAGGTTGTTGCCATTGCAGGCCACTTGCCTGTCCTGTCCTGTCCCGTCTGTGCCTGTAGGTAGGTTCGAGGGAGTGGGCCTAGGTAGGTAGGCTCGCAAGGCAAGGTACCTACGAGACCTAAGGTACCTACCTACCTTACCTCACCAAGCGGATTGGCGGCAGTCGTCACTGCAAGGCCCGCCGCAGCGCTGCGCCGTCACCGACTACGACGACGACGTGCGACGTGCGACGACGACCAGGACGGGAGGCCCAAGCCCGTGCGTGGGCTGGCGGTACTTGCCCCTCCACCCGCCCTCCACTGCGCTCCTCCGCGCCCGACACACGCTTCGCAGACGTACCACCAGCGTCACTGCGACCGTCCGATCCCAATCCCCCATCCCACCCCCATCCCTACCTTGCCGACCTGAGCAAGCCCGTGGCGGCTAGTGCCCTGCATTTATTACCTGCCCGGCACCGCCGTCATGGATCGCCGCCCACCGTCTCTGGTGTCGTCGTTGTCGCATCACAGCAACGGCCCCGACTCCCACCGGAGCTCCCTCGTCATTGAGCAGCAGAACCGTCGCCATTACCAACACCCGAACAGCCCATACGCCTCGTACTCGCAGTCGAACTCGATCTCGAACCACCCGCAGGCGCAGCGAGCAGCCGCCGCCGCCGCCGCCGCTGCCCGAACTCCCAGCGGCTCGCCCTCTCCCTCGCCGTCAGGTCTCGCCGGCCGAGGCAGGTTCACCGAGGAGTGGGACGCCAGCCAGCGAGGCAGCTCCATCATCGACGGCCCGACCAGCAGGCGCATCAACAACGTCGCCGCCATGGAGCGCACCAACTCCGTCCGCAGCTTCTCCGCTGGCGACGACCAGCAGCTGCCCATCCGGAACAACACCCTCAAGAAGAAGAACTCGATGCGTCGCACCAGCAGCTTGCGACGGAGCAGCAGCCGCCGTAGCAACAGGGCTGGCAGCGTCAGGAGCCTCGCCCTCCACTCTGCTTCGGATCCGGACGACGCCTCGAGCGCTTTCTACTGCCCTGTCCCGACATCGGGAAACCCTACCGACATTCTCGCCAACCGATTTCAGAGTAAGTCCCCCGAAGGAGAGGCGCTCGTTGCTCCCCTCGCGCCGTCGCGCCTTCGGTCCGTCTAGGCTAACCGCCGACTCTCGCAGCATGGCGCAAGGTTCTCAAGGATCTAATCGCCTACTTCCGCGAGATCCAATCGCACTATGAGCACCGTTCCAAGAACCTCGTCAAGCTCGCCAACGTCGCCAACAACATCTCTACCCCGCCCAACTTCCTCAAGTCCGCTGGCATCGATGATGCGCTCCAGTTCCTCCGCAACTACAACAAAGCTGCGATTCAAGAGGCCAACAAGGCCAGGGATATTGAGGAGGATGTCATCTTGGCTCTCACCGGACTAAGGAGCGATCTCCAGCAAAAGATCAAGGAGATCAAGCACCTTTCGGGTGACTTCAAGAACTCGGTCGACCGGGAGATGGACCACACCCGCAAAGCCGTCAATTCACTCTCCGACGTCCTTGACAAGAATGAGGTCGATGCATCGTCTACGACGGGCAAGCAGGACCCCTATCTGTTGCGCCTGGCGGTGGATCACCAGGTCGAGCGGCAGATAGACGAGGAGAACTACCTCCACCAGGTAAGTCCCGTGTTCGATCAATTGGGTCACATGTAGCGATTCTGACCTTCTCCTCTGCTACAGGCATATCTCAATCTCGAGGGTTCTGGGCGTGAGCTAGAGTCCATTGTTGTCGGCGAAATTCAAAAGGCCTACAACGCCTATGCTGGCATCCTCAAGCGCGAAGCCGACAACGCATATGCCGTCGTCGAGGAGCTGCGTGACGGGCCCATCTCGATGCCCAAGGACCAGGAGTGGATACACTTTGTGACGCACGACGACCAGATTGTCGATCCGACCATTCCCATGCGGACAGCCGAGCAGATTCACTATCCAGGCCAGGACCATGTGGCTGCTCAGGAGATCCGTGCCGGTTTGTTGGAGCGCAAGAGCAAATACCTCAAGAGCTACACCGCGGGCTGGTAAGCGCATATTGCCCTCGTCGCGTTATCCCTGGCCACTGCACGGCCATGCCATCACCCAAATTCACAGAGCTAACGACGACTAGGTATGTTCTCTCGACGACGCACCTCCACGAATTCAAGTCAGCCGACAAGGCGCAAGCCCCGGTCATGTCACTGTACCTGCCGGAGCAGAAGCTTGGCTCGCACTCCTCAGAGGGAGGGTCCTCCAACAAGTTCATCCTGAAGGGCCGCCAGACGGGCACCATGCACCGGGGTCACACCTGGGTCTTCCGCGCCGAGAGCCACGACACGATGATGGCTTGGTACGAGGACATCAAGGCTTTGACGGAGAAGACGCCCGAAGAGCGCACCCAATTCGTCCGCACGCACTCTCGCAGCCTCAGCCGATCATCGCGCCGATCCGTCAGTAGCGACGGCATCCTCGACGAGGATGATGACGAGCCATTCTCGGCCACTCACGAGGATGTCAACCCGGAGCCCCGACCTGACTCGGCGTCCCGACGACCTCAACCAGGTGGGCGGTTCCCATCAGATATCCAAGTCAACGCACAGCGAGGCTTACAGGCGCCTCAATCGCCGTCTAGTGTGAGCTCCGGCCGACACGAGTTCCCTTCTGAAGGTCAAGCCATTGCAGCCGCAGGAGCTCTGCCGGTGGCGGCGTACGCAGCCGGCCATCACGACCATGGAGCAGAAGACCACATGGGATACGGTGGCACGGAGCAAACGCCAATGGAACAGATGCCATCGCAGGCGGTGATCGCTTGTCAGGAGGGCCATCACGATGGCGTGAACCCCTACACGAGCTCGCCGGCACAAGAGCCTCACTCGGCGCATCAGGACGGTTACTTCGTGGCGCCCATCATTGCGTCCAGCATCCACCGGGAGCAGCCGCAGAACGACCTCGACCGGGAGGCGAACGGCACCCGGCCAGATGCGCTCGATCAACAACACAACGGAAGCGCACAGAAGCTCGAGCAGCCGGCCCAAGTGAACGGTGCCGAGTACGTCAACGGAGGCATCGCCAGCGAGAACGACAAGGTCATCGGCATGACGGCGGGAAGTATCCCGAGGTCTGAGACGCAACAGGAGCTGGCGCTGCAGTCTGTGCCAGAGGCGGAAGCGGCCGACCTCAAGTCGCTTCCCGCGGCGCCGCTCACGGACGCTGGCAAGGCGAACCTGAACCGCCCCGGAGACCACAGGACAGAAAGCTTGGCGACTATCTCGAATCTCCCTATGCCCGGACAATACCCCAAGGGGAGTGGAGTTGCCTCGCCTTGAACCGCACATCATTTGCTGCCGAATGGGGCATGGCCTTTTCTCTTTGCACACAACCGCATGTATGATTCTTGGTACGTTCCTTGCTACCCTGTCGCTTATCTGATGGACGTCTTCCCCCCATCACTTACCGAGTCTTTGGACGCCTGGTTTTTTTTCTTCTCTCGTGTACAAGTAACACAATTGTGTCCGTTCTCTTACTGTCCTATCGTCTTTTGTTTTTTATGCATGCTTTCTTCGCTGTCTGTCCTTGGTCTGGTTTGGTCTGGTTTGGTATATAAGGTAGGAAAGAAGGGCAGAACTCCTCTGGGAGACGGCAGCAACAACAGCAACAACAAAACGAAACAGTCAACTTTGAGTAAGCTGCCGTATGCGGCACTGGTGCACTCGAGGCACCGTGGATACCTGGGATGGAAGCAAACAAAACCCTCCGGCTTTGGCCGAAGAACGAGGCGGTGGATTTTGGAGGAGCATGCGCCGGAGTGCCTCGAACAGTGTTGTAGTCAGAATATATGGCTCTTCGCCGATACTTGCGTCAAAGACCTACGTATGCCGTGAAGTGGATCTCGTCAACGGAGAGAGGACAGGGCGAAATGCGAAGGGGTATCGTGTATCATCTGTAGCTACGGAGAGGTTGGGTATGCCCGCCGTCGATGACCAAGCTGTCCTGTGCTGCCATCACGAGAACGTCTGTCGACGCTCGCTGCTGCCGCTTCCGAGTACCAATCCCAACGGGGGCGCTTGCCCTCTCTACCATTATTTACACCCCGCCAGCCCGTCGCCTCGGCTTTGCCGGGCGCGCATTGCCGGAGAGCACACCAGACCGACCCCACGCCGCGCAGCCGCATCAACCCCCATTTTTTCCCGCCTTCACACCGCCGTCTAAGCTTTCCGCCAAAGGAGCTGCGCCGCAGCCGCGCAGCGCCGTCGCCGTCACCACAGGGCCCCCACTTCAAGGCTTGGGTATGCGGATGGTCCTGCTGGTCATGAGGCAGCCGTGGACCATGAAGATGAGCACGACGGGGTGGAACTCGAGGGCGGAGCCCTGGAACCAGGCACCGAGGGGCAGGTCCTGCAGGATCCAGCGGTTGCGGACCCAGTACGCCATGACGGCGTCGACGGCGAGCGACGTGGGGATCGGGGTGCCCTCGAAGTAGGCGCTCTTGCCCGAGGCGTCCTTGGGGAGGACCGAGACGGTCACGTTGAAGCGCGCCAGGCGGGTGAGGCCGCAGAGGACGAAGAAGGTGAGGCCCACGGTGTCGAGGACGGAGCGCATGCCGATGGTAAAGGCCACCATGGCGGGAGCGACGCCAAAGGAGATCTACACAACGAGCGTCCGTGTCAGCGCACTGTGACATCACTGTGACATTTGGGACATTGGATTATCCAGAGGGGGCGGAGAGGGTTGGACCGTACCAGGTCAGCCAGGGAGTCGAGCTCCTGTCCCATGAGGCTGCTCTTATGCCTCCACCGCGCGACGCGCCCGTCGAAGAAGTCAAAGAAGAGCCCAAACGGCAGGAAGACGAGGGCGAGCCACACGTTGTCGAGGGCGGCCGGGTCGCCGAGGCAGTATCGCAGGGACGAGAAGATGGACATGACGCCGCAGAAGCCTACCCGGGTCGCTCGTCAGTAAATACTCCTCTCATCGCGACGGGATCCGAGCCCGGAGAGGGTGTTCCCCAATGGCTGGACATACCGTTCATGAGGGTGATGAGGTCGGCGAGGTGCATCGCCCGGACGAGGGAGAAATGTCCCACGTCGGCGGACAAGAGCGTCTTTTGCTTGTCGATGGCTAATTCGCCACGAGTCACGTCAGCATGAGGGAGGGAATCAAGACGCGCTGCGAAGCCATCACGCATTGCCGGCAGTGAAGGACAGGAGAACCCGTACCAGGCTGGTTGCTGGTGCCAGCGTCCTTGCCGACGCCGCCGTTGGAGCTGGTCACCATGGCGCTGCTTCTTTTCGACATTGCCCCGTATCTGTCTATATGTAGGTAGAATGCCGGAGGATGGAGATGATGAAACGGAAACACGACAAGAAAGCGCTGCAGACGTAAATGCGGTATTTGGGCCGGTTCAGGAGTCGCGTTGGGGAGGTGGCACAAGGGGCGTCAATGCAGGAATCGGGCGTTCGAGGGGAGAATTGGAGGTACGAGGTCGCTTGGCGAGGGGGGAGAGCGCGAGCGGGAGGAGTGACACGGTCCCTGGTGGAGGTTGTGCGAGGTCTCTCAACGGCGGTGGACGGGGGGGCGGTGCACAAAAGTCGGAGCAGCCTCAACGTGTGGGGATGAAGTCATCGTTCTCCAAAACAGGGATCGATTCAGCAGCAGAACTGTTGCGCACAGCCTGTCAGTCAGGCGGCAGCCCAGGCCTGTGGCGGGAGCTTGTGTGGGGGGGTGCCGTCACGTGATTGCGCTGACTGAGTGCCCGAATACAGGCTCGCTGGCTGGCTGGCTGGCTGGCTGGCTGGCTTATTAGGTACTGTGGTGACTGCCGACCAGCTGACTGACTGTCTGGGACGACACGAACGCTTCGTGACCTCGCAAGTCTCGGCCGCGTCAATGGCTGCAGCAAGCGACGCCGTCCAACCTAAGCCTGCCGTAGGCTGCGCAGTCGAGCTGGCCAGCCGACTCCTTCCGCCTCCTGCCGCCTCCTGCATGGATGCACATCGCGCGTGACGCCGCCACCCCAACGAACGCAGCACCGCACGTCTTCACATGCTTGCCCGTGTCTCATCGTAGTGTTTGCATTATAGCTGTCGCCGCGCTACGCGGCTAGGCCCCCAGACCCAAACTCCGTGACACGATCCGAGCCGCGACTCTGCGCGACAATGTATGCTGATCAGACGTCCAACCCGAGCTGCTGTGCCTTCATGATTACCCTGCCCATGACATGATATAAACCTGTGTTGCAACCGGGACCCTGCGTTTCCTGATGGTCGGTATCGTGCGAAGTGAACAAAACTCTCCTTTTCTGACTATGCATTGCCCCCCATTCACATCCCTCCTTCGAATGCTGTGGCTACTATGTCGTTGTCAAGCCGTGAACGTCTGCCCTCTCAGGGGCTCGAATTGATTGTTGTCCGTCGTCGATTGCGGTACTGTACATTCGCGCTCGCACGTACGCGCCATGCGCGTGCCGAGGCTGAATTAAGTCACAAAGAAAACAGCTAATCGTCGCGGGCGCTCCGCCTCAGCGTCTGATCAGGGTCGAGAAGCCGTCCACCCATGGCCCGCATGAGCCGGAGACGCCGCAAATGGAATATCCACGAGGAGGAATTAGAGTGTGCCTGCAAAGCATCAGTCAGTCGGTCTGAATCACGACATGGGAAAGTGCTTGAAACTTACGCGGCACCGCCGTAAGCATTGCCAAACATGGCCGACTTCCGTCCAAGGCTTGTCAAAATCTGTATGCCGTCGATCCAGAAGCCGGCTCGGACGATGAAGCCGCTCAGATATTCCCCACGCCGAAGGTCTGCAATCAGTCAGTCAGTCAGTCTGTGCTACCTTATATGAGCAGCGCCCATGGCTTGTCCGTACCGAATTCGACTGCATCGCCGCCCTCCTTTCCGCCGCGGCTTCCAAAGAGCTGTCTCGAGTCGTCGTCGTACACAAACTCCAGGCCGTCGACGGCAGAGCCATGGTAGACGATAATCCGAGCCATAGCCCTTCCCTGTTTGATGGCGCTTGTGAAGATCACTTCATCGTCCTTACTGCCTTCCATCTTAGACTGACCCAGCTTGAGGCTCCTCGAGGCCAGCTTGCCGTTTCCAAGCTTCACGAATGACTTCTTGTTCGTAAAGGCCTGGACGTCATCTATCGTCAACGAGCCACCGCCGTGCGACTTGATCGATATGCTGATGCGCCCTTTTCGCTTCGCCTCTGGCAGTCTTGCCTTTAAATCCTGTTCGTGGAGCGAGACCTGTCGCTGAATCGGTGAGCTGTCAGTCGGAAACTCGATCCACGTGTGGCAGACGTCCTCTCCTTCAACGAACAGCTCCACAAAGGTGATCCCTGTTGCTGCCATGGCCATGATGCTGCCACCTTCTGTTGCAAACGCTTGGACGCTCTCGTCCGGATTCATGGGCGGGTCGCTTGGCAGGCGGAACGCGGGATGGGCGCGAAATCGGAGCACGTCCAGACGATGCCAGCCGCATTCATCTTCCTGCAGAGCAAGGCCGCCTTTCGACTTGGTCCTCGTCGAATATGCTTCGCGCGGAACAAACGTCCTGTTGAGGACAACGTAATCGCGGAGCATGATGCCGGATTCTTGGTGCGGGCAGCCAAACAAATGACCTGTCTCATGCAGGTGCGCGCCAATGCCGATGTTGGCGGCTTCCCACGAGCTTCCTGCATCGTTGCAGTCGTTGGCAACGTAATTGGTGTCAGTCGGCGTGCAGTCGGTGAATGCGGGCACCACCTCTTCGAAGCTGGTGGGGTAGCTCTGCAGGCAATGCGAGCCGAAGATTGCGAGCTGCAAGTCTCCTGCATTGCCACCGAGGGCGGCATGACCGGTGATGGTCTGCGCGTCCACATCCCAGTGCGCATCGAGCAGCAAGACCGAGACGTAGTGCTTCTGTCCGGGAAGCGGGTTGAAGTAGCTTTTGACGGCATCGGCGGCGATGCCAAAGAGGGCATCCTTGTCGGTGGCCTTGGAGTTTTGCTGTGCCCGGTTCAAGTCCCGCAGCTCGGCTACGGTCTTGTCAGACCGGATGACGTGAACCCTCGCCTCGGACCGCATGATGCCGTGCTCCCTGTCGCGGTAGTTGGAGGACCCCAATGTCCACTCCTCTTCAAACCGGAAGGCGCGCCGGCCCAACCGGTGGCGCCACATCTGCTCGGCAGTGAAGGCCTGCCACAAGTATGCCGCCATTCGAAACTTTCTTATGGCAGTCTCCAGGCCGTTGCCTTCCCGCTCCGCTCTTGCGGGAGCAGCATCGAAAGTTGCTGGTGAGTCCCTGCCCAAGAGGATTGCTAGCTGCAGCGGCGGTGCGTTCATCGTCGGAAGCATGTGTAAGGTAAGATAGGAGGCGTGGATGGGGTTCGAGGACGAGCTATTGACCAGCTTTGGGCTGGAGAAGTCAAGGCGAAACTTGTTTGGACCGGGTTGCAGATAGACGAGTGCTTTGAAATGCGACTCGCATACGGGCCAGGTAATGGGCGGGAAGGCGTCGTCATACCGGCTGACGACGACATTGCCGTTGATCGGTGGCGAGTCTGGCTCTCCAATTGTACCATATATGAGGAGCGTTTTTTGATACACCTAAAAGCAATGTCAGACATTCTGTTTTGCGTTCAAGGAGCATTATCGTGGGCGCTTTGATAGTTTCGCATAAGGAGGGCATACCCAGGAGTTTTCTGCAACGTTATGCACCCGCGGCGCATATTTTGATAGTGGTATGCTGTTCTTGCCGCTAATGGAGGGCGACCCGAGGCCAGACATGCCCGAGACACTGTATCTGCTTCCATTGGAACCTGGCGCAAGCATGGGGCGGGCCAGCGGCGACTGCTGCGGCTGCAGCTGCGGAATTGGGCTGTTATTCTTGACCAGTTGATCAAGCGAGGGATCCGACTGCTGCGCAATGGACGGAGGCGTAACCGAGCCGCTCGAAGGCGACGTCTGCTGGCTCACGACGCCATCGCTAGAACCGTCGGTGGAATTGTCGGTGCGGAAGCTGGCTTTCGAGCGGCGACGAAGCTCCCTGAGACTCAGGAAGCTCGGAGCCATGGCCGACGTCGCTGACTCGAGGGTACTGGTGTCGCGAATGCCGTGGCGGCGGCTGCCCGGTGCCGTGGCCGCTTCACGACCGGCGTCCGAGGATGATATAACGGCGAACGAATGTCGGTTGGCGATCCCAGTGACCTACTGGAAAGGGCCTGAGTCTCGAAGTTATTGCGAAGGGAGGAAAATGACTGTGGCGTTGGCAGGCTCGCCGACAGGTTGTCAAGGCCAGCGAGGCGAGTGCCGTTTGCGGTCGTAGGGGGAGGGTTAGGCTGTTTTGTTGTTGTCGTCGTCAGCTGGGGCCAGGGTGTGGGCGGGAGCTGAGCAGAGGGCCGAACTAACATTCGGGCGTCACAGGCGCGCTCCTGCGACGGCGACGCAACCAAGGGTGAGGAGCAAACGGGAGAGGGCGGTAACGATCGTGGAGGGCAGAAGAAGGAGAGCGACGGGCAGTGTTGGGGGATGTTCAGGAAACTGAGAATACGAGTGCGAAGGAAGGTCAGGGCGAGCTGCTACCCACCCCGGTCTCAGAGCTTGGGCTGTCAGTTGGCGGTTCCACGGTCATTCAGTTGTACAGGAGGAGCCTGCTGGCCGTGGTGGAAACCGCCCCGGGTGCGGAGGCCGATTGCGTGCATTTCTGGCCTGGCCGGCAGGCGCAACTGCCACCGGAGAGGTGCTGGGACGGCAGGCATTACGACGGTGGTACGGCAACGGTACGAGCCCAAGCTGGCGTCCCGTCAGTTTGCCGGGCAGCAGCTGGAATTCCCAGTCGGGCGACGTCTTCGCGCTACTGCTAGTAAGTGCACCTGGTGGTGGTGTGGGCGCCGGACGATCCATCGGCAAGGTAGGCAAAGGCACGGCAGGGGGCGTGATGGGGCTGCTGGGCGGCTTCTAAAATTGATCGACCCGACACGATGGCCGAAGGCGGTGCAGACAAAGCCGCATCCTGGAGGTGCGCTGCGCATGGCATAGGTGGCCTGCCATGGACGGGTGCTGCCCGCCGCGGGGCGTTTCGATTCGAGCGGTGACAGGCTGACGACACTTGTCCGGTGCGAGCGAGGTACTAGAGGTACTCGCCATGTACTTGAGCGAGTCGTTCCTCCAGGCACGGGACTGGACCGAGTGATGCAACTCTCGCTCTCTCTCTCTCTCCCTCTCGGTGCCTGTGTCCGGCCACGGCAGGCTCGGGTTGCGGGCTGACCATGGCACCTCCTTCCCTTCTTCCTAGGGTACTTCGTACCGGCCCCGAGCCTCGCTCGCCTTGCCCTGCCTTGCCTGATCTCGTCATGCCAAGCACCTCATCATCGCAGCATGTTCCAGCGTCCGTCGGAGCTGCACGCGCGCGCACTGCAACGAACCTCATCAGCGTCTCGTCGTTGCAGCGGGCCGACGGCTTCCATTCGCAACCTGGAACGGGCCAGCTTCGTCGAGCCGCACCTCAGCAGAACCCCAGCATCCCAGGCACCGGTAACGTGCTAGCGCTAAACCGCTGGAACCTCCGAAACGGCGCTCCCGGGCTTGGAGCCGCTAGCGCGGCGGTTCCAAGGTGCAACATGATCCATCCTGCAGTAGGTCCTCCTGGCAGCGGGGCTCAGCGGTCGCTTGCGGGCAGCCAGGGCGGGCCGGCGTCCAGCAACTGGGTCCGTCCATGACGTCGCGACTCTGCAGCAGCCCGCCCGCGCTGGTGGTGCTCGCCCTTGTCGCCGTGGTGGAGGTGGAGAACGTCCGCATCGTGGCCTCTGCAGGTGCGTTCTAAGCTCCCCAAGTTGGCTCCGTTGGTGGCTCCCTGCCTACGGCGCGGCACGTCTACATTTGAGGTACCAAGGCATCAAGGGTACCTACCTACCTTACCTCAATGGCCCTGCAGCATGTCCGGCAGCAGGATTCGCGTCGGGCGGGGCGGCCTTGGCGAAGAAATGCATGTCGCAAACGGGCATCCGTTGCAGCTCAGACAATCCCATGCATCGAGATGATGGTTAATTACTTGCTTGAGCCCGCCAACTTTTTGAATTGGTCGTCTCCACTGCACACCGGGATTTCTTATCGCCCCTCGGTCAGGTAACAACAATCGGGCGGCTTTCCGATTCACACGTCTGGACTCGTCAATGGCCTTGTCGCCACATCCCATGCGCCGCGATGATGATGTGGGCAATATTGTGGCAGAACTACCTTGCACTGGCGGCGGGCGCCTTCGTCTGCCCCTGCCCGACTGCCGATTAGGTTCTACAGGTTGCGGGCCGACGACTGAGTGCTTGAACGGAAGACGACACCAAGGACACCTCCCTACGCTGCACCACCACCCCTTCGCAGACACGGGCATGCAACCGGGTGACGTTTGCAGCCTGAGCACATCCGACCAGGACCGCAGCGGGCCGTGCTGCGCACCGCGCTGAACTGTCCCGTGCACATGCAATTGCAGCACTGGCCAGGTCACGTCGTCGTCGTCGCCCCTTCGAGAACCAGTGTGCTATTTTCCTCCACATGGTGTGTAATCCGGCAGTGCCAATCCTCGTGTAGGCACGAGGTCGAGGGCAGGCGAGTTGCTGAGTGGGTGGTGATGGGCGGTGGGTGGTTGGTGCTCGCCCACGTCTACGGCGCCATCCGTGGCCAACGAGGCCCCCTCTCGCTTCGGCTTGCGACCACACAGTCATTCCACCTCAGCACAGGCTCCAGTACTGTACAGTATTTCGTGCAGTATCCTTAGTATCTTCGTCGTTGCGACGCCCACCTGATGCTCAATACTCGACTCCGGTCTGCTGCAGGCCGTTGGTCAGCATAGACGGGGGCGGGCAACCCGTGCAGGATCGCCACGATCACCTCCACCACCAGGCCAACCAAGCCGCCCAACCCGCCGCATGCAGCAACACGAAGGTCCATCTGCCGCGCTGCCGCGCCATCATTGGCGCCACTCAATCTCGGGTCCGGTGCGGAGTTGCAACTCCTCAATCGCTGGCTTGCTCCCTCCCTCTCATTCCCGTGGCTCATTCTGCTCGTCTTTTCCTTTCGTGGCTTCGAAGAAGCCAGCGACTAAGCCCATTGAATGAGGTTCACAGATGAGACCCGGATCGGCAAACCGTCACTCCTCAACGAAGAACCTGTGGTAGCGCCTCTGTGAGGCAATTGGTTGAGGAATGGGGAGACCAAATTGGCCATTCTCTGCGAAACAGGGAATCGGCCTTCACTGACCTTTCCCGATCTCGATCCCCATACATTCGTGCCGGCTGGATACCGGGATATCAGTAACTACTCGTACTTGTGCTACGTATGTTACCTGACAGCACAGCACCAGCCCGTCGTTGACCCTGCAACGGACGGGCCTGTTCCCACTAACCCTGTCGGGTTCCTCGGGCGAGGTGGAGGGTTCCCGCGAGGGAACCAGGAGTTTTGTGCCGCTGCCCTGCGGCCCCGTCCGCTGGCAAGGTACCACCAGAGCATGCAGCCACAGGCCGACCCGTCCGGACCGCTTTATGGTTACTGCAACAACTTGATACCTGCCCTGTCGATGCATCCAATGTTGCCCTCTTACAATGCTTTGCTAAGGAACAGGTCCATTACTTTTGCGTCAGATGAACGAGCAGCATGGGGCGGGACAGACCCACGAGGACCACACGAAACCGCTCAAAGAGTTCCGGCCCATACCGGTTCCCGTGACAGTTCTGGAGTGTCATCCAAGGTTCGATAGCTCGACTGCCACGGCGCTCGTGGAGGTGGGAGCCTGGAGCCACAAACCATCTATTTCACTGCACCAGGTCTCTCAATTGGCCTTCTAGGGTCTCCAGGTATGGCCATGGGTGAAACGTAGGGACGAGGGGATCGAATTGAATGTGCGGAGTCCATCCATCTGAGGCCGTCGAGGGAGGTAAACCCATGATCGGCCGGACTCCGTCGTCTATCTTCCGACCACGGTGCCCATCGACGGTCCATGGCGCCGTCGTTTAAGTCACTCTGTAACTATCGAAGCACACTCGTTGCCAACTCTAACGCCGATTTGCCATATTCGTGATGGAAGCGGACCCCGACCTTGCCCGTGAAATCTGCACTGCAGAACAACGGATTGGGCAACGCCTTGGAAAGAATCGAGAAGCACACGCTCGCATCCTACGAGCGATTTCAAACGCCATGTCTACAAGTTCCTTCAGTCTGTGGCTCGTGTCAGACATGGCGCTGTGCTTGGAGCGATTCCTCTCGCCGGACCAGCAGCCTCGACTGGGACACCGGACAAGAGCATGGTCAGACAGGCCGTGCTGGGCCGATGCTCCTTATACGTACCTAGTGAGATGGGCTTGTCAGAGACTGCGCCTTGATTTGTTCAGCCGTCGCGCAGGATGCAGGTCCAGCGCCGCCACGCCTCGCCAGCCCGGGGTAGGCACAGGGCTGAAATCCCGGGGGGGGGGGATAAGTGAGCACCTCATCTGGGGGGCGAGGCTTGTTCTGTTTCGTCCGGGATCCAAGCACGCCATGGTCAGCAGCGACCCCGACAGCTGCAAATATGCTGCTGGAAATCCCTCCGGTGCCTTTTGCAAATCGTGCAGATCTCCCCGGTTCCTGTTATCTGGAGAGTTCCAGATAGGCATCGATCCGGAGGGCAATCATACCACTGATGGGTAGCAGAGGAATGCGGCAAGTCGCCCTGCCGACTCACAGGCGCGGCGCTTCCCCGATAGCTGCTGGTAGCGCTGCAACGGCCGCCATCCCTGGCAACCTGGTCATGTAATACCGCAGGGCCTAGAGGCCTGGCGCTGAGCGGCCAGGGCAGGTGTCCACGAGGCCAATGGGAGCTGCTTCGTGGACAAGGACGACAAGGACGAGCCCGCGAGAGCGCTCGAGGTCCCACAGGTCTCGTCGTCGTCGGCCGGCTGCTGCCCATTGTCTCGCCGGCCGACCGGGAAACGGGCGGCGGCGGCGCTCGAGTAATTTTTTCAACCCCCGTCCAGCTTTACCTGCCTGAACTTACTCTGCCGAATATGCCCACTACCGGGTCATGGACTACCCACTGCCCACTTGCCCTCGGACCAAGTGAGAGCATCTGCCCAATATCGACGAAGCTTCGCTGCGGGCTTGCAGCCAACCGTTCCCGCCTCACCAACAGGGCGACTAATTAATAAGGCCGGATTCCCATTGCCATCGGCACCGCAGCACAGGTCGCGCATGCTCCAGCGTCCACTAGCAGCGGAGGCTGGAGCGCCCGGCCCCTCGCCCGGCTTACAGCCCAGCGCAAACGCCTGCAGCTTCAGCACCCTCGGCGCCCTGGACGAGAGCTCGAGTCCCCTTCCAGGTTCCAGCCAGCGGCTTACACCTCGTTTTGGCTGTAGCCGCCGGGGCGGGCTGGACTTCCATTTTTTTCACCCCTGGGCTCCATCCGCTAAGGCCGTCTCACCCACCCGTCTAACTGCCTGTGGCAGCCATCACTGGGTCAGCTCTGCACGGGCTCGCTCTGCACCACACCTCGCCTTGCTCCTCCCACTCATTCCTCCCTTGCCATCCCTTGCAGTTCTCGCCCGCCTCCACCAGCTGCAACTTCTCTTCCCTCCGCCACGACAGCATCAACGACAACCGTGGTCGATCTGGGAGACAAACCCCAGCCGGTGCATGAGCAACGGTCGTACTTTTCCGTCCCCTATTCTCCCACCCGCCTCCCAGCAGCCATGTCTTCACCGTGGAAGAAGCAGCCGGAGGAGGTGGTCGACTGCGTTCTCAAGCGTGCAGAAGTCAGCAAGGTACGTCAAGGGATGCTGCAACGGCCATCATCTTTACTCCGCCTGTGCCCCTTTGCTCCGGGGCGCTCGCCAGGATTTTCGAAAGCTCACGGCCGTTTCCGCAGATTGCCCGTCGACTGCAAAACCGTCTCGCACTGGCCCACCTCAAGACCAAGCATGGCTGGGAGGACCTCACGCTCGACACGCTCGAACCGAAGATGGAGGAGGAAATGAGACGGAAACGCCTGCACGATGGCGATGTCATGTCGGACTCCTCGTCGAGCGCATCCGATCTCCCATACCCTACGCGGACTCTGATGAGCTCGCCGCTTAAGGCACCGCTCTTTTCGGACGCCGTTGGCTCGAGCAGCGGGAGCACCGGCCACCGCAAACGCACATACTTTGCATCGTTCGAGCACAACACCTCTAGCCCCAGCAAACGATATCGTGCATCGCCGACGGCGCACAAATCCTTTTCTGGTCATGCCACTTGGAAGGACAGCCATCAGCTGGCGCAGTCCTCACCCATCAAGCCTCGCAGGCTTCCGCACTTCACCACCTCTGCCGGTCCCGACGTGTCCTTTTTTCAGCAACGCCGCATGACCAACGCACTGCGGTCTCCCAACTTTGCCGCACCATCCGACGACGACGATGATCTCCCCGCGCATTCGTTCAATGTCAACAACCTCCGGTCTTCCCCTCCCCGCACGCCGCCGATGCAGCCTCGGAGCATCGCAAGCAAACGGAGCAAGGACAACCTGGACGGTGGAAACCAAGGCAAGACGGGCGAGGAAGGCGCCGACTTGTTGCTGTACCTGGCAGCCTCGCCATCTCCGGCGGTCAAGACAAACAGAGGACGCATGGAGCGCCTCTCTACGCCGCCTCCCAAGAGCAGCAAGCTGGATCTGCCCTCCTCCATGATGACCACACCGGGCGGAGGCAACCTGTTTCCCAACACACCTGGACAGGGCTTCGACTTTTCCGACTTTGTCAACATCTCGCCGAGTCCTGCACAGAAGCAGTGGAGGACCCCGGGGCGCGCCATCGCTCGTACCCCGCTGAGCGTTGCAAGAAGACGCCTTACTTTCGAGGACCAGCCGCTGCCGTGATGTCGTTACAGCGCCGACACGACACACCAAAACTACTACGACACCTCCGCATCACCTGCTAGGTACATTTCCTATGTACATGATACCACGACCGCACATACTGCACTACGCACGCACTGCGCTGTTCTCTTATTTCGACATGCCCGAGCCCTAGGGATGATATCGGGGCGTTGGAGCCCCAAGGGTACGGTGGCATTGGCTGGCCGCACCACTCAAGTGTGCCACGCACGACATCTGTTTTGATTATCACACAAGGATGAGACTGTTGTACGATGAGCCGTTGGAAAGCCATGGAATCGGGCGCTGGCCACGGGTGAATTTTAGCGCGAAGTGTAATGCTGCGCGGGGGACCTAGGGCGGGCGGGCTCGGGGACACCGGGGTGGCTGGGAAGGACGGGGAGAAGCAGAGCTAGCTAGGAATCGATCCCTTAGCAACTGAATTCATGTTTGAGTCTTACTCGGCTTTATTTTTCCCCAGTGATGTGAGCCTGGCCAACTCGCCGCGACGGCCCATTGCCGTACAATAATCACGTTTTTCTGTGTTCTGTTCGGCAGCCGCGGATCGTGGCGCCGCCGAAGTGGTGAGATGGACGGGACAGGGTTCGGAGCATTTTGTGGCTTGCGAGGATGGAGCTGGCGACGCGTTGAGTGCCCGCCCATTTACGCGCCCGCGGCGGGGTGACGCGTGTTGGTCGCGTTTCGGTCGAGCCTGCGTCCCGCCAATCAGCGGCCACAGCCAGACGGACAGAGCTCACGGCTGGCGAGGCGGCGGACGGGCACATGATGTCATTTCGGGCAGGAGGGGGGCCACATGCGGAAGTGGTTGCATTAGCACGCCGAGCGAGTAATCATGGCAAGCATGGGCTGCGAAGAAGCAGCACTTTGCCATTTCGGAAGTGGTGTTTTCACAAGGCACTTTTATGCAAGTGGGTTGTACCTTGTACGAGGATAGGATAGTAGTGCGAGGGGGGGTCGTGGGATGCGAGACGGAGCTAGGTATCGTCGTGGTCACTGGCTGGCGTCTCGTCGCATAGCAATGACATTGTATTATGCAGGGCAGCGCAGTTCTGCAAGTGCAAGTACTGCCAGTGCCACTGTAACCTGTGAACATCTCCAAGAGGGGGTCTTTCAGCGTTGGTCGCACCAGCGATGTCGGCCTGCCTCGGGCGAGCAGCCAGCAGCAGAGCGACACAACACGTTAGCACCAATGGCCGCACACAAGGCGTAATACCTTTGATGTAACCGCGTTCTCTCCCTTAATCGGCCCCTGCTCAAACAAGGGACGAGAACCCCAATCCCCCGCGGTGCTGGTATCAGTCAGGGACCGGATCGTCGCCGCCCTCACCCCGTCTTTGCAGCCTCAAGTCGCCTGGTCAGCGCCGCCCCTCCGTGAGCCATCCCGCCGGGCCACCATGTCCGCAAACCAAACCCACGAGGAAGGCCACTTCGCCACAACATTCGAGCGAAAGTACTACCACCGCGGCCGCGCATTCATCAAGCGCAGCCTCCGCCCACACGAGTACCGCACCGGCCACCGCGGCCTCCACATCCCGCCCCTCAACAAGGAACGCCTCCTCAACGAGGCCGAATCGCTGCACTTCATCAAGCAGCACACCGACGTGCCCGTCCCGGCCGTGCACTGCCACTTCGAAGACGACGGGGCGTACTACCTCATCACGGAGTACGTCGACGGCGTGAACATGTCCGATCTGCCCGAGGCAGGCAAGGCCGTCGTCCGTAGAGAGCTCGAGACCCAGCTGGCGAAACTCAAGGCGCTCAAGTCAAGTCGTCTGGGCGGCCCTTCGGGACTCGTGATTCCGCCGTATCGAGTCCTGCGGCGTGCAGAGACGGACCACCACTGCTGGGATCCAACACAGCGGCGGCTCTCGAGTCATGAGACTGAATACGTCTTCTGCCACAACGATCTGTCCCAGCAAAATGTCATTGTCGACCTGGATACGCTCAAGATCAACGCCATCATTGATTGGGAATATGCGGGCTTCTTTCCCGCCCGCTTCGAATACCGATTCTATCGCAGACTCGGCCCTTCCGCGGCCATCGACGGGGAGGCTGACGACTCACTCGATTTACTCAACTTTCTACTTTCTGGAAGAGTGGCAACTTCCTAGTAAGTGGACTTCCCCAGGCACGGAGTATCAAGGTACATCATGAGCCAGAGCATGGCGTTCGTGTGTCTAGTCGTAGATATTGGTGGGGGTGAGTAAATGACGTCCGGTGCTGCCCAAATTCTCCTGGCGCTGAGCACGTCTATCTTGCCATCCATTGTTCCAAACATCTCTCGTCTCTTTCCTGCCATTGTGCCAGCGTCCGCAGAATCGTCGGCTCTATCACCCATGGCCGCCTTGGGGTTCACACTGGCCCCCTGCCTCCGTGCATGCGGTGTTTTGTGCTTCTCAGCGGAAGCATGGCTCTGCCAGTGACTCGCTTGCACTTGCGGAGAGCCCTTTCGGCGCGTCCAGCCACGCCGCCTTTCCCAATATCCTTCACCTCCGATGCTTGCTTCTCGGAGTAGCGTGGTTTTCGGTCGGATATTCAGGCACCGGCCATGTCTACATCCTGCTCTGTGGTTTCCTTTCTCATCTGGTATGTCATGACCGCCCAGAGCAGCTGCATTGCCGCCACCCTCTGGTCCGTGTCAAACAAATCGTACCAAGCGCTCCTCCACGCCTGGACCTTTCCCCAGCTGCGTTTTGACGCGTCCAACTCGGGCGATCCATCCATGACTTCGAGCAGCCTAATCGGCACCCGGACACGGAGGATGGAAATATGGTGGAAGAGAGAGCTGATGACGAAGATGTCGTCAAAGCCAGTTCCGCGAGCTTTGCCAATGGCTTCGTACTTGGCCTTGCGGTCCCATGCGGATGACGGCGGCCGCACCATGCGGTAGTTGTCGTAAATAGACATGTTCTTGCGCGGCTTTTTGGTAGCCGGCGCGGCGGTGCCGTCGGCGTCATCCGGGCGGGCGTCCTTGTCTCCCTGAACCACATCTTTGTCGACTTCACGGCCAATGGGCCCCCCAGAGCCTCCACCCCATCGCGGCTTCGAAGTCCACCACTGGCCCTGGCCAAAACGCTCCTCTGTGCGGCCCTCACGTGCTCGATGTTGCGCCGCGATCAGTGCTGCAGTGATTTCTCGCGCGAGGTCAAGCGATTGGGCTGTCTCGACGTCTGGGGCGGTGAAGTTGACTGTTGGCCGGATACTCACGGCGGCGACGGGGCCGTACACCATACCTGCGCGTGCAGACTCGCGAGTCATTGGGCTCTGAAAGATGAAATGGCAGTGACATGGCGTGTATGACTTTCGCGTCTGCGGCCCCGGGGTCGAGTTGAGGTGGAGGCGAGGTTCAACCCGAGACATGGATACGTTGCAGCCAAAGTCGTAGGCGACCAACTTGATGAATGCCGTGATGAGAGTCTGACGAAACTCGGGCGGCATGGACTGACCAGACGATGTGCGAGTCACAGCGTGCGTTTCAGGTTCATTGGAGACATCAGCCGGCGATTCGTGAGTGGTGCTTGAAGCGGCTGCCTCGGCGGCTGACATCTCTGGTGATGGAGGAAGGTCTGGTGGGCTGGTTGGGTCGTCCCAGTACACGGTGAACAGCTCGAGACAGCGGAAGAATTCGTATGCGTTTCCCAAACGGGCCTGCTGCTTCCCTTTCGGGGGCGAGATCCGTCTGACAGTTCGAAACGCATCCTTGTTGCTGTTGGAGAGCTCCTTCTTGCGTTCTAGATAGACTTGGCAGCCGGGGGATTGGTTTCCCGTCCTCAGTGGCCGTCGACTGGCCTGGTTCTCCTCACGGGATTCGTCCGCAGTGAGCTGGTCCCATCGACGAAAGTCGGGGATGAAGGAAGGATCGGGTACAATGTCCTGCAACGGGGCATCAGGCTTCAGATCGAGTCCAATTGCGGAGAAGCCAACGGGGCCCAAGACGGCTGTAGATCGGCCAGTCTGCTTGAGCAAATTGGGTAGTGCCAAGGAAGGGTCCAGCGGCCGATCATCCTGGGCGAAAGGCTGATATCGCGGGATGTTGATGGGGGTGGGTGGCGGGATGTCCTTGGGGTCGACCTTCTTGGCCTGGGGCGGCAGGTTGGCTGCGGGAGTTGTGGCTGGTTAGCGGAGTACCTAGTCATGATGGGGTCGCAGACGGGATGGCAATGCGCAAGAACGGAGCAGCAAGTGAGTGACTGAGCGAGGCAGGCAACAGAAACGAACATCCAGTGACGGAAGTTCGACGGGGAATTAACATGGTGAGACAATGGGGACAGGCATGCACAGAGAAGGGGGTGCAAAGATGAGTCTGATGAGTCCGCTGCAGCGGTACTTGGTTCGAGAGGGAAACGCTTCGCATTGACATACCCAAGGTGGGGAAGGACCCGAACATGACGGATCACTGGCAAGGTAGGTGCGAGGTAGGTACGAAGGTGGTGAGGAGAGCAGCAAGAGGCACGTGCTTTACTCGGTGAAGGCTGAGAGTGAGTGGTGGCCCTGTCGATCAGGGAGTCATCAACCAGCTCGGGCACGTGAGAGGGCGATCCCAGCATCAATGGGCTCCAACGAGAACGACGGCCTAGTTGTGAGGGAGACGAAGGAGCACAAGCAGCCAAGCCCGGGAGGTTCGCTCGCTCCAGCACTGCAAGGTGAGGGCGCGGCAGCAGATTTCGGACGCCGGGCTGGAGCTGGGAAGCTAGGAGATGGAGCGGAGGCGGAGGCGGAGGCGGTCAGAGCACAACTGGCGATGGCTCCGAGCGGTTGATGTCGACGGGACAGACCCGAGCACCGAGCGGCCGGGATCGGGGGCGCGGGCGGGGCACCGGCGGTCGGGAAGGCAAGTCTGGGTGTCGCCGTCGAGGTCGGGTGGCGCGCGCAAACCTACGGAGCCGTGGCTGTCGAGAGTGTGAGAGCACGGGGCCGACCAGGAGCGTCAAGTCTCGGGACTCAGGAGGAGCTGAGGAGGAAAGGGCGCGCTCAGGCACAACGGGAACGGCAGAGGCAGCGGCAGCGGCAGCGGCAACCAGGCCAGGCCAGGCCATGGCGGGCTTGCTGCACGCGAGAGGCGCGGGATGGTGGCATGGGTGGATACCTACCTTACCTTTCGCCCACAGTGCCTTTGCTGTCGTCGCGCCGTACCACATTCACCTTGCAATTGGAAGCGAAAAAGTGCTAGTGCTGCCGGTCGGAAGCGGGTTTAGCTGCGTGGATTGGGTGGGCAGAGCCGCCGCGCAAGGAGCAAGGAGCAAGGAGCGGCGGGAGGACGGGACCGACCCCTGATGACGATGCAGGGCGGTTGCAAGGAGCTCTGGCAAGTCCGGGAAGGGGGGTCGCTCGGGGCAGGTGCAGTAAGTTAGTATCATGACTCAGGAGATCAACGGCTCCACCATATTCGACAACACAGCGCCCTGTAGCGAAGCATCTGGCGGATGCAACTGATGAAATGAGTGCCGAGTGCACGCTGCTTCTGCTGCGATGTATTACCTGCTTGTACATTTCCACCTATATCTACAAGTAAAAACTGCGACGACAATGGGTAGGTACTTGGTAAGTTGGTACCTGATGTGGGCCCGCTCGCCAACAGGAAACAGCGACGGGAAACCATCCGCTAGGCACTGGCGTCTTGCCCTCGATCGTGCCTGCCTATACCGAGACAGTCTTCATCCTCGTACCTGCCAACATAGCACATGCTCCGTGGTTACTCCGTGCAGTACGAGGAATAGCTAACAACTGGGAAGCCACCGTCGGGTGCCACTTGCCTTCCCATTTCCCATTCATTGACTTTTTATAGCTCTCCGAGTCAGTACCGTTACGGTACTGACGTACCTGGCGTGGCGTCCACGGTGGCAGCCTGACAGGTACCACGCATACCCAAATCGAGGCGCCTTTTGATACCCCTGCCCTGCCCGAGGCCATGGCGCCCCTGAGCTCGCCCCAGCCTCACCTTGCCGCCATCCATCTTACATACTACGAGCAAGCATACCCTTTTCGACTCCCACCGCCATCGACATCCGTCGCCAGCAGCAGCCTCAGAGGAGCCTCGGCATACCCGGGACAGCGTCGCCGCTGCGTCACATCGGAAACTGAGCCCCTCTTCAGCTCCTGCCGTGGGACTCGTGGCATATCAACTGCGACGCCAGTCCCCAGCCTAGCGTGCTGGCTGTTTCAGCGGCACCAGCCCCGTCATGTTTCGAAACACGGCCTCCTCCATTTGAAACTCTCGCCGATGGTTCGCTTATGCGCACAGGCGCAGCCGCCTGTGCGAGGGTGGCCATGATGACACCCTCTTGGCGCAATGGCATCGTCGATAGCTACCAGCCCGCTGTACCGGATCGACCGCCGCCGGCGTCCACCCTTTTTGCAGCAAAGCCTCGGCCCCGCATGCTTTCGACATAGGCTCTCGGGACATGGCACACATCCGTTGGGTGGCATAGGCACAGTTCAGCGAACGCAGATCCATCCAAGCCCTTGTGCCCTTGGCATCCTTGGGACACCACACAGGCACCGGCAGGGACCTTGGGCCGACGTCGACATCCTCAGTCGCCGTCGCCTCTGCAAGCGCTGCAACCTCTGCTGCGCCCGCACCGCACGCCGCCGCCCAACGTGAGCAGAATAGTCCTGGCGCGGATCTCGCCGGTGCCACCGTCGACTCGTCGCTCTCGGGAACCGTGGTTTGAAACGCGGGCCAGGTGTCTTGTGCGCGGCCTGCAACACACCACGCGATAGGATTCTCGGGGCCCACGGAGGATGAGCGCAAGGGGCACCTCACTTACTCACTGCTTTCTCTGGAGCCACGCGCTCATGGTCCGTGCCCACTCAGTCTCTGCTGGGCCATGCCAGGTCATGCCACGATGCGTACCGTATGTACTCCATACATGCTGCAACGACGTTAGTTGTTGGTAGCCTGTACCAACCGTTGCCTCAGATGTGTCACATTTCAGGGGTGTGACGACCCCTGTTCCATCACCCTCCCCCGGGCCCAGCAACGACACTCACGCTGTCAACTCCGTGAGTTGGGAAGTCTGGGGCTCCGAGTCCGTGTTTCGCCAACCAGCGTGCACATTTGGGTTGGCCACAAAGGCTTTGTTCCTCTGCCGCGCACTCGCGGGACTTTTGCTTCGACCTCCTCTGCCAACGGCGGTCTTGTAATTCGAGGATGCTGGCAATCCTCATGGCTGGCCACTTTCGACCTTCCATCGAATGTCGTTTGAGCCCGTGGTCTACAGCCTAACTTCGACATGACTTGGATGAAGCCGGTGACGCTTCACTTCTTGTGACCTGCACCGCCATCTGGTTGCTTGCTCTGATCTTGTGGCTGGCGGTTTGTTCGCCGCTGCATGGCAGCGACATCTTCAGCCCACGATATTTATCACGGACCACGCACATCCTCGTCAAGTCCATTGTCCATGCCGGTCCACCTCAACGCCACCGCCGCGGCCACGGCGCGCACCCATCCAGCGCCTTCGAATACTTCTTCAAAGGGCCCGAGCTCTGTGACATCCAAACTGGCGGCGACAAGAGGGGCATTGCCTCCAGTTCTGGATCGGCAACACGTTGCAGGCCCTCTCGCAGCGCCAGCGCCCGTCCCTGACAGCGCGGGAGCACCCTCACCACCCGCGAACGCACCGGGCACGATGCCCATTGCCGCCGAGGATGGGACGTTCGGAGTGCCCGAAAATGTGCCAGCGAATGCACCGGCCAATCTTCCAGTAAACGCCCCAGCGAACGGACTAGCAAACGCTCCTGTAAATGGACAGGTGAACGCTCCTGTGAATGGACCATCGAACGCTCCGGCGAATGGACCATCGAACGCTCCGGCGAATGGACCATCGAACGCTCCTGCGAATGGACCGGCGAGCGCCCCTGCGAATGGGCCACCAAATGTGCCGTTGAATGGGCCCGCGCAACCCGCGGAAGAGCCAGTCGAGGTGCCTATCAACGAGAAGGAGAGACCTCAATCGCCGTCGAACACACTCATAAACGGACCAGAGAAGGTGCCTGTGAACGCGCCTTATGTTGAAGATGAAGCACCTAAAAGACCTTCAACTACTCCCATCAATGCACCTGCCAGGGCACCCGCAGCGGCACCACCGACTACGTCCATTACAACTGAAAATGAGGCGCCTCGGCTATCAGCGCCTTCAATGGCGAAGACACCTGTTGTGTCTCCTACTGCTGTCGTGGACGATACAGCTCGACTGCCAGCCGATACACACAGCATCACTCCGGTGAGGGCACCGGCGAAGGAATCTGCGAGCCTCCCGGGATATCCATCACAAAGCAAACCAGGAAACGTGCCACCCGTCCCTCCAATCGTTGTCGACAACGGCATCGCGCTACAATCCTCAGGCATAGCAGCGACAAAGCCTTTTCCTACCGAAGCTAGGACACCGCCGGCGAATGCATCGACTACTATCCCTCTCGCCGGCGACGACGTCCCAGTTTCGCCACTCACGAACGTGCCGGCAGTAACGCCTATTGCCGCCGGCGGTGCACTGCCGTCACCACCGGGAGCTTCAACCTCAACAACGCGTGTTGTTGTTGAGGAGATTCCGCCTGTTGTACTAACAAACTCATCCACCGTCTCCTCAGCAGAGGCACCATCGCGCCCCACAACTGTAGAATTGCCCGGGAGCAAGTCAACAAGCAGTCTCTCAGGCGGCGAAGTGACGACTCCAACGGACTCGGCAACCCTTTCATCGGGAGCATCAGCTGTTCCGGGCTTGTCCGAAACCATAGCACAGTCAGCCTCGTCTGCCCAGGAACAGTCCTCGCCAGCATCCGTAACTAGCTCAACAAGCACGTCCGTCCCAACATCGAGTGTCACGAGCACTCAAGCGACACCACAAGAGCCTGCGAAATCGCCGACGCCAGACAGTTCTGTCTCACCTCCTGGATCACCTACGCCAGAGACCTCTGAGCAGCCAACACCAGAGCCTGTGGCTCCCCCTAGGCAGACTGCTACGCTTAGCAATGATGAGCCTTTGCCCCAGTCTTCAGAGGCACCTAGACAGGAATCCAGCCAGCGACCTGACATCGAAGCCACGCAGGGTAACCAACCTCCGCAAAGACCGGCGCAAACCCCTGCCAATAGTTCCTCTCGGACCCCGGCGAGCGACTCGAGTCCGGCAGTTGCGACGCAGCCTAGGCCCACACAAGGAACTGACCTCGGCACACAACCTAAGCCTCCTCAGAATCCAGCAATTTCGTCTACAGATGTTGGAGCACCCACCCCTGTGTCCTCGAGCAGCAGTTCTACGGTGACACAGACAACGTTGCAAACTTTGACGGGAAGTACTGCAGACGGGGCGGCAGCGCCAATCTCGACGAGCACGTCCAATCCGAGCACCACCAGAACGATCGACCCTTTCTCCGAAAACCAACCCCACGACAATAACAACCCAACAGGCGACCACCATGGAGGTGCGGGTAACCATAGAGGCGGTGGCTCAGATATCGTTCCTCCCGCCACCAGCTCCACTTCTTCGTCCGGGGGATTGTCGAAACAGAGTATCATCGGCATATCCGTTGGAGGGTTCGCGGCTCTTGCACTCATTGCTCTCTTGATATGGGCATGGCGAAAGAGAGCAGCTAAGAAGCGCAGGAGGAGTGAAAACGCACAAATAGCCGATCAGCTCTATGGGAGCGCCAGTGAGAAGAAGGTTGCTGCAGCGGCGCCGGCGCCAAGTTGGGTATTTGGACCACCAGCTGCGTGGCTGCCCCATCGCGACAATGTTGGACGCAGCAATGATGGAGGCTCATCGCTCTATACGGAGGCACCGGTGCCGGCCCAGAACGTTCAGCCTGCAAACCGCCATCCGATGTTGGGAAAGTTGACGCCCAACTTCGGCGCGGACTGGTGGCGGTGGCGCGCAGGCCCTGGCAACGGCTCGAATACTCAGCAGCTGCCAGTCGAGGGCAACCAGAGAGCGGCCATGCCGAGTGGCCAGCTGGATGTTGGGGCCAATCTGGGCTTCAGTCTTCAAGGCTCCGGGACATTTGATCCGTTTTCTGATGCTCACGCTGCATCTGCACCACAAGCCTACATGCCAGCGCAGCCTCTCGATAGAAGACTGCCGGCTGACCCCTTTGCTGACTCTGCCGCGGTACTGGGACCTTCGGTGCATAGACGAAGCAAAAGCCGCAAAGGATCAGTCACGTATGCACCAACAATCCCACCACGCGCGCGGGGTCGTTCGCTCAATGCCACGACGGGAGGCTTCCAGAATCCTCCACTTCAGCCGGCATCTCGCGCGCACTCAATGCACCGGGAATCCACTCAGAGCGCGGAGTCATTCTCGGAAAGGCGCAACAAGTTCCGGTCCGACCCGTTCGATCTGGAGCTCCAGGGCGGCATAATGCCATCAGCTACGGCGCTGGCACAAATGCCACGCAACACGGCTGCCAGCTCGATGTACAGTACACAGACACGCCATGGAAGCCCCTCGTCGTCACGATACACGAGTGGAGTGAGCGCCAGCGACGTGGGTGAGGCCGGCCCTGTCGGCGTCGCACCGGGGCGCAGGAGTGCCGACAGCCCAACACTGGCAGACATGCCGCCGCCGCCGCCGCCGCCGAGGGCGAGGACGCGCCCACCAGGGGCGCAGGGAACTGCGGTAACTTCTCCAGGCATGGCTGTGGGCCAGGCGTTGTAGGATCATTTCGTAGCATCTGCATTCCTTTTGGTGTTTTACGGCGGGGGCCATAGAAAGGGGCGAACTTGGACAAGGACTGTCGTTATCATCATTACTCCGGGATACCACCTTGTCAGGATGTAGCGGGTTGTAAACGTTGATGTCACTGTACGTACAGTGTCGAGGCACTCTAAATAGGATTGATATTCACCAGGCTTCATCCTTTTATTTGCACGAGCGACCCAAGGGACTTGAGGAAGAGCCGCAGCGTACGGCAGTGGGCCGTCATGGAAGCTCAGACCACGCTACAATAAAAACCCTTGGTCTTACGGGAAACTGATGGTCTCTTAAGTATTTGGTGAATACAAGCCGATCGCGTGTACAATGCTGGGACGACTTAATCGTCAGATCTCTCTGCGTTGATGCGAAAGATCTCCTCCCTGGCCCCTTTCCACGCCCTCCTCTTCCCCGTCTCGAACAGCCTATACACGTGGGGACTGGATATGCCATCCATGAGGAGGCCGCACAGGCGCCTGTCGCGCAGCCAAAAGGCCCAGCCGGCAGGGCCGTAGCCGAGGCGCGGCAGCACGCCCGTGCCGGCGACGTCGTCGGCCCAGGCCATCCACTCGTCGCCGTCGACCCAGCCGGGGATGACGGACCCGCCGCCGTCCTCAGCGAGGCGCACGAGCCGCGCCTGCTGGGCGTGCACGCTGGCGAGCATGGCGTCGCGGGGGGGCAGCGGCGCGGCCTTGCCGGTCCAGACGCGCGCGAGGGCCAGGGACGCCAGGTCGTAGAGCTGGAAGGCCGGGCTGGCGAAGGCGATGCAGCCCATGAAGGCGAGGCTGTGCGGCAGGTCGAGCGAGAAGATGTTGCGGTAGAGACGGGGCAGGCGGCGGCCGTTGGAGCCCGGGGCGGCGGTCCACCCGGGGGGCTGCTCGCGCGTGGGGTCGTGCTCGCCCGCGAGGGAGTACTCGGCCTGGTAGCCGGTGCAGAAGACGATGGCGTCGATGTCGTCGATGCGGCGGCCGTCGTGGAGGAGCACTGCGCGGGGTCCGTCGATTCGTTGGAGAGCACGGACGAGCTCGACGCGCCCGGCGAGGACCTCGTGGAAGATGGAGTCGGATATGACGGGCGGGGTGCGGTTGGGCAGCGGCGCGGCGGCGAGGTCGAGGGCGACGGCGCTGGGGAGAGGCAGCTGTTGCGAGGCCGTCGCGGCCGCGACCCCGTGCATGCCCTTGAGGTGCGTGGCCGTGAGGACGCGGCGCATCATGGCGTCGGAGGCGACAGCCGGGAGGCACGCTTTCGCGGCGCGCAGGACGAGCGCCTTGCGGTGGTTGAAACCGTGGTCGAGGGGCTTGCCGTCGACGATGCGCGGGAGCTGCGACGCATCATCATCAGAAACGGTTGCTCGTCAGCCAGAGGGAGGCAGGTCGAGGAAAAGCCAGGGATAAGGAGGAGAGGGGGGCTTGGGGGAGATACTCACGACAAAGGCATCGTGGCGGCGCGCTATGTAGACGTGCTTGGCGTGCCCGGCGAGTGTCGTGGCCGTGTCAACGGCCGAGTTGGAGAAGCCGACGATGAGGACCGTCTTGCCGCCGAGCGAGGCCGGTCTGTTTCCGCGTGGCGGCGCCGGAGCGAAAGATGTCAGCAGGTTTTGCACTCTTGAGCACACACGCAGGCGTAGACACACGCATATATACGAAGAGAGGGGTTGAAGCGCGGAGAGGGAAAAGGGGGGGTAGGGGGCAGGACGGAAAGGGGGGAAAGGCTGTCTCTTATACACATCTAGATGTGTATAAGAGACAGGGGTTGAGGTCATCGTCAAGCTTGCCTCTTATATCCGCTGCTGTGGAGCACCTCGCCCTCGAAGCGCTCTATGCCCTCCACTTGCGGCGTCACGGGTGCTTTGTTGATGCCCGTGGCGAAGACGACCTTGTTGAACCACCTCTCTTCTGTCGTCCGCGCCGTCGTTGTCTTGCCAGTGCCACTGCTGCCACTGGCAGCGGCGCCTCCCATCACCGCCGCCGTCTCGACCCTCCACCTCCCCGACGTCTCGTCGTGCTCCACGGCGAGCACCTCGGTGCCCAGGCGCATGCGCGGGCCGAGGCCAAAGTGCTCCGCGTAGTCGCATAGGTACTTCTGGACGTGGCGTGCTTCGGGGTACGTGGGCGTGTCTGTGCTCTCCGCCGCCGTGTCATGGTATGTTAGCTCATGATCGAGTCAATCATGATCGCCGCCATCTTCGTCACAAACGAGAGCGAGGCAGCCGTGGTTGGAGTTGCGACAAGCCGCGGTTTGATCGGGAGCGAAGAACGTGGGGAGAGTGCTCGCCTTTGGAAAAGGGAAAGTCGGTAAAGCAGGCCTGCATAGTCGCCGCGTGTTAGTCCAGTAGCAGTACATCGGATCGGGCTTTATAAATGGCTTCTCCTGTAGAGAGTTGGTCGCCCCGGCGCCAGTAGGGAAGATGCCATGTCGCCACTTACACGCTGCTTCGAGATGTTCGACACGGTGCCTACACCTCCACCGTCAGCCCTCCCTCATCCACACAAAACGCAGACCCACGGCAGGGAAAAGCCGTTCTCACTCTCAAGCACCGTCGTCTGGTCGCCCTCATCGCTAAAGTTCCACAGCCCGCCCACGACATCGGCCATGTCGAAGCCCGTCGCGTCGAGGCCCTCTTCGACCAGGTTCTTGAGCGTGACGAGGCCCAGCGGGCCTGTTGATCGGCGCGGTCTCAGTTAGTTGCGTGACTACGAAGACTCGGGGACACAGTGGATGCTGCTACTCACCGAGGCCGACGACTGCCACTGTGGCGGGAGTCTCCATGGCGGTATCGCGTGCTGCTGTCGTGAGATGTGTACCGTGAAATGCGTCACGAATCACCGAGCAGGCGGTAGAAGTGGTACGACAGAGGTTCGGATGGCGGTTTCGTATTATGCAGGAAGAACTGGTACTAAAGACTCCTTGCATCCATATGTCAGCCCACAGCTTGGTGGGAGCTGCATATATATCTGCTCGTCCTATGCAACACACCCCAGTCGAAGCGTCAGCCGCGCATCCAAGACATGGCGATGCCTGTTCGCGCAGGCCACGCCGCAGCTAGAGGGGCCCCTGAGGTTGCACCAGCCAACCACTGTCAGATTTGGCAAAGAAATAAAAGGCCATGAATGCTTGGGAGAATAGTTTCGCTGCGCCACCGCCAGTGCGCAACTCGGACTCCCTGTTCTGACCAGATATGTCCTGGCACGATGCCAGCGAACCTCTGCCGCCGGCAACAGGTGTGCCCGTCTTATCAATCTATCGACGCCGGACTCCCAATTGCCGGAATGCCTCGTGTGAGCGCCCAGGCCGCCAGCTCGCGAGTTGTGTGCCAGAGGCATCCATCCACCCATCAAGGTTGCAACCGCGGATATCGATCGGAGACCGCTCCAAAAACCAATGTCCGTCAATCGCCGAACGAGCAAGCAAGTAACCATGCATCTCAGCCTCAGCTCTGCCCTGCCTTCAAATGTCCACGTCCCCACTCAGACTATCCCTGATGTCTGCTAAGTTCCAACCGAACTCAATCCGCCAGCAGGGTATAATGCGAGACTTGCCAGCATAGCAAGTCTCTGGTCGCAATGGCATCCTCAACGCTATCGTGACCTTGGCCTCTCACCTGAATGACTCTGTTGAGCCGATCAAGCGCCAGGGCTTTGAGCGACAAACCCCCTTCTGCTTGCGACGCCGGCTTTGGTTCGTTGTCGTCGCCTGCCTCAAGGGCAGCGCCGCCGTCGTCACTATCGGGTTCGCCGTTGTCCTCGGCCTGCATTGCCTTCTCGGCTTCTGCCATCTCTCGTTCTGCCCGCCGCCTATTCATCTCGACCATCAACGTGTCAATTACCAGCGTGTGAATCCAGCGCAGGGACGTCAAGTCCGACTGGGCGCCATGGCCAACCACAATCGTCTCCGGGCCGACAAATCGCCAGATCGCCTCCCTGGCTGCCTCACGGCCATCGAGACATGTGCGGCGCCGGCGGGCGTTTTCCATCATCTGTCGCGTGATGCCAGAGTAGCGTGTGTTGTAATGGGCCATCTGGACGCGTGGCGACACGAGCTTGTCGAGGAGCACTTCGCGCGTGAAAAAATCGACGACGGACACGCGTATCAATTCCGACTCGCCCGAGGCGGCGTTGCCCATTTCACAATCAATGACAACGGCTGACTTCCGGCGTCCAGGAGGCAAGGGGGCCGGAGTGGCGAAGAATTTCCAGTTCTCCTCCAGTTCGCCGCGGCCGTAGGCACGTGGCGAGTGGTTCTCACGCTTAGTGCATGGTTTCGCCATGATGTGTCCGTCACAGCAAGTCCATTTCTGCCACGGCCGGAGTCAGCTATTTCGTACGTACCAGTATCGAGGGTAGGCGGTATCATCGGGGTCTTACCCTATAAGCGACCTTGCCAGGATGGAATGTGCAGCGGGCGTTCATCGCTTTGTCCGGCTCAGGCAACACATCTTGGCCAGCCGCGTTCTGGCCGCCGTCCTTGCGAGTATCAGACCGGCGGGCCGAGGCGTCCGTGGTGAAATTCCTTGAGCTGGTCCTTGGGTGCTGGGATTGTGAGCTATCACGACGGGCAAACGACGGGGCCTGCGTCGTGTCCTGGATCTTGTCGCGGGCTTTGAGAACTGTTGTAAAGCAATAGTCAGCCCCCGATGAGACAGCAGGAAGTGATGATAGCACCGTTACCCTTGGAGCAAGACGCGCAGCGCTTCTTCCTTTCCAGCTCCGTTGGCGAGAGCTGGCGGACCACGTAGCCCGCCTTGGCCAGCTGCTCCGGGCTGCGGATCAGCTGACGCAAGCGCTGCTCGTAGTCTTGCGAGAAGGCAAACGGGCCATGCTCGGGTTCCGAGTGCATGCTTCTTGCGAGCGGGCCCGAGGTGTGCGAGGCTCCGGCACCGATGCCGGACTCGCGCTCGGCCATGGAGGATCCCGTTGGAGCGAACTTATCTGCCTACCTCAGGCGTCTCGGGCTGCGTGACACGACTGCCGGGTGGTGACGAGGCAAATGTGTGCAGGGTAATAGGGTATGCCGAGAGATGTGTCGGGAGGGAGGCGCATGCGGGGGGGGGTTGAGGGTGGAGAATGGAGAGTTGAGAACCTGAGATGGAGGACTGAGGTTCGCAACGTTTGCGGCCTGAAGTGTGAGGCGTGACTCGGTGAGGTGTACGAGGATGAGCGGCGGCAGGTGCGAGCGAGCCGCTTGCCAGCTGCCGTGTGACCGATGGGAAAGAGAGACTGTGGGAAAAGGCCTGGACAATTCTTGACGTGTGGGGGCCCAATGCAACCCGCAACAGCCCAGCCTGCCCGGCCAGCCTTGCTTCAGACAACCTTCCACCAGCCCGCGGCAACAACAGCAGTCGTCGGGTCTCTCTCTTGGGACGACGAAGAGGATGCAACGTGATGCAATTTGACGCAATGCGGTGCGATGCGGTGCGATGCGCTGCGCTGCTCTGCTCTGCTCTGCTATGCTATGCCATGCTGTGCTATGCTATGCTACGCTTTGGTACGAGATGCTGTGCAAACGGAGAAGCAGCGGTCGGCAGGGAAAATCGAGCAAGCCGAGGCACCCAGCCGCGAAGCAGGACAGCCAAAGGAAAGAAAGAAGGAGAGGAAAAAACTTCCTGTGCCGTGCCCACGCCCAATGCACGCGCTGCAGAATGATGCCACGTCAGGTTATTGCTGCGCGGGCGTGCCGTGTTACTCCACGGTGTGCGCGTGCGCATGTACGTGCGTGCGTGTGTGCGTGTGCAACAGATGCACTGCACTGAACCGCACTGCACCTCACTCCAAGGTTGTCCGGCAGCTACATAGTACAACACAGCAGGTGAGTTATGATTTGCGTGCCTGCGTGCTGTTGCGATCATCATGCATGCAACTGTCGCCCCTCGGGTTCTCGGGTAACAGCAACGAAGTCGCGTCCGGAGCCGGGAGAGACGCCTCGGTCGCGTTAGTTGCCGTCCCGGCCGGCGTGGGCAAAGGTGAGCGGCAGTCGAAGATGGGAAAAGTACGAGGCAAGACAAACGGGAGCCAGGTCAACACATTATCAAGCCGGCGGAGACAAGCAACGTGGTCCTCACGCCTCACTGGCTAAAAGAGTGTACTTTGGTCTGGATGAATCGGGCAAGGGCTCATTATCGCTGCCAGATATCCATTCGCAATGTCGTATTAGATAATAAGGCGCACAATGACAAGCGCCGCCCGCGTCGTGCTGCCGTCGCCCACGCTGTTCAGGAACGTGCCATTGCAGCCCCGCGAGCGCATCAACGAAAAAACGCACACGCCCTGCCCTGCCGTCATGTCGCCAGAAATCGACAGGCTCGTGTCCGAGGTGACGGTGCCCGATTCGACGCTCACGCCGGACCGCTCCACCACCCCGAGCGCCGCCGCGCCGCCCAAGCCGGACATCACCATCGACTTCGCCCCGCCGTCCGCGGCCCAGGACGCCGACTTGATCGCGCGCGTGGCAGCCCTCGTGAACAAGGTCTATTTCGACGCCGAGGGGGGCATCTTCCACGACGGCTACCAAAGGACCAGCACCGCCGAGATTGCGCAGTTTATCAAGGACCAACGCCTGGCGCTCGCGCGGCTCGTCCGTCCGTCGCCGTCGCCGTCGGCTGGGGCCGGGGTCGGGACCGGAGCCGGAGATGTCGTTGGTTGCGTCTACGTCAAGACGCTGTCGCCCACCCTTGGCGACTTCGGCATGCTTGCCCTAGACGTGACGTATCGTGGGGGTGGGTTGGGGCGAGACCTGGTGCGCTTTGCCGAGGACCATTGCCGCCGCATCGGCTGCACCAAGATGCAGCTCGAGTTGCTCGTGCCAACCACGTTTGAGCATGCTCTCAAGACCCGGATGCAGGCTTGGTATCTGCGCATGGGCTATCGCATCGTCAAGCTGGGGAGCTTCCAAGACGAGTACCCGGCGTTGGCCCCGTTACTCACCGGGCCGGCCGACTACAAGATTTTCGAGAAGGACCTAACGTCGAGCACTCCGTAGCAAGGGCAATTGACTCGCTTTGAGGTGGTTGACTTTCGCAGCATTCCCCCTCGTTTTGCTTCTTCTCCCTTCAAAGACATGTTTAGATGTTGCTGTACGCCACCGCCGGGGCACGGCCGACGGAGCAGGGCGTGCGATGGACGTCGGCGTCGGGTGTGGCGCTGCTCGCTCGTACCTACGGACACAATACCAACACGTACCTCGTGAGCATGCGGGCCGTGTCAATGATTCCCGCCGGCCGAGATTCCGAAAGAAGAAGTCGGGCCCGAATCCGTCGACGAGGCTGCAGGGCGGCCGGCACAGGCAGCAACATCCGCACCAACATCGTCATAGCTGAAGCCTCGCCAGCACGCCCACTGCCAAGAGCAGCAAAGGCACAGATCGGGAATCCGCTGTTGTGCCACAGCCAGTCGATGGTCGTTCATCAGGGCTGGCCCGGGTTCCTGGGGGCATGGCCGGCGTCGCATGACGATTGGCTTGGCCGCTGTGGAGTCTTTCAGCTTCGGCCTTGCCGCCCTACCCTTTCCCAGCGGAACACACCGGGCTTGCATGAGTGGTGGCAGTGGACGTGAGCGTTGGGTTGGTCGGCCACGCAAATTGGCTGCTGCGGGAGGCGCGTGTGTTGGACGCGCTAGTTTCTCGGCCGTCGACGTCTTTCTTCGGTAGCTTGGTAGCGCGCCTCCGGGTCTGCGACTCGAGCGACGAACTGGTTCACTTTGCGCTGCGCAGGCCATGGTGTTGTGTCAGACACTTTCATGGCCGGATGCCAGCCCGCCCGGCCGTGTACGTACGTGGGAGATGTGACCTGCAACGGTGGCAGAAACATGGATCTGACTCTCCACGGCTATGCCCGCCGCCGCCGACACCAGCAGCGGCTCTTGTGTCTGCGTCTCAGCGAGGGAAACCTCGGCCGATGCGTAGGTGCGTATCCCGCAGCGGTCGCACAGCACGAGCAGCGTCCGAGCGACGCGGGGTCATCTCCGCTCGACGTCTACCGAGACATGGCTCGGCCGACGGCAATGGCGATGTGACGTGACATGATTGAGGGTGAATTCCGCCCGCATATCGCGTCCCTCATGCCCTGGCGGTGGAGTGGGAGACGTCGTCCGGTTGGGCCATGGGCAAGCATGCATGGCACGGGAAGAAAACTCTTCAGTGCTGCTGCCGCTGCATGCAGGTCTCTCCGTTCCGTTCCACGGCCGTGGTTGAGACAGGCGGTGCCTGTCCTGTCCGTGGCATGCATGCCTCGTGGCCGCGGCGTACCGAACGACGTGGACGGCCACGGCCGGTTGGCTCCGATGCGGATGCAAGGTGACGGGATCATACCTGACGACGACGAGTGTCCGCAAAGGACGAAACGGGTGGAGCGCGTGGATGGAGCCGAGGCGCGGGTCCTCCCAGGCCTTGCTGGTTTGGAACCTTAGGGGCGGGTCGGGGAGCGGGTGGCTGCGCACCGCCACGACGCGGCGCATTCGGGGTGCCCGGCGAAGGCCCCTGTCAACCTGAACGCGCCAGCGGGGAACGTCCACTGTAGCGGGTAGGCAAGCGTAAGGTACCCACCCAGCCAGCCAGCAAGCCCAGCATCACCTCGCCAATCCAGGCACAACCGGAGGGCCACCTCACCTCACGGAACAAACCTACGCACCTCAGCCACACGGACGCTGCACCGATTCGTCTTTTGGCCTTTGACCGTGGCCTCGCTGCCCCGGAGTCTTTGCGTCTCGCTGGCATGAGGCCCCGTACTGTGGCTTAGAGACACCAGACGATCGGACGGAGAGCCGATGCGTGCAGCATCGTGCATGCGTTAGTGAGCGGACGGGAAGCCATAGCGTCCAGCTCGGCGACGGAGGCGCAATGCCTTGGGGCCCGCGACCGTTGATAAAAATAAGTTTTGAACCGCCCGCTGAGCATGACAGCTGTAAACGGGCATGAGGCTATTGCGAATGGCGACAATCTATCAGAGGACGTACGGGCTTGAGGGTTGGGCGTGTGCGTACCGACGTTGACGAACCTCGAATCGAAATGGGTCACATGCCGGGGGCTGGGGAGCAGAGACAGAACGGACATCCTGCCACTGCCGCGTGACTGCGCGCCATCGGATGACTTTGTGTGTGTGTGTGTGTGTGTTTGTGTTTGGCTGCAGAGACTGCCCAGAAGCCAGCGCAAAAGTTTCCTCGACTGTCTGTAGCGCTCGCGGGCCTTGGGAGGGACCGCGGCGGGCAACCGTCCTCCCCCGGCTACAATCTCTCGAGTTTTTTTTCTTCTTCTCTCACCTTTTTGCTCGTTCCGGTTGCTTTCCAATACCCGTACATGGGGACACACGCAAATGCGTCCCGAACGGGACCGTCGCTGTTCAACGGCGCATCGATCACGGGCTGGCCTTTTCTTCTGCCATTGAGCGCACCCCCCCCTCCCAGCGGCTCCCGCCAACCGCTGGCGGCACCTCATGGATGGAACCCCCCGCCCCCAGCGGCCGGACCCCTGCCCCGGCGTCACGCTCCACCGGCCCAGGGCGCCAGCACCACCACCTCAGCACCGCCAGCACGCCAGCATCAGCGGGAGCACCTCACCACCAACCTAGACAGCGAAGCACTGGGCACCCGACACAATCGCGCAACGGCTCCAACGGGCAGCCCAGCGCCTTCAGCACAGGCCACGGCGGCGCCCCGTTTAGCGCCCCCCATCGCCCACGCCCCCCCCAGAGCGGGACCGCAAGCCCGATCACACTCACTCCAACAAAGCTCGACCCCTCGCGCCAGCCTTCGTCATTACCCGACCCTTACCAAATCTGGGTCGCGCTCCCCCTCCATCAACGGTCCAATTCCAGAGCTGCAGCGAACCGCAGCAAATCTTCTCCTCCTCCCCTCGCTGCCTCCGAACCGCTTCCACCACCTCCTCCACCACCACCACCGCTCTCACACACACCCTCCGTGCTATATCGCAGCATCGCACCCACGCACGAGCTCCTGGACCTGCCATCTTCCTCGCCTTCCCCGTCGCCTTGCGCCCTGCAGACGTCACTTTGCGCACGCCCCCTCCCCTGCTTGGTTGCAAGGGTGTTCCGTCCATCTCGGCTTCCTCTTGCCAGCAAGCCCCCCCCCCCCGATAGCTCCGGCTGACCGCTTTCGCGCGTGGCATCCCGAAGCCTAATAAGGCTGGGCTGGACTGGGCTGGACAGGCTGTCCGTCTGGTTGTCTGTCGCAAGCGCTCTTGCATTTGCTGCACCTGCATCCACCGCGCTTGAGCCTTGACGTTGCCGTCCCTGCCTTGCCGAGCTTGGGCCTCCATCAACCATCGACCATCAACATCCACACACAGGCCTCCGGTTCGCGACGCCTCTATAAAGTATCCCTTCACCGCGCCCTATCGGTTCCCACCGGCCCAGACAGGTCAAGTGCGCCCGCTTCCCCGGACGCGCCCACCCGCAGCCAGACTCCTCATCCACGAGCCCCCCCCTCTGCGTCCCAGTCGCGTCTCGTTCGTCCCGCCACCTGGTGGTCTGGCTTGCCGCGACTGGCCTTGAGCAACGTCAACATCGGTCTTCGTAACTACCGACCGAGCCTGACATGTCGGCCTACCCTGGCTACGGCGGCGGCGGCGGAGGTGGTGGTGGTTACGCGCCCCCGCAGCAGCAGCAGTACCAGGGCAGCTACTACCAGTGAGCTTGGCCTTCCCGACTCGCGACGATATGCCGCCACGCGGCCTGGATGAATTGTATCGCTAATGGCCATCTCTCGTCTACAGGCAGCCTCCTCCGCAGGGCTACAACGGCTATCCCGCCCAAGGCCATCCGTCCCCTCAGCCCACGTACAGTTACCAGCAGGCTCCTCCCCAGCAACAGTACGCATACCAGGTATGACTGATCCGTCCCACGAGCGCAGTCAGCCCAGGATACAGCCCTGCACTGTACGAGGCAATATTGGCAACGTCGCGTAGCTGACACACCAAACAACAGCAATCGCCTCAGCAACAGTACGGTGGACATGCCCCGTACAGCCACCCGCCGCCTCCGCAGGCTAGCTACAACTCAAGGCCGAGCTCTGGTGGGATACTACCATATGACGACGACCAGTCCGAGCTGTGCTAATCCGCGTCCCAGGCATGCCTCCTCCTCAACACAGCCCGTATCCGCAAGGGCGACCGGCCGGTCCGCCTCCGCCTCCTGCCGGACCGCAGCACTTTGGCCACGGCGCGCCGCAAGGCTACGCGTTTCGGTACTCCAATTGCACGGGTCGCAGGAAAGCGCTGCTGATTGGCATCAACTATTTCGGCCAGCGTGGCCAGCTTCGAGGCTGTATCAACGATGTGCGAAACATGACGGCGTATCTCGTGGAGCATTTCGGCTATAAGCGGGAGGACATGGTCATCTTAACCGACGATCAACAGAACCCCATGAGCCAGCCCACTAAACAAAACATTCTGCGCGCCATGCATTGGCTAGTCAAGGACGCCCGGCCGAACGACTCTCTCTTCTTCCATTACTCCGGTACCATCCCCAACGCAGGACTGTCGCCGGACATAATGCTAACCGTCATTATCAGGACACGGCGGGCAGACCAAGGACCTCGACGGCGATGAGCCAGACGGCTATGACGAAGTCATTTATCCTGTAGACTTCCGGCAAACTGGTCACATCACCGACGACGAGATGCATAGGATCATGGTACGCCCCTTGCAAGGCGGCGTGAGACTCACAGCAATCTTCGACTCCTGCCACTCGGGTACCGCCCTGGACCTTCCGTACATTTACTCGACACAGGGCATTCTCAAGGAGCCCAACCTCGCCAAGGAAGCAGGCCAAGGCCTGCTGGGCGTTATTTCCTCTTACAGCCAGGGCGACCTCGGCGGTGTTGCCAACAACATCATGAGCTTCTTCAAGAAGGCAACCAGCGGCGAGGAAGCTCACAGCCGTGCCCTGGCAACCAAGACGTCTCCTGCCGATGTCATCATGCTTTCTGGCAGCAAGGACGATCAGACATCGTGCGTCTACCGCTCCCCATACTATCCTTGTTTTCCTGCACAGCAAATTATATCACAACAAGCCGCCTCGCTTCAGGGGTACATGCTGCCGATGTGGTTATGAGACTTGGAGTTGTGTCATTGCCGCGGCGCAAGGCGTTTGACGGCGACCGGTGCCAGTGCACCGGGTACATACTGGACTGGAGCCCGCAGGTTGGGCTGGGTTGAACCATTACGCTTGTGTCCTATCTTTCCCCCTTCTTTGTATTTAGTTGGTGCGCCTTGGGTGTCAAGTACAACTTGCAAGTTGTAGCTTGGCATCCAAGGCGACGGGTTACGTTGGGACACCTGTGTTTTGGGAGCAAAGCTGCTCGCTGGCTGCCCCTTGCCGCCGTTTTTCACCCTCCTTTTACGTCTGGGCGAGTTGTGCTGACCAAGCCATTCCAGTGCCGATGCTACTATTGCCTCGCAGGCTACAGGCGCCATGTCTTGGGCGTTTGTTACCGCTCTGAAGAAGAATCCCCAGCAAAGCTATGTCCAGCTACTCAACAGCATTCGCGACGAGCTGGCCACCAAGTACACTCAGAAGCCGCAGCTTTCCTGCAGCCATCCTCTCAGTAAGCTTAGACCAGGGGCTACAATGCCTCCCTCATACCATTGCTCTCGCTAACACTGGATCAGATACGAACCTGCTGTTCGTCATGTAATATTTGGTCTTGCTGAGCAGCACCATCGGCGGCTGCGAGCACGTGTTCACCTACGGAGTGGGCTGGGGCGACAGGTCTACTGTCGAGATTCTATTAACTTGTCACGGGCTGGCGTATATGACGTGGAGTAAGGTATTGAATACCCCGGAGGGGTGTATCAGGCCGCGGATCATGGCCGAGGCACTTATTGGATGGCGGTCGGTTAGTCATTGGTTCGTCGTTGGTCGGCCGTGCTGCGAATATGTTATCGTGGCATATAGCTCGGAAGGGCAAGGAGAGCTGCGCAACGGTACTCTGGTAGCACTCTAATGCGTATTTACGGAGGCGAGGCATTTTCGGACGGCGGTACGCGTACGGGGGACACGACATTGGGAGACGAGGCGCAACGCGATGTGGAATATAAAAGCGTTGGTTTTGAAGACATGCCTGACCCCTCCCTTTCCTTGCAAAAAGTTGCGCTACGAACGACAATCGTGAAGCCGTTAGATATCTCTTTGTCCCATGACCCAAAAACGCCTGTGCCTGATGCTCATCTGCAAGTCCTCCCGCGTCCCCCGTCAATCTTGACGCCAAGCCGGCGAAAACACACACACAAACACGAAAGCCATGATCCAACACGCCATCCCCACTCGGACGACTCCCCACGCAGAACGCGTACGTTCTCACAAACAATGACGCCACGGCGACGCGTACGCCTCGCCCTCACACTCAGAAGCTCGTCTCTTCCGTCACACGAACCACTTTGAGCTGCCTGGAGCGCTTGACGCGGCGCTGCTCCTCGGTCGCAGCGACGAGCTTGCGCCGGACGGCCTCCTGCTTGGCCCACCCGCGGGCGGAGATGCGCATGCGTGCGACGAAGCGCGCGGCGACGAGGAACGGGCGTATCGACGTCGGCTTGGAGGGCGACGACCCGGCGCCTGCGCCCGATGAGGGAAGCGCGAGGGGCTTGCGGCTGTGCAGGAGGTTGGTGCGGATGTGTTCGAGCTCGCGGAGCTGCGCTTTGTTGCTGGATATGAATGTTAGCGGACTGTGCGTGCCTGGCCACAGGGGAGGGATGTGGGTGGAATACATACCAGGCATTTGCCACATCGAGCTGCAGCTGCAGGAACCTCTTCGCGTAGGCGGCGTCGGAGCGAAGCAGCGCCTCACGCTCCCAGCGAGCCTGCATCCACTCCATCTGCATGACCACGCCGCGGAGCTCCTTCTTGTGGCGCTCCTCGGCGCTCTCGGCGGCGCGGACGACCGTCTCCAGCGCCTCGTCCGTGCCGTGGTGCTTGACAAGAGCGCGTTGGTCCTTACCCAGAGGCCCCTCCGTCGATGACTTGAGCTTCTGAATATCCCGCTGCAGCTTCTCAGCCGTCATCCGGTACGCGGCTCGTTCGCTGCGGGCGCGCTCCAGCTTGCGCCGTAGGCACGCCTCCGAAGCGACGAGGCCATCGATGAGCTCCTGTTGCTGGCAGACGTCATGCTCCAGGTTTTCAACCTCTGCCTGACTCTTACGCAGGTGCCGGCTTTGCTTGCCGCCGGCCTGCGACGCCGCCGTGGCAGCGTCCCTCTCTCGGCATGCCTTGTCGAGTTTCAGCTTCAGCCGTTGCATTGCCTGCTCGTATTGCTCGGATGTCTCCTCTGCCTGCTGCCTGGCATCTTCCAATACTTCCTCGAGCACGATCTTTTGGTCCTCGAGATCACTGAGCTGTTCTCGCAAGTCCAGCATGGCCTGCGCCATTCTTGTTTCGGGATTTCCTCGCAGGGACCGCTCAGATTTGGCTGGCGAGGGTTCCGGCGACCGTCCCAACCGAGTCAGCTCGTGATCGTGTATTTGGCCTTCCAGGTCGGCAATTTGGCGCTTCAGGCCTTTGACCATATCCCGATGAGCGGCTTCCCGCTGCAAGAACTCAAGTTCTTTTTGGCGTGATGCATGCAGATCTTTCCGAACCATCGAAAGGTCTCCTCCGCTGTTGTCGTTATCGGGAAATTTGGCAGTTGCTAGCTGTCCCTCGAAGTCATCGACTTGGCGCTGAAGCTCGCGAATCGTACGTCGAGCTGCCACAAGTTCCTGATTTCCAGATGACGAGGACTGTCGGAGTTTGGCCTGAAGCTCCAACACTTCCTGACCGAGTCGATCCTCCTCTGCAGCTGCCTTCTCAATCTCGTCGTCCAAGGTCTTTTCAACAGCAGCGCGCTGTTCAGCGAGCGACTTGTTCTCATCCTTCAGACGTCGAACCTCGCCATCGAGCTTCATCTTCGCCGTCCGCAGGTCCAGCCGCTCCTGGTCAATCTGCAAGGTGTCATGGTCGTGAGCATTTGTTCGCCGAAGTTGGTCGTCCAGCTCGTCACGCTCTGCGCGGGCTTCAGCAAGTGATGTCCTGACCGAACGCAACTCGGTGTTGAGTGTTGTAAGCTGCTCTTGGAGAGAATGTTTGTCTTTCGTGGCCTTTTCCAACTGTGATGTTGCATCAGAGAGCTGCCATTTTAGCCGAGCTGACGAGTCGGTAGAGCGCTCGGCGCTCCTGACCTCTTCTAGCTGAGCGCGAAGCCTTTCGCATTCCCGCTGAGCAGCCTCCAGCTGTGGAGATGATTTCGCGGGCGACTTCGTCCGCAACAATTCCACCTCATCCTCAAGGGCGACGGCCTTGTTGACTTGTGTCTGATAGTTGATTTGTGTTTGGCGGAGCTCGTCGCGGACTGCCGACAGCTCATTGCGCAATGTCGTCAGCAGTGTCTGGCGGGTTTCCAAGGCATCTTGGAGGTCATTGATCTGTCGTGTCATGACAGCCTCTTCACTCTTGTGGCGTTCCGTTTCGCTTTCAATGGCATCCTGAAGCTTCGACTCCTTGCTTGATAGGTTGCCTTCAGCTTCCCGAAGGCGGTCGATAGTCCGTTGGAGACCTGCAGCTCTCTCCTCGGCTCGCTCGCGCTCGGCTTCCAAAGACTGTTTCTCATTCTCCCATTTCTCGCAGTCGTTGTCGTAGAGGTTGTCCTTCTCGCGAACCTCAGCCTGGAGGTCTGAAACCTCGTCGTTGAGCCGCTCGATCTCATCCTGATACTGGCTTCGCAGGTCCTTTTCGGTCTCGAGTGCGAGCTCTCGTTCTTGGGATAGGCTCTTTTCCAGGTCTGCGACCTCCCCTTCCAAGCGTTCAACGTCCTGCTCAAGGGAAGTACACCGACCGGCAATTGTGTCGTGGCGAGACTGCAACATATCCCTGTCATCGGCCACGGCCAACAGTTCGGTTTCGAGCTCTTGAATGCGGGTCGCCTCAGAATCTCTGCCGTGCTCGAAGGTCTTTCGTTGCTGACGAAGGTCACTGACAGTAGCCTTGAGTTCCGCGTTTTCCTCGTTCGACTTGGTCAGCTGTTTCTCCAGCGCAGAATAGTCTTTCCCTGACTTGTCCAGTTCGTCTTGGAGTCTGGCGACCTTCTCCTCGATCTGCCGGGACAAGCCCTTGGTGACAACAGACTTGTCCGCCATCTCTTCCTGGAGCTCTTCCAGGTCTTGCTCCGCCCTCGCTCTCTCTGCGGCAGCTTCGTCCATCTTCTCCTTCATCTCATCGAGCTGCTCCTCCAGTCGGCGTACGTTGGTCTCCAGCTCCTCAATCGTCTCCTTGGCTTCGTCAAGGTCTTCGTTATGCTGCCCCGCCTGCTCAGCTTCCACCGCTTTGAGTTGAGCATCGTGCGCTTTTTCCTCAGTCTCCTCGAGCTTCTCCTTGAGCTCTTCAAGCTCATCGTCTCTTTCCGTGAGCAGCCGGTCCTTTTCACGCACGTCGGCTTCCAGGTCCTCAATGTTGTCCCGAAGCTTCTCCACTTCATCCTGATCGTGTTGACTACGGTCCAGTTGGCGCTGAAGATCGTCAAGGTCAGCCTCCCGCTCCTCGAGGGTCTTCTGAAGCTGCTCCAACTCGGCGCGCTGGCTTTCGTCAAGGTGCTTCCTTTTGGACTTTTCTTGAAGCTCCATCATTTGCTGTCGATATGTCTCGAGGTCGCGCTCAGCGGTAGTCAGATGCTTCTTGTAGCGGTGCAGTTCTCTCTGCATCGTGACCTTGTCCACCTTCAGCTCTGTGTTTTCCTTCAGGGCAGCCTCGCTAAAGCCAGGGCCAGCCTTGCGGAGGGCATCTTCGAGAAAATGAATCTTAAGCTTGAGGCCAAAGTTCTCCTTTTCGATCCTGTCGATGACGTTTTCCTGCTCGCGCAGAGATAATTGATTGCCATCTTGCAAGGGGCCCTTGTCGCCACCGCGGCGGGGTTGCAGAGCCATCGGGGTCGACGCAACACTACTGCTGTCGACCTGAGGCAGCGTGTTGTCCAGGTATGACTGGTTGCGAGAGCTGAGATACACGGAAGTGTCCATGCGTGGAACAGGGGTCATGTCATCCTCGTCAATCCTGTCGAGCGCGGGCGTGTTTGGGACGAGGGCGCCATTCTCCTTGCCATGCCTTCTTGTGCTGTTTCTCGTGGCCGACTTGAGAAGAGGCGTGAATTCAGCACCGCCCACGGACGCGGGCAGATTTCGTCGGTCGGCAAGCGGGCCTCTCTGTCGTGGGGTCCTGAGGTTTACGCCGTTCGACCGGCCGTTGCGGAGCTGCTGTAGCAGGTTCCCATCTTTGCCGGGCGACTGAAAGGAAGCCTCCTGTGATATGTCGGCAAAGTCGGGGGCGCGGCTGAGGTAGGTCGCGTCACCAATGTTGGTCCGCGGGGTGTCGAGCGCGCCGCCGTAGCCCGGTTGACCCATGGCGACGGGCGCGTCGGTGGTGGACGAGCGGCGAGCAAGCCAGACGCGCGTGGCAGTCCGCAGGGACGGGGAGGCGGAGCGATCGAGTGAGGGGGGCGCTGCGGGTGGGCGAGCTGGCGGTGAATGGATATGGGTGGTGGTGATGGTTGTGGTGGTGATATGCTTGACCGCGACGGTCTCGGATGCGTGTCGGGCTGCTTCGTGGAACGGGCGTGATTCTAGGTTGTCCGGCAAGGCCGCACGTTGTCAGCCCAGGAGGGGAGGGAAAACGCGTCGATTGAGGCCGGGCCGTCGTCGCAGCGTGCGCGTCACGGCAAAATAAGCAGAGGGCAGCGCAGATAGAGAAAACGAGAACAGGCGCAAATCATAAACGAGGTCGAAAGTTCAATTCCATTAAACGCAGGCAGGCGCGCGTGTCGGCAGACCATCGCACCTCCCTCAATGTTTACTTGGTTTCCCCATCGGGACTAGCGGTGGGGCGGCTGGCGGCAGCCAATGAGGCAGAGGTACCTGGGTACTCTCGAAGGCACATCGGGCGGGCAGATGGCAGGGCAGGGGCAAGCCCACCTAGGTCAGCTCAGTGAGTGGCTTGAGCGGGCACCTCAGTGGCTTGAGCGGGCAGTTGGGGCACGGCCGGGCGCCCCCAATCACAGCGGACGGCGGCAGGGGCGCTGGGGCCCAGGGTGGTGGTGCACAGCGGGCGGATTGGCGGATTGGCGGACTGGCCCAGCAAGAGTCGCCTCTGCGACTCACTGGAACTGAACGATAAGGTCATTGGAAGGCCAGCCAGCCGGGCGACGGTGACCAGACCGGACGTCGTTAGCCATCCGTCCGTCCATCCATCCATCCTCCCGTCCCATTCTCCTTCAGCTCTCATCTCATCTCATCCCGTCTCGCCTCGCCTCGCCCCGTCTCATCATGCAGGTCCGCGGTCGGGTCGCTGCATCTGATCTCATCTGGCCTTTACCCCGGGCGACCGCCGCCGCTTCTCGAATAGCAAGCCCCCGTGGCCCGGCCTGAGTTTGCCTGTCCTCCGCCCGTCGCCGCCAGCTCCGCGTCCCACCTTCGTCGCCCGTCGCCGTGCCAGGCTGCCGTCGCCCGCCGCCGCCGGCGCTGCTGTCCTGTGCTGCTGTGCCCTGCCCTGCGCTGCCTGTGCTCGTGTCGCCACCTCGCCCGTCCATTGACGCCGTCCTCCTCGCATCCCGTCCGCCAAAGGCCCAGCCCGTCCTGCCCAGTAAGTCGCACTCAAACTCACATGGGTGGCGGCAATGTCTCTGGACAGGGTCCCGGACGAAATCATCCAGCACCTCCTCTACTATGTCTCCCCCGCCGACAACCTCCGGAGCGTGCAGCTCCTCGACCACCGCCTACACAGCCTCGCCAACGAGCCGCTCCTCTGGAGACGCCACTGCGCCAGCTCCTTCAGGTACTGGCACCCGCGCCATGCCCTGGCCCGCAAGCTGCGACTGAGGGTGGCCGAGGTCGACTGGAAGCGTCTCTTTCTGCTGAGAGCCCGCCAGGATTGCTTCGTCGCGAGGCTGCTTGGGGAGATTATCGCCACAAAGGTCGGCCGCTTAAAGCGCTTCGAGGCCGTGGCCCGCCTCGGCTACGACGCCAAGGACTATCTTCTGAGACAATGCCGCACCGACGACTCGGCAGACGACTACCTCGCCAGGAGGTACGTCCAAACGATCATGCTCGCCTCTCGTAGCCCGGCGGCAGCTGACATGTGCCCAGGTATTACAGCAATGCTCTCCTCGACAGCATACACAGGAGCATAGCCATTGAGGAGTGGCACAGGCTCCGGCTCGATCGTGATTCGCTCGACGCCCAGATTGCCGGTGTGCGGCTCGAGCGAGCCCTCGGCGCATTCGACATGTTCGTGTTACACGATCAGTTCGGTGACCTCGATGACGTATCTCTCCCTTTCCCCCATTGGTGGTGTCGTCTGGGCGGCGGCGCTGACTCCTTTTGCCTAGATCTCGCAGATGCTCGACAGTAGGGCTGCTCAGTTCCGCGCCAGCCAACCTGACCTTGACCAGCTCACCACTCGCCAAAAGGCTCTCGCGCTTAACCGATGGTTGCGCGCCAACGGTCTTACAGGACTGCACAACCCTGAGCGAAACTACCGCAACCTGCGCAACCTCTTGATCGGCCAGGCCCTCCGTCACGAAGACCATGATTCCATCCCCATCATCTCAAGCGCCATCTTTTGCTGTCTTGCCGCTCGTCTGGGGCTAACTGCTCAATGTTGCGCCTTCCCCAGCCATGTTCATGCCATCATCTTCGCCCCCCCTGGACAGACGCTGGATGGCGCGCTAGAAGACGGAGAGGACAGCCCGCGCGAGCGCATGTTTCTCGATCCATACGGTTTCGACGAAGAAGTACCAGCCGCAGTACTGCAAGCCTTACTGGCCCATATTGGCTGGCAAACGAGCGCCGACGCTCTCCTAGCCCCTGTTTCAACACTTGCCGTGGTCCAGAGGACATCACAAAACGTCAATGCCACGTTTGCCAGGATGCTTGAGCTGCAGGACGATGTCCCGCCAGAGTTGATCCAGCTGCTAAGGGGGAACAGCTCAATGAACATGGAGGCCGCTCTCTATGCATCCATGTGGGCTCCGTTGCTACTCTCCACGCCCAACACGTTCGAATGGGACGATCGCCTCGCAAATTTCCTCCGCAGGTTTGCCGGGTCCTGGCCAGAGGACGCGTGGTTGGTGGAAGAATACCTATTGCCAATGTACAACGGCGTCGCACAGCGACGTGATGGCTTTGCGCGCCCTGCAAACCGAGGCCTCAGCGATCCTTGGGAACAGTTGCAGCTCGTGCGCGACCAGGACGACCTCAAACCTCACGTCGTCCGAAGGACCTTATTTGCCAATCAGTCGGTCCCCTTCAAGATTGGCCAGGTCTTCCGGCACCGGCGATACGGCTGGGTTGGCGTCATCACCGGCTGGGCTGATCAAGGCACTCGGCACTTGTCGGTGTCGCGCTCCAGGGCCCTGACCGAGCCAGCCGACGAGCACGGCACTGAGCCGTCTGCAGCCCCCGTGCGGCCTCCAAATCAGTTTTATTTCATGTGCTTGTAAGTAACAGCATGCTGTCATTGCTCTGAAGCCATGCTGACGTTTTGCGCTTGCAGCCCAAGCACTGGGTCGGAACCTCATGTGGTTGCCGCCGACAACATTGAAATCATACACGACGCAAGCGAGATTGATGACGACATGTTCCCCCTAGCAGGAAAGTTCTTCAAGAGATTCGACCGCGCGACGTGTACTTTTGTGTCGAACATAAAGGAACAGTACCCTCACGACTGATGACCGTGAACGACAGCGGGGACTGGCGATGGTACATACACGCACGGCCCCCCGACATGGATGGGAAAATTCAACAGGAAGCATGGCCGGCGTTGGAGTCGACGGAAGGGGGTGGGCAAATCGAAATATATGCGACTCGCTTTCCCTTTGAGGGGCGGGCAGGCGGGCAAGGCAACACGGGACTTGGCATGTGTGTAGATTCGCGCGGCTGTCTGTTTGGCATCGAAATACAATCAAGGCGTGGGCGCCGTCCTCACGGAGATCTTTCTCTATTGAGCAGTGTCTGTGGAGCGTGTCTAGGCACCGTTGTTGGATTCGGATCCAACTGTGCTCTCATCTCCCTCAAAGCCCAAAGTTCTATCTGCGCGCTCTTAATAATCGCAGCCCCTCCTCACGTTGCTATTCAGGGTCAGGTGCCAGTATTCTCTATTGCGCTACTTTGCCTATTCCTTGGCAAACTCCTTCCGCGCCTCCATTCGCACCTCTGCCCACTTCCAAGCTGCAGTCCCCGCTGCGCTACTCGCTCGACTCCTTGACGAGCCCCTCCAGAAGGCCCTTCTCAGCAAGCTTCGTGAGCCACAAGTTGACGCCCAGGGAGTAGTCCCTGGTGCGCTCCTCGACGACCTTCATCTCCTCCACGCGGTCGCTACACTCCTGGCGGTACGTGAACATGGCACTGCTGAGGGCGCCGACGAGATCATCGTACGTCTTGAGGGCCGTGTCGACGTCGACGCCAGGGGGGCATAGTTGGGCCTTGCGAGCGGCCGACAGGGTGGTGTGGTCGACGTCTGGATCGCTCAGCTCGAATTCGGAGACGTCAATTCCGGTGGCAAAGCCGTGCTTCTCGTCCACCTTGGACGCGCGCGTGAGAAACGCGCCGTCGTCATTCATCTGGGTGGCGAGGTACTTCATCTCCGCGAATGCGGACTCGAGGGAGGTGCGGGCTTCCGCCACGGGGGTCTGGCAGATGGCGAGGAGGTTGAAGGCGATTTGGTTCGCGCCATACTGCTCCATCCGCTCCTCGATACGCGGGCCGGCGACATGCGTCCACATGTCTGCATCACAGGTTCCTGGATTTGTCAAGTTAGAAAGATGGTCATCGCGACACACAAGCTTGGTACGAAGTTCAAGATAAAACATACCGAGGTCGCGAGGCTTCGGTCGCATACCATCCAGCTCCCAGACGTGTCCGGCAGCATGGAGGTATGCGATGAAGTGGTATCCGTATTCCACGTCGGCCTGCTCCTGCTTGTCGGCCTTGACGGTGCGCTTCCGCGGGGCTCTGGCCTTGGCCTTGGCCGCCGTGTCCGCCTCGTTGGCGAGGAATAAGTCGGCGTTGAGCTGCTCGATGCGCCGGACGAAGGAGTTGTGGGCCGTTCTGATGAAGTCATTGGATCCTATCCGATGACCGCGGAGGGCAGACTCGAGTCCCTGAGTGGACGCCTTGAAGTTCTGGAGCTCGGTGCCGAGGTTGATGTTCTCGGCGTTCATGATGATGTTGAGCAGCGCAACAGAGGCGCAGGAGTTTGCGGTTGTCTGCACCGTTTTGGTCAGCAACTTTCATTCCTTAAACGCTAGAGGTCAAGATGTTTTGCAAACTCACCTGGTTGGCAAACCAGACCCCGCCGAGATCCTTGCCGTCCTTGTCGTCACCGTCGCTGTCATCCTCTAGGTCCGGCGCGTATTTAAACAGAAACACAAGGCCGAGTACGGGCTGCCTATATAGCGATGACCATGTCAGAATGGGAGCTGAAACCCAGCAGGGGAGGGGTTTGGAACTCACGGCAGATAACTTAAGTCCCAATTCTCGCAAGTGAAGAGCTCTTTGGCCCTAACATTTGGAACTCCCAGCTTGGCGAGAATTATATTAAACATGGCCTGGAGAGAAACGTCAGGAAATGGCTCTTTGACGGGGACGGCATATAGAGGAAAGGAAACAATGCGTTGACATACCGGCTCCGACTCTACCTCGGCCCAGCCTTCCCATTCGGCCTTCTCATCGTCCGTAAGAGGACGCAATGCCTCCTCCAAGGGGTTCTCGGGCAGCACGATCTCTCGGCTGGGCTCCCGCGTCTCGGTCGCTTTTCGCTTGGGGTTGCGGCGGCGGGTCTCCGGGTCGCTCATGGCTTTGGCCCTCTTGTTGGGGTACTCTGGCTCTTCCTCTTCGCGGTCGGGGCTCTGGCGCTTGAGTCTGGTCTGGGCCGGCGCAGCCTCGGGAGGTGTAGTCTGGCGAGGAGAAGCGGGGTGACTGCCGTTCTCTTCGGGCGAGGTCTTGGAGCTGTGCTCGGGGTTGTTGTTGTTGTTGATTTCGCTGGCTGCTACACCAGCGGCTTCGTCTGAAGCTCTGTCTGCAACTTCGTCCTCTGCTTCGTCCTCTGCTTTGTTCTCTTCTTCTTCCTCTTCTTCGTCTGCAGCTTCGTCTCCGGCTTCGTCTGCAGAATCGTCTGAAATTTCGACTGCCGTAGCAGGAATTGTTTTGTCTGCGCCAAAGCTGGCGAAGCAGAGCCCGAGCGTCTCCCTCACCGCGTCGGCGACTTCAGTGATGAACTCGCGGGGCACCTCCCCGGCCACCTCGTCGGCAATGCGGTCTGCGATCTTGTCCAGGGCCTTTTCCGCGGCCCTGTTGGTGATGTCTTGGATGGCTTCGAGAGACTCCCAAAACTTCCCAGCAGTGTTGTTCTCGGCGCTTGCGCCGCTGTCAGCTCTTGGTTCAGGGGCCATCGCGACACTATCTTGAGCGGAATGATCTTGCACAGAACGGTCTTGGATGAAATGATCTTTTGGATGAAAGAGCCTTGGATGGAATGATCTTGGAGGAAATGACTGTTGAGAAGGTAGAGAAGGAAGATCTAAACCGTCGAGGAGCCGGTGCAGGAGACAAATGCTTCGAGGCAAGATGGTGGAGGAGGGAAGGAAACAGGATCGTGAGGAGGGGGGCAGACAAAGGTATTTATACCGTCTGCGTGGGAACAATAGAGGCATAGACAAAGAGTAGGCACAATGGGACTCGGCGAGGATAATAAGCATTGCGGTGTTATTGTCGCTTCAGCATTGAGCTACGAGCCCCGCGGCGCGGGAACAGCGAGCAATAGCTATTCGAAACAATTGTGTGCGAGCAGGTGTGCGCAGAAAGGTGCTCCCAAGCAGTGGCATGGACGGAGAGGCAGGCAGACAGACAGACAGGCAGGCAGACAGACTGACGCATAGATAGACATACGGACGTACCTGTCAAAGCAGGTATGCCTCGGGAGCAGGGGCCTTGCCGATAAGTTGCGCGTGCGTGCAGCAGCTCATCGGGATGGGGCTTCTCGGACGACACGGGCAGACCGCAATTCCGGCCCGGGAACGACTGGCATCTACCTAGCAGATTCGGAACATCTGGGCGAGCCCAGGCAGAGACGCGACATTTGTACGCGCCGGGAGTGAGCAAGGTGTCCTGGCTGCCCGTGGGAGGCAGGTGACGAGGGCGGTCAGTCTGTTTGCCTTTGCCGTCGACGAGGCATGTGGTCGGTCTACTTGCAGTGGTGATTGTGGTTCAAGGCGGGCGGCCCATGCTTGCGAGCTCATTTGCCTACGGGGCCGCGGGAGGTCCGCATTAAGTTAAGGTGAGCTTCCATCTTCCATTGAGGCGCCTGCAGTGGGCTGCCTTGGGCGGCGGGTCCACTGACGGGAGCTTGCATTGCTGCAGGACAGAGCATCCTTCCCGTCACGTCAGGTCCCGTCCTGCCTGTCCCGTTCAGGGCTTGCTGCGTGTGGTCGACGGCCACCTCAGGCGTCTCAGTGGGGCCCGCCCGTGGACTCCAGGGCTGCTTGTTGGAGGTTCCAGGCTGCTTGTCCGCCGTGCAGATTGAGCTCACAGCGCCAGCCCTGCCCGCCCATCTCGGCCCCTCCAGGCAGCGACCCGTGGACCCGCGTGCGTCCGCCCCCCTGCCCAATCACGAGCCACCACAGCTCACACCGGCCAGGGAGCTTGCGCAGGCGGGCCCTGCCCTGGGCTGTCCCGGCCGCAAAGCAATCGCCGCCAAAAAGTTTGGAGGCGCGTTTCCATGCCAAACAACCGACCGCCCGCGCTCTCGTCCATCACGTCCGCCGAACGCGAGCTCTACTAATATCATCACCTCCCCCATCGCCACCAGCACTCGACCTCACCGTGCTGGCGCGCTTCCCCCCCAATGAACGCTCCGCGCAGCGCTTTGCAATAGACACGTAATGCGATGACTTCAACGCCTCGCTTGCGGTCTGGGTTCCCAGCGACCCCAGCGACCGCTGCTCCGCGCCGTCAAACCCTTCAGCAGCAGACGCCCTCGACCGTGGCCTCCGTCTCCTCGTCCGCCGCCGGCTCCACGACCAAGTCGCCCACTCTGCCCCTCGCGCCCGAGAACCAGTCGACGCAGAGTGTCACCAGCCAGCCCGTCATCCCCCTCACCTTCCTCGACGCGCCCCAGCAGCGTCTCTACGCATTTGGCGTCTACGTCCTCCTGTGGGCGTGGAAGCTCTACGACTGGCTGCAGGTCGTCGAAGATGGCGACTCTTCGTGGTGGCTCTTTCTGAAGTGGATCTTCATCGACTTCGCCTTTCTCTACGGCCTGCCTGAGCTCCGCATACCTTGGCTCGAGCTGTCCCAGGCCCTCGTCACCGGCGTCTTCCTGTCGCACCTGGTCCTCAACTACATGCTCATGTTCAACATTCCCGTATGCCGCCTCCCTTACCATGCTACTTCAACGCTCAACGCTAACTCCCAATCAGCTCCCCTGGCAGTCATGGCTCATCGGGCTCGTCAAGGTCCTCTACGACCGCGAACTCTCCATATCCGAACACAATGTCAAGGTCGCCAATATCCTCAACAACCACTCCCTCATTATGGGCAAGCAAATCATCAATATCCTCCCCGAGGGCTCCGCCGTCCTCAACCCGGAGCACATTCCCTTTTGCTTGAGCCCCAAGTCCAAGGCCGGCGTCGCCTTGCCCATCTACTTCAACTCCAGCGTCCCGGCTGAGATCGAACTCATCCGCATCGACCTCGAGACCAACAAGCAGGAGACGATCAAAGTGCCCAACCGTGAGGTCAACAAGGTCGCCAAGTCGATTCGCGACCAGATGGGGGATCCCAACTCGGCTGGTTTCAACTGGCAATTCCAGGTCAAGAAGCCCGGCGTCTACAGACTCGCCAAGGTCCTCGACGATTACAAGCTGGAGGTTCAAAGAACAGCCAAGGACACTTATGTTGTCCCCTGTCCCCAGGCTCGAATCAAGACTGCCGACTCGACTCAGCGCTGCATCCGTGACCTGTCCGACCTCTCCCTCGACGTGTTCGGAACGCCTCCGCTCAAGATTGTCTATCGCCGGACAATCAATGGCAAAAACGACGGCTTCCATTTCCAGAGTCTGCAGCCGGATGGCTTCGTCTCTCCTCTCCTCCAGGGCACGTCAGATGCCATCATCACCAACGAGGACGACTTCTCTTGGGTGCGTCCCTCCAAGGTCACCGTCGGTCTTAACGAGTCCATGACGACGGCCGGAGAGTGGGAGTACTCGGTAGAAGAAGTTCACGACGCTTTCGGCAATATTGTCAAGTATGCAGAGCCAGGGGCCGAAGCCGATCACGCAGTACCTCGAGGGTTGACTCAGCGGTTCGCCGTCATGGAGCGGCCTAAGGTCCGCCTGGCAACCTGCGACCTCAGAAACCCCATCAAGGTCGCCAAGGGCAAGCCTGCGAAGCTGCCCGTCAACTTTGGCATTTCAGGTGCCGTTACGGACACGTCATACCAGGTCACTTGGAAGTTTTCCCCCATTGATTCTCTCACCAACAGTGGAGATCACGGCAAGCAAGTCTCCTTCGGAGAATACTCGGCCAAGAGCTCCCGTGACAAGCCAGTCGTGTCTGAGCCCGGCCTTTATACCCTCGATTCCATTACCAGTGGATCTTGCAAGGGCGAAGTGGCGGAGCCGTCTTCCTGCCTGCTCCTCAATCCGCTTGAGCCGCATCTCTCCATCAAAACAGAGGAGATTCCAGACAAGTGCGCCGGGAACTCGATTGGTCTCCGGGTCGACCTCGATCTGGTCGGAACGCCGCCATTCGCAGTCCGATACGAGATTATCACGGATGGTCGGACCGAGAAACAGGTCCATCGCGTCAACGGCCTAAGAAGCCAACTCGAGCTTGTGCCAAAGACGGCCGGTCGGCACAAGTATGTGTTCAAGTCCATCGATGACTCCGTGTATACTGGTCTGCCGCTCGAGGGGTCCGACAAGATTCTGGAACAGGTTGTTAAGCCTGCCGCATCGGCTTTGATTGCGAACCGCGACAAGGAGATCAGCGCCTGTCTGGACTCTCAGGTTGAAGTTGATGTTGAGCTTCACGGAGACCCCCCTTTCAACCTTGAATGGGAGATGGTTCACGATGGCAAGCGCAAGACCGAGCGCGCCAATGGTATTCAGGACAAACGTTACAGGATCAAGACCGCCAGCCTGAGCAAGGGTGGCGAGTACATCCTTGCCCTTAGCAGCGTTCAAGACCAGCGAGGGTGCCGCACCTTCTTGCAAGACCAGCTCAAGCTCTCAGTCCGCAGGCAACGGCCGCGGGGAGGTTTCGGCCTTGTCGAGCAGAAGAACAGCATCATGGCAGTCGAGTCCGACACTCCCCTTCGGCTTCCGCTACGACTTCAGGGTGAGGCTCCTTGGACCATTTCGTATCGCAACCTCAACGAAAGCGGTCAAGTCCTCACAAAGACCGCCACCGGTGCAAACGATTACCTCATGGTCAAGTCTCGAGGCGTCTACGAACTCGTCAACGTCAGAGACAAGCAATGCCCTGGCACTGTTGATGAGGCCGCTTCGAAGTTCAAGGTCGACTGGTTCCCTCGGCCTCAAATGTTCCTGGTTCAGACCGAGAGTACCACCGGATCCAATGACGCATTTGTCAAGCAGGAGGTCTGCGAGGGTGACATAGACGGCTTCGAGGTGAAGCTTCAAGGTAAGCAGCGCAGATCAACTGTGAAACAAAGGAAACTAATCAATCGGCAGGCTCTCCCCCTTACCATGTCGAGTATGAGGTTATCCACAAGTCGGTTACGGGATCCAGCGCAACCCTCCAGAAAAGGTTTGACGCCGCGCTTCCCAAGGCGGCCATCTCCATGGACACGAGCAAGGCGGGCCAGTACAAGTACCGATTCTTCGGCTTGGCGGACAACCTCTACAACAACGATAAGAGCTTCAATCAGCTCGTTGTCGAGCAGAGGGTCAATGCTAAGCCGTCCGCATCCTTCACCAAACCCGGCCAGTCCTTCAAATACTGCATGCAGGAGCAAGAGCAGGAAGACAAGATTCCCATCACGCTCACCGGTGTTGCGCCGTTTTCCGTTGAGGTCGAGATCAAGCATCAGGCCGGATCTCCGCCGGAGACGTACCGTGTCTCGTCCATCAACTCCAATTCTTACCGCATGCCGATCCCGCGAGAGCATCTTCGTCTCGGCACCCAGCAGCTTCGCATTCGAAGGGTGCGGGACGCCCGTGGCTGCCAGCAAAAGTACGAAATCGGCGCTCCGTCGATCCAGATCCAGCTGTACGATGCGCCGTCGATCTACGCGCTTGAGTCGAGGGAGGACTTTTGCGTCGGTGAACGTATTGCGTACACCCTCTCAGGAACACCGCCCTTCGATATCACGTACGACTTTAATGGTCGTTGGCACGCCAAATCCCAGACCACCAACTTCCGCCGCATCGCGGAGAAGGCCGGCGTGTTTACCATCACGAGCATCTCGGACAAGGCCAGCGAGTGTCGCGCCGCAGTCAACCTGCGCAAGACCATTCACCCGCTGCCCAGCGTCCAAATCAGCCGCGGCAAGGTGTCTCGCGTGGATATCCATGAAGGTAACGAGGTGGATATCCTGTTCGAGTTCTGGGGCACGCCGCCCTTTGAGTTTACCTACACGAGGAGCACGAACGCCAAAAAGGGCCAGCGCAGCGTCGTGCTCGAGACGCGACACGATGTCTCGTACGAGCGCAGCAAGATGGTCAAGGCTAGTCAGGAGGGCACGTACGAAGTCGTGGCGATCAAGGATAAGTTCTGCTCCTTCTCAACACAGCAGGTGGAGAAGAGAGATGCCCGGCTGTAGTCACCCTCGATGGCGTGGTCGTGGCGTGCGAGGTTACGACGCTGGAGATGACTACCGTGAACGGATAAGCTCGGATGGGATGGGAAGGAGTGGTGGGGTGACTGACACGAAGAGGTCTTGTACATATGCATCTATACCATGGCACGGCGTTTTTTGAGTAAGGGTCAAACAGGTTGGTTGGCAGAACAAAGTTGCGACGAACTTCTCTTTTTTTATCCTTCACGCAGTCTAGATGAAATCATTCATGGATGGTATCGATTTATGCAAATTGCCCGCGGGCTAGATGTGTCTCAACTTGGACCTGTGAGGTCACCAACTCTTCTAACAAGGCCAACGATGCATGGCAACTCCTCTTCTTCTGGCTCCGTCTATCCCTCGATCACCTCAATCTTCTTGATCATGGCACCGCCCGCGCGTGCAATCTCCAGCAGCACAGCCTCCTGGTTGACCTCGACCACGTCCGCGCCATCCTCGTCGCCCTCGTCCTTTGCCGAGCGGAAGTTGTACGGCAGGCCGGCCCTAAATTTTTGCCGCTGCTGGAGGCGGGGGTTCCAGATGGCGGCGAGGACGTCGTCGCCGTCGCCGCCGCGGAAGAAGACGAGCGTGTCGTCGTACACGCGCTGGAGCTCCTCGGCGAGCACGTCGACGGGGTGCGCGCGCACGGGCAGGGGCATCTTACCCGTGCGCTCGTCGAGGTTCTTGAAGTGCGAGTGCTTCTTGGCGGCGGCGTCGGTGGCGGCGTCGCCGACGATGGCCCTGACGGCCTTGGGGGAGAGGCGCAGCAGCACGTCGTAGTCGCGCAGGGAGGTCTCGAACAGAGCCGCCGGGTCGAAGGCGAGGGGCTCCTCGCGGACGAGCTTGCACGCGGCCTTGGCGAGGCGCGTCATGCGCGAGGCGATGAGCTTGGAAGGGCCGTCGCGGGTGTAGCCCAGGCCGGACTTGTCGCTTGAGGTGGCCACGCACATGACCAGCTTGTTCATGTGCGGGTCGCGCTTCCGCCACGACTCGAGCTCATGGCGGATAGACAGGCGGTCGTCGTTGGTGAGCGTCTCGGCGGAGTCGACAATCAGCGGCTCGTCGCGCCAGTCCCACCGCGACAGGAAGAAGAGGGTGCGCAGGAAGCCGGTGCTGGGCGAGGAGGGCACGATCCAGGGGTATGGCTGCAGGAAGACGTGAAGCACGATGAGCTCGATGAGCTCCTCGCTGATGTGGCCGGTCAGCTTGTGAGAACCGAACCAGTGCTTGACGAGACGGATCGTCTGGGAGAGCGGCTGCAATCTCGTGCAAAACGTGGCGATCGTCTGCGTGTGCAGCGGCAGGGTGTCGTACAGCCAGTGGAACTTTTGCAGGCCTTCGACAGCGTCTTCGCGGGTGCGAAGATCCAGCGTCTTGTTGTCCACCTGCCTCTCCAGAAGTGTCTCTTCCAGGTCGCAGTGAATACGCAGGCGAAAGGCCGCTCCGGACTCGTAGACGACATCGAGGTAGGCCAAGCTTTCGATGCCAATCTCTCTGTTCTCGCGGCCGAGGTACGTCGTAATGTTCTCGTGTGCCGCGGTGAGACGCCTGTCGATGTCGAGCAGGAACTCAATCTTGGCTTCCTGAATAGCGGTCAAGTTCTCGGGCCATTTGCTAGAAGCCTCGAAATAAAGGTTGACGTCCATGGGCTCAATGGAACTCTTGAGGAACCCCAGCATAGGAGGCTCCACAGACGAGTACCTCGCAAACGGCGAGACCGGCGACAGTTGCCTGATCTGCAGTGGGAGGTCTTCGAGGTTGCGAATGTCGCGTTCAAAGGTTGTGAATGCCCGTCTCGATGCATCAAACGCTTCCTTGTCGAGGTGGGACAGCCCGATGACCGACGAAACGCCGCTGTCAAGGGGCACGAGCTCATCCTTCATGATCTTGAGGTGACGCTTGAGGGCGTACCGAGCAATCTCTTCGCAGATTTTGCCTGGCAGCTTGCTGGTCCATTCGACACACTCTAGGATGCTGCCGTCCTTGAACCGTCTCAGTTCGGCCTTCTCGCCCCAGAACTGGCGGAACACTGCTGCTTCCTTTTGCTCCTCGGCCGAAGGGCCATACTCCATCCCGCGAGACATGTTTGCGGGCTGAAATATGACGCCAACGAGGACCTCGGAGCTCTCGCCGGGGGCGTTGCGGCTTAGAGACCAGGGCGCGACAGGCTGCTGCTGGATGTGCACCAGTTGCGCGCGGTCTCCGTATGCTCGTTTCAAGACCTTGTGTGCTTCCAGGCTGAACTTCCACGACGCACTGCTCCGATCAGCAGAATTCGAGAATTTCGAAGACACGTCGGGGCTGGTGATCTTGAAAGAAGTGTCAAACACCTCTGGCGCCACATCCGTCTTCATGATGAAGGTCGGGTCGAACTTGTCGACCGCGTCATCGGCAAGCAAATCCGCAGTCGACTTGGCGTAAAGCTGGAGCAGGCTAGCCGACCAGGGCGTCATCTTGAACAATATGTTCACCTCCCTGATCGGGTCAAACATGACCGGTCCGGCTTCTCGGATAGCCTTTGCGTCAACCTTTGATACGCCGAACGCGAAGGGCTTCTTGTTGAAGTCGGTGATGGAGAGGAACTGAATCGCCGCCTTGAACAGCTCTGTGCTGCTCAAAGAGGTTGACAGCGCGGCTTGTCCTTTCTTGCCACCCATATGCAGCAAAAGCGCAATCATGGCAGACCACTCGAAGTTCCCAAAGCCGCCTCTAGAAATCGCGCCGCCGAACCCTCGCTGCTGCAGCCAGATCCTGCCCAAGACGCAGGCATCGGAGAATGCCGGACATTTAGTCTTGCAGTCCTCGAGAACGCGCAGGTACTGAATGAATGTCCTTTCGGCGTTTATCGTCGAGTTGTAGAATGGTGTGCCGGTGTTGCTGGCCTTGTGCTCGTCTCCGTCCGCAGTTCGGTTGCAAGACGAAGCTGGTGTCAACTTGGACCAGGGGAACAACCCATCGGGCGCACATGGAATCAGCCTGATGCTGTACTCCATTGACTTGTGGCTCTTCTTCGTAGACTTTCCGTCTTTGGAAGTCCCATTCTCCTTGTCATCGGGGGACCGGGGACGGAGAACAAGTACAGGGAGCAGCGGGTTCTCGTTCAGGTATTCAAAGGTCAGGCCCATTGAATCGGCAGGGAATTGCTCGCGCACGTGAGCGGCAATATACGCAATGTAATACGCGCGTCGGTAGAAATATCGCATGTTCATAAAGTCCTTGTCCTGGAACAGGGACTTGGGCATCTGAACTACCATGTCGATCGACGCCGAAGGCTGTGACTTGACCATGGTCTTCGACACGTAGCTTCCGACAACATTGCATTGGGAGGGCTTGGCGAATGCAACTTTGTATGGAGAGTCTGCTGCCGGTTTGGGATCGGGATGGGGGACGACGATGCGATGCTTCTTCTCGAAGGCGGCTGTGGCCTCGGTGATCTGAAATCTGTCAGAATATGACTGAGGCTTCCTTGGCAGGCCGGCAGCTTACCGGAAGTGCGTCATGAGGCTCGATAGCTTCCACAATCTCCTTAATCTTGAAAAGATGGCCATTGGCATCGCTGAAGGCCTTGCCGTAGTTCAACTTGGCTTCTTTGAGGAGCTCGTCCGTCTGCAGGATGAAGGTGCTCGCGGTTGACACTTGCGCCGAGCTCCGGGCTTCGAAGTCGATAATGGCATCGTGTCGCAGGCCAGAGCCGGCATGCTCAATCTTGCGGCGCTTCGAGCTGGACTCCATGGCGCTGGCGGCTTGGAGTTGCGCCGTGACGATATCGGGCTGGACGAGGTTCGTGGTTCTCACACCAACAGCTCACATCGAGTCAAGGCTCTGGATTTTTTTTGCCAGGCACTTGGGTACAGCGGGGCGATAAGCCGATAAGCCGGTGTGCGGTGAGCTCGGTGGGCGGGCACCGAAGGAGGCCCCCACCGGCTCAAGTGAGCTACCCTACACATGAAGGCTTGCTCAATAAGGCTGCACGAGAACGGGGCACTGGCCGTCCTGGTATGCGCAAGGATACTTCGCGGTGATTCGGATGCTTGACTACAACACTACGTGTACAGTTGAGTGAAACCTTGATGTGCTGTGTAATAGCTTGTGCGTGGTGTGTAAGCGTTGGATGCACTCGTAGACACCCCGATGCTCGGCCGGATAAGAATTTTGCCGCGAGTTAGTACGTGTAGTGGCACGAAACGGGGAATCATGATTCGGATTCTGCACATAGACGATCCAGATTGAGACGCCGCACGAGGATAAGCCGGATACTGTGCCCATAGGCCGCGGGACCTTTAGTCAAACTTGATGTTTCTGCGACGAACCGCGCGCGATCGAACTCCCGGCTTGGACTCTCAAGAGGGGTGCGAAGAAATGTGTTAGTCGCAGCAAATGCGCGACCGGAGAGGCGAGAATGACATGGAGCGAGTCCACCACATAAGGTAACTAGGACCGCCCCGTGCGCAGGCGGCCCAACTCCGATGATCGCACATCCGGAAGACAGTTTACCCCTTGAACGGACATGGCCGTGCTCCATCGTCTCGCGGTACAATCAATCGTGCACAGCACCGTGGACCGGGCTGACGTTGAACCAGCCTTGCAGACCTGGCGCGCCGCCGTGTGACGAGCGGCGCGAAAGCGACGGAGGTCCGACTCCGACGCCTGCGCATCGACAGCCGCGGGTGCGGGAGGTCGGATCCGATGCGTGCGCCCGCTGGGACGGGACCGTCGTATGTACGAGGACGCGGCACAGCGTGTGCGCTCCCCTTGCGCTTCCGAAACGGCGTGCGTCCCTAATAAATACTACAGTGTTACGCGGGATACCGTAAAGGGACGCTCGCTGCATTGAGCTGCGTCGAGGATGCCCAACAACGCGCGCATGGCGCGGGGAGCAAGCGGCAGTGCCGTCGCGCAGAGGCAGGCCGCTCGCTGTGCATCCCCTGCGCAGGCTGTTGGCGTCCCCATTGGATCCGGACTTGGTGGAGAGCCGGCCGCCCAGTGGAGGGCCGCCCGGGTGCTTAGGTTTGCAGCACCTCAGCGGCAGCAGCCCAGTGGAGGCCCATGGACGGATGGATTTGCGGGGGACGCGCCTCCAGAGCTTCCATGCGCCCCGCTCTTTTCCGAGCCTGCGACTCCCGTCAGCACGCCTGGCAACGGTACCTAGCGGGCAGCGGCACGAGCTCAGGCGCGCCAAATCGCTGACACGGCGCTGATGGAAGCCGTCCAGGTGGGTAAACCTGGAGCGAAGCCACCAAGCGGAACTGGCCCGCCCGCCGCTCCCCAACGGGCAAGGCGCCGTTGGTCCCCTTAGCCGACACCCGCACCCGAGACTGGCGGAGCGGCGCTGGCACGCCCGCCGTCGGCTTCGGCCTCCCGCGGTTCTGGCTCTTATAAAGCCGCCCTGCCTGCGAGCTCGCGGCCTCGAGCGCGGCGATCCCTCTGCTTTGCCTGTACCACCGTCTGCTTCAGCTTCCGCCCGCGTGCGCGTCCCTTTTTTTGATACCCCAGGAGGTCGCCGGAGCATCTACCTCGCGACAAGCCTCTTGCAGCTGGCCGATTGGCCTTCACACCTCAGTACCAGCACCGTCACAGCTTCCGTCGCGATCCCGATTCCGACGATGCCTTCCACAGCCCTGCGAATGCGCACCCTGCGGGCCTTTGCCCGGCATGGCACAAACGTGAGTATCTGTCCTCGATCTTGCGCCGAGGAACCTCGTACTGACGCGACCCGCGACCCGCCCAGCCCTCGGCCGCCTTCTCCAGGTCCTTCTCGGCGTCGGTGCGCCGGGGCGAGATCAACAAGGTCTACCCCTCCGCCGCCGAGGCCCTCAAGGACATGAAGCCCAACTCGACCCTGCTGTGCGGCGGCTTCGGCCTCTGCGGTGTCCCCGACACGCTCATCGACGAGGTGCTCGAGAAGCCCGACATCAAGGGCCTTACCGCCGTCTCCAACAACGCCGGCACCGACAACTCGGGTCTCGGCAAGCTGCTCAAGACCAAGCAGGTCAAGAAGATGATTGCCAGCTACATCGGCGAGAACAAGACCTTCGAGAGCATGTACCTGACGGGCGAGGTCGAGCTCGAGCTAACGCCCCAGGGCACCCTCGCCGAGCGCTGCGCCGCTGGCGGCAAGGGTGTTCCGGCCTTCTACACGCCCGCGGCGTTCGGCACTGTCGTCCAGACCGGCGACCTGCCCCTCAAGAACAAGGCCGACGGCACGCCCGACGTCTACTCGTACCCCAAGGACGTCAAGGTCTTCAACGGCAAGTCGTACCTCCTGGAGCACAGCATCGCCGGCGACTACGCCTTCGTCAAGGCCTACAAGGCCGACAAGCTCGGCAACTGCCAGTTCCGCCTGGCCGCCAACAACTTCAACGGCGCCATGGGCCGCAACGCCAAGATGACCATTGTCGAGGCCGAGCACATTGTCGAGCCCGGCGAGATCCCGCCCGAGGCCGTCCACCTGCCTGGCATCTACGTCAAGCGCGTCATCAAGAGCACCACCGACAAGCAGATTGAGAAGTACACGTGGGCCAAGGACGAGACGGATGCCGACGCCAAGGCGGCGCTGGGCACCGGTGATACTGCCGCCAAGCGCGAGCGCATTGTCAAGCGCGCCGCCAAGGAATTCAAGAACGGCATGTACGCGAACCTGGGCATTGGCATGCCCATGCTGGCCCCTGGCTTCGTCGGCGCCGACGTCGAGGTCCAGCTGCAGTCCGAGAACGGCATCCTGGGCCTCGGCCCGTACCCCAAGAAGGGTGAGGAGGATGCCGACCTGATCAATGCCGGCAAGGAGACGGTGACGCTCAACCCCGGCGCCGCCATCTTTGGCAGCGAGGAGAGCTTCGGCATGATCCGCAGCGGCCGCATCGACCTCACCATTCTCGGTGCCATGCAGGTCAGCGGCACCGGCGACCTGGCCAACTGGATGCTGCCCGGCAAGGTCAAGGGGTTCGGCGGAGCCATGGACCTCGTGAGCAACCCGTCCAAGACCAAGGTGGTGGTGACGATGGAGCACACGGACAAGAAGGGCAACCCCAAGATCGTCAAGCAGTGCGCGTTCCCCCTGACGGGCCGAGCCTGCGTGTCGAGGATCATCACTGAGCTGGTAAGTCTGCCCGTGCTGCTGCGTGCTGGATGACCGATCAGGGCTAACCGACGACAGGGTGTCTTTGATGTCGATTTCGCCCACGGACTGACGCTTGTCGAGATTGCCGACGGCGTCACGGTCGACGAGATCAAGAGCAAGACAGAGGCTCCGTTCACCGTTGCCAAGGACCTGAAGCCTATGCTGTAGAGTATTTGAAGTCTTGGGACGGAGTTGGGCGCGTTTGTACATTTCAAGAAGTGGCCGAAAAGAGAAAAAGGCCGCACCATGGCTGGACGCCGTGGATTGCCCGGCTCTGGGGGGGTCCCGTGTCCAATGTCGCTGCATCATGGGCGTTTGTACCCGGATTCCGGCCACGCTACGGATGGCGCGCGAGGCGTCGCCGAATAGCGGGATTGACCTCTGTGCTTTTTTCTTAGCATGACATCAATGAGTAATGGATTCACTAGACGCAGGGCTGCTGCCAAAATGTGTGATGTGTCGAGACGTTTGGTTGCGAGTGACGTGCAGTGGTGTGCTTTTGCGTGGCGTCGGTTGAAGTTGCGCTGCTGACATGGACTGGCCCCGCGAATTCATAACAGTAGTGCTGCGGTCGGACTTTGACGTTCCTGCCTATCCGCATCCCGCCACACCCCAGCACTACAACCAACCCCTGCGGCCGTCTCCAAAGTCGCCGTATTTCTCATCAACACCAACCTTCTAATAGGATCTCTTATATGTAAGCGCCCTTTTCGTGCTGTGTGCTGGAAGCACCACAAATCGACCTCGACTCACGGCAAGCAACGATTGTGTCCACTGTCCACACTGCGGCCGAGGCCGTTTGGCCCGCCATCGGCGCCTCGCCGGAGCCCATGGGCAGCCATGTTTGATCAGTCGAGCGGTCAAGTCTTCAAGGAATGGACCTTGTCCCGCAACGCGATATCGCCCAGCGGCGACGGCCTCGACTGGTCCCGGCGACGGCCCTATCCACTGTTTCAACCACGGGGGACGCGAGGCCCGCGCTCGCTCCTCGACACCTCCATCAACGTCATCGCCAATAACATCGGAGACATCACCGCGGAGCACCTTGAGGGCATACCCGACCGTCTGCAGTGGCACATTTGGCGCTTTCTCGAAGCGAGGTACGTCGCGCCGCTGCGCCCGAGGAGGTAATTGAGCTGGTCTACTCGGACAACTCGCTGACGCTGCCAACCACTTGATAGGGGGGTATGCCTGCACGCGTGGAAGCTCTTTTCCAAACTGCTGTTGCAGGAAGGCGACGACAGAACCCTCGGCCTCTACAGATTCAGGCAACACATCTGCAGACCGGTGGAAGAGCTCAGCAGCTACACGCAGCCCCTGACATCGCTCACCTTCGACTTCATCACTCACCTCGTCATTGCTGGCGGCTGCGAATTCAGCACCAACGAGCTGCTCTGCCTCACCAGCATCAAGAACCTTGGCGTCCTCGAGCTTATCCAACCTGCTGATGAGGTCTGTGCTGTCTTCTCACAGGTCAATGACCGGCTTATCCGTGGCTGGACCGAAATGGAAGACCCGTTCCCGTTGCTACGAATCCTTCGCATCTGGGGTGACCATGGCATCACACAGAAGTCACTTCGGCTTGTGTCCAAATTCCCTGCCCTCGCCATGTATGACATCTTGGGGTCAAGAGAAGACTGGCCAAGTCCGGGTGAGCAAGCACATGTCCACGGCTGGGAGTTGGCGCAGCCTGTATCTGGCCTGGAAGACTCTCTGCTACGATACTTGATGCTGCTCGCTCCAATAGAGGACACGCGCAACGTCAACCTCCGGGAACTAGCTCGCAGCGTCGATACCGACCTTGTGTCCCTATGCAGCGACTCACTCTGCGTTGTCAAGTTTATGCCCGATCGTCAGGCACCCGCCCTCCTCGACTATCTTACCGACGCAGCGAAAGTTGACACGCCAGTATGGGACCCGGACGCCGCCTCCAGAGACTCTAGGTCCTGTCACGATGTGGCTTTTGAGCCCTGGGCCTTTTGGCTCTATTCCTTCATCGGACAGATTGGCCAAGATAGGGACCTGGAAAGCAAAAGCGTTTGCCCAGACTTGCAGGCGGCCGTGGGCCCCTTCGTCCTACCGTCCAAGCCCATGGCTTGCCTGTTTCTTGGCCACAGCGGACGAGGAGGCATCACTTCGAAGCCATCTTACGTTAGTCGCGGCTTGTTCTCTACGACGCGACAAACCTTCACGCGACCGAGCGTGGTATACAGCCACCGCGAAGCCGAAAATCACGTATCGCAACGTGAAGAATTGGATAAGACGGAGCCCGAGCGCTTGGAGCCATCTCTTCGAAGGCAGAAGAGGCAAAGACTGGACGACTTCCTGAAGTCGTTCTCAACGTAATATACAACCGCAGATGTGAACCCCCCTATACAGACACAACCACATCTTCATCATGCTCAGACACCGTAGTCTACTACACTCGTATCCGGAAACCCAATAACCTGGAATACATACAACCTTCCTCAGGGAGACGAGCTTGAATCCAAGCCCCCTGATCGCCCAACACCAGCATGCGAAGTTGAAAACCCACACAAAAGTAAGGTTTCACGGTCAGAGAAGCTTGCTCGTCGGTCGTTTATATATAAGTGTGGTGAAGCAGCATGTCTTTGGTGGCTCACACACACTCACATACGTATACACACGGACAGAAGAAGCTTCTTTACCTCTCCTCTATGAAATATAACCGAAGGTATCTATCGACGAAGCAACATATCGTCAGTGTTTCACAGACTTACTCACACACTCACAGAGACAACACTGTCAAGGACTGTTCTCTTACTCGCCCCAATACTCTACACTACCACCGGCACAGTTCACAATCATGTCGTCTAAAATACCATACCGCCTGACAGTCACCCCGTCAGCCTGGGTCCACCCACTTTCTCCATCAGTGGAACCTGGGCTCATACTGGCAATATTCTACATTGCCTCCTCGCCCCGACTGCCCTCTCCTGACGGCGTCAACGACGGAGCTACAGTTGGAGATGGCTCGCCGTATGTGGGTCTGCTGTATCGGAGCGAGGAAGCTGGATGGCTGTTGGGGGAGGACGAGATTCAAGACATGAGCCAGATGCCTGTTGGGAGCCCCCAGGCTGTTTGGTTTCAATGGGTAGGGCCCGACCGCTCTGTGTTGTGGACTATTTTCTGGACCAGTGCAGAGCAGCCGTACTGGACTGAATCCAGGATAGAGCTCCCCTAGATTGGTTCGGTAGGCGAGCAGTGCTGCTCCAGTGTTGACTCTAGCTTATCAGATTCTGCACATGCAACCAATCGCTTCGTTTGTACATGTATGCAGCGGCTATAGTCCGACCGCCAGGCTGCCCGTATGCCCGTATGTGAGTCTGGACCTCCAAGCCAGGAGCGCTATTTCGAAGCAGCGTGATAGCAAAAGGGGTTCCTGGCATGATGCCTGGGCCCAAGACGCACGCTTTGACGCGGACGTCCTGTACTGCAAGGAAGATCACAGCTGCAGTGACTCAAGCTGGGGCTGCAGCCAGAAGAGGCAGGTCAGAGGTCTGACTCAACGGCTCGGCACGCAGCAGCCGATCTCGTGTAAAGTAAAGTGAGCGACATGGCGCAACCTCAAATCAGAGCAACGATGGGGGCCAATTCTGCAGCGACGTCACCAACGAGGCAGAGGCGACCGCGTTCAGGTGTGAGCGCGACCGAGTCCGCCACCTGCAGCCATGTGCGGTACTACAGAGCGTTGGCCAGTGCAACAACCCAGAAACATCACGAACACGCGTGCGTGTTTAGGTTGGGGGGCATGTGCCGCCGGACAAAATTTTATCTAGGCCACAGGCACCCAAAAAGGGTGCGGGCAGCGCAGATGGTAAGATCGACGGGTTCCTTCTCTCCTCCAGTTTCCCCTCCGAGGCATCCATTGAAGAAATGTGGAAAGCCAGAGTGAATTTGAAGGATTAATGTATTTTCTAGTAGGTTGAAGAAGAAAAAGAAGAGAAAAGAGAAGCCAAAGTGGGCTCGACGCGCCGCGAGATTAAAAGGTGGCCGGGCGGTGGTCGCGGGCCGGAACAACGATGGGCCTTTTCCGAGCGACTGCGAGACGCTCTCTCCACTCATCGTCCACTGTTTTTCGTCACAAAGCCGGGCGCCTTACGAGCCCCAGCCAGCGCGCTTGGCTTGGCTGGGCTTGGTGGGCGAGGCGCTGGAGGGTTTGCATTAGCGAGGCTCTCACTGGTCCGACGAGGCGCTGTGGGCGGCTGTTCCCGCTGTAGGTTTGCCTGGGTGGGAATTGCAACCCGAGGACAGGGCAGTGTCAGCGGCCACCCCTTCTGTCATTCGCCTCGTGTAACTCCTGTGCCTGCTAGAGGGAAAACATTCGCGAAGACGTCGCGCGCCATTGACGTAGACGGAAGCGTAATGGAGCGGTGAATTGGCGCGGTTGGTGCACAATGCGCAGGCCTCGCATGGGATCCCCACCTGATGACCACTCCGTGCGTATGCATGGCGAAGGAGACAGACCCTGAAATCCAACTCGCCCGTCGCCACTGGTCGTGTGAGCGAGGGCAACGACGCCTTGGATCCCGCGCCTGACTCACCGATGTTCCCCTCTTCACTGTCTGACTCACGGATCAAGGAGCATTCGTCCTGATTCATAAGTTCTTGATATTGCCGCTTTCGTGAGCGCCCCTTGGTCAAAGTGAGAGCCGCTGTTGCAAATCACCCACCATCCGTTGGAGATCTAGCCGCCCGTGCAGTGGCCTGAGTAGCGATAACCTTAGCAGATCAGCCCGTCCTGGCCGCTGGCCATTTGGCATTACCCCGCTACCCCGCCTCGCCCACGGGCCAGACATTTCCTTCTTCCAACGCCCAATCACCAAACCACCCGAGACATCTCGCCTTCCCTCAGTTGGGTACCAGCAGATTGCATTGCTCACTTTGGATCTTCTCTTGAACGCTTTCGGATACCCAATCTGTTTATTTTTTGCTTCCAACCATGGCCGGTGGTCCCAGTGCAACGGCTGCTCGCCGCGGTGGCAAGTTCAACAAGCCTTCTCGTGGAGGTTCGCGAGCCTCGATCCCCCCGCCTCGATGCGGCTGGACACAACGTGATGGCTGACAGACGCACTCTCCAGGTGGCAAGCACTACTCGCGTGGTCTCCAACCCGTCGACGCCGATGGCAACCAGATAAGCATGTGGAGCGCCGACTCCCAGAAACGGGAAGAGGGCGACGAGGAAGACTCTGAGGAAGAGTCTTCTGAGGAGGAGAGCGAGGAGGAGGGCGGCCCCTCCAACGCGGCCGCGGCCGCGGCCGCCGAAGCCAACCGCGAGGACCGAAAAGCCCAGAAGAAGGCGCGCAAGGAGGCCGCCCTCGCCAAGCAGCGCGCCCGCAACGTCGAGGTCGGCGACATGCCCTCGAGCGACGACGACGATGAGAGCGACGACGACATGCCCGCGAACCCGAACCACTCCAAGGCGTCGCGCAACATGACCAAGGCCCCCAGCGGCGACGACGTCGACGAAATCACCCAGGGCGTGCAGGACCTGAAGGCCCCGGCGAGCCGGCGCGAGAGGGAGGCCCTCGCGGCCGCCGAGGCCAAGGAGAAGTACATGCGGCTGCACGCTGCGGGCAAGACGGACGAGGCCAAGGCCGACCTGGCCCGACTCAAGGTCATCCGCGAGCAGCGAGCGGCCGAGGCCGCCCGGAGACAGGTAAGAGCTCGACTTTATACTCGAGTGCGCACGCGGACGGTGGCATTGCTAACGACCTCGATGCGCAGGCTGAAAAGGAAGAGAAGGAGGAGCAGGAAAAGGCCCGCAAGGCAGAGATTGAGGCCAAGGAGGCCAAGAAGCGCGAGGCCGCGGCCGGGCCCAAGAAGTCTAGCAAGAAGAAATAAGGCCGCCACCGCTGTAGAGTTGCGTGATGGTTGTGGCTTCACTTTTGGGTACTGGAGCCGCGATTGCAGCCGAAGCCGCCATCATCGCAGCATCAGCAAGTGTATTGGTGCTTGCACAGCATCTTGTCCACCAAGACAACTTACAGCATTGCATGGTACATCTACGCTGAACCTTCATCGTACAATTGTTAGTAGCATACATTATAGCATGGGCGGCTGTATAGAACTGTGTGTATTCCGCAGCGCCTCATGTTGTCCAGCGCCTATGCCAGGCAGCGCAGGTTTTCCAAGCCGCAAAAATCGCCCCTCTCACCCTCGCAGGTACAGGCAGCTGACCGCCGACTGTTCAGTAGCTTCCAGTGGTCGCTGCGGCATGCTGGGGCAGCCCAGAACGGGCACCCGGGCACCCCACATTTTGTCATCGCCCGGCAGAAAACCAGGGTGCTGCGAAAAAAATCCCCAACCTGGGCCAAAAAAAATCCGGCGCCAATCATCCGTTCACCGACCGCCTTCCACCATCACCAACGCTCCAACCGAGCTCCAGCTGCATATTCCTCCCTCCGCCTCCCGGCCTTCTTTTGTGACTCTGAACGGTCGATCACCCAGGGAAGCGGGCAGCGCGACAGCTGTGACTTTTTCAGACATGGCCGAGGCCTCGCTGCAGGTTCGTCATGCACACCGTGGTACCCCGCTGCGGACGGGTGTCTGCTTTCACGGCTAGAGTTCTAACCTCGTCGTACAGGATCGCCTTCGCGATCATGCAAAGGCCTTTGATGGCCTCCTCAGCCTGATTCCGGCTAAGATGTACTATGGAGAAGACAACAGCGTATGTGCTCCCCTCCTTTCCTTGCTGTTTGGTCACGGGCGCCTAGACCCCCAGCCACACGACCTCGAGCGCTCCCCCAGCCTTGTCGCCGAGATACCCTGAAAATGAAGGATTTGGCGACCAGTGTTCTGACTTGGCCTGGAAAATAGGATCAATGGCAGCGAAAGAAGCAGACGAAGCAAGAGGCCGCCGCCGCCCGGAGAGGCAAGCTGGACCCCGACAGCGAGCTCAACCGCAACGCGAAGGAGGTCATGGACGAGCGCGCCAAGAACAAGAGAAAGCTGCGTGAAATGGAGCAGGAGCAGCAGGACGATGATGACGACGACGCCAACCCCGACGAGTCGTTCGACGCTCCCGAGGGCGTCGAAGTCGAGAAGCCCGGCGAGGGCCTAAGGAGAAAGACGGAGGAGAGCAACAAGAAGCAGAAGCTCGACGCTGAAAAGGACAACGAAGCCGCGGAGTCCAGCGAGCCAGCGCTCAAGCTGTCCAAGAAGGAGCAGAAGAAGGCGGCCAAGAAGGAAAAGAAGGCCGAGAAGAAAGCCGAGCAGAAGGCGAAGCGCGCAGATGAGCCGCCCACGCCCGCAAAGGAGGATGTAGCCAGCACAAAGGACACCAACAGCACACCTGCCAGCAGCAAAAAGCAAAAGGCAAAGAAGGCCAAGGCTGATGCGACGCCGTCAAAACCACAGCCGACTGCGCCGCAGCAAGTCGACGAGATGGATGTGGACGCCACTCCAAAGCCCGATGCGCCCGCCCTGTCACTCGATACCACGATGGAGGAGAAGCCAAAGGATCACGAGGACGAGGAGTCTGCGTCGGAATCCGATCACCCGTCGCCAATGTTCGACATGGGCGAGCCCGAGGAGTCCGTCAACGGCGCCTCTGCCGAACCCGCCAGCACTACAACATCCATCTCCTCCGCCGTCCCTCCGTCCGAGAAGCCGAAGCAGATCAAGATTCCGGCCGACACCACGGCGCTGAAAGCCCGGCTCGCAGCCAAAATTGCGGCCCTGAGAGCGGCTAGAAAAGCCGACGGCCCCGACGGAAAGCCGATCCGCACCCGACAGGAGCTCATCGAGTCGAGACGGGTGAAGCAGGCCCAGCGCAAGGCACATAAGAAGGAGCTGAGGCAGCAAGCCAAGCTGGAGGAGGAGCGGAAGCGCGAGGAGGCCCTCGCGTCTAACTCTCCCGGGGTCATGAGCCCCGCTGTTGAGCTGGATGAGAACGGCAGCTTCTCCTTCGGACGAGTGGCGTTCGGCGACGGTTCGCAAATGTCTCACGACCTCAGCTACGTCCTCAACCAGGGAAAGAAGAAAGGCCCATCCGACCCCAAGACCGCGCTGCTCAAGGTGCAGAACCAGAAGAAGCGCCTACAGGAGCTCGACAGCGAGAAGCGCGGCGAGATCGCCGAGAAGGAGGCCTGGCTGACGGCCCGGCGCCGCATCGAAGGCGAGAAGATCCGCGACGACGAGGCCATGCTCAAGAAGGCGGTGAAGCGCAAGGAGACGGCCAAGAAGAAGAGCGAGAAGGCCTGGAAGGAGCGCGCGAGGGGCGTCGACCAGGCCCAGAAGGAGCGGCAGAAGAAGCGCGAGGAGAACCTCCAGAAGCGCCGCGACGAGAAGGCCATGGGCAAGGCCGGCAAGAAGAAGGGCGGCGCCAAGAAGAAGAAGGGCGGCCGGCCGGGCTTCGAGGGCAGCCTCGGCGTCGCGGGCCGGAGGAAGTAAGACGGAGGACGGGTAGGGGTAGCCTTTTGCTCATCGGCCCGCCTACCAAGGACTTTTTTTCTTTCTGCTGTTGACACATTCACACAAAGGCATTTTACTGCAGATTGCTGGGCTGGAACATTGGCGCTGGCGTTAAGAGGGCAGGGATGATGCATTGTTCGATTCTCGCGAAGGGGGAGATGGGGCCAGGACGAGGAGGGGAGAAGGGCAATTTCGCCCGCACGGTGTGCCTCTGCCTGTCTATCTTGTGGGCATTGAAACCGGAATATAGGAGCTGGCTACGTAACTTAGCTAGCAGCTGCACGCTGGAGTACAAAACAAATGGGAGTGAGCGTTACAAGAAAACACGAAACCTCCTCGTCTCGACAAGTTGGCAATATCGTGTTGGGACGTGTTGGGGTGTTGCCAATGCCTCATCAAAGGAGCGTTGGGTTTCCGTTTCTGGGAAGTGTTACTCCATCGCCACTGTCGCGCCACATCAAAATGCGGCGGGAAAGCCAGCGCACCTAGGTAATTCTTAACAGGCTCGCTTGGGGAGGACGCCTCGAGCTTAATATACGGCACGAATGGGTTTAGCGAAGGGGGGAAAAGGGGGCGGCGGAGCGGACTTCCCACGCGCGTAAGAGAGCAGAAATAACGTTGCATCTAGAAGTATCGTCCTGCCTCCAGAGTACCTGGCCCCCCCTCCGTGTAGCAACATCTCCTCGTCCCCTCCTCCTCCTCTCCCTGCCACGAGCACAACTACTGACCACCCAACACCCTTTTAGAGCGTGTAAAAGGGCAGGCCGACGGGACGAGGGCATCACGCGCGCCAAAGGTAGTCCAGACAAGGCAGGGCTCTCCTCCGTCCGTCCCCCGGCCCGTCTCCTTTCTCTCGTCTCTCCATCCCCCCCTCCGCTGCCTCCATCGCCCGCCCGCCCGCCTGCGCCGGTAAACTACAAGCCTGCCGTATTTCCCGTTTTCCCCTTCAAGCTCGCGTGTATATAAAACAAAGAACGGTCTGGTCCCCCGGTGTGCGACGGTGTTTTGGTAAGATGGTGGAGTGCCACGCCACGAGAAGAAAATGTGGTGGGACGATCGGGTCATCGGTCGACCGGGGGTTGTAAAGCGCTGTGCCGGCTTGACGTCTTCCGGCGATGGATTTTTTTTCTGGGGGGCGATTCGTAAAATTGGTGAGCGGTAATGCGCGTCGACTGTCGCGGTGTAGTAGACCCCCTCTTATAGCAGGGAGTCGAGGCGGGTGAAGACGCTCAGGCAGGCTGCTACAACCTCGAGTTGCAGCTCCTTGTCCTTGGCCTTGCTCACCTCCTGTGGGCTCGTTAGCAAAGTGTACGTGTTCCAGCCACGATGTCAGGACATACCTCTCCGATAACCTGGGGTAGGTTGGCGCCGATGCCGTTGCCGGTAGCCTTTTTGCCAAATGGCCACTGGCTGTAGTCGGCCAAGAGCTCGTCTGTCTGGGCAAAGGCCCGCTCCCTGGCCTCGTGGCCAAGCGAGGACAGCGCGTTCTCCAAGACGTTGGCGGCGTAGGCGGCGCAGACCATGGAGACGGTGCGCAGGTAGCGGAACTCTAGCGACTCGGGCAGGAACTGGCTGCTGTTGAGGACGACGGTTCGCTGAGTCAGGACGTTCCGCACGCGGCGGCGAATCTCCTCCTTGGCGCCCCCGTCGGCGACAGGGTGGGTGGCCATGTCGAAGAGGAGGAAGTTGCGCTTCTCGGTTCGCAGGATGCCCTTGTCGACGAGGCCCTTGGCGAGGCGCTCGCGGACCTGCTTCAGCTGGTATCCAATCTTCATCAAATTCCACGTCTCGCCTGTTGGGATTTCAGGTCAGCCGTTGCATTGGTTCGATATCGCCCATCATTGGTCGCGATCGGAAGACTGGCTGAGGAGAAAGGGACTGACCGCTCATCAGGTCGATCCAGGAGCTGACGCTCATCTTCTCGCTCTGCTTCATCATCTTGAGGGCCTCGTCGAGCAGAACCTCGCCGGTCAGGGTATCGTCTATAACCTCGATGTTGCGGTCCGCCGGGGGGAATCGCCGCCTGGAAGGGTCCTTCTCCATGCTGATGCGGCCGCGGAAGGCCAGTTCAAGCACGATGCACCCGCGGAGGGCGTACGAGATGTTGTCGTTCCAGAAAGACAGGTATCCCTGTCGCGTGGTGCTCAATTAGCTTGCACGTCGCGGACGCGAACAATCGAGGGGGCCGCATCCAATGGAGCAAGGGGGGCCCGACGAATACGAGGTTGCGCGCGTGCTTACCTGCTTGTCCTTGAGGCCGAGGAGCAGCACCTCCTCCATCATGGTCAGCTTGGGCTGTTTGCTCCTCTCGGCGCTCTCGCTGATATCTCGCGGGTCGAAGGCGATCTTGTGGCCGTTCTCGCTGTTCTCGTAGCTCGTCTCGGGGGCGCTGTCCCGGACGTTGTTGGTGGAGTTGGACCGGGAGGCGGCATTGCTGCCTTCGCCGTCGGCGTTGCCCAGGGCGGCTCCTCCACCGGCGCCGCGGCGCCGCGTCAGTCCCGACGAGGACATGTCGAGCGAGGGTGAGGGCGATGCTCGGTGGGCGGCGGGAGCGTGTGGTGGTGGTGTTTGCCCGCGCCGAGTCGAATGGGAGGGGGGCTCGCGCCGCTCGTGGCAGCGTCGGGCAAGGAAGGAGTCGAGAGGAACTAGGGGGGGAGCGCCGACGACTCGGGCGGCGACGGACGCGGGGCGGGAGGGTTGATGCTGCAGCGGCGCGCAGGGCAGCGGACAGGTCGAGATGGCGGCGGGCCGGGTCAGAGACGAATTGCCGCTGTCGCTGTCGGGCGAGGACGAGGGCGAGGATGAGGATGACGATGCACGAACGCCGCAGCCACGATAGAATGGAAGGATGTTGGGTCGGCCCTGTCGTGGTAAATTCGCGGGAGATCCACCGGGCCCTGACCAAGGAGATTGAGGGTCCCCGTTCCGCCCCAAGGCAGGAAGGCAAGGCTGACGGTGGGTGCGGCGCAATTTACGACGGGACGACTTTACTGCAGGATTCTAGGCGGCGGTGCCAACTGTAGGTACGGTACAGTACCTAACGCGCTGTGTGCCTACCAGCTGCTGCCAACGGCGCCTCGCGGCACCTCCTCGTGGACGCCCTCGCGTGCTGGCGCCGCCTCTTTCCACCAGCCCGTCTACCTATGCATTCCATGTGGGCGGCCCTGGGCAGAGGGAGCACTGCCCGAAGCTACTTCACGCCTAGGTCGCTGCCCAGAGAAGCCCACTGCGCCTGTGGGGTTCCGTCCTTCGGCCGGCTCCAGGCTGCTGTCAGGGGCGCCGGCTTGCCCAGGCGGGCGGTTGGGGATCTCGGGCGGGTAGCCATCCCCGATGCACCACCCGACCTTTCGCAGACAGGACAGAACAGCCCGAGGCTCAGGGCATGCTCCTTAGGGTGTCACAGTGTAGGTACTCTGCGCCGTGGCCGCCATCGGGATAGCCCGCCAGCAGCACCACCTCAGCTTCCAGGCACGCACGTACCAAAACTGGAGCATCGCCACTGAAACGAACGCCTCTCAATGGTTTGTGTGGTGCGAAGTAAATCTAATGCTCTTTTCATGCGAAAACAACAATGTTCAATGCAGTCTCAACGGGCAACGTTGAAGCCTGTCGCTTGGCAGCCACGGCGTCCCGGCAGCGGAAGGATGGCAGCAGGATTCCATCAGCTTGACATCCACTTGGTGGCATGACGCGCGCCCATTGCGGCATTCGCCGGCACGGGTTTCCTACCAAGGTACTCGTACCTGGCTGGCACCTCGTACTGCCTCGCGTTAGGTGCCTTTCGGAAGGTATTGCGAGCACATCGATCGGTGGTCTTCTGCCCTCCCGTCGTTGAACACGACCTATTATGTAGCGATGGCAGCCCAAAAGTGCGTCCATGGCCTGGATGGCTGGGTAGCTGCAGGATGGTCGCGTGGCCACGGCGGCGTCGCATGCCACTGGCTCGCCCTACGAGTTACCTGACCATGCCAATGGTGGCCATGGGCTGCCCCGGGCTGTCAGTGGAAGCTGACAGCGGCGCATCGTGACACGTGAGGCGTCCCGAGAATCGCTCGAAGCGGACAGCGGGACAACTTCCGTCGTCACACCATGACTAAACCGTGTGCGATGTCAACAAACCACAAGGGGGACGGCGAGGCGCTTTCCATCCGATAAAACCCAATTGGCGAGAGCTGATGCAAAACCAAAGCGCGAATTCAATTGAGCGCGTGTTGCAATGCAAGGCAGCACACCCGTCTATCTCTGTCATACAGTCTACTTCGTATTCATACACGCCCGTCTGCACAGATGCCCTCAACCGTCATCGTCGAGTCGTCTCAGCCCCCGACAGCCTCCTTCCAGAGCTCGTCAAAGTTGATATTCTCCTTTTCAAACATGTCGCGAATCTTCTTGGCCGCCTCCTCCTGCTTCTCCGGGCCGAATCCGCCGGGCTGCGTGGCCTCGAACTGCACAATCTCGACCCAGCGGTAGAACAGGTCCTCCTTGCCCAGGGCCGTGAGGGCGTCCCTAAAGGCAAAGACCTGGCGCCTCTTGTCGTCCTCCTCGACGGCCGAGCCCATCTTGAGGTCGTAGCAGAGCCACCCGTAGTCCTTGTGGTGCACCAGGACGACGTTCTTGAAGGCCTCGAGGGCGACGGCCTTGGTGTCGACGAGCTGGTGCGCGTAGACCATGGCCTCCCAGTCGAGGTCCCAGTGGCTGTTCATGAGCAGGTAGCCCGTCTTCTGCTCCTGCAGCAGCGGCGACGTGGCCTGCTGGATGTACGCCGTCAGGATCTTGCGCGAGTCGGCGTCCTTGAAGATGTCGCGCAGCAGGCGGTCCCAGTCGCGGCTGCGGCGCACGTAAATCTCCCTGTCGCGGAAGCCCACCTTGCGCCGCCAGAGCATCGGGTTGCCGTGGCGCTGGCCCGCGGCGAACTCGACGGGCCAGGGCCAGACGAAGACGAAGAGCATGAAGTCGATGAACATGGTGACGCCGCGCTTGCCAATCTCCCACGCCAGCTCGCCCCAGGTCGCCTGCGAGGCCGGGAACGTGGCGTCGCTCTGGTAGCCAAATGCCGAGACGACGAGCTGCCAGTACCAGGGCAGGATGGCGTACATGCGCCACGCGAAGAGCAGCGAGACGCAGACGTTCATGGCCACGGGGACGAGGAAGATTTTGCGCTTAAACGCCGCCGGCTTGGAGTCGATGTGCGTGACGTAGATGTGCTTCTCGTTGAGCCCGCTGGCGAAGGACTCGAGGACCTCGGGCGGCCGCTTGAAGGGCGCAGGAGGCGATCCATTTGAGGAAGGGGAGCTTGCAGGTTTTGACCTGCCGCTCCTTTTTGTGGGCGCCATGGCTGAGGTTCGTCCTGATGAGAGAGGTGGCTGTCGCGAGATGCCATGGGTCGAGGGATGAATTTTGGCATCAGGCGCCCCTCGGGGAGTGGAAGCTCCGGGTGGCCCGACAAAAATACAGGCGGGTGGGCAGTCGCGATGCGCCGCGGCACCCAGAGATACGTACACTCAGCACATTGCGTGTCTAGAGAGGTTAGAGGAGACATGAAAGCAAACCACGATTCCACAGCCGACGCAGCAACACAATGTGAGCAGCAATTGGGCTGTTGTGACCGAGTCCATCTCAGTGCATATGTGCATCTGATTCTCGTCCAGCGGTACCTGACAGTCCTGGCTTTATTGTCAACCTGTCCGTGCGCCTGCACCTGTGGAACGGGCCGCCCGCCTGCAGCCAGTGCCTGGTCAATCAATGCCTGAGGTGCGACACAAGCTCCAGCTCTGCCAATCTCGCTGACCAACGACCACCATAGTCTCCAGAAAAAAAGTCCCACCCGCCGACGTCCACTGCAGCCATTGCTCTTCACGCGGAGCATCGTGCAATGTCGACAGGGACTTCTCTGACGCCTCTGCGACACAATCCGCGGCGATGTTGAAGGCTCGAGCGCTGCAGGTACGTGCCGTGAACCATATAGGTCACCGTCACAAGCGCCTTCACTAACAATCTTGTTCCCCAGCAGGCTCGCGGCCAGACATTCGTCTGCGCGTCATGCCGACAGCAGCTCTTGGGGACGTCGACACGGCAAACGGGACCTCGCGAAGCGCCAGTTTCCGCGGCTCGGCCACGATTGAACCGGCCAGCCCAACCATGGCCATTCTCCCCTCGACACTTCTCGACGACAGCGCTGCGCTGCGATGATGCGGGCGGCGACAGCTCCCCAAAGCCCGGAACTTTCCCTGGGGCGTTCGGGGGCAAGGCCGCTGGCTCTTTCGGCTCTTTCGCCAACCGGTCTTCGACCAGCGATGGCCTCTTGCCACACGAACGACAAGCGCGACAACGTACCGCGTCTCCAGGAGAGAAGACAAACGAGAGTCCCTCAGGGGCCCCGAGTGCGAAACCGCAAACCGCCCAGCCGAAACGAGGAGGGAGCAGGCGAGGGCCTAATGAGGCCCAGGCAAAGAAATCGCGTTCAGTGCTTGCAGACGTTTTCAACACGAATCGCGAGCCGATAGCTCCAGCAACCCCAAAGTCGTGGTCCACGGCACCAAAGACCGCAGACGGCGCTCAACCTTCAGCTACCTCGGCGACGACCCCTGACCGGCCACCTGCCAGCGCTGGCAAAGGGGCAGGTGGTGCGCCATCTGCCCGACACGGAAAGGGCCTATTCAGCAGCCGCAAGGCCACCGTGCATGAGGCACCAAAAGCAGCGACGGGCCAAAAGCACAACGCCTGGGGAGCATTCAGCAATCGCAAAGCTCAGACGCCGGGTCAAGGCCACTCGCAAGGGAATGAGTCTACCATCTGGAGCGAAATCACTCGGTCCAGTCGGCCAAAAGCTATTCCACATCACAAGCCGAGGGCAGGCTCCCCTGGGCAACAAGGAGAAAAGCCCAAGCCAGTCGACGCTGCCGCGGAGCAAGACTTCTGGGGAGAGCTTGAGTCTCGCGTCGCCGGCTTCAAGGGGAGACGGGCCGCCGAGGGTGAGGAGGAAAGGCCGAAGCGCTTCGCCAGCAGAGGTCCCAAGACGCCGCGGGATGTGACGGATGCGAAGTCGACTGTCAAAAGCGTGCCGGCCAAGCCATCGGCTCATCAAACCCCAGCACGAGAGGAGCCGGAGAAACAGCGCCGCAAATCAAGATTTGAGCTGGAAGAAGAGAGCAAGGCTGAGGACCGACGAGCCAAAAAGCCAAAGAAGGCTCAACGCGGCAGGCGCATGGAGGACGCTGAGGACTGGGACGACGAGGCCATTCATCGCTGGGAGCAGAAACAGCGCCGGCAGGCCGAGAAGGAGGCTCGGAAGCAAGCGGCCCTGCAGCAGGAGCAGGCAGCGGTGCCCATCTTTCTCCCCGAGTACATCAGTGCCTCCAATCTGGGCCAGGCCCTGAAGCAGCGGTCTGAACAGTTTATGAAGGACATGGAGGACATGGGCTTCGAGAACGTCACGTCGGATACAATCATGACTGGCGAGACGGCGGCTCTAATTGCCATGGAGTACGGCTTCGAGCCGACCGTGGATACCGGTTCGCAACGAGATCTCCGGGCTCGACCGGCCCCGGAAGATGTCACAGCGCTGCCCGGCCGCCCTCCGGTCGTCACCATCATGGGCCATGTCGACCATGGCAAGACGACGCTGCTGGATTGGCTACGAAAATCGTCCATCGCAGCCCAGGAGCATGGCGGAATCACGCAGCACATTGGCGCGTTCATCGTGAAGATGTCATCGGGCAAGGCCATCACCTTCCTGGACACGCCTGGCCACGCGGCATTCCTCTCCATGCGTCAGCGCGGTGCCAATGTTACCGACATCGTCGTGCTCGTGGTTGCTGCCGACGACAGCGTCATGCCGCAGACAGTGGAGGCCTTGAAGCACGCCACTGCCGCCAAGGTCCCCATCATCGTCGCCATCAACAAGATCGACAAGGAAGACGCCCGTGTTGACCAGGTCAAGGCGGACCTCGCTCGACACGGCGTGGAGATTGAAGATTTTGGAGGCGACGTACAGGTCGTGTGTGTAAGCGGCAAGACCGGTCAGGGCATGAGCGACCTCGAGGAGAACATCATCACGCTGTCCGAGATTCTTGATGTGCGCGCCGAGACTGACGGGATGGCGGAGGGCTGGATCCTGGAGTCGAGCGTCAAGCAAAACGGCAAGACGGCGACGGTCCTGGTGAAGCGAGGCACGCTGCGGCCGGGCGATCTCATCGTGGCCGGCAAGACTTGGGCCAAGATTCGTGTGCTGCGAAACGAAGCCGGGACCGAGCTACCAGAGGCGCCTCCCGGAACGCCTGTCGAGATCCTGGGATGGCGCGAACTTCCCGATGCCGGGGAGCAAGTGCTCCAGGCGCCGGACGAGGCAAAGGCCAAGACGGCGGTTGAGTATCGTCTGGAGATGGCGGAGCGCCAGGAGAGCTCCAACCAACTCGCGGAGCAGGAGCAGCGGCAGAGAGAGAAGGCGGCCGCTGAGGCAGCGCAGCAGGCCGTCGCAGACGCAGACGGCGCGGCGGCCTCGCAAGCCGAGCCTGGCGAGCCGGGCATCCTGTACCAAAACTTCACGGTCAAGGCCGACGTGGCGGGCTCGGTCGAGGCCGTCTGCGGCAGCATCCTCGAGCTGGGCAACAACGAGGTGCGCCCCAAGATCCTCCGGTCGTCGGCCGGCCAGATCTCCGAGTACGACATCGACCACGCGGCCGCGTCCAACAGCGCCATTGTCAACTTCAACGTGCCGATCCTGCCGCACATCAAGCAGCGCGCCGAGGAGGCCAAGGTCAAGATCCTGGACCACACCGTCATCTATCACGTCGTCGACGACGTCAAATCGACGCTCTCCGAGCTGCTGCCCGAGACGGTCACGTTCCGCGTCAGCGGCGAGGCGGACGTCCTCCAGATCTTCCCCATCAACGTCAAGAAGCGGACGTTTAGGAACATTGCCGGCTGCAGGGTCCGGAACGGCGCCATCAAGAAGTCGTCCCGCGTCAAGGTGCTCCGCAAGGGCAAGGTCGTGTTTGACGGTAAGTTTGCCAACCTTCCCCCACCTTCCCTTCCTCGAGTCCACTCCTTGGCGGATGACGGAGAGAATTGTGTGCTGATACTTGACTTCTTTGCTCGCAGGCCTGATCGACACGCTCAAGCACGTCAAAAAGGACGTCGCGGAGATGGGCAAGGGCACCGAGTGCGGCATCGGCCTCGAGGGCTTCGACGACTTCCAGGTCGACGACCAGATGCAGACGTACGAGGAGGTCAAGGAGAAGCGCACATTGTAAGAGACGGTAGATGGCATAGACGCTGTACACTACGGACATTATGTATCATACATGTACAAAACTTGGCGGAGCGCGTGCCGGGCCGCTGGAGGAGGCGGGATAGACGGGGCGTGCACAACACCACTTACTAACGTCGGCTACGGGAATGTTCCACTCAGCTCATAGCGAGAGTGCAAACAATTGCAAGGCTGGCCGCTGTAGCGGTTGTGTGTTTACCTTTTGGCATTCTCGTGCGCTGTTACCATCTATTCGGCGCAGACACGACATTGGAGGAGTACGTCCTGCTCGTCGTGGTGGCCTGCCTCCGCTCCTTCTCCAGCTTAGCCAGCCCAATCTTGTCCGTCACGGGCGTCGCCTCGATGATGTTGTCAAACTCATCATCGTCGTCGCCGTCGTCCTCGTCACGGTCGTTCCCGCCGCCTAGCCCGCTCCCGTCGCTGTCCTCGCCGTTGTCAGAGTCCGGCCGGATCTCGAAGTCGGCCTTGTACTGGTGCCGCTGCTGGGGGCGCGGGATCGTCGCCGGTTTCCTGTCGCGGTCGGCCGCCTCAGGGTCGTGGTGGTGGTGCTCATCGTCGCGGTCGGGGTTGGGGTTGGAAAACGTCTTGGAGGCTAGCACCTTGCGGCGGATCTCGGCCATGGCGGCCTCGTCGTCGCTGTCGTCGGAGATGTCGAACTGGTCCCTTGATCTTTGACTTTGTTCCCCGTGCGCGGCGGGTATTTCTCCTGGTTTCGGGTCGAGGGGCCGCTTGCCCAGGTATATGCCGTCTACGCTGACGTCGGAGTGCACATCTTCATCGTCCTCGTCATCATCATCATCGTCGTCGTCGTCATCCGAAGAGGCCATGGGCATGTGATTTGTGTTGCCGCTCGTCCACATGTCGTCGCCGCCCTGCTCCCTGCTCTCGACGTACTCCTTCTCCAGGCGGTCCATCCACTCCGCCTCCGTCTTCTTCACCTCGGCCGCGTCGGCGCAGGCGGCGTAGCGTCTCAGGACGCTACCGTTGATGTCGAGGAAAGACCGGCCGTAGGAGAAGGGCGCGAGGATCTGCTCGGCCCAGTCCGGGTGGCCGCAGATGTAGAAGGCGGCGGCGAGGGCCTCGACGCAGTTGAGGCGCCAGGGCTTGCCGTAGTTGACCGTGTTGGCGGCAACGAGGTAGGGCAGCAGGCGCTCGCACTTGCCGCCGACCTTGTTCCACTGGACCTCCTTGGTGCGGGCCCACGAGCACTCGACGACGGCGGCGCCGTACTGGTCCATGAGGTCGCGGTCGGCGGGCGAGACGACCTGCTTGCCGTTGGGGGTGATGATGACGCCGTTGTGGCGCTGGCCCATGTGCAGGTCGCGCATGAGGCCCAGGCGGATGAGCTTCTTGCCGGAGCAGCGCTTGGGGTCGCAGTGGCCCAGGTCCCAGCAGGCGGCCTTGAAGGCCGGGCGCGAGGACGCGCCGGGCGAGGAGGCGTCGTTGTCGTCGCCGTCGCCGTCGTGTTGGTGTTGGTGTTGGCGGGGTGGTCCCCTGCTGGCGCCGCCGCCGCGGTAACCAGATTTCTTGCCGCGGCCGGCAAAGTCCTTTTTGTGGCGGACCATGTTCTGGGTTTTGAGTGTGGGCTAGGCTGGGCTAGGCGGGCGTGATTGTCTCTGCTGGCTGCTGATGGCGGGAGAGGGCGCGGGCGCAAGAGGTTGGATGGGATGGAATATTGCGACGGTGGTTGATGGTTGAAGTCACGGACGAAATTATTTGTTGCCCCCCCCCCCCGGATGGCGGGGTCCCTGACCGCTTACAGCGGCGTACGTACCTACAACAGCCACAGCAGTGGTGGCCTCCACACCTCACTGCCCACGCCTGGCGGTCCCGTCCAGTCGCTGCTGGAAGCGGCCGTGGCGCCGGAAAATCCCCCACCCCACTCCACCCGGACTGCTGTCTCTTGCTGTTGCTGCTGTTGCTGCTGTTGCTGCTGCTGCTGCTGCTGCTGCTGCTGCTCCTCATCCCCCCCTCAGGCTTATCCATCTGCCTGCCTGCCTGCCTGACTGACAGGTTGATTTGACTTGGCTGAGGTGTCCCTCCCCTGACCGTCACCCCAACCCCCGCCTCTCCCACTTCTTCAACCTCATCCTCATCAAGATCGGGCCGAGCCTCCCATTGCCTCCGCCACATCCCTTCGCAGTCCTCTCTCCCGGCTCCAGCTCCTGCGGGCGACCATGAGGGTCTCCTAGCTTGCGACGTTTCCCCGCTGACCAGCTGTGCCTCCGCCCGCCCGCCGCCGCCGCCGCCGCCCTATCCCGAACCACCGTCATCGACAACCCCTTCATCGGGCCCTCGACGCCCGCCCGCAATCTCTATCCCTATACCTATCCCTACCTATCGCTCCGCCGACTCGCAGCCCGAGTCGCATCGTCTCGACGCGCCATGGAGGCCGCATCTGCCCGCGCGGCTGCCCGCGACCGCTGGACCGACTTTGGCCGCGCGCCCTCGCAGCTCCAGCGCTACATCTCGAGCGCCTGCAGCCCCGACAACTACGAGCCCAATCTCGCCCTCAACCTCGAGATCTGCGACTTGATAAACAGCAAGAAGGGAAGCGCGCCGCGCGAGGCCGCCACCGCCATCGTTGGCTATATCAACCATCGGAACCCCAACGTGGCTCTCCTCGCCCTCAACCTGCTCGACAACTGCGTCAAAAACTGCGGATACCCCTTCCAGCTGCAGATCAGCACCAAGGAGTTCCTCAATGAGCTCGTCCGCAGGTTCCCCGAGCGGCCCCCCATCCGGGCCACCCGCGTCCAGGCCAAGATCCTCGAGGCCATCGAGGAATGGCGCGTTACCATTTGCGATACGAGCCGCTACAAGGAGGACTTGGGCTTCATCCGTGACATGCACCGCCTGCTGAGCTACAAGGGCTACATGTTCCCCGAGGTTCGGCGCGAAGACGCCGCCGTCCTGAACCCCAGTGACGTGAGAATGCCACCCCGATCGGGCCTTGTAAACAATGATGCGCTGACACTCCCACAGAACCTCAAATCCGCCGAGGAGATGGAAGAGGAGGAAAAAGAGGCCCACTCCGCCAAGCTCCAGGAGCTCATCCGGCGCGGCGCCCCTGAGGACCTTCGTGAAGCCAACCGCCTCATGAAGATCATGGCCGGCTACGACACCCGGTCCAAGACGGATTACCGCGCCAAGGCCGCCGAGGAAATCGGCAAGATCCAGGCCAAGGCCAGGTTACTCGAGGAGCGTCTCGAGGCCTTCAAACCGGGCGACAAGATGACCGACGGTGACGTGTTTAGCGAGCTCGCGTCGGCGTTGCAGAGCGCACATCCCAAGATCCAGAAGATGTGTGAGGAGGAGTCGGAAGACCACGAGGCCGTCGCCAAACTGTTCGAGATCAACGACAGCATACACCGTACCGTCGAACGATACAAGCTGATGAAGAAGGGCGACATGGAAGGGGCCGCCAAGGTAGCGGCCGGCGGTCCTGCGCCGTCGCAGACCGCGTCCGTCGGCGCATCGGCCAACGAGTTGTCACTGATAGATTTCGATGCTGAAGCTGCGGGCACCAATGGAAGCAACGGGGCCTCGCAAGGCACGTCTCAAGCCGGTGGACTGGAGAATGACCTGTTGGGCCTCGACATTGGCGGCGAGTCGAGCACGTACGGCCAGGGCGGCACCATTGCCCTCGGATTTGGCGCCAACCAAAGTGAGTTGTCCTGGACCATTGGTGCCCTTGGAAATCTTTGCTGACAGTAGACTCTCAGATATCCCCGGCCCTGCCCTGCTCTCCTCCATGACTGAAGACAACAGCGCAAAGGGCAACCTGGCCAACCAGACACCACCGTTCTCGCAGTTTGCTTCCTTCTCGACCCCTATTGCTTCGCAGTCAACAACGCCACAGCCTGCTGCCCAGCAGCAACCGAAGCCGCCAGCACCTCAGCCGGCGGTTGATCCGTTTGCTTCCCTCGCCGCATCCAGCACCCCGCCGCCGCCGAAACCGGCTGTGTCGAACGACGATGACGAATGGAACTTTACGTCGTCGTTGCCCCCTGAGACTCCGTCGAAGCCGAGAGAGCACAAGTCCATCGTCAGCGACGGCAATCTCCGGACAGAGTTCTTGGCCAAGCGAGTTGGACCCAGCAACTCCATCAACCTCCACTTTGCCTTTACGAACAACACCGCCCAACCCATCTCCGAGCTGCACTTTCAACTAGCCGTCACAAAGGTACGCACCGGCATCCCGCCCTCCGGCATCCTGTAACGCCCTTTGACTGACGCATTACTCGCAGGGATACGAGCTGCAGCTGAAGCCCCAGTCTGGCCGCGAGCTCTCCCCCAAGCAGAGCCGCGGCGTCACGCAGGAAGTGGACGTGTTCCACTCGGGCAACCGCGCACAGAAGGTCGAGTCGGTGAAGCTCAGGTGGCGCGCCGCGTACAAGGTCGGCGCCGAGCAGAAGAGCGAGATGGGCGAGATTCCCGAGTTTAGCATCGCATGAGAAAAGGGTTGAATGAATGACAGAGACGCACTCCGTATGCGTGTGTGTGCGTGGTCATGTGTGGTCATGTGGGTATCGATCTGTTTGCGCATGTGAGACGGAGAGTGAGTGACAGGAGTAAAGGCGAGGGGGGATTCATCATGTTTGAAGTTTGTTGCCTCGGAGCGACAATCAAAAGGGTACTCAGTTCGAGTCCTTCTTCTTCCGAGGCGTCAGCGACACAGAAATGGAGGAGAAGGGGGACAAAAGGGGGGATGGATGGACGCCTTGCTCGTCGTCCTCCCCTGGCCTTGCCCTGCTCTGCTGCTCGCTGCAGAGGGCGGGCGTATTTGCTTCCATGTAGAGACGCATAACTGATGAGGTTGTTTTGTATCTGCTGGCGAAGGGTGTAGACAGACGGAGAGGCAGATGATAGTGATGATGATAGGACCTGACCGAGAGAATTCAAGCGGATGGTCAAATGCGGGAATCCAATATGACTGATGGTCCAAGAAAACAATCTCTTCGCCGAATCGCTTTCGCGCAGTCATTGTCACAGACTCACAAGACACGCAGGCAGTGCCCACAATCAAGTTCTTCAGAGTCATCAATTCCGGCGAATCCGCTGGATGAGGGCAACTCGTACACATACATCGACGCATCCTGAGAACCACACGCGTCAGGCCTTCGCCACTCAGTCTATAGCCAGTGTCCCCCTTTCCCTTCTTCATAAGTCAGCCGCCGCACTCTGCAGCCCTGATGCCAAAAGAAATACCAAACAAACAAACCACCCCAAGCAAACCGACGGGCTCCCGTCGCTCGCATGTCTGTCTGCTTGCCTGTCATCTTTGCGCGCGCGCCCCGAAACAGCGCCAACAACACCCGCGACGACTTCTAGTACCCGAGGATATCTTTGGATCGTTCCCACCCAAGCAAGGCCCCCTCCCGCAATTCCGCGTTCCGTTTCCCGAGAATCATTCGCCCGCCACTCCGTTTCTCCCATTCCCGTACACCATGCCGAGTAATAGAAGAATCTGAGAGGAAACAACAAGACAGCAAAAGAGAAAGAAAAAGCCAAACGCCGTGGTTGAGGACCCCGATCCTGCCATCTCGGGTATAGTCATTGTATGCACCCGGGCCCTAAGAGACAGGTCCACATCGTTGTATGCGACGTCGCTGTGCCTGTTTTTCAACAAAGGAAAATGTACCAAGGACGGTCGGGGCCGTTGATGCTCGTGTCATCTCGCCCGGACCGCGTAAAACACCTGACAAAGGCCATTACATGCGTATGCTTCGGCTCAGGAAAGGAATTAAGGGGCAGAAGAACAAAAACAGGTAGAAGACAAGGACCTTGGGGGTAGGCTAGAGGTTCTAGTGTGAACCATCGGGGTCGCGGCTATTGCGCCTCGTGGGCGAGCTCGCGAAATTGCTTTTCTCCTATGCCGAGGCAACCGGGAGCAGAGGCTGGTGTTCAGAATGAAGAGGTCGATGCGTGTCTTTCTAAGCACCAAGTTCGCTGACTGTGAAGGACGGAGTCGTCGGCTGCAACACGTAGCCGTTGGTAGGGGTCTTCGACAGCTGCGCCATGGTCTCACGCTCCGCCTTTTCCTTCTCGCGTTGGAGCTTCTCAGACTTGGTGATTCGCGGCTTTCGCGTGATGGAGCCGCCTCGAGATCCAGGGCCTCCGCCCCGGCCGGTGCTGACCCGTCCTCCTCGGCTGCCACGGCCGCCGCGGCTACCGCGACCACGCTTGGGAGGTCCTTCGTGTCTGTTGCATTTGTTAGTCAGGAAGTTCGTCCAGGGGACGGACAAAGACATACCCTGCCGGAGGCTTTTCTACCTCGGGAACCAGGGGTCCCGAGTAGACGAAGAAGCCATCTCTGCTCGCAGCGGCCTGAGCTTCCCAGAGGAGTTCCGAATCATCCACAAAGTCATCGTCGACGTCGTACTGGTCCTCCTTGAAGTTACGTTTCTTCTTGGGCTTCGCCTGCGCATCGGGTCCACTCGTGCCGCCATTTTCCGGGTTGCTAGCCTCTCCATCAGAAAGATCCACGGACATCTCGTCACCCGATTCACGCCCCGACTCGGCCTTCTCCAGCGACGCGGCGGCCGCCGCGATGCGTGCCTTTCGATCCCGGTTGGCAGCCAGTCGCGGATGCAGGGCGTCCCAACCGTAGCGGTCCTCGGCCATCCGCATGAAATTGACGTACTTGTTCGTCTCGCCAGTCTTAATGGGGATATGAAGCACGATGCTTGGGGTCTCGAGTTCCTCGCCAGGCTTGGCTTTCCCAAAGTCTAGGATCGACCGTCCTTCGCTGTCTTGCGCCAGGTCATCGAGGTTGTCCGTCTTGGGGGTCGAGACTCCAGTATGAGTCTTGTCGACTTTTCGCACTGGGCCGTTAGAGATGGTGGTGAAGTTGGCCTGGTTCACAACCGGGCGGGGGACAGCCGCCGGGCGGGCCGGGGCGTCTCGCTTCGTCTCGGAGCCCCCCTGTCGCGAAGCCGGGGTGGGCGTTGACGTGGGTCGATACGAGGGCGATGGAGGCATCGATCCGGACTCCTGGCCTTGAAGTCGAGATTGCGCTGCACTCGACTGGAAACCTTGATGCGACTGACTGGGAGACGTCATGGCGGGGGCCTGAGGCTCCAGCATGCTCGCAATAGAGGGCGATCGGTGGGCGAGTTGAGAGGGCCCTCGCGGGGAGCCCGAGGCCGACGGGTGCGGGTTCGTAGTATGAGGCGTGATAGTCTCTCGCACGGGATCGTAATTGCCACGAATAGGATCGTAGCTCAAGCCGCTGCTGCGAACAGGGACGGTGTTGCTGGTCGTCGAGCTGGCAGGCGGGTCGGCGTTGAGGATACTCTGCATCGAACTCGGGTACCCTTCGCGCTTAGGCATCTTGGGAGAATAGCGCTGTTCGGTGGATTGTTGATGCTGGTTGTGTTGTTGGGACGAAGCGTGTATCGTGGTGCCTGACGTGGCCGCATCCGAAGGGGAAACAGCGACGAGTCGCGACGAGTCGCCGTCGGTGTCGACGTCCGAGGTAGGAGCCGTCTTGCGCTTGCGCTGGACCGGCGGGGCGTTGGGATCTCGAGGCTTCCGGGGCTTGCGGGCTTTGGGCTGCTCGGTGCCGTCTGCAGCCGTCTTGGGCTTCACCACCGATCCGGGCTTTCGGCCGGGCTTCTTTCGGGGCACGCCGGCAGCAGTGAGCTGAACCCATTGACCGTCGATAAACTCAAACCGTTTCGGTGCTGGCTGTCGGCCGCTGGCGGTGCTGCTGGAACCGGAGGGCTGCTGGTACTGCTGGAAGGTGATTTGGCGCTGTGCCGGCGGCTGTGCCGACGACGATGGCGTTTGGCGCGAATCGTCGCCAACGACGATTTCTCCACGCTCCATGTTGAGCGCTGGTTTGGAGCGCGGCGGGGAGCCGGGCTCGGATAGGGAGCCTGAAGGAGGCGACGATAGTTCCCCGGCTGACGATTCGTAGCGTGACGTGTCGCCAGCAGCGGCCATGTTTGGCTAGCCGCGAAGCTAGCTCAACCGCTCTCCCTCCGTCCTCGCAGTGGGAAGACGACGAGGGGTCTGTGATGTCGTCGCGTTTGGGTTCGGTTCGTCGTGCACGCGTGCTGTGCAGGTGCAGGGAGGTTCCACGTTTGAATCCGAACGTCAATCGTACGTCGTGTCCGCCACCATGAAACGATTGGTTGCGGCGCGGTGAGTGGTACGCAACAAAGGGTGCGGTCGACGGACAGTTATAAGGATTTGAGAAGTAGAAGAATGTGACGAAGAGAAATTGCCTGCGCGGCGGTAGTGAGTGAATCAGGCGTCAGTGTTGTCTGGTATCGGATGGCGGAGACAAAGGCGCGCGTGGTCGAGGCTGTTGAAGAAGGGCAGGTTTGGCGTCAGTGCCTATTGCCTTCAATGGCAATCGCTCGACTGTGGGGACTGGACCGTGTCGGCAGGTACAAAGTACAGCGGCCGTGCGGTGTGCAGCGTGCGGTGCAGTGCAGCGCCGCGTCCACTGCTGGAGGAAGTGAAATGCGCAGGTGCGTAACAAGGCAGGGTAGACGGTGCTGTACCCCGCTGTACCTGCTGCGCTGGTGCTGTGCAGTGCTGTAGGCAGGTACGGGTACAGTGGGCTCGCGGCTCTGTCCACGGGGCCGGGGGCGTGTGGCGGGCGCTGCAGCCGCTGCAGTGTGCGGTTCGGTTTGGCTTGGATTGTTGGAGATGGAAATGGATTATTACCGCCCAGAGGCGGGACGTGGGAATTGCTGGCCGTATCGGGGTTGGCGTGCGAGTGTGTGACGTGAGTGGCCAGAAGGGGCCGGCGTGTGGGGGCGCCTTCAGCTCGTCGCGAATAGCCTCACGAACTGCTCTGGCCCGGCGGGAGAGCGGTCGGGCGACGTCGCCGCAGTGGTCGCGTCGCTTGCACGGCGTGCGAGGGCTCGTCGCGCGGGGCTGCAGCCGATCTGGCGACGGCGGCGCGTGCAGCAGCGGCGGGCGCACACGATGAAGGTGCTTTGGCGATGCCGCAGGGGCCGCGACGATGCGAAATCGATGCGGCAAGTCGTCGTCGTGGGCGGATTTGGGCGTGGTGGTTGTTGCGAGAAGGTGAAGAAGAGAGAGTTTTGGGAGGCGGGCGGGAGGAGAAGGGGGACCGACGAGGATGGGGCGGGAATTTGGAACTCTGGGGGATGGGGATGGCTACAGCTCGCCGGCAAGACGGACAACAACATTTCTTCTTCTCTCTGCAAAGGGGAAATGGCAAAGGGAAAAAACGGGGCAAGCCCGCGCCCGAGGGAAAGGAAGGGCACGCACGGCACGGCAAGGCAAGGCAAGGCAGGCAAAGGGAATGATCAGGCTGCACGGGGGACCAGACGAGACGAGAGAGGCCGACCGCCAGACAAACGAGCGAGTCAAAGGGAACCGGGGGGCACGGATGACCTCGAAGGCCGCCACAAAGCAATGGGGAAGAAGCGAGGGACCACCGGGGGCGAAAGGCAGGACCAAAGACGGGGGGGATCAGAATGGGGGCACAGGAGGGGTCATGAATCAACCCGGCGGCGCCCTCGCCCATGACGGGGGCGGCGGCCGGCATAAGCCAAAACTCCAAGAAAGGGGACAACAAGATATCGACGGGCAGGTGAAGGCAGGTATCAGAGACGCGAATTGGGGCACGGGGACGGGGGACGCCCCCAGGGCAGTGGGGTGGGGAGGGGGGTCAAGGCAGGTGAGGTGGTACCTCGCATCATCCTCAACTCCAGGTCCAGCTTCCATCGCCCTCTCCAGCTCCCTCCAATGGATGTCATGCCTCGTGCCCGCTGCAGCTCATGCCCGCTGAACAGCACCTCGCCTCGGGTCACAGGGTGCATTTACAGGGGGGGCACACTGTCCTGTAGGTATTCCATCCATCGCGCACTCGCTCGCCGTCGCGGGGTCGGGTCCGGGTCACGTTGGCCGGCAGGCGGGCATGGGAGGGTATCGAACGCAAAAAAAGAGGTGCGCCTGCGCTGTCCGTACATATGTAAGTACCCACGTACAAAGCGACAGGCAACAAAAGGCTGTGCGAGCATGCAAGATGGATGGAGGGATGGATATGGGCTCGAGCCAGGCACCGCCCACCCACGGGCCCGACGCCCACACACCCGCCTGCACGCGCGCGCACACACACACACACACACACCTCGCTCCCGGTACCCGCACATGCCGCCGCCGCCGCAGAGGCTGCCCGCTGGCCCATGTCTGGGCGTGTCTCTGCCAGGCCCGTCCACCAACCAGAGCCTCCGCTTTTAGGCTTGCGCCTTGCCTTGTCGAACAGGGGGGTGGGTGACCTGCGCTGTGCTCCAGCGGGTCCCGCCCAGGATCCCTGTCCGCCTCTTTTTTTGGGGCCCCGTCCCCCCAGTCGACGTGCACCGCAGCCGTCCAGCCATGCCCATGTCATGCCATGCTTCCCAGTCATCACCACCACCACCACCGCCACCACTAACATCTGCACCATGTGACGCACAGTGCAGTATGTTATTTATACACAAGAAGGGCGAGTCACCTCAGGTAGGCAGTGAGGTAGAGAAACATATGAAACAGTGGGCAGTTGGCAATAGTTGGCAGCTCCGAGGTCGCCGGGCAGCCTTGAACCGCGCGCATGACAGGAAGGACCATTCCTCAATTACCGAGGTACACAGGTACCGGTCGGAACCTCGCTCCGCCAACAACCATGACATCCCGCGACGCCGAATCATCGGCACACACGCGTCGGCAGCCTGCAAACTCGTTTTCTCGTCGGCGCTGAGGCAAGGTCGCATGCAGACCGCAGTATCAGTTTCCTACCGCAGATTGCTTGCAGCATCCAGACATAGCTCATGCTGTTCGTCGACCTGCGCGACCCATGCCTCGGCGCCAGGCGCTCTGCGCGCGCAACCGCCTCGGCATGCGTCACGCGAGACGCAGCGCTTCACTCGCAGGCGACTCGTCGCCGTTCTCTCGGTAACACGACTTGTGCGATTCACGAGCCCTGTGTCCGCGGATGCAGCCACCGCATGAACCGCCGAATCTGAGACGCGAGAGGCGCACGCGGGCGTGGACGTAGGTACCTACCTACTCGGGTACCACCGACGTAGGCCCCGCGACACCTCTGGCGCCGCCCGACTCGCCATTGACAAAAACTGCCGCAGTTCCCCCCTTTCATGCGGCGAGACATATATCAGAAATACATTCGCCAAATGAATTTTTCGCAAGCCCTTTCCCTTGCTGGGCATCCGCGCCCGTCGCCCGCCCTCGGTAGGACAAAGGTTGCAATTGCGCCGCACACAGGCGAGCGGCAGCCGGGGCCCCGGCCGGGGCCATTCTGGAAGCAAGGTGAAGAATCAGATCGGCGCTAATGCAGGTGTGGCGGTGCACACCATCAAACCATCAACCATCAACCCCTCCCCAGGCGCAACCTTAACGCTGCCCGCCCGTTGACCGCCAGCCCGCCCGCCCCGAATTTGGGGCCGCGCTCTCGTAAAATCTCCGGCTCAGCCAACGGCGCCGTGTATTGCTCTGCCGGGTGCGAGACAACTAAATCGCACCGTGCATTGAATATTTCGATCACGGTGGCATTTTATTCCCCCTTTCTTCTAGGTGGCTCGTCAGCAGACTGGGCAGGCGCTTGGTTTTGGATTGCAGGAGGTACATCGGACGAACCCTCGGACGCCCAGCCTTAGCCGTAGGTACATGGCAGTACCTCCAAGTAAGCGCCGATCGTGCGCCCCCGGCAGTCGAACCACCGCGCGGCGGTGTACCGCAGCTCAGGCTTTGCACATACATTCGCCAATACTACCCAGTACTTCGTCGTATTACACCCTTGTTCATCTTTATGCCTCTTCGGCACGAGCAATCTCCCTTTGTCAGGATGTTTGACACTCTCGCCGCTTCAGAAACAAGCGACTCGCCCATGTCTCCGTCTCACGTGGGCTGCGGCTCCTGCCGCCAGTCCCAGGCTGGCATCATGGCCGCTAAGAGTGGGGCCCGCCGGATGGCTCGCCGCCGCCCCGCCCGTGGGCAGAATGAAACGCCTGTCTTTGTCAGCCGTCGTCACCGCAGACGTCCCAGCTTCAACCCTGCCAACGTCCACCAGTTCGTCACCCAGGTTCACAGCATGGATCCGACGCTCTTGATCGGCGACATCGTCGAGCGCGACTCCGAGTCGAGGAAACCCGTCCAGTTCTCCGCCCCCAAGCCGTCGTCCACCGGCTTCCCGCAGCACCGGCGACGATGGAAGCCGTCGGCGTCCAAACAACAGAAAGCCGGCACTCAGCCCGACAATGCGTCCAGCGCAGGGTCTGGCCCCGGCACCGTCGACTCCGGTGCCCCGGGCCAGCCAGTAACACAGAAGCAAGCGTTTGAGGAGGCAGAAAGGAGACGGATCGATTTGGAAAACCAACAGAAGCTCTCGAGCATGTCGCCCCAGGAAATCGCCCAAGCCCAAGAAGACATCATGACCGGCCTCAATCCTGCGCTTATCCAGCGTCTCCTCCAACGCGCCAACATCGACGACCAGAATGGTCCATCGCCCTTTGATCCTGTTCCAGCTCAACAGCAAGAGGCTGCGGCACCGCCTCCGGAGATCAAGGTCGAGGCTCCGTCGAAATCCACGGCGGTGACGTCGGCCTCTACCGAGACAAAGGCTACGAGCTCGTCGGTGCGCTCATCCAAAAAAATTGCGCCTGATTACGACGAAGACCAAGCGCCGGCGCAGATACCGTCCGACTTGTTTCCCATCACCGACCAACCAAGCTCGACGCACTTTCCCGTCCCCGACGTCCCCGACCTCGATCCATCAGACCCTAATTTCCTGCAAACTCTTCACGAGAAATACTTTCCCAGCCTTCCCTCGGACCCGAGCAAGCTGGCGTGGATGGCGCCGGTGCCTACCAAGGACAGCCAGGCAGACAAGGAGTCACCATACTATCCGCACCCTGAGATTGGCGTCTCCGCATTGAGGTTCGACTTTAGAGGACGATTCCTGTCGCCCCGTGTCAGCCGGTCAATACCGTCTACAAAAGGCCTGCACCACCACGGCGAGGCTCCGGAGGCAGCCGGATACACCATTGCGGAGTTGGCTCGCCTCGCAAGAAGCGCAGTCCCTGCCCAGCGGTGCATGGCATATCAGACCTTGGGCAGGATATTATACCGACTTGGGAGAGGCGAATGGGGCAAAACGGAGAATGATCCCATCGCAACGGGAGTCTGGGATGCAGTCAAGAAGGGACGGGTGTTGGAGAGCTTGATGGAGGCCGCATCGGGCGAGGGTGGCCACCGTGGGAGCCGAGCATATGCAACGGAGGCTTTGTGGCTGTTTGAAAAGGGCGGTTGGAAGGAGACGCATAAGGGACGTTGAGCCACTGCATCAAAGAAGACGGCGCCGGACATGGGGCCGACCCGACGGGTGGTCCGGGGCTTGCGAATCTAGGGATACAGGGCCTCTCAGAGGCAGCCAGTCACTGTTCCGTGTTGGTGCCCCGTACAGTCAAGGGGCTGGTCCGACACCCGCGGCGTCGTTTTACGTGCCTGCGAAAACAAGGGCTGAAAGACCTTTGTCCATGGTGGACCAGCAGGGTGCCCAGGCTGAGAAGCTGGGCGACCAGCCAGCCGGGCCAAGACGGGGACACATGTAGATGTCGCAGTAGTTGTCGCGTACCTAGATGGACAAGTCTTTTCAGCGACTTCTCTGGAGCGGAAAACGAACGTCGAGGTGGAGGTGTCGACGTGCATCAAACGCCTGCATGATTCGAGATGCTATGTCCCTCGCGGGGATTTGCCGCCAAGGCGCGCATCGGTGTGTGCCAGATGCAGCAGTGTCGGGCTCCCACAACACAGGCAAGAAAGGGTCACCAAGCTTGCCTCGACTCCACCGCGAGCCGCGACTGCCATGGGACGGTCCTGCAGCGCCCGAAGCCCCTCGCTGTGGCTTGGGCGTTGTCCCCCTGCGGGCGGGCTGGCGCATGCATGCTGGGCTGTTCCAATGGGCGCAACGGGCTGCGTGTGCGGCCGCCATGCGCACGAGACGGTCGGCTAGCCGTCCGCGCCTGGAAGGCTGATTGACTCGACGGAGGACCCGCAGCCAACGAAGCCAAGCAACATGCCGGTACCTCAGGCGATCAATGCGCTGGAACTGGAGGCGGGCGGTGGATGGCGGAGGCGGCGCTGGGCCCCGATTGCGTTTGGACTGGATTGGGGAAAACGGGCGGTACCTGCCAGTGAGGTGGTGAGGAAAAAAAGACAGCAGCCGAAACTGGGATGGTAGGTACCTTGCCTACCTTTGTACCGTACAGCAGTACTACCGTTACAGTGCTGGGCCGGTAGGTACCTTACCTCGTAGTGGCAGAAAAAAAAACCATGCGCCGCCGGGGATCCGCCCAAGTTTTCATCCCTCTCGCCGCCCTTCCTCTCCTCCCCTTCCCATCCTCTTCTTCATCCCAGCCCGACAACGCACAACGGCATCGCCGCCGAAGCCGCCAATTCCCCCCTTTCCCCCCTCCTGGGTGCTCGCCGCCTCTTCCTTTCGGCCCTCTTTGCTCTGCAGCTTGTTCTTCCCGCCTCCTTTCTCTTCCTCTGCCTGCGCGCGTGTGTCGTCAACCGCCGTTGTCTCCACACGTCGCAGCCTGAATCCATCCGCACCGCTGCCTCCAGAGACTGCTCATCGCGGTCTTGCAGCCAAGAGAAGGAACTCCGGGTCTCCGTTGACGTCGGGCCATCATCTCGCCTCCCCCGCGAGAAGACTTCTTCCCCTCGCCGCTCCAGCCCTCGCGCCGAGCGTCGCGTCGACAACTGCCGGCACACAGCAACGCCCTGTTCTGTTGCCCTTTTCCTCGCTGCACTGCCGTCTCGACACGTGCCTGTCCGACCGTCGCGCGTGCCGATAGACCGACACCGTGGAATCCGCGTCCACGACATTACAAGAGCATTGCCATCGCCCCTCCTATTCTTTTGAGCCACCCAGGCCGACTGCATCGCAAACCCACCTCCGAGATCCTGTGACTTTGACTAGCCATGGCATCTCCGCTGCAGTTCGCTTACCGGACCCAGAAGACCATTGGCGTCTTCGACGCCGCTCCGGTCTACACTCCCCTCGCTGGGTTCACCAAGCCCGAGGGAAACCTGCGGTGCAGTGCGTACTCGCCCTGCGGCCGCTTCTTCGGCTGGGCCTCGCCCGAGTCGGTGACCGTTGTCGACACCTCCACCGGCCATCAGGTCCTGAACCTCCCCATCGCCAACGTCTATGAGCTCGGCTTCTCTCCCCTTGGCACCTTTGTCATCACCTGGGAGCGGCCCGCCAAGGATGAAGCTGGCGATGCCACCAAGAACCTGAAGGTCTGGCGCACGGTGGAGGAGGGTGTTGCGGCCTCGGACAAGCAGCCTCTCGGCCGCTTCGTCCAGAAGCAGCAAGGGGGCTGGAACCTCCAGTACACAGCCGACGAAAAGTACTGCGCCCGTCTCGTCACCAACGAGGTCCAGTTCTACGAGAGCCACGACCTCGTCACGGTCTGGAACAAGCTCCGCGTCGAGGGGGCCGCAAACTTTGCCCTCGCGCCCGGGACTCAGAACCATGCTGTGGCCGTCTTTGTGCCTGAGCGCAAGGTAACATCTCCCCACCCCACCAGCGCCCCGTGCCACAACCCGTCGATGCTGACAATCCGTCGCAGGGCCAACCGGCCGTCGTCAAGGTCTTCAACGTCCCCATGTTCCAGAACCCCATTTCCCAGAAGACCTTCTTCAAGGGGGATAAGGTGCAGCTGAAGTGGAACAAGCGTGGCTCCAGCATCTTGGTGCTGGCCCAGACCGACGTCGACAGGTCTGGCAAGAGCTACTACGGAGAAACGACGCTCTATCTGCTCAGCACCAACGGCGCGTTCGACGCTCGCGTGACGCTCGACAAGGAAGGACCCATTCACGACGTGTCCTGGTCGCCGAACTCTCGCGAGTTTGGCGTTGTGTACGGCTACATGCCTGCCAAGGCGACCATCTTCAACGACCGTGCCGTCGCCAAACATTCCTTCCCGCTCAGCCCGCGAAACACCATCACCTTCTCGCCCAGCGGTCGCTTTGTCCTTGTCGCGGGTTTTGGCAACTTGGCCGGACAGATTGACGTGTACGATCTGGAGAAGGATTACCGCAAAGTCTGTACGATTGAGAGTGGCAATCCCAGCGTGTGCGAGTGGAGCCCTGACAGCCGTTACATCATGACGGCGACGACCTCGCCGCGCCTGCGCGTCGACAATGGCGTGAAGCTGTGGCACGTTGGCGGCACCATCATGTACAACGAGGACATGGTCGAGTTGTACAACGTCGTCTGGCGACCCGCCGCCCCTGAGAACGTGGCCGGCGGAGACCCGCTCAGTCCCGTGCCCTCTCCCCACGAGTCGGCGACTGCATATCTTGGCACAGTCAAGACTCCCAGCAAGCCTGCTGGCGCTTACCGGCCCCCCGGTGCCCGCGGCCTCGCCACGCCTCTGCATTTCAAGCGAGAGGACGAGGGCGGCGCCGCTCACGTTGTGAGCAATGGGACGCAGAACGTCGGTCCCAATGGCTTTGGCCGGCCTCGCCGAGCAGTGCCCGGTGCGGAGCCGGCCGAGGCACCCGCGCAGGGGAGAGGCGTCCCTGGAGCCGAGCCTGCCGATAACGATGGCGCGTCTAAGAGAAACAAGAAGAAGCGAGGCAAGAAGGGCAACCAAGAAGGCAAGCCTGAGGCGGAGCCCAACGGCGGGGCTAGCCTTGCCCCTCCGCCTCATGAGCGCGGCCCCGGTTCTGGGGGCGAGCGTCGCAGCCCCGAGCGCCGCGGCCCTGCTAATGGCAACGGCCGTGACCTTCGCAGCCGATCCAGGAACAACGGCAATCGCAGCCGCAGCAACACTCAGCAAGACCCGCGCGGACACCCCGGGGCTCAAGGCAACGCGACCCCGCCTCCGGCAGGCCAGGGCGCCAACGCGGTCGCCGACGCCTCGCAGAACCCGAACGCTAAGAAGGTCCGGAGTCTTCAGAAGAAGATTCGCGCCATTGAGGACCTCGAGATGCGCCTGGCGGGCGGCGAGAAGCTCGAGGACACGCAGCTGAAGAAGATTCAGACCAAGTCGACGGTGCTGAAGGAGCTGGAGGTTCTGGAGAGGGAGTGAAGTCAAGTCTGTGCTGTCGACATATTGACCGCAACATGTCGCTCATAGGACTTGGGAAGAAGGGATGATGGTGGTGTAGCGTTTCGCTGTATGCCATACGAGCAGGGAGACCAGATGGCTACCGCCCCTCGTCATCATCACCGCCATCATTAAGGACATCATCACGAGTGCCGCCCCGAGGGCTTCTTGGACATGAAATTGAATCTGAGGGCCGGGATGAGAAGGGGGCACGCCGTGTATAGCGAAAAGAGGGAAAACCGGCAGCACGTCGAGGCTGCCGAGCGGTAGAGTTAGTGTACAGCGCTCAGCCCGAGGCATAGGTAGGGCTACAAGCAAAAAATTGTCTGGTCCATGACTAGCCGACAATGAGACGTGCCCGCTCTTGCTGACATGGCGGCGACGACGTGAATCGAATCTTTTGAAAGAGCCTTGACAGTGCTCTATGCTATGCTTGACCCCCTCCAACGACCTTGGTGGTCTCTACTCGTCCCACTGTTACAGGCCGCTCATCTAGGCTGGACTGGGGGTCAATCTCTTCGTGACCACACTCTCGCGCTCGTGGTGCTCCCATATCACCGGGCTAGAACACTCCTAGTAACACATATAAGCCAGCGGCCTCGCTAATTCGAGGCCGATCTGTCGTGGGCCGAGTTCAGCCGCCTACACTCGCCTTGCAGCTGGTAGCCCCCCCTGGCGTCTTCCGGGTCACCCTCTTGCGACCGCGCCTTGGAAACGCGGGAACTCTGCACCGACAGCCCGTTCCTGACCAGGTCACGCTCAAAGACGATGTACTCACGCCCCTTACGGAGCAGCTCGGTGATGGCAAGCGCTAGGAGGACGACGGCGGTCGTCTGTCCAAAGTCCCAGCTGTTCTCGTCGGGCGCCTCGCCCTCGAGGTAGCCCTGATTGGCGGAGCGGAGGGCGAGGGCCATGTACAGGTGCACGGGGAATTGCAGGAAGGCGGAGACGAGGACCCAGCGGCGGCGGCGGGCGTTGAGGAGGATGGCGCTGGCCATGGCGACGAGCATCCATATTGCGGTGATGGCGACGTACGTCTTATCGGCGGCCGGGTGGCTGGCGTCGTCGGCGGTGATGAGCTGCGCGTGGTAGCACCGTCCGGGTTCCCTGTCCGGCGCCCACTCGTCGAGGCGAATGCATAACAGGATCGTGAGAGCGAGGAACATGACGGCGAAGAGGTAGGTGCCGCGGTGGCGCGGTGTGAAGTACGACTTGAGCGGCCGGGGCTTGCCCTGCTTCGTGCCCATGCCGTCGAGCTTGAAGGCGCAGAATGTCCAACAGACCATGGCTGCCGCGTTAGAGACCCTGCCTATCCGTCAGTGCACAATTCGGGTTTCAGAGATATAGCGGCGGCGGAAACGCACCCGACGAAGCTGACAATGTCAAAGACGAGATGCAAGTGATACGTGTCGAGAGTGTCGCCGTATGCAAAGGTGTTGATCATGTAAGAAATACCCAGTAGCATCTGAATGTCATTGCCGACCATGAGGATCTCAGAGACGGATTCCAGGCGTTTACGCTCTATCCTGTGTTCTGTGGTGCCCTCTTGATGGTGCAGGTCGAGGGTGCCGTGCTTGGAGAGCAGGAAGACCCAGCCGGCGAGTAGCAGGGAGAGCAACGCCTGTCCGACGAAGCCGACGACGATCTAGACGGCGGCGCGGTGTAAGCCAGGGTGGAGGTGCGGATGTGTCGAGAACTCACCCCAATGCCGGCAATGTCAGGCATGCTCTCGCCCACGAGCTCGCATTCTTGGCTGTGCCCAGCAGCCTCCATCTTGGCGACTGTGTTGGATGGAGGTGCAGAGGGGAACAGAGTGTGACGATGGCCACGGCAGAGACCATGGTCGCAGAGCTGAGCGCGGCATCGGCTCAGGACTATTTATCCACGGCGCGCGCCAGATCTCCGAATGAATCCTGGGGGACCGACCGCCAAACTTTCAGCCCTGCCACGTCCCGATTGCCGTGCAATTGGACGCTGGCCGGGGCCGCTCGCCATGGAGGCGCTGGGCAGCGTCAGCCGCGACGGATCTTAGCGCGTGCTGTAAAGCCGGCGTGGTACAGTAAGCGAGCTGATTGCCGATCTCTGCGCGTTGCCATGTCCCTGCGCTTCGCTTCACCCAGTCCTTGTGTGTTGGATCGTCGGCGGGAGACGGTGAGATTTGGTGTCGATGCTCGAATCCATCTCCCGAAGTGTGAAGGGAGCGACGGGACGGCCCTTGTCAGTGTAAGTTGGTGAGACGAGACAAGACAGGTGGCGCAGTGGGCTGCTTACCGCTGACGGCTTGTCTTGCACGGTAGGAGAGGAAGAGGAGCAGTTGACCGTTCTGTTTTGCTTTCAGAAAGCCTGCAGGGGTGACGACGACATTCTGTTGTACTTCGTAACCCAACATGGCAACGTCGGGAAGGCGGTTGCCGCGCTCCTGCCTTGGGCAGTCACCGGGACTCACCTTGGTCGCTTCCCTGGTTCGCGACGTGTCCATGCTGACTCTGACTCTTTTTCACCACCGCGCCACGTCTTGCAGGCCTTGGATCTAGCCTATCGCCTTCGCCTTCATTCTCATCAATTGCAGTCCGAATTCGTCCTGTCGGTGCAGGTCCCCCGCGTCCCTGGTCGACCGACACATGGCCACTGATCGCCGAAGAAGGCAAATCCCGACGACAGGCCGGTAAGCATCAGACAAGGGAGACGCGACCGTCGCAATAAACAGGTCGCCGCAGCATCCCGGCTACACCTCGACGATGACCAAGCGGCGTCGACAGTCGATTCAGCTCATGATCAAGAATCGGTGCGGCTCGAATGACAAAAGCGACAATGCCGGACCACGACGTTCAAAAGCATCCGACCAAGTGGGCCACACAGCCGCAGGGCCAGGACGCACAGGGCCTGACCGATTGGCCCCCGTATGATACGAAATAGCGCAGCCACTTTCAACAATCCAGCACCAGGATTCGGTGCCCGGTTAGCTCAATCGGTAGAGCGTGAGACTCTTACTCAAGAGTACACGAAATCTCAAGGTTGCGGGTTCGACCCCCGCATCGGGCTTTTCCTATAGTTCCATTCTTCGATTGGCATCATTTTTTTGCACTTTCTGGCAAATTTCTTTTTTTCTGCCAGCAATTCTTTTTGGTCTTGCTAGTTCCCTTTCTTTGCCCAGCATTCGACGTGGGGCGTTCCTCTTCTTCTTTTTGCCCTGCCTCAAGCCAGGCCACATGCCACCCTACACCCAGCGAGACATGCTCCTCCTCACAATTGCTCGCGACGGAAACACGAACGGCGTAGTGACCTCATGTCATCTTTTCTCATTTTTCGGCAGCTCTCATCTTGTTTCATTCATAAACTGTGTTGAAAGTGGGCAAAGAACACGTGACATGCTATTACTGTCCAGAATCATTATGTCGCTAACATTAACCTACTTTGCTGACCCATGTCCTGTCGCGGTGACCGACGTCTCTGCTTCTTTTTCCTTCTCTGGTCTGTACTCGAGCCCCGCTGCCTGTTCCTCTCTGCCCTGATCATCTCCCTCTTCTGCTTGCGAGTGCAGCGCGGCCAACCTTGCGCGTCTTTTCTCTAGCTTGGCCAGGCCTCGGGCCCTCTTGTCCTCCATTCTCTCCTGATCTTCGCGCAGTTGACGAATAACCCTGCTTCTTGCTCGAATCCTCCCTCCATACTTCCAGAACATGAAGGGGATAGGAATGGTGATGACTTCGAGAAGGCCCAGGAGCGTTCCCGCCCACTGTGGCGTCAGATTCTTGTACATCAGCGGACCTGCTAGTGGCAGCGTGCCGCCAAAGATGCTCCGGATGACGGCATTGCCGGCGAGAGCGCTGGCGGCGTATATTCCGTACGCCCCGGCGAGATAGTTGGATCCGTATATGAAGCTGAGCGTGTTGCCGAAGCCGAAGGGGATGCCGAATGCGATGGGACCCGACCAGTGGATGCTGGTGGGTAGGCAAGTCCACGAGAAGCCGAGTTGCCCGACGCTCGCCGACACCGCACCCATGGCCATGACGAGCGCCTGCGCCTCGGGCTGCACCTTGCCCGTCTCCGGGTCGCGCGGCTGCGAGTTGATGAGGCGTCGCAGGAGGGGCTCCGACGCGATGGCTGTCAAGGTACCGATGCCGATTCCGATGAAGGCGAGCCCAGACGTCCCCGGTCCCCAGCCACGATGTTCGGAAAAGACGATGGGGTATGCCACGAAACAGAGGTACAGAATGCCATACACAATGGAGATCCAGGCATTCATGCACCACAGGATCGGTTCGGTCGCGAACAGAACAAATGGCCGGCTCAGGTTGACCTTGAGCAAGTGCATCGTCGAAACTCGCTGGTCATACTGGCACCAATATCTGGGGTCGTCCATCTCTTTGCGCATCCTTGCCGCTTTACGCTTCAAGATGGCCGGTGCGTACGTCTCCTTGAGCGTCAACATGAGCGCGATGGTCAGACCGGCCATGATGAGGACAATCCAGTTGGCCCACCTCCACCCCAAGTACTGGAAAACAAAGCCGCCGATAATGGGGCCAGTCACCGGACCATTGAGGGGCGCTACGCCGAAGAGCGACATGCTCCGCGCGAGATAGTCTGGGTTGGAGACGTCGACGACACTGCCGGGCGCATTGGAGATCATGACTGCACCGAAGAACGCGCTGACAGCCAAGTCAGTTCACTGTTTCCAACAGAGGCTTCGCACAATGCAGTACGTACCCGAAAAAACGCGTTACAATGATGGTGGTCAAAGACTGCGCGACGCCGCAGGGGATGATGAGTATCGCCCATATGCCCAAGCAGATCAAGTACACGGGCTGGCGGCCATAGAGCTCACTCAACGGCGCAACTACTAAACTGCCCGCCGCCAGACCTAGCAGATACGTCGTCATACCCAGGGTCACAATGGTCGTGTTGGTCCCGAAGTCGGCGATCAAGCCAGGCGTGGAAGAGGTGTAACTCGTACTGTACAGGGTCGCAACCCATGTCGCAAACGATACCACGAAAATGGTCCAACACCGATACCACAGCGGCCAGTACTTTGGATTCTCGGGGTCTTTTTCTTCGAAGATGACCTCGAACTCGGGGGGTCGAGAAGCGGCGCTGCCGGTGCTGACGACGCTGGTGCCGGTCTTTGTGTAGGTGATGGGCTCCCGTGCTTGGCGCTCCGCCTCGGTCTCAACGTCGGGCGTCAAGGCGCGGCCCAGAGTCTCGTACAAGTCTTCATTGTCGAGACGCTGGGTGTCGGTTGACCGGCGGCTATGGTTGGTATGGGTCCTAATGGCCTCGAACTGAACAGAGTCGCCATCGAAAGACGACGTGGACGTCCCTCCGCCCGAGCTGCTTGGGGACACCGCCTTCTCAGGATCTGAATGCATGTCGGGCGAGTTGTCGGGTCTGCATCTGGCCAAGAGGACGACTCTTCCGGATGGATGAATCGATCACGATGCACAGCGACTGGGTGACTGGAGTGATCTCTTGGCACATTTTACGAGGCACGGAAAGGGGCACTCGGGCGGCAAGAGCACCAAAGACTCGAGGGAAAGATGAAGGGGAGAGCTGAATAATTACCCTTGTGAGCCCCCAAGGTGCCCCCATGCCCCCTCCCGATCCTCGAGCGTTTTGGGCCCCGTAACCGGCGGCGGCTCGAAAGCGGATATAGCGCGGCACCAGCACGAGGTGGAGAGCGAACCATGCTGGCTGCCGAGACGGAGCCTGAACCGCAATGGTTGGCCCGATGGCTCCACGTCCGCGGACCAAAGGCCGAAGAGGCGAGGAGAGGCGGGCGTCGTACCCGGGCCGGCTGATGCTGGATGCCAGCATACATTCATGTACAGGGCACAAGCAGCATTGTTTTCACAACGTCTCTCGCGGCTTCCATCATGGCAACCCTGAAAGCAGGCGGCTCTGACAGACAGCTAGCTCGACGGAAACGGCGTCGCGAGTCGGCGGAGAAAAAGGTGCGGGTTCGGGTGGGTTTGGCTGGGTCTCATTTGCCGGGAATGCTCCTTGCCCATTCCACGCCGGCAGTGGCACGCCGTCCGCGGGCAAGGGGAATGCACACAAAGTCAGCTGTGCGCTGGGCCCTCGATACGGAAGCTTTGACATGTCACTTGCGTACGGCGACGAATACCAGGCCGCCCACGACCCTCGAAGCTTTGGAGAGGGGCGCGTGGCCGGGAGGCAGTTGGGCGGGGCTGAGCCTCTTGGCGGCTCCGTGCCGAGGTATCGAGGCTTTTGAGCTCGTAAGTAATCTGAGTCCTGGCCTGCCCAGGGGAAACCGTGTCATGTCACGATGCAATGGCCCTCCTCGTACAGGAAATATCGTCGTTCAAGCGAAAGTCCACCGTTGATGCCCAAAATAGTGGACGGCTCCAGCTCGCAATCTCTTCTCTCTCGGCCGACCGACAACGGGGCGATGTCGATGGAAGGCGCAAAGGAACCAAAAAAGAAAGAAAAAAAAAAATCGTTTGCGCCCTGCGGGCCCCCCCACGAAGGCGGACCCGCCCGGTGACTTCCAAGCGGGGTCGGACAAAGGGCGCCTCTCATGTTTTCCCATTCAAGGGCCCGGGGGCGGAGCGCCGGTTCGGATGTGGGTCCAGCCAGCCCCGCTCATCGGATCCGGCGTTGGTCGTCGCGCAACGGCGGCAACGGGTCTCGGCGTAGAGCGCGCCGAACCAACAACTGCTGTCGTTCATGTCAGCCTCCGGAGCGGCGTGTGGATATTTGGATATGCGCGCTGGCTTCGTTGCTGGCCTGGGCTGACCGGCAGGCCAAGGGTGATGCCTGCGTCATGCAGATGTTCGTCAGTGAAGAGCGGGTGTGCGTGCAAGGCAGGGCCGAGATGGACCTCATCTTGCGATGCGTCTACGGCGCGAGGATGGGCTTCGGACTTGAGCGCGCCGCCGGGGAGCTACTTGGCTGTGCCGCTGGCCTTGCCCCTGGCGTGGAAGATGGTCCACGAGGGCAGATTAGATGCAACAATCTTGCACCATTGTACTTGGAAGTGGGCGCCTCGACAAGGGGGACATCGGGGCAGGACCTTCCAACGAGGCCGTGAGGTCGCTGGGCACCCTTTCGTCTCGCCACGATGCGGCTCGTAGAACACCCTGCGTGACCATTCCTTCTCCATTGGAGCCTCGCGTACTTTGTGACCTTCACGGACGACTTCGTATCGTGGACGAGCTCCTTGCCAAAACTCGCATCGCGGTGGCCCGTGGCAGGATTGTACGTCGGCTCCATGGCCAAGTGACGACACCATGCGGGCTGGCTGCGGCAACAGCTCCAACCTGCCCATCCCCAGCATCGGCTGAGCGTAGGCAAACTGCACGTACATACTGAACATGTACAGCCGTGGCAACGGGTATCTGTTTTGCGAACGGACCGGCAGTACTGCAGTCCAGGGGCGCGCCGTAATCGTCCTGTTCCGCCCAAGCTAAACTGGCATCTTGTGGCCTTTTATGTCCAGGCAGGCAAGTAAAAAGAATGCTGGAACAAAGCGCGCAATCGATGTAGCCCACGTACCTTGAAGGACCACACTCGACAACACAAAGAGCGACGGGCGTCTCGCTGCATATAGGCGTTGGCAAGTTCCAGCTGGGCATGCACGCTTCGCATCCAGCCCACGCGCGGGCCACGTCCGTGACACATACCAAGACCGGGATAATTATCACAAAGACCCTCGTCTTTCGTCTCCCTCGCCATGTCCATCTCCTCTTCGCCACCAGTCGGATCCAGCCCTCGTCAAGATGCTTCTGGTTATGTGGCCGCACATCCGACCCGAGGCCGCCTGCACTGACAGGCTCGTGAGCCTCGACCGGGCTGCGCAGCGCGAGGGCAACTCTAATTGGGGCATCAGCCAGCAAAGGCCGCGGCAGTAAGCTCCGATTGTACGTAGAAGAGCGCTCTATCTTCCATGCCCTCAAGTCGAAGCAGCTCCTGGGAGAGCGCAAACCGTGGTTCTCACTCGGTTTTTGTCATCGAGCTGGACCAAGAGGACGCAAAGCCATGCCGGTGGCGAGAGGCCCCAGCCTCGCTCGTAGTATGCCAGGGACCGGCATAGACACGTCCGCAAAGATGCAGCCTACGATACGTTCACAAAGAAGCGAGATCGGCAACGCCGCCGCGGCAGAGGACCTTGCTGGACCGCGTCAGCCAGCACTGGCGAGGCAGGCGACTCGGCAACGAGCAGGCCACATTCTCGGAGGCCCTCCTCAGGAGTTTCGTACCCTGCAAAGCGTGCTCCGATACAGTACATGTTGTCAAACGCAACGACGAGGCGCAGCAACAAGAGAAGAAGCAACAGCAGGCTCTCAGCTCGACCAGCATCATCACCCCGTCAGATGCCCTGTGGCGAAAGTGATGCAGCCGACGCGGCCTGGCCTCTGCCCAACGTGACATGGCATGGCACCGGCGGGAATCGCCCGAAGCGTGTAGACACCCAGGGCCGGAAGAGTTCCAGACTCGCTCTGTGTGACCCATCCGCCACCGAGGAAGTAATAGCTTCTGGCAGCTCGGCGTAGGACGTTATCACCGATGAGGCGCGCCTTCCGCGCCAATCATGACCCGTCCACTGCCATATCCAAAGGATGTATATCCCGCCGCGACTCCGTGCTGACTCAAATACTTTGCTCTCTAGACACAGGTCGCGCGTAGCCGCCAAGAAAGTGTGTCGTGCATCTAGCGATGATATAAAGCGTCGTCGGCGACCCTGTCCGGAGAAGCTTGAGGGCCCCCACCTCACCATTCACGGAGCAGAGCATGAAGAGCTGGAGACAGAGTTCGAATAGGATGCCTCGTCAGAGCATGCAAAGAGGGGCCTCCCGTCAGATAGTGCCATGCCTGTCTTATGGTGGACAAGCAGTCGGGCACCGCTGAAGAGTTTCAGCCTTGCGGGCGGCACTCTCAAGGGCGCGAAGGGCGACGGTGATCGACACGACACCGAAGAAACGGAACAAGCTGAATCGACGCGCGTTAAGATCGAATAGAGAACGCCACCGCAGATGTGGTATCAGTCTTGGGGGCAGCGCGCGGCGGCGAGGCTCCTTTCCTCAGCGAGGTATGCTGCTGGTCCCGTGCCACACGTCTCACACTTCATTGCTCTTGTCTTCGCCTCTGCTTCCTTTTCCTTTGACATCTGCGCGCCACGATCTCACCGCCATCAGCTCCCGGCTGCAAGATGTGGTGGCTGGGGGCTGCTTCGGTGAGACACGTGTGCGTCTCGTACACGCATACACTATTTGCTGATGCATGGTGAGAGGAAAATACCGTCTTCGGTACGTCAAGGCGGTCTGGGAGCCGCTCCGTGTCGACGCCTCATCATGCTGAAGATGCCGGGACGCCAGTGCGGCCCACGAATGACCCTGGCTGCCTGCATGAATGTCGGCTCTGCGCGAAACACGGCGTGCATGCGCGCGGCCGTGTTGAGCTGCCGTAACTGCCGTGACTGGACGCCAACAGCACCGCACGCTGAGGGAGCCCGTTATGCAGGACGGATTGACTGCGCTTTGTTCGCTGGTCGGGCCCGAAACACGCGGCACTGCGGGCACCTCGACGTGGAATGAAGGCGTAGCTAGTCACGTTGCTACCGATGACTTTTGCCAGCTATCCACGTCCGACCGCCGCGGCAACTTGCTGTACTCTTGCCAGCGATACGCTAGTTTCGAGTCTGAGGGACGTAGGGGCCTGTAGAGCTATCAATGGCAGCATTTATCACAGGGCACGTCTCGCTTCTGCTTGTCATCTTGGCAAAAGTAAGTGACCCAGGACTCCCGGGAGATTTTCACGGAAAGAGGGTGGACTCGACGGAACGGTGCGTCCGGCTTCCAGCCGAGAATGAGCGCCGCTTCCCAATTTTCGCAGCAGAATTCGTCGTGCCGTGGAACCGCGCCTAGGTGCTGTGGAACGCGCAAGTACAAGAATATACCTACATTGGGAAGCTGGCTGAGGAGAGGCACGAGGGGAGGCGCCTGTCGCTGAGCAATCGGACGGCATGTCACCAGGGACCATCCTGTGGCCGTCCGTCTCTCGAACTTTGCCCGCTTGAGTCTGCCAATTGTGCACTAATAGACAGCGCTCATCAAGCGTCTTCCAAATGGCCTCCTGGGCGTGCCGGCAACCGCAAAAGGTACGGCTGGGGCTGCCATGCTGCATCTCGATGAAGCTATTGCCTGAACGGTGCCCGCCTTCTCCACGCCGGGCAGCCAACTGCGGGTCACGTTGGGGGCTTGCTGGGGGGTGAGTGTTTCAGCCTTCCCGAAGCGCGATGCAAGTGATGACAGGCTGTCAGACAGAGGCGGCTCTCGCGTGCAGCGACGAGAGATGTGACAAGCCGACATCTCGCGCGGCCAGGAGAACCCCAACCCAGCCTGATGGCGAGTTCGCCCAAACGAGTAATCTCCAGGAAGCTCCAAGTAGAGCCCAAGATGGAGACGTCCGCTCTTGGCAGTGGGCTGGGACCGTTGGCTGTCACCTCGATCGAGATGCTTGGTCGCGGCGACGGCGGATACCTCTGGCGGGATCAAATCGAACCACAGCGGCCCGCCTGGCTCTGCCTGCTTGCTCGCTTCGTTTCCCGACATTTGGGCAGCCTCCTCGAACCGGCAGTGACCGACTTGGGCGACGGAAGAACCCACGCGCTCATCTCACCATGGCGTAGCCCCCATGCCGAGATGCGTCCGTGCAAGTAAATCGGGCATTATTCTGTCATTGAATGCCTCGCTCTTCGCGCGCCCGAGCGCATGCAGTCGTGGCATTCCTTCCTCGTGAGGTCGGATTGCCAGACCGCGCCCACAACCCGTGCGTGGTGCTACGGCGCCGTCGCCCGAATCGGGCGCTGGGCGGCACAACCTGCCGCATCCCGGGGGTATGGTGGCATAAGGCACGGAGATTACACCGACGTCGGCAGGGGAGTGCCAATGCAATTGCGGCGGCATGTGAGAGCGATGGCACGTTGCCCGAGCGCAGGGCGGTACAGTATGAATCTGCTCGCGGTGCTGGCTGGCCACGGTCCCTCGTCTGTCTGTCCCGCGCGCGGCTTGGCCTATGCGCCTCTCGACTGCTGCTGCTGCTGTTGGGATGGAGGGAGGCGAGAGTCAGTCACCGGCGCTCACAGCGGAGTGACGGAGGCGGCGGAGGCGGCGGCGGAATCGCGGGACCAAGACACGACCTTCTGAGGGAGAGGGGAGGAGAGGCGGAACAATGGGGGCCACCACGGCCGCGGGGGCGAACCGCCACGTCACTAGCCACACCCAGGCGGTCTGGACAAGTCCATTGAGTGGATGGAAAAGCTGCGACGCGCAAAAGATCATCAGAGGGGCTCGTGTGGGTTGACGCGACCTTGCTGGGAAGAGTCGCAACGATGCCGATCAGATGTGGCTTTCGTCACCAATTTGCCACACTCTCGGCAAGGGAGAAATCTCGGACAATGGGCGCTGAGCCACATCGCCGTCCCGTCGACACCTGGTAAGCCTGGTCGTCATGTCGTCGCCTGATGGTGTCGTGTTGGGCCATTCGGACCACTCAACGACGTGATGGATGTGAGGGACGTCGACCCCAGCACTCGCTCCTGTCACACAAGGACCCTTGACCAACATCTTTGGCGCTGCACCTGGTGTGTTGCGTTGTGGCCCTGCGTCCCGTGGCGCCGGCCGATGTGCAGCGGCAAAGTCGCTGTGTCTTCCTTCCCGAACCGTAGGTGCAGTAGTAGCCGACCACGCAACGTATTGCACGGCTGCCGCCCTTGTTCCCACGCCCAACGGTGGGCACGCACGATGCTTGCCTGCACGTCCGGAGTAGCTGGTGCTCGTTGTAATATCGCCAGGGCCAGCTGGTGCCCATGACCACCGCGGGCCGTCATCGCCGTGGCATCGTCACCAAGCCAGCCGTCTGTCTCGGCCGGCCTGGGCCGCATTAGACGCGCATTCATGCATGGCACGGCGGCGCGGAGCACATCTGGCAGCGGCAAAGCAATCTCGACATCTCGCTCGTATCCGACGGCATATGTTGCGGGCTTCATCGGACTGGCCGGGGGCACAGCCCGGAGATCGACAAGGCTGGGCCGCTCAAGGCCCGAACGGTTGCGCAAAACAATGCGCTCCAGCAAGCCGACTTTGCAGATCCGCAAATACGGAGAGTGGGATGAGTGGGAAGCGACGAACGCTGCTGCGCTTGTAGTCGGACTCCAATAGCGCGTCAGAGGTTGTGCAACGGCGCCCATCGAGGCCAGGGACCGCGCCACTAATGCTGGGCTGGGACCGAATTTCCCCAGCACAGCCACACGGAGTCATCCGCGTCTCCAACCAGCTCGACCGGGCATCGTGCTCGGCCACGCATGAGCGATCAAATTGCATTGCAGCAAGCCCGCCTCGCCTGGGTGATGACGGGGATGGCGACGATGATGTCAAAGGGACGTTGCGATTCGGACCATCTGCGCCGGCTAGGGAGATCAAAGAAAAGTTAGCAAAGTCTCTGTCGCCGCCGCCCAGCGAGCCAGGCTGCTTTTGGTTGATTAGACGGCCCGGTCAGTGACACGCCGCCCACATGGGCTTGGGTGCCACCGACGCCTCTTCGGTCCGTGGCTGCAGGCGCCGTGACTGACTGACCCTGGACGGATGGGCGATGGTTCGCTCGTGTCACCGCATGCATCGTCGTACGTGAGCCCCAGCCGATGGACCCTTGCGACTGTGGCGAGAGCTCCGGCTCTGGGCATGCATCCCAGAGCAGGTAACGTATCTGTCAAGACGAGAAAGCTGCTGAAGGGGTTGTTCGCGTCAGGGGGCTTGCTCCGGGGCGACGGCAGTCGAGCACGGAGAGCAGAGGCCCGACAGCTACGCGTCCATTGGCCGGCCACGGACCCGGAGCAGTTCTGGCGCATCGCGAACAGGACTGGTTAGAGGCGCCGACATGGTTGCCGCCGGAAGAAATGTGTGGTGGCCGGCTGTCAGCGGCGGACATGCTGTGACGCTGGTGGTGGTGGAGGAAGCGATCAGTGGCGGCGGGTGTGGATGATGGATTGGCCGGCGGCGTCTCTCGCGTGCAAACCGGGATAAACGACGTGCAATGGCGGCGCGCACCAGCCACAGTGGCACGGCTTGCATGTGCAGGGCATCCACTACTAGGTACTATGCCACCTATCGGTAGGGAAGGTGCCTGTGTTTGTACCTCCAGGCTCGAGGTACTCGAGGCACAGCAGGGGAAGCAAGTCCCTCTTGCGGCAGATGTCCGACGGACGCCTGTGAGATGCTGTCCTGTATGGAAAGGCTCGTATTGCGCGCCCCGGGTATGGCAGGCTATGCAGGACCTCCCCGTCCGCAGTGCGCTCGGGCGACGGGAAGATACCCAAGGCATTGTTTCTCCAGCGCGAGTGTCGAGGTGCGTCTCATGGGTGTCGTCGCGACTGCTTCATACCCTCGCCACAGCGGGCTGCGAACAAAGGGCCAAGGTACTGTACAATACTCAGTAGTGACCACTGAACCGTCGTCCTCCAGGTGTCAGTTCCAGGCGGCATGGCGGGGTGCGGATAATAGGACACACCCACCACCTACTGGCCCTTCAGCCCCAGCCAGGAGACACGCCCTGTGGCTCCCGCCTCAGTGGCTTCTCTCGGCCCCATCACTGGCGGGGTGCCCACCAGGGCCACCTCAGTGTGACTGCCAGGTGCGTCTCGTGTCGCGCACTAACAATTAAAATAAGCTATGGGCGTCTTGCCCCCCGGGCCCCTTGGAGAACGACGTGCTAGCGTCGACAGGGATCGTGTTCGAGAGCGTCCTGGGCTCCATCTTCCATGCCGGCCCTTGCTGCGAGTTGCTGGGCATTGCGCCTGCCTGCCCCATCCAGGCGGCGGGTGCGAGAAACGTCCGGCTCGGCCAGTGCCTGCGGAAGTGGATGCTGCTGCGCTTGCGCCTGCGTTGGAGGTGCTGGAGGTACAAGGGAGGTGGTGGTGCGGTTGCTGCGGGAAGCGAGGCGAGGCGAGCCAGAGGGCCTCGTACGAGCGCGCGAGTACCTCCCGCCCTCAGGTCTGCTCCGAATCGCTCGCGGTCGTCGAGGTGTGCGCCGAGGTGTGCAGCTGCGGTGGAAGCGTCTGGCAGCAGGAGCCCCTGAACGCGTCATACTTGCGTGAATCGCGGCGGGCATTTGTCGCTGGTAGTTGCCTGGGGACGGAGAACAATCTGCCGAGCGAGCACTGCATGGATGAACAGACAGAGGGGCCGACAGATGGACGGAACCCCAGGCTGATGCGGCGCAGGCGGCGGCGCGGCGCTGCGATGGCGGGCAGCCAAAACAGAAGGAACGACGTGGACAGCAGACAGGTACCCGTACTTGTCCAGTCCAGCCCTGTGCAGCACGGCACAGCACAGACTTGCCTACCCGCGCTGGTAACGTGCGAGTGTTGGCAAGTCCCATCCGTCGTGCCTTACCTTACTCCGTACTTGCCCAAGCAACTAGGTTAAAGGCAGGCAGTCCCTTAGCAGGCGGCGCCAACAGCCAGCCAATCTTGCCAGTCTTGCCAGTCGCGTCGAGCTCGTCAATGGAACGCTCCTTCTCTTTTACGCGCGTTGGACTTGCCAACCGTCACCCCCTCCGCAGATGCAAGAGATTGCCCGAGAGCAAGTAGAGTACATTCATTGGTACGTACAGTCCTCGCATGCGCAGGGTAACCGAGCACCTCAGATCTCTCTCCCCAGGCAAGGCAAGGCACGACTTCAAAGTACGTACCTCCGTACTTCGTGCGTTTCTCTTGGAGGGGCGGCAAGACCCCAAATCCTCTAAGCCTTAGCCCTTTCTTAGTAGCATCGGTGTACCTCCGGGCCACTGCTGACCTCTGCCTCTCCACCGGCTGTCCTCACAATTTGCAGCATAATAATTCACACAGGGCGCTTGTGACGGCAGGCATCCTGCCCCCCATCCCCCGGCGTGTTATTTACTTTACGTCTTTGGCGGCTCTGGTCTCTTTGCATGGCGCCAGACGGGATGCACCCAGACACCCAGACACCCAGACAGACGTAAAGTACCGTTACCAGTGGCATTGCCAGTCCCATCCGCCCACGCTTCGCTCTTCCCATTGCTGCCCTCCTCCATCCACCTCGTCTTCATCCACACACATCCGTTGCCGCCCCTCTCCCCCCAGCCCATCCCATCGCCTTCAAGCCACCGGGCACAACGTCCGGACGCCGCTTGCAGAGCAAAGACGTGCACGGCGTTTGGTCTTCATCCCCATCCCTCCCTACCTCACCTACCCACTACGAAGGTAGGCCAGGCACTGTGCCTTTTCTGAGGTTAGCAATACTGCACCCCGGCCACCAACGACACGCCTCTTCGCCACAACCGTCGGTCCTCAGTATCGTTCGTCGCCTTTTAAGAGCCGTCCCGTCGTCGCCATCCTCCTCCCCACTCCCCACAGCTTCCGCTCCGCTCTTGGCCCTTGCAGGTCGCGACCTATAGTACTGCCTACCTTGGTTCTCTCGCCGTTCACCCCCCCATCCGCCCCGGCCCAGCAGCAGTGGCCCCAACGTGCTTCTGCTTGCGTGCCCGCCGACGGCTCGTTTGTTGTGCACAACAGGTACCTTGCTGTACGGGCGTGGACGAGGTCGAGTACCCATAGCACTCAGACCTGCCCCAGACCTGGTACCCGCGTCTATCCAGCGTCGACAGAATCTGCGGACCGAGACACCCTCGTCTTTACCCGCCGACGTCGAGCTGTCCGCGAGTGGGTGCCGAGTGCCTGGCTGCAGCCCCGACGACCTGTCCGCCCGCCAGATTAGTCGTGCAGTGCGGCGTGCCGTTGCCCGGATTCAGCCCTCGACCCTACTCCTTGCCCTCACTACTGCCTGGCCCCGGACCGCAGAGCGAGGGCGAGAACAGCGTATCGTGTCGTGTGCGATACGGCCAGCCGCAAGCCATCGCGACGGACGCCGGCCCTCTGGCTCACCCTCGACATTTCCCGCCGGGCCTCGACGCGCTCACACCCCCGGGCCCTCGTCTGATCCCTCACCCTTGGCTCCCGCTCGTCGCATCGAATCGGCCATAGCACCCGACCCGAGCCACGGCGAGCCACCAGGTCCAGGTCCACTGGAGACCCAGGCCTCCTGGTGCAACCTTCAAATCGGCACCATCGCCCACCCCCGTCCACCCGCCCTGGTCCGTCTGTCCTTCGCTTCAACCTTACAAGCAAGCAGCCCCCACTTGCTCGACCTCCGACATCCTCTCCCACCGCCAAGCCTCAGCTTCTTTTCTACCTTCCTCTAGCCTCCTCCTTTCATCAACCAACGTCGCTCGTTTCTCCCTCTGCCGTCGTAACCGCTGTCGGCCTGTCGTCTTCCTGTTTTCCCTCCTACCCGCCGTGGATCGCCTCGAACGCTTGCGCCTACCTGCCTGCATCCAACGAGGGCTTCGTCCATGGGACTCGCCGACACCGCCTAAACAACTTACAGTCATCGCGACCGCTGCAGCAGCACTTCCGCCAGAGCACTGAGCCCTACACGTGACGGCGACGGGCTCGCCAACCGCTTGCAAGACCCGAACAGTCTTGCCGTTTCGGCGGCCACGCCCTTGTCTCGTGCTACCATGTTTCGTCAACGGTAAGAATGGCCCGAGCGTCTTCCCGTCTGCTGCCGTATAGCCGTATAAGTCCACCTTCCAGCCGAGTCCAGACTTTTCTGCCGCTTCGCGGGAACGCCCATGTGCTGTCTCCTGCTACCTATCGTGGGCTGACTCTTACTTCCGCTATAGGACAAGCTCACAGAAGCCAGCTGATGGCCTCCTGGCCGAGTTTCGACAGCAGTTCCCCCAGGTTGGTCCCGTCAGCACTGAGGCCCCTGCGCCGAGCATCGCCCAGACGAGCGTGGCGAACCATCCCATAATCATCAACGCGCCCGATCACGCAGATAGGTACGTGGCCAGCACAAGTGATTCGCAACTCGTCTCTGCATGACGCTCCGCTCGACTGGCTCAGCAGATCGCTACCAGTATGTTCGAAAGCAACCCTCGACTAACCAAAGCAATAGCGCCGGCCAAAATGTCGACAATGAGCCCTTCAGGGATCAGGACCCGACGCCACGTGCCTCCCACGAGCCGTGGCGATTTACGCCGTCACTGCTTGACCCGAATTCGTACGCCTTCAACTCTTTCGCCAACGCGCCCCCGGGGTACTACACACCGACCCCTGGAGGAAACAACACCTTATTCCACTCTCAAGCTGGTGATCTGCACACGCCGACTCTAGTGATGGCACAAGGCCTCGGGACGCCCCTGTCGATGCCAACGTCAGGCGACGGCCTCCAGTCTGGTGTCACTACCATGGACATGTCGGGCTTCCAAAACCTCCAGCCACACCAGTTCCATCACTTCAATCCCTTCATTCAAGCGCCTCCGCCGCAACCTGGCTTCGCCCCTTCGTCCTTTGTTCATCAAGATACGGGCTACGAGACGATGGAGCAGGATGCCTCCCCTAGATCTGACCCTTCTGACAGCAGGATGCAGTCTATGGCAACGGCGGTCAACTCGCAGAAGTTTTCATCGTTACCTATGGGCCAGCCATTGCCAGCGTCAGCAGAGAAGTTTCGTTTCCACTCCACCTTGAACGCCCCTACCGCCATGGTCAAGCACGCAGATGAGATACCAGTGACGTATCTAAACAAGGGCCAGGCTTATTCGCTGTCTATCGCGGACACGAGCGGTACCATCCCGGTCCAGCCTGGCACCAAGTACCGTACGTTCGTGCGCGTATCCTTCGAAGACGAAGAACAGCGTCAGAAGCCGAGCGTGTGCTGGGGACTTTGGAAGGAAGGTCGAGGAACAAACGAGGCCCACCAACGCGGCGGCAAGCTCCAAGCCGTCGAATTCGTTGAGGCGGGCCAACCCGCTGATGGAGATGACAAGAGAACCCGCATCGAACTCGAAACATCCTCCTTCGACGGCTTCTCGGTTACTTGGACCCCTGGCGTTAACGGGGCTCCCGAAGTCAACATTGCTGTACGATTCAATTTTCTCTCGACCGATTTCAGCCACTCGAAGGGCGTAAAGGGGATTCCAGTGAGGCTCTGCGCCAAAACAACACTTGTCTCCCCTAGCCCTGCTCCCGACACATCGCCCGAGATTTGCTTCTGCAAAGTGAAGCTTTTCCGCGACCACGGTGCAGAGAGAAAGCTATCGAACGATGTCGCGCACGTAAAGAAGTCGATAGACAAGCTGAAGCAGCAGCTCGCCCAGCTCGAGAGCGGCATGAAGGACTTTGGGAAGAGAAAGAGGCATAGCGGGGCGGCCAAGGCTGCTGATCCTCAGCGCCCAGGAAAGGTTCCCAAGCACAAGAGAACATGGTCTATGTCCTCCGCGAGCTCGGCTGGAGGTGGTGGGGCGCGTATGACCATGGAGGAGGACTTACATTTCAAGCTTCAGACCCTCCAAGACATGTTCACGAGCACACGACCTGTCAGCGTTCTCTATCTCCGAGGCGACGAACTGGACGACCCAGATCTGCATCCAGTGGCACTTCCAGGCGACATGTCACCGCCAAACAGGACCGACGGAGCCAAGGATGGACCCAATTGGCAGCCACGGAGCACGCAAAGCTCTGTCACCGGCTCCATGGTCTCGCCCTCGCCGAGCTCTCTGTCCCTCGCATCCCAAGCTTCAGCCCTGGGACCTGGTGGAGTCTGGCAGAACATGGACTCGGCCACCACGGGCGAAGTCTTGCGGAAAGGGCCGGACCAGCCCCAAAAGATTGCCAAGACGGACGACGATGGTACCTTGAGCGGATGGATAGAAGCGTTAGGTGTCGATCCGTCATATCGACCTCCGCCGGAGCGAGGCGAAAAGCCGGTGGCCTGCTTCTACATTATCCGCCAGGCGCCGATGGAGCCGGCCTATCACAGGGCTATATACCTCATGAAGCGAACGCTGGAGGAGTTCAACGGCCGCATCGCCAACAAATGGGGTTTGGACGCGTCGAAGATCGTGCGGACCCTGCATGTCATCCAAGACGGCCTGGAGGTGGAAATCGACGACGACGTGGTCCGCGAGCTCAAGGAGGGACAGGATATGAGGCTCGAAGTTGAAACCATGGAACAGCAAGGTCCCTCGAAGCGCGAATGGGAAATGTCCGTGGACGGTTTGGCCGGACAAGACCCAGCAAAGTCGACAATTGCTGGTGGAATTGTTCTTCGACTCAAATTTTGATATAATCCGACGACACGAATTTACGGCCGCGAGAATAGCACAAGCTCCGGGCTCGAGGCAAGGAGCTAGATGAGGGAAGGATTTGGCAACGTCCTGTCTGTCGCCAGACAGGATGTCGCCGATGCTACCGTATACATGCACGAGGAGGGAAGGATACCCCGGCGTTGGGTACTGACTGATTTTTATTTTGCTTCTTCCAAAGATACCAATGCTGGCTCTTTACTTACTTCATAGGCAAGGCAACAATTGGGTGAGAATAGGAAATATCCATGGGGTTGAGCTGCAGAAAGCTTGGGGCGCGAGACGCTCGCTTCTTGCATTGCAATGTAACTAATTAGTATTCTTAGTTGTGTTGCTGGGCCGGGATGGTTGGCTGTTCATGGGATGGGTGGCGGTCGCAGACGTGTAGGCTACGTTGACATATATACGAAAGCCCAGCAATGCAGTCAAGTCTCGAAAATGAAACGATACTCTAGAGGAGACGTGACTTGGAGACACGACGCACCACGAGCCTGGTCAGAGGGCGAGATCTGAGTGTCGACTATCCATGCAATAAGTTTGCTTGATTTACAAAATGCTGGGGCACGGGGCTGCCAGCCACAGCTCTGCAAGAAAAGCGTCGGTATCGGCAAGCCCGGACATTGGTGTTTTCTCTGGGAAAGTGCTTGATAGTGGAATCTGTTTGCACGCCCGGAGCGGGGACGAAAACGGCGGGCGGCCAAGACTCCAACGGGCCTTGGCGCCATGGAGGTCATTTTCCAACGGTCCGCGCATTTTCGGATGCTGAGCCAAACTTAGCCATGGCCTGGGAGCACGGCCACGCGAGGAGGTCACCGACCCATTTGGGGCGGGCATCGAGGCGCATCGCGGCACATCGAGAGCCGAGTTGAGCACCAGGCAGAGCAGAGCAGGTACAAGGTGGAGGGGATAGGCATGGAGGGCGTGGCGGGCCTGGGCCTGGAACAGCAAAGTACATACATGCATCGCACTTTAACCATGGAGAAGGGGAGGAAGGGGTGAGGGCGTGCGCGCAGGCGCGGGTCCAGCATGGCAATTTCGCGCCGGCAGCGGGTTTCCGGGGGGCGGAGGAGAATAACTCGACGACTGCGGAACCGATGGCGCCGTCTGGTAGGTACACTGTGGTGATTGTAGTCATCGCGGACCAGGCGTCGACGCAGTGCGAGCTCGATCGAGATAGCGGATTTGGGTGGGGATTTGGAGGTGGAGTCGCAAGACATGAGACGGGCGTGCACGACGACGAGCGCGGCGCGCCAGTCCAAAGAGGCGCCCCGAGGAAGCCAAGACAGCTTGGGGAGCCCCGGCCCGACAGCGTGGCAGCCCAGGCGCTGAATCGGACCAGTCGATGGGCTGGGGACAGGGGTAGGCGGTTCTGCGCATGTGGATACTCGCCCGTGCCATGCGGGACACGGCGCGGCGAACCCTGGTCGCCTCGGGGCGCCGCGTGGGAGCGAGTGGGATGGCGTGGCACTGGCATGGAGCTGAGTCTGAGTTTGATTTGAGGGTTGTGGCTTGCCTCTGGGGTGGATGCGGTTTCGAAACGTCCAAAGCGGGAATTTGTTGTCGTGCTGCGTGCACTTCTGTCGTGGCACAACCGCAGTACGGCAGGTGGCATGCGAATGAAGGACGCCTGGCCGCCCGAATTAGTATTTTAGTGCTGGACGAACGGAGATGAGCCGGGCGCCTCATCACCTTGCCCAGGTTGTTGCCTCGATGCTTGGCTCGCGGTACGTGGGCGCTGTTCTCGCAGTATACTTGTACGTGCATCCGTGCAAGAGCGCGCCTCAGAGATTGAAGGAGGGGGCGCGCGCCGTTTCCGTCCATTGGCGTCTGACCGGGGACGAGCGGATTGTACTGCAACACTCGCAGCTTCTCCGACATGTTGCCATGCCCAAGAGAACAACGCCGCGCATTTGCTCGGAGTTTAGAGCGACGCTCAGCGTGTCCGGCAGCCAGCGGCGTTGACAAGATTGGGCGCGCTCAGTCCTTTCATCTGCCAGCGGTTCGCGCAAGCCACCCCATTAGCTCATGGTGGTCGTCATGTCCATTGCCCTCCACTCGCCACTTGTGGCTTGATGCGCAGATTTGCTCCGGGTTGCAAGGCTCCTGGTCAAGTGTTGACGGGGGCATGGCAGTACCTGAGCTGGTAGCTCTCGACGTTGAATTGCAGGCACGCCGGCAGGCAGAAACTCCCCTGTGGCAGTCTTGAAGCCACCAGCCACAGCACGGCGCCGCACGCTGGCGCGGAACCCGTGGTCGCCTGAGCCGAGTCTCCAGCACTCACTTGCAGCGCCCAGAGGCCAGGGAGGGGGTGCGGATAGCCATCCACGGATCCGACCAGCGCTCCAACTGTGGCGAGTGCTTGCGCGTTCCGGCGCTGTTCCAGAGGTACTTTCCACAAAACGCGGTCTTTTCTGTGGCTTGTGAGTCGACGTGTGGCTCACCGGATATGAGCCGGGCAGCACATGGGGAATGATGGCCGTGCGTGTGAGACATTTGCAGGGATCGCGCATTGGCGTGCGGGCGACAGGCAGCACCGGCGGGCAGCGGCAGCGGCAACGGCAGCAACAGCGGCAGTACTGAAACCCGCACAACGTCCGTGGTACGACCATGTACAAACAACGGAGTTGTCGTGTCAGCAACCACTGGCCGGCGGCGAATGAGGCACAAACGCCAATGCGCGCGTGTCGGAGGGAGAGGGGAAACGCACGAGGCCAGCCCATGGGATTCGCCAGGGCGGGGGATCCCACATACAAAGCCTTCCCATGCCGTGCCCCGGCGACGCGCTATTGGATATGTGCTCTGCCTCCTGTGTCGAACCGGGAGGGGTCGGGGGGCCACGAGTGGTGCGGATTTGGTCCGTCGTCGAGACTCGAGAGTCAAGAGGCGGCGGGCCGGCGGCGCATCGACTGAGCCACAGCCGCGTTGCGTGTGTACAAGCAACGACGTCGACCCACGGCCGGCGTCCGGTGCAACATGCAGTTGGCAGCAATATCCTAGTAAGTGAGTTGCCTGCTGCTCAGCTTGCCTGTTCCCCATCTGCGTCTGCAAGCGGCTTACAGTTGGCCGATCTGCTGCACGGCAGCTCGTCATGTGCATGTCCTGCTGCGCATCAGCGCCGTTGATGCATCGAGCGGTTCCATGCGCGACGAGTCACCTGCCTTCGAGACCCTGCGCCGCCGTAGTCAGACGCGTGGCGGCCGCTGGCTGGGCAAAGGCGGTGAGACGCGAGGTGCTGGTGAGACGCTCGAGCTGACGCCAAGGTCGCCGTGTCGCGAGATTGATTCACGGCGGTTGCGCGAGACTGCACGCGCGGAATCCGAGCAGCCTTGCGGTCGCTTCACCGAACTGAGAGCGGGCTGCACATACGGCAGAGAGAGCCTCGACTTTGCGTGAGAAAGAGTCGGCCTTGGTGGCACACGGTGGTGGCCAGAGGCCGTCGATGAGAAGGTACATAGTACTACATACGGTACCTTGGCACGTACATCTGGGAGGTGGCAGGCCTTGCACTGGCAGGTGTGCCCCCGTCCACTGTTGCCTGCTGGACGGAGTGCTTATGTTGCGCGGATCAACTGGTTCCGTCAACAGCAAGAAGTGCCAGGTGGTTGACAGCAGCTGGTGGACGCCCAGCGAGGCGCCTGAGGCCTCTGTTCTGGTACTGCCTAAGGCACCGTCGTCACCTCAGCGCTGCCTGCGGCAATCACAGCGTTTGCCCAGCCACCTCGCCCTGTCCGACTCCATGGCCGCAAGCATACTCTCAGCCTCTCGATCTCGTAGCGCGGGTGCAGTAGCATGTACACATGCCCGGTGCCCGAGCTCCAGTGCTGCCGCCGGACTCTCTGCGCAGCCACTCCGCCAGTCGGCCACGCGACTGACAGCGAAATGCTCCGCGACTTCTTTGTCGCCACTCCCAATGCGACACAACCACGGGGCGAAGCTTTGACTCTGCATTGGCCCATAGTAACGGTCACTGAGCGAGCGAAGACGCCAGCGTGTCTCGCCACGTGGAATGGCACAAGTGCGCCTTTCCAAAGATGTTGGCAGTTGACATGCCTGGCCAGCGCACCGAGCGCAGCATTTCAAATTACCTACCACAGCTTGAATGATCAATCATCCGCATGCATGACCTCAGCTAACCATGGATGCCGATTAATTCTGCTTGATGAACACAAAGATTAAGTCATTCGAGTCCTTTACGGGTCCAGACATTGATCAGGCCGCATGGGGCCCTGGCCCGGTAGGCCACTCAAGGAGTCAAGGAGCCATTTTGAGTTTGCGCCGTCGAGTTTCTCAAAGTTGGCCGATCCGACCCTAGATCCCTAATCTTGAGAACAATGCTTTCAAACCAGCGGAGCCAATGGAGACGCTATGGATTACCCGATCCGGGGTCCGAAAGCCGACATCGGGTACACCGACATATCTGTTGCAGATTGTAAGCTGGCTCGCCAAAAGGGCAGTATCAGCTACACTGAAATCCAGCCCCCAAGCTCAAATAGCAGCAGAAAGCAAAGGCTCTGACGGCAGACCATGTCCTAACAATCTCCAGGGCCATGATTGCAATCATCTCTGAAAGTCCATCGCCGGCCAGGACCATGGCGAATTTCTGTCACCGCCTCGAGATATCACGAATCCCCACATCCCCACGCTGCCTCGCCGATCATCAAACCTTGACCGGACTCCAGATCCTCTAACTCGGAGCCGAGGGGGGGTTGGAGGCAGACAAGCGCTCGGAGACACCCCCCGTGTGTTACTCGAGGAGTTCATGCAGGTACGGGGTTCGTCTGTGAGTCGGCGCATGGACGTCCACATCTGGCATTGAAATGCTACGCTTGTACTGCAAGCACGCGATCTGCTATTTGCCGGTCGTCGCAATTGACTTTCTGACAGTGTGGGCCGAGCTATCTCAAAGAGGATGTAATAACCTAGAATACCAACTCCCGAAAGCCGACACCACGGACCCGAGACCGCGGTAGTAGTAACCAGGTAGCTTCCCGGGACCTCGGGTTCGGGAAAAGTCAAGCTTTTGTGCAGCGCGATGTGGACACCGCAGTATCAATAGTCCACGAGGACATCCCCCTGACATGGCGTCCTCCGGCAGTCCCGGAGTTAGCATGGTACCTGACATCAACAGCTACTAATGCGGAATATAGAACATTGGGTGTAGATTACTGTGGCGTGAGGACTGACCGTTAGTAGCCTGAGGATCCTGCACCAATACACCTCGCAGGGGACAAGGTACCACGCATGAGTATATCCGACGGTCGCGGGCTGGCTCGTGTATCAGCCACCGCAGGTGGGCAATCGCATGGCCTTCAGCTTCTGACGATTAAGTTGGATGACCGAGAAAAGTGAATGTCCTTTGAAAGCAGACCAGTGGCTCGCAATGGGCTTGCCCTGCTGTCCGGATTAGTGTCGTGCCCGGTGCCTAGTTTCGTGTATCTGGGGCGTGCCGTAACATGAAAACGAGAGGAAACCAGACGCTAGAGAATGGAAAGTATATACACAAATATTAGAGTGACTTAATTTTGGCGTCTTGATTCGTGTTGCCGTATCATGCAACCACCCACACATGGCCCTCGCACGTCTGGACCGCACTCCAACAGCAACAGTGCAACCCACGGCCATCCTCCACACCCAATATTGCAAAAGATGTCCCAACACATGACATCTTTGCACACGGCCCGACCTTGACATCCAGTGAGGACTTCGAACTCAGAAGTAATACCGGACGAAAATGGCACCGTGACGCGCGATGCTTGCGGAGTTGAACGCCATGGCTGCGGACTCTGCGGACTTTGCTTGGTGCTGCACGATACAGCCCCGACAGCCACACATGGCGGCTTTTTGATATATGACTTATTGTAAAGGCTGCGACCTCCGCACCTTGCGGTGTGATGCTGGATATTGATGTCAAAACATCTCAGGTCGCTGAACTGTTGATCAGGTCCTGACCCTCGCAACAGAAAACACAATGGCTGGATCCAAGGTCCTAGTATTAGGTGGCACTGGACCTGCTGGGATTTGCTTGTTAAGGGAACTTCTCTGGCGCAAGCATGCTGTGGTGGCGTTTGCGAGGGATCCTGCAAAGATCCCAGACGACTTGATGTCGAATCCTCTCCTCAAGGCAAGTAAATCATGACATTACTAGACAGGTAGCTAAGGCTGAGCTGTTAAGCATGGACATCTTGTTGACATGAATGGCCTCTGCAGGTAGTTAAAGGAGAATTATCAGACAAGAATGCCCTCGAGGCTGCAGTCTCAGAGTGCAGCGTTGTTGTGTCCCTCCTCGGGCCTAACACGCTCCGCTATATCAACCCAGCAACCTTCACCGGCTTCTACGAGACGCTCTTCGAAACAATGCGGACGCACGGCGTGCGTCGCATCTTCGCCATGAGCACGCTCTCATACGAACAGCCCAACGACCGATTCTCCGCGATCCGCTGGCTCCTCGTCGCGCTCGTGTTCTTCGTGGCCCACTTCGGCTGGCGAACCGCGCGAGGCATCGGGCGGGTGTTTGAAGAGCACGCCGCAGGCCTCGACTGGACGGTGTTTCGCATCGCCGGCATCGAGGGGGGCAGCGACGAAGACTCCTGGAAGACGGGCAGAGAGGACGGCGAGGTGTACGAGGGTTGGATCGGGCAAATGGGCTGGAGCGCTAGCCAGAACAGGGCGGCGCTGACGCGATGGCTGGTCGATGCTGTGGAGGATGGCAAGGCACAGTGGATTAGGAAGATGCCTGCCGTGAGTAGGCGGGCGGGAGGTGCCAAGGCGGAACCATCATGAGATTGAGATACTGGAAGTATGGGCTGGAAAGGTCAAAGCTTTGATATGTCGACAAGCCTTTTGATTCGTAATAGGGAACCAGTTGGACTCGAGTGCGGTCCAGTAAGTGCCGTCTTGGGGCGTGCTAGTTGACTTTTGAGGCGTCTCTCGACATGTCGTTTAGATGATCACTACGGAGTACTTGCATAACAATCTCTGCTTGCAAACGAAGCGTCAAATCCACCCAGCAGTGCATCTTCATCGTAGTTTCGTCGCCATTGCCTCCGGTCGCTCTCAAGCCTCTTATACCCTCCGTGTTCACATCGCCCCATCCTGATTACTTGTGTTATGTGGCGTGTATCCAACGGGTCAAGAGAGGCACGCTGGGTGTTGGAGCAGCAGAGGCAAAGGATTGAACAGCATGTCCATGGAATCTGCACCCCGAGATGTGCCCAAATCTACTCATCAAAAAGGAACAGTGGCGTCGAGACCACTCATCTCAGTCCGGTTGTGGTCACTGATGCTGCCCGAGTGAGAGAGGCCGAACGGTCAAACATGCTCTCCAATGGCTGAACGGGGGCCGGCCCAAAATGGAAGGTAGGGGTGAGGTCCAACTGCCCCACATCTGCTGACTCCCGCGCACTTCCAACTTCCAAACCTCACAATGCATCGCCAGCCCAAAAAAATTGATACGCAAGAAGGGCAAAAAGAGAAAAACATACAACAGCTGGTATTCGCTGGTCGTCACCGACCCAACTACTAATCAACCGCTCACGAGCTTATCTATGGGAGAGCGGACGGGATCCCGAGTTCTCTTGTGGCTATGGTCGTATGTGCTGGTGAGACGAGGCAAATCCACTTATAGCCGCTTCATCCTCCACCACACATAACGCTAAAAAATTGCCCTACAAGGCAAAAAAAGACATACAACAGCCGGTGTTCGCTGGTCGTCACCGACCCAACTACTAATCTGCCCCTTACCAGCTTAACTATGGGAGAGCGGACGGGATCCCGTGCTTTCTAGTAGGTATGGTCGTATGTGCTTGGTTCTGAGCAAGATCGTCTCATAAGGAGCCAAGAAATCGGTGGTGAAGCTTGACTGACGGACGAGCATAACAACTTTTAAACTGCAGTCTAATTGCGCATTTCGGCCGTTTGTATGCCGGCAGTAGCATGCACGTAGCCTCGTCAAATCTCCTGGCTCGCAAGCATCAGCCATCTACTTCCCTCCTCTTGGGCAGTTTCCATCCTGTCTATGGTATACACGAACACAGCGCTGTGGCATATCCCAATGATTCACTTATTCACCAAACATGGCTTTGGGTAGTACATCCTCTCTCGGTGGCGATTCAGTCTCGTGTTACGGTGTGCTGTTAGCATCATGGTCATCGAATGCAGCGCTTTGCGAAGAGACCCTGCCCAGCAGATCCTGTTTCCATGTCCCTAGTTGAGCACAGCTCGGCAGAGATTCTGTTGAAGCCCATTATCCTAAGAGACTACAGGTGCTCTGGCTATTTAAAGAACACGGCGGCTGGAAGCTCTCACTCGCGACCGCGTTCCGCCCGATTTCCCATCAGGCGCTATCAAATGAGAGCTTCCACGGTCAGCAGCCTACCATGCCAACCACCTGCTAAAGCGGTAGAGGAGATCCTCCTCGAAATTGGAGCCAATGGAACTTCGAAACTCTGTCTTGAATGGCTTCTTTCTTTGCATACTCATTTTTTTCGCCCGTTTCCCTTACATCAGCAGTGTGCGCCTGTTACCATTTTTGCTTCATCGGCCGCATGCGCGATGTGGTGGCGCTGGACATAAGCACTATGATGCCGGCCGGGGAAGGCGTTAACCCCGGCGGCCGGCAGCTCCGCACCAGCCCAGCATCTGCAGGCTGCGGATTCCACATCACCCGCTTTGGCGGAGTTCCGGAAGAGAAGCAAGCGCCTTGTTCCGGGTCGGAGGCTTGCCTTACCTCCAGGGACCTGCATGGGGCCCCGCAAACCTCAGCCGCAACCTTTGCTTGGTATGACAAGCTATGTTCTGCAATGCATCGCGCTGCCGACATTCGGGCTTAGGAGTTGAGCTACATCACGATAGCGCGGGCAGGGCGTCGTGCGGACTTGCTTGGTTGCGACAGTTGCGTCATACAGGATAAACCCACGAATTGAGGTCACGATGGAGGCTGCGAAGCAGGATAAAAGCATGCGACATCCCCAGCTTTGGACCACGTCCTGCACCACAATACACAAGCAATTTCAAGCTCAACAAGCACTCACCTAAACGAACAGCGCTTTCAACTCACAAACAATCGCCATCATCTGATTGCAACGCCAAAGAACCCGAAGGCTACCTGAACTTTTATCAACAAGTTTCTCCCTACTCAAACATACGACCCTCTCACGTGTCAATACCGGCAACATGCAGGAGTCTGGCAAGAAAGTCATTCTGATCACCGGCGCCACCTCTGGCATTGGTCTGGAGACGGCGCGCATGTTGGCTCGTCAAGGATGGCGTGTCATTCTGTCTGGGCGCCGCGATGCAGACGGCGAGGAGGTGCGCATTGCCAAAGCAAAAGATCCGTTAGAAGTGGCGACTAACAACTCGACAGCAAGCGCAACAGATTACAGCCGAAGGAGGAGAGGCCATCTACATCCACGGCGACGTGGCGGATGAAGATTCCGTCAAGGAGCTTCATGAGAAGGCCATTGCAGCCTGGGGCCACCTCGATGCCGCGGTCAACAATGCTGGCATCTCAAACGATGCTGCCCTTTTCGCTGATCTCAAGACGGAAAACTTTCGACAAATGCTTGAGCTCAATGTCATGGGCGTCTTCTGGTCCATGCAGCACCAGCTGAGGCACATGGAGTCCCGAGGATTTGGGCGCATCATCAACTTGGCCTCAATCGCTGGTCGGCGGGGCATCCTCTACCAAGGATCGTACGTCGCCACCAAGCACGCGGTAAGCATCCACCATCACCTCTACTCTCGCTTTGCGCAGAGAGCTAATGCTGTCGAAATAGGTCATTGGAATGACTGAAACCGCCGCAATCGAGTATGCAACCAAGGGCATTACAGTCAACGCCATTGCCCCTGGTGCCATCAAGACGAAGATCCTGAACGATGCAATCCAGGCTGGCAAGTACGATGAGGAGAGCATCGCGGCCATGTTTCCTGAGAAGCGCATGGGAGACCCTGAAGACATTGCTCGGACTGTGAGCTACATTCTGGAGTCTCCGTACATGACGGGCTCTGTCATTGGTGTGGACGGCGGCTTTTGCGCATAGTCCTTGGACTCACATCGCGACGACTCTCCAGCGTGGCAACTTGGCTCCTGTGTTTGATTAATAGACGGAGAAACAGATAGAAATAGAACATAGACATAGAGCGTGTATAATACACTATATCAGAAGACAAGAGTCTGAGCTCAACTGCGTAAGCGAGAATGTCAGGCGTCGATTGCTCCGAGCATGCATCAAATGCAAGACGCGGCGTGTCTATTCTAGGGGTGACCCTACGGTCAAGGACCACGAACGATGAGCAGTGAGCGTTTCGGCCTATCAATCGGCGCTCTAACCCGTGTTATGAATGATGTCGCGTCGCGAGACTTGTACAAAGTGCTGAAGCACGGGCTTCTTTACAAGCACTCTTTACATAACTCTATATCATTAATGGAAGTCTATCTTCTATACCCCAAAGCATCTTGATACCACTATACGTTCTTGGACTTCTTGCCCTTGGGCACTCGGAAGAGCCAGTAAAGCAGAACCGCTGCCGCTATGTTGAAAACACAGTAAATCCACATGAAGCCGAAGTTCCTCCACCTGTGGCTCCAGTAGATATTAATACTCGCCAGGAACTCGTTGGTGTTGGACATGGCACAGTATTCGCAATTCGAAGCGTTCGGATCTCGAAGGGATCCGCCCACGGCGTCGATGAAGCCGGACATGTACTCGCCGCAGGTCAACCCGTTGGGGGCTTCAAAGGGCACGTATTCGTTGTTTTCGCAGTGCATCGGGGCGTTCGCAAGACTTGTTCCCAGGAAGGCCTCCAACACGTACGTAAATGGGTTGACCCGGTACATGAAGATCCAGAACCCGGGGAGATCTGTTGGCCCGGCGAGGACACTGGCAGATTGTTAGACGCAATCTTTTCGTGGATAACAGGTGTAGGGACTTACCCGCAAAAAGCAAACATCATAATCATCAACAAGTTGACGATACCTCCTGCCACCTCAGCCGTCTGGATTGCCGCGATGATCATGTTTGCGAAGGTGCTGGTGAAGATGAAAAAGATCCACACTTGCAAGAACATGGTGATGCCTCGAGAGTTGACCTGGTCGGTCCACTCCGCGTTGCGGTACAGCCCGATAGGGAAGTACCAGCAGACGAAGCAGAAGACGCCCAGGAGCTGCATACACTATGTTAGCAAGTGATTTGATTGAGCCACGTTGAAGTTGGGCACACATACGGAGTTCCAAACTATCTCGACGACAATGTTGGCAACCAAAAAGGCCTTCCACGAGTATGCCTTGGACGGTCTCTCGCGCGCCTCGTACATGGTACGCTGAGAGACGAACAAGGGCATGATCTGGTTGACCAGCTGGGGGAAGATGCTGAGGAAGATGTACACGCCGAACATCTGGTTCCGGAGGCCGCGCTGGGTGTTTTCGCCGTTGATGAACGAAAGCCCAATGAAGAGTGTCTGTAATGTTAGAGTCAGCACCAGGTAAAGTTCGGCAGGTACAAGCATGTTCTACTTACCGAACCAATGGCGAGGAGGGCCTTCGAGTAGATGTAAGATGGGCTGCGCCAGTACTGCTGGAACACTCGCTTCGTCACCTGCAGGAACTGCTCCTTGCGAGACGCCGCAAACTCGCCGTGGGTAGACGGCTCGTCGTGCGCAGTTGTCGACTTTTGCAAAGACGCCAGATTCTCCAGCTCTGCTTGCACGCTGCTTCGCTCAGGGCTGTTCTGCCAGACCTCAGGCCAATCGATATCGGTGTGCGCGCCGGGAGCGGCTCCGATAACCTCGAGCATGTACTCGGCCGGGTTGGCCCCTTGCGGCAGCGGCGATGCGCCGTTGCGGGTGAAGTAGTCCACGAGGATGTGAGAGTTCTTGCCGACGTCGCCAAAGTAGATTGTGCGGCCCTTGGAGAGTAACAGGAGTCGGTTGAAGCGTTGGAAGAGCATGGCGGATGGCTGGTGGATTGTGCAGAGGATTGCTTGTCCGTTGTTGGTGAGCTTTTCCAAGAGATCGAGAATAGACCATGATGTTTGACTGTCCAGGCCCGAGGTCGGCTCATCCAAGAAGAGCAGTAATTGAGGCCGCGCGGCGAGCTCGACGCCGATGGTCAGACGCTTTCGTTGCTCGACGTTGAGACCCTCGCCTGGCACGCCGATAATGGCTTCGGCGTACTCCTCCATGTTCAGCAGGCTAATCACAGTGTCCACGTAGTCGATCTTCTCTTGGCGGGTGTACTTGGGAGGTTGGCGAAGTAAGGCGCTAAAGGTGAGGGCCTCTCGTACGGTCGACGTCTCTAAGTGAAGATCTTGCTGCTGCACGTAGCCCGTCTTTCTCTGGAACGACTCGTCTCGCAGCTTGCCGTCCACAAGCATCTCTCCTGTGACCACTCCCATTGTGACTCGGCTTGCGAGCACGTCCAGAAGTGTAGTCTTTCCGGCTCCCGAGGCTCCCTAATGGCATGTTAGCTGGTTTCTCGGCCTGGGCATGGAATGGTTCTAACGTACCATGAGAGCGGTCAGTGTTCCCGGCTTTACCCAGCCGTCCACGTGGTCGAGAATGCGTCGAGGATTGCCCTTGATCTTGATGTCGTAGCATACATTCTTCCAATGGAAGATGGAGGTCTGCTTCTCAACGTTGGCCACCTCGTCATCAGTTGAGACAGCGCCTTGGTGGACATTGGACACCGTGCCATTCTCCATGTCTGACTTCTCTCCGGTCGCAGCCTGCCGCTTGTGCCGCTTCATGCCCCGGTGACTGAAGACTAGGACTTCGCCCTTGGACCTCTCAGAGGCAATATACTCAGTGGCGAGCAAGTGGAGAGCCAGGTAGCCAACGAGGAAAGCGATGAGAATTCCGAAGTTGCGCCATCGATGCGAGTTGTCGTACTCGAATGCCGCCTTGAGGTATGCTGCGCCAGATACCGTCTCCTGACCAGGGACAGCGCCCTGAACCGAACACGCGCGAGAGCTCAGAGGGGCATCGTCGTATCCCGGTCCCTGGGGCACAAAGCTCGAGCAGGGAAAGTCGCGGCCGACAAACTCGTTGAGTGTCGCGGACTCGAGGCTGTAGTAGATCGGGTTGGCCCATCGGCACCATCCGATCCAGCCGCGCATGTACTGCACTGGGATTGTGAATCCCGTGTAGAGCACCAGCCCGAGCAACATGATGGACGCGGGCGCCAGCGCCTGGGCGATGGACTTTGTCGTCGATCCGATGAGGCGGAAGAACATGGACATGGTGAGCGTCGTGGTGAAGCTGAAGAGCAGGAAAAAGAAGAACGGCCCTGGCTCTCTGCGCAGGTTGCACATGAAATACAGAGTGGTGTTCATGAGGATGGCGTTGGTGATTTTGTAGGGCATGTCGACGACAATGGAGGCTAGTGCCTCTGCGCTGGGGTGGTAGAGAGCGTAGCGACTGTGCTTCTCGACAATCTTGCGCTTCGAGTAGAGGGTCAGGATTTCGAGGATACTGCTGAATGCGTTCATGAGGATGATAAAGAAAATGAGCAGGCCGCGCTTGTCAAAGCTGCTCGTGTTGGCGGGCAGGTTGTAGAAAATGCTGCTGATGATGAGGGCTTCGAATGTGTTGGTGATGAGCATGGTAAGTGTCATGCTCGGGTCCGTCTTCAACATGACCCACGCTCGCCACATGTTGATTCTCAGCTGCTTGATATAGGAGAGTGTGTATGGCGACTTGAGGCGCTGCGAGGGAGACTTGAGCATGGCTCGGGTCGCGGAGAACTCCTCGAGATCCTCGCTGTTGAAAGGGTGGGCGGCCATATAGTCGTCGCATTCGGAAAGGACACGCGCCCGGGACTTGCTCTCCTTCCAGGCTGCCGCAAACTCGTCGGGGGATCGAGGCGTTTTCCCTTCCGAGCCGGACCGGATTACACGCTCGGAGGCGCTGGTCATGGAGGTCAAGAAGTCCGCGGTCGTCTGCTGCTCGGGGCACTCGAAGCCGAGGTCCTCAAAGTAGGCCCTGGCATCAGTTGCCTTGCCAAAGAAGATTTGCCTTCCTTCGTAAAGGACCATGACCTTGTCAAAGAGCTACAGGCAGGAAAATGTCAGCGGTCTCTTTCGAGCAATCAGATTCAGTTAGGGGGCTTCGTGTAAGTACGCACGTCATAGGCGGCTTGGGGCGCTTGATAGATGGCGACGAATGATGTGGTCCCCATAACATCGGCCTGGGTCCGCAGCGTTTTGCAGAACTCGATGGCGTTGGCGCTGTCCAGACCTCGCGTGCTGTTATCCCAGCACTGGAGGGGCGAGTAGCTGAGAGCGGCCTCGGCAATGGTGACGCGCTTCCTCTCGCCGCCGCTCACGCCGCGGACAAAGTCGTTGCCGACGCGCGTGTTCTTCGTATGCGATATTCCTAGGATGTTCATGGTGACATCACGGACATGCTCGATGTACTCCCGTTGCGAGACGCCGTCGGGGATGGTCTTGGGGCAGCGCGCCCAGGCGGCAAAGGCGAGGGTGTCGCCGACGGTGAGATACGGAAAGTGCTCGTCGACCTCGGCAGCGTAGATGGCTTCGCCGCGGAACGCAGACTTCATTTGCTTGGGTTTGATTCCTTCATAGTTTATCGTCGCGTTATTGGAGATGTGAAAGCCGTGTGTCTCCCCGGCGATGGTCTTGAGAAAGGTCGAGCAGCCAGAGCCAGGGGGGCCCAGGACCGCGACCATTTCGCCTTCGGTAACCACGCCCTCAAGGTCCCTCAAGATGTCTATGCGCCGGGTGCTCCCGCGGACAAACTTTTTGAGAATGGTGCCGGCCTCGAGGAAGATGTTGCCGACGCTCTTTTGGAAGTCGGTCTCGGTGCCGAACCCGTACGCGCTGAGGTTCTTAAAGGCGACGCCTGTCGTCTTGGGGGAGTTGCCTTCCAGCGCATCCTTGCGGAGGTTGTAAAAGGCCTTTGCCCACTTTCTCGCGTTGAAGTCTGGGCTCTCGGGATTTAAGGGTCCATCGGCGGGAACGGGGAAGAGGGCGCCGGGAGCTCCATGGGATTGCGAAGTGAGCTGACGGGCAAGCCGGTGAATATCTTCATTGATGCGCTCTTCTCGCTCCGCGGGGTCCTCGGAAATGTACTCGTCGGTGTCGGTGGCCTCTGAGGCCGGCAAGAAGCGCCCGAGGTCGAGGGGGGCCGTCCAGCCGCCCCCGAGCCCCGTGGCCCCGTTGGTGCTGGTCCGTTGCATGTGTGGTCAAGCTGGCACAACGTCTTGTTGAAACTTATGGAGCCAGTGTATTCTGATGAGTCGTGGAGGGAAGAAACGTGTAAAAAGTTGTAAGTTGTCCGGCAGTCATGAACAAGGTGGCCAAGTAAACGGCGGCAGAAGCTTAACTTTTAAGGTTGCAGTCGCACAACGATCTCGCATGCCAACGTTACGCCAAGCCATGATGTAAATGCGTACGTTATATTTATTACCACTGCGACTACACAGCCGGGCACTAAAAGAGACTTTTTTCTGCAGAGGAATCTGCGCCTTTCTGCCGATGACCCTGTCGCGACATGCCGTGCCTGGAGATTCGATTGAGTTTCGGAGAGTGGAGTCTTGGCGATTCCGGCCTTGTCCGAGCTGTTGGACCACCCTTCGGACGCGACAACCCTAACCCTGGCGTTGGAGCGCTCGGTCTTTCGGTTTTTCGGTCTTGAGGGCGGTTGAGGCTCCACAGCAACCCAGCCCAGATCCGGGCTTTCGCCTCAATCACCCGCAGGCAGCTCCCGCGGGGGGATCCATCTCGGCACTTTGACTCCAGGCCATTCTTCAAGCAGCTGCGCCTCGCTCAGCCCCGTCGTCATACTCGTACTGCGGGCACGCGCAAATGTCGTGACAGAAGTCCGCGGCCGCCGAACCACCGCTCGAGTGCCCGGACGGTCTTGGCGGGACGCGTACGAAGTACGACGTGCCCCGACTGCCCCCCCTGCGGCCCTTTTTCTTTGCTTGCTTCTAAAGAGCGGACACTCATCCACCGAACGTCCGGCTGCTCGGACTTCTGGCACCCCAAACGACAAAACAGTAAGTGAGCTGATGTGCGACCCGGGATCGCACGTGCAGCGTCAGGCGCCCCGAGCTCCCGGTCAATCCTCACGAGTTGCCCCAAAAGGACTCATAAAAGCTCCTGCGTGGGGGAGGACCGTGAGTTCACGGTCCGCTGGCGGCCATGACTGAAGCCGTGCAGCTGCATCGTCTTTCGGTGAGTCCATCTCGTCTGAGGCTCGTATCGACATGGAGTTGAGCTTGACTGACACCAGACCATCCGGCAGTGCACCCGATGTAAAGAACGCAAGGTATGTCTGCCACCCACAAAGACCCCCCTGTCTCGCTTCTCGGCTTGGCAGGGCTGATGTTGGTTATTCGTCTCTGCAGGTCCGCTGCAATCGCGTCTTGCCGCGCTGCGACCGCTGTATCACTCACGATGCGGAATGCGTGTACCCCGAGCGGGCCAAGCGGCGGCCCCAACGGCCCCCTCCGGAGCACCCCACGTACGTCGTCCGAGGCGGAGAAACCGTTTCCGACCCATTGTCTTCCGCCCTTCCGATGATCGTGAAGCTTATAGTGACATGATTGCAGTTCTCACCGCGCGGGCGATGAGCCGACGGCCCTCAACACCATCCTCGACCGGCTCCACCGACTTGAGCAGCAGAGCCTGATCTCGCCGCCATATTCCGTCAGAGATGGCCATCACGCCGTTCTTCACCCGTCGGCGTCGTCTTCGCCGGCGCTCACGACGCCGTATCCAAGCGGTGCCATCACGGAGCTGTCACCCGTGTCCGCGTCTCCACACGGCAGCACTGGTCTGCAGCCGTCCGAGGTCGATTCCACCGCGACGCTCAAGCATGCCATTGACCAGGTCCAAAAGCTGAAGCTTGAAGGCTATGCTCGATCGGTCATAACTGAGAAGGTTGAGATACCCAGAGAGCTTGCCAAAGCATGGATAGAGAGTTCGTTCACCGCCTCACCTCGTACGAGCCGTGATCAAGACTCGCTAACAGGTGCATCGATAGACTACTTCACGCACATGGCAACCGACATGTTTCTCAGTCTCGTCAACCGGCGGCTGATTCAACTTATCCCCGACATAATAGACCTACCTCACGTTCATCTCGACTTCTCCGTCCAAGTCCTGTACTATGCCATCCTCTTCCACGGAGCCACGCTCAACGTCAGCAACACCACCAGGATTCGCGGGCAGGACTACGCCAAGTCCTGCTACCTAGGGGCCCTGCGAGCTCTTCCGCAATGGAAAAGAGAGGCTACAGGCTCGGCGACGGACTTTGTCGCCGGCATTCTCATGGTATGTCGCCGTGGCGAGGATCGGCCATTCACCCCGAGTATGAACCAAGGCTAACCTATCGGTAGACACGCGTTGCCGCCGAGTGTTTCGACTACGACCTCGCCTGGAAGATGCACCAGCTCGCGAGCGAGTTTGCCCGAGCGCTGAACTTGCATAACCTGGACGGAGGCGACTACGCGGGCATCAACGACAGCGGACGGTCGGACGACGACCGCAGAGGCTTCTGGCAGCTCATCCAGGTCGACCTGTACATTCGCCTCCTCATGGACAAGCCGCCCGTCATCACCAACGACGCGTGGAACGTCAACCTTCCTTGGCTGGACAACTCGCAGGCCCCGCCGGAGGGCTTCCAGGCCATCGCTTTCCTCATCTTGTCGCGCATCACCATGATACTTATGCGCTTCTTCGCGCTCATCGACGACACGGCGCGCCGGACCAGGAGCGAGCTGCGACGAGAAACAGAGCACTTGTGCGAGGAGATTGAGCAGTTGTATGTTGACTGGCAAGCGGTATGAAATCCCCAGCATGAATGCGTTGGAACCTCAAGCTCAAAGACTCATCACCTTTCGCAGCATGACTTTTCTACATTGACGTCTGAAAAGGAAGAGGACACGTGGGTCGTCGCCGACTGCCTCATCACGGGCTACACGTGCATCATCTTCATGCTCCGCAAGATCGACGTCCTGGGGACCGACTCGCCCATACTTGTCGCTCGAGACGCCGACCTGCCGACGCACCCGCTGGTGCTGGTGGCGGCGCGGCACATCATCCGCGTGGCGAACCACATCCTGGCCATCTACTCGAACCCGGAGACCATGTCGGCCGTGCTCGGCGCGTACGGGGCGTACATACCCGCGGCGTGCCTGTACCGCGAGGTGCTGCGCGCCGAGGACGCGCGGGCGCACGCGCACGACATGGAGGTGCTGGACAGGTTCTCGTCGCTCGTGTGCTCCATCTCGCGCGGCAGGAGGGAGCTGTATCCGTTTGTGAGGGCGATGAACACGTTGAATGCGGACGTGAAGAAGAAGTGCGAGGAGACGAGGGCTTGATGCGACTGGGTGTGTCGGTGTACAACATTTACTACGTCCTTTGGGGTGAGAGGATGGAAGGCGCAATAATAGAGGGAAGTGTAGGCGTTTGGTTACGGGTTGGGACGTTGTTCTGGACATGAGAATTGTACGATACATCTCAACTTTGCCCACAGAGTAGATTCGAAGCGACATGATGACGCCGCCGGTTCGCATCTTCATACTTTGCCAAGAAGCAGGTAATTGATCACGATGAGGCCAGCTTCAGTTTGGTCTCAGTCTTTACCAAGAGGCCATTGAATGCTCGAGGACCTCGCAGAGCTGTGTGATCAAATCGTTGATGCTCAGCGCAAGCTGGCTAAACGAAGCCATGACGTCGGAGTTTGCTTGCTCAATTAGGCAATGGCCGATCATCTCAACGTCGAGTCGTCGACAATTCGTGGCTGTGCGACCCGACGCTTCACAACGACGGCCGGGCGGGATGCACAGCCACCCCGCCGAATGGATATTGCGGGATCATATGTCGTCTTGTTTCCTGGCACGACCGCGTCTCTCTCTCGCTCTTGCAACTGGCAATCCTCGCGAAGCTGACGTGCGCTCAGCCCGTCGTTTCGTTGAACATCAATGCCCGCGCCGTCGCAACCTCCGTCCGGTGACCGGCCGGCGGACGGGCAGAACCCGTCCCAAATATTGACTCAAGAGCCGGTACGTCATGGCTTCTGCAGCGAACCCCTCCTCAGCCTGCCCCGCCGCTGCCGCCGCCGGCAGAGCCGGCCAGAGGGCAGCACCGCGCTGTGTTATGGCGGGGTGTGAAACAATGCTGGTAGCAGTGGAGGGGAAGAGCAGAAACAGGGGAAACGTCGAGCGCAGCTAACATGGGCGTTTCAACGATCCAGCTCCCCGCCCAACCAATGGAGGCGAGTCCAAGACTAAGAGGCGGTGGTGGCGAGGGAGATGTAAGTCGAACAGCCAGTCTCCCGTTCCGTCGAGGCGCGAAGCTGAACTCTACATGTACTTAGGGCCCACACCGCGAGAACGTCTGCGGGCTTTTCCTGGACTTTTGTCGCATCGAATCCATTAGGTGTTGCTAGGTTGGCGCAGGCTGGTGCTGATCAGGGCCAAGCCGGGAGGTGCATTAGTCGCCGTTTTCGAAGCGAGGAGGAGGGTGGAGGGCGCATGGTGAAGTCTGGGCGTCTGCGCAAGGTCAGAGTACATGTAGTACACAGGAAAGGGGGAGCTCAAGTTTGGTGACTCCTTACATTATACCGCACGTTACGAAGGGGGCAGGCACAGGCACAGGCACAGGCACAGGTATAGCAGCATGAATGATACGGATAGTCCCGCCCGCTGCTACAAGCTCAGCTCTTTGTTGCTGCACTCCTCTTGACACCTGCCACTCCCATACACCCGCCTACAGTACAGCACGCAGTCAATATCCCTGACAGCCGAATCAGAGCGTCACGGTCAGACCCCGTAGAGCACAGGCCGGCACGCCGTGCTTGCATCACAGCCCAGGATCCAAGGTGGCAGTGCTCACGGCGTGGACCCTGTTGGAGCTCCCCCTTTGCCGCACCCCCCAGGGCGGGGATCGGCTACACGGCAAAGCCGCGAAGAACTGGGTCCGTCTCTGACACGCTAATCGGCAATCGTCTTCCGGGCTCAGCCAACGACCTTTCGTCTGCTCGTCGTGATGCCGTCGTGAAAGCTGCCCATTCTCCGTTTTTGCAGCCCGGCCGCAGGGGCTCCAGCTGCGGCAACAGGGCGGGGATTCCTGTTTCCTGTGGAGAAAACCGACTTGCGCAATGCCTCAGCTCTGTGTCGCGACTCGCGAAGACGCGGCAACGCGTGTAAGTACTGGCTGGGGTTTGGGAGGAGGGGCTCGCATACACCGCACGCATGCATGCTGCATGCATCAGCCGACGAAAGGTGACAGCGGCTAGCGAAAGGGGGCCTTCAATTGATCATTCTATCGTATCAAGCTTCCTGGTTGTATGGACACCCGAAGAGCCTCCGTTGCCTTCCTCTACCAGCGGCCCTCTTGGGACAGCTGCTCCTCGGCCTGCTGCTGGGCGTGGCGCTTGGCCTTCTCGCGGTCAATGAAGTCGAGGCCCTTGGTCTCGACCTCGCGGTCGACGAATGCGCCGATGACGCCCGCGAGGATCTCCTTGGCCGTGGAGTGCTCGTCGGGGTGGCCTAATCAGACACATATCTCTCGTCAGCAATCGGTGGGCTGTGATTGAAGGTGGGCATATGTTCGGAGGAGGACTGACCGTTGCGGGCGACGTGGTCCTCGTATGCCTTGGCGGCCTCAAAGGCAGCGGCGCCGCCGATGAGCTCGTGCGACCACTTGGCCTCGTGGGGTCGGTTGACGACCTGGTCGTAGGCCTGAGCCTGATCGGAGTCGTCTAGCCATCGGGGTCAGTCATTCAGCCGCTGGTTGTTGGATGGATTTGAGCTTGACGTACTATCGAACCAGCCCATAGTGACGTGTGTGAGAAGATGTGTAGATGTGATGGAAGGATAGTCTCTGCTGAACCTCAACTTTGGGGAGAACCCCGAGGTATATATACGCGTCGGTCAGGACCACCAGGGTCCAGGAGAGAGCCGCGGGGAGGGGACACTGTAACGAGGGGCATGACGTCCTCGTCTCATGTGCTGAAGGGCGAGAGGCCAATGATGCGGTGTGTCCAGTGCCTGGATTGGGGCGCCCCGTGGGTCAAGGATTCATCGCAAGTCCACCGGGCCGCAGTAATCCATGGCAAGGAGTCCCAGGGCAGGACCTGGAGATAAGCCTCGGCGGCTCTGGCCAAGCTCCATTTGATCTCAGGGTCCTGGCTCCCAAGGCGCTGGGGCGTCCGGGGTGATACGCCGACCCCCTCGCCTTTTACACATTCTCCACACCCTTCTTCGATGTGCTCGAGGGGCTGTGAGTGTGCTCTCGGGTGTTTCTTGTGTGCTTGAATTGAGAACCAGGAGTCGCGCAGCACGGTCATGTTTATACCAGACGTCCGGCCGGCTGCCTTCGTTTATACCACGCAATCACATCATCTTGTAGACAGCACATGAGAAAACATCACCCGAGACCTGAGGGCCTCGTGCTACGACCGCCCAAGGATCGTCGCGAAAACAAGCACCAAAACAAAGGATATGCTGTTCATCAATCTGAGTTTGCCGTGGTTGATGCCAGGTTTGGGTCCTACATACGCAGACTGTCCAACGCCGGGCAATCGGAGTCGGCGACAAGGATGTTTGATCAAAAGGGCGGCATTGATACGCCATGCAGCGAGTCAGCAATTGCCGATTTCGGGAGTTCTCAGAGCAGGCCGGGACTTGACAGAAGGCCGGGTATTGTGCTGGGGCAGCCCTGGTAGAAACACACGATCCGGTCAAGTGGATCATATGGTTTCAACATGCAGGGAAGCCTCTTCTGAGCGCCCTGGTCATTCGTTCAGACTTTCCAATGGGACTCGCGAAAGCCTGGCGTCAGCACTTGTTTGTTGAGCTTCTGGAGGTGGTATAGTCGGTTGGCAGCCTGTTGTGCAGCAGTGATTGGGTGTACGAAAACCGGATTACAATCACGCTCTTCGGTCAGCTTTTGTTCGCAGACTCGCAGTGTAAGCCACGGAATACAACGTTGTAGCCAAACGTTCAGCCATTTCCTGTCACAGTTGGGACGTCCATAACTCGTCAAATTGGCGCGAGCGCAAATACCTGCATCAGCCTCCAGTCCTGGTACTATTTTTCCAATGTTTTTCTTCACGCATCGCCTCTGACAAAAACTTCATGTTTCCCAGGCAGCAAGCACGGGCTGGAGAGTCTGTCGACAGGCATCCATTACATCAAAAGGCCCCCACTCTTTTGGGGGCGCGGCTGGGTGACACCAGAATAAGGCCCTTTACAGGGGTGTCCAAAATCTGCGCTCCGTCGAAAGCTCACAGCTCGACGTTCTCAAAATTGTTCATGAATTGCGACTTCTGTTTCCAAGACACTTTCAACGCCGAGCTTTTTACGTGCATTCATCCATCACAGCCTTCGCAATGAAGTCGCAAGTAGCTGTCGCGGCGGCGACGCTACCCACCTCGTAAGCTCCGTCCTGCGTTGACCCAGACGCGTCCAGTCAAACGTCCCTGACTTCCAAGCATGAGAATAATTATTGACACTTTTCCCAAGGCCATACGCAAGCCGCGTGATCAACCTTGTCTTTGATGGCATGACATTAAAGATCCATGAGCAGTTTCTGGCCAAAGAGCCGTGGCTCGTCAAGAAGTTGGCCGAGGAGGATCAAGCGTCCCGCTCGCGCAAGTTCCCTGAGCTGAACCTCAAGCACATCTCACATCACGTCGGACACGTGCTCGTGCACTACCTCGTGACGGGCTGCTACGACTGCCTCAAGGCCGAGGGCGTGTCGCCCGACGAGTCCACGGCACAGGACTTTACCACCGCCCTGCGCGTCTACGCGGTCTGCCGGCAGCACGACATGAAGGCGCTCAGGGACCTTGCCAAAAATGAGATCAAGTGGCTCGGCGGCAAGATAAGCATACCGCGCATGGTCGATGCCGTTGAGGAGGGATACCCGGCGGTGCCTCTGGAGGACGAGTGGTTCCCCGAGTACCTGCGGTCGCAGATGGAGGCGTTCCACGATGGCCTTACCATGGCCAGCGCGGCGGACGCCCTGGAGGAGATTGGACAGCCTCTCACCATGAGCAAGATGCTGCTGAGCAGCATCGCGGAGAATTTTGTCTACTGCAACCAAGCCAAGGGCGCGCCGGTGCAGGAAAGAACGACGCGGGAGTGGGCGGACGAGGTGAACCTCGCCTCCGAGATGGGCATCCAGCAATTCGACACTCCTGTCTACAAGAAGCCGAAGAAGGCGTCCAAAGGGCTCGCCAACGGAGTCGCGATGGCCGCAACACCAACCTCTGGAAGTGGTGAGTGCATAGAGAGTGCCGTCTCGCTTGTCGCGCGGTGAGCCCCTCATTGATCTGACAAACTGCAGTTCCTCTCGAAGACAATGACACGACCCTCGCCCCGGCCGTCTCGGACATGCACCTCTCTGATCTACCAGCCTCGCTTTCGGCGACACCTGCTCATGGCGAAGGAGAAGGCGGCGACGCCAAGAACGGTCCATCAAAAAAGTCGGCAAAGAGAAAATCGCGGGCAAAGAAAAAGAAGGCGGCGAAGCTGCGCAACGAGGATAATGCGGGCGCCAACTTGAATGACGCCGAGCAGGCTGTTGAAGGTTGAAGGGCCCGAGGTTGATGCACGGAGTAGGAGCTGAGATACGAGTACATGCATTGGTTCACCCGGGGAAGGAAGCTGAAAATACCCTGCATCTAATGTCATAGCTAAAAGTTTTGTATTGTCTGCGCTACAAGTTCTTTTGTCACAAATGCCACCCAAACAGCAACCAGCACCGTCTCTTAAACAGCAGCCCCTTGGTCGTCACCTTCCAGAGCGACAGGAAGCAAGCGACAGCGCCAGCCAGCAACGGAATAAGCTGGGCAACGCTGTCGATCCTGTCAGCACCAACAGCGCCCACGTTGTTTTGCGTGATAAGGTACTCCACGACCGTGATAGACAGTGCGATGAGTCCCATCGAGGCCACCATGAGCGACAGCTCCACCTGGGGATGCCATCTGCCCTGGCGCGCAAAGCCCTGTCTGAAGCCGCTCTTGAACCGCCGCCTCGCGGCGTACAAGCTGAAAGCCGCGACGCCGATGCACCCGACGAGCCCAATGACGGACAGCGCCTTGCCGAGCGAGCGAAACCAGCCCGTGATCCTCGAGGGCCCGAAGAAGGCAACGGCACTGCCGCCGCAGCTCTCCATGGCGTCCACGCCGACGAACCAGAACCAGATGCCGTAGGCCGAAAAGGCCGTGTAGAAGACGGTGCGCAGGATGCCCGATGCGTGGCCGAAGTGGCTGATGCCGTCGCCCGTGACGCTCGACAGCGAGCCGCACAGCAGGAACTGCGTGATGACGGACCCGGCGGCGGGGTTGCCCGGGCGCGACTCGGTGCAGAGGCCGAGGAAGATGGAGGCCTGGACGATGAGGTTGAGGAGCCGGAAGGAGGCCTCGTTCTCCGGGTCGAGGACCGTGGTGATGAGCGTGGCGATCCACTGCCCGTAGACGCCGAGCCGCACGCCGAGCCCGTATAAGTCGGTGTTGCCGTCGAAGGCGCACTCGGGGGGCACGGTCATGCTGGAGGGGAGATGTGCGCCCGGCCGGGCAAAACAGTGGATTGACTTTGATGAAATAGAGTGTATGTGCGTTGTTTTCAAGTCTTGCGACAAGAGGTCGGCCAGCGTTGGGGGCGAGCGTGGCACGACTCTTTCGTTCAACCGCGAGCTGTGATCACTGACGAGCCGTTGGGGGGGTTGCGCGCCCAGCGCCAGTAATGAATAAATAAGGTTGCAAATGGGAATCAAGGCTCCATGCGGGAAGGCCCGCTGCCGATCGTGGCGCAGAACCCGTCCCGACAATGGACTCTGGAGTCAGCCTGGGCAAGACAGACGGTAGTGCGGTCGAGATAGAACAACTTTCAGCGATCTGGGAACGACGCCCCAGCCAGAAACGCCAGGGGCCTGGCAACTCAAGCAAGAGTTTCGCAGACGCGTTATTTGCGCATTCAGCGCAGAGCTTTCTTGACGCACCGGCGGCAACGCGCAACAATAGTCGCTGCTCTGCGACACTATCGCGGGACCAGCTGGAGGTGGAAGCCAGGTCGATGGCAGCCCAGACGCACGGAGCGAAACTATCGACCCAGCCTCAAACAGAGCCGCCTGATCTTGTGATCCCGCCCGCCTCTCACAATTCAGTCGAGGCATCGCTACAGTCGTCGCCGGGAAAAAGCCCCCGCCACATCCCCCCGGGCCATCACCCTGGCTGCCTCCGCTGAGCCGCATATCAGCTTTCAGCTCCGGACACCATCCAATGGCGGGCTCATTCAAGGCGCCTTGGTGGCAGTGCCGTGCCCCTGGAGCCTGTCCATCGCGACACAATGAGGCGTTCGGCTAGGGATCACAAGGGGTGCGCTACCACAGCCACGATAGCGACAGCATTGGGGCGGATTCAGCCTCTCCCGCGGCACTTGGGTCATTATTTGATGGTACTGCAGGACTATCACTGCACCACGGACCGGAGCGACGACGCACGCACGCGGCACCGTTCATAACCTCGTGATACGGCCCCGGGGGGACGCACGACGGATAACCAGCAGCTCTGCGTAGGTCTCGCCATCGTTGTGCACCGCCGCTGTCGCCTGTTCGTCCGACAAGAGCGCTGTCTCGTTCTCCTGTCCCAGCCTCGATTCTTGCGCCATACAATAATACAGCACCGCAAGTCGCGACCTGCGTCTCTCAACGCCAACGGACCACCACAAGCCGCCATGTTCAACGAGACGGTCGCAAACCTCACCTGCCCCGTCGAGGGCAACGCGGACCTCTACGGGCTGGGCATCCGCATCGGCATCTACATCCAGATGCTGACGGTGCAGCTGTCGGGCGTCCTCAGCGAGGCGTTCCCCATCGAGGACCACATCGGCCAGGGCACCATCGTCTTCGTCATGTCGGCGGCCATTGTGCTCGTGCGGCTGCTCAACGCCACCGTCGGGCAGCACGAGAACCTCGACCGCCCGCTGCAGCCCGTCGAGGTGTTCCCGATGCTGACGCTGCTGCTGCTCCAGATGGGCGTCTGCCGCGTCTCGCAGAAGAACAAGACCGTCATGCTCATCTGGATGGCCGAGCTCGTCGGCCTGACGGTGCTGTTTGGCTGGTTCTGGTGGCACGGCATGGACCTCCTGCCGAGGTCGTGCCCGGACGACAAGGCCTTCTTCTTCGCAAAGGTGAGTATCTGGAATTGGTTCCGCACCTTTAACAAGGTGGGCTCGGTGTTTGCCGCCGTTGGTACGGCAGTAACGCTCGTTGTATACGGCGGATGTAAGTGCTCCAAATGGGTTTTTGACTTTCATAGGCCTCGTCGAGACTTGCACCAACATGAAGGCAAGGATGGCTGACGAAGCGCACCAGTCATGATGTTCAACCTGGGATACGCCATTTATCGGTTCATCGCGCGCCGGGAGGAGAATGGCCCGTCAGAGAAGGACGACAAGGAAGAAGAGGAGTGGAGCCCGAGGCGAGCCACGCTCGACATCTTCGTCAACGTCAGCGCCATCGTGTACGTCGAGGTGTCGCTCAAGTGGAACGACATCCAGGGCGTGCACTCGCTCAACAGCCCCGGGCAGTTCATGCCCTTCGTCATCGCCCTGGGCCAGCTCTTCAGCGTCTTCTTCACGGCCTCCAAGGCCATCATGCAGACCGCCGCAGACGAGCACGCCTTCGACCCGGAAGACGGTGAGTCGCTACTGGCAGCCCAATGTGGCCCTTGGGAAATCCTCCTCCCTCCACCCAGGCCGACCCCGACCAAAACCCGAGGCATAGTAAAGCATAGTAACTGACAGGGTGTTTCCGCTCGAAAAGAGTCGGAGTTGCAGTGTCGCCACAGGCACAACTACCAGAGCCCAACGGGGGACGCGGAAGACATTGCCCTTTCACAACGATGAGCCGACGCGGCAGCCAAGACTTGTCAAAAGGTCAAAATCGTGCTGCTGTCTCGCCGAGGAAACCGCCAGCCACCTTGGCGTGCTTGCTTTTGCCCCCCTTCACCGGAACGTCGTCCAACGATGAGGTGGCGGGACGGGCCTACGTCTCATCCAGAAGGTGTCTAGAACACGAACGAACGAACGACGACAGGGTAAAGAGCTTTCTTCCTCTTTTCGCTCTTTCTCTCTGTCTCTCTCTCCCTTCCCCCGCCGGTTGGGCTGCCTTGCTGCACGCGTCGTGGTCCCCCAACCCGCATGGGCCGCTCACGCGGACTACCTATACTTCGTATAGCTAGACCCTTTTTTTTGGTTTCCCGCGCAGGCATAAACCTCGGCGATTACACAGCGTCAGAGAGGGTTTCGCCAAGTCTTACAGAGAGGATGGTCGGGTGCATATCCCGGCATTTGGTCATGCACAGGCCGCTTGCCGGCCCAAGCGTCTCCCCGCAGATCGGCGCCTTCTTAGTGCCGCTGCGTCCGGCTCTCTCGCTCTCTCCCTTACAGTAACCACTCCCGTGCCGTACATTGCTGTACGTGCAGGCCCCGTCGATGGGCGGATCGCTCGAAAGGATGCCCGGCCGCGTGCTCGTTCGCATTCGCCCGCTTATCGTCCCTGCGATGAGGCAGCCCTCCACCCCGCTCCAGCTCGACTTGTCAGTCATTTGGGGGGGGAGCGTGCCCGCTCGTCCTTGTCGCGCACGAGTCGCTAGCCCGGGAAAGGAACAATAGGTGGTGGTGCGTCATCAATAGTCCTGCACGCGGGCCAGTCGCCGGTCTTTGGGGCATCGATGTAGGAATATCGACGGCGGCAGTGGAGACTGGGGAGACGGTGAAGAGTCAAGACCAGACTGGAGGCATCGAGGGCCGAGATCGCGACGGCCGAGTGCAACGTCCAGTCGTTCGCTGCGGAGTCACCGCGCGCAGCTCGCATGAGCGGAAGGCGACCGGAGCATCATGTCTTGTGACGCAAGGCTAGTGAGGGGGCACTCGCTTTTATTTTTTCCACCGGCTAGATATGGCGCCGGCGCATCATGGCGCGTGCATGAAGGGTGTTGTCACTGTCGTGGCATCTGAGGCATCCTCTTCTCCGCTTCGGCCTCGTATAAAGTATGAAGTAGCTATCCGGGCCCGTGAGCGAGCGCGAGCTACCATACTGTTCGCTGGCTGCAGTCGCTGTGGTTTGAAGGTTTTATCGAATCTGTGACAACTCATTGTTCCTTGCGACAGGAAGCCGCAATGGTTCTCGCATCGTTGTTGCTGCTCGCCCCGGCGGCTTGGGCCGCGTCCCTCCCGCTGGGGATACTGCAGGGCCCCAAGCTCGAGAACCTGGTCACATTCGGTGATAGCTATACCGACGAGGGTCGCTACACGTACATGGTCCAGAACAAGAGGCTGCCCCCTGTTGATTCCATGCTGCCCGCGAGCAACACCACGTGGAGCGGCGGCTACGCCTGGGGCCGCTACGTCGCGAACCGCACCGGGGCGACATACTACGACTACGCCGTCGCGGGGGGCATGTGCGCCGACACGCTCGTCCCGCGGTGGCTCAACGAGATCCAGGCGCCGTTCCCCAGCGTGCTGAACTACGAGATGACGGCCTTTGAGGAGGGCCTGAAATACACCTCGCTGTACCCCAACCGGCGCGACGACAACACCGTGTACGCGCTCTGGATCGGCACCAACGACCTCGGCATCGACGGCTTCCTGGGCGACCGCGAGAACGGCGACCAGACGCTCGACTCCTTCGTCGACTGCATCTGGAGCGTCTTCGACCGCATCTACCAGACGGGCGGGCGGCGCTTCGTCCTGCTGACCGAGCTGCCGCTCGAGACGGCGCCCATGTACGCGCAGCCCTCGGTCTACGGCCGGGGCAACGACCGCTACTGGGCCGACCCGTCGCACTACGACGTCACCGCGTACCTCGACAAGCTCAAGGACTCCATCGCGTACGTCAACTCGGCCTTCAAGTCCGGCGCCGCCACGCATTTCACGCGGGCGCAGAAGCGCTGGAAAGGCGCCACGCTGGCTATCTTCGACACGCACCAGCTGTGGCTCGACGTCAGGGCCGACCCGGGCCAGTATCTGAGCGCGCCCGCAAACACTGACGGCGCATATCGCAACTGCCTAAACGGCTGCGTGTTTTCGCCGAACCCGTTGTCCAGCTTCATGTGGTAAGAAAAACGACGACTCCGCTCTGTTAAGTTTGCCCTCCGTGAACAAAAGTAACTGACAAGTGGGCGCAGGTACGACGAGCTGCACCCGTCGCAAAGGATGGAGGAGATTATTGCTTCCAACTTTATCGACGTGGTAGGCGGGCAGTCCAAGTATGGGACGAATTATTGTTGAAATGCCATGACTCTTCTGTCTCATGTCCTAGTCGAAATGCATCGCTATCATGTCAGTAATGAATACATCGTCGGATAGTCCTCGTGGTTGGGCGTGCGTGGAGCTGGCCTGCGCCGTTGCAGGGGTCGACTTACACGACTTTGATCAAGGGTCCAGTTTGATCCTCTCCAGCGTCGATCCCAGACTCACATCCATTTGCATTGCAACGGCAAAGTAAAGTGATCGTCTCAAACATTCAACGGCTGCCCGAACAGGCAACCGGACACCCGGGCGGCATTCCGGACATTTAGTCAGCGCCTGGCCCGGCGGCCGGCCGGCGTCCTCCGGTCCCCAGCCCCGGTCGACGCACCATGTTGCGTGAAGTCGCCCAACGTCCATCAACATTGCTGTTGTCACATTCGCACTCGCATCAATTGCCACGTTCTATCCCTGTCCATAGCATTGCTTTGTCCCGCCTTCCGTCAACGTCCCTGAAAAGCCAACCCAAAAAAATTCGCGCCCACTTCCCATGTCCACCACACCCGAGGCCCTCACCACCACCATCCCAAAATCACCATAGAGAGCAAAAAATGAACAGATCAAGATGATCTGAACTCCGAATGCCTCCTACAGGAGTCGAACCTATGACCTTGTCATTACTAGTGACACGCTCTACCACTGAGCCAAGGAGGCATCTTGTGTACTTGTTGGAGTGGGACGCAACCAAATGTGGGATATGAAGCCGGAGTTGTGGGATGGAGCCCTAGCGGGGCCGCGAGCAGACCCCGGTCTGGACTCTGCACCTGCTCGTCTGGGATGTGAACTTCGTGGGTGGTCGACGCTAGGAATTGGACAGTGCTCGTAGAGATTGAAAGTTCGGATTGCTAGACCTGATGTCTCTATATTATGCTGTCATGGAGAGACGCCCACGCAACGGCTCTCCTGTCGCTGGTGGCGAGAACGGTCACAGAAAGCATCGCGGACTCGCAGGACAAAGGAGGCGCTGGCCCAGCGCGGGGTCGCGCGAGAGCAATGAAGGCGTTGCGCTAACCAGAAGACATGGGGCCAGAGGGACCTGGACATGGAGCTACCAGGCCTCGCCCAAAAAGTAGGACATCTTCGATTTCCGTGTTTCGCTGTTCAAGAAGTGGTCGAATAGAGGGATCTTGGGTATACAGTGGATTATCTCGTTGACTCGAAGCGAGTTGAGCCCTTCGACCAGACGGCTCCGGGGACGCGCATGCAAAGGGGGCGTGAGTTGTGGCACGGCCAGACACCCAGAGAAAACACACAAGTCGCTTCCCATGATATATATTCAACTCTTCGGGAAATACTTCATGTATCGAAACACGTAATGCCCCCATTTCGCGTCAGGTCCTTCATTTGGCGGCGGCATCGGCGCGTACTCGTCCAGATCGACGTCCAGTGAGCGAATGACGCGGAAGCCCGACTTCTCGTACATCTTCCACGCCGGCTCCGAAGAGTGCACCCAGGCAAAGACTCCTTTCTCGTCGCAAAAGTTGGTGCCCCAGCTCAAGAGTGCCGAGCCGACGCCGCGGCCCTGGTACTTGGGCGACACGGACAGGCCGACGACGAAGATGCAGCGCGTGCCCTCGGGCATGACCTCGTCCATCCAGGCGTTCATGTCGGCGTTGGTGAGGGCCTCGAGGCGCTTGATGGGGTCCGTTTCCGGCTCCGGCTCCGGCTTCGGTTCGTCCTTTTGCACAGACTCCTTGTTGTTGTTATCGCCGCTCGCCGCCGGGGCGGGAGGGTTGGCTGGCGGCTGCGTACGGCCCTCGAGGACGGGCATGTCGTCCGGGGGAAAGCCGCGGAACCCCCAGGTGCAGTAGCCCATGACGTCGCCCGACTCGTCGTCCACGACCTTGAGCACGACGATGCGCGGGTTCTTTAGCAGGCCGGGCAGGCTCTCGAGGGTGTACTTTTTCATGTCAAAGGGCTCCTTGCCGAGGCCCTTCATCTCGGTCTGCCGGTCCGTCTCGAAGGCATCGCCGCACAGCTGGGCCACGGCGGGCACGTCGTCGAGCGTGAGGGCTTGGATCCTGTGGCGCGGCTTTGCCATGGCGTTGCGTGTCGGCGTGTCTGGCACGAGGCGCTGACGTGACTGGAGGGCTTCAATTGAACGGCCGCGTGGGTTGCGCAACGACGCTGCCGGTAACAAAAGCCGCGACCTGCAGAAGCTCAATCACCTTTATAATCAGGGACCGTCGGCGTACTGAGTCACCCGGCAGCGCTGACGCCGGATTGGCGCTACTCGGGGCGGCAGCATTGTCCCATCGCGACGGCGCGGGAGGATGAATAGGCTAAGACGAACGACTTGCCTTTCGCAGCAAGTCGAGCACCGTCGCCGCATATTCGCTGGCCCCATCCTCGGCAACGTCGCGCAGCACGGCCGTCTTGTCCCTCGACCTGGCGCCGTGGACCAGGAGCAGACGCGTCTTTGGCAGGCCAATGGTCTCGCTGAGCAGCCGCACGACGGCCTCGTTGGCCTCGCCGTCCCGGGGCTGGGCGGCGACGCAGAGCTCAATGCGGTCGTCCGTGACGGACGAGATGCCCTCGCGCTGCTTGCTGGCGCCGGGCTTGACGCGCAGCTGCAGGCGCAGCGAGCCGACGCGGGGTGCCTTGCTGCCCCCGCCGCCGGCGACGAAACGCACGGCTGCGGCGGCGCCAGAGAGGGATGCCATCGAGGCGGATGTGGGAATCCGAGTGTCTATCAATCGAGGGGCGCGGGCAGCGCTGTGTGGCACTCACATGCGAGGGCGTGCAATAGTCTCAAACCTAGGCAAGGTAGCTTGCTTACCGACCTAGGCAGAGGACAGCTGCAGTGGGAGTTGCAGTTGGGCGTACGTAGATGGTGGGTGGAGGAGGTGTTCCAAAACCCGCCAGCCAATGTTCGTCATATTTAATGCGGCGCCTCGATCGAATCTGGAACCCAAAATGCCCCTGCTGCGCGGGAGCTCCTAAGACTGCGAGTCGCGCGCGATGGGCTTCCTTTCCGGTGTCCCTCGCCGCGGGCTTGATGTCGCGTGCCCCCTCCGCCTCGTCTTCTCTGATGTTCCTGCCCGGCGCCGCCTGAGCGCCGCTGCATCAGTGCATTCAGCGGCTGCGTCCGGTTGCTCAACAGCAGTGTCGACCAGGCCTGCTGCATCTCGTGGGCGCTCGCTACCGCTACAGCTGTCACTGGCGCTGCCCCGCCGTTCCGGGCTCCAGCACCTGCACCGGCGCCTGTGTCTCCCCCGAGCCCCAGAGCCGTTGCAGCAGCCGCGACCTGGAGCAGCTGGACCTGCCCGGGCCCCTCCTGCCGCCCCGGGTGCCGGCACCATCACCCGCTCCTGGCTCCAACACAATCCTTGCAGGCGCCCAAACTTCATCCGCCGCCTTGCAGCGACATCGACATCGACATCATCGCCGTCGCCGCCGTCGCCGCTTCGACCCTCGCGCACCCACTCCACGCCGCTGCTGCAGTCTCCCATCTGCATGCTCGCTGCCCGACGCCTCCGCTCCCCCCTCTCCCCGAGCGCCATGGCATCGGCGTACAGCGCGTACCATGGCGCCGCCAGCGCCTCCCAGTTCACCATCACGGCTTTGGGCCGCTGGTCCAGCATCTCCAAGCAGCTGCCGCGTGAGTGCTCCCGTGCCACGCCCGCCGCTGTGGCATAGCGCTTACCCGACGCGACGAGTACAGCGGCGGACAAGATCAAGGCTTTGCACGTCTACGACTTTGACAACACCCGTGCGTATTCCCTCCCTCCTGTGCTGCACCCCAGCCTTGCCCGGACGAGACTGACGCGACCGCGCTGCCAGTGTTCAAGACGCCGCTGCCCAATCCCGCCATCTGGAACGGCCAGACCCTAGGGACCCTCGCCAGCCAAGACGTCTTTGTCAACGGCGGATGGTGGCACGACAACAAGATCCTCGCCGCGACCGGCCAAGGCCTAGACATAGAAGAGCCGCGCGCGTGGCAGGGATGGTGGAATGAGACCGTCGTGGACCTCGTCAAGCTCACCATCAAGCAGCCCGATGCCCTGTGCGTCCTGCTGACGGGCCGCTCCGAGAGTGGCTTCGCCGAGCTCGTCAAGAGAATGGTGGCGGCCAAGGGCCTCGACTTTGACATTGTCGGCCTGAAGCCGCAGGTCAGCCCCACGAACCAAAAGTTTCAGAGCACCATGCATTTCAAGCAGCTGTTTCTCAATGCCCTCATGGAGACGTACAAGCAGGCGAGCGTCATCAAGGTCTACGAGGACCGCCCAAAGCATACCAAGGGCTTCCGCGAATTCTTCGCCGAGTTCAACAGGCGCCAGGGCTATGCGCGCACGCGTGGTGAGATCGATGCCGAGGTGATCCAGGTCGCTGACCAGTCGACGACGTTGGACCCCGTGGTGGAGGTGGCCGAGGTGCAAAACATGATCAACCTGCACAACCAAGCCCTGGCCAAGAAGCCGAATGACTTGCGGCACAAGCGCCTGCGCATCAAGAAGACCGTCTTCTTCACGAGCTACATGATCAATCCCGACGATGCCAAGAAACTTGAGGAGCTCGTTCAGTACCCTCCGGGCGTCCAGGACCTGAGGCATCTTGGGAATAGCATCCTCATTTGCCCTCGCCCGTGTCCCGCGAGCATCCTCGAAAAGGTCGGCGGCATGGGCAGCAAGATGCTGTGGGAGGTGACGGGGACTGCGTGTCTCGACAACAACCTGTGGGCCGCCCGGGTCCGTCCGGTCCCAGCTACCGCAGTCTATCACACGGACAACCCCGTGCCGCTCGTTGTCCTGGCACTCAGGAAAGGTGCGAGGCCGGTGGATGCTGGGCGGATCACGAAGTGGGATCCTATTCCTGCAAACAGCTCGTTCGTCTTTGAGAGTACAGTTGGAGAGAAGATCATCCTGCGAGTCGAACGCGAGGATCCCAAGGAGGATGAGTACGAAAGCCTGTTTGCCAACAAGGCTTCGAAACGCAAGCATGCTGGCGATGATGACTGGACTCCGCGGCACACGCACGGCCAATACGGCGGCCGAAACGAGTCGAGAGGCTACCACACGGGTCGGGGAGGCGGCCGCGGTAGAGGCGGCGCCCCAAACCGTGGCCACCGAAACAACCCGAGAGGGGGCGGCAGAGGTGGACGCGGTCGAGGCGGCGGCTTCCACAACTACCGGTCACTCGACGACGTCGAACCTAAGAACGATCAAGGCGGTTATGGTCCTCAGGTTGATTATGACGATTCCTACCCACCGCTGAGCAACGTTCCGACGGGACCGCGCGGCTACGTCGCCGCGCAGCAGGCCGCCGCCTCGGGCGGACAGGCCGGGAATGCCGCCGACCTGCAGACTTACTACTAGAAGGAGTGATATCCTGCTGAGGTAGCAGGCTCCGACCTCGTTTACTGATGCATTACCTGCTTGAGGGGAGCGTACGGCGCTACGGAGTTGGGAAGGCGGAATTTTGGTCTGATTATCTGTAGGGATTTGAACAAGCATGGGGGTCTGTTACCGATCATGCGTACTGCTTATAAACTGCAGAACTGGTTTTGATCGTTTGGAAGGGCCACAAACGTGCTGGGGATGATGTCTGGTGACTTGGACGGGGCGCAAGCTGCTTGGGCGCTGAATGCAATGAAGAGTTCGAGGCGAGAAATACGTCAAGATACCATAGCACATCCAAGAAAGAATACCATGTTGCATCCCAGCGTGGTTAGGTTAACTTTACTTGTTTTTATTCTTCATCTAGCTTGCCAGGCCATTATGAGTCTACGCTCGAGGTCGACTGCCATCTAGCAAAGGTAACTACTCGTCGTCGCTCTCCTCCTCGTCGCTGTCGTCCTCCTCTTCGGCGTTCTCCAGCCACTCCACCAGCACCCTGCACTTCTCCTTGAGCGCAGCCATGCCCTCGCCGTCGACGGCCCGCTCGTCCTCCCACCAGCCGAGGATACCCTCCTCCTCGAGGATGTCGAGCGAGTAGAGCTGCTGCAGGAGCGCGGCGAGCAGCGTGCCCGTCCGGCCGGCCTGGTCCGCGGCAGTGCCGGCGCTCTTGGCGACCTGGCTCTGCAGGGCGCGCTGCAGTGCGAGCGCGAACTCGACCTGCTCGGGCTCGCCACCGCCGACGCCCACCTCGGCGATGAACTTGGTGGCGCCCTTGCTGGCGGTGAGGGCGCGCTCGGCGGCCTTGCTGGGCTCGAGGCCGCCGTGCTCCGGGGTGAGCAGCTCGGCGGCGCGGCGGGCAAAGGCCGTGGCGACGGCCTTGCGCATCATGGCGTCCGACGCGTTGTTGGCGAGGCGCAGGCCCATGAACTCGAGCTTGGCCGAGTCGAAGTCGCCCGAGTCGGCGCGCAAGGCGTCGACAAGCCCGTGCACGGCGTCGGCGTGGAAGGAGAGCCGGCCGCCCGAGTCGTCCGACGCGAAGGAGGAGAGGCGCGAGCGCGAAGAGCCGGCACCGCCGCCGACGCCCAGGAAGTTGGGGTCGTCCTCGTCGTCGGTGAGAACGTCCGAGGACAGCGTCGAGATGGAGGACGTGGAGAGGTTGAATTCCGCGAGCGAGTAGAGCAGCGACTTTTGGAGGCGGGCCGGGTCCTCCTCGTCCAGCTCGTCGTCTTCCGGGTCGAAGAAGGGGGCGGCGTTGGTGCTCGCGCCGAGGAGAGCGGTATCCTTCTCGACGGCTTCCCCTTCGGCAGTGACTGTCGAGAGCACGGCCGCCTTATCCAGTGAGATGCCGTCGCTTATTTGCACCTTGTGGGAGACGAGAGATCCGCTGGGGATGGAGCAGTTCTTGCCGACAGTGACGGAGTCTGCGAGGATGGATGATGATATCCTGGCGCCGTCCTCGATTGTGGCATTGTCCCAGATGTACGAGTTCTCCACCACAACGTTCGCGCCAATTTTGCAGCCCTTGCCAATGACGCTACTTGAGATGCTGCTCCCAGAGCCGATGGTTGTGTGTCTCCCGATGATGGCGTCGGTCAGCCGGGCGTCGTGCGCATGTGAAACGCTCTCCTCCATCACGAGGCCGTTGGCGTGTCGCTGGTAGGTCTGCTTGGGCACCAAGTTGTCCTCCGGGATGAAGGGTGCCGCCCACCGGCCGAGAACGTCGCGGCTGATGGCATCGTACTGCTGGAGGTTGCTGGCCCGGGCGGCGTATCCGTCTTCCAGAATCTCGGCGTAGATCATCTTGCCGTTCAGCTCCCAGTCTTTCAGGACGCCATGCAGGAAGTTTCTCCGCGGTAGCTCGTAGTCGAAGCTTTCGGACCACAGCGCCAGCACCTCGGGTGTGCAGATGTCGACCTGCGCGTCAATCAAGTCCGACCGCACCTCAAACTCCGTAGACAGCTCGTCGGCGATCAAAGGGTCGAGGGCCAGGTAGTGGTCGCTCTGCAGGGGGTGCATCTCGTCGTAATGAAGCAGCCGCTTGGTCTTGGAGTCGACGACAAAGATTGGCGTAATGCCGTTCGTCTTGGTTCGGTGCTCGCCAGGGCCGCCGCTGCGGAGGACCGTCGTCATGATGTTGGCGGCGCTGGCCTCTCTCCGCTTCCGATGCGCCGCGAGAGCTTTGTCCAGGATGATGTTTGATACGAGATCGCCGTGTACAAGGATGAAGTCGCCGTCGACGAGGGAGCGCTTGTCCATGTCGCGCAGGACGTCGCCGACCGACCGCGCATCGGATACCCTGACGAACTGCACAACGGAAAATGGGCACGATCGCGAGGACGTCGACCACCGCGAGCGATTGATATAATCTTCGACCTGGTCGGTGTGCGCGCCGCAGTAGATGTACACCTCGTCAACGCCATTCATGGCCAGGAATTCGAGCGTATAGTCGATGAGGGGGGTATTGGCGAGGGGCAGAAGGCACTGCGGGATCAGACAGTCAGCAAACAGTCGCGACGCGCCGCGGGCACATGGACATTGACATACTCTCGGCTTCTCGACGGTAAAGGGTTTGAATCGGTCTTGGAACGAGTCGGCGAGGACCTATGCGCGCAGTCAGTGATGTGAACTCCAGGCGCAGTCGATGCCCCGCCATGACACACATACCACGGCCTGCAAAACCTCCTCGGTCTTGCTCTCGCCGCCGGCCTTGGCGGGCTTCTTGCCCTTGGCCGGGCCAGCGCTCTTCTTCCCTTTTTGCGACATGTCGTCAGGCGCGGGAAGAGCGGTGCGTCGAGGTTGTTTGTTGTGGAAGGAAAGCGGTGGGACACGGACCCTGAGCCCAAGGAAAGCTAAGGTGACTCAAGAGTCGGAGTCTAAATTTCTCACCGACACTCACCGTCGGTGAGCTCGCTCCCCGTGTGTGTGTTCCGGCTACCCTGTACCCGACCTTTCATTGCAATGATGACATTGTGCACCATAACATTTCTACTAGTAGAGTAGGGTTTGCAGAGCAGAGTGGTTGTTCGTCATGTGCTAGACCTCGATTGCGCTTACTTTTGTTGAATGCCTCATTGCCATTGATGGCTCCTGCGTGCCGTATCTTGTCAAAGCACAATGTATTCTTTTCTCACGTTAGCCGGCCGCCAACGGGTAACTAATGTAGATCCCACGGACCTCAGAACGGAAGCGAGCACTTGCCCATCGGCGAGATTGCGCAGATCTTTTACAAAAGCAGTCAGCCTCGCGGACTGCAGACGCGAACCGGGGATACTCGGGTATTTAGCTGCCTCGACGCCCAGCACGCTTGGCCTGCTCCATGCGCGTCTCAAGCGTCTAAAGTATTACGTTGCTGACGATCCATGAGCCTCCGTCAACACCAGCCATTGGCTGGCAAATACATACTGCACGCGCAAAAGGGGCGCAGATCATCCAGCGTTTGGCTAACGCGGTAAAATGAGGATCGATGGTGTTGGCTGCCAAGCCCAAGCCCGTTCAAGCAGGCCATCAATCGCCAGTTGAGGAAGCTTGTTCCCAAAAAGCTTGACAGCCTCCAGGCGGCTTGAAACTCTTGCCCAATCGACGTTAAATTTAGAAACTCGAGGCAGGCGGACCGGCTTCCAGAAACACCGGACTGGCGTGCGAATTTTCTCGGGCGCCCAATGTTTCGGTTCGAATGCGTTCCGTTGTGAACCTGGGATGTCGCGGCGGAAGTAGCCGTACAGTGCAGCAAAACGCGACAAGGATAGGGTATACTCATTGTTTGGAAGACGTCGGCAACCACCTCCAAGGCTGTCACCACTTCATTCTTGTCCCGACTCATCTCGAGCGGCTCGTGGAGCTGCGGGCCATGTTCGCTTCAAGAGGGTTTCCTCCCGCCGGTGTCGCCGTGTGCGCCAAAGTGCGATACCACCGTCAACGTCATCACTGTAAACGCGCAAGTACCTCATATGCCGCTGCTACATGGGCCAGTGCAGACATCCCTCGCATGTGAGGCTGAGAGGCGCCCCGTCGTGGTTGACAGCCGGTGGCTTAGCCCTTATTTCTCTCAGCAACCTTGTTGCGGTTAGATCCGTTGGCTCAGTTGGACAGCCGGCCGCCATGGACCGCCCAAGTGACATGCATTCCTCCCTGTCTTTTCTCAGTCGTCTTAGTCGCCTGCGCAGGTTTCACTCGCCACGTTCCTCATGGGAATCGAGGTCCGATTCGCGGCCCCCGTCTGTGTGGCATGGCGTCCTTGCAGATGCCACAAACACCTGCGATCCAGGCTCGACAAATAGGAGGCACTTGCACCCAATGCGTGCCACTGTCCGCGTTGCCACCCGCTGTTGGTGGCAGACTGTATCAGCCTCGCCAAGAATCAGGCCGGCAGTTGGCATGCCCTGACCAGATCCAGGCGGGTGCGCCTCCGCCAAAGGCATGGCACTTCATCAGCGGGCGGGTGGACAAGTCTTGGCTTTGCCTGACCATTCGATCCGGTCCCGCAACTCGGACGCAATCGAGAACCAACGGGCCCTGTCCTTCCGCGAGCACCGATGAGACAGACCGAGAAGCCGGATTCCTTGGACCGAGAGGAACCTGCCGCATCAAGGGGCAGAATGTGGCATGGGATTCGACAAGTTCCGGAAAGCTACCTGGGCGTCTAGCGCGACGTGGCTTGGGCAGAGAGTCTGTTGAACCGGTTTACTTGACCAGAAACAAAGCGAGAGTCGTGGCTCGCACTCGCGATCCTGGCAGCATGTCAACGGGACAAAGGAAAGCCGTCGTCCCTGACGCCTGGAATTGCCTTGGTTTGAGATGCCATCATTTTGACTATCGTTATTTGGCGGTTTGGGATGCCGGCCCTCTGCGTCCGAGCGATACCTGAGTTGCGACTGCTCAGCTGGACAGGATATCGTGACAAGGGTCGTTGGTCGCCCTCGAAGAAGCAACGCGCACGCAAATTGAGTCCGCCTGGCGCGCGCCAATGGACGCGGCTTGCAAATAAACGGACGGCACATCCGGCGGCGAGGCAGGGGCATCGGCTGCAGTAGGGCACCATCGGAGGCGGGCGTCGGATGACCTTGGCTCAGGTGGCGCCCAGCTGCGGCTTCGTTGGATGGGGGCCGTCTCTCGTGGACGCGATGCCGTCGACGCTATTTGCGTCCATTGATCGAGGGCGACGCCCCGTCGGACGAGCAGAAGAACGGGAGGTGGGCGGCCGTGGCACGACGGGACGTTTGGGCTGCTGGCGGCGTGAACGTGCGTCTGCACCAGATGTGTGTGCGCGGGAAGCCGTCCTGTCCATCGGTTCGTGGGGCGCCGGGGGAGGGAGGGGCCAGAGCATCACATCCCATCCCCGTTCGAGCACGTCGTACAGTACCAGGACGGCGACGAAGATGCATGGATGAGGGTGAATGTGCGTGAGAGTGAGGTGGGCAGGACGTCAATGGCTGCAGCAGGGCATCGCCAGGGGCCGCGAGCCAGCCTTGCCCGGTTCGTAGTGCGTTAGTGCTCTGCTACTGCAGCGCGGCCATTGGGGCCAAGCCAGCGAGCTAGCCCGCCGCCCCACTGTGCGCAGCGGAATGCGCCACACGGCCCGGGAAAATTGCTGAATGAAGCATGGCATGGGTGACGTGCCCACTGAAGAGAGAGGCCGGTCCAGATTAGCCCCTCCGTACCATGGCAGCGCCCACGGGCTGTCCGAGTGACCTGGCGCGGTATCCGCTGGCAGGTACCCGTCAACCATTCTTTCCCACCTTGCCTCAACTCAATCAGCAAGTGCCCTGCCTGCATTGCCCTGCTTCCACACCCGTTTGTGAGGCAGTTGTGGTTCTTCTCGGTACCGTCCAGGTGGCCCCCGTCCTGTCGACGGCGACGACCTGCTGGACTGGTACTGGGCTGGGCCGGGCTGGGCTGGGGAGCCGCCGGCTGCTGATGGCCCCGCAGGCCCGGCTCAAGTGCTAATGCGCCGCCAGCAGCCGCCCATTACCTTGCGCCAGCGATCTATGAGTGCTGCCGCACCGTACCACGACAAGAGGTGATGGTGGCCTCCTTGTGGAGAGCCGGGATGCGGTGGATGCGCGACGACGAAGCGAGGCGCGCGAGTCTTGGGAGAGGGCCGATCGTGACGGGGGGCTGGCTTTCTTTGCAGTCTGGCGCCCGAGGCCCCTTTTCATCCAGCGGGGATTCCTTCACACAAGTCGCGAGACCATAGGTCTGGAGGCATGAGCGAGGTAGAGGGCTCGTTGCGCCAAAGGCTGCTGACCCTCTTGCTCTGCTCCGAGGGTAGCAGTGGCAAGATTCGGCAAAGTGAATACTGCTTTGCCCGAGGTAGACGCAACATATGTAGTCACAACGTTCAATACTCGATCGTGCCGGCCGTGGCTGTGGGCGCCGCCGTCGAGTCGAGTCAATGGGACGAGGCCGTCGACACTGACGGGAGCGCAGACGAGGAGGTGCCCCAGGTGCCCCGGTGGTCCATTTAACCAGTGCGGCAGTCTCCAGCCCTAGGTGACGAGGCCCGTCCATCCATCCATCCGCCTCGGGCCCTCCACTGACTGAGGTGACCCCCCAGCCCGCCAGCACCGCACCTGCAACTGGGCCGGGCTGCCCTGCCCTCCACTCTCACCCCCGCCAGCACTCCCCCTCCCCTGGCCCAGGAGTGCACGCTCGCCGTCATTCACCTGATCGCCCGCTCCCACCCCGGTCCACCCCCCGGCTGGCGTTCCATACCTTACCTTGCCTTGCCTTCCCATCCATCCATCCACCATCTGCCCAGCCGTCCAACCCAGAACTTGCAAGCCAGACCGTCTCTCCAACCCGACCGCGCCCGCATCAATTGTTTGCGCCATCGTGGCCGTCGACAACGCGAGCCCCGAGCACTCCATCTGCGCCACTGGCGACGACAGAATCTGCAGCACCGGTCTGCCTCCGCTCTCGCCGGCAGATTTCTGCCGTCTACACCAACCAGTTTGACGCTGCGACCGCTGCCGTCTGTTGAAGGGACAGAACGCTTCACCCGGCGCCATTGGACACGCCGCCGGCCCTGCGAGGCAGTCACCGTTGGGGCTTGCCCGTTGCTAGCCTGCCAGGCAGACGTCGGCTGAACCGGCCTCGAGCCCGAACGCCGACCCCTCCCGTTGCTCCAGCCCGGCGGCGACAACAGCGCTCGAGGACATCATGTCGGGGACGGAAATGGCCGCCGCCCCGGGCGGCGGCAACAACGCGAGCGAGTTTGTAAGTCTTCGAGTCTCTGATGCGGCCCGCCGTATCTGCCGAGGGCCACGAGGTAGCTAACCGTGCGGCAGGTTCGCAAATTGTTCCGGTAACGCTGCACGACGACTGCCGGCCTGAATCGCGATGACTGACGCGCCCTGAATAGCATGCTCGAGGATCCCTCGCATCAAGACGTCGCGAGGTGGGGGAAGGATGGCGACAGTTTCGTTGTCGTGGAGGTGCGGCTTGTCAGCGTCTTTGGAGCCGAGCATCGCGCGTCATGCTAACTTGCACATAGGGTGAAAAGTTCACAAGATCCATCTTGCCGAAGCACTTCAAGCACAGCAACATGTCCAGTTTCATCCGGCAGCTGAATAAATACGACTTTCATAAAGTGAAGCCGTCCAGCGACAGCGACTCTTCAAATCCCAATGGCAATGTATGCTCGACCCCACGGCACTACTGCAGCCGCCGTTAATGGGTCGCAAGCTGACGTATATGCCGCCAGATTCTCGAATTTAAACACCCCTATTTTAGGGCCGACAGCAAGGATGGCCTCGACAACATCCGCCGCAAGGCGCCTGCGCCGAGAAAACAGCCGGCTGCCGAGGATTTTACCACTAGCCAGCATGTCAGCGTCATCTCGGAGCAGCTGACGGCTACGCAGCAACAAGTGCAGCAACTGCAGGAGCTGTATGCCGACGTGTCGCAGACCAACAGACTGCTCGTCAATGAGGTGCTGACCCTACAGAAGATGCTCAACGCCCAGAAACAGGCGCAGTATGAGCTTCTCAACTACCTCTCACCGTACAACGACAACCGTAACCGGACACTTGTCAACCAGCCGATCAGCTCCAACGGTACGGCGGACGTGGACGACGCGGTCCCAGAGCTTCGCCGGGCCCGGGAGCTGCTCTCTAGTGTGACGACGGACTCGGTTGCCGATCGGGAGCTGGAGCGCCTCCAAGGCATGTATGGGTCCCCAACAGACTCGGCCACCATCATCACGCCCGTGTCGATGCCGATGATGCACGATCCGATGACCGATCTGAGCCGGTATCCCGTATATCCGGTAGGACAGACGGTCGGCATCGACCCGTTTTCGTCCGATCACATCCACAAGATCCCATACGCCATGCCAAATGAAGGCGCGTCCATGGGCGTCTCCGAGCCGCCGACTACATCGGCGCAAGCGACAGCACCCGCACCGGCAGCGCCTGCGCCTGCGCCTGCGCCCGCTGCTGACAAGTCGACATCACTGTGGGGATCGAAGAAGCCATTGGTGTTCCTGGTCGAGGACGATCCGACTTGCGCCAAGATAGGAATCAAGTTCCTCAAGTCGATGGGATGCGACGTTGAACACGCGGTATGTGACACCTCCCCCCGCCCAATGCGTCTCATGGCGACTGGCCCTGACATCAGCGTAGCAAAACGGCGCGGATGCCTTCAACAGAGTTAGCACGGTCGGACGCGACCATTTTGACATGATGTTCATGGACATCATCATGCCTCGACTGGATGGTGTCTCGGCGACCATGTACATTCGCCAGCACTGTCCGTCCACACCAATCATTGCCATGACATCCAACATCAGACCGGACGAGGTCAACAGCTATTTTGAGCACGGTGAGTGCCCATTGTTTTCTCGCGATCGAAGGGCCGGAGTTCTAATGGCATTTAGGCATGAACGGTGTGCTGGCTAAGCCATTCACCAAAGAAGGCATGCTCAAGTCGATCAAGACTCACATGGCCCATCTCCTCAAGAACCCGCCCCCCCAGAACGAGGGGGACGGATCGGGATATATGATGGGCGGGGTCCCGTTCATGGGGAACTCGATGAAATTCGAGACGTCGACGCCGCCTCCACCTGGGGCCTCGGGCTCGGGCTGGTCCCCGGGTCACATGGCACAAGGTAGCACAGACCAGTGGGGCGGCTTCATGAACGGAGGGAATCAGTACGGCATGGGCCGTCATGGCTACGGTACAGCCATGGAGTCGACGTCGGGGCGCATATCGGACCACGACAGCCCGCCCGAAAAGCGACAGCGTTTGAACCAAGGGAATTATGGCTGAGAGAGGGCGGGTCGTGAGGGGCAAAGGGCGCGGTATCGATGGACGGACAATTCGAGCGAGCGACGAGCGAGCGAGCAGCGGCCGGTGACAGCTCGCTGGCGACGATTTCTTTTCGTCTCGGGGTGCGATGCGCCCCTGCGATGCGGGGCGACCATGAGCTGCGTGGACGAGCTGCGCAGTTGTTCTCAGGAACCGGCTTCGGTATTAGCCAGCCAGGGTTTCACAAAAGAAGGTGGCTTCGTCGGGACGGGAGGCACCAAGCGGGTCGCGATGCCACGGGCCCGTTCGAGGGTCGGATCGCACGGTGGGTGCTGGGATTTCTGGATATCTGTCGGGCTCTGTTACCCAATGGGCGGAGCGAGGGTTTGACGGTGGGCGTATTGCGACCATGACACGGGGATCTGGCGGTCAGACTGTAGGGGCCTTTACGAGGGCACGCAATCTTCAAAGGCTAAAAGCGCAGTAAGAAGACGTGACTTCCCGTGACGACGAGGAGGCCGGCATGCGCCGGCGTCGCGTGAGAGCATGCGTGAAGATGGGTGACGTGCGCGTGCCAGTGCCTTACAGGCAGACCGAACGGCGACGAGTAGGCCGGAGACGATGATGCGCTCGAGCACAGGGCCGGGCGGCGGGAAAACGGCTCATATAAGAAGCAAGGCATGCTCTTGCTTGGCCCTGGCAATAGTAGCGGTCGGGGCTGCGGGAGTGCCCTTTTGACGTGGCGCGCGCCTCCTGGGCCCGGACCCCGGCCCCGGGCTGAGAGTCCATCGAGGTCTCGACCGGGCCTCGGGCGGGGTTCTGGGGCATCGGAGCTTCGGCGTGCGGCCGAGCGTGGTGGAGAAAGGGAAGGGGAGGGATGTGGTGGTGGGGGGTTTGGAGCAGGCAGCATCAATGGAGTCGGCCGGGCTGTGGGATGATGGGATGAACGACATGCGGGACGGACAAGAGCTTTATGGGTTGACATTGAATGCGTCGTGACTAGGAGTGAGTGGGTAGGTAGATGAATGGATGGATGGACGGACGGCCTCGCAGAGACGGGAAAGGGGAGCGGACGAGCAGGGCAAGCTAGCAAGTAAGGAAGCAAGGAAGCAATGAAAGCAATGGAAGCAAGCAAGCATGCAGAGAAAGGCACGCAAGGGCAGATTGGGGGAGGGTTGCACCGAGGCGCCTTGTCCTCTGGACGTGAGGCAGGTATGTGATACCAACCTACCTGGCGAGACGGCGGCTCTTCGGGGAGGCTCAAGAGTCGAGATGCCTGGGACGGGGACACCCTCTTATAACATCCGGACCATTCTTCCTGGATCGGGACGACGGCCGCGAAGCCCTGGTCGCAGGCAAGCAAGCAGCAACACACGCAGGGCAGCGGGCCCGCCGGATGGGGTCCAACCGGCCGAGTGAGCGAGTCGGCTGACGTGCCGCTGCAGAGCAAAGGGCCTGTCATTGTCGGGGCCGCGACGAACGTGTGCCGCAGAGAGCGTACGTTGATGCGACGTGATGCGGCGTGGGTGAAGATAAGGCATGCTGCTGCGTTTGGGGGTGGAAGAGGAGGTGTGGGATGTTGATCGCGAGGGTCCATGCGTGACGGTGGCTATCAGTGCATGCATGGCGAGTAATACGGCAAACTAGGATGTAGCAGCAGCAAACAGGACGCGGGAAAGCACAGGACAGGGCATCACGGCAGGATTTCCAAGGTTGCTTCCATGCCTCTCGGCAGTTGTGAAAAAGCGAGCTACCGCTGGCGTCAAGCGCCCGGGGGGGGCGGACTCGCGCCGAAGCGGGCCCCTGCACCGGATGATGTGCGAGCCGCAGGTAGAATGTTCGTAGGTAAGTAGCCTTTGGAATTGAATCGCGAGGCAGTGTGATGATGGTTGATGGAGCATGCTGCGTAGACGGGCAGATATGACGCGGTGCTACCTACAGTCTACGAAATGAGGTGCATTCATGGTCTCGCGACACACGCTCGGAAAGCGTGTAAGCGAGCGTGCCCGGAGCTGGAGACGGACGGACTGGAGGCCTGCGGCTGGGGGCACAAAACCGCCAATGGTCCCTGTCTGACGTTGGCTTACATGCGTATGAAGCACAAGACGTTGCACATACATACATGTACTACTACTCCGTGCTCGTACGAGTAATAACACCCTGCCTGCCTGCCTGCCTGTTGTTGCTTCGTGGCCCCCCTTGTTCGCTTCTCGGGCACGACCCGAAAGCAGCACCATTGCCGCCGCATCTGGCATCCCCGCGGACATGCTGCTTGCTTCACATCCGATTCAACGACCAAGCGAACCAAGGAAAAAACGGAGGGTAACTAATGGACTGGCCCAGCCCGGCCCAGCCAAGCCTTCAGGGCGAGACCCGACATCAGCCCAGCCCCAAGCCCCCCCGAGGCCGAGAGCCCAGCCTGGCCGAGCCTGGCCCAGGCCAGGCCGGGTCGCGCCCTCCCATCCCTCCCTGCCATGCCATGCCATGCCATCCCCAGGCCGCCCGTCAAAAAGGCGCGGACCCCCCTGTGGCCCCCGGCAGAAAGGCATCTCGGGTTGCGAGACCGGGGTGCGAGGAGGGCTCGAATCGGGAAGCCAAGGAGCAGGCAGGCAAGCAAGCACGGGAGAGGTGCGGTGACCGACGACGACGACAATGACGCTGGTGGCCGTGCGTGCGTGCCCTGGCACCGCGTGGGGCGCGCGTTGGGGGAGGGTGGTGTGAGACGGGGAGGGATGATTATGAAGTGGAAAAGACGTGCCCGTTCTGGGCTTGCACGAGCCCGGGCCGGGATGGGTGGATTTGATGCGACGGAACGGGTGGGCTTGTGTGTAACGGCACTCAAAATGCAGCGACGAACGGTTTATCTGGCTGCATGAGGTGCCGAGTTGCGCGCAGCGGTGTGCCGTGTTGTGCTTCACGAACCCTGATGCTGCCCCGTATCATCACGAGTCCACGACCGAAAACAGACCTCGTTTCATAAGGTACAGTATGTAGAAGCCAGGGATCACAGGGCGTTGGCTTTTCATAGTCGCGAAGAGCACCGCCCACCGCACGGTTACGCATCATCGCATGACCTACGAATATCAGTGGCAACGCTGTACTGGGCAATACGTATCGTGAGCTGGTTCTCGACTCATTCATTCGCGCCCGTTGTTGGTCGGGTGAGTTGCTCGCAGTGCACTGCACTGACGGGCAGCAGCAGCGTCGGCGGCGGGCGGCGGGCGGCGACGGCGGCCCGGCACGTGTGTTTTGCGTGAGGTCGGACACGGCCTTGGCACATTGCGAGCGTGTTGTTGGTTGCCTTCGGAGTACAAACAATCTTGGCCGTGCAGGGGGCCAACACGAAAGCCGCCGCGACCGGGTATGAGGTGGTTTTTGCTGAATCAGGTTTGTGCGCCCGGCAGCGACGGGGTCTATCCGGGTTCGAGCAGGCAGGGTGCATGCGAGGTGGTACGAGTTTCAATCGAAGGTCCCGAGGCGTCGAGCTGTCGGGGCCTGTCCTGTCGGCAAGGAAGGACCAGGCACCTTTAGATGGAAGAGTCGTGAAGCCCGGCATCGACGAAGGAGAGTCGGGCTGGAGTGAGGAATTGTGCTAGGTAAGGTCGGGTGTCGCCAGCCAGCAATCCCTCGCCCTGGAGTGGAGGAACGCGGCGCCTGCCAGCGTTGCCAGCACTGCTGGAGTGACCTCAAGTCGGCGGCCAGCGGCCATCCACGACAGTGGATCATGTCCCGCTAGCCGCACCGCCGTGGGAACGGCTTTACGCGCTCGCCCACCACCAGACGCGTCTCACCCTCACTCAACGCGTCCCGTCGCCTTCAACCCACCCGACCGCATCGCAGTCGCCGCACCGCCAATTCGTCAAGCGCCGACTGCCATCCCGACCGCGCAACCCGACATCGTCAACCTCAACCCAGCCATGCCGCACTCGGTCGAAGGAGGGCCCCAGGCGCCCCAGGGCGCCGTCAAGGACGAGCCCATGGACGACGCGGGCATCCCCAGCAGCGCCCCGGACGCCGATGGCGATGTCAACATGCAGGCCCCCGAGGCCGCTGCTGCCGCGCCCCAGCCCGTCAAGAAGGAGGTCCAGCTGGAAAACATGTTTGACGACGATTCCGATGACGAGTTTCCCAGCTCTGCGCCCGTCAAGGAGCAACCTTCTAGCCCGCCCGCGAGAGCGCCCGCGTCCCCAGTGTTCGTCCCCGATCCGCACACATGCACTCCGTGACAAGTCGTACGGCATCTAACGCCGCAACAGTGACGTCGCCTCGCTCAAGGCATCCGACCCCGAGGTCATGCGCAGCTTCTACCAGCGACTCTTCCCCTGGCGGCAGCTGTTCCAGTGGCTCAACCACAGCCCCACGCCCACAAACGACTTTGGCAACCGAGAGTTTGCCTTTACCCTGCAAAACGACGCCTACCTGCGATACCAGTCCTTTGCCACAGCAGACCTGTACGCGTCGAGTCCCCAAGACGGCCACTTCAAGAGATGGTTTGCTAATGTTTGCCACGGCTAGCCTGCGCAAAGATGTCCTCCGCCTCATGCCGTCGCGTTTCGAAATCGGCCCCGTCTACACCACCAACCCGCGCGACCGCAAGACGCTCCGCAACTCGTCCGCCTTCAAGCCCCTCGCCAAGGAGCTGTGCTTCGATATCGACTTGACGGACTACGACGACATTCGTACCTGCTGCGACAAGGCCAACATCTGCAACAAGTGCTGGACATTCATGACCATGGCGATCAAGGTCGTCGACGCGTCGCTGCGAGACGACTTTGGCTTCAAGCACATCATGTGGGTTTACTCCGGTCGCCGAGGTGCACACGCCTGGGTGTGCGACAAGAAGGTCCGCAGCTTGGACGACCAGAAGAGAAGGGCTATTGCCGGTTACCTTGAGGTGGTAAAGGGTGGTGCGCAAGGCGGTAAGAAGGTGAATGTGCGGCGGCCACTGCACCCTCATCTCTCGTACGTGTCTCGGACTTCAACTGCTCCCATTACCGTAATGCTGACCATAATAGCCGGAGCCTGGATATTCTCAAGTCACACTTCCAGGACGATGTCCTCGAAGGCCAGGATCCCTGGGGCACAGCGGAACGCGCCGAGAAGCTGCTCCAGCTCCTGCCTGACAAGACCCTCAACGACTCGCTGCGGCGCAAGTGGGACGCAGCCCCGGGACGCGCCTCCACGTCCAAATGGGCCGACATCGACGCCATGGCCAAGACGGGCGCGAGCAAGCACCTCGACTCCAAGGCCCTCCTCGAAGCCAAGCAGGACATCGTCCTCGAGTACACGTACCCGCGGCTGGATATCGAGGTTAGCAAGAAACTCAACCACTTGCTGAAGAGTCCCTTTGTCGTCCATCCTGGCACCGGCCGCGTCTGCGTGCCCATCGATACGCGCGACCTCGAGGCGTTCGACCCCCTGGGCGTGCCCACGGTGCAGAGCTTGCTCGCTGAGATTGATGCCTGGAGGGACGACGGCGACGGCGAGGGAGACGACAAGGGCAAGGCGCTGGCGGACTGGGAGAAGACGAGCTTGAAGCCGTATGTGGATTACTTCAGGACGTTTGTCGCGGGTATCCTCAAGGACGAGAAGGACACGCGCGTTAAGAGGGAACGAGATGACGAATCGATGGAGTTTTAGAGGTGCCAAGTGGCCGCTCGGGCCGTGTATTATGGGATGCACATGATGGTGTACATGGATGTTCTTGTTTTTGGTCCGCTCTGGAAAGGATATCCCGGCTGGCGTATGGTAGTCTATCACGACGGGTGTCATTGAGTCTCCTTCTTTGCGTCTTCCCCACCTTCGCCAGTGACTTCTCCAGTGTTGGCAGCCTCGGCAGATCCTGCTGCTTCGTCGTCTGCCTCCTCATCATCGTCGCCTGCGTCTTCGTCCTCAACAAGCTCCGACGCGCCCTCCTCGCCCTCCTCGCCGATGAGCTTCCCGCCCTTGCGCTTCGGAATCACCGCCATGAACGCCTCGCCCCAGTCCTCGCACTCGAGCCACTTGAGCATAATCTCGACGACGTGGTTGGTGGCGAGGATCTGCCGGCTCTTGAGGACCATGAACTCGCCGATGGGCAGCCGCGCGGTGCGGATCCCCTTCTCCCGCGCCCGCCGGTAGCATAGCCCCTTCTCGCGGTTCTTGTCCACCAGCCCGCCGATGACGTAGCTCGTGTGCGGCTCCAGCCGCTGCAGCGTGTATGGCGACTCGGACGTCAGGTACACGACGTCGCGGTAGCGCTCGTCGAGCGGCGGGGCCGGGTCCGGCAGCGGGAAGGGCTCCCGCTCGGCGACGTCCCACGACACGGGCTCGTCGACGCTGCGCTGCAACGCGGGTATCATCTCACCAGCCGCCTGCGCACCACTGCCACCGCGCATCTTTTCACGTGCCAGCTCCGCGCACGCGAGAAAGTCTCCCGGCGCGAAGCCCACGCCCTTCCAGTGGTCCTGCTGGCGCCCGAGCACGTCGTTGAAGCGGCGCTCGATGGCGCCGCCCCAGCCCGCGAGCCAGAGGTGCGAGCGGTACCGCGCGGCGCGGTTGTCGGCGTAGCAGCGCGTCACCTGGCTGGAGAGCGACACGCGCTCCTTGTCCGTCATGTAGCGCTCGAAGTCGCAGTCGACGATGAGCGCCACGGGGACGAGCGCCGAGGGCGGCCGCGGGGGCGGGGCGAGAGATTTGGGGTCCACGCCCTGCGCGACGAGGGCGGCGCGCTCCTCGCGCTGGCGCTCGCGCCGCGTCTGCCGCTTCTCCTTGCGGCGCTTGCGGCGGTCGTCTTTGCCGTCTTCCCACTCTTGGGCGCGGCGGAGGCGCTTGAGGGCGTTTTTGGACATGGGAGGAGGGGCGGCAGGTTCCGTCCCGGTAGATACTCCGGCGGCGGCGGTGTTGGATGGCGCATTGTCGTGGGTGCTTGCGGCTTCATTTGTGGGCGCGGGATGTGTTTGTGTTGTGGTGTTTGCGCTGGTGCCCTCAGGTTGTGGCGCAGGCTGGCTGGGAGCGGCCTGCGCGGGCACGTCAACGACTCCCTCCGTGGAGCTCATGTTGATGCACCCTGCTTATTGTTGTCTTCCCTTACAATCGGCGACCGAATCCCGACGAAGCAATTGGCGTTGGTGATCGTTGGTGATAGTTTGGAGAATTGAGACCATGCAAGTTTCGGTTCTCACAAATGCAAATAGGAGGCCGCGATTTTAAGGCGACATTCGGCCACTCAAGATGGGTTCAAAGGAGCGAAGATCCTGTGCTTTGCTGGAGAGAATATTGAAATGAGTATGAGTGACATGAGATGTCATTCAACTCAATGGTGTTGACACACCTCGCAGCTGCGCCAGAAATTAATTGTTAGTGCCTTTCGAGGTCCAAGGTGGAGCCCCCTCCAGGCCATCAAGGCACACAGCCAATCCGCTCGCCCCAATTGGGGATTAGTCACGTGAAGCGCCGGCGGGCCTTACCTCAGCGGGCCACTCCCAGCTTTGAATTGAGACTCCAACGACCGACGGCCGTACGGGCAACAAACAGCTCTCCTCCCCCCCATCAACGACGTCGTTCCTCCGCGCCCGCCCCGCCTCCCCGACGCCATGGAACGCGAAGCGAGCATCAGCCCCAAGGCGCTCCTGGAGCCCGAGCAGCCGTACAAGCCCCACGATGTCCTCGACGAGACGGCCAAGACGGCGCTCGTCGGCCTCGGCAGCGGCTTCTTCCTCGCCGCCATCCGGAACGCCATGTCGAAGCGCAACGTCGGCGCCATGAGCGTCTTTACCCGTGGCGCACCCATCATTGGCATCTGCGGTACGACGACACGCCCTTCCCAGTTATGATGTCGAAGGAATGGCCCCAATTCGGGGACAAGCGGCGGCGCGATTGCCCGGCTTGGGCGCCGCTGGGATTCTGTCGGAAACGCAGTGGACGTGGGCTAACGCAACGCGCAGCTGCCGGCCCCGGTGCCTACGCCTTCTTCTCCCGAACGATGATGAACCTGCGCGAAAAGGACGATGCCTGGGCCGCGGCCTTTGGTGGTTTCATGTGCGGTGGTGTCCTCGGTCTGCCATGTACGTTCCCATGCGCCAACTCCATGCGTCCTGCGGGACACCGCGTGACTAGCGACTAACGATATACACCAGCTCGCCGTATGCCCGTTGTCATGGGTATCGGCGCCCTGATCGGTGGTCTCCAGGGCACCCTCCACCTGTTCGGCGCCCGTATCGACAGCTTCAAGAAGGAGGACGACGAGTTTGCGCGCAAGGAGACGGTCCGGCGGACGACGCGGGTGCCCATCGAGCAGACGATTTCCGAGGTCGGCGAGGGACGAGGTGCGTTGGAACCCCACCTCCCCATCTCTATACTTGTTTCCCCTGCGGAGATGGAGTGTATGCTAACTAACGATGACTTCCCAGGCATCCGTGCCCCCGGCTACGAGGAGCGGAGGAGGGAGCTCATCAAGGAAAAGTACGGATTCGAGGTCAACCCGGTCAACGCCACCGTCGAGGGCAGCCAATAGAGTTGAAAAACGCCGCCAAGGGAGAGGGAAAGCTGTCCGATTTTTGTACCAGTCGGATGCGTGTACATACTACTATTACCACCGAGCCCTTCCCGGGGGAGAGGGAAGCGGAATGCCACCACTAGAGAAATGGAGTTTCTTTGTTTGAACCTCGGCCATCGCGCGTGATGATGGGTGGCTAGGGGTGTCGAACAGCCTGCGTAACACTGGTAGCCTGTGTGAACGGCGCATCTTCCATAGAGAAGGCTTTCAAGATACCGGATCGCCAATTGTTCCCATTGATATTGGCTGTTGGATTACCAGAAACGCCCGCTTACATTCTAATATACATCCCAGTCCTTGCTCCAGGCCTCTCAATAAATGACATCCTCTTGATGCGTCACCTACAGGGCCTTGACCGACTGAAAAAAGGGATTCGCCTGCAGCTTCGCGTCCGCGGCCACCAGCTCCTTGAGCTTCGCCACCTGCTCCTCCTTTGTCATGTCCCCGGCGCGGACCTGGTCCTTCCACTGCACGAGCAGCTGCTTGAGCATGGCGCTGCCCTCCTCGACGTCCGCCTTGCTGTAGCTCAGCGCCGCGTCCTCATGCTTGGTGGTAAAGTCCTCGAGCTCGTCGGCCTTGCGCTTGGCCATGCGCACCACCTTGTCCGGGAAGCGCACCAGCTCGGCGACGTGGATGCCGAAGCTCTGGTCGCAGATGCCCGGCTCGACCTTGTACAGCAGCGTCACCTCACGCTTGGCGTTGGCGCTGGCGTCGCTGCCGGTGCCACCGATGTGCGCCGTGACGTGCAGGTTGCGCACCTGGGGGTACTGGTCCGCCAGGGCGGTGAGCTCGTGGAAGTGCGTGGCGAACATGGCGAAGCAGCCAATTTCCTTAACAATGTGCTCCGAGATGGCCCACGCCAGGCCAAAGCCGTCATATGTCGATGTCCCGCGCCCCAGCTCGTCGATGATGATGAGCGACTCGGCCGTGGCGGATTTGAGAATGTTGGCCGTCTCCAGCATCTCAGCCATGAACGTCGACACGCCCTTGAGCTGAGAGTCGCTCGCGCCGACACGGGCGAGGATGGAGTCGAAGATGGTAAGCTCGGCTTCCTGACAAGGAACGAAGCAGCCAACCTGAGCCATGAGCGCAATCACGCCGGCCTGACGAATATACGTTGACTTGCCGCCCATGTTGGGGCCGGTGATGATGAGAAACGATGACTTGTCCCGCGTCAAGTCAACGTCGTTTGTAATGAACTGCACGTCGTCTTGCAGCTCCATGCACGGATGCCGGGCCCCGACAAGCTTGGTTTGGCCCTCACCACGAGGGTGAATCTTGGGCCGGACGTAGGCCTCCGGCGCGTGGACGGAGCAATGCGCCAACGAGACGATGACATCGAGGTGCGCCAGGACACCTGCTAGCCTTTCCAAGACGGGGCAGTAAGACGACGCAACTTGAACGACCTCGTTGACCAGGCTGCTCTGGGTGCGGTTGTAGTTTTGCGACAGCTGGTCGTACTCGCGGCGGTAACCTTGCATCTTCTTGGTCGTGAAGTAGACGCCATTCTTTTGCGTTGAGCATTCCTGGTACTTTGACTTATTCCTGATGCAACCGGCCTCCTGCCTCGTCAGTCGCATGCAGACGCCGTGGACCTTGTGGTTCGTCTCGAGGAAGATTTTCTTGTCTGCCTCCTGGCCCAGATCTCTTGCTGCCTCGTGGAACTCTTCCCTGATGTCCCGGTCAAGCTGGTCCAGCTTCCGGCGAATGATTCGCAGGCTCTGATCGTATTCAGACTTGATAATGTACTCGTGTCGGTCGAGGGCATCGAGGTCAACTGTCTGCTCGACCATGTCCTGCAGCTTGCCGAGGCTGTCGGAGAGGTCGCGTAGCTTCGATGTGTACGCCTCATCCAATGGATCACGGTATGCCTCGTCCATGACCCCCTCAAACGTGCCGATGAAGCCGGGCAAGCGGATGACCACTTGATAGGCTCGCACAACGTCTTCGAGATTCGCCTTGCCCCGCTGAAACCGCTTAGACAGACGGTAGAGGTCAGGGACGGACCGCAAGTGCTCCTCCTGCATGGTCTGGCGCAGCTCGGTGTCGCTGAAGAAGGCTTCGACCAGCTGTTGTCTCTTTTCTATCTCCTGCTTGCTCATGAGCGGCTGTTTGAGCCACTGGGCGAGCAATCGACTGCCAACAGGGGTCTTGCAGTGATTCAGCACGCCAAAGATGCTCATCGTCTTGGATCCGTCGCGCGGGCCGGGCATGAGATTGAGAGCCTTGAGTGCTGCCGCGTCGAGCTTCATGAACTGAGCCAGATCGTGCTGGTACAGCTGGTACTGGCCGAAGTTGGAGGGATCCTGCAAGACCCCCAAGTACTTGATGAGGGACGCGGCCGAGCCCATGGCCAGCTTCAGGTCTGTTTGCGGGAGAAGGGTTGCCGACTTTTCATCCTTGAGCAGCCGGGCAAGGTCTTGCTCAATGTCCCTGGTGCCAAAGTCTCCCGCGGGTCGCTCGGCAATCGCGACGCCACAGTTGTCGATGATCTGCCTCAGCTTAGCCAGTTCGGGGTCCTTGTCCTTTTCTCCTCTGTCGAGCTGGATGATGCACTCGCGAACGCCGAGTTGGATGAGGAGAGATTCGAAGTTGGAGTAGAGGTCGTTGTCGAGGAATTCGCTGACGCCGAGCTCTCGGACGCTGGCGTCGGCGAAACAGACACCGACATTGCGCGCCTCGGATGCTTTGGCGGAGATCTTGACGGCCATGATCATGGGAGCAGAATCAATCTGGCCGCCGAGGTCGTCCTCGACATCCTGCAGGTTTCCCGGGGATGCCTGCTTCACGCACTTCCAGTTCATGCGGCCGCTGGGGCTCTCCCAGATCTCGATGCGCTTGCCAAGCTTGAAGAGGGCCTCTCGCAAAAACTGTCGGAAGACGGTGATGGTCATTGTGACGGAGGGGAGACCGGTGTGGTCGTTGCGGCCGAGCTGTCGCACGACGGACGTCGTCTTGTAGACCTGTCCAACAGTCAGACTTGCAACTCCTTCCTTCAGGAGCTCAAGCAGCACGGGTAGCTTACGGTCTTCGCAATGAACATAGCATCCTGGCCGTGAGACGTGTACCAATCGCCTCGATCGAAGATGCGTATGGTGTCGTCGCCGACGGCGGGAAGGGACTTGAAGAAGCGGATGAAGCCGCCCTCGTCATCGAGCTTCGCCGGACGAACGTCAGCCATGTCAAACAATGGTGAGTGCGGTTCATGCATACCTTGAGCTCTGGTCGTGACGCCATGGTTGTGTCAAGTTTGATTGAGCGCTGTGCTGGCAATCAATCTCAAGGCGCTGCTGGCTGTTGCGCAACGTGCAGTGGCAACAGGAGGTGAAGCTGGGGAGACGCGCCTTGGCCCCCGCCACGCGTTTTTGGCTTGCCCGTCAATTAAAGTGGCGGCACGAGACTGCCGCGTTGCGTCTTCCAGGCTGGGACGTCCCACAGCACGTGCCGGGTGTGTGGCTCAGGCCCCTATCAGTGGCTGAACTCGGGAGGTGCAGCTGGAGGTGCACAGCGGCTTCATCCCCTGGAAGAGTCCCAAGTTCCATTGGTTGTTTCTCACGCAGCGCGCACTTTCCATGCCTGAGAGGACAATCCAAACCTCACCCCCAGCTCTCCCGCTCAACGGTCACATCGCGCAGCCGGGGCTCCATCGCCGCCGTGGAGAGGTCTGCCGCCACCTGAGTCTCCCATATCGCCTGTCAATCCCGTTCTGGTCGCCCGAAGCCATCGCGGTTAGCCTTCAAATAAGCACGCACGCAGGTTTCTCCTCGTCGAGGAAGCTGTCATAGCTCACCGGGATGTGTGAGAAGCAAGCCAGACCCCAAATCATGCAAGCAGAGCTGGTCTACTCGTGACAACGTACAGCATCGCAGCATCTGTCTCATCGCCCACTGGCCTGGAGATCTCCTTCGGGCCAATTGCGCCAGGGAAGTGTGTCAGAGAAACGACCCTGACGTACTGTTTCGCAGCAGCGTAATCACCAATAGTTCAGACCGATGCCCCCCGCCGTCCCGCCACAGGTTCCGTCCGGTACTTCGCATGGCCCTCCAGAGTTGCCGCTTTGCAACCGCGGGCCCCGTACGGCGCCGCAGTGGACGCTTCCAGGTCCCACAGCTGCACAACCGGCGACGGTGACCTTCAGCAAGGACCTTTTGACGGACGGCTGCAACAACCGAAGGCCGTTTTCGGCCGTATGAGCTGAGGCCGAGTGGATTGAAGGGCATGCAGGCAAGCTTGGACGCCGAGCCGTGCCCCGCGGGCCGTTGTAGACAGGGGGCCAACAGGCGAAGCAGCAATCAGACGTCACGGACGGAGCGTTTCGCCCAACATCCGGACCAATGCTTTCGCGGCAATAGGCATGCGTGAGATAATTCCCGAAACCTTGCTGGACCGTTGTGCACGTTCCAAATCAAGGGCATGATACCGCGCTGCCGTGTCAGTAGGTAGGAAAGTCGCCTGCTGGAATCGCTACACTGCTGGTTCTTTGGCCGACTTTGCTCGCGAGTCCAGGAACACAACCATTGCACTCTTCGGCTTTACAGCTCTTTCATGAGCGTGAAGAGGTGCACACGGGCGGAAGCGGTCGCGGGACGGCGGCAAACGCCCATGCATATGCTACGGAACCTTGTTTCATGCTTACTTTGACGTGGTAGTATATGCTTAAGCATGCACGAATCGGCTGCACCGCGACGATCCGCCCGAAGCGACCGCCGAAGCGAACCGTCGCACTGCCTTGGAAGACCTGACCTGCGCGATGGATCGGATAGAACGAAGCACTGCCTCGTCGTGGCACTCTTGCAATTGTTCGACATGAACCCTGAGAGACCATCCCGCGCCCATACTCATGATACGCTCCATGATCCAGAGAGCAGGCAACAACTGAAAAGACCGCTCTGCTGCATCCCGCTCGCATAGACGCCTGAACTGTACTTTGATTGCGCGAAAGAGGGCGTCGCGGCTTGGCTGCATGAGCCCATCGTGGGCCGGGCGACCATCAAGGTTGAAGCCCACATTCAGCGCATGGCCATCCGGGTTCTCCCACCACGATGCTGACCGTTCGCCAAGACCAACTCTACGCAGCGCCATCACCTCTGGGCCCAGTGTTTATACCGCGCGACATGGGGAGGGGTCGCCATGCCGCTTGAAAAATGTGCGAGGACGTCGTCCGGTCGGTGGCCACGGGTGAGGCTATAATAGAGTGTAGTGCCAGAGACGGGGTTGTGCCGTTCTACATATCATCAGCAACTCAGCCTCCGTCCGTTCGGTCACCGATTGTCTCTCTGTTGAACCTTTTCTTCTTCTCGAAGAAAAGAAGGTTGGTCGCAGAGCGACGGGCTAGCCGACGAACGCCGCAGAAGTCTGATTTAAGCTTATTTTAAACACGGCCGCTGCAACACGACGGCTATCACGGCACATTCTCCCGCCACACAAACGGTTTATTCACCCGGCAAACGCGGCACATTCCATTCTTTGGTGTCGTCGAGCACAAGAGCAATCATGCATGCCAAACTATACACAAGCCTCGCCCTGTGCGGTGTCGCTGCCGCCTCAGGAGGCGTCGTCCCCAGACAGACGGCGGCTCCGTCGACAACCGCGAGCAGCGCTCCCGAAGTCACAGCCATTTCCAGCTGCCACTTTCATGGATCACAAATGTGCGCGATGCCTGTAGTGCAGTTGTAATTGGAAACTGACTTGCGACGGCAGGTTCTGTATGGCCGGGACGACAGAGTTCCAGGTCAAGACAACGCCCACGCAGACGACCGACATTCCCGCTCAATTTACAGGCTGCCACCACCATGGCGCTGAAATGTGAGATATTTCTAGCCCCTACTCGATAGAGGTTCTTATATGGCAGACTGACTGAGGATTGACTCAGGTATTGTATTGGTCCAAACGGCGACGATGTCGAGGTCGACCCTCAGACGGATGAAGGCACGGAAGGCGGCGACCACGACCACGACCACGATAGCGGGAGCGGGAGTGGAAGTGGTTCATCAGGAAACAAGCACTGTCACTTCCACGCCGGCGTCGAGTAAGCGCTCCTTCCATGTCGTGCAGCGATTTTCATGATCCGTGACGGGGAACACCCCTGGTAACCGCGAGACACAATCGCGAACCAAAGGCTGATGACATGCTTGACAGGCACTGCGTTGGCGACGGCGAAAGCGAGAGCGGCGGCCAGGCTCAATGCGACAAGGTGACGCGAGACTACAACGTGCCGCTTCGAGTCGGTCTCCTCTTTGCGATCCTTGCTACGAGCGCCCTCGGTATGTCCGACCCCACTGACGCTCAGCAGCCGATGTTGCCATCATACTTACACGTCGCGTCGCAGGTGTCTTTGGGCCGATCCTCCTTACCAGGCTGCTCCCCAACAAGCTCAACGTTGCCTTCACGGTCTTGAAGCAGTTTGGCACCGGCATCATCATCTCCACAGCCTTTGTCCATGTAAGACACCGCGACGACTTGCCCTTCAATCTCAAGCCATGTTAGCTCTGCGGTGTGCTGACCTCTACAGCTCTACACCCATGCGTCGCTCATGTTCGGCAACAAGTGCATTGGCGACTTGGGATATGAGGCCGTTACGTCTGCTATCGTCATGGCGGGCATCTTTCTCTCCTTCATCGTCGAATTCATCGGCCACCGCGTCGTGCTCGCCAAGACGCGCCGTGCCGCCTCGCTCTCCTTTGAGGATCGCGCGCGCGCCGTGCTGTCAAGCGAGGTCGTCTCCATCCTCGTCATGGAGGCCGGCATCCTGTTCCACTCTCTGCGTAAGCACCCTAGCTGCGTGCCTTTCCATGAGCTGCTTGTGTGCTGACTTGCACCGTCTAGTCATTGGCCTCACTCTGGTTGTTGCGGGCGATTCCTTCTTTCTCACCCTTTTCGTGGTCATCCTCTTCCACCAAGTGTTTGAGGGTCTCGCCCTTGGCTCGCGTATTGCCACGATCGGCACCGCGGCCGACTCCCAACTCACCCACGGGCACGGTGTCTTTAACAATGGGTCCGCGGCCCAGGACACCGACAAGTCGGCCAACTCCCCCACGGCGGAGACGATGCGGATCCCATCGTCTTCCGAAGGCGCCACGGCTCACGCGGGCCTCTCCATGAAGAAGAAGCTCGGCCTCGCCTCTCTCTTTGCCTTCATCACTCCGATCGGCATGGCCATTGGCATCGGCGTCCTGCACAAGTTCAACGGCAAAGACCGCTCCACCCTCCTTGCTATCGGCACCCTTGACGCACTCTCCGCCGGCATCCTCGTCTGGGTCGGCCTCGTCGAGATGTGGGCCGCCGACTGGATGACGGGCGCCCACGGCAAGAGGCCGGAGCTCGCCGACGCGAACCTCTTGACGGTCGGCCTCGCGGGCTTTGCCCTCGTCGCCGGCATGGCGCTGATGAGTCTACTCGGGAAGTGGGCATAGAGCGGCCCACGGGAGGCTGGAATCATGAGTTGTTGTTGACCGTGACAGTTGATACCCACTTTAGCAATGGTGATGGAACAGGCGGACGGGACAGGCAGGACCTTCTGGCCATGTGCGATGGCCACGCGGGCTGGATAGAACACGTTCATTGCTCTGGACAGCATCAGCAGTATTTAGCAGGCACGATTCATATACGTCAGATGTAGCTGTATAGAAACAAGGGATTCGGACCAAGATGGCCTTGCAGCTGCGCCTCACTGCTCTGCCCTCGCGTTCAGTGAGGGAAAGGATGGACTTTCCTTTGGTTCACTTCGTCGCTGGCTCTCATTTTGCGGATTGCCCGCAGCTGCACGCTTTGGGGACCGGCTATGCCAGTGAGCAGGAAGGTTGGGATCGGCCTGACTTGCAAGAACGTGGCCCGTCCTGCATCGCCGTGGTGAGCTCTTGCAACCAGAGGGGGTGCAATTCGCTTAGCTGACGTGTCGTGCGATCTTCCCGGCAGCATCTCTCAGTGTGTAGGTGTTCCAGCCTGCTACTTGTACTCGGTGTGAAGGGCTCGGCAGGCAGGAGCAAGCTCTGGCTGTTCACCATCAACAAGCAAGAACGGCACTCGCGCTGCACCGCGCAACCAAATAAAAGCCTCCGCGCTGTCTTCCTGATCTCTCCCATTTCATCTCTCTCTCAACACGCATCCATCCAGCTTCATCGTTACGCCAACTGCATTTCGTTACCCAACCGCTGCTTCAAGCATTTTTCCCATTCTGCCAGAGCTCGCCCAACTCGCTGCAATCCATCTCTACATCCTGCACTGCCGCCCGCCTCGTTTCTCTGTTGAACACATTCGGCTGCCCGCTCACTGCCGCCCCTGCATCTTGGGACACCGCCGCAATGGTCCGTCTCAGCTCGGAGTCTCTCGCTACCCTGCTGCTCGGCACTCGGCTGGCCCGAGGTGAGAACCGCAGTGGAGGCAAGTCGGCCACAAAGTACATTGTCATGACCAAAGAGGTGTGTCTGGCTCTTCATTACGTGGCACAATCTCTGACAAGAGCACCAGGGCGTCAACCCGGAGACTGTGACCGAGACGATTGCACGTCATGCCGACCTCCTCCCCCTAGGAGTTCCGGGGAAATACGAGCCCATCGACTGCGGCGACATTTTCAGGGGCCTCGTGGTGAAGTCGCCCATCACTGCACAAGAGATCAAAGCCATCGATGGTGTGGTCCATGCTTGGCCAGCCCAGCCCCTCTACCGGGATACCGCATCCTGCTGCACCTCCGGAGACGCCGCATGCAACTGTTACTCCGAAAGGCGTGAAAAGAAACCGACTCACGATTTGACCGGCGTCACAAAGATACACAAAGACTCCAACTACGGCCTAGGGACCAAGATTGCCATCATTGACAGCGGTATCGACTACACCAGGTTGGACCTCGGTGGGTGTTTCGGCCCGCAGTGCAAGGTCGTCGGCGGACGTGATCTCGTTGGACAATCGTGGGACCCAGAGAACGAGCATGAGAAGCCGAGAGTCCCCGGTGCCGATCCTTTGTCCTTCTTCAGTCTCGGAACCCAGGCTGCGAGCATCGCCGCTGGCCGACACATCTGGATGCATGATCTAGGTGTCGCGCCTTCTGCGGATCTCCTGGCATACAAAGTATTCGCGGAAAACGGGACCACCACTTCTGAGGAAGTAGTCATTCAAGCTTTTTGTGATGCCTACAGGGACGGTGCCAGCGTCATTCTGAGTCCAAACATCGCTTCGACCTCGAAGCTCGAGCCGCCACACCTTGGAGAATCCGCATGGGGAACAGTGGCAAACCTTCTCACTTACAACGGGGTAGCTGTGGTCCTCGGTGCAGGGGACAAGGGCACAAAATCTTTCTTCGCCAACTCTCGCTCCGGAGCCGAAGGCTTTGGCATCTTGTCCGTGGCAGCCATCAACATGACGTGGAACGATGATAAGCTAAAGCCACGCCCAGCCGCCTTCACATCATGGGGCTCCATGAAGGATCTGCTCCTGAAACCAGACATCGGCGCGCCAGGGGTTGACATCGGGATTGAGCAGTATGACCGAGGCTTCAGCCTTCCCAGCGGCACTGCAATGGCCGCACCATACGTTGCAGGCATCGCTGCTCTCTACCATAGCCAACTTGGCGGACAACATTTGGCTCCATCCAGCTGGGCAACGGACTTCGCAGCAAGAGTCATTTCAGGCGGCCAGAACGTTCATTGGGGGCCCGACGACGCCCTCGCGCCCCCATTCCTCGTGGGAAACGGCCTGGTAGACGCGCACAAAGTGTTGACTTCCAAAACGCTATTGAAGTTTGAGCCCTTCGCCTTGCTCGACGAGGAGCACTTCCAACCAAACTGGACATTCACCATCATCAACCAAAGCGCCAAAAAAGTCAAATATAAGTTCTCTCACCAGGCTCATGCAGCAGTTGAACTTCACGCTCTCGAGTCAGGAGAACCTCGCTCGGTTGAGGTCCCGCTGAATGTCCATCTCCCTCAGTCGCAGCGTATTGAGGGGGGGGGAAACGCCCAGTTCACGTAAGTTTCCGTTGCCTTGGAGCTGTTAGGTGATCGTTGGTTGCAAGCAGCGATTCATCATTTTCACACATTAATGCTAATCCGGGTGCAGGATTACGTTCGAGCCCCCTAAGCACGACCATGGCAAGTTCCTGTATGGCGGCAAGATCTGGATTAAAGGAGACGAGGCAGGCGAGCTTTGCATTCCCTACGGCGGTGTGTCTCACTGAGACGAAAAAGAAGCCTGCTGTGCATCCTAAGACAAGAAATACACAAACATCGTTATAAATTGGCAACGCTTGATTGTGGCTCGAGTGCATCCCTTGATATCCAGATTTGCATCCAAGTAGAGGCCCCGTGGGAGACAAACCACTTACTGTACACGCACTGCTCAGTTCGCCGGTGGCACCAGAGGCACGAAAAGACGATCAACAGGCCAGATCTTTGAGAGAAGTAGGCTACACTAAATTGCGGCTTTCGGCCTGAAAGAGTGTTTCTCGATTGCAAGGACGTATGTATAACGGGCGGCAATGACCCTTGATGCACAGTAGTCAAGGGCTGCTTGTGAAGTGAGCCGATATAGCCAGCGGCATTTCAAGGGCATGCCGCAGAGCCTTGTCGCCTGCTCACGCGCAATGACGCGACGTTCACGAGCAGTGACCCCTTCTGCCCTCAACGAGTTGAGCAGGACACCAATGCGAACGCGTGTCCAACTGCATACCTATTGGTGCGGCCCTTCGTCCTGGCTCATTACTTGGCCTCCGAAGCGTACAAGGGGGTGCTCCGGACATGTGCTGAGCTGCCGCCAACATCTTGTTGCAATGCGTCCAGGTCCGTGTCGGAGCCTTTGGAGATGTGCAACGCCGCGCTGCAGCATTCTGGGCGGCAATCAAGCACGGGTACCATGCTGGATGCTTGCAACAGACAGGCGGACTATCGTTCCTGAACAGAACAGTACTGTACTGTACTGGGGAATTGTACAGGAGGATGAAGCCGTACAAGAGATGTGGCTTGCATCATGGGGAACAGCAGCGTTGACCATCCGACGCCTTGCAGGCAGACGCGATGGATGTAAGCAAAGCATCCTGCAGTCACTCTCAGGGGCCTGGGGCAAAGGTGGGTACGTCGGTTGGTTGACCCTCGCGATGCGAGGTACGGATAGCCCGACCTGGAACTTCAACTGACGGTTGGTGGAGCGAGGCCGCTGGCAACCGACTACGCGGCCAGGTGAGTTGGCTTACAAGAGACCCCGCCAACAGGTAAACTGGAGTGCAGTACTTGCAGTAGCCCAGCGTGTAAACGGTAACTGTCCGTTGGTGGAGGACTTTGGCAACCAACCATGCCGGCAAGGGCGGATACGAAGCCACTGGGTTGGCTCCGAAGGCCCTTCCCAACAGCTACAGAGCAGTAGCCTAAGCCTAAGCTGAGAGTAGAAATTGTTGGTGGAGGCCTTCTGGCGCGCAACAACCAACGAAGCGGACAAGGAAGTTGACCTTCCAACGGACTCCCCACGCCAATGCTTGTGGCATTTGTTGGCCGTGCACTCGGTACCTGAGAGGCTGAGAGCGCGGCAGCTAAGCTTAATGACGCCACATACGTACTGGCACAAGGGGGAAAAAAAACTGGGTGCAGCAATTGGGCTTTTGGACGGCTGAGCTTCCGGAGCTGCGGAGTTTGCTGCGCGGGAGCGAGCTTCATTCCACCAACATGAAAGCCAACGCAGCAAGGCGGCATTAGTCTCGGCATTCTCCGGTCGTCTTGCGCGTTTTACTGCAGGACGATGTAAGCCTTGTTGCGGCGACCAGGTGCCATGGAGCATGGCAGCGAGAGAAAGAGACTCCAATAGAGGAAGAGATGTCAGATGCCGATGCCAAGATTTATATACTAGCAGAGCCGTCTTGGCCAGGCACGGCTGCCCAGCACGGAGGTCTTGGCGATCGCAATCACCTGTGCATACGAGCCACGGAGCCCAGATAAAGTCGCCGGGGTAAGCGGGCTGGGCCTGTTTTTTTTTTCCCTCACTAGCGAGGTTGGCGCTGCCTCTGATGAGTGTTCGGCGCAACAGAAGCAACATAAGCAACGGGAACCCATGTGCCCTCGTTCGACCTCGACCATGGACCATGCCTAACAGAGTCCAGACGAGCTTGTCCCGCCGCCTGGGCAAGCCTGGTTGTCCACCAACTGGGTGCACGGGCTAGCCGCGATCCCGTGCATGCATGCATCGGGGGAAGACAGAGAGAGAGGAGAGAGAGAGGAAGACTCGTCGCGGTCAATGGCCTGTGCGGCTCGCGTTAGTAGAGCATGGACCGGTAGGGGAGAGAGCCCGATGTCAATAGCAGTCATAAGTCCGGGGATGCCCTCTCGAGGAAGCGGATCGTCACATCGTTCTTTTTTGGTCCATTGCATGTGCCCGAGGCGCGCGCGGCTGGATCGTCCCCCACGTTGTGCCAATTGAGGGAGTGCTGTGTTACTACAATCCTTGCCCCAGGATTTTCGCGCGCGTCAAAAGCTGCAAGGCTGCTGCTGCTGTGCGCCCGAGATCAAATCCGCGTCTCGCCATGATTGCCGGCGTGTTACTTTCCGCTTTCGTCCTCGGGGGCCTGGGCGGCACCGCGGCCGCGCAGGACAACTTTGAGCCTGCCGACTTTAATGTCACGAGCGAGCTCTTGACCCTGGGGGTCGACGTCAATGCGCTCCCTGATCTCTCGGGGCTGGCTGAGCGTGATGACGCCGCGCCTTGCGCCGCAGCTGTGAGTTTGTTCCGTCTCCTGTCGCTGCTTGGCCCCTTTCAATTCTCTTCAACGGTCACTTGTGTGAGGGAACCGAGCCGAGAATTGCAAACATGGACATTACATGCTAGTGTGGTATCAATTGCTCAGTGAATGGCTCACTGACTCCCCTTGCAGTGCAAGTCGCTCTCCGACCTCTACGGCAGCAGCGTCTTCGCCCAAAACACAACCGTATACAGTGACTTCACGGGCGCGTACTGGTCGTCGATCCAGTCGGCGCTCCACCCTCTCTGCATCTTCAAGCCGTCCAAGGCCGCGGACATTTCCGTGCTCGTGCTGCTCGCCCGCCTGACGCAGTGCCCATTTGCGTTCAAGAGCGGCGGCCACGCTGCCTTTGCCGGCGCGTCCAGCATCGAGGGCGGCATCACCGTGTCCCTTGAGAACTTCAAGGACGTTACTGTGTCGCGGGACAAGAAGACGGTCAAGATCCAGCCTGGCAACAGCTGGGTCGACGTCTACAAGGTGTTGGACCCGCAGGACATTACTGTTACTGGTGGCCGCGTCGCACGCGTGGGCACTGGTGGCTTGACGCTGGGAGGTAAGTGGAAGGCCTTTTCCAGTTGTTCATGGCACATCATGGGGTTGCCAAGGGAGTCTCTTGGGCTAACATGGCGTGTACAGGTGGTATTTCCTACTTCTCAAACATCTACGGCTGGGCTTGCGACAATGTTCTTTCGTACGAGGTGTGTATTTGAGCCCCTTTGCTGCTCAGTCTCGACTCGATAGAGGCGGAATGGGCTGCTCTGAGCTTTGTTCAATCGGCTGAAACTATTTCCAGGTCGTCACTGCGTCGGGACGCATTGTCCACGCGACGCCTACCGCGTTCCCTAAGCTTTACTGGGCGCTCAGGGGCGGCGGCAACAACTTTGGCATCGTGACTTCGTTTACGTTTGAGGCGATTCCCCTACCCAAGGGACAGATGTGGGGTGGCACCAGGACATACCTCGAGTCCAACTTCAAGGGCGTTGTGGACGCCTTTGCCGGCGTGGTCTCCAACTCGCCGTCGGACCCCAACGCCGGCCTCTGGGTCGCGTGGATCCTCAAGTACGGCCTGAAGATGGCCGCGACGGAGCTGTGGTACGCGAAGCCCGACGGCGCCAACGCCACCATCTTCAACGACTTCAAGGCCATGACGCCCATTGCCGACAGCACGCAGAACCGCAACGTCAGCGAGTACTCGGAGGCGCAGCAGAAGACGAACCCGTACGGCCTGCGCGAGGTCTACTGGGACATAACGGTCAAGGCGGACGCGCGCATCGCGCACATCGCCCGCGACATCTACTACGAGGAGCGGCCCGCGATCGCTACCCTCGAGGGCGCCAGCCCCGTGCTCGTCTTCCAGGGCATCACCGAGGGCCAGATGAAGCACATGAGCAAGAACGGCGGCAACGCCGTGGGGCTCGACTACCAGAACGGCCCGCTGTACCTCATCCAGATTGCCTGCTGGTGGAACAAGGAGGCCGACGACAATGCCATCTACGCCTTCACCCGCAAGGTCATGGACCGCATCACGGCCGAGGCGACGGCGCTGGGCGTCCAGAACGACTACATCTACATGAACTACGGGAGCAAGTTCCAGAACGTCATTGCTGGCTACGGCGCGGACAATGTCAACAAGCTCCGCGACATTGCCAAGCAGTACGACCCCAAGGCCGTTTTCCAGACCCTGCAGCCCGGTCACTTTAAGCTTGACCGCGCTCCCGTCCCGAGCTAAATTCATTCCTTGGTTCCGCCGGGCTGAAATGCTCGGTAGCAGCTGTGTGTCCGGCCAAGGCTATGTTTGATGTCCTGAGACGACACCCAGGCCAAAGGGGGCATCGGCCTTTATCTCGACTGGTAGCAGTTGCGCGAGCCTTCAGAGGGGAGGCCCATTTCTCAAAGATTTAGATATTGCCTGTACAAAAATGGCCTTGTCGCTACAATTTTAGAAACCACTGGAATACATTTAAGAAGGGAAGCTGGTTTAGCCAACGGCTCGAAAAGACCGAGCAGTGAGATGTTGACTTGTCAGGTGGCAGATCGCCTGCCAGTCCAAAGGCGCAGCCATCGCACTGCCAGAGACTGCTGTTTCGTCTCGCCGTTCATTTTGGTGTCGCGCAACTTATGTTCAACGGAAGCGCCTGATTTGCCTCCATTTGAATCTAGTGTGGCTGTCTCACATCGGGCATGATCGCTGGGCTGATTGCCTATTCCAGGGCGCCGGTGCTGCCACACCGAGATGCTGGAGCGCTGCATCTCACCAATTCGATAACTTATACATTTCGTGGCGGACTTGGGATGACGTGGTGTGCCAAGGCTCACATCTTGATCGAGGAGCCATCAAGCGACGCTGGACTTTTGACGGCGCGGGCGCGTGAAGCACCGTGACCTCGAGGCGTGTGAGTTGATTTGAGTATAGACAACACCTCGCGGCCGCCCATTTCTCCTCATCTTGAGACGAATTTCGAGTCCATATTCACCCAACATGGAGGTCATCGCGGCGGTGGGTTCGTGGGCGCTTGCCTCTACCTGCAACACGGTCCCCGCTACGAGTTGGCTGAGCGCGCTCTGTCCACAACAGTACCGCCATGACATTTCCCTGCTCAACGCACGACTCTCCGCGGGAGCAAAGATCCATCTACCTGGAGCAGAGGGATTCGCCAGGGCAACATGGCGATGGTCGGCAGGATACGCTCCCGAAGCAAATATTGTGGTTGTCCCCAGCACAGGCGACGATGTTGCCGAGACGGTGGGTTTGTTCCACATCACCACATGTTCTGTCGGCGCCATGTAATGCTCACGGAGCACGGGGCAGGTCAAATACGCCAACGAGAAGCATGTGCCTTTCCTTGCCATCAGCGGCAATCACGGCACGATCACTTCAATGGCAAAGATGCGTGGCGGCATCGAGATTTGGCTCGAGCAGCTGAACAGCGTCGACATTGCGCCCGATGGAAAGACTGCCCGCTTCGGCGGGGGCATTCTGAACAAGGAAGCCAAGGAAGCTCTTTGGGCCGCAGGCAAGCAGGCAGGTGAGTCTTTCTCAAGCACTTGAGTTGTACATCCAGGTCATCAGTGGGCTAAGCATGGAGAAGTGACTGGGAGCTGCGAGTGCGTGAGCCTGCTCGGACCGGGCCTCGGCGGCGGCCACGGGTTCCTGCAAGGGCGCTACGGCCTCGTGTCGGATCAGTTCGTGTCCATGGACGTTGTGCTCGCGGACGGGTCGCTGCGCACCATCGACGCGGGCTCGGATCTGTGGTGGGCCATGCAGGGCGCCGGGCACAACTTTGGCATCGTCACGTCGGTCACATCCAAGATCTATGACATTGAGCATCGCGACTGGGCTGCTACTAGCTTCATTTTTGATGGCAGCAAAGTTGAACAGCTTTACGACGCGATCAACGAGCACCTCCTCAAGAATGGCACCCGGCCCGTCGACGTCCTGGACTTCTCGGTCTTTATCAACAATCCGGAAGTCGATCCTGACAAGGTCCGTACATATGGTGTCTGTGTCGTGAGAATGTGCCGTGCTAATAAGAGCCAGCCGATGGTACTGTTCTTCGTCATGCAAGAGGGTGCGTCCGAGGTAGACCCCTCGTACACTGCGCCGTTCACTGCCTTGAAGCCCCTCATATCAGGCACGAATCAAGGGACCTACCTGGATATACCCTCATGGATCGGCATATCCACGGATGGCCCGACATGCCAGAAAACCGAGCAGGTCAAGATGCACTTCCCGCTCGACCTCCAAGTCTACAGCCCAGCGGGTCAACGTCAGGTATACGATCTCTTCGCCTCCGCGACTCGCAAGACGCCCGCTCTCAACGCCTCCAGTCTCCTTTTCGAGGGCTACTCCGTGCAAGGCGTGAGAGCAGTCAGCAGCGAATCGACGGCGTACCCGTTCAGGGCAAACAACTTGATCGTCTCGCCCGAGATAAAGTACGCCCCAGCCGGGCCGGAGATGGACAGGGAGGCTATCCAGCTGGGCACCCGCCTTCGGGAAATACTGCATCAGGCGAGCGGGCGGAAGGAGATGGACACGTACGTCAACTACGCGGCGGGCGTGGAGACGGTGCAGCAGATGTACGGGCATGAGCCTTGGCGTCTGAAGAAGCTGCGGGATCTCAAGAGAAAGTATGATCCGCATGGCCGATTCAACTTTTACGCGCCAATTGTTGCGTAAAGGCTTGATTTGTGCATAGCCGCTGAGGTATATTGCTCACCAAGCCGACATGGAGCATTGACGAGCTCAGGTCCTCTTAAGAAACGATATATACAATAAATCCGTGTTATTGGCATGAAAGCGACATTGCAGTGTATAAAGGTCTAAAGAGCAGAGTGCCAACGAAGCCATGAAACTAGTGACGGCACACCAAGCCTTTGACTGCATGCGTGTACCAGGCTCTCAACAGCTACAGCCACACCAGTGGCAGTTCCCCTTTCCGCAACTTTGACGGTCGTTGCAGTCGCCGTCCTTCTTGCACGAGATCCAGCTCCCAAACCCGTTGTTCGCCGCCGTCCAGCACCACTTGCCAGCGGCGTCGCAGCGTTTCCAGCAGTGGCGGCGATGGCAGCCAAAGTGCTGGTCGCCGGTGTAGCACCTGCGCTTGTGGAGGCGGCTCGCGGATACGGCCAGCGGGTGCTCTGCACAGGCGCGGATCACGTTCGCGTCGATGCCATCGGGGATTGTGGCCTTGTCGACTTTCATCACGCCCAGCGCGCCGCATGTGTTGGCGGTGCCGGTGTCGTTGACGGTGGAGGAGGAGGCGGTGCTCATTAACCCGAGCGCAGTGACGAGCAGGGCGTGATTGGTCTTCATACTAACGATAGAGGGGAACAGGTCTGAGAGAGGATCACGGAGCTGATTTTGCTGTGATAATGGAGATCTACAGGACTGATGAAGACTGCAAAATTCTGGGAGGAAGCAAGGCGTGTCCTCTTTTTTAAGTATCAGGCTGTTGGATGCTCATTTGGCCTCTTATCAGCGACATCAACAATGGGAGCAAGGCCGAAACAAGGCCTTCAATGTTCAGCGTCAGTGAGGGTCCCGTGGCATGTACGCCTTATTGCGCTATCATAGCATGAAGTCTCGCGTCGTAGGCGTTGTGGTCCTCGGGCCACTACATTAAAGCCTCTGGTAAATACCAGAGGGCCCGATATTCAGCGATGTTGCATCGTGTAAGGGCAACAGCGACGAAACGAATGCATCGTCCTATCCCGAAGAAGTACCCGAGTAGTATGCATACCATCCTCTTAGGATACTACCGTCACCCTCACTGCGTGCTAGTGCACTGTCGGCTTATCGGAATTCCTGTTCGCCGCCTTTGGCGTCTGGGATTGGGGCCATCCTGGTGGCGTGAGGGAAAGGCACATTATGAGAAGCGCGTTCTACAATATTCAGCAATGGACGGCGACAGACGACGAGTCTTAATCAATGGCATATGAAGAGCAGTCTTACTCCCTGGCAACCTCAGTAGTCCTCTCCTGGTTCCTCACTCGTGGCATTAGACGTCCAGGTTGGACAGCCACATTACACCGGGGCCGATGAGAAGCAGCTCGGGCTGGACGGGAGCCGCAACGCGGCAGTTGGCGCATGCCGAGGTCACGCGACAAGCTACTCTCAGTGCGCAATGGCCGCCTCCTCCAGTCCGTACAGCGTCGAGCAATGCTTTATTGCCGTCAATGTGCATACGATCTTCGGCCATCTGTCGACTCAGATGTGGCTGGCAAGAGCGGCGCGGCAACGAATGGCACGCTGTCTGCGGAGTCTCGCAGGTTCAAGAGCTCGTGCCTCTCGATGATTTGGCTTTGCGTATTGGTGGCGGTGAGTGGCTGCATCGACTAGGCGGCGCCGGGACTTTTTGAGGCATCTATTCACGGGCATGAGCCTTGGGCGTCTGAAGAAGTTGCGGGATCTGAAGAAGAAGTATGATCCGCGTGGTCGATTTAACTTTTACGCACCAATCTCCACCACGTAGAGGTTGATCGCGCTAGAGCACGGTCTATATCGACCGAGGTATATACATGCCTGTGTGGTGGCATGGGGAGAGCCAAGAGTTGAATATTGCAAACTTCAGTGCCTGCTGTGCGCGGGCTTGGATGCGATTTGCCTTGAGGAACGAAGTTCCGAAAGGATTTTTATGGGCCGCTTTTTCACTCCTCAGGGTCGGCCAGATTTGAGAAGTTTAAACCGGCCTTCTGATTCGCTAGTTCAGTCGCTAAGTATTCCTGATTGTTGCTGCCGTGCTCTGGAGTCAGTGCATATGCCTCAAAGCTGGCTGGCCGAGGCCGGAGCCACTGCCGGTATCTCTAAGCTGGCTGTCGAAGCCGGAGCCACTGCCGGTATCTCAAAGCTGGCTCTCGAGGTCGGAGCCGATGTATTTCTTAAGGTGCAGAGTCAAGACCACCGCGGACTTCGTTCCTCAAGGCTTGGTGTGCAAGGCAGAACTGCCTTGCATTCCCCTGTATTGGGTGAAATCAAGCCAGAGAGTTCGAATCCAGCATTGAAGTTGCTACTTAAAAGGAGTCTCCCCTATTCGACGCCATGCTGTTACGGCGCGAGGAAAACCTTGCCAGCCAAATTAGATCAATTGATGAGAAGCGGCATTGAGCGTCAACGGCAAACGGCCACCTGCCGAGATGGTCTTAATACCAAGGTTTCGCAGTCTCGTAGAATGGAAACGCATACGGAAAACAGTATCGTTGACGTCTTGTAAGCACCATGCGCGCTCTCTCAAAAGCATGACGTGAAACCTGTGTGCTGGGAGCAGGGTAACGGGGCGTGTCAAAGTCTATGAAGCACCAGACGTAGCCAACTGCCCGGGGCGCTACCTTGTTGAAAGTCTCGACTGCGAAAGCCTTTCCTCACAGGAGGAGGGAGGGCCGGTTTTCCCAGAACATGTAGCGAACATTCATTGAAGGCCGTCTACACGTGCGCCGCGCAGACTTGCAAAGCGACTGTGCGCGGCCTACAATCAGCCAACTAACAGCCACACCTACACGATGCACAAGTGCCCGCTGCGCAGGCCTCCTCTCCGCGGCACTCATCGTCACTCTTGCAACTGATCCAGGCTCCCACGCCCCTATTGCGGGCAGTCCAGCACCACTCGCCGCCTTCTCCACAGCGCCTGTAGCAGTAGCCGTGAGAGCAGCCGCCTTTTTGGCCGCGCCAGCACCTGCGTTTCTGGATGGGGCTGGAAGACAGAGCCAGTGGGTGCTCTGCGCAGGCGCGGATCGCGCCGGGGTCGACGCCCTCGGGGAGTGTGGCCATGTCGAGCTTCATGACGCCTAAGGCACCGCACAGCTCGGTGGCGTTGCTGATGGGCGAGGATGAGGTAGTGCCTAATTGGAGCGCCGAGACGAGCAGGGCGAGAATGGTCTTCATGTCGACGATGATTCAAGATGGAGCCAAGAAGTGAACTGCAGAGCTGACTTGCAATGGACGATGGTTGATATTCAGGCGATGAGTGAATGTGTGCAAAGTCCTCGACACGAAGCCTGTCGTGTCGCATTTTATACCTGTCGAGCTTCATGATACCTTCGTCGGAGGGAGATAACCGGAGGGGCCATGGGCAACTCAACAGCAACGATCGTTGCGGCGTGAACATAGATTTGGGGGTCTCGGCGCGCCAGCGTGAAGGCCCCGTGATTCACCTGGATGCGTTTCTACGCTGTCATCAGTGTCATTAAGCGTTCGCGTCGCAGGTCTTGTGGTCTATGGGCCAGCTCGTCAAGGGCTCTCTGACGGCGGCGTGCAAGAAGGTCTCATCACTATATCGCTGTTGGCACATCCTGTACTACCGATATATCGAATCTTAAGTCTTTACCCCCGGGCGATAGGGACGCGAATTATAGAGACATTCCGCCATCCCGGCGTACTCTATGTTGTAGGCAACGTTGAGGTTTTGGTACACCGTTTAGAGCAGCTGCTGAGGAGTTGTCATCTCAGGGTACCGTCGGTGCTCTCACTTGCACCTCACTAGATACCTAGTAGAGGTGGCATTTCGCGACGGTTTGTGCGGTTCAGCTACTTTGCACATCGGGGACCGGTGAGATGCATTACCAGGTTTCACGAAGTCATGACGTTTCTCATGGCGCGCACACGACTGTGTGTGCCATCTACGTACGTATCGACTCAATCGTGGTCGGGCGTCGCCGCAACGAATGGCAATGCGACCTGTGGAGCTCGGCGGACTCAAGAGCGCGTGTCTCTTGATGATTTGGCTTCGCGAATAGGCGGCCAAGCGCGCGTGGCTGGCGAGTGGCGGCATTGAGTTGAGGAGGCCGGCGCCGCGCTTTTAATTGATCTATTTGCGGGCATGAGAGGGCACGACTCGGTGCAACCGCGACGCCAGCATGGAGTCGACTTGTCGAGGCGTTGTCACTACCTGCTGTTATGCAGAGGAGGAGAGAATGCAAGGGATGGAGGAGATCGCGATCGATGAGGGAGGGGAGTGGGTTTGCCGCGCATCCACGTGTTTTACCCACGCGGTGTGCCAGGGTGCTTTCAACCGCGGGGCGGTCATGGATGCGAGGAGGCAGGCACCTCGATGGTTCCTCTGCCGGGGGTTACGCATCGAGCGCTGACGCCCGTTGCCAGTTAACAAGGCGCAGCCGGCGACGGTGCAGGGGTAGGAAAAGGCGCCGTCGTTTTGCCATCTGTGCCTCTTCTCCACGGTTCGGGTTTGGGAGGTGAACGAGAACCGTGGAATTGGGAGCGATGGTTTCCACATCCGTGGGCCCCGGCTCGAGAGGAGGGAAAAAAAAAAAAGCCACAGCAATGGCGTTGCATCGGGGAGCTCTGGCGAGATCGTTTTTGTTGGTCGGGAGGCGGCGGCGGCGGGGAGGCAGTGGGAGCTTGAATCAGGAGCTTGGGCGCCTTTGCCCGACTGATTGCCTGACGAGCATCGTGCTTGCGTGCATAGTCGTGGCCGTGGTCGTGGGCTCGTGGTGCGTTGTACCCGCTCGGTGCTCCGAGGCTCCATAATTTTGACCGTCGTGTCGTCTGCAGATGCAGATGCAATTGCAAGCGATGCCGCGCGCCATGCATGATGATCGGTTTGCGCCGTCGTGGCGGCGGCGGCGGCGGCGGCCAACACACGACGATGGACAGCGACGGAAGGATGGATGGATGGATGGATGGATGGGAAGGACGGATGGTGCTCGCGCGCCTTCCTCGGCCACCCGCCTGCCACCCCCTGCGTCGAGCATCCGGGCGGCCCGCCCCCAATGGAACTGGCCGCTGTGTACCAGTCCGTTGCAGTGCCCAGTGGAGGCGGCAGCGGCAGCAGCTCCAGCACCAGCAGCGCCAGCGCCAGCGCGCCTCCACGCATCCACAACACGAGCACGGCGCTTCGTATTCTTTTTTTATTTTGCTCACTCGTATGTACGGAGCGCGTCTGGTCCTGCGAATGGCGATGGCCTCTCAATTGGCGTCTCGACGGCCGACGGGTGACGCACGCGCGGGCTGCAGATCCGGCGCGGCCGCGCGCACGGCAGTTGGAGTCTATTCTGCCCGTCCTGTCTGTCTGTCTTGTCCGTCCCATATGCAAAAGTGAGCAGGTCCCGTGCTCGTATCCGGCACGCACGCACGCACAGTGACAATGAAGTGACAGGTCCAACGGCCCGGTGTTCCCCCCTGACGCAGACGGCGCACAGACGGGGTTTGCGTCGCCTCTGTGCTCAGGCCGGCCGGGCTGGCGCGCTGTCGATATGCGCGGCAGATGAGGTGCTTGCTTGCTTGCCCCGACAGACGGAAGCGAACAGTGAGTGGCAGCCACCCATTCTGCCCTGTCCCTCCCCCCCGTGAAGAGTTTCTTTTCTTTTCTTTCTTTTCCACCCGTTCGTCGGGAAGGGTTCCAGGCTCTTGTTCGTGTGGTTGGCGACTCGCGCCAATGCAGGCCCCAATGCACGCGACACCCATGCCTCGCCGGATCCTTCAGAAGTGGGTGGTGGTGCTGGTGGGATTGCCATGGCATGGCATGGCATGGCATGGATGGATGAAGAGAGACCACCGCATCCTGACTTGACATGGATGCTGCCACTTCACGGCCGGCCAGCCAGGCCAGCCCATTTGGCCCATTTCGGCCGCCCAAGCACCCCCCGAGTCAGCGGCCTGGCACGCCGCCGCCCAATGAATCGAATCGACCTGATCAATGGACGAGACGCACTGACATTATTTCTTGTTGCTCGCGTCGACCTTGGGTGCTTCCCCGGCCCCTGGGCCAGGAACCAACCTGCTTTTCCACGTTCGCAGCCAGGGGCTTTTACGTACCAGGTCCCAGGGCTTGCCAGGGGCCTGTCTGCGTGGCTAATGACGGCCGCGAGACCAGCTGGAGTGCAGAAAAAACCACTGGGCTCGGTGCCCTCCCATGTCTGTTAGTGCCTGCCCCGGCCGCTACTCCCACGCGACTCGGGTCCCCACCCGAACCAACGGTGGGAGCGGTGCCTGTTGATCAGGCACAGGGGCCGGTCAATCAGGTACAGCGACCCGTCACCCCCCGCCGCCGGCTTAGCAGCCGTCCACTTCCAGGCGGACCAGGGTGCCGGGCCAGGCCTGGCTGGCGGCGCCTGACAGAGCGTCTGGCAAGCCTGGACAGTTCATGGAAGCCCTCCAGCCCCCTCCCCTCCTCTGGCCTTCCCCCCCCTGTCCGCCGCCCCCCTGTCGCCCTGGGCGGGCTTGCATTGGATGAATGCCCCCCCGATGGGCTCCAGCGGGCTGGCTGGGCTGGCTGGTCCGTGGCGATGGTGGTGGTGGCTTCCACTTCGCTGCAAGCATCGAGCCAACCCCATCCAATGGCCCTCGCAACCTCCGCATCCACCTCCACCTCCATGCTGCTGCTGATGCTGGTTCTGGTGCTACTGCCGCTGTCGTTGCCGCTGCTCTGCTGCTCCGTCGTCTGCTCCCTCCTCCCCCCAGTCAGGTTCACTCCCATCCTCCTCTCCCGGCGGCTTGCGTTATCGAAACCCTTTCCTCCTTTTCCAATCCCAATCCCCCTCAACCCCCAAACTGCCTGTCACTCCTTATTCCCTCCCCCCTCCGAGGCGTCGTCCCCTCCCCCAATTCCCCCGGCATCGAGACGAAACTCCCGGCGACTTTCCGTCAACCTTGCCAAATACCTTCGTTTTTACCCGCCAGCCGGCTAGCCACCTGCCTACCTTGCCTTGCCTGCCTCTGTCTACCTTACCCAGGTCTCCTCCTCGCCCCTCTGTTCCCCCCCGTATCGTCGACCCAGCCCCGAGGCAGAGACACAAACTCTCATACTGCAGCCGCTCCAATCCGACCGCCGTCGCTGCAACCAGCCTCTCAAATACCAGCCCCGGGCCGTCGAAACAAAGTGCGGCAACATCTGCGTCGATTTACCATCGGCCCATCCCCGTCCCCGTCCTCGGTCACTCGCTTGCTCGCTCGCTCGCTTGCTTCGCCGCCCGGCTTCACGACGACCCTGTCCATCGCCCACGACAGCAAGCACCGCACGCTCCCTACCACCACCACTACTACTACGCCGCCAACATGGGCCAAAGCATCATCGACCGCATCCAGGCCAAGCTGGAGCTCTTCCGCCTGGAGCAGCGCTACACGCGCCGCCGTCATCGCCGCTCCACCTTCGTCTCCAACGCCATCTATGTCGACGGCGAATACATCTACCAGACGCCCAACAGCACCGGCTCCTCGACCGACTCGAGCGCCACCCGCGTCGACGCCCTGCACGGCGAGAGGGCCATTGCCGTCTCCGCCGCCAAGCACACGGCCCAGATGGCCGCCAACACCACCACCGTCACCACCGAGATTCCTACCGCGGAGCGCAAGCGATTGAACCGGTTCAGCTCCATCCCCAGCTTCGGCGGCGCCTTTGGCGGCGGCAACAAGGATAGACCAAAGGTTGTGGAGCGCCGCACCAGCATGATCAGATAGACGACAGGTTCCACCTAGAACAAAGAATACGGCGAATCCCCGCCCCTCGCTTGAGCATACGGCATCGCGACAACGGCTGGGCCAGCCCGTGGCTCCCCAGCCTAGACAGCAACAAAAAGGAAGTCGTCGGCGTCATGACTTTTGCCCCGACCGCGTACATAACGATTTCGAGTCCTTCTCTTACGAACATTTGCAATTCACTTTTTCTTTTAATGCGAGGGGTTCAATTCTTGGTGTTTTGGTCTTTGCCTGGATCGGTCATATCGGCACCCTTCCTGCTCTGGACAACGGGTACGGGATCTTTGGTGGCAAGGGCATTTGGACATCCTCACGAGGGGACGACATGACGTTCTGCTTTGGGCCACTTGACCGCAGGCAGAGCTCGGGTGGTCAGCGCAGCCCGTGGTCCGAGCGAGGAATAGGGCAGGGCAGGGCAAGGCGGACGGGCCCTGACTGACCCCTCGGCCGCTTGCCCGGGATGCTGCCGTCCATGCTGGCGGAGCACCGCATGAGGCGCAGGAGCACTGTACATATATAGGATGCAATGCATGGCTGACAGGGTCTTTGACGGCTAACGTCTCGTGTAACGTGGGCGGTTATCTGGGTGCGTGCCTTGCCCGTCTTGTCCTGCCGTGCCGCCGCCGCCGCCGCCGCTACTGTCGTGCACCGTGACCACGCTCGCTGGGTTCGGCTGGTATATCTTGTACATAGTCACAACGAAGGTCGTCGGTCGTGTCTTTTAACGTTGCTGCCCCTCGAACTGCGTACGTGCGTACGTAGTTGTAGCACCATTTTTGTCTCGCCATGTTTTGCATTCCCACCCCGCCGTTCGGACGACACGGAGCAGCCCATGTCTCGGCCGCCCCCCTCGGGCTCCCTTCCTCGCCTCTCCCGCGCCGCCCCCCCTCCACGCGCGCACGCGCACGCACACGCGCATTTTCCTCGTTCTCTTGGGGCCCCCTCCGATCACCGACCACTGACCATCCGCCGCCCCACGCGCAGGATCATAGCACGCACACGGCACGTTTTCGGCACGCGGGGTGGGTACGCGGCTGCTGTCTCTATCTCTGCCTGCCTGCCTTTCCTCCTGCGAATCGAATGGATGGTGGTCGTGCGACGTCGGGAAAAGCACCCCGGCCCCCTTCACCTCGCCTCTACTTCGTGCTCGAGGGTCGGAGCCGGAGCGGAACCGGAACCGGAACCGGAGCGGGTAGGGTAGGGTTGGGCGTAACCTGCGACCGGGGACGTTTTGGAAGGGGGCCATAGTATGGAGAGCATAGGTTGCGGTGACGTTTGGCGTGCGGCCCGCGTCTGGATGCGGGGGGTTGGTCCCGTGTCTTATCCCTCTAGTCACCACTTACTGGTAGGAAAGCTAGGAGGGACGAATCACCTGATACACCCGCTACGGCGATGTGACTCTCTGTGGCTGGCTATCTGCTGGCCTAGGTTTTGTCGGGGATATCTTGGGCGCGCGGGGGAGTTGAGAGGAGACGATACGGTACAACCGTGACAGAGGTGCGCTTGGGAAGGAGAATTGTGGCCGACGGCGCGTGCGTGCGCTTTGTTGTGCCTGTTTGGGTGAGTGTGGGAGAATGAGAGTTTACATGATGGTGGCCTGGAACATTCAGTCTGCAAAGGAAGCCGACTTACACGAGCCAACTCCACAACCTGTTACTCCTGAGGCACATCGCGCATCGCAACCCACGCAGCCGGCATTCACACTCCTCGTCCCTATCAGGACCATGCAGCAATATACCTTCAAATTCGTCATATAATATGCACTCCCAGTCCAGAAAAGCGATCCATGGCGTGAGCCGGCCGACGCAACGGAGCGCGTCCCGGGTAAGTCGCCTCTCCAGCAGCGAGACACATGTGACGTTAGTACATCTGTACGCGAGACACTTGAGACAGCCAAGCAAGCAAGGAACATCAATGCAGATAATAAAGCCTCGGTTAGTTAATGGCTAAGACGGCAAGTTCATTTGGGTATGCAACAGCTACAGTACTGTATACGACAAAGAATCCAACTCGACAGCAGCAAAACAAGCCCCACGCCCGTCGCCGACAAAGCAAAACGACAAGCCTCCCCTTACAAAGTACTACGTTGTAACTAACTCGTAGCCGGGGATGAGCAAAAAAAGACGAACACGCCCTCGCCCTCGCCGTAAACCTCCGGCGCTGCGACACCTTCGAACGCCCAAGACTCCTCACTCTCTGCTCTTGTCTGCGCCTAATAAATCGGCACCGCAAACAAAGAGGTATGCACCTCATCCTTCCTTCTCATCCTCCTCATGCAGTCCCCGTCTCCTCTACTCCGGTCTACTATGCGATGCGATGCAGAGACAAAGAAAATGATCCCATGCTTCTACGCCATCATGAGGCCTTCGTAGGCCCGCTCTACGGTCCGTCCGCCCATGCCAGGGAGCGCCCGCAGCTGCGTCAGGTTCTCGATGCGCGCGCCCGCCTCGTCCTCCATGGCGGCCAGCTCCAGGTAGTCGACCAGGTCGCGCGCCCTCTTGGCCCCGAAGCCGACGAGGCCGCGTATCCGCGTCAGGTCGCGCGAGTTGACCACGTCCAGCAGCTGCGACGTGCGCGGCGACGGGGGCCCCGAGTACTCGTCGTTGATGTACATGGTCGGCCTCGACGGGGCCCGACTCTTGCGTGGCTTGCTCTTGGCTGGGCTGGAGAGGCGACCTTCCTCGCCGTCGGCGTCGGCGTCGTTGTATTCGCGGTCATCGTCTGTGACAATACGGCGTCTCTGCCTCTTCTTCGCCGAGTTTGCCGGGCTTCGGTGGTCGATTGTGGATGCGCTGGACATCCCCAAGCGGATTCGCAGGCGCTCAATCTTTCCAAGCAGCTTGGCCTGGCCGGGAAAGTACGGCAGGGCCATCTCGTACGCCTTGAGCGCGGCCGCCTCCTCGCCCCTCTCCTTGTGCTGCCGGGCCGCCAGCAGGTAGCGGAGACCGTCCGACTTGGAGTCTTCGCGCCAGTCCTCACTCTCGATTCGTCTTTCGAGCGCGTCGAGACGTCTTTGCACGGCCTCGCTGAGATCGGGTTGGACAGGCGGCGGCGGCGCCGCGCTCGCCTTTTCGGCAGCAGTCCTCGCCGCCAGGATCTCGCTGACCTTCTTCTCCACCATGGCCTCGATCTGTGCCGCAGACACCGTCACCGACTCTTCGGCTGCTGGCTTGGCAATCTTGGTAGGTCGCGGGACGACCTCGTGGTCAGACGGGCGCTTTTGGGAGCTTCGGCGCGGCACGAGGCTCACGGCGACCGCGGGCCGCGCTATGGCCGACGGCTTCGCCTTGTCCGTGTACACGCTGAATGCCTTAACCGGCTTGGACGAGTCGGCGGCGGCAGCCTTGGCAGCAATGTTGCCGTTGTGGACGTTGTGCGCGTTGTGCGCATTCGCGAGCGGCCGCAGCGGTTGGCGCGCGATGGCCGTGCCGGAGCCTGAGTTCGTCCTAGGAACCTGCTTGAACACGACCTCGTTCTCAATCTCGCGAACCTCGATCCGCTTCGCCCGGGTGCTAACGTTTAAACTGCTCAGGGTGTCGAGGTGGTAGCTCCGCAGTGGCGCCAGATTCAGGATCATGACGGTGATGCCCTTGTTCTGGCCGAGCGAGAGGATGCGCGTCATCTTGGACTCGCGGTACGGTATCCGCTTGTCGCCCCTGCCAATGGCCTCGATGCACTGGCTGAGAACAAAGAGGCTCTTGTTGATGGCCGCCGACTCGACCAGCCTCTCCTTGTCGTTGTCGGTGCGGCGGTTGTCCTCGGAGCCCGCGAGATCGATGGCGGACGCGGTGCTTTCGCGCACCGTGGTGCCCGTCGTCTGCGTCAGCTTGACGCGCAGGATCGCGTGACTGCGGCTGCTGTGGGCGTTGAGCTTGGTCGCGGCCGTGACGCGGTTGTTGTTGGCCTCAATGTACATCTTCTCAAAGTCCTTGAGGTCCCCGCAGGCCCGCTCCGACAGGCCGGCGACGACGGTCCTGCCGTTGGCCTCGGCGCGCAGGGGCAGCCCCGACGGCGTTCGCTTCTCGGGCGGCTCGAGGAGGTCGTACACCTTGTCGTTGTAGATCTCGTAGTACGACAGAGTGACGCGAACCGTCGTGTCGCCCTCCGTGTCCTTCATAATCTTCTTGCCCCGGCGAAAGACGCCGCTCAGCAGCCGAGGTATCACCCCTCGGTCGGCCAGCTTGAGGCCGCCTCGCATCGTGTGCGTCTTGCCGGTACCGGTGACGCCGTACGCGAAGATGGTGAGATCGTAGCCCTGGAACAGCGACTTGAGAAGCGGTTGCACTGTGGGATGTGATTAGCCATGGGAAAAGCTCCTCGGACCCTGGACGGGGCTGGGCTGGGCTACCTTCGGCGGTGAACAAGGCCTCCTGGGACGTGGCCTGGTCGTAGACGCCATTGAAGGCAAAGGAGAACTCCTCGGCCTCGTTCTTGGGGTTCGGGATCTTGACGACGGTGCTGGGCTTGCCGGGCTCTACGCCATCGGCGCGCACAATCACGTCCTTGTCCAGCTCCTTCTCGAGGAGCGGGCGTATCCTCGCGACGACGCGGACCGACATTGTTGCAACTGGCAGCGAACAACAAAAGGAGAAGAGCGACGCGAAGAAACGAACGCACGCGACGACGCACAAAGGAAACGAGATACCCCGCCTGCTCGAACGCGACCTGAAGCGACTGGGACGATGCTAGGGATGCATCTGTGCTCTGCCGGCGACAGGGAAGTCAAAGGCAAGGTAAGGCAAGGTAGGGTTAACGGTTGGCACTAAAGTTACGGACCGGGATCGCAGATTGGCGGCGGGTTCCTGCTAATTCGCGGGTGTGGCGCGGGTTCACAACAGTGCGGGAGACCACTGGGGTCGGCCCAGCAACGGGGCGCGTTGCAGCGGATGTGGCGCCACGCATAACCGCCCTTCAGTGGCTTGGGCAGGCGCCAGACAGGTCCAGCATTGACGCCCAGCGAAGTGGCCCAGCTAACACAGGGCCGTGAGACCCGCTCTGGCCTGTCTGGGCCCGGGACCGGAAAAAGCCGCCGGGCGGCCCGCCATGCGCTTCCAAGGTTCCAATTCCCGTCTTTTCGAGCTGCTGCGACGTCAGAAGCTCGCTTCCGAAAACCGAGAAACCACACCACCGGCACCACCGATCGTCGCATCACTCACGTCAAGATGCGAGGCCCCTCGCCGCTGCTGGGCGCCGCCCGGCGAATGCGCCTTCAGCATCCGGCGACGTTTGTGTGCCGCCAGTGCCGGGCCATTCAGATCAGCGCCGCGCCGAGCACCGACGGGCCCCGGGTTGGCGGGGATGCCTTTGGAGCTCCCATTGAGACGGCCAGAGACATGGCAGGTGCGTGCAATGGAGCGCCCGCACGAAGGTGCGTTGTCTGGGCGGTACTGACAGTCAATTGGGTCTAGACGCGCGGTTCGAAGTCCTCGGCGCACCGTACTCGATGCTCTCGGTCACGCTCTCGGCATCTCAGAGGCTCTACACCAGGAGGGGCACTCTCGTTGCCGTGGCGGGGAAGCCAGACAATGTACGACCTGTCGACTGCATGGAGGGTAAAACTCGTTGCTGACCGACATGCTAGGCGCAATCGACGCTCTCACTGCTCAACCCGCTCTCGCGCGCCTTCTTCGGCGTCCCCTTCCTGTATCAGCGCATCTCCGCTACGACTCCCATCACAGCGCTCATCTCGACGAAATCGCCGACGACGACATTTACGGTGCTGCACCTTGACGGAACCACGGACTGGATGGTCTCGCAACGGAACGCGCTGCTTGCGTGGACGGGTCACACGCTGTCCCTCTCGTCGCGCATCCAGCGCAGCCTCTCGGTGGCGCATTGGGGCAGCACGCACTTGACGGGCCGCGGCCTGGCAGCGCTCTCTGCACCCGGCCAAATCTACCAGCTGACGCTGGCCGAGGGCGAGGAGTTTGTCGCACATCCCGGCAGCGTGGTTGCCTATGCGGTGTCACGGAACGCGCCCCAGCCGTTCCGGTTCAAGAGCTCGAGCCTGCGTCTTCAGGTGCCGTCGCTGACGTCGTGGATCCCCGAGTCCGAGTTCCTCAAAAACATGCGCAAGACCGACACGTACAAGTTCCTGGCGCGCACGCTCTTCAACCTGCGCACGACGGCGCGGCGCACAATCTGGGGCGACAGGCTCTTCCTGCAGTTCAAGGGCCCAGCTACACTGCTGATGTCGAGCCGTGGCGTGCGCGTTGCCGAGGTGCTGTCGAGCGAGCAGGTCAACGAGATTGCCGACGCGCCCGCGGGCGTTTTACCGCAAGCCCTGGAGCTGCAAGGCAAGGACAAGACGAAGGAGATTACCGACGGCGCGGCGGCACCGGCGACGACGACGGAGCAGCCGCCGAGCGCATTACACGTGGCGTCGGTGCGACGCGACGGCAAGGTGACGTTTGAGGACACCAAGGACCTCAAGGAATTCGTGCGGTGACGAAGCGCATTGCCGGCGGCGCAGCACAATTAGGCGTTCAAGATTGCCTACCTAGTACTTCTATGCGGGTTCGGTGGATGCGGGCGAGACCCAGCGGCGTGGCGACAACCGGCGCGTGGGGCGGCAAAAGACCGAAGACAGGTGCTGGTGAATTGTCCGTTGAAAAGAAGCAAAGACACACACGGTATTGTACAGTAGAGTAACCAAAGATTCGGCTCCGAATGGGAAGAATACGAAATCACGGGCGCGCCACGTCGCCTTGGTCAGCTTGCTTCGGTCTCCGCTGCCTGTTCTGCCGCCCGTGCTGACTGACTGACGGCGGCGAGCGCATCGTCTTCTCCTCTCGCTCGCTCGCTCGAACAGCTTCATCTCATCTGATGGACGATCATCTCGCTACATCCCTGGACCCGAGCCCCATGCCATGCTGGGAGTCGCAGTCGGCGGCGAGTTAGTCACGCCGTGTTCAAGGTCCATCAGTCAGCAGGAGCTCCACGGAGTTTACAAGTGCTGTTTGGCTTTGTAAAAGCCCCTCACTCTTTGTCTCCGAATCTGCTGATGAGTGCGCACATGTCGCGCCTTCGCGCCTTTGCAGCCTGCTTGCTTGCTGGAGTTTGGAGCTCGATACAAGGGGGGAGGGGAGTCTGGGACGGGATAAGTGTGGGGCCCTTGGCTGGATCATCGGAGCTCGCGTGAAAGTCTTAAACGCGAGGGGTGGTCGGTCACTGGCTGGTGGGTGGATGGATGGATGGTGGACAGAGCTAGTAGCTGGCTGGCGAGCATGGAGGGCAAGCGAGGACGGCAAGGCAGGCAGGCAGGCAAGGCCAGGGGCAGCAATGATGAGCTTCGTTGGAGCTGGTCCGGGTGGAGCTGTCTGGCTGGTGCCGTCTCCGGGGTTAAGCAGCGCCGGCTTGGGCCGAGTATGTAGGCTGTCCGGCAACGTGCTTCTGTTGCAGCAGTGCTTTCAAGGATTGAAGCCTGCCATTTGGCTCAAGCTCTTCTCTTCCAGGGCGAAGAGGCAGCAAAAACGAGAAGTGCCAGGTTTGGTAACCCGTGGCACACACACACACTCTGGCACACGTAGAAACAGACATTGTGTGCATCATCAACTGGCGAGCTGAAACGCATGCGGCGTGTAACGAGCAACTCGGATGAACGGCTTTCCAAGTTGTTGGACGGCGCATTGAACCAGTCGATTGGGACCTGCCGCGTCGCACCCGCTGAAGATTGTTGGTTGCGCGTCTGGAGTGGTTCGCGATTTGACGCCGCCGAGCCTCCTCCTCCTCCTTCTTGGGCTCGTTGTTGGGCTGCCTGAACACCCAACCTTCCCCACGGACGGCATGGACCCCTGTGAGCATGTTGTGCGACCTGCACGATTCAAGATATCAGATTGAAGGGACGACATCATCATCGCCCAGAGCTTTACGCAGTTCTCGATTCGTACATAATACATAATACTAAGAACGAAGTATCGCTCTTGAGACGGCTTCTTCCCGTTGCCACACTGGTGCCGACCCAACACCATCACGGGCCTTTTTTTCTTTTCTTTCTTACGCATCTCGGATCTCGACCACGGATCATTACTATTCTCAAACGTCGATTTCGTGAGCTTGGCTCAACGGGGTAATCCTCTGGCCCGTAGCGCGTGGTGGGGAATGGGGATAAGGGAAAGGCGAAAAAGCCAAGTCTTTCTCTTTTCCCCAGTTAAATCCGACAACCGAAGTACGCAAAGCCCGAGGCCATCCTTCTCTCGCTCCCCTTCCCGCCCCCCTGGCCCCCCCAAAAAGCACATGCCGGTCGCTCGCGCGCGCGGGCAGGCAGGCAAGCTAGCAGAAGGGTACGCCTTCCTTTCCACTTTGAGCCTGGGGGCTTCCCCCTCCAGCCGGCCGGCCGCGCGCAAGACGCGAGCAACCCAGGTGGAGAATTGGTAACTGGCTGTCTCTTCCTTCGCGGCTCAAATCCCGGAGTCGGAGACCGAAGCCAGCCCAGCCCAGCCCCAAACCCGGCCCCAGTCCACATGGTGCAATGGCCGGCGCTTGCTCCCGGGGTGTGTGTGGGATGACGGGTGGGATGTGTGTGTGGGATGGGTGATTCTTTTCGGGCCTTGCCTTACCTTGCCTTGCCTGCCGTGCTGGCTTGCGTGCTTGCTTTCACACCGCATGGGCGGCGGCGGGACATGGATGGGCCTGCTGGCGTTCACGCAGCGAAATAGCCAGAGCTAGCGGGTTGTGGATTGAAGATCTGCCCCCCCGAGAAGTCAAGGGACTTGTTCACGCCCCTCCCCCCCCTGGTGGTGGTGGTTTGGTGGTTTTGACATCGACTCGGGCCCGACAAGATAAATACATTGCCGCCCCTCCATGTGCCGTGTTCCGCGTCGACCTAACAAAACGTACATTATACAAGCAAAGCGGCTCTGCACGGCGTTTGTACTACATTGTTCTGACAAGGATCCAAGCTTGTCAACAGTCTGCCATCTACATCTAGCCCTATTCACGACAGTGTTGGAGTCGCGGTGAAGCTCGACTGACCTGGGCGCGAGTCGCAAATCCTGGCTCGTGAGCCCTACGGACCTTGAGTCCCCCTTGAGGCTTACACTTACAACCGCCTCACCGATATCATCAACGAAAACGTATACATAATCTTTCCCGCGCATGGTGGCACTTCCGGGAACACAGCCTACAACACGACAGCCCGGTGTTCCTTCCTTGGACCTTGGAGTCGCCTCCCCCCATAACCTGTCTCTCTACCTCTAGTCAGTCCACGGGCCAGCAGCGAGCGATAGCCCACGATGCCCGGCTCAACGCACTCCCTCTCCTCGTCCACCGTGCACGAAAAGGCACCCGCGCCTTCAGCAGGCACAGACGAGAAGAACCAGTACAGGCCCTCCCGCAGCGCCTCGCAGAGCTCCAAGGCCGCCGAGGCCCTGCCCTACTACACCAGCTCGGAGCGGGATCTGGAGCGCGGGGCCGTCGTCGCCGCAGTCGACGAGGACGACAACTACAGCTCCTCAGAAAAGCGGCCGGCCGGGGCGGCGGTGCAGCAGCCCGGCGATGCCAAGCCCGGACAGGGCCCACCACCTCCGGCCGGCGGCCCGCCCGGCGCGGACTTCCCGGACGGCGGGGTCGAGGCATGGCTCGTGGTGCTGGGCGGGTGGTGCGCGCTCTTCTGCACGTTCGGGCTGGTCAACTGCGTGGGCGTCTTCGAGCAGTACTATGTCAACGGCCCGCTGCGGCAGTACTCGAGCTCGACGGTCAGCTGGATCCTGTCGGTGCAGGTCTGGACCATGGTGTTCAGCGGGACCGTCTTCGGGCGCCTCTTCGACAACTACGGCCCGCGGTGGCTGCTCTGGGGCGGCACCGTGGCCTACGTCTTCGGGCTCATGATGGTGTCGCTGTCGAGCGAGTACTACCAGTTCTTCCTGGCGCAGGCCGTCGTCTCGTCCGTGGGGTCCAGCGCCGTCTTCAACGCGTGCATGTCCTCGCTCGTCAGCTGGTTCTCCAAGAACCGCTCCGCCGCGTTTGGCGTCATGGTCTCGGGCTCGTCCGTCGGCGGCGTGGTGCTGCCCATCATGATGAACAAGCTGATTGAGCGCATCGGGTTCCCCTGGATGATGCGCGCCATGGCCTTCATGTTCCTCGGCCTGCTCATCTTTGCTTCCCTCACCGTCAAGGCCAGGCTGCCGCCCAAGCCGCGCCCCTTTAAGCTCATGGAGTATGTCAACAACTTGAGGGACGTGCGCCTGCTCGTCACCATCATCGGCTTCTTCTTCTTCATGTGGGGCATGTTCCTGCCCTTCAACTACGTCCTGCTACAGGCCGAGGCGGCGGGCACGTCGCCGACCCTGATCCCGTACCTGCTGCCCATTCTCAATGCCGTGAGGTACGTCTCAATACCATCTTCCTCCAGCAAGCGCCCTTTGTCAGAGCTGGTTCGCTAACTATGTTGTGCAGCATCTTTGGGCGCATCATCCCCGGCATCGTCGCGGACAAGCTGGGCCGCTACAACGTCATGGTCATCATCACCTTCATCTCGGCCCTCTTCTGCCTGGCCGTGTGGACGCCCGTCAAGAACACGGCGGGCATCCTCGTCTTCATGATCATCTTTGGCTTCTCGTCGGGCGGCTTCATCTCGCTGGGCCCGACGTGCATCGCCCAAATCTCCGACATCCGCGAGATCGGCACCCGCGTCGGCACAGCCTTCGCCATCCAGTCCTTTGGCGCCCTGACCGGCAGCCCCATCGCTGGCGCCATCGTCCAGGCCCAGCACGGCAGCTACCTGGGACTGCAGCTGTTCTGCGGCTTCTCCATGCTGGCGGGGTCGATTGTCCTGCTCGGCGCGCGGTTCACGCAGGTCGGCCTGAAGCTGGTCAAAGTGTAGGCACCTTCAAGCACGGGGGATGCACTCATGACAAGGTTGAAAGGGCGTTTACGGTGGGTTGGACTCGTTGAGTCGATACACATATCCGTGGGCACATGACGGTTCGTCACGGCTGTCTTGCGAGGAAACAAGAAGACATACAATGCATAGAATAGACTCTGTACGTACATACATATAATACCCAACTTTTACATGTACTGCCAGTGGCCGCCCATTCAACTCGTTCTGCGTCATCCTATGCCCTGCAGTAGAGAAGCCATCAACCAACACGGCGTCCATGCCCCGATCGGGCCTGATCGCTTTCGCTGGTTGGTCCGATTCACCTCTGCTTGTCCCAGGCGAGGAAAAACGAGACATTGTTTGGGAGCCAACAACTCGGCAATTTTGGGCCGAAAAACGCCTCGAGTCGGTGCAACGTCGACCCAGGGCACGCGCTGCTTACGGTCCGGCAATTGACTCATAATTGGTACCATCGTTTCTCTTGGTCAACACTTGAGTTGTACAAGTCACATAAGTCATTCACATTCATCCTGTGATAGCTTGATAGATCGACGTGACTGCTCACCAGCCTCGCCATCTGCAGAGACAATCGACAACGACATGGCCGCTCTAGCTATTCGGCTACGCCCGGCGCTCGCCAGCGATGCGCCCGCTGTTGTTGCGGCCATGCACGACGCATTCCGGGACAGCCTCTTTCACCAGCGCTGCTTCCCGGTCTCAGACCCAGCGTCGCGAGAGTCACTCGTGCAGTGGGTTGACAAGAACCTCGCGGACCCAGAGTCGCACATGATTATCGCCGAGCGCGACACTGCTCCGCCACGGCCTCTGCCCTCCGCGTCGTCTGCGGGCACCGGAGCGGATGCCGAACCTCCTCGCCCTGTCGCCGGCTTCGCCCGGTGGGTGCGCCGCCCCGCCCCGAGTCCGGCTCCGGTCCTGGACCCGTCATCACAGCCGCCGCCTCCTCCACCGCGCATGGTATTTACACCGGACATGTATCCGGCGGGTGGCGATGCGGCGCTCGCGGCGCGCGTGTTCCAGGCCAACTACGATGCGCTCATGCGGGCGACCGAGGGCCGCAGCGTCTGGTTCCTGTCCATGCTCGTCGTGCCGCGCGAGCACCAGCGCCGCGGCGTCGGCACCGCGCTGCTGCGTTACGGGCTGGAGCGTGCCGACCGCGACGGCTGGGTCGCCTACGTCAATGCCTCGCCGGAGGGGAAGTCGCTGTATGACAGGTTTGGCTTCGTGGCTGTGGAGCGGTCTGAGTTTGGGGACATTGTTGAGCACCACATGCTGCGGGAGCCTGAAAGTAGGAGGTGAGAGACTAAGGCGCGTCGAGGGAGGTTGCTGGCATGAGATGCGGTATATTCAAGGTTTGGCATGCACAACCGAATTGGCTCTCGGGAGTGAGCTCTCAGGCAATATTGAGAATGGTTGACGGGGTACGACCCTTTTCGACCGCGTGAGATATTCTCCCTGGCCTTGGCGCAGTATAAGCCGTGATGCTTTCCGTCTCCTCCTTGCCCAGGTCAGACCTAAACAGCCTATTTCGACCTCCGAAGCTCAGCATCACCCACAAAATCGCTCACGAACACTGCGCATTGTCCTCCCACTCAAACCACGTACACGGGTTCCCATCCGCTGTGCACTACAGCAAGGCGCGAGTCAGCATCCATTGATCTGGCGGCCACGTCGAGCCAGCGATTAGAGAAAGGCGGAGTTTACTCACTTCAAATATTGGGGCTCCGTTGACGCCGTATATATCGCACCACTTGACCGACGTCGCCGCCAGCGGCTCACTGTGAGATACGCAGTCGTTGACCATGAAGTCTTTGGTCGCCAAGGTACACGTGTTGAAATGCGAGTCGCACGTCTGTACTCGTTTTCTCCGAGTGTCAGTGAACTAGTATTCTCCCGGGGCAAGATGTCGATCACATGTACTCACGCCTCGGTATGCGTAGTAGGATTCGCCTGCCTTCGGGGGGTGAGCACCTCGCACCGGCGTGGCGACTGAGCCTAAGTTGTGAAAGACACCGCCCACGGTGGCGAGGGCGAGGACAAGCCGGGACACCATTTTAAGAAGGGGAGAAGAGGAAAAGGAGTGGCGAGTCTCTCCGACTGAGTTCGAGCAGGATGCACAGATAGCTGTTGCGCCAGGTTCGGTTCAATTCGTTGATACCTCCTCTTGGACGGCAAAAGTGCCGAGCTACAATTCCAATTTTCCTCAAGGAATGGATGAGGGATAAAGTGACAGCGAACAACGGTGGGCAGCGATTAAATACGTCCACGAGCTGTCACTTCAATGTTGCATAGGTCCATGTCTGTGGCTATCGACGGCAAAGCAAGGCTAGGTTACAGATTGCGCGAAGGGGCCTGTTTTATAAGTACGTAATGCCTGGATGCGGCAACTGTGGTACTGGTACTTGATATGAGAGATTGATAAAGCCTTGCCTTTCCGAATGGCCAGTGCTACAGAGCTGGGTGCGAATTGGCACAGAAGAGAGAAACGTTTTTGGAAGAGAACTGTTCACAGGCTGGCTGACTATATGTGCAGCGTGCGGGACCAACTTCGTTCTTACTTTTGGGCAGTAGCAGCAGAGTGTTGATAGTGGCCTACCCAGACAGAATGCCCGTGCGGTGACAAATAGAAGAAGGATTCTGCAACGATACAATGCGCGATCCTCTTGAAACGCCGACTTTACGTCACGTATAGAGGTGATGACTACATCGTGCGACTGGAATCAGCCATGGAGCCTGATGAAGCGTTGTTCACGTGCGCAAAGCGCACTGACTTTATCCAAGAGTTTCGCGCCTTCTGGAACTATATTGACGGAAACTTGAGACATAGCCGATGTCGTCGAGCCGTGCCAGGGCCTCTATGCGAACATACCGCCCCCAGGATCACATTGCACTGGCACGACTGGAGTCTCATCACTTATATAGGTAAACATGGAGCATGTTTCGCAAGGCCTGGTCTTGTTAAGTTTGCCGTAATATTGAATGCCGGGACCAAATTGGTTGCATTGACGTTGCGGGAGCCTCCATCTCCCGGCCAGGGCGCGCAGCACGAGCCCTGCTTGCCTTCAGTGCGGGGTGTCGCACGACATGCGAAGCGAATTTGTGAGAGAGTCGCCGCACAACTTCTAATCTAGATACTGTCATCAATGTCTGGTAGCACAGTTCGCTCGAGTACATCACGGCTGATGGCGAATAAAGAGCGTCCGATGGTCGTCAAACCACCAGTACAACTCCCCCTCCATGGGAATCTCTTCCCACTCGTAGTCATAGTCCAAGTCCGGCTCCTTGCTATCCGTGAGCGAATAAGACCGCACAATCTCATAGCCACCCTTCTTGTTGATCCTGTGATACAGCGCCAGAGGGTCGTGGTACACGTCCCCTTCGATGTCCGCCCCCTCCTCTGAGCAGTTCCCCAGCGCAGCCAGGGACCCGTCTTCATAACCGAGCAGAAGCCCTTGGCAAGGGTTATCCGGTACGTCTCGGCGCGAGCCCCTGACGTGGAACAGCTTGAGCTGGTTGACGCCGCGGAGAGACGCCACCGACATGTAGCCAAAGTGTGCGGCGATGGCCCAGCCCCGACATTTGACGAGGGGTGCGGGAGGGGCTGGCTTCTTTTCTGAGATTTGGGTTTGCGCCGTTGTGGAAGCGGCACCGAGGTCTGTGTGTGGTGACTGGAACATGGGGTTGGTGTAGAGTAGGTGTGTAGTCGTCGCGTTGCCGATCTGCTTCCATCGAAGACCACTGTGCGGGTTACTGGCCTCGGCGCGCGGGCTGATGTATCGTCCAAAAAGCTGAAACCTGCCTTCGCTGGTAACGATCTTGGATATATACGTCAGTACAATCTGCTCTAGGTCGACTTTCCAGAAACACAAAGAGACGGTAGCAGGGACGTACCGCCAAGGCCTCATTGTGAATCGTTTTCCGGCACACACTCGCAGCGCAAGTACAGTCTCGAACCCAGATCTCGCTAATCTTCTCGCCATCTCTCAAGGGGAAGAATATTGGGGTAAGCCGCTTGCGCTCAGCTGGGTGCAGGTTGGCCTGTGACGGAGCAGGAGCAGCGCTAATGCCCCAGGTGTAGTGAGGGCGGATCGCGTAGATGGCGCCCTGTGAGCAAAAGACTGTCAGGCCACGGAGGCCTTGGAGCTTAAGGCAGCTCACTTTGGCCGGTTTGAGTCGTTCTGAAAACCAAGTTATAGTCTTCACCGGCGGGGGATTCGGGATATCCCAGATCCTCAGTCCCTCGGTACATGTGGTCGCTGGTGGACGGTCGTCCACCGGCATCAGCCTTATGAATTGGCCCTGCTTCATGCATGAGCGCCCCGTGTCGAGTTTATGATCAAATTCACGTACCTTGATTGCGTATTTGAAGCTTTTCATTGTGTCGACGTGCTCGACAACATACTCTATTCCGCTGTCTGGCGATGTCCCCTCCTCGTCGGTATCGGACTTATGTTCCACAGACCTAATCCCAAAGTCATCTAGACTTAACCTCACGAGATCTGCGGATCCAGATGTGGACATCACGCCATCCCAGCGATTCCAATAGCCCAGTTCCTCAAATGACAACCACCGTGTCCCCGTGTCGCGGTCCAGCAACGGCTCCAAGTGTGGAAATCTCTCAAGCGCAGAGAAGTAGCGCCAGAGGCAAGACTCGGGGCACATGCCACGTATCTGATCTATAAGCTCTTGTGGCAAAGCCCCCAGAATTCTGATCCAAGTATCGTGGGCTGTGGTGCCATCGACCTCGAGACGCGCGCCGGCTCGGGGTCGCGAGGCGCTTATGGTCGGCATTCGCGGCAGGCCTTGAGTCCACACGCTCATCTCCCACAAATCGTCCAGACTTAGTCGCCTTCCATAATGTCGCTCAATCGCATGGAAGCAGTCCACGTGATAGACAAAAGTGTCCTCCGTGCCGAGACATCCTCTGCACATACGCCAGAGGCTCGTCCGACAGCGCTCATGCACTGTCTGGTGCGCAAACTCGCAGTCCAAGGCGGGGAGCCGGAAGCTCAGTGTGTAGCCTGTAAAGCGGCGCTCCTTTCCACTGCCAAGCACTTTCATGCGATGTTAGCCTACCGGAAGAATCGTATATGGACCTTAAGAGACCGTACCGGCGGCGACTGTCTCGCCGCGCAAGATGTGGTGCCGGCACAGCACGCAGCACGGCGCCCTGAGGCCCAGATGCGCGCACGGCCGAGAGAAGACCCTGCCGTCCACCGCGGTAGTTGTATCATGAGCGGTGCGTGCCTTCAAAGCTCCCGGACGGGACCGCTTGCGCCGTGGCTGCGACATTTGCTGTGACGTGCCACGGCGTGGCGATACTCTCAGTCCGAATGTTGAGCGGCTTGTTAAGGCGTTGCTCGAATGTGCGTAGACAAGGAACCATGGCTATTGGCAAACCTTGACATTTTGCGGGCTCTTTCGTGAGGTGATGTTTTGAGGACATTGCGCGGGTGCCTGGCCGAGACTACGCGTCGGGAGGGTGTACAGAAACGAGTTACGAGAATTACCTAGTGTAAAGCGCAGCGAGTTCAGCTAAGCGCCAGGGATGCCTACCAAGCCTGTGGGTTAGCCTGGTGATGGGCGCTTCATTTGAGTCAACGCCGACTTTCATGCAACAAATTGACTTCATAGTCGGTTGGTTTTTTATTCGAGGCCTCTTGCAGCTGATTGCCTGCCGCCACCTCATCGGGGTGGCAGTTTCACATGGCAAGGAGTGAGAACAACAACCAGAGCCACGCAGCTGTGCTCTGAATTCGTAGTCACTAACAGTCACTGGAGGCACGAGTCACCAAGGACACTCAGACGTAGGTATCAACATTAATTCGATTGAATACACCCAAGAATGCCACTTCTGAAATCCAACTGTATCTACTGCTGCTGCATCTTCTTTTGCTTATTCTAAGAGCGGAGGGGGAGCTTCTCGGCGGCCTTCTGCCACAGGCCGTTGCGGGGCCACGTCCACTTGGACAGGTACGGGGGGTCGATGCCCGTCTCAAAGGCCTCGTTGGAGGCCTTGATCTGCTCGTCGAGGAAGGCCTGGCGGGCGGTGGCGCCGCGGTTTTGCAGGTGGGCCATGCGGTCGATGGCGTCGATGGCGAGGCTGAAGCGGTCGGTGCGGTTGCGGATGGCCAGCTCGAGGGGCGTGTCGATGTTGCCCTTCTCCGTGTAGCCGCGGACGTGGATGTTGGAGCTGCCGGGGCGCTTGTAGGTGAGGCGGTGCACCATCCACGGGTAGCTGTGGAAGTTGAAGACGATGGGCGTGTCCTCGGTGAAGAGGCTGATCCACTCTCGGTCCGACATGCCGTGGGGGTGCTCCGAGGGGTGGATGAGCACGAAGAGGTCGACGACGTTGACGTAGCGGATCTTGAGGTCGGGGAAGTGCTGCAGCAGCAGGTCGATGGCCGCGAGCGTCTCGTGCGTGCTGATGTCGCCGCACGAGGCCATGACCACGTCGGGGTTCTGGCCGGCGTCGGTGCTGAACTTGGGCCAGATGCTGGCGCCCTTGGTGCAGTGCGCGATGGCCTCGTCCATGTCCAGGTACTGCAGGTGGTCCTGCTTGTCCGAGACGATGACGTTGACGTAGTTGACGGACCGCAGGCAGTGGTCCATGACGGACAGCAGGCAGTTGCCGTCGGGAGGCAGGTAGATGCGCACCACCTCGGGGCTCTTGTTGGCCACCAGGTCGAGGAAGCCGGGGTCCTGGTGCGAGAAGCCGTTGTGATCCTGTCGCCAGACGACCGAGGTCAGGAGGATGTTGAGCGAGGCGACCTTGTCGCGCCACTCGACCTCGAGGGCCTTTTCGATCCACTTGCAGTGCTGCGATGGAAAGTCAGCTCTGTTCTTTGATCCCATGAGTAGTATATAGAGTGATTCTGGCTTACCTGACCAACCATCGAGTCAATGACGTGGATAAAGGGCTCGTAGCTGTTGAGCAGGCCGTGGCGACCGCTGAGGATGTAGCCCTCGAGCCAGCCCTCAACCGTGTGCTCCGACAGCATCTCCATGACGCGGCCGGCCGGGGCCAGGTTGCCGCCGTCCTTGTCCTCGTCAAAGTACTCGCCCATCCAGACCTTCTTGGTGACCTCGTAGACGGCGCCGAGCTTGTTGGACTCGGTCTCGTCGGGGCCGAAGAGGCGGAAGTTCTGGGGGTTCTTGGCCATGATGTCGCGCAGGAAGAGCGCCATGTTCTTCATGCTGCTGCTCTGGTAGGTGGCCGGGCGGTCAAAGGTGATGGCGTACTTGCGGAAGTCGGGCATCTTGAGGGGCTTCTTGATGATGCCGCCGTTGGCGACGGGGTTGGCGCTCATGCGGCGGACGCCCTTGGGGCAGAGGGCCTGCAGGGCCTTGTCCGGGGCGCCGTGCTTGTCGAACAGGCGGTCGGGCTCGTAGCTGCGCATCCACTGCTCGAGGATCTTGAGGTGCTCCGGGTTGGAGGCGGCGCCCGAGATGGGCACCTGGTGGGCGCGCCAGAAGCCCTCGAGGTACTGGCCGTCGACCTTGCGCGGGGCGCTCCAGCCCTTGGGGGTGCGCAGGACGATCATGGGCCAGCGCGGGCGGGTGGCCTTGCCGGTCTCGCGGGCCTCCTTCTGGATCTTGCGGATCTTGCAGACGGCGTACTCCATGGTGGCGGCCATGGCCTGGTGCATGGTGGGCAGGTCGTCGCCCTCGACGAAGAGCGGCTCCCAGCCGTAGCCGACGAAGAGGTCGCGGATCTCGTCGTGGGTGATGCGGGCCAGGATGGTGGGGTTGTTGATCTTGTAGCCGTTGAGGTTGATGACGGGCAGGACGGCGCCGTCGGTGATGGGGTTGAGGAACTTGGTGCTGTGCCAGGCCGTGGCCAGGGGGCCCGTCTCGGCCTCGCCGTCGCCGACCGACGTCAGGGCGATGAGGTCCGGGTGGTCGTAGACGGCGCCGAAGGCGTGCGAGACCGAGTATCCCAGCTCGCCGCCCTCGTGGATGGAGCCGGGCGTCTCGGGCGTGGCGTGGGAGCCGATGCCGCCGGGGAAGGAGAACCACTTGAAGAAGCGCTGCATGCCCTCGATGTCGAGCGACTTGTCCGGGTAGACCTCGGAGTAGACGCCCTCGAGGTACGACTGGGCGAGGACGGCGGGGGCGCCGTGGCCGGGGCCGGAGACGAAGAAGGCATCGAGGTCGTACTTCTTGATCAGGCGGTTCATGTGCATGTAGGTGAAGATCTGGCCGGGGGCGGAGCCGTAGTGGCCGAGCAGGCGGGCCTTGAGGTGCTCCTTCTTGAGGGGCTCGCGCAGCAGCGGGTTCTCCTTGAGGTAGATCATGCCCAGGGAGAGGTAGCAGCTGGCGTTGAAGAAGTCATTGTAGACCTCGATCTCCTCCTTGGAGAGGGGATTGCCCTTGATGGTCGAGCGGGCCGGGCCAAAGGCCGAGAGAGACTTGACGTCGTCGCCCATGTTGCTGCCGGGTGATCGAGCTGCTGCTTCTGCTGCTGCAGGGAACCTGGTCTTGTTGTCACCTGGACGAGGGCGGTTGCAGCGAAGGTGGAGGGGAGGAGGGGAGGGAGCTTCGAGATGAAGGGGGGGAGATGTAGGGCAAGAAGCGGGACGAGAAGGGGACGGAAGCGAGGCGAGGCGAGGTCGCCCTCGCAGCTCTACGATATATAGCAGAGTCGCAGCATCGCCGATTCGGGCCACGGGCGTCCGTCCAAAAGCTTATTCGAGGCCGGCCGGGCCACCGCGAGCATGGCTCGTACGCCAGATCGCGCAGTCAACACGTCACTTGCAGGACGCCGAATGCAGCCCCCCAGACGAGGGGGGTGGGAGGGGGTGCGGTGTGTGAGAGCATTGCTCGTGTGGGATGGAGCTATGGCACGGCCATGGCATGGCGTGGATGGGTGGACGGACGGGCAAGAGAGAGAGAGAGCGAGAGATGGATGACAAGGGGAGTTGGAGGTGTGGACACGGAAGACTCGGATCATGGTTCATGGTTTCAATGGAGCTTCCGCGACGGCTCGTCCAGGTGCCCGCGGCCGGGTGCCTGCCGTCCGAGGTAATCGGCCCTCCCTGGGATTGTCCCGGATGGGCGCATCAGGCCATGGGCAAACAATTGCTCGCGGCGGTCGAAAGCAGCCAGGATGGATGCCAGGTTTGGGGCGGACGAGGGACGGGGGCAGTGGGCAGTGGCAGCAGGTGGAGCAGGTGGTTGACGTCCTCGACTGTCTTAGATGGGGCGCGACCTGCCGGGTGCGGGGCGGCGCGCGCGAACCGCCAGGTAACGGCTAACAGATGGGGGCGCCCGCCGCGGTAGGTTAGGTAGGTACCTCGCTCGCTGGCTCGCTGGCACGCTGGCACGCACGTCGCCCCCGTCACCCGTTTGTGACAGCCAGCCAGCCCGGCCTGCCAGATAGCGCAGGGATCCATCCGCAGGCAAATCGGCCCATGGGGCGCCACCACCACCGACGGACATGATGCCACCTCCCGCAGCTGACGGCGCCCGCGCGGCGAAAAAGTTAATTGTCTGGCCTGGCTGGTCTGGCTCGTCGTCCTGCGCTGCATGCACGCCAGGCGGCCAGCCCGGGTGATTGGCCGCCCGGCGGCCTGCTTGGCGGGCCGGAAGGGGCTTGGTCGAGGCCTGGAATGTTGGGTTGCTTGTGATTCTGGCAGCTGTCGTCGTCCGTCTGCTTTGACTTGCCTGCATCGTGCGTCGTCGGTCGGGGCCAGCGAGCCGCCCGCCGTCGAACGGGGCGCAGCCTGCATGCATCCGTCGCCTGGGGTGCATCCAAGTCGGACGGTATGTGCATTGGCACGGCATGGCCACTGCATGCATATTATTTTTGCCGTGATCAGCGCCATGTGCTGCACAATCTGACGACGGAGCTCCCCTTACCCCCCCGGTTGAATTCGTCGTCGTCGTCGAGGCGGCGGAGCTGGAGGGTTTGGAGGGGGGGCGGCGCCGCCCAACAACAAACAAACAATGTGATACGTATGATTTTTTTTTTTGTTCGTCCAGGGGCGACGAGATAAAACCACGCAGCGTGGTGAGAGCCCGTCCTGTCCTGACGGGTGGGATGATGTGGCTCACCGAGCACATGCCTTCGTGCTGTGACCGGGCAGGCTCTGGCGGCTCTCACCATCTGACGTCAAGGTGACGAGACATGGGCGGGCAGGCCACCCACGTTTCCACCCCTCTTCTTTCTCCTCGCCTCTCCTCGCCTGTCAATCCAGCCAGGGCTGTTCCTGTCTGACAGGACAGCGGGCGGTTCGCTTTCTTTGTGTTTGCTGGCGGCGTCCCTTCTGTGCCCGTTTTCTCTTCTCTTGTTCTCCTTTTTCCGGCGCACACACACACACACGCACAAGCACACACAAACGACAGTCCCACCATCCGTCCGAGTTCACTGGCCAAGAGAGAGACAGAAAAATAGAGCCGCACCGGCACACGAAGCCGAACCCCCCTGCCGTGCCCCCAGACAGCCTTTTCCTTAGGCCCNCGCCCTTCTTTAGCGGAAGCATCTGAGACACGGCGCGAGACACCATCGACGGCGAGACCTGCAAGCAGCCCAGAAAATAAACGACGGCAGCGCAGCAGCAGATGGACCACCACACGCACAGGCCTGAGACGCCTCAGGACCCGGATCCGCCCACGGTGCCCTCGCTGCCGGGCACTGGCACCGGGGGACCCTCTGGCGCCGGGTCCGGGTCCGGGTCCGGGTCCGGCGGCGGCGGCGGTGGTGCGGGCGGCCCGGACGGCCCGGCCGACTACTGACGGCGAGGCGAGGCGCTGTCATTGCTACCGCGCGCGCCCTGGATGGCGCTGCCCTTCCTCTTGTAACATGTTCATGATTGCGGTTGCAGGAGCAGCTACTTGACGAGACCGAGACGGCGATACCCGGTAGATTGAAATGGTTGACTCGGAGGGCACAGCACGACACAGCACAGGATAGGCAGGCCACTGTGTGTGCGACGACGATGGACATGAAGAAGGGAAAACAGGCCCCAAGACAGACGTGGCCGGTTCCCGCGTCGTGTACGAAGGAATATGACCAAATTGAAAGCATGAGCATGGACATCATGGCTCAATGCTGGTCTCCGCGGAATGATTTCCCTCAGCGCCGAGTCGGCCGTCCGTGCCGGCGCGGTCAGCGCAGCGCAGCCCGCCGCTTCCGCCGTGCTCGGGCTCAGACGTTCCAGTTCTCCTGTAACAGTGGTGAGCCCGACGTCAGCGCTGCCTGAACGAAATGCTGGTGATGATTTGTTGTAAAGTCGCCACCACCGCGATACGCTACCACCCTGAGCTTAGGCGCGTTGCACGGCGTTACGACTCGCCTCCGAGAGCCCGTCTCCCGAGCGCGGGCTGTCAACTCACAGCAGATTTAGTCGTTGCGCTCGTCGTTGCTTTGTTTAAAAACAAACAGAAGTCCTCCGATGCATAATGACCAGTCAATGTGATCTCAGTACCTCATCAGCTAATGGTGCTCACTCACTCATGCGCTCACTTAATACTTGACTTCAGTTGCTCCACCCCCACATAAACCTCCAATCCGACCTCACCCATCCTGACGTCGCACCTCACTCGGGCACCAACTCACTCACCCACTCACTCACTCACTCATCCCGCAACGCAAATTATCGCCCATCCGCCACCATGGACGGCTCCGGCAGCTCCCTGTCGCCCGAGGCAGTCGCCCTCGCCGCGCGCATGTTCGACTCGGCGCGCAGCGGCGACATGCCCATCTTCGAGCAGGCCCTGCCCGCGGGTCTGCCGCCCAACATGACCAACGACAAGGGCGACACCCTGGTACGTCATACATACCAGGATATCGCCCCTTAACCCGGGTGTGAACACTCAAAATGCTGACTGTGTTCGTCTTTTCCTCATGCAGCTCATGCTCGCTGCTTACCACGGCCACGCGGACCTCGTCCGGCTCCTCGTCCAGCACGGCGCGGACCCGAACCGCCTCAACGACCGGGGTCAGAGTCCCCTGGCCGGCGCCGTCTTTAAGAAGGAAGACGATGTCATCGAGGTAAGTCGCGAAGCTTCACCATTCTCCAGCGCAACCTGCTTTGGCCGCTGGCCTATTAGGGGAAACGATTGCTGAGGTTCCGGACTCATAGGCTCTGCTCGAAGGTGGCGCGGACCCCGACTACGGCAACCCCAGCGCGCTGCAGTGCGTCGCCATGTTCAAGCAGGAGGAGCGCTGGCAGGCCAAGTTCGAGAGCGCGCCGGGAAGGGGAAAGGCGCAGCCGCCGGGCGCTGCGTCCAAGGCGTAGGCGCTGGATTTGCGCACGAGTGTTTTGGCGGCGAGATACCCGGGCTGTCGTGAGCGGTGGTGAAACGCTCAGGAATGGGGCTTCGTGCTCATTCAAGTCGATTAATGTCAAGTGTAGGATGAATATGGATAGTACTGTATACGCACAGTGATGGAATGGCTTGCAAAAGAAAATCTCCGTGCACCCAGTCGCTGGCTGACCCGCTGCTGCTTTGCAACTCCAAACGTCAAAGGACTTTGGCGTGTCGTGAAGCTACCCTGAAAGGGAGGCTCTGGGCACCGTATGCCGCAGCAACGGCCATATTCCCACCAATTCGATCTGAAATTATAAAAAGGTGCGATATAGTGCCTTGCTGCCGTCTCCTCTCCAGACGAAATGTTTGTTCATGGCGTGCACGTTGCCATGGTTTAACAGCCGTGGCAATTGGTCGTGGGCAACCTGCGGAAAACCCACCATGACCGCACGGCACCGCGAATTCGCGCCTTTGTCTACCAGTCGCCAAGGCTAGGTACTGCCAGGGCTACTTGAAAGAATATTGAAAGCACTGTACTTGCGTCGTGCCGGTGAAAGGCGCCTGAACATAGCTATGCGAACCGCCTGGCAAAGGGGTGCTGGAACAAAACAGGCCGCGTCGCCCAGTTGCGGGAGCAGTCACTCATTCAGCCGCGAACACAATAGTAATTGTAGTCACTCTTCAATTCACTTTCACAATGGACGCTTTCTCTCATTGAGCCAGTCTATATAAATTTATTTTTCCCAGTGCGCCCGCCTTTCACTCCTCGCCTTCCCTCCCTTCCTTCTATACACGCACTCCCGAGATCTCCAACATCACGAAGATCTCGGTCAGCCCATCTCTCCTTAAGCATCAAGCGCCAAGAAGCGTCATCCCGTATAAACATCAGACAAAATGCCGTCGCAGCGTGGGGACAGATGTCCTACGATGAGCACCATCAGTCGTCCGGGAGACAATCACAACAGCCATGCTGGCAACCGCCGGGGGAGGCGTCCTGCTTTGAGCCTCATCTGCAATCCGGACAATCACAACAGTAACCATCCTGGCAACCGTCGACACCGCTCGAGTATCGCGGAGAGGAGGCAGAAACGTTGGGCACATCGGTACCAGGCGGTGAAATTGGGGAGTCCGAGCCGCGTCGAGCTCGACGCGCTGGCTTCCACCCGGCCCAGCATCCCGGAGCCGTTGATAATTCATTTCTCGGAGGGTATACACCGGCGTATCGGGGTTGAATGGGAGCACATCCCGCTAACAGCCTCGCCCAGAACGTCCAAGCCCACGCCTGGCCCAAAGCCCGAGCCCGGCCTTCAGCCCAAGACCGGCACCTCGTGGCGTGAACGGCAGGGCGGCGGCACGACGAAGAAGAGGCGTATTCATTCCCCAACTCCTGCCCGAGCTCCAGAAGATCCTGGACGGGTCAGTGCCGCTGTTCTCGGCGGTAGAATGTGTTCCTGTGGAAAACCGAGGCGATCTGTGGGACGAAACTGCCATGGCCAAGGCCCTCGACGAGCACCTCCCCAACCGCGCGGACTACAGGGACAGGACACACAAGTTCTACACGGAGGGGAAGAAGGTGGCGGAGTTGCTGCGCAGGCTCAGGCCCCTCTGCCAGCGGCGGTTGAAGGGGGGGTTCGACATGGAGGACACACCCTGGAGACGGACTCAATTGTCGGTGTGCATCAGCACCATCATAAGGATAATCATGAAGCGGCCGACGGAGGTGATACACGACCTGCGGAAACGCAGCCCAGGCCGGATCCCTGACGAGGAGGGCGAAGACTGGTACAAGCTCGTGACGCTCAAGGGCGAGCTGGGGGCGTTTATAGACGCGGTGGAGAAGCAGGACAGAGAGGATAGAGAGACTACTCCTCTCTTGTTCCGAGGCTATGCATGTTGTTAGCACAGCGTTCAGGGTTCAGCATCGCGCGGTCAATGGATGAAGATTTGACCAAGAGCGACGACATCTTCGCCTGGCTGTGCGTGTCTGCGTGCGGTGCCAGTGAACCCCGAGGCTCTGATGCTGTAACTATGCTTTACCGCTGCTATTTCTTGTAGTCCGTCGTCACCATCGCTGTCGAAACGCGATGGAAGTTGGAGTGCGATAACGGACGAGGTGCGAGCGTAGTTGAATGAATGGATGGACGTCAGTTTATGGTGGGGCAGCCCACATCCGCGCGGAGCGGGAGCCCTGGCCTGGGCAAAAAGACGGTGCCGCGGTGGACAGGCACTGCATGGAGGGGCAGAACGTCGCAGAAGGCACCAACTTCAGGTTACGTACCTCGCTCGCGCAGGGAAAGCCCCCAAAGGTGGTCCGTGCACTCCGGCCAGAGGCTGCAACATTTTTTGGACGCCGCCTGGACGCTGGAGCTGCTCGACCTCGACGACGACACGCCCACCAGACCACTCGCAGCATCGCCCTTGGACCCGTCCACGCCCGAACCCTCGTCGTCGTCCTCCTCCTCATCGCAGCATCTCGCCGACGGGTCACGGCAGCAGCACGCACCACCACCGCCCATCATGTCGTTCGGCGGGCAGACGCCCACCATCATCGTCCTCAAGGAAGGTAAGCGAGCTACCCCACCGCCCGCGCGGGCGACCCCCTGATGAAGCGAAAGCTGCTTGAGCCGCGTGCGACTGACGCCCGCCGCCAGGGACCGACACTTCCCAGGGCAAGGGCCAGATCATCTCCAACATCAATGCCTGCCTGGCCGTCCAAGCCACGATAAAGCCCACGCTGGGCCCCTACGGCGGCGACCTGCTCATGGTGGACGAGAATGGCAAGCAGACCATCACCAACGACGGCGCCACCGTCATGAAGGTTCGAGCGCCCTGCCCTGCCCTGCCTTGACCTGCTTTCACTCGGCGCCGCGCTCGAGAGCCAAAGCAAAGCGCTGACCCCCGAAAACAGCTCCTCGACATTGTCCACCCCGCCGCCCGCATCCTCGTCGACATCGCGCGATCCCAAGACGCCGAGGTTGGTGACGGCACCACTTCGGTCGTTGTCCTCGCCGGCGAGATCCTCAAGGAGGTCAAGGACCACGTCGAGCAGGGCGTCAGCTCCCAGATCATCATCAAGGGCCTGCGGAAAGCCTCCCAGATGGCCGTCAACAAGATCAAGGAGATTGCCATCAGCACCGACGAGGGCAACCGCCGCGAGACCCTGTCCAAGCTGGCCGCCACCGCCATGACGAGCAAGCTGATTAAGCGCAACACCGACTTCTTCACAAAGAGTGCGTCCCCTACCCCTGCCGTGCTGCTCGGACCTTGACCTGCCGTCGCCGATGCTAACCCTCCGCCTGCAGTGGTTGTCGACGCCGTCCTGTCACTCGACCAAGACGACCTCAACGAGAAGCTCATCGGTATCAAGAAGATCCCCGGCGGGTCCCTCACCGAGTCGCGCTACGTCAACGGCGTCGCCTTCAAGAAGACGTTTTCCTACGCCGGCTTCGAGCAACAACCCAAGTCGTTCAAGAAACCCAAGATTGTCTGCCTCAACGTCGAGCTCGAGCTCAAGGCCGAAAAGGACAACGCCGAGGTGCGCGTCGAGCAGGTGTCCGAGTACCAGGCCATCGTCGACGCCGAGTGGCAGATCATCTACAAGAAGCTCGAGGCCATCTCCAAGACGGGCGCCAAGGTCGTGCTTAGCAAGCTGCCCATTGGCGACCTGGCCACCCAGTACTTTGCCGACCGGGATGTCTTCTGCGCTGGCCGCGTCGCCTCCGAGGACATGGAGCGCGTCGTGCAAGCCACGGGCGCCACCATCCAGTCGACGTGTTCCGACATCCTGCCCGAGCACCTCGGCACGTGCGGCACCTTTGAGGAGCGGCAGATTGGCGGCGAGCGCTTCAACTTCTTCGAGGAGTGCCCCGAGGCCAAGACGTGCACACTGGTGCTGCGCGGCGGCGCCGAGCAGTTCATCGCCGAGGTGGAGCGCTCGCTGCACGACGCCATCATGATCGTCAAGCGGGCCATCAAGAACCACCTCATCGTCGGCGGCGGCGGCGCCGTCGAGATGGAGATCTCGGCCTACCTGCACCGCTTCGCCGACAAGAACATCCCCCACAAGCAACAGGCCATCATCAAGTCCTTCGCCAAGGCCCTCGAGGTCATCCCCCGCCAGCTGTGCGACAACGCCGGCTTCGACGCCACCGACATCCTCAACAAGCTGCGCGTCGAGCACCGCAAGGGCAGCACCTGGGCCGGCGTCGACTTCAAGAACGAGGGCGTCGCCGACATGATGGAGCGCTTCGTCTGGGAGCCCGCCCTCGTCAAGGTCAACGCCCTCCAGGCCGCCACCGAGGCCAGCTGCCTCATCCTCGGCGTCGACGAGACCATCCGCAACGAGGAGAGCGCCAAGCCCCAGGCTCCTGGGCAGCTGCCCCCCGGCGCGGCCCAGAGGGCGGTCCGCGGCAGGGGACGGGGTATGCCTCGCAGGTAAAGCAAAGTAAAATGATGGAAGTGGTTGAAAAGAGTCTTTTTTTTAATACGGGAATGAATCTGTATGATACCTTAGATATGGGTAAAGAAAAAACGACGACCACCTCTAGACTGGACATTTGTCGCTTCCCGCTCCCCCTTTCCCTTACGGCCATGGTTCCCTCCCAAAACGCCCTCGATAAGACATCAAGCGTGAAAGCATGCATTAATCCGGACGCCGCTGAGGCGTCCATCCCACCCCCATTGATATGCCAGACCGCTGTATTCAAGAATGCAGAAACGTTTCTTCCATGAGTAGAAGAAAATGGAAAAAAATTTCAAGAGTGCTGCTCCTCCGTGCCCTCAAAGCCAAACAAAGCCAGAGTCCAACTCCGTGCTGTCAAGACCAAAACATTCATGAGTCCTACTCCGTTCCGTCGAAGTTGACGTCGTACAGCCCCCTGTCTGCTGCTTCGCCGGCTCTCCGCCCGCCGCCGTGCAAGCCGTGGTCATCATCGTCGGCGGCGGCGTCACCGACCACGTCGTCCAGAGAGTCGCCCATGTCCGTGTCGCCGTTGCCGCCGCTGCCGGGTGGTGCGCCGGATGACCCGCCGGGTGGTGCTCCGCCAGTGACGACGTCCGCATCGTCGACGCCTACGCCCACGCCGACGTCCACGTCGTCCTGCTCGATGAGCATGTCGAGGTCGCGATCCACGGCCGAGGGGTCTGCATCCGCGTCCGTCTGGTGGCCGGGCACCACGCCGCTGACATCGACGTCTACGTCCACGCCGACGCCGACGCCTACGTCGTCGTCCTCGGTGGCGTTGAGGAGGGCCTGGAAGTCTGCGTGCTGGTGGTAGTGGTCGAAGGGGCTGCTGTCCTCGGGTGCGCTGTGAGCGTCGGCGTGCGTGTGGGCGCTGGAGCCGTCGTCGGTGTGTGACCCGCCGCCGTGGTGGAGGTGGTTGTGGTGGTGATGGTGGTGGTGGACTTGGTGATGGTTGATGATTTGCGGGTCGATGGGCTGGTATACGTCTGGAGAGGCGTGGTGGTGGCCCGTCGGCTGGTCTTGCAGCATGGGGTTGTGGTGATGGTGATGGTGATGATGGTGCGGTGCGTGGCCGTGGTGAGCGTGGTGCAGGGTTTGGTCCGAGGATGTGTGCGAGGGCAGGACGGAGATGTCGCTGGGGTTGGCGTAGGCGCTGCCCGGGCTGGTTGTTGGGCTGGGCTGCGAGAAGGCGGACATGAGGCCATGGTGGTTCTGCTGCAGCGCGAGGACCCTCTCGGCGGCGTCGAGGGGCTCGTTTTGGTGGTGGTGGTGGTGATGAGCGTCTGTCAGAGCGCCGGCACCCGCTGCACCGTCCACGAGGCTTGGTGTTGTCGCCGTCGTGGTGCTCGTCGTCGTAGTCGCAACCGGCGTCGTGGCCGCGCTGCTGCTCCCGGCCCGCCGGCTCGTGCTCGCTGACAAGCCGCCGCCGTTGGCCCCGTTGCTGCCGGGCACAGACTTGCCCAGCTCCTTGCACTCGCTGCAGGCCCGGATCACGTCGCTCACCGTCTCCTTGATCCTGCTCCAGTGGTAGCGCTCGGCGATGGTTGCCGTCGTCTTGTTGATGCCGCCGTGGTGCAGCGCGTGCACGCCCCGCGCAATCTCATACTGCCGCGCCGGGTCGGAAATGACCTCCTTGTCCTTGAGCATGAGTTTGTCCCCCGCGAGTAGCTTGTAGTGCGTGGCTGCGCTGCGCAGGCGGCTCTTCTCGGCGCGGTCCGCCCCGTTAGGATATTTGCCCGTCTTGAGATAGTAGCGGATCTTGTCAAAGCGCTCCTCGCTGATCAGCTCGTCGCCGTTGCCGTTGCCGTTGCTGATGCCCCCTTGAGGCAGGTCGCGGCCGTATATGATGGCGTCGATGAGCCGGTCCGGGTGGCTGCGCAGGTTGCCGCACGCCTTGACTCGACCGATGCGCTTGAAGCCCAGGGCGTCCCATATGCGACACGAGGCGACGTTGGTCTCGTACACGAGGTTGAAGACGCTGTAGGTGTAGCCCAGCCGCGGCGCCCAGTCTATGTACGCTTCGCCCATGAGGCGACCTACGCCACGATTGCGCGACCCGTCCGTCACGATGAAGCTCCCGTTGCAGACGTGGCTGCTACGACCAGGGTAGTTGGGCTTGATGAAGAAGCTGCCCAGACACTCACGTGCCCAGTCCCGGCCCTCGACCACGTCGTCGGCAGAATCGATGCTCCCGAGAAGCATGACGGCCCCAAACGTCTGAAACCAGTAGTCGGCGAAGGCGTCGGCGGTAAAGGGCTCCGTCATGGGGTAGGTGTCGCCGCTGTCGATCTCGCGGTTGAGCTGGTCACTCAGGTAGGCCAGCAGCGAGGGCGGGACGCGGTGCCGCGACGCAAAGGGCACGATGGTCGCGACGGTCTGGCGATCGCGCAGCGTGACCTGGCGCGGGACAATGTCCGGCGGCAGCCCCGGGTCGTTGGGGTCCGGGAACGGCGCCTGGCCCGAGACCCGGTAGATGGTGGGGCCGCTCGGGTCTTCCATGACGGCAGGCATCTTTTCCGGCTGGGCGAGGCCACTCGACCGACTCCTCCGGCCGTGCGCCCGCTCCGGGTTGCCCTACTCGACACCAGGCGTCAAAGCAAGCGAGCAGATCCGCTGAGAGCTGTTTATCAAATCCGTCAGTCCCCGGCTTTGCACACACTATGCCAACTCCTTCACGCGCGGCGATTGTGACTCATGATCCATCATCACCCATGCGGGCATGAGACCACCCGCCAGGATGCAGAGCATAAAACGCACTGCAACGCAATGCCGCAAGAGAGGGCCGGGTACAGATTGTCCACGTACCCTGACCGAGTCTCGTCCAGTGTCTCGCAGCGGCCACGGTTGCGGGCCTGCACTGCGATGCACTGCACTGCACCGCACCGCACCGACGGCACGACCCGGGCTCGCCTAAAACCGAGGCCAGACAACGGGCTCTCGTTTCGCCACCAGAGGCGCGCATCCACTTGCGCTGGCTTGCTGGCTGTGTGCTAAGGACGGGCGGGCGGCGGGGGTGGTGCGTGTGCTCCCCGGTCTGCTGTGCTGAAATGTTCGGTCGGTCGTGAGGTGTTGTGCGTGGTGAGGGGAAATTCGCAGCCAGGGCGAAGTTTCCAGCCCGGCCTGTCGGGCCGCTGCCTTAATCTGGCGCGGCAGCCAACCGCCCGCCGTCGTCCACCTGCGCCGGACCCGCTGCATCTGACCCGGCGCGGGCGTTTATCCGCTCCGACATGCGGATTGTGGATGCGTGCAACCACCAGTGCGGTATGGCCTGTTCTAAAGGCGCGCTTCCACTGATCTGTACAACACGACAAGCGCGCTCCGTTAAATGGAATGCAATGCTGGAAATCATATCGATGGTACAGCCCTTCGCTCTAGACTATATCTGCTATTTGTACATTCGTGGTTTCCCCACTTCACCACGACAACTACTGGCCCCCCTTGACAGCCGCCTCAATGTCGGCCGTCTTCTCCCGCACGCCGTGGAGCTGAGCTTCAATCTCGTCCAGTCGCGGGTCGGCCTTGATCTCGGCTTGTCGTGCTGGTGGCGCATCCACCGCCTCGCCCATCATCTGCACCATCTCGTCCTCGGTCACGTCCAGCTCGACACCCTTGTACTGGGACCGCAGGATGTTCTGCTCCTCCTCCGTGAACCCTTGGATATCGGACTGCATCCGGCCCATGACCTCCTTGCGCTTCAGCACCGCCGCCTGCACCTCCTTCTTCATGTGCCGCGTCAGCTCGGGCGACGTGCTCCACGAGACGCTACCCCGAGCGGCGTCGGCCAACCTCCTCTTCTGGCCCTTCTCGCCAGCCCTGCCGAGAACTCCAGCCACAACGGCCATGGCTCGCAGACTATGAAAGGTGTCAGCATTTGATAACTCTTGCAGAGTTGTTCTGGCTTACCTGTCGTCGTTGGCAGGGATCGTGTACGTGACCCAAGACGGATCAACGTTGGTGTCGATGACGCCGATCGTGGGAATGTTCTTGAGACCGCACTCGTAAAGCATCGTGTAGTTCTCGAGCGGGTTCAGGCACACCACAAGGTCCGGCAGCAGCGGCCTCGCCATGCCCTTGTACATGTCGAACCCGTCGAGTTCGCCGTCCAGGTGGTCCACCACCTTTGTGCCCTGCGTCTTGAGGATCACGTCTCGATTCGTGATCGCGCCCGGCGTCCACTTAGTGAACAAGTGGCACGCGCCAGCCATCTCAGCCGCCTTGGTCACAATCTCCATCTGGCCCTTTCGCGTGCCGACGAAGAGGGTAACGCCGCCCCGGTAAGCAACCTCCTCGACCACGCGGGCCGCCCGCCGCAGATGCGCCGCTGTCGTCTCCAGGGAAATGACATGAATTCCCTGGCGCACACCGTAGATGTACCGCGAGTTTGCCGGGTTCCACAGCGACGTGTTGTGGCCCATGTGCGTCTGCGACGCCATGAGCAGCTCCAGAGTCACGTCTTCGGGCGCTGGCGGGTTGCTGATGAGCTCCGTCGGGACATATCGCCGCTCGACGCGCGAGCCAAGGCTTCGCGTGTTCTTTTGGATGCGCTGGAACTCGGCAAACTGCTGCGCCGGCGTCATGACCTCGGAGCCAACTTGATGTGGCTTTGTCCACGCAGCCCCCTGATGCTCCTGAGACGAGTCGGCGCCCAGGCTCATGATGACCTCTTGTACAATCTTTTGCTTCTTCTTCTTCGATGATGTCGACAGCTTCGGCGGCGCTACGGCGGCCTGCGGCGTCGGCCACGCCTGGTTTGCGGCATTGGTGCTGTTGTCGGTCTTTGTTTCGGTAGAGAGCTGTCGGAGAGCGCATCGCGTGACAGCCGGTGCAAGGGCACGGCGGCCTGAGCATGAATGAGCAATCAATCGGGTGAGTAGCGCGGAGTCAAAGCACTTACCATGCCGCACTGCGACATTTCTTATTATCATCGCGGCGTCCAATGCCAGCTTTCGGGAACGCGTTGTCGCTGGTCGTTGAGTCTCCAAATTTTAGATCAGCTTGAGTGCCAGACCAGCCGGCGCAGGGGTGCTACTGAGCACTCTCCGGAATCAAGTATTTTCCGGCCCGCCACCCGCGCAACTCACTAATTGGACCTTCACCCGTCCGCACTATGAGCCGATCAGACCATCACATATCGCAATGCCATTGCTGGTGAGGGGGAAAAAAGGAGGTTGTGATGGGAGAAGAATTGGCATTAATGACAAATGAGAAACTCTATCGAGACACGGTACTATATTTACAGTCTCCGACAGCAGACTTCGTAATGTCGTTACACGAGCTACAGCAGGTCCACTTATCGGCTGGTCGCTCTAGCAATGGTGAAAACGCCAACAATGACGACGGCCAAGGTGACAATGGCGCCAGGGAGCAGCAGGTCGTTGGGAACTCCGGCAATGAGCTGCTCCTGGACCTGCGAGGACCGCGATCTCCGCGTGCGGCGCCCGGTAGCCAACTCCTCCTCTTCCTCGTCTTCGTCCTCCTCGTCGTCATCATCGCGAGCTCTCCGGCGCTCACGCAGGCCAGAGGCCGTGGAGGTAGGCGGAGTAGGGATCGCCACGGGCTCAGGGACGGGCGCGGGAGCAACGGGGGGCTTCTCGGGATCGTGCACAAACAGGTCGACCTTTTCGCGGTGACGCTGACGAGCGAGCACGATGGCCTCGAGCAGGTCGTTGTCGGTCGTGATGGAGACAGTATCACCCTCATCGTCCATGTAGCTGAGGGCAAACCCAGCGCCGCTCATCTTGCCGTCCTCGACAACGGGCGCGCCGCCGATTCCGTCCACCTCGTTGCCAAGCTTAGAGGCAACAGCCGCGACGAAGGCCTCCATGCCCTGTGCCGCCGTCACTTGCAGGCGATGAACGCGCCCGGACGGCGCCTTGAACTTGAAAGGAAATGGGGTTTCCGCAGGGCTCACAATCTCGGGAGTCTCTGGAGCGATCGACCGTGGGGGAGACTCTGCGCCGGCATGCGAAGCAGAGTCACCGGGGGCAACGCTGTCCCCAAGGCGGTCGCGCGTAACGTCGGGAGACATGACGCGTGAACCGAGGTTCGTGTGGTGGTGGCTCTGGCTGCCGTCGCCCGACATCATAGACTCGGTCTCGTGGTCAATCGAAAGCCAAAACTTGTTCCAAGCAGGACCCTCTCCGTCGCCACTAGACATGGTGTTGATCTGCTCGAGAGTCGCATACGTCAGCTTGAGCACGTCGACCATGCCCACGATTTCGCCGCCGTCGTTCATAACCGGAAGGTTGAGGTAGTGCCCATCTGCAGCACCGATTAGCCAGGGGCGGTCGACATGTCTCAATTAAAGGGGCTCTTACCGTGCATCTTGCGAAGGGCCGCCTGGATGGTCATGTCCATTGGAGCAAAGTCGGGATGAGGCGTCATGACGCGCACCACACTGCAATTGGCAGGATCCAGCCCAGGGGCGATAACCCGAAGCACAACATCCTTGCTTGTGAAGATGCCCGTGATGGCGCCCTGGTCCTGGACAAGAACAGCCGTGGTGTGGTTCTCCTTCATCAGAGCCGCCGCCTCCTTGACAGACGTGCGAACGCTCACCGTCGTCGGAGGGATGCCATTCAGGACAGACTCGAGAGTAGGTCCAGACATCTTGCTGCGGAGGGCCTCGACGTACTGAATGATCTGCTGAGGCTGGGTGGAGCCAAGCTCAGAGTGAACGCCCTCAAGCGCATCGTAAAGCTTCCTCGACGACGAATATGCACGCTCGAGCTTCTCCATCGCGTCGTAGAAGCACTTGGTAATGTCGAGGACGCCGGAAATGTCCTGGTTCTCGTCCATGACAGGGAGGTGGCGGAAGCCCTTGCGAACCATGAGGTCCAACGCGTCAGTGGCACTCGTGTCGGTTCGGGCGCATAGGGGGTTCTTGGTCATGATCTCGGCGATGGTTACGTTGGCAGCCTTCTGACCGGCGCCGACAACGCGGAAGGCAAGATCCTTGGCGGTAAAGATGCCAGCAATTCTGTCATCGTCGTCCGTGACGAGAACGCAGTCCTCTCGCTTCGCAGCCATGAGCTGGGCGGCCTCGGATACGGTCGTGGCGGGCTTGATCTGCAGGGCCGGGCTCGGTTTCAAGGCCAGGACGGTGCCCGGGGGCGCTTTACGGGTATGGCGGGCCCGGTTCGTAAGGTGCTTCTTCTTGGAGAGGTCATTCTCCAGCTTCCTGCGGATGGCCTGCGAGGGCAACACGGTCAGCGTCCTCTTCCGGACCCGGTTCCGCAGGGCATGCATCCCGTACCTCATCGCGCTTAGACTGCTTCTGCCGACTCGCGCTGACGGAGGAGCTGGTCTCGCTCGGCTGGCTGTCGAGGACGGGGCGAGGGATGCTCGAGCCGCCGGCAGGACTGTTGGCAAAGGGAATCGCTCCCCGGCTCTGGTTACGGTTGGGCGTCCCCCTCATCGTGCCAGACATGACGGGCGGTATTTCCAACGACGGGCGGCCGTTGGGGGAAAGGTCGGGCTGGTTGAAAGTCAATCAAGGCGACGCGCACGAAACGGGGTCGCGTCTGGGTTTCGGCTCGCGGGACGTGCAGCAGGATGGGGCAAGCAGGTGCAAGCAGCCAATGCCACCGGGCAGGAGATGGCAAAGTTTTCGAGGAGGCAAGCCAAGCGACTCTCGCAGAACTCGGGGTTGAAGGTGAATGGAAAGGTTTCGCTTCGCTTCCGCAAATTATCGTGTCCACGAGGCCCCGGCTGTTGACCAGGGTCGGGTCTTGGGTCCGAGGGGCAGCCGTGCGGGAGGTTGCGGACTGCCCGAGCAGGTGCTCTGTGATGGGAGGTCCAGCGAGCTTCAGCGCTGCCGCCACCGGGCACAGTGGAGGCCTAGACCGCCTGGGCTGCCAGAGGTGTCCAGCTGGTGTGGACCTGGGCACCTCAGCGCGGGTGGGGAGCTGCTCCGGGCGCCTCAGGTGCCTGGGCTGCCCGAGCTGGAGGGGGCGGCGGCAGGCCGGGGGTGCCCGGTGGACCGTGGGAGGCACCAGGCCGCGGGGACTCTCCATTCGTCTCCTAGGCTATCCACGTCCCGTCCACTTCCTCACGACCAACGGCCTGTTTTCCAGAGGCGCGACCACGTTGTCGAGGCGACTGGTGGCTGTGCCCTCAATCAATCAGCACTCTCGCCCACCCGCTCCTTTCGCCGGAACTTCATTCCACCTCGCCGACTGTTGATGGTGTTCGGAGACGCTGTCAGCGGCCATTTTGTGCGCAGGATTCGGCTCACTTGGTCCCTTTGGCGTGGTCCGTCCGTCGGTGCGCCGAGTTGGTCTCGTCCGTGCTGTAAGCATGGCGTGTTCAGAGACACCCCGGGGAAGCATCACGAGATGGTCACTGCGGAGCTGCAACGTCCCATTCGCCTCATTCGCCGGCCTCGCGCTAAGCAAGATCCATGCTCCTCGATCGAGATGTTCGAGCAGGCATCCCCCGTCCCGTGGACGAGCTGTCTTTCTTCATCGTTGACGAGATTGCGCACACGGACCTGGTGATCCAGAGGCTCGGTCGCGGTGCAGGTCGATTACCCTACACTTTCTCGTCAGACACGGCAATGCATGTTTTTGAACCGAGCTGCCGCAGAGGCTTCCAGCACGGCGCCACCAATGCAGCCGCGGAGTCAGGATTCAGAAACAATTATTTCGTGCTCTTGATAGGGTCACACAGGGAGAGCTGTTTACTTTGGGTGGGTTCATCGCCCAGATCGGGTGGCTCTGCCCAACGCCCCGTGGATCAAGTCTTTTACTTTTTGCACAAGCTTCCGCGCTTACCGATCTGACCCCACGAACAACAAGGCATTGTCAATGTCCTCATGGCAAGGGCAGCCAGGCCGCGCGACAAAAGGGAGGAGTCAGTCTTACGCGCATCATTTCGTGCGGTGAAGCCTCAGGGCCGCTACGGCCCGTGGACGGTTTCGAGGGATGTCGGACCAGACGCCCTAGCTCCGACCCTGTGTTAAACAGTCGACGCGCCCCGAAAACCGGCATTGTCCCATCACGGCGGCTCTCGCATGATCTTGCTCAGGTTGTCGGCGGCAACTGGCACGAAGCTCAGGGCCGCGCCGCGCACGCCGCGTCTAAGTATAAGCCACGGGGCCGCCGCCGCTGCAAGCCGCAGCGAACGACGCCGCGCGCGGGCATCACGAGACTTCGGATCTCTCGACTGCGCGGCCGGTGAATGGCCGGCCAAGCGCAAATGAACCTGAGCAAGGTTTCGCAGTGTCTCAAAGTGCTCAGCCGTGGGCGCCGTGGTGACGTGATGGGAGGCTGTTGGCCAGCCGGCCCTCCCTGGTCGGCGCATCGGGGGGTTGCCCTGGCAACGGCGACAACAACCGCGGATTCCATGACCACCTTGGGGTGCCCTGTCACATCCCGACCGCCCATGCGTGCGTCCCGCATCCACTCTCTCCAAATCCTCCGTCCGTTCTCTTTATAGCATCGCAAAGAGAACGAATTGGTTTCTCCCGCACCTTCACGCTCCCGTCTTTGGCGGAGAGGATCATATACACATATCTACAACCCGTACAGACAGAGGCGCGAGCCCCGTCGCACTTCACGACTTACACGCATCTTACCTCTCGCCTGAATAAGGCGCATATATATACCAGAATATTTAGCGATCGTGGAAGTCGCCCTCGACTGAGCACGACCGCAACAACACCCTAGCCCGGCGCTCTGTGCTTGCGCTGCGTGAGGTAAGTCCCCTCTCACGCTGCTGCTGCTGCCGCTGCTGCTGTGCTCGGCCACCTGCGCCGGGACCAATCGACGAGAACCGCGCGTGCAGGCCATGCGGCGAGACGCTTGAGCCCGCGAGAACTGACGGCGTCGCACAACAGTTTCGGACCAAGAACGGTTCCTTTTGACAACGACAACCGACCGACGACAACTAAGCCCCCTTCCGGACTCCCCTCGCGACAGAAGTAATGCTGTCCCATCCGACAAACAGGCTTCACGCCAGGCAGAGGCAACACCGCCGCCAAAACTCGACCCCCTCTGCCTTCGAAGGCGTGAAGATGCCAGCCCTGCCCAACCCCAGCAGTCAACGGCCGGCCGCCGGCCATCAGCACCATCGCCGCGGCCTTAGCCTTGACACCCGACGACAACACCACCAGCAGGACTACAAGGTAAGCACTAACAACACAGGACTAGCACACGTCTCGCAGCATCATGTTTTGCGAGAAGCGCAGCAGCAACGCACACAAGCACGCCCGGGCACACAAATGCTGCAGCACCAGCAGCAGCATCACCACCAACAGCAACAGCAACAGCAACAGCAACAGCAACAGCAACAGCAACAGCAGCAACAATCATCACAACAGCACTACGCCTCAGCGCTGGCGTCGTCTGACAGTGAAAACTACCTCATCTCTCCCCATGATACCCCCCAGTCTCAACGGTTCGACCCGGCGACCTGCTTCGATGTCGGCGCCGGCCAATTCAGCGCCTACGATGCCCAGCTGAACCTCATGTTGCAGAAGAATCAGGAGAGCTTCAATAGCAACATGACCGACGGCAAGGAGTTTGACCTGTACACCAACGACAGCGCTCTCTCCACGCCGACGTTCATGCACTTTCCCGACAGTCCTTCCGCGCAGGGCTGGTCCTCAGAGGGCGCCTCCCGGAGGGGCTCGCGGCGGATCAGCAACGGCATCGTGGACCGCGTGACCAAGTTCGAGAACCTGAGCATGGAGGAGTTGCAGAGGCCAATGACGCCGCCAAATCAGAATGGACAAAGTAAGTTCCGACACCGGTGTGGATAGTTCATGCGATGCTGAAGCCAGTGCAGACCAGTTTCCCCCTACCCCTATGGAGACGCCACATGACCGCCTTGTCAAGCAGGAGTCACGACCGGACCGGTTCAGCGATGACTACGACGAGTCAATGGAAGAGACGATCAAGCCGCGCCGGGCGCGGTCAAGCCAGCGGACACAAGACATCTTTCAGGAGATGCGGCAGCAGGCAGAGAGACGCTCCCCGGCGGTGCCCAGCCCTCCGAGGTCGGGTGCCTTGCCCGCGAGCAAGACATTTGCCGGCATGCCGATGCAAAACACCGACTTCATGACAATGAGCTCGCTGAGGAACGAGTTTGCCAAGATGGACGGTGGGTTCGAGCAGGTGCAATACGAGCAGCCCGAGTCGATGCACTCCGGGGCGTCAGACGCCTCGCACCACTCGACGCCGGCCGAGATGGGACACTACATGGGCAGCTTCGACGAGACGCCCGGCTTCCAGCCCCTGACGCACGGGGAGGAATCTCCGTCGGGATCGCCGTCACGGCGCAAGTCGCCGCACCGCCGCACTGAGTCCGTCGCGAGCATCACGAGCGCGGCCAGCATCGCGAGCATCAACATTGAGGAGACCAAGACGGAGACGGGCGTGACGATGGAGGAGATTGCACAGTATATCCGCAGCCCCGAAACGACAGACGGCAAGTGGACATGCTTGTTCGACGACTGCGGCAAGATGTTTGGGCGCAAGGAGAACATCAAGTCGCACGTGCAGACGCACCTGAACGACCGGCAGTACCAGTGCCCGACGTGCCATAAGTGTTTCGTGCGGCAGCACGACCTCAAGCGGCACGCCAAGATCCACACGGGCATCAAGCCGTATCCGTGCGACTGCGGCAACAGCTTCGCGCGGCACGACGCGCTGACGAGGCACCGCCAGCGCGGCATGTGCATCGGCGCTTTTGACGGCATCGTGCGCAAGGTTGTGAAGCGTGGAAGGCCAAGGAAGAACAACCGCCCGGACATGGAGACGCGGCTCGAGAAGTCAGCGCGCCAGCGCAAGAAGAACATGTCGGTAAGCTCCGTATCGTCGGCGTCGGGCTACTCGGACAGCTCAGCCCCGAACTCGCCCGAGTACAACATGCTCGACGACGTAGACCTTGCCGACATGGCCAGGGGCTTGTCGGCGTCATCGTCGGCTCCCATGCCGCTTATGCAAGCCACGGCGGCAATCCCTCCGTCCATCGACCTGGCCGACATGGCCATGTCGCCCGAAGCCGAGAGCGTCCACTCGTACGTATCACCCGAGGCCATCATGGAGAAGACGCTGTCGAAGCCGGCCACGCCCGCCAGGAGCGTCGCGAGCCTGTACACGACGCCGCCCGACCTGTCGCAGTCGTCGTCGCCGCCGCCTGCGCACTTCTTCGACGTGGACCCCAACACGAGCGCGAGCACCGACGCCTGCGATCTGGGCGTCATGTCGGCTCCCTGCACGACGGCCCCGATGTCCGAGTCCCTGACCATTGGCATCAATGACCACGACGACGACCTGCTGCTGCAGTTCGCGAGCGACGAGGGCCTCGTCCAGCTCGACCGCGGGGCTGACATGCTGATGATGAGCAAATTCGACGACGAATTCGACAATGTCGGCATGTTTGGCAACGACGACATGTTCTTTGGTAGCTCGTGAGCGCCAGCTCTCGCCGCGGCTCTCCGCATCTTCCACCCGTCATATATGATGCCTGTATGTACTCTCAGCATGATGTTACGTCTTTTGTCTCGGGCTGTCGTTCAGCCCCGGTCCTCCTTCCTGTCACAACCACCTCTTCGTCACGTCTCTTTTTCGACCGCTTGCTGTCCGGCTCGAGGCCGGCCAACCTGCAGCGTCTGACGTCTCTTTCTCACCCTCCCCCTTTCCCCGGTCTCCCCAAAGGAAAATGTAATGACGACCACGCGGAAACTTGACGCCGGCAACGGGGGGATGGCGCTCCATGATATCGACCTTTCTGTACTATAGGATACGGGAAAATAAGCACAAGGGTAGACAAACTGGGAATGCTTTTGTTTCGACTTGAGGGCGAACGGGTTTATGTTTTCTGGAGCCAAGGCGCGGGGCGGGAGTGGCTGGCTGGCGGCGATGCGCCGCCGCTGGGCTTGCCGTTGCCGCTGGGTCTCTGCGCCGCGCGGAGTTGATTTTGCTTTGGTATCTAGAATATGAATCGACCTTGGGTTGAGACGAGCCTCTAGTGTGCGTTGCATTGCGTTTGTGACTGTGAAAGTGTCGGCTGCCTGCGGCGTCGTTCGTGCCTTGTTCGAGCACGAGATGTGAACGGCTGAGGTTGTGCCTGGGCGGCGCCACAGTGAACGGTGCAAGCTGGCCTGGAGCTGCCCCTGTCTTCCCCTCCACACCCACTGTCCCGCCCGACTTCACTCTCCGACTCATCCCAACAAACGGCAGAACACAACGAAATTCTGCAAAGAGGCGCGGCATGACGGAGCGAGAGAACAAAACCTAACGCTCCACGGCCGCCGTCATGCTCACGCCGACAATTGCCAACCGGCTCAGCTGGTTGTACGCCGTGGGCAACACGCCGGCCACTAACCTCGCACGAAGCGTCCCCCACGGCGAGGACGCAGGCATCCTGACCCTCGGCTGCGGCGATCTCAGAAACATCCTATACACCGCATATGTCGAGAAAGGCCTCGGTATGGTGGATCTCTTGCTGACGGACCATTTCGACCTTGGTTCTGACACGCTGTCCAGCCCGCAGAAAGCTTGACTTTTCGTGCTGCGATTATGACGAGAAAGTCATCGGTATGCCACACACACAAGCGGTGGCACGGCTGGCAATGCTAACCGTCACAAGGTCGAAACATCATCTTCTTGACCTTTGTCCTGGACCGAGACGAAAACGTCACGGATGAGTCGCTGTGGAATATTTACTACCACCTTTTCTTGGATGACGCTACTTCGGAGCTCGTCCTTGGCCAGACGCAAAAGCTCGTCTCGCTCCTGGAGTCTCTTGAGGCGTGGAAGAAGGGCCCTTACCACAAGATCCTGCGATTTTGCGACAGTGACACCCTAGATGACGTCCGGCGCGTCTGCCAACGCGTGCTCAAGGCGTCGCGGTCGCGCAATGAAGCCGCCCATCGCAAATCCTTTGCCAAGTGTTTGCAAACCACAAAGGCCTTATTCAACCGAGCCGCCGGGGCTGGTGGCCAGAGCGTTTCGGGCCTCCGTTCAGCGTCTCCACTATCGCTCATGGCCGTGGACAGTGTCTCCAAGGCGAGCATTCAGTATACCAGGGATGGTACCGTGACGCCGAGACCCAAAAGCGTGGACGTTCCAAACCCGATGTTTGCAGGCCTCCTCTCGGAAACTGAGATTCTCCACTACGGGACGGATCCTGTCCTGGGGTACCATCTCGCCACGGCCTTTGCGCCGCTGGCGAAGAATTCGCCGCTGAGACCTGAGGGCGCGGATAACTCGTTCAAGGCTGCCGCGGCTGCCAAGGCCCAATTTCGCGAATGGCTGTCTGCTCTGCGACTGCTCGTGGGACAAGGCGTCGTGTTTCGGTTCGTAGTGGCAGAGGTTTACGCCTTCTGCCATACACTCCAGCGTGCGGCTGCAACGGGACAGCCGTCGGCAAACTGGTACCGACGGCAATGGGACCTCAAGCAGCTTCGTCTCGATGACAGCGTATACGGAGCTGCCGGCAAAGGCCCGACGGCCTTTGACGTGATTGACACGTCCAACCTATCCGACCATGTTGGGCCACTTAACATTCTGGTTTCCACGACTCCTTTGCTGAAAGCCACGCCGTGGGCTACTCTCCATACCGAGCTCATGCTGAGCAAGCACAGATCGCTGAAAGAAGCCTTGAACGGCTTCCTTTGCGGGCACGCACCTACGGTGTCTCTACTCCTTGGTGTCAGCCCAGTTCAGTATTGGGCCAACGCAAAATGCGAGTCGCACGTGGACGAGGTCTTTCTCGGACTCATGACCGAATCCGCCGAGAAAGCCCAAGGCGAGACGCAGCTCCACAGCCGGCTTTCTTGGAAGCGTGATGACCAGTTCTCTGGGCGGCTGAATGGCCGAGGCCCGTTGCACATGGACGCAACGACCCTGTCCAGGCTGCTTTTCCAGATGTACCTGGAAATGTTCAATACGGAAGAGTATGCGGGTATTTTGAAGAACGCGAATTCGAGGGGTGCAATCTATCCCAGTGTCCACCGGGGGAGCTTTGCTGCCCTGCTGAAGGTGGTCATGCATCGAGTCAAGACGGACTGGTCCATGGTGTGTTCCACTCTGCTCGACACCATCGCTCAGGACCGCACTCTCAGCCTATCAAGCAACCAGATGCAGGAGTTGGGCGTGCAGATGTACCTCCAAGGCGTCAGCACCGAGTCGTGGCTGCTCAACGAAGCCAGCAGTCTGCCAAGCGCGGGTCCCTTGAGTGGCTGGAAAAACATCCCTCTTGCTGTTGCAGTCACAATGGTGGTACCCAGACAGGCGTTCACAAGACTTTTCGACCTGCCTCCAGAGCACGAGATGGCGTCGCCCACGCTCGTCGCCTCGCTACGAGCAGGGCCTACATCCACCAACCAGTGGCACAACATGTACGGTGACATTCAAATCACGTTTGGGAATGTCAAGGTCAGACTGCCGAGCGAAGACTCTCCCGTGGTAGTTGAACAGGATGGTCTTGGATGGGCAGGCTCTTCACCTCTCATCGCCTCATTCATGGTACCAACAGCGGCACTTCAAGTGGAACCAACAACGGCGGTCATCGGCCTGGCTATCCCGCCATCGGTGCAGGGCATGGAACTGTACGGCCCTAAGCTGGGCATGTCCATGTCAGTTTTCGACACGACCCTTGGAGACTCGACGAGGGTATTTGTGTCCAGGTTCATGCCCAACCAAGAATCGCATCGTGTAACTGGCGCTGGTGTCAAGCCCCTGGCGCCCACGGCAGAAGTGCCCAAAGATCACACGGTCAAGATGATCGCCGAGGTCCCTGCATCTGAGTCGCGGATCTCTACCATCACCGGCCACGTTGACATCACTTCCGCAAAGGGTAAAGGTCTCTTACGGGACAAGGCCCCGATCGAGCTGTTGCAGGATGATCCCTTTGTGATACGTGCAGTTTTTGGAAACTCGGATCTTGTCTGCCCGCTGCGATTCCCCGTGCCAGTTGCGAGGGAGGGATGCAGGAGCCGTGTCGCTCGCACGTCGGGGTACTTGGAAGTAATTGCGCCGGTTGCGGACCCGGTCGATGCGGATATCCTCGCGGACTTCATCTTCCCCACGGAGCTGTCCGCATCAGGCTTGCCCGTCGCATTGAACACGCCCCATGTCAACCTGGACAACTTACCAATCCTGGATGTGAGCGAAAAAGACGATATGAGGTGGCTTACAACCTTGACTTCCTTGCAATTCTCAGCCCGAGAAAAGCGTCTCCGCGACTCGGTAAATACTAAGAGTGGTATTGCCGAGAGCCCGCGGGTCAACTTCAAGGAGTCTCTCTTCACCATGTTCATGCTGGCGTCGGGCCTCCAGGGTGGACAGACTGGCATGTTTGCCATCAATCACCCGGAAAGAGGGGGTATTCACATGCTCATATTCGTATCGGCAATGCGCTTGGACGGTGACACGGCTTCGGTTGTCTTGGACGCCGCCGTTATCCCCTTTACGACGGAGCTGATTACGTCGGGAAAGATGGACGGATTTCTCCTGCTCATCAGAACTCTAGAATGCTGCACCATCACCGTTAACGACGCAGAACTGGTCCTCTGGAAGAGGGTTCTCCCATCTTTGGTCGAGAGATGTCGAACCTGGACCCATAAGGCGAGCTGCGAGTACAAGAAGAAGGGAGGAGCAGTCCCGCTGAGCGTCGAGCCGACCGAGAAGTTCCTTTGCTCGTGCGGCAATGGTAAAGTGCCCGAGGGCTTCCTCTCGCTGCCGGACTGGGACACTGCTGCCCCTCACGCCGTACGAGTCGCAATCAGCCCGACTTACTCCGTGCCGTTTGTGGAGGATGTTGTGGACGCCGCGGCGATGGGCTCAGCGACGAGCCAGATGTCTGAGAAGGAGCGCTGCCGGAACTGTGGCAGGATGGAGGGCAAGGACGGTGGCCCTCTGAAGAAGTGCATGCGGTGCCAGGAGGCCAAGTACTGCTCGGCCGAGTGCCAGAAGAAGGACTGGAAGAAGCACCGCATGGAGTGCAAGGAGATGGAGGGCTGATGGAATAGTTTGTGGCCGAAGAAGAAAGAGGATTACTTGCTCATTTACACGGCAGCTACCTGTACACGTAGGGTTCAGGGCATCTCTCTGTTTCTTCGTTCAAGACAACGGCACGGCAGTCACGCATCACGGCCCGTAACCATTCGCACCTCTTCCGCGATGAGGTGCCTTTTGTTTCGAAGACCCTTTGCATTAAGAGTGGTGCTATTTGTAGAGCCAACTTTTGCTAGTTATTGAGCCCATAGGAGCGACAGCAACGACAGCAACGACAGCAACGACAGCACATTCTTCCATTGCCGTCCCTGAAAGGGTGAATTTGCGCAAACTCCAATGAGTACTTTGCGGCGAGCGAGAATGGATCCATGGACTTTTTGTCTCTGGCAGAAATGAGTTCCTCCTGGAGACTTTTGCATATCTGTGCCATCTTTTGAGGGACAAACTTGGGAACCGTGAAGTTGGTGTTGCCTGCGCAGACAGGGACCGTTCGATACTTGCCGCCATACTGCTGAGGTGGTATCTCGTGGCCATGTCGTTCGATGATCTGAACTCCAGTGACGAGGATTGAGCTTGTTTCCTTGATGAGAGCTTCCGAGAGATCTTGCTTCTGAGAAACAAAAGCGTGGATGAGGTACTGAAACACCTTGGCGTGCTGAACGATCTCGTTGCGACCTCACTAGCAAAAGTTGGCTCTACAAACAGCACTACTCTATTATATACAGGTACCGGCGAAGCAGCTCACGGCCGTTAACCGTTGTCGTGGGGACGTTACCGCTGATTGGCTCCTCACCGAGACACCGACCCAGGCAGAGCCAGGCCAGGCCCCCACAGCACACCGCCCTGTGCGCGCGAGGCAGAAAAAAGTGCCCAGGCAGCGCGCAGCCCACCATCGCTTCGTGCGGGTCGCCGTCACAGACAGACCCAGCGGCGAAATCACACGAACCTCAGCGAACCGACGCTGAACCACCGCATCACGACCCCCTCCGCGAGCCAACAACCGCCACCATGTCGGCCGCGCAGCTCCTCAACCCCAAGGCCGAGTCCCGAGTACGCATACTCCCGAAATTTCACAACCCCCCTGGCCGTTGCCGGGTGCTGACTTGTGCTGCAGAGGAGGGGCGAAGCTCTCAAGGTCAACATCAACGCAGGTGTGGGCTTGCAGGATGTCCTTAGGTCCAACCTTGGCCCGCTGGGCACCATCAAGATGTGAGCATCCAGATCGCTTTTCTATCCACGACGAATCGCTAACAAGCATCCAGGCTGGTGGACGGTGCTGGACAGGTACATGCCGCCTCGAAGCTACCCCTCAGGCTCAGGGGGCACACCCTTGACTAACGACCTCGACAGATCAAGCTCACCAAGGACGGAAACGTGCTGCTGCGCGAGATGCAGATCCAGAACCCGACCGCCGTCATGATTGCCCGAGCCGCGACCGCCCAAGACGACATCTGCGGCGACGGCACCACGTCGGTGGTGCTGCTCGTCGGTGAGCTGCTGAAGCAGGCCGATCGATACATCTCGGAGGGCCTGCACCCGCGCATCATCACCGACGGCTTCGAGATCGCCAAGGTCGAGGCCCTCAAGTTTCTCGACTCGTTCAAGCTGCCCAAGGAGGTCGACCGCGAGCTGCTCCTCAACGTCGCCCGCACCTCCCTGGCCACCAAGCTCAACGCGACCCTCGCCGCCAAGCTGACGCCCGACATCGTCGACGCCGTTCTCTCCATTTACCAGGCGCCCGCGAAGCCTGATCTGCACATGGTGGAGATTATGAAGATGCAACACCGCACCGCGTCCGACACGCAGCTGATCCGCGGTCTGGCCCTCGACCACGGCGCCCGCCACCCGGACATGCCGAAGCGCCTCGAGAACTGCTACATCCTGACGCTCAACGTCGGCCTCGAGTACGAGAAGACGGAGATCAACTCGGGCTTCTTCTACTCGAGCGCCGAGCAGCGCGACAAGCTCGTCGAGAGCGAGCGCCGCTTCATCGACGCCAAGCTCAAGAAGATTGTGGAGCTCAAGAAGGAGCTCTGCGGCACCGACGGCAAGAAGAACTTTGTCATCATCAACCAGAAGGGCATCGACCCCCTGTCACTCGACGTGCTCGCCAAGAACGGCATCCTGGCGCTCCGCCGCGCCAAGCGGAGAAACATGGAGCGGCTGCAGCTGATTTGCGGCGGCATCGCCCAGAACAGCGTGGACGACCTCACAGCCGATGCCCTCGGCTGGGCCGGCCTCGTCTACGAGCAGACCCTGGGCGAGGAAAAGTACACGTTTGTGGAGGAAGTCAAGGACCCCAAGTCGGTCACGCTCCTGATCAAGGGCCCCAACCAGCACACCATTGCGCAGGTGACGGATGCTGTCCGGGACGGCCTGAGGAGCGTGTACAACATGATTGTGGACAAGAGCGTCGTCCCTGGCGCTGGAGCGTTCCAGGTCGCCTGCGCCGCTCACCTCAAGAGCGATGCCTTTTCCAAGACGGTCAAGGGCAAGGCCAAGTGGGGTGTCGAGGCGTTTGCCGACGCTCTTCTCGTCATTCCCAAGACCCTGGCTGCCAACGCCGGACACGACGTTCAGGATGCCCGTAAGTGCCACTGCCGTCTCGAACCTGATCCCGTGCTAACGTTGTCATCAGTTGCTGCGATGCAGGACGAGCACGCCGAGGGCGACGTTGTTGGCCTCAACCTGGAGACTGGCGAGCCGATGGACCCCGAGCTGGAGGGCGTGTTCGATTCGTTCCGCGTGCTGCGAAACTCGATCGCGTCCAGCGCGGGCATCGCCTCTAACCTGTTGCTGTGCGACGAGCTGCTCAAGGCTCGGCAGATGGGTAGGCAAGGCGGGCCCGGGCCGGGCATGGACGGACCTGACGATCACATGTAAAGGGTAAATGTTGCATAGATTTACATTAGAACCAAAAGTACGGTTTAATCTGTGAATCAGTGACTTGTTTTCGCACACTCGCATGTGACGTTGCCCAAAAGGGCGACGAGATAAATGCACGACACCCTGGGCGGTCTCCTTGCGGAAGGACGCGCGCTAAGCCCCGCGTTGAAGTGCCCGCCAACTTTCTGCCCAAAAAAAATCTTGACCCCACCATCACAAGCATCTTCAACTCACAGCCCAAGTCCGCCAAGATGGTCATGGACTACGACTCCGACTCCACGGAGGGCGACTACACCGAGACGAATGTCCTCCTGGGATACGCCTCCAAAGATGCCGACGAAGACACAATAAGCAAGCTCGGCGGGCTTCCGGTACGAACAAACCCCTCCCCGCGGTGTCTTGTGCGCATCTCGTTCCACCAGTCTAACTTGACGCTTCCTGGCAGGACTGGCTAGATGCCGAGAAGCCCCCGACGGCTGCCTACGCGCGGTGCAAGGCATGCAAAGACCTCATGGTGTTGCTGTTGCAGCTTAATGGCGAGCTTCCGGAGCGGTTCCCCGGCCACGAGCGGAGGCTATATGTGTTTGCGTGCAGGCGCGCGGCGTGCCGGCGCAAGGATGGCAGCGTGAGGGTCCTAAGGGGTGTGAGGGTTTGGGAGGACGAGGCGGCGGCGGCTGCTGCTGCTGCTGCGGCGGCGGCGGCGCAGGCTGAAGAGGAGGCGAAAAAGGAGGAGGCCAAGGCGAAGAACGAAGGCCCTGGCCTGGGAGAAGCGCTCTTTGGCGCAAAGACTTTTGGTGGAGGCGCCAGCGCAGGGAACCCCTTCTCCTCCAACGCAAACCCGTTCAGTGCGTCCGCGTCGTCGTCGAATCCCTTCAGCTCAGCCGCTCCCACCGCCAACCCCTTTGCCTCCGGGCCGAGCAAGGACGCCGCGCCGTCAGAACAACAACAACAGCAGCAGCAGTCAACAACATCCTCCCTCTCCAAGACCTTTGCCGAAACCCTCTCCCTCAACGCCACTCCCCCGCCGTCGCAGCAAGCCCCTCCCCCGGCCGAGCCCTGGCCCGAAGCCTCATCTCAGCCGAAGCCCTACCCGACGCTGTTCCTGGCCGACGCCGACTACGAGACGCTCGACCCCACGCCGGAGCAGGCCGCCCTGGCCAACGTGCGCATCGAAGACGCCGATGCGCCCGAGCCCTCCATCCTCGACCGCGAGGCTTTCGAGTCCACCATGGACGCCACCTTTCAGAAGTTTGCGGACCGCCTCGCGCAGAACCCGGACCAGGTTATCCGGTACGAGTTTGGCGGTGCGCCGCTGCTATATTCCAAGACGGACGCCGTGGGGCAGAGGATCCTCGGTGGTAGTGGTGGCGGTGTCAAGGCGGGAGGTATTCCTGGGTGCGCCAACTGCGGCGCTAGGAGGACGTTTGAGGTGCAGCTTACGCCCAATGCCATTGCGGAGCTCGAGGCGGATGACCTGAGCCTCGAGGGTATGGAGTGGGGGACAATCATCGTCGGCGTGTGCGAGAAGGACTGCGTGCCGCGGCAAACGGGAAATGGTGAGGCAGGATACCTCGAGGAGTGGGCGGGCGTGCAGTGGGAGGAGTTGACGAAGCAAAAGTAAGCGCAGTATCGCGCCTCGCAGGATAGACAGACAACGATGAGCAGTCTCTGAGCCATGACCTTCAAGATTTATTGCGTTCTATGCCGCGTCTAGATCTCGGTTTGTCGCTTTTTCTTGGTTTCAATGACATGTTCCTATAAAACGCCAGTACACTGGATGCTGGTTCCCTGGCAAGCCACGTTCACGCCATCATGCTTGGTAGGCAGTAGGTTTCCTTTTTCGCATCCCATGAAAAATGACCATTTTGCCGTCGTAAACAAAGTTGCCTGCTCCGTCCTTGCCCTGCCACCGCTGCCTCTTGTCTGCACCTCGACGCAGCACGCTCATACCGTCTCCTCCCAGGACCGCCGAATCACGCGCGCAAACTGGTCGACGTTGACGTCCTCGCGAATCTCGGCCTTCTTGGCCTCGTTGTCCGGGTTCGACGGGATCTTGATGTTGCCGTCGCCGTCGACGCCCCAGCCGCAGACCTCCATGACGAACTTCTTGGTGGCGTCCTCGCCGAGGCCCAGCCACGACTCGAGGTGCGAGAGCTTGATCTCACGGAAGGCCTGCGAGACGAGCTGCGCGATGCGGTGCCGGATCATGTCCTCGAAGCCCGAGATGTCGGCGATGAGGTCGGCGCACAGGTCGTCGCCGTCGACCGTCGCCCAGAACTGCGCGTACTGCGCGCCCTCGAGCTGCGAGTTGAGCGCGCGCAGCTTGGTCAGGGCCTCGTGCAGCTCGCCGGTCGCGGCCGCGGACGGGTTGATGAGGTGCAGGGCGAGGGAGAACTGCGCCGAGGGGAACAGCGTCATGGCCTTGACGAGGATGTTGGTGACGACCTCGTCCTTTGTCCGGTCGGGGTTCAGCTGGTACCTGTTGTGCGAGCGCTCGGGGTCAGTTCAGGGGCTTCTTTAACTGACGGGCAGAGAAATAGCGACGCGACATGGGGCATGGTCAGACAGATATTAAAGATGACTTCATGAATAGTCAGGTAATAGGAAACGTTGACATCTGATCATCACAAAACCGCCCAAAGCGTATACATCCGACGCGCAAGGCGCACAAGGCCACTCACAGCTTCAGCAGCGTCCGGTTGGCGTTCATATCGCACGTCTTCTGCTCGCATTGCTCCGTCAGGTATCCCTCGAGGGAGCCGACCGCCTCGGGGTTGTAGCGCTCGAGGCCATTGATGATGTTGGTGATGTACTCGGGCCGCTCGGGCGGGTCTTCGCCGTTCATCTTGTCGGTTGGAGGGGGGCACGAAATATGCCGATTAGGGGGTCCGTAGAGGGGGGGTGGGATGTCGAGGTGAAGTTCCCGATGGTGGGGTTACGGCAAGTTTTCACGATTGTGTGGTGTCGCTTGTGCGCGTCCCGGAGGGGAATAGCGCCGTCCGGGGCTAGCCATTCTTCCGCACCGGGCGACGGTGAGTGGCACCCGGCCAGGTCACGTGCTCCCGCGTTTACATCGTCATCGAGCCGCGTCTCGCAGCGGTGCGGAGGACATGTCCGTGGCGCACTCTAAGCTTCGCTGTCTCACGAACAACATGGATGCTTGGCGGGCTTAATCGAGCTTCTTATGAACCGCACATTTCGGCTTCAGTTGGACCAGGAGACTCACCTGCCCTTTGACTGTCGACGTTGAAGGATGTCCAGCCCGGCCAAGAAGCGGAAGCTGAACAATGGCAGCAAGACTGCGACGGCCCAGCCAAAAGGCCTAGAGTACTTTTTCTCCAAACAGAGGCAGACTGAGGCCCCTGGACCAGCGCCCTCAGAGGCTGAAGCTCCGGGTGATGATTCGGAAAAACTCACAGATGAGGAGCTAGCACGGAAACTCCAAGCCGAGTACGACCTGGAAGTTGCCAATGGAGCGCCGGAAGGCGGCGGGCCCCCAAAGGCTGGTATAGCTGATGAAGCTTTTGACAACATCGAGAAAGACGAACCAGTCACAGAAGCTTTGACGCCATCACCCACAAAGGATACCACGAATCCGCCCGGGGAGTCAATCGCTGCTCCAGAACAGTCTGGAAAGTCTGGAAAGACACTCACGCTCCAGTCTACCGGTACAGCCGAAGACGCGGTGACATCGTCAATCCCACTTGATGAGTCGCCTCTTGTCTTTGACCCCTCACAATATGTGACCCAGCTCCGGCAACACTGGGCAGCAGATGGAGGACACGCCTCGTATGGGCTGCTTACCAGGTGCTTCGTCCTTGTCAGCGCGACGACGAGTCGTATAAAGATTGTGGACACCCTAGTCAACTGCTTGAGGGTTTTGATAGAAGGGGATTCATCGAGTCTTCTCCCTGCTGTAAGTCGCATGCGTATCACGATAAGATGGGCCTAACGCCTCTCAGGTCTGGCTTGCAACCAACTCGATATCGCCGGCCTACATTTCTCTTGAGTTGGGGTTGGGCGGATCAGCCATATCGAAAGCTTTAAGGAACGTCTGTGGCCTTGACAATCGCTCACTCAAGGCCATCTACGACAAGTACGGTGATGCTGGTGATGTTGCATTTGAGGCAAAGAAGAAGCAAAGCTTTACCCTTCGAAAGCCAAAACCCTTGACCATCAAAGGGGTCTATCAATCGTTGGTCAAGATCGCTACGACTCAAGGCCAGGGCAGCAACGAGGTGAAGCAACGTATCGTGGACCGACTGCTACAGGATGCCCGAGGAGGTGAAGAGAGCCGATTTATCGTGCGAACTCTTTGCCAGCATGTCAGTGGTGTCCGAGCGAATATGTGAAGCCTAAGCTGACGCCCCTGTAGCTAAGAATAGGCGCGGTCAAGACCACCATGCTCATCGCTCTGTCTCGAGCATTTTTGCTATCGCGCCCTGCAGATGCTGACTTCCCCCTGAAGTCAGTATCAGAACTGTCCAAGCTCAAGAAGGAGGAGCTTGCCGAAGTGTGGGGCAAGGCCGAAGAGATTGTCAAGGCATGCTTTGCAAGACGACCCAACTACAACGACCTGATACCCGTTCTTCTCGAGATAGGCGTAACGGAAGAGCTTCTAGTTCGTTGCGGCTTGACGCTGCACATACCGCTACGACCTATGCTGGGCAGCATCACTCGCGACTTGTCAGAGATGTTGACCAAGTTGCAAGGGCGAGACTTTGCATGCGAGTTCAAGTATGACGGCCAGAGAGCCCAGGTACATTGCGATGAGAAGGGCAAGGTGTCCATCTTCTCGCGGCACCTGGAACTGATGACGGACAAGTACCCCGATCTTGTGGAGCTGGTGCCCAAGATCCGTGGCGAAGGCGTGAGCAGCTTCATCATGGAGGGGGAGGTAGTGGCCGTCGACAGAGCCACAGGCGAGCTCAAGAACTTCCAAGCGTTGACGAACCGCGCGAGGAAGGATGTGGACATTGGGAGCATCACCATCGACGTTTGCCTGTTTTCGTTTGATCTCATGTACCTGAACGGACAACCGCTTCTTGATCGACCGTTCCGTGAGCGCCGGGAGCTCCTGCGGTCGCTATTCACAGAGGTGCCCCACCATTTTACCTGGGTCAAGAGTCTTGACGCAACATCTGGAGACTCCGAGGTCGTGTTGGACTTTTTCAAGTCGGCCACCGAGAGCAAATGCGAAGGGATCATGGTCAAGATCCTAGACAACTTGATCGACGTGCCGTATGCTGGCGAGAATTCGGAGCAACCACAACCACCTGAACCGTCCGAGAAGCTCTCGACACCCAAGTCCAAGTCGAAGTCGAAGGGCAAGGCCAAGAATGGAACGGCTGTCGATGGCGAGGAGGGCAAGCCCAAGTCCCGGAGGAAACCGCTCTTGGCCACATACGAACCGGACAAGCGACTGGATTCATGGCTCAAAGTCAAGAAAGACTACAACTCAAGCTTCGATACCCTGGACTTGATCCCCATAGCCGGCTGGCACGGGCAGGGGCGCAAGGCGAAGTGGTGGTCGCCGATCCTGCTGGCGGTGCGCAACGAGGAGACGGGAATGTTCGAGGCGGTGTGCAAGTGCATATCTGGCTTCACCGACGCGTTCTACAAGGCGAACAAGCAATTTTACGACAATGGCGATGAGAGCGGAGAGCCGAAAAACGTTCGCTTCCAAAAACCGAGTTTCATAGAATACGGCGGCCCCAGTCCTGATGTATGGTTTGAGCCGCAAGAAGTCTGGGAGATGGCGTTTGCCGACATTACCCTGAGCCCAACATACACGGCGGCGATTGGCTTGGTGAGCGACGAAAGGGGACTGAGTCTGCGATTCCCAAGGTTTTTGAAGAAGCGAGAGGACAAGGGCATCGAGGAGGCGAGCACCAACGAGTTTTTGGCCGGACTTTGGAGGAAGCAGGAGGCAAAGGCCGTGAGCGAGAGAGATACCAAGGCGGCGGGCGAGGACGAGGGCGAGGACGAGATGTGAGGCGGTGGGCAGTGGTTTTTGGCCCAGCACCATGCATACCCATGGTCTTCGTGACCAAAGCGCATAGAAATAAATCAACATGACCTCATCTTGTCTGGACATTAGACGTCATCTTATTATTTGCCTGCGTTGAGTTTCTGGGCTATCAAGCTAAATACTGCCACGGATCCCATGAAAAGAACAGCGTTGTAGAACTAGAGACGGTTAGAGAGATGCCTTTAATGCATGAAAGGGGGACTTGCGGCCTTTCTTGATACCTCTCTCTCCTCGTCGTCTGTCCTGGCCTCGATGAAGAGCCTCCTGAGGTTGGGGAAGTTGGCCTGGGGAAGCGTGTTAGTGCGCGACGCCCACAGCGTATAAAGAGGTCGTGCGACACACCATATTAAAGTTCGGCAGGCTGGCAGCCAGCCGGGGTATTTCGATTGCACGCAATCAGGAAAGCATCAAGAGCTGCGCTTCAACGCTGGCTGGCCGTCCAAACATGAAGCTGGCTGCTGGAGTGCTCCCTGAAGGTGTGGATCCACTGTGGTTGACGCTGGAAAGTACCGGGGCTGCCTGCCTATGGAGCCCGTTGGTGGAGCAGTCACCTGACTGGCCACCTCCCCAGGTCCCGTCCTATTCAGCGGTGATGACACTAGCTCACCCACCCAAAGGCCCCCTGGCCATCTCGAGCGAGCTCTTGGCATATCTGGCGACGAGCATCACGCACCCCCATTCAGCAGAGACACGCTGCTTCAACTCCCCGCCACGGGCGCTCCGACGCATACCCCCGGGCCAGCGACTGCATCGACGACATCACCACCTGCCCAGCCGAGTCGTAGACTCCTGGGCTCCACGCCGCCGCCAGACACCGCTGCCCCTCCATCCCCGAGCCCAAACGACCATGGCGGTAAACCGCATCCGCGGCGCCTTCGCCGCGCCGCGCAAGGGCGAGACCTTTGAGCTGCGCGCCGGTCTGGTCTCCCAGTACGCCTACGAGCGCAAGGAGTCGATCCAAAAGACCATCATGGCCATGACCCTGGGCAAGGACGTCTCGGCGCTGTTTCCGGACGTGCTCAAGAACATTGCCACGGCCGACCTCGACCAGAAGAAGCTCGTCTATCTCTACCTGATGTGAGCATCCCCACACAGCCCTGGCCTGTCCATGAGTAATGCCTGCTCGCGGACAATGGCTGCAGTTCAGAGCCCCTTGGGAACCGTTGAGCACCTGTGCTGACACACGACAGGAACTACGCCAAATCACACCCCGATCTGTGTATTCTCGCCGTCAACACATTCGTACAAGACTCGGAAGACCCGAACCCGCTGATAAGAGCACTGGCAATCCGTACGATGGGCTGCATCCGCGTGGACAAGATGGTGGACTACATGGAAGAACCGTTACGAAAGACGTTGCGAGACGAGTCACCGTACGTGCGCAAGACGGCCGCCATCTGTGTCGCCAAGCTCTTCGACCTCAACCCCTCCATGTGCATTGAAAACGGCTTCCTGGAGACGCTGCAGGAGATGATTGGAGACCCGAACCCCATGGTCGTCGCAAACTCGGTGCAGGCGCTGGCGGAAATCAGCGAGACCGCGCCCGAGACGAGAGCTCTCGTCATCACCGCCGCGACCCTCAAGAAGCTCCTCATGGCCCTGAACGAGTGCACGGAGTGGGGCAGGATCACGATTCTCAGCACGTTGGCCGACTACCAGTCCAGCGACGCCAAGGAGTCGGAGCATATCTGCGAGCGAGTCACTCCCCAGTTCCAGCACGTCAACCCGAGCGTTGTTTTGGCTGCGATCAAGGTCGTCTTTACCCACATGAAGGCCCTCAATCCGGAGTCGGTGAGATCGTATCTGAAGAAGATGGCCCCTCCGCTAGGTTAGTTTGCACCGTCCTCTTAGACACATTGCGTCCTGTGCTAACACCCAGCCAGTGACATTGGTTGCTTCTGCCCCCGAGGTCCAATACGTTGCGCTGCGAAACATCGATCTTCTGCTCCAGGCCAAGCCTGATATCCTCAGTAAAGAGCTTCGAGTGTTCTTTTGCAAGTACAACGACCCGCCGTACGTCAAGCTGCAGAAGCTCGAAATCATGGTTAGGATAGCAAACGAGAAGAACTACGAGCAGCTGCTCGCTGAGCTCAAGGAGTACGCGCTGGAAGTCGACATGGACTTTGTGCGGAGGGCAGTCAAGGCCATCGGCCAGGTCGCCATCAAGATCGAAAGCGCCAGCGCAAAGTGTGTCCAGGCACTGGAGGATCTCATCTCTACAAAGGTCAACTACGTTGTCCAGGAATGTGTGGTTGTCATCAAGGATATCCTGCGGAAGTACCCCGGGTACGAGGGCGTCATCCCGACGCTGTGCCAGCACATTGAGGATCTGGACGAGCCGGAAGCCCGCGGTGCCTTGATTTGGATCGTTGGCGAGTACGCCGAAAAGATCAGCAACGCTGACCAGATCCTGGAGGGCTTTGTTGAAGGCTTTATGGAGGAATTCACTCAGGTGTGTAATGACCACTTATGCGCGTTGGAGGACGCCACTGACATGGACAGACCCAACTACAAATCCTGACAGCCGTCGTCAAGCTGTTTTTGAAGAAGCCAGCCAACACGCAGGGCCTCGTGCAAAAGGTACTGCAGGCTGCGACGGCCGAAAACGACAACCCGGATATCCGCGACAGGGCTTACGTGTATTGGCGATTACTTTCCGGCGACCTGGATGTTGCCAAGGCAAGTCTTGGCCCATATCTTGACTCGAGCTTGTACTGACCAGGTGACAGAGCATTATCCTCTCACAAAAGCCCACCATCTCTACTACAATGACCAGCCTGCCGCCTGCGCTGCTTGAGCAGCTACTTGCAGAGCTGTCTACGCTGGCGTCGGTTTACCACAAGCCTCCCGAGTCGTTTGTCGGCAAGGGCCGCTTTGGCGCGGACGAGATCCAGCGGGCAGCCATCCAGGAACAGCGCCAGAATGCGGCCGAGAATCCGATTGCGGCCTCTGTGGCGGCAGCAGCGGCAGCCAATGGCACTGGCAGCGGTGCCTCTCAGAACAACATCGAAAACCTCCTCGACATCGACTTTGACGGTGCAGCCCCGGCATCGCAGGAACAGCAGAGTGCCACGGCGACGCCTGATCGCATGGCCAGTCCCGCTGGCGGTGCCCCTTCGGGTGGCATGGCCGACATGATGAGCATGTTCGATGCGCCAGCGGCCAGCGGTAGCAGCAGCAACGGGACGCCAGCTCCGAGCGGAGGAAGTGGTCTGAACGACTTGATGAGTGGATTCGAGGGCATGAACTTTGGAGGCGAGCCGTCACACCAGCCGCTGCCCGCGGCCATGCAGCTGCACAACGCGCAGGGCGGCGAGGGGCAGGGCCCGAAAAAGGATAGCGATGACTTGCTGGGTTTGCTCTAGAGGTATGGCGTCCCCGGCGCTTGAGACTGTCGGCGTAGCGTAAGACAGGTGGGCACGCAAGTGTCCGTTGAAAGGCAGTGTTCAAAGAAGCATGGAACAAGGCGCCACTGATGTTGCAAGCATATGGACCCTTTCCCTGTTCATGCGTCGAAAGTATTGCACTTGTAGTGTCTCTCCGTTCTATGGTATCGATTCGGGCAGCCGGCTCCATCCCGTTCCAGCATGTCGAGCACAGCCTGTTACCGGCCGCTGCGCGCCCACGTCTTATCCAACCCCACGGGACCTCGATGTCACCCATCGTACCTGCATAGTCCGCTCTCTCTGCGCGCCGACCTTCTCTCCTCTTATTCATATACACATCATCACGGCCGCACGGGCCAGGCCACCGCCTCGGCATCACTGCGTAGTGCCCTCGACGTGACCACCCACGGTGCCAGCGAGCGACGGGCCGGCAGCACCACCGCCAGCCTCGGCCTTGGCCTTGTCGCGCTGCCACTCGTCGGGGGTCTGGCACTTTGCGGTCCAGGCGTGTATGGCGGCGATTTCGTCCTTGAGGGCGGCGTTGACGAGGCGGTGGCGCTTGAGCGACGTGAGGCCCTGGAACTGCGGGGAGATGATGAGCGTGGTGAAGGCCTGGCCGCAGCCGCCTGCGCAGGTAGGTGATCAACTGTCAGCGACGGATCTCCTTGTCTCTTTTATTCGCCACGTTCGAGGAGCTGTGTAGGGGGGCGGTCGCGGCGTCGGATGGGGCTTGGAGGCAAGCCGCGTCGTCTTTCGTTGGAGGCTTGCGGTACCGAGGCAGCGCAGCGCATTCGCGAGGCGCACCGTCGTGGAGGGGCAGAGGCCAGGCAAGGTAAAAACGTACCGGACATGTCTGTCACCTCGACGTGCACGGCCTGGAGGCGCTCCGTGATGGCCGCGCGCAGGCTGTCGTCTGTGATTTGCGCCATTGCCGGAGGGGAGTCGCAGCGGGCGAGGGGAGGGCGACGAGCTGGGGGGAGGTTCGCGTTCGAAGGTTGTAGGTAGGAGGGAGGGAAGGTGATTGATAAGACAGACGGAGGGATCTGATGGTGGGGGCGGGGGAGAGACGGGAGGTCACCACCACCAAGCCATGGTGGGGTCGCTCACTGGTACAGCGCCATCGACGCCGATGACGGTGCAGGATCAAGACGCAAGGCCCAACAGGGCAAATACCATCTCGACCCGTACGTGCCGGAGAAGCTCGTTACACCGCATCATGTGGCGTTTACTTGGAACCAAACCGACTGCCCTCTGATACATTTATTTTCTAAAGCCCAAGAATAGGAAGTCTACGTCCCGAACTCACGCAGTCCGTCTTTTGGCTGTAAGTGACAAACTTGGAGCAATTGCCGTGTTATTGAGCATCACAGAGTGAAGGGTCCTAGAAAAGAAAATCGCTCCAGATTAGGGGACGGAACTAATGTTATCAACGTCTATGAATCTATGCAGCCCCGGAAAACCTTTAGCCAACGTTAAATCTCGCGGGTCGGTGCTCACTATGGAAAGGGCCACAGACAGATACGACGCATGCCAGGTTTCATGGGCACGCGCGAGTCGGGATTGATACTGCATCCATTATGTGGGAATGCAGTATGTCAGCACGAAGCCCAGGCTCTTTTCATACTCCGTAGTCATTTCTCCGATAATGCTTGTTTTGTATGTGTGTTTGACGCAATATTCGCCGAGTGCTATCTTCTGCGAGATATCGTTACGAGATAGTTCCCACGTAACAAGCACGGAGGCATTCAATGATAAAAATGTCTTCGCCGTAACCTGGGGATACATAAGCGCCGCAGTCTTCTCTCGTACAACAAAGGTTTTTGTGCCCGTCATTTTCCCTCTGGTTCAAGTCACGTAGAAGCAGCGACAACAACGCCCCGACCGACTACACATCCATCCCACTCCCACCATGAACATTGGGCTCGCGTTGCTGCTCTTGGCTCCTCTGGCCGCCTGCGGTGGCCACTAGCAGCAACAGCAGCAGCTGGAGGGAGAGGAGAATCCCTCCACCCTCAGAGGTGTAAGTGCTTGATCGCGGGGCTTGCTCGTTCTGGACAGATTATCATCAATGGCCTCGCTGACAGTTTGCCAAACCGACTAGAATTGCGTCTCTCACAGGTGCCGCCTCTGGGTCCCCGAAAAGATCGGGCAAACCACCACTGGCAAGCCGGCATACAAGGGGGCTTGGCACTCCATGACTTGCGATACGAGATTTCCGGTACGTGTGCAGCACGCATGTATGGGCCAGGTTCACATCGACTCTCTACTTTGCCTGTCGTTGCTGCGTGTTATGTTCCCCAAGTATCTTATCCCAGACGTCCAAAGCGTATGCGCTAACGACAAAACCTCGTTGCGGAAAAGTGTCCCGTGGACGGCGCGCCATGCTACTGGAACCAGGAAAACGACCTCGTCCGGTGCAGTTGAGGGGGGAAATAGGTGCGCCTTTGCGCAAGGGTTCAATTGGCGATGTGGGCGGGTGCCAGCGTTGAGCTCAGACGAGCAGCGAGGAGTCGACTGTGCCTCCTCAACCTTGGGACGAAAAAACCTTATAGACCGGAGTTTTCGAAAATGTGTATGGGCGGCAACTGAAGAGCTGCATTGCACTCGTACTCCACGCCTCCATTTCACGCTCAGTGTCAGTGATATACGTGTGCCAGAGCCGCATAGTGAAGGCTCCATGCATTTTACAGCACTGTTAGTTGACGTTACAGTGCGGCCCGACACGGTATGAGCTCACTGTGGAGAGGGAGCTTCCAAGTTCCAGCTCCACTTCACACCTCCACCGTCAGAGAGAGCTTCACCTCATCTCACCTCCGTCGCTACAAACTCCAGTCGCGCATCACCTCAGTGATTCGGCCTCCCACGACGTCCCGCCACTTATTTCGCGTGCATTGCTCGACAACCCGCATCATCTGAGAACCTCACACCCTGACATGAGGTCAATTGGTCTCCGCCTCCCGCCCATCCGTCTGCACGCCTCGCCGCCGCACTACCGCTTCCTCACCTCCCAACTTCGGGCAGCATCCCAGATCATCACCGCTCGACCTCAATCCCCCGCCCTCACCGCGCGCCCATCACACCCCTACGCCGTGTCCCATCTCCGCAGGCAGCAGCGGCAGGCGTTCAGCACGTGTACTCCCCATCGACGACCAGCAGACGACCACGACGTCAACGGCACGATGGCCGGTGAAGCGGGATCGGGCGCCTGGGGCGCGTGGCAGGTCCAGCCGTCGCGGTTTACGCAGCGCGTCGTCGACGCCATGAAGAAGCTGTAAGTTGTTATTCGCTCGCGAGGACTTGGGGGTTCAGCTGCCCCGCTGCATTGGTTCACGGGAGTAAAGGCATGTGCAGCGTCTGATGGACGTCTTTTAACAGGTATCCCGAGGAGCTCGCGGATCGCTCGTGGGACAACGTCGGCTTGCTTGTTGGCAATGCAGAGGGAGCAAACTCGAAGCAAAAGGTCCTCGTGACCAACGACCTCACGTATCAAGTCGCCATGGATGCCATTGAGCAAGACGTTGCCGTCATCGTCAGCTATCGTACGTCGCCGGCTCGCTTCTTCTTCTTCTCTATATGCGCATGTTCCCTCTAACAACCCCAGACCCCTTCATCTTCTCTGGCCTCAAGTCCATCACGAACAAGGACCCGCAGCAGACCACCCTCCTGCGCCTCGTCCAGGCTGGCATCGCCGTGTACTGCCCTCACACCGCCGTCGACGCGGCACCCAAGGGCCTCAACACGTGGCTCGCCGACATCGTCTCGGGCCCGCACCAGAGCGAGCGCTCCGTCGCCATTCCCTGCGCCGCGGCCCCGGAGTCGCACTCGCCGGCGGGCTACGGTGCTATCGGCCGTTTCGATCCGCAGAAGCCCGTCCCCTTGACAGAGATCCTGAAGCGCCTGGCCGAGAAGCTGGGCGGCCTGCGGCACATCATGATCGCGAGCCCCGTCGGCGCGGACGTCAAGACCACCGAAGTGCGCAGCTTTGGCGTGTGCGCAGGCAGCGGGTACGACGTGCTGAAGAACGCCGACGTGGATCTGCTGGTGACGGGCGAGACGAGCCACCACTCGGCGCTGCGGGCTATTCAGCAGGGCCGGACGCTGGTGCAGGTGTTCCACAGCAACTCGGAGCGCGGCTACCTCAACGAGGTCCTGCGGCCGCAGCTCGAGGCGGAGCTGCGTGCGACGGTGCCGGAGGCGGAGGTGGTATTGAGTCAGAACGACGAGGACCCGTTCAGGATCTTGGATCTCAACGAGTTGTCGTGAGTTGTGTCGGGGAGCGAGGCGTTGAACGGGGGTCCTGTAAAGTAGATGACAACAGGTTCTGAATAGCCGATGCTTTGTCGTAGCTTCTCCCGCTCTTATCGGCTGGCTGTGGATGTCCGGGCTGACGGGGGTTCCCTCTTCGGCCTCACTATCGCGTCGCCCTCGTCAATGAGCGCCTGCACATCATCGCCCCCGACGCCCTTTTCTTTCCATGACACAAGCAGCTTCCGCGGCAGCTCCCATTTCCTCCTTGCCTCCTCCATTTTGCCCTCTCTCGCCAAGGCCTGCAGCCGCGAGGGCATGGCTAGCGCCTCCGCCGCGAGCTCCTTAGTACGTCTCCTGCGTGCGTCCGCTTCCCTCTTCTGGCCCTGCTCCGTGTCTGGCGCTGGTACCGAGGCGCGCGCGGCCTCTCGTATTGACGAGGCTTGGCTGTAGATTTGGGCAATGGCCGGGTCGAGCGTCGAGGCCATGGGATTCAGAGGGTCCATGTTTGCACGCATCTAGATTCCCGTCAGCTTACCCTCACATGCACACGTATTCAGAAGCTTCGGGCAAGAATGCTTAAGAGTATGTGACGCCAGGGAAAACGCACCTTTCGTATCGTCTCCGTTGCCGTAATGAGCTTGCTGTAGTTGTCGTACACGAGCGCCTTCTTCTCCGCGTCCAGCGCCCGCACCTCACCCACCACCTGCGCGTATAGCCGCAGCAGGTCCTCTAGCCCGCTCTCCGCGACGACCCTGGCCACGTACTCATCGGCGTTGAAGTCTGCCGCGTCGAGGTCGCTGGCCGGCACCTCCGAATCCGGTATCTCGATGCGCGGTGTCGTCGTCGCGGCGGCGGCTGCGGCAGCAGCGCGCAAGTTGTAGTACTCGCGGAGGGCGGCGCGGTTGGAGCGCTTGGCGGCCGCCGTAGCTGCTCCTGCTGTTGTTGAGGTGGCGCTGGCGGTGCCGGCGGCGGCTGTGGGGTTGGCGTTGTTGACGGGCGAGGTGACGGCCGAGCGGGCGGCTTCGAGGGACGGCCGGCCGGAGGAGGTGGGCGTGCCGGAGGCGGAGGGGAGGCGGCGCAGGCCCGGGGCGGCGGAGGAGTCGCGCGGAGAGGCGATTGTCGACATGGCTTCGGGTTGGCGTGCGCCCGGGGTCGAAATGGGGGCACGCGCGGGTGGGTGGTGGTGATGTGTGTCGTACGCGGGCACGGCGTTTGGGGGAGGGCACTTGACAATGAGGTTTACGTGGATGGAGGAGTGTCACACAGGTCGACAGGCTTGGAGTTAAGGTGACGGGAGAAATTGCGGGGAGCTCCAGGGGTTGCGTAGCTCCGGCCAGTGGATTTGGGTCTGCTGGCGGATGCGCTAAGCCGGGCCGGGAAGCCTTCTAGACGGCTGCTTTGGAGGGCTCCACGATCATGTTAAAACCTCCAAAGCTCCATTCCCTTCACTACAACAGTACAGTTTCTACGACGCGTCTCCTGCACATATCGGCTAGCGAGGGAACGGGGAAGGGCTCATCACTCAACAAAAGGACCTCATAAGGGGTCCTCAGAAGTCAGAACCTACAGCCAGCAGCTTAGCCGTGCCCGGACGGACGGTAGCAGGCAGCGGGCTGGTCCACGCCAGACATCAAGGCACCCCGTCGTGATAGCTTCACCCAGCAGCCGTCCACTCATTCACTCACTCATCCTTTCGCCCAAGCACTCACTACGGGGTCTGCCTATCTCAACTACCTCACCTCGACATCTCACCTTCCTCCAACTCCACATCATGGATCTCACCGCCCAGCTCCGCGCCTCCCTCCTCGCGCAATCCTTTCCCCCTCCCTCCACCCCCTCTCTCTTATACACATCTAGATGTGTATAAGAGACAGCGCTCGCCCCCTCCCCCGCTCCCCTCCCTGCTCGCCACCGCCAAAGCCCGCCTCCTCGCCTGCGACCTCACCTCCAGCACGTCCATCGACCGCGCGATGCTCGCCACGCTGCCCGCCTCCTCCTCCTCCTCCTCCTCCTCCTCCACCACCACCACCACCAGCAACAACACCAACAACCCCTCAGCGGCGTCAGCAAAAGAGGTCAGGATCCCGCGCGACGTCCACGTCCAGGTCCTCGACGTCGAGAACCTCAGCGCCAGCCGCTGGGAGCAGGTCGAGGAGCTCGAGGCCGTGGCGAGGGGGGAGCGCACCCGCGGGAGGCAGGTCGTGCGCGTGACGGCCGACGATGACGACGACAACAGCAACGGCGTCGTGGACGGCACAGCCGCGAGCCAGACGCAGACGCAGACCACGGCGATGGCACAGGCCAGGACTGCCAACGCAGGGGGCGGCGGCGCGGCACCTCCGGCCGTTGCTGCGGGACCGAACGCGACGCACCGCCTCGTGCTGCAGGACCACCAGGGCAACCGCGTCTACGCCGTGGAGCTGCGGCGCGTGGACCGCATTGCCGTGGGCAAGACCAACATTGGGGAGAAGATGGTGCTGCGGGCGGGGACGGTGATTTCGCGAGGGAGCGTGCTGCTTACGCCGGAGACGTGCACGATATTGGGCGGCAAGGTTGAGGCGTGGCACGAGGCGTGGATTCAGGGCCGCCTGGCGAGGTTGAAAGAGGCAGTGGGAGGCGATAGGCCTCGCTGATGCGATATTTATCCACATTGTATTCGTTATGCTCTTCCAGTTCTATCAAGATACCCCGCCATGACCATGATGCATGTTTTCCGACCACGCCCATCTCCGTGAAATGCCAACAAGTCCCTGCAAATGCCTGTTTACACGTCTGCGGTAGCCACCTCGAGGGCCTTCCACCCATGCTTCTCCCACGGTGCAATCATGGCAGCTCTCTGCGCGTCCGCGGCCTTGCCCGTGCCGGCATATGCGTTGGCGAGGTCCTGAGCCTCCAACACGCCGCGCGGCGGGATGCCCCTGACCGCCACCTTCAGGGCCATCTGGGACGCGTATGGGTCGCCCGTCGTCTCTGCGAGGGACGCCCAACCGTGTGGGAGATGCGGGTACAGCATCACGTCCTCCTGGACCTGCGTCAACATGTCCTGCTCCGTGCGACCGTCGCCCAAGCCGGCGATGGCCCGGAGCACTTCGCCAATGTGCGACTGTTCCGTGGTCGTGACGCTTTCGTTTGTACGCAGCTTCTGGAGCTCCTCCACGACGGCCTCCAGGCTGTCTTCGTCCTGATCCAGGAGCGCAACGACACCGAGGAGAAGGACGCTCTGGACGTGATCTGGCTGCCTCTCGATAACCTCGAACAGGGCCGAGCGGGCCTTATCCCGCGAGTCTTCCGAGCCTTGCGCCCAAAGAACCTGCGCCAAGAGACAGGTCGCATCGGGGCTGTTGTCTGATTCTCCCAGCGCGGCCTCGAAACACTTTTGCGCCTCGTCGTACTGCTCCAGATAGTATTGCCCCAAGCCGACCGTCAGGTGTGCGGACAGCCGGGCCTTTTTCCGTTGCTCGCCCGTCAGCTCGCTCTCGCTCTCGTCGCTACTCAGGCCGAGGGCCATGTCGCCGCACTCCACAGCCTGGTCGTACCACCCTGCGGCGAGATATGCCCGGGCCAAGTCGGTCTTTGCCAATGTAAACCTAGCAAGGCTCTCGGCAGACTCAGTGGCCTCATAGTCGGCCTCGATGACACCGCAAATCTTCTCCAGCGTCTGCACAGCAGGGGCGTGCTCCCTCGTCCGCTCTTGGAGCATGGTCGACAAGTGGCCAAACGCCAGATCTTGCGGGTGCAGGCTTTGCAACTGATTGAGTGCAAACAGCGGTTGGATGAGAGAAGCCACGGTCATGTTCGGCGGAGCAGTGAGGATGTGGTCGAACGTGGATGCAGAGTAGTGCCGCCGTGTGGGAACGGACGATGCTTCAGAAATCTCCATGGCGTGTGTGAAGAGCCCCCGGGCCTCCTTTGCGTTGCCAACAAGCAGCGCAACGAATCCCTGCCCCAGCCAGGCGTGTGCGTAGTCCGGATCTGCCGACTGTGCTCGAGTGAATGCCTCGTTTGCCACCCTCGTATCACCAGACAGCAAGGCCAAGACGCCCAGGTTAGTCCACGCTACGGGGCTGCGCTCGTTCAAGTGCAGGCTCCTGACGAACGCGTGCTGCGCAACGGGCGGGTTGATGTCGCTCGTCACCACTCCGAGTGCGTTCCAAAACTCGGAGTTGCCACTTTCCAGCTCGATGGCTCTCTTGAAAGCCCTCACTGCAGCCTTGATGTAGTTGCTCGACTTCTTGCGCTGATGATCCGGTAGGCATGAGTGTGCGCGGAACTCAGCCCAGCCCAGGTTGTAGTGTGCGACGGCTTGGGCGTGAATGTCTCCCGAGGAAACGTCAATGGCCAGCTTGTGGCACAGAATAGTTGCGTGCAGGCACCGGGTAATGCCGCCGCCTAGGCCATCTCCATTGACGCTGGTGCCGGGGGCGTATACAACGTCAGTCCCAACCTTGTCCACGTCACCAGAGATCTCAAAAGCCTGCTGGTTTCCACTCTCCAGAAGCGATTTGATAGTCTGCACAGGAAAGTCCGCGACACGGCTCTGGACAGATGAGAACACGGAGCAAGCGTCCGCCAGGCTCTTCCAAAAGTTGAACGTGTCTCGAACACTCCCACTCGTGGTGGCTGCAAAGTTGATAGTGTCCATGGCAAGCTGGACAGCTTTTCCAAACAACCCCTTTTCCACGGACGCCAGAGCGTTGTCTACCAGAGTCTGCATGAGAGCAATGATAACACCCTCTTCTCCAGCATGGGTTTCCAACACGGCCTGGTACAAGGTGATCGACTCGTCATACTCGCCTAGTTCTCGTTTGATATTGGCAAGCATGTACTTCGTGAACCACCTGTCGCTGGATATGTCGCCGTTGCTCTCCGTCTCAAGGCTCTGCGCGTTCAGTATCGCCTTTGTGGCGGCAATGTACCGTCCGGAGCTGTGGTAACTCTCGCCCAAGCCAACCCAAGAATGATAGTCTCCGGGCGACAGCCTGAGTGCAGCCTGGAACGAAACAATCGCCTTGTGGACGTCTTGCTTGTTTAGCTCGGCCACGCCTAGCGCGGCAAACGGCCAGCTGATGCCCTTTCTCTTCGACCCAGGCGGCGGTTTAACTTTGCCTGAGTCTACCACGCGCTGGGCAACGAGCTCCACACGATCCCAGTCGCCGTCTTCTGCAAAAGATCGAGCCAACCGCTCCGCGGCAACAACTTCTGCGGAAGAGAGCTCGAGAGCCTTCTGGAAGCACCGGCGCGCTCTCTTTCGATCTTTGGCGTAGTCGTTGTAGAATATTCCAAGGCTGGTGTACGTGGGAGCGTGGTTCAAGTCGTTGTTGAGAGCGGCCAGCCAATATGCATATGCACTATCGCCCTTTCGCTGCTTTCTCGCTTGCCGACTCGAGTCCAGATTCCAAATGCAGGAGCCAATACGATATTGAGTGTCGGCCAGTAGGTCCTTGTCGTTGGCTCCCTTTTGCTCCAGCTGCTTGACGCAGTCCAAGAGCTCGGCCCTTGCAGTCTGCCAGTCCCCTTTCAAAGCCTTGACCCAGGCCGCTTCAGACCTGACGCGGATGTTCGATGGGTCACGCTCGAGGGCGCGGCTTAGGTAGTCGACGGCCTCATCATACTCTTCCTCTTCCTCAAAGATAAGCCCTACGCCTATCATGGCCGGTGTCGATGTTTCGTCATGCTCTAGCACCTTGTCGAACAGATTCTTGGCCTCCTGGTGGTGTCTCGGCGACTGGTAGTAGACCAGCGCTGTGCCGAGAGACAATGAGTATGCGTCATATGTGTTGCGAAAGGAGAGGCCCGTCTTTGTGCGCTCCTTGACGATGAACTGGTGCGCTTTGCGCATAAACTCGACTGTGCTCTCATACTCGCCGAAGTGAAGGAAGTAATGGCCGACCAGTCGGTACGCAAACGTGGACTCGGTGCCTGCTATGCCTTCTGTGATCATGATGAGGCGGTCGTCGTCTGTCAGAGGGACAAATGATGTGGGAACACCGCCGTCTTCATCGTCATCCTCGCTTTCCTCAGACCCAGCCATCGACGCGGCCTTTTTCTCGGTCTCGGCTGGCGGAGGGAACGGTGATATGGCACTCGTCAAGTAGCCGGTGATGACTTTGTAAAGATCGCTGTCGGGGAAGAAGCCGCAGTATTCTCTCAGGACGGTCACATCCCAGTCCTTGATATCTTTGTGGTCTTGCCAGTTGATGGCAATGTCCCACGCCAGCTTGAAGGGGTGCTTGATGATGACCATGTCGTTTGCGAGACCCCGCACCTTTGCTTGCTCCTCCGCTTTCGCGGCAGTAGGAGAGACTAGCAGGCGGTCGTAGCAATGTTGAAGGAGCTTTTCTTCGTAAGTCCTCCTCACGTCGTCGTCGCTGGTCCAATTGATCAGCTGCCGATAGACGTGCTCCAGCTTGCTAAGTGCGAACACCTCCCGCTTGACTTCGATTGTGACATCAGTCAACGTGGCGCCCAGGCGGGTGCGTCGTTCTCCTATGAGCGTGTTGATGCGCTTCTTCTCAAACTCTTCAAGGATAAGGGCAATAGTTTCGTAGGTCCTTGCGGGATGGGGAAAGCGGCCTTCCAGGACTGGGTAGAGGGGGCTCTCCGGGAGCTGGATCCAGAGGGCATCAGCGTACTGAAGTTTGTCGCCCTGTACTCTGGCAAAGTCGACAAACTTGTCGACAACCTCCTGGCACTTGAACATGTCGTCGGCGTCGCGGAACACGTGTGCCAGGCTGACGACGGCACGCTGGTACTCGGCCAGCTTCTTGGTGCCCTGCTTCTCATAGATCTTGATGAGGCCCTGGTAGGCCTGCGCGTCCTGTGGGCGGAGCGCGGTGGCATCTTGGTAGACGGTCTCGGCCTCATCTAGGCGGTTTGACTTGTCCAAGGCAAAGGCCAGGAAGATGAGGCTGGGTGCGGTCAGTCGGGCCCGCCCCTTAAGCCGAGATGGGGGCAACTCACGCTTGGTAGCTCTTGGGGTCCTTTTTCAGGTAGCCCTGAGCCTGGTCGATGGCGTCGTCAAACTTCTGCTGCCGAATCGCATCGTTGATGGACTTGAGCAGCGCCTTGGAGCTTGACATGGCTGCTCGACAGTGACGGCGAGGGCCGGACTCAGTTGGAGGCTGACAGTCCGACACGCAGATGAATGGACAGTGCGAGGGTTCGTGGAGCTGTGAGGGTCACTGTCATGGCCGAAAATGGTACGCGGCCTCGTTGGTTATCAGGTGGTCGTACACGGCGCCGTACGTTGGGACTTGGAGTCACGTCGATGGCTCGTGGAAGTTTGCTGCGTCACTGAGTTGAGCTACGTTACGTCGTGCACCTTTCCAGCGTCATGCACCAATGGGTAAGGTACCTCTAGCGCCGGGGCTTATGCGTGCAGCGGCGTGCCCTGAGCTCTCTCGACGTGGGCGCCGTTGAGCCGAGGATTGGCCGGCGCCTATCTGCAGGGCACCGCCCAACTCAACAGCACCGCCTGCTCCAGCTCTCACCCCACCTGCACAGTAGGCAAGTGCGCTAGAATGGAGGAGGCCAACCCCTCGCATGGATTGCGGACGTGACGGGCTGGCGCCACCAGTTCCATCCAATATCCCCAAGCCGACGGATCGATCCGTCGCCTCTCCACATCGCAGCATTCATGTCAAAGACTCGCGCTCACCTCGCCCATTCTTCTCGAATCAATCTTTGGGCTGAGGGCCGCATTTCGCCGCAGTATGTCTCTATCAGCCCGCAGCCGCGTCCAGCAGAGGCGCCCCCTCGACAGCTCGCATTCTGGCCAGCCACGCGTGGAGGCCTCGATCCTTGGCCCCCTTGCGCCAACCATGTTTGCCTCGACGACAGGCCGCATCATTGAGGGCTCTTTGACGACCCCCCCGCGGCTTGATTGTCCCAGTCATTTGACCATTCTACAGCGGAGATCTAGGCGCTGAAGGATCGCGACAACATCCAGCACACCACTTCCGCAGCCCGACGGCACGAAGCCTCGCCTCCAGACTCGATGGCGGCCACGAGGGACGTCGGAAGCCAACAGCCGCCACAAAAAAAGGACGCCATCGGTGCGTGCGGGTTGCCAGCGCCACAAGCACCACCACCACTCCGTTCGTCGCGCTGGCCAGCCCGCCTCGTGGCGGGAGTCGCCACACGGACCAACAAAGCGACGCCGTCTGCTCGTCAATGACTCAATAGTCCACCAGATCGCATTGTCCGCCCTGGGCTGCGCCGCGGCGCCATCGGTCGGGCCTGCGCCTGGCCTCAGCTCCAAGCTCTCTCTGGTGTGATAACGTGTGCTTGCCGGTTAGCCAGCCATCAGCTCTGCAGCGAGTCCACGGCTGCCTGCACGGATCCAATACCGACAGGGCTATAAGCTGCATGGCGTTACTCTGTCAACTTGCTTCCCCCGAGCTGTCGCTTACGCCCGCTGACTTGCCGACCGGCCGCTGCCGTCGCCCGTCACCGGCACTTACAAGGTGAATGAATATCCGCCCAGCCCGTTGGTTCCTCGCGACAATAGCACCGGGGGTTGATGGCTGGTAGCGCCAATGAATGCCGGGCATGGCGTTTGCCTGGCGTGGCTTGAAAGGACCCCACGCCTCCCCGGCATCCTAACCACCCAACACCACCGCGCTTGTCGAGTCGTCGAACTTGGGGGATCATCGCGGCCATACAGAGACAAGCAAGTGCTGTATTGTGCTGTGCGCCCATGTGCGCGTCTGTTGTGTGACGCCGTGAGGCTCGGCTGGCCACCGCCCTCATCCGGGCGTCGCCCCCTACTCCGGGTATGTCACACGGCGCCTGCATGTGTGTGCCTGGCTGGACGCCAGGATTCTCACCACGTCGGGCTGAGATGGCGACTGCCTTGCCCAGGTAACCGCTTTCTTTGCTTTCCAGACAAGAGTGCCCTCTGTCGGTGGAAGATGCCGGTCCAGCCAAGCCGCGTCGGCGATGGCGGTGGCGTCCAAAGAGTCCCGTGCTGCATGTTGGTTCGAATCCACAAAGACTTTGAAAGAAGCTCGCCGGTCATACTGTATACACAGCACGTAGGAGGTTTGCCGCGGAGAGAGGCTATAACACTGCCACCGACCCCAGACTTGTGGAGAATGTACACAGACCCGTTGTCACGTTTCAACCCTTTGCATCTCTTTCTCGCCCTTTAGTTGCTGGCCCCCGCTGTTCATGTCGTGCGACGGCCGCTTATGTCTCCTCCCTCCATGCAACCGTAGAGCTCATAATGCCACTCGTGCACCGCAGGTTCCAGGATCGGCTCGCCGCCCAGATCCAGACCAGGAAGACCAACGATGGCGCCGTCATCGAGAACCCCTTGGGTACGTACTTGCGACAAAACGCGCGAGAGTCCTTCGCTAACACGGGGTAGCGTACATGACGGACAAGGAGTTGGAGGAAGATGTCAAAGAATTCGCACAGAAGAAACTGCCCGTCGTTCCGTACGAGCAAATCTTGCGCGCCGCAAGGGTGGCCAAGGATATCCGCATGTACGATGAAATCGCGCGACGGCCGGGCTTTGACAGTCGCCACCACCTCCCAGTCACCCTTACCGAAGACGAGAAGACCGCCCTGCGAAGAGAACGAGATGTCACCTTTAGCGAACGGGGAATGTGGACCGTCATTGCCACAGTCTCCTTGGCAGCCCTGCTGCAGGGTAAGTCTTCGTTGCGCTGGGGTATGTTGCGTGGACATGCCCCGATCCTGACCGAGCGATTCAACTCTAGGTTTCGTCCAATCCTCTTGGAACGGCGCCGCGTTATATGACAATCAGTGGGGACTCACAACGACGGAGGCAGACCAACGGAGCGAATCTGACGATTGGCGCCTCGGGGCGGCCAATGCCTCGCCTTGGTTTGTCGCCGCCCTCATCGGCTGTCCCCTGTCCCTGCCCATCAACTATTGGTACGGCAGGAGAGGCGGAATCGCCGTTGCGGCGGCATTGATATTCTGCAGCTCTGTTGGGGCTGTGTTTGCGAAGACGTGGATTGACTTGATGTGCGTTCGCATCATCAATGGGCTGGGTGAGTCGGGTTGTGTCCAAGACTGCTTGAGAAGCCCATTCACTAACCAGCGTAGGGATGGGAATCAAGGCTGTCAGCACGCCGATTCTGGCATCTGAGACTGCTGTCGGCTTCTGGCGCGGCTCTGCGATTCTGGCATGGCAACTCTGGTGAGTGATGTATAATCTCGGTGGCGAGTTGCACGAACTGACGATCCTTTGTCGCGCAGGGTCGCATTCGGCATCATGACCAGCTTCGGCTTCAACATGATTTTCACGACCGCACCGAGCCCTCACACCGTCTTTGCCCTCATCAACGGCGCGCCCATGGTGCCCAGCTTGGCCCTGTTCATCATCGCCATCTGGGTCTGCCCCGAGTCGCCCCGCTACCATCTCATGAAGGGACCCAACTACAACGTCGAGAAGGCGTATCGCATTTTGCAGCGCGTTCGAAATACTGAGGTACGTGGTCGGAGGATCTCGGCACGAAGTCGCTGGGATGGAGACTGACACTGCTTCCAGTTGCAAGCGCTACGAGACCTGTACGTGGTGCACAAGGCGCTCGACCTCGAAAATGTCGGCTTCGGCGACTTGGACGAGAACGCGGCGCTGTCGCCGGGATTCTTTTGGGTAATCAGGGACTTCTTCACGCAGTACAAGCAGCTGTTCCAGCAACGCCGGTTGTACAACGCGGTGATTTCAACGGGAACTGTCAATCTGGCACAGCAACTTTGTGGAGGTGAGTGGATTAGCTGACAGCTCCGAGACTCGTCTCAGCAAGCTAACGGTCGGCAGTCAACGTGTGCGCCTTCTACTCTGGTTTGTCGTCGCTCGCCTGGGACTGAAAAGCTGCACGCACTAATGACCAGCAGGAACTCTGTTCAGCCGTGTCGGAAACCAGTCCATCCTTATCGAAATGGCATACAGTCTTGGATTTGGTCAGTACTTGCCGTATTCTGCCACCATGCAGCATTGCTGACTTGAATATTCAAGGTGCAATCAACTGGCTCTTTGCGCTACCCGCGATCAAGCATATCGATACGCTCGGCCGAAGGAAGCTACTGTTGATGACGTTACCGTGCATGGCCATAACCATGCTCGGGGCTGGGTTGGCCGGGTTTATCGAGGACCAAAAGTTGCGCGTCGGGATCACGGCTCTGTTCCTGTTCTGTAAGTCTAGAGGACTCGCGCAGGCTCCTTGCATGAAGTGCTGACGGGACAGTGTTTGCCATGGCATATTCGCCAGGTCTAGGTCCGATCCCGTTTACCCTCGCTTCCGAGAGCTTTCCACTGTCTCATCGAGAAGCGGTAGGTGACCTGTCTTGGGTTGTTAGACATGTTGCTGATGACTGTAGGGCACCTCGTGGGCCATTTCCATCAACTTTTTCTTTGCTGCCATTCTGTCCTTGTTCTTCCCAAGGTGAGTAAACACATGCGCCCGGGATTTTGCATTCAGCTGACAACGTGACAGCGTCAATTCCGCCATCGGACAAACAGGCTCTCTCGGACTGTTCGCCGCGCTCAACGTCTTGGCGCTGGTGCTTGTGTTCCTGCTGGTCGAGGAGACGAAGCGGCGCAGCTTGGAAGACCTCGACCACATCTTTGCGGTGTCGAAGCGGGACTTTATGCGGTTCCAGATGACGGAGATTCTACCGTGGTTCCTCGGAAAGACGTTTCTACGGAACAGAACCAAGCGGCCGCAGCTGTACAAGGATCTGATCTGGGGCTCGTACGGCGGCGAGGGCGACACCCGGTCGCGCATTATGGACGAGCTGGACGGCGTGGAGACGGTGCGGTCCTACTCGGTCGCGCAGTCGCCGTGGAGCGAGGGCGGGCCGTCTCACATCGCCTTCGCCATGAGCCCCATCACGCCCGTCTCGACCGACGAGATCGGTCTTGTTGGGCGGAACCCCAACGCCGTGGAGATTGGCGACAGCAGGCCCATGGCCAGCTCCGAGTCGCCGCTCGGGAGCCACCCGCCCAGCTACCAGAACGAAGAGGGGCCTAATACGCCGACGGACAGCCCGGAAGTGCAGTACGACGATGTGAAATACGACTACCGCAAGCAAGAGTGACGGAGTGACGGGACGGGAAGGAGAAGGAAGGGAAAAGAAGGAGGCTCAAAGTCGTAATCGGTGGATGAGGTCGGGCCCCATTGTACACGTAACGCGAGGCGTATATATCCTTGGAATAGCACGACTGCGTATCGCAGGTGAAGCTGCGGTCGAACCACGCTGGCCAATCCCGCGCGTCGCGACGCATGATGATTCCTTTCTGGGCGAAGGGCGAGGTGGAGTCGCGGTGCGCAGCGCGCGCGGGGGCGGCGAGGCTTTCATCGTTGTACCCCAGCTGATCGGTTGATGGATGGCTGTCTTTGCGCAGAGAAGGTGCAGCTAGCCCCCCTGCGTGCATGCATCGCTTGATGGTGGCCCGTGATCTGCGGTAGCAGCAGCCCGAGACTGTCGCTGCCGGCGGCCAGTTGGGAGACGGTGTAAGCGGTTGACTGGCCTTGTCACCTGGGTATAAAAAGGTGGACAGGAGACGGATGAAACATCAATGACCATTTATTTATTCAGACCGGGGAGCACAACTTGGGATGGAACGCTCTGCTACCCTCTGCTCTGTGGGGTGTAGCCGTCGTTAATTTAGGGACCCGAGGCGGCCACTGCGTCATAGGTTTAGTACGTCACTAACGACAAAGAGCGGCTGCAGTCCCGTTTTGACGTTAACGGGGGTCCCCTTAAGCTCCGACCGCCAACTTGGAGGACCGTCCCCCCCTCAACCTCCTACCTCCAACCTCCAACGTCCGGCCTGTCCATCACCTCCGTCACCTCTGGCCCCTCTCCCTCACGCCGCGAAGTCGCCGGGCCGGCCCATAGACGACGACACACCATGGCGTCCTTCCGCCTGACCATCGAGGACGGCCAGTTCCGCGACGGCCACGGCCGCCAGGTCGTCCTGCGCGGCATCAACGTCGCCGGCGACGCCAAGCTGCCCAGCGAGCCCGACCAGCCATCCCACGTCGGCGACGACTTCTTCGACGGCGACAACGTCACATTCCACCAGCGGCCCTTCTCCAAGGACGATGCGCCCACGCACTTTGCGAGGCTGCGCCGTTACGGCTTCAATACCATCCGCTATGTCTTCACCTGGGAGGCCATCGAGGCCGCCGGCCCGGGAATCTACGACGAGACGTGGATTCAGCACACCATTGAGATCCTGCGCGTCGCAAAGTCCTATGGCTTCTACGTCTTCATGGATCCGCACCAGGATGTCTGGTCGCGCTTCACCGGCGGCTCCGGCGCCCCCATGTGGACCATTTACGCCTGCGGCCTGAACCCCCAGAGCTTCGCCGCCACCGAGGCCGCCATCGTCCAGAACACATACCCCGACCCCGATACGTTCCCCAAGATGATCTGGTCGACGAATTACTACCGTCTCGCCGCCGGTACCATATTTACTATGTTCTTTGCCGGCAAGGACTTCGCGCCCAATTGCATCATTGACGGCGTCAACATCCAGGACTACCTCCAGAACCACTTCATCAACGCGTGCGGCCAGCTTGCCAAGCGCATACACGAGGCCGGCGACCTCGAAGACGTCGTAGTCATGGGATGGGAGAGCATGAACGAGCCGAACCGCGGCATGACCGGCTACGTCGATCTGACGGTCATCCCCAAGGAGCACCCGCTCAAGAAGGGCACCTGCCCGACCATGTGGCAGACATTCCTCACCGGCATGGGGAGAGCTTGCGAAGTCGACACTTGGGACATGGGTGGTCTCGGACCGTACAAGACCGGCACCACGCTCGTCGACCCCCACGGCGAGATTGCGTGGCTCCCGGAGGGCTACGACGACTCCAAGTATGGCTGGAAGCGCGACCCCAGCTGGAGGCTCGGAGAGTGCATCTGGGCGCAACACGGCGTCTGGGATCCCGAGACAGATACACTACTCAAGAAGGACTACTTCCAAAAGAACCCGCGTACCGGAAAGGCCATCGACTACCCTGAATTCACCAACACGTATTTCATGGACTTTTGGCGAAAGTACCGCGACACATGTCGCAAGCACCACAAGGATTGCATCATGTTGATGCAGTACCCGACTCTGGAGCTGCCGCCCCAGATCAAGGGCACCGAAGACGACGACCCGCTGATGGCGTTCACGCCGCACTTTTACGACGGCATCACTCTCATGACGAAGCATTGGAACAGCACGTGGAACGTCGACGTCGTCGGCGTGCTCCGAGGAAAGTACCTGCATCCAGCGTTTGCCATCAAGATAGGCGAGACGGCCATTCGCAACTGTCTCAGAGATCAGCTCGCTACATTGCGACAAGAGGGTCTCGATCGGATTGGCAAGCATCCGTGCATCTTGACAGAGTTTGGCATTCCTTACGACATGGACGACAAGAAGGCATATAAATCGGGCGATTACACGAGTCAGTCAGCGGCGCTCGATGCCAACTACTTTGGCGTCGAGGGCTCGCAAATAGAAGGACACTGCCTGTGGCTATACAGCACGAACAACGACCATGAGCGCGGCGACCAGTGGAACGGCGAGGACCTGTCCATCTTCTCACTAGACGATAAGCTTCCGCCGCTGTCACCCCTCCCCAAGACCTCTCTACCTAACCAGTCGGCCACGAGCCTCCTGAAGCTCTCCACCATGAATAGGGAAGGCGGTGGCCCTGGCGGCGACGATGAGGCCGTCACACCCGGAAACCTCCAGCGGACGCTCACAAACCCATCCATCAGCTCCACGCCCTCGCTCAAGGACCCCGAGCTGACCAACGCGCCGGGCTACCGCGCCGCCGAAGCATTCATCCGACCCACCCCCACGGTCGTCGCCGGAGACGTCGCAGCCACGGGCTTCGACCTGCGCAGGTGCACCTACAACCTCAAGGTCAAGGCCGCGAAGCCCGCCGGCGATGACGCCCCCACCGTCGTCTTCCTGCCCGAGTTCCACTTCCCCAAGGACCAGGCCGAAGTGACCGTCTCGGCGGGCAAGTGGGAGCTCAGTACCGAAGAGGACGACGGCCCCCTGCTGCAGTGGCTCCGCTGGTGGCACCCGGAGGGCGAGCACACGCTCACGGTGCGCGGCGTGGTGAGGAAGCACAACGTCCCTGAGGGCTCGGCCGAGGAGGCCGGGTACCTGGAGCAGTGTCAGGAGGGGTACGGGTTCAACTTTGGGAGCTGCTCCGTCATGTGAGGCGCTCCCTTACCCTCTTTCCCTCCTTCCCTCGCCTCGTTTCGACATCTGGGGGAGAAGAGGTGGTTGTGTGTGGATCTTTTGCCAGCGTTTGGGTTCGTAAAGGTCTGTCCGCCTGTGGGATTCTTGATGTATGGCGTTGTGGGCGATGTGGTCACCTTTTCCTGTTTGAAGCATTGACAGTAGGGCCCAAGCAAGGGCCATCGAACATAGCAAGCTTGCATAAAAGCACAATCTATACCTCGTAGTTGGTAATTGTTTTGATAGCAAGTGGCCGTTCGAGGTCTCTTCACTACACGTGAACTGCTCGACAGATGTCTAACTCCTCGAGATACACGCCTGATTTTTTCGCCCCTTTGTCTGTCTGTCCGTCGCCGGACAGTATTTACAACCTGTCCGTTTTCGTCCCCCCCCCCCCCCCCCCCTACGCCTTCGCCATTTTGAATGACTTACAACCGTCTGGTGGAAGCCCGCGTAGACCGTTCCCCAAACTCCGTTGCCATTCTGATTTTTCTTCCTTTTCAATCGTCTGCTGGAAGACCGTGCAATTTGCCCTCCCAGACTACTTTCCCGGGTAGACCTTCATGTGCTGGAGGCTACCCACCCTCTTGTGAGCAGGGCGCGCAACGAGACACGCGCCAACTCTTTACCCCCGTTCTGATCAGTGACCAAGATGAGAAGCCCTCAGCAACTTAGAACAGGTTCAGCTCTCTATTCCTCTCATCCATGAGATAGGCCCGCAGCTCCGTGGAAAAGTCCAGTCCCTCTTTGCGGAGGTATTGAACCGCCATCTTGCCGTTCGCGTCGAGCACCGAGATCTTCACGCCTTTCTCCACGAAGATGTGCGCCTCCTCAAGGGCGAGCCTCGTGCGCGAGTACCCACCCCTCTTGAGCCTCCGGACGAGCATGTGGAGGTACGTCTCCCCGAGCGGGCTCACGTACTTCCCATCGAAGCGCAGCGTGTCGCGGACTTGCTGCCAAAAGGAGTCGAAAGGCCAATCAAAGGCCGCCGCGACGAGTTGAGATGCGTTGGTCGGGGGGCCGAGGTGTTCGCAGATGGCCTTCCACAGCTTGAGGTCAATGTCCTCGATGCTGCGGGTGAAGGCTTCGTCGATGACTGGCTGTGAGAGGGAGCCCTTGCAGTGGTCGACGATGTTGGAGTAGAGGGATCGCAGGGCTGGACGGGCAAGCCAGTGCCGGAACGCCTCGTCGGCCTCGCTCGCGCTGACGTGGGCCCCAATGTTGAGGAGTTTCTTGAAGTACGCTTTGGTAGGGGTCCAGGTGTCAGCCATGTCGAGATGGTCGCGTGCGATCCTGCGTATCAGCTCGCCCAGGATCGTGCGATTTCCAGGTTGGATCCGCGTGTTGACTTTCGCTTCATGATGGTCGTGGAGGAAAAAGAGAAGCTTCTCAAAGCAAGCGTCATACCCCAGCCCCGCACACGACAAGTTGTCGAGAACCCTGTCGTTTATGTAGTGCATCATCGTCCTGCCCTCATGAAGGCCCTCGTCGACCCGCGCACCGCCCCTGATCAAGGCGTCTAGGATCGCTTCCATGTCCTTGGCGTGGCGAGCGCCCCAGGAGATGCTGTCGACGGGCAGTATGCACATCATGGGCGTCTCCGGGGGCGAGGTATTTGTCACGGCGTTGGGGTCCGCGCCGCGCTCGAGGAGACGGCTGATGTACGCGCGCAGCGGGGGGCGAGGGAGCGATAGAAAGGCGGCGCAGCTTCGCTTGACAGCCTCGTGGAGGGGCGAGCAATCCAGGATCGTGAGAGCATTGACGTCGGCGCCGTGGTCGATGAGTTGGTTGAAGGCCTCCTCATTGTCTCGTTGAATCGCAATATGGAGAGCCGAGGCCTGGTTTCTGGAAAAGGGAACGTCCAGATAGTCCGGGTACGCCTTGAAGAAGCTCAAATGCACCTCCATAGGACTGGTGAAGTTCTGGCTTTGGCTTTCCTCTTCTGCTTTGCGCTTCCTGCGTCGCCTCGGGGCCGGTTCCGTTTCAACGCGTTCGGCATTGAACTCCTTGGAGCCCATGGCTGCTACGTAGTGAAAGACTGTAATGGGCGGCTGGGTGAGTATCGCCGGCGCCTTGCAGAACACGAGGGCTTTGACGACCTCGTAGTGTCTGAGCAGGAGCGGCGCCATGAGCGGCAGCCACTCTGCTCTTCGAATTGCCGTGTGCATTAGGCTTCCAAAGCGGCAGCGTCCATGGCCCTCATGCTCTGTTACATCGATCGTCGGAATGCCTCTACTTTCAAACGCTTGAAACCCAGAGCATTTGGCGCTGAGACTGGCGCCGTGGCCCAGCAACTGCTTCACCACCGGCAGCCGACCCTTGGCCGCGGCGAAATGTAGGGCTGTGGCGAATGTGCCGTCGTCACCGACATACCTGGCGTTCACCTTGGCCTGCGCAATCGCTCTCTTGTCGGCATCGTTGTGGTATCGCGCCTGGCCCCATTGCATGAATCGCTTCAGCACAGAGCACTGCATTTCGTAGCGTCCTGTCGGGTCGTCTTGGCCACCCAGTGCTGCCCAGAGTATTGCGGTCGAGGTATCTTCTGCGACGTCTTTTTTGTACATGCAGCACTGAGCAATATCACGCCAGCTCGTATGGGCGCGGCATAACCTGCCCACCTCGGCCAGCGACAAGGGGTCCATGATGAACAGCTTGATCTCGCAGGGGAGGGTGACGAGCCGCGACGGCGGGCGCTTCCTGGCGTTTGCAGTCTGGGCCATGGTGGCCGAGATTTCTTGAAGGGGGCGAAAGAGAGACAGCGGGAATGTAAGATGGAGGGCTGATGTGACTGTGAAAGTATTATCCACGGGATGGAGTGACGGATGGTGCGCGAGGAATGCGGCAGCACAAGTCGGGGTAGAGGGCGCTCTCCAGGCGATATTTTACAGTTGCGAAATCAATCGAGAGTGCGCCAGGCAGGTCCCGTTGTGAACATGTGGAAAAAGGGACGAAAGGAGAACAGCGATAGTTGTGTTCGCACTTGCCGTTGTCGAGGCATCGCGACGTTTGCACCTCGAATTACTGTTGCTCGGACAAGGAAGGTGCCATATACTGGTTGCTCGGGCCGCCACCAAGGCACTCGTACCCTTGGTGCTGGAGTCTGCTGCCCTACACATTTCTCCATGATCATGCCGACCCTGGTCCTTCGTCAAACTCGTCTATCACGCTCCGCGGCTTGACGAACTTTCCAAGGGGAGTGTAGGTGAGATGGTCGAAGCCGAAGCCCTCCGGGCCCCCTATCTTGACGCCTCGCTCCGTGCCGGTCCATTTGTCGCTCGCCGCAAGTCCGAGCACGACGACAAACAGTCCGTAGCGATACTCAGGGGTTCCGATAGCTTCGCCACTCTGCGCGTCGATGACGGTGATCAGGTCCGGCACGATGGCAAGCACATCTTCCTGCTTCTCCTCAGCCCCATCGTCCCGCACCCGGAGGGCCGCAATGTTCTCGTTCTTAAACGGAATCTTTATGGTGCCTCGAAACGCGCCTGCGGCCTTGCGGTCGTCGGTGGACACGACGCCCTCTTCGTCACAGACGTTGGCACCCTCGATGAAGCACTCGCCGTAGACGTAGCCGCCTCTGAGTCTCCGCTCGATGCCGACAATCTTCCCCTTCCAAAGCACTTTACCCGCGCCCTTGCCACCGCATTCTTCGATAATCGTCTCGGCCACATTGTCGACGCGATTCTCCTTTCGTGCACGAGCGACGCCACGGCCGATTCTCCACGCCTGCGATATCGTGTGCTCGACGACCCATCGTTTCGTCTCTGCTCCGGTCACGGGCGACTCGGCGCAGCCTGTATGCGAGCCCATTTGGCTGAGTGCAGCCCGCAAGATTCGCTCTACTTGCAGGTCGGAGCTGGCCCTTGGCATCAACACCACGTTGCCGTTTCCGTCGGACATGGCAATCGGGGACCAGATTGGGCTTCGCTCGTTGAAGACAACGGGGGTGGTCTGCCACTTGGTCGGATATGCGCGGCCCATCCAGTCTCCATCGACGGCCGGAAGATTCATGTAGTTGCTCGCTCCGAGTTGCATGCCCTGCAGGCCGTTGCCGCCGCCAATTTCGATGGCAATCATGTGAGTTGCCGGGCGATCGTGGACCTTATAGAGCTCCGTCTGAGCCTCCATAAGCTCGTCCGCAGCGAGCTTTTCGATGCCCACCGTCGGGCTGCCGACGCCGCCACCACACCCGACCTGATCATCGTCTTTCAAGTCGTGTGGATTCACGACGCGGACTATAGCGCCCTTGCGAAGGTCCGACCGAAGCCGCACCATATGAGAATATGGCGACCCGCCTCCTCCGGTGCCGAGGATGTAGCATCCGATGGTGACCCAGTCGAGGTCAGTTTCGGATACATACCACACACGATCCTTGACTTTAGGTCTGTATGCTGCAATATCTATCTCTTCATCAGCCTTGGTGCTCTTCTTTGACTGTTGACCGCTCGCCTGTCTATCGTATTCGCTCATGTCTTGGGCGTTATCGGATGGGTCCTCCTGTGGCACGGTGGCAATCCCACTCTGTGACAGGTCGAAGTCACCAGCTGCACGAACAATAAATCTAGTCTTGTGGGCAATATACTTTCATCCCGTCAGCATTATCTTGGGGTCCGCTGGTTGCGTCGTCGACTTACCTGTAGCGGAAGTGTATCCTGTTCAACAACCTCCACCGAGGATGGAAGCGCGCCAGCGGCAATGGTCTTTTGTATTGCCTGCTGGCTCACTTCCTGCAGCAAATCGCTCGTGGACTTGTTCTCCGTGGATTTGACAATGTCGACAACGGCGCTGACTCGGGCAATGGCGGCACCGATGGCGTTGGCCACCTGAGACCACTTGGGCTTCAGTACTCTGCTTGCCCCCGTCAGCTCATCTGGAGCAATGACTGCACCTCCTCCGACCAACAACACGGGCACGTCTCCGGGAGACGTCTTCATTTTGTCAACAATCTTCTCCAGCTTTGCGCGGACAATGTCTTTGAACGTGTCGAGCTGATGCTGTAGCAGAGCCCCCTTCACGAGCTCCGAGTTCCCAATATCGAGGCTGGGATCAGCAAGAATCGTACAATCTGTAGCGGTGAGGACTTTTCCGCCAAAGACGAGTGCATCCTCTTGCAGCTTGTAGCCCACACTGTCCGGGCCGACGGTGAGGCCGTTCTCGGTCCTGATAATGGAGCCGCCGCCCAAGCCGATGCTTTTGACGTCGGGGCACGAAAAGTTCATGCGAATGCCCGCAAGGTCGCTGTACGCAGCCTGTTGCCGCGGAAAACCGTTGGCCTGGAGGAGCCCGACGTCGGTCGTTGTACCTCCGATATCCACGACCATGATTGCTTCAGACAGTTCGCCCTGGGCCAGGAACGCCGCACCCCTCATGCTGTTTGTCGGGCCGCTCGAGAAGGTCCGGATTGGAAGGCGTGCAGCTGTCTCCCCTGCAAGCACGGTGCCGTCGTTTTGCGTTACGAAGACGGGGCAATCAAGGCCCAGCTTCTTGACGGGCTCCTGGAAAGATCTGATGGTCTTCCTCGCAAACGACAGAATAGAGGCGTTGAGTATAGATGCGTTCTCGCGCTCCAAGAAGCCGAGGTTTGCAATGTCCTTGGAGCAGACTACGTCGCAGCCAGGGAGCTCGGCCTTGATGATGTCTGCCGCCCGCTCCTCCTGCCGCTCAACAGTGTCGATTGGGCTGAAGACGCCGTTCAGGACGATGCTTCGGATGCCCTTTTCGCGGATCTTTGCGCACTCTGCCTTGATTTCTGTCTCGTCTATGTCCGAGATGAGCGTGCCGTCCACTTCCAGGCCGCCTTTTAGCAGCGCGAAATGGGCCAGTATCAGCTGCCTCATGTCATCCGGCCAGTCCACGCACGCAGGCGCATGCTTGGAAAATGGGCCGCAGAGGCGGATGACGGCTACGGGAGATAGACGAGACGCGTCTCTTTCGACGACGGCGTTGACGAAATGTGTCGTGCCAATCGTGACACTGGCGACGTGCTCCGGCTTGATCTTGGCCGACTCGAACATGGCCGTGATGGCATTATTGATGCCGACGCTTGGGTTCGTGGTCGTCGGAGCCTTGTGCCACGCCAAGATGCCCTTGTCCGGTGACGATGACGCCTCTGGATCGAGGATGACGCCGTCGGTGTTGGTACCGCCAACATCGACTCCAATCCGGAGGCGTCTCATGTTCTCAACAGCACACATCCTGGGTTGATTCACGTGATAGTCGAGCGGACGATAGAGGGGTGGGCAGCAGAGGAGATGCAAGTTCAAGATGGTAGGACTCCAGCTTAGATCCTGGGCGGAGAGGAAGCGGGGTGATGATCTCGGTATCCGAGCGGGCCTATCCGTCGTCGAACAGCGGCGGACGATGGTGTGATTCAAAGGGGCTTCAGCTGATGCCACGCTTGAGCATCCGCTCCCTTTGAAACACACGATTCTTCGCCGTTTTTCAGCAACCATCTACCTGTGTGTACAGCATTGCAAGTGATGTCGTGAAAGCGTTGACGCGTCGGAGTTCTCCCAGCGTGGCTTGGTTCTTCGACGACGGTCGGTCACTGTCCGCCTTTTCACACCTAATCGGGCGTAAAAGGCCCCGGCGAGATAAGCCATGTCATAAGCTCAATACAGCGACGACCGGGAAGAACGAGGCCAACGTGGCAGAATGCAAAAAAAGATATTGTTTTGGCAGTAGATACCTCGTCGAATAAAGTTCAACCGCTGGGACAGATTCAGGGCGCAGAAGATCGCTGAGTAAGCCCAGCAAGCCACCGTGAGGAGAGCACGCCAGGCGCCCTGCATGAAACGGCCGGGGCAGTGGGTGGGCGCCTACGAGTGACGCCAACGCAGCGCTGGGACGGTAATACAGTGGAGTGGACCTGCCTAGGCAGTCAACCAGGGTAGCTCCTCCAAGCGCTCAACGCTGACCCGCAGCAGATGACGAACCTCGAAGCTCTGACAAGGCTGCGTCACCCTCCCAGCAACATCGCCACCGCAGGCACACGACGACCACCACACACGCCCTCGACCGTGCCGCGGCGGCTTCTTCTTACGCAATCATCTTACGCCTCGCCGCCCGAGGCATAAGCATGTGAACAAGCGGCGACACCAAGAGCATCGGAGCAGTGATTAGCGAGACAGGGCGGTTGGTATGCAACTTTCACTCGACTAGAACCGCTCTGTTCGATCGCATTCGACACCCGAGCATCCTGCCAACGGCCAGATCACATATCGATCCCTATCAAACGAATCTCTCCCGAGACGTCTCGACCCGGGCACAGCAGACGCGAACATTACTGAGCGACTCGCGAATAGAAACAACGTCTATCTTTTCGCAGTGGCCCTGAGCGCCAACCAGCCAGTGCTGGGACGCAGGCATCGACTGGCGCAGCCGACATACCGAGCGAAGCACTGACTGCACCCCGCCGGCCTCCAACATGACCGCCCGATACGATCTGAGGACGCAGGACCAGGATGCGGGCTCCTACGCCGCTCTGCCCGGCACGGCGCAGACCGAGTTCGTTCAACACAACATGACACCGATGAAGTCGCGTCTTACTCCTGGCAAGGAGGTGCCTGGTACGCCGTGCCCCTCTGGCAGACCACAGGACCGCAGTCCATACTGACGGCTTCGATGCAGGTTGTCACCCGAGCCGCTGGATATACGAACTAACCAACAACGACTTTACCGCATGCGACGTTTTCCTTAGAGCTAGGCACGCCGAGTTGGAGAGTACGTATGGCTGGGAGCACCATCACAAGCTCGTCATAAACGGGAACCAGAGCTTTGCGACATCCTCGACTCGAGTTTTGTCGGCCATCTGCTTAGACTGTCATTTCCATTTCGTCTTCAAGATGGCTTGGGACGCAGCCCATGTCGACTCGCTGTGCCACAGCTCCCAGTCGCGATGGCCCTTGCGAGACAACAACTTCCCCTGGCACCATCTCGTGTGGGCTGGCTCTGCCTCGGATGCCGATATCACGAGCGATCAGAACAAATACTATCCCCTCCTTGCGCGCGAGTATTTTGTGTGCTCAGCTCCGCCTTGCACGTTCCAGATGACGCTAGAAGTCTCGGAGCCTCGGATGGGCACATGGTGGGTTAAGCTCCTGCTGGATCGCGATGCCATCTGCGAGCAGCTGCGAGCGGCGAGAGAGCACGAGCCAAGCCGTTACGAAGGCGCCACTGACGACTGGGCGAACCAGGCTCCGCTGAACCTCAACACGTACCTTAAGAATCTCCTCGAGTCCACCCCGGAGGATGTCAGAAGCATCTCGAAGCGTAACAAGAGGTTCGCCGTTTTGTTTGGGCCTCGCTGCTTCTCGATTTTTCGGCGCTTGGAGTTTACGGAGCAGGTGATAGACCGTGACGGGGTAGACGAAGGCTCGTTCACTCCCACGCCGCCAGCGCCGTCAGGTGGTCCCTCTGGTACGACAGAGATCGGCACATACCGCGCATACTTGGAGGACGTCAGAGCCGAGGTACAGTGCCTCATTCACAAGGCGGGACAGGCCGCCGAGAAGCCCACGTACTGCACGCCCGTTTTGCACCAGGATCTTCAGTGCACCGAGGTGCCCAACGTCAACGACAACGCCTTGGTCAAGTTGGACCGGTACAAGTTACTGGGCATTCTGCCAGGTCAGACTCGCGAAGTGATTGTCAACGCCTACAAGCGCCAGTGGGAGTTGCTGCCCAGCCGGCGACGAGCTTTAGTGGATGGTCTGACGGCGGTGGCCAACGACACCGGTGACGAGATGCTCTCGGACTACGCAATGACTCAGTCATCTGTGTTCGAGAGCCAACTACAGCGGCAAGGCACAAGCGACGAGGACGGTGTATTGACGCAGGCCCTCAACTTCCTCGGCCTGCAGCCGCCAAACAACTACTCAGCAGACTCCATCATCGACGCTTTCCGGCAGAAACTTGCCCAAGATCCCGGAGAGGCTGTCAACGCGAGATCCATGTTGATGATTATTGCACGCGCGTCGACAGACGACATCTACCAAGCGTCGTTGCTCATGGAATCTGATGCGAAGATGTCACTCGACACTGCCCGAGCGATCCTGGGCCTGGGAGGCGCCGACGTGCCGTGGCAAACAGCTGCTGAAGCGGCCAAGAAGAAGGTACGCCCTCGACCACTCTCTGGCCTTTGCTGTTCCCGTTTTGCTCACGCTAACCCTGGACGCAGCTGGAGAACAGCAAGAGCTCTGAAGAAAAGGAGGTCGTGCTGGATGCCCTGGAGGCAGTAGCAGACCACACCAACTCTCCGACTTTGAAACAGGCAGTGTTGGAAATGCGCAACTCCAGCGGCATCATGAACTACGGCGGCTCATCGAAAGAGCCAGCTGACCTGTCATTACCAGTTGGCCTCCACAACATTGGCAACACTTGCTACCTCAACAGTCTCCTGCAATACCTCTTTACCGTAAAGCCCATCCGGGACGTGGTCCTCAACTACGATCAGCTGCGGCTTGACCTCACCGACGAGAGCATCAAGGCTCGCCTGCTTGGCGGGAACAAGATGCAGATGGACCGTGGAGAGGCAGTCGTTGCGCAAGCTTGTGAGTTGCACAAGCCCCGTCTCCATTTCGGTTGTTGACAAGTTGCATAGTCGCGCAGGAGCTGGCCACTCTATTCCAGAACCTACAGTCCTCGGATCAAGCTGCCACCAGGCCATCCCAGCGACTTGCCAACGCTGTGCTGCTGTCCACGCATACCTTGCTACACAGCGAAAAGTCTGCTACGAAGCCGGAGGTTGGACCTCAGCCTCCACCTCTGCCTGCGCGGCCCTCGCCGGCCGCCCCCACCGGCCAGGCGCCTGATGTCGACATGGTCACTTGCACGGTGACGACCGTGCCAGACGCGACGGAAACTGCTAGCATCTCGAGTTCACGAACGTTGGTTGACCAGGAGGATGCCCGATCTGACCTTTCCTTTGAAAGAGTGGAGCCGACAGCTGCCGATCAAGCCGACAGTGCCGTCGAAGTCTCAGAAAGCGAGGATGTCAAGATGGTCGACAACAACGAACAGGCGGGGCACTCTTCGCAAACTAACGGCGACACGCCTACTAACAACGGCGACGTCGTCATGGCCGACGCTGGCGAGCCAGAAACGGTCGATCAAAAGGTGCTCAACGCCTTGGAGCACCAGTCGCGATCATCTGGCACCGACCAGCAGGACGTTGAAGAGGTCATGGGTAGCATCATCAACCGACTCCAAGCTGCCATCCGCCCAAGCTCGGTAGACGCCAAGACGGGCATCCAACTGGAGAAGATTATGGAGACATTTTTCGTCACCACGGTCAACTACACCAAGAAATTCGACGACAAGTCTTATCAGCACGAGATTAGCTTCGACCGATCCATCACTGCGTTCCCGGCCCCCGACGGACCATGTTCGCTGTACGATGCCCTCGGCCGCAACTTTGACCAGCAGATACTCGAGGAGAGCAGGCTGTCGAGATACACCGCCATCAAGACGTTGCCGCCTGTGCTGCACGTCCTCATCCAGCGAACGCAGTCGACGGGCCGGAAGAACGGGAACCCCGTCGTCATTCCCGAGACTCTGTATCTAGACCGGTACATGGATGCGCCGCACGACTCGCCCACGTTCCGGCGCCGAGTCGAGGACTGGGCAATCACGGACCGCATCGCGGATTTGAAGGCGCAAATTGAGGGCATCGATGCTAACCCGACATACATGAACTTTCTCAACAGCGTTGTCAACGGAGACGATGCGGCAAATGTCAGTGCCACTTTGGAAGAGAAAGTGGTCAATGAGGGAGAACTCGAAGTTGCCAAGACAGAGGAGACGTGGGACTTTGACGGCCCGGTCGAGGATGACTTCCTGCTTGTATCGCGTACCAATGCCCACAGCACCGACCTGCCTACAACAGCCCCGAAGGAGCGAGCCACTCCGTTCGATGCCCGGGCGACCGATGGCGCCGTGCGGCAGATGATGGAGTCGGAGCTGGCGCAACTTGAGAAGGTGCTAGGGGAGAGGCTGGACAGCATGCGGAGCATCCCATACCGCCTGCATGCTGTCATCTGCCATCGGGGCCAGCTCATGTCTGGGCACTACTGGGTGTGGATCTGCGACTTCGAGGACCGCGTGTGGCGGTTCTACAACGACGAGTCTGTGCAGGAAAACAGGGATACGGCCGACGTGTTGCATAAGCTGAGCACGAGCGGCGAGCCCTACTACCTTTGCTACGTCCGCGACGAAGACAAGGAAGAGTACGTCGACGTGCCCAAACGACACGTGCCGACGCCGACATCTGTCGAAGAGGACACGCCTCAGTCAGGACTGGCGGCCACAGACAAGGACGGCGACGTCAACGTTGACGGCACGGAAAAGGCAGGCGCACAAGACGGGAATGAGGCTGAGCGAACGCCGTCGCCACAATACAGGATCGAGTAAAGACAAGATGCGATACGAGGGTGCCGGATTGAGTTGCGGGGTTCGCGAAGGGAGGATTCGGCGAGAAATGTTTGCACGCATGCATTCAGTATTGCATCAGGGACTTTGAGCGAGCGGGCTCGTTGGGCGTAAACCATGGACAGCATGTATGAATATGATGATGGCGAGTCGGAGTTTAAGGGGCAGAAACAATAGAAATTCGCGAGTAGACGATCAACCAAGTACCATGGTGCATTCCTTGCACATCACATACGTTGTCGGCCACGGCTTTCGAGCATTAATATTTATTTGGTTTCTGTCACGAGTCTACCTGCCCTTGAAGACGGGCTTGCGCTTCTCCTGGAACGCCTTGAGGGCCTCGTTCCTGTCCTCGGTGTTGACGACGCGCTGGTACATCTCGGCCTCCTTCTCGGGCCGGGCCCACGCAACAGCCTGCAGCGCCGCCCTGATGGCCACGGGCCCGCCCTCGCAAATCTCCTGCGCGAGGCGCACGCCCTCGGACAGAGCGGCCTTGCGCGCGACCTGGAGGATATTCTCTGCTGCACCTGCGCCGTCACGCTCGTCCTCGGGGACAACCTCGACGAGGCGGTCCGCGATGCCGAGGAAGTAGGCCTCGGGGGCGGCGACGCGGCGGCCGGTGAGGACGAGGTCGCGGGCGCGGGAGAGGCCCACGAGGGCGGGCAGGCGGTAGGTGCCGCCGGCGCCGGGGAGGATGCCGAGGCGCGTCTCGGGGAGGCCGACGGTGGCGTTGGAGGTGAGGACGCGGAAGTGCGTGGAGAGGGCGAGCTCGAGGCCGCCGCCGAGGGCGAGGGAGGAGATGGCGGAGATGGTGGGGATGGGGAGGTCGGCGAGCGAGGTGAAGGTCGCGTTGAGGTTGGTGAGGAACTCGGCGGTCCTACGGGAACAATTGTATCAGCACGCGCACATCTTGCGCAAGGCCAATGGTTTTGAGAACAGCTCAACTTACTCTTGCGGTGTAAAGCCCCGGCGCTCCTTGAGATCCGCGCCCGCACAGAAGCAGGTATCTACCGCGCTGGCGAGGACCATGGCGCGGGTAGGGCCGAGCTGCGCGCCGGCGCTGTGCTTCCCGGCGAGCTCATTCCCCGAGGCGGCGTCGTACTGGGCGTGGACGTCGTCGACCTCTGCGCGCAGGGAGGCGAGCAGGGCCTTGGAGATGGCGTTGCGGGCCGAGGGGCGGTTGAGCTCGAGGACGCGGATGTGGCCGGAGCCGGCGGCGGGGAGGTTGGTGACGCGGATGAGCGGCTCCGTCGAGGAGGAGGAAGAGTAGCAGCGCCGGAGGAGGAGGAAGGACGGCGCGGCGGGGGCGCGGGAGGAGGCGATGCGCAGCACGCGGGGGGAGGCGGCCATGATGGGCGTGCGTGCGATTGGGGAGGCGGTTGCGCGTGTGAGGGTTTCGTGGTGGTGACGGATGAAAGAATGGAATTTGGGGAGGTTTGCGCCGGGTTTGCGGGTGAAGGGTTGTTGGTGGTGGTTGTGCCGGAGCTGGAGCTGGAGCTGCTCGGCTCAACTGCAAGAGTGACGTTCTGGGGTTCTCGGCTTGAGTCGGTCCACCCCGGGTTTCTTCGACAGCGATTTCCCGATTAGGAAATCCTGCGCTCTTCTGTACAACGTACCGCTTGGGGAAGTGGACATTGTCCAGGCTTTTCGGTCCATGGGCTTTTCCAAGCTATGAGAATTGATGAGAGGCACTCGACTAGCTATCTTTGTCAGACTTTTTACCATCTCCTCCATGCACGGTTGTGGCCGGGTGAGCTTTCTCCATTAAGGCCACCTTCGCATGCCATGGACGACAACCGGGGCTCAAAGAATTGAAGGGTCCCTACGTGCCTTACAGTCCATTAAGATCAACAGCCGGTCGCGTCTGAGCATATTGAAATAATTCGATGGAGCGCTAGCTTATACAAACATCGCCTGCTTTGCCTCGCTCTGCTCTGCAGCCACTCTCGCAGCCCTCTCGCCCTCCATGCGAAACGCCCAGTGACCCCCTGCGCGCTTCCGCCCGCGATGTCTGGCCGCTCACCCGGGCGCGGCACCACATACGTCATGATAAGCGCCCAGGTCAGTGAATCCTGCTTTGCACGCGCCGACAGCATAGCATGGCGTGTATGTGTGCCAAAGGCGCGTCTGCGCCGCACTGGCCTTGGGTGCCAATTCTTTTGTTCAAGTGCAATTGTTGTTCCTGAAAGACGTTGGAATTTTGACAAGCGCTTTGTCGATGCGATTCCCGTCTCAGGCGCGAGGCTTTCGCATGCTGGCGCGTGAAGCATCTCGATAACACACGACGACACTGAGTTGGTCTTTGAAACCAAATCAACATGCAAGCTCCATCTGTTTCCCTCCCCCTCGTCCTCTTCGTCGTCCTCCTCCTCCTCGCCGGCTCCTCCACGGCCGCGACCGTCACCGTCACCGCCGCGCCCGCCATCCCCTCCGACGAGCCGCAATTCAAGACAACGCACCTCTTCACGTCCGCCATCCTCAACAGCACCAACCTCTACCGCGCGCAGCACAACGCCAGCGCCGTATCATGGAACGACACGCTCGCCGACTTCGCCGCCGACTACCTGTCCTCGCCCGCCTCCGACGGCAGCCAGGGCGGGTGCAAGTTCGCGCACTCGGGCGGGCCCTACGGCGAGAACCTGGCCATGGGGTACGCCAACGCGACGGCGAGCGTCGAGGCGTGGGGCGAGGAGCGCGACGAGTATGACTTCAGCAAGCAGGGCTTCCATGAGGATACGGGCCACTTTACGCAGCTGGTGTGGAAGAATACTACGGATGTGGGGTGTGGAAGGAGGCTGTGCGGCGAGCGTGGGTGGTATCTCGTGTGCGAGTATTGGCCGCGCGGGAATGTCATCGGGGAGTTTGACGATGAGGTGGGAAGGAAGGAGGGGGCGGCGGTGGCGGTGCGGCCGGGGGCGTGGATGGCTGGCGCGGCGGCCGTCGTCGCGATGTGTATGATTGTGTGCTGATGCTGGTGCTCTAATGGATGGCCATTGAGGGTGTCTGGTCGTGGATACTGAAGGACATGTCCGCAAACACTTTTCAAGCAACATGTTCGCCATGATATCCCTGCCTTTGGGCGGCATAGTTGGAGGGTCAACACGTACCTAGGTATAGCGGGCTGCTTCTTGTCACAGAGTTCGCCATTGTAAAGAGAGCCATGAGCCACCATCCCACTTGAATACTCAATTCATATCATGGATCGACCTTCCTCATAAAGTCGGGGCAGAAAACGCGATTCCGCTTCTGAACATGCCTTTTGCTTCACTCTTACCAACTCAACTCGCCCGCCACGACATCACCCACAAACCACCACATACGTCCCTACACTACAGCACTTCATACATTTCATCTCCCAACAGGCCCATCCTCACCCCAGCACCGCCGCCACCAGCATCATGGCGCCGCAGTAGATTCCGCCGCAGAGCACCCAGTCCCATGGCCGAACATCCAGCAACGGCGCAAGAGACTGGCCCTCCACCGTCGCGACCGTCGTCCCCGTCAGCACCACGACGACGACACGTCCTGCGAACGTGGGTACGACCGTGAATGTCGCGATGGGCACGAACAGCGCGATGAAAATGGAGAGCACGAGTTGCGACACGCTGGACCTCAACACGCCCTGATGCAGTCCGCGGTCGCTCTTGACGTCGAAAGCAAAACTGCCCGCGTCGGACACGGGAGGTTTGCGGTCGCTGGTGGGAAATGCAAGTTCTTCTGCCGTTCGAGGCATGGGCGTCACACCATCATCCAGTGCGCCATCTCCGGCGGCGCCGTCTCTCATAAGGCACACAAGATCGTCGCCGAGGTCGAGGAACTTGGTCTCGTCCTCAACTATAAGCCTGTTGCGGTTCAGCCAGGACCTGTAGCTCTGCGTCTCATCCAGATTGGCCGCAGGAAGGTCCTGAACACGCCGAAACGACGTGATCAGCTTGTCTGTGTGAACCATCAGCATACAATCCTCGATATTCGTCACGTGTCTGCCGCTTACTGTACTGGCTCAGCTTATAGCCAATCTGACCAAGAATCTCCGTCCTCTGCTGCGACACAGCCGTGTTGGACCAGCGCTCGTGTCGTCGCGACGCGGGAATGAGTCCGCAGCCGCGGTCCACGGTATCCTTCCTGTCCAGGGAGCCCAGCTCGGCCTCGAGGTCAACCAAGTCGGCTTGCAGATACAGCAACAGCCGGTGGTTCAACGCCTCGAACCGCCGGTAGATGGGCGACACTGGTGGACCCCCCAAACCACCGACCAGTTTGGCCGCGAGGAGTTCGTAGCCGCTCATGGGAGTCTTGTCGCCGCTGTAGTTTGGCTGGAACATGCCAGGACGCACATGCTGAGGCGGGCCATCTGGCATTGCAGCCGCCCCGTGTGTCATGGGCGGCGACCCAAACGCGGGAGGGAGCGCCTGCACCGGCTGGCGATAGGCTCCTGGAGGTGTCAGAGGCTCCCCAAGGGACGAGAAACTCGACCCGTACTCATGCGATGGCGTGTCCGCTTGATGCGGAGGAAGAGGCGGCAGACTATCGCTGCGTCCGTGAAAGACTGACGGCGCCGGAGCGCTTTTGGTCCCCGGCGTGTCATGAGCCAGCATTTCGAGTCTGCGATACTTGGTTTCGAGGGCCGCTCTCGGTATTCCCGTCGGAGAGTCGGCGACTAGATAGTCGAGCGCACTCGGTCGTCGGCGCGGGCGAGGAGCGTGAAAAACGGCGCTCTGCTCGTCATCCCGGCGTCTAAAGCTCGGGATATCGCCTCGGCCGTTCGTGGCATGTTTTGTTTGCGTAGAAGCAACGCCGCTCTTGACGGGCCGTCTGACGCTCTGCGACGTTGTTGGTGGCGTGAGTGTGGATGCCCAGGAGGGAGCAGAGGGCGAAGACGACGGCCGCTCTTGACCTGCCAAACTGTCGCTCTCTTCGGGGCCATCTTCCACGGCCGAGCCTTGGGCAGCATCTCCTCGCTCGTCAGAAAGTGGCCACGGCGAAAGACTTGGCGATATTGGAACGCCGCCTGCTCCGAGATTCTCGTCTTGGCCGGCCGGCGACTCCTCGTCTGGCTGCGCAGTGGCTGCAGGCTCGGCTTCTTGGGATGCACTCGCCTCGACTTCACTGTCCTCGGTGTGGGTAGCACCCTCGTCCGGTGGCAGAGACTCTTCGGAAGCTTGCTTCCTTTCCTCTGGCGACGGCCCAGCGTCTGGCCCAGCCTGGTCGACGTTGCTTGTCATGTCGACCGCCAAATGGTGTCCCTCGCTTGAAAATACGCGGCAACGCCGTGGCGACAGAATGTCGAGGTCAGGAGAGTAGCTCAGATGCAAGACGCAGACGTACGCTGCGACATGGTTGCACTATACGGCGGCGCTGTTGCTCGTCGCACACGAGGGCGACTTGCACGACTGGGAACACAGGGCGTCAAAGGAAATAAGTGTCACAGGATAGGCATCGTTACAAACTCAGGCAACCGAATTTGTTGTCAGGCCGGAGACAGGCGTACCAGGCGCCTCTGATACATGCCACGTCCGCACCGGGCCCCATTGGCTGCCCCAACGTGACGGCCTGCGAAGGGTGACGCTGGGGCTGCGGCGAGCTGCATGCCGTCGAAACAGGCTGACGGACGAGTGGCACAACGAGAGACGTGGTAGGCCGAGGTTGGTGCCCGACGCATGGCTCGCGGTGCTGGGATGACTACTAACAGCGTGAGAGGGGTGTGCGGCGTGCATCCTGCGCCCAGGGTCTTGCTGAAGTCGTGTACGAAATGCCGCCCGCGTCCGTGGATGAGGCAACCGTGTGTGATGCAATGCGATGTGATGACCTGAGGTCCAAAGCAACGTCTGGGTGACTTGGCATGCACTGGCGGTGGTGTGTTTTGTGCTGGGCGGCCTGCGAGTGCGACTTGAGGGTCCCTGCTGGTGGATTTCCTCCGGCCCCGGGTTTTCTGGCGGGCCGGCGCGCGCCAAACCGGTTTCCAGTGCACGACCCGCTGGCTCGACTCTCGAGGCCTTCCGTCCAACCTCTGATCCTACGAATTCAGTGAAGTTGACGGTCCCAGGCCGAGGACGCTGTTGCCGCACAGAGACATGATGGCGCCTTGACCCCCAATTACCGAACCGCGACAAGCACATTGCCCTCCATCCCTTCAACGCAGCTAGACCGACCGCAGCTGCCGATCCAAGTTTCCACGCGCATCGCCGACACACGACCCTTCACGCGACCAAACTCTAGTATCGGCTACCCTCCAGTTCCACTCGAGGCGGCCGCGTTGCGACATCGTGAGCGATTTTCAACTCGAAACTGTTCGGGCCGGTCCTTCCATCGAACCTTGTCGTGCATGCGGCTGCCTGCGCGCCCCTGCATCGCGCATGTCCCAAGCAAAGATGGCCCGCATATCAGTCGCAGCCATGAGCAAATATCTGCTCGACGGACGCCTATCGCATAGGGGCTGCCTCGGAGCTCGACTGGCCCTGGCGCGGCCTGCCCCTGTTGGGCACTTGCTGCGAAGCGCCAGTCCAGCTCGAGCCCTCCACGCCGCGACCAACGGCGCCCCGACGAGCTCGCAGACCCCTGCTGTGCCTCTCCGCAAGCAATTGAAGGAGGAGGCAAAGCTTGCCAAGAAGCAGGGCAAGAAAAGGTCCAAGGGCGACTCCCAGACCGTCGATGGCTGGGAGCTCACGGTCGGCATCGAAATTCACGCCCAGCTCAACACCTCGCGCAAGCTCTTCTCACCTGCCACCACATCGTTCAATGACGAACCCAACAGTCATGTTGCCCTCTTCGACGTGGCCATGCCCGGCAGCCAACCGCTCGTACAAAAAGAAGTCCTGCTCCCGGCCCTCCGAGCGGCTCTCGCCCTGAATTGCGACATCCAGCGCGTCAGCCGATTCGACCGGAAACATTACTTTTGGTGGGACCAGCCCTCTGGGTATCAAATCACCCAGTACTACGAACCGCTCGCCAAAGATGGGCACATGACTCTGTATGCAAGAGATGGCATCGCCCTAGAGGACGGCGAGAGTGTCACCGTGGGCATCAAGCAGGTCCAGTTGGAGCAGGACACGGCCAAGACGCTGGCACAGACGGGCAATGTGTCGTGGCTTGACTTTAACCGCGTCGGCGTGCCTCTGATTGAAATCATCACGGACCCGGACTTGCACCATCCGCGTACGGCTGCCGTTCTCGTCCGCAAGATTCAGCTCCTGCTCAACACCGTGGACGCCTGTGTCTCTGGCATGGAGACTGGCGGGCTTCGCGCCGACGTCAATGTTTCCGTGCGTAGGACAGACGACCCAACGCAACGGCTGGGGACGAGGACTGAGATCAAGAACTTGAGCACAATCAAAGCCGTCGAGGATGCCATCATTGCCGAAAGGGACCGCCAGATCCGAGAGCTCGAAGCCGGTGGCGTCATCGCAGGCGAGACGCGAGGCTGGACTTTGGGCTCCAAGGAGACGCGGCGGCTCCGCGGCAAAGAGGGCGAGGTCGACTACCGCTACATGCCGGACCCTGACATCGGCCCGCTGGTGCTTGGCAATGACCTCGTCCAACAACTGCAAAAGTCACTTTCTGTTTTGCCCGACACGGAACTTGACAAGCTCATCGACGACTATGGCCTGACGGCAAAGGATGCCCTGTCTCTCATCACGCTGGATAACGGAGCTCGCGTCCAGTACTTTTACAAGGTCTTGGACAGCATCCAGAAGATGATTGCGGCCGAGTTTGCCGCGAGCACGATGCCCGATTTCAAGAGCTACTCGACGCTTGCCGGCAATTGGATCATCCACGAGCTGGGCCGCCTGACGACGTACAAGGCGGGACCGCTCGCATCTGGAGAGCTTTCGTTCACGGCGGATGGCGAGTGCGCCCAGGTGCCAGGCGCAGCGCTGTCGCAGCTCCTGTACCACCTCTACTGCAAGCACATCACGGGCAAGGTGGCCAAGGAGCTGCTCCTAGCCATCTATCTCGGCGAGCTGGAGGGCGGAGTCCTCGAAGCAATCGACGCCAACGACCTTTGGTTCAAGGAGATTACGCGGGACGAGTACTCTGCCCTCGTGGAAGAAGCCATTGCGGGAGAGGACAAGGTGCTGCAGGAGTTTGTCGACTACAAGCGCTTTCCCGAGGGCAAGCTGATGTGGTTGGTGGGCAAGATGATGCGCCTCGGCCCGACGGAGCGCATCGACCCGGCGACTGCCGAGAGTGCAATGAGAGCCCGCGTCGCGCAGCTGCGGGCGACATAGACGTGGGCTTTGGACCCGACGCCAATCAATGTTTGCCTTTCGCCTCCGGGCATGGGCGGTTGAATCACACGAGCCGGAATGGGCGGAATCGTTACCCTGCACCCCGCTGCGCGTTTCGCTCCACGGCACTGCGAGCCTCAGAGCTCATGCTTGCGAGGCGAAGGAGATGTATTCCTGGTGAGACTGCACTTGGCGTAGAGGAGACGTGCTGCCTTGTACAATATGTATTGAACATGCCACGCTGTGCGTGTCGTTCCCTTCAGCTTGGTGTTTTACCTAGAGGTTGACGGTCAGGGTGTCGCATCGAGACATAGGCTTTCTGCCCGGCGTTGTAGACGGAGCAAGCGAATTGGACAGGTTTCGGGGGGAATATTAATATCCAACTCTGATCAATCCACGTCAATCAATGGCATCCCATCATCTGTATCCCGTGCTTGCGTTCGAGGCCAGCATTCCTGATATCGCGGGGCTACACCTCCGGGCCTCCCTGAACAAAATTGCCTATTTAGGCAAGTAGAGTTTGGCGGAAGGGCGGAAGGCCGCCACCCTACGCTTGATTGTCGGGGCCTGCTCCAGGAGGTCTGGCTGATTTTTCTATCTCTACACAACCTAGACAGGGCAGCTATGCTTTATTCCTGCGTTGCGTAAAGTGAGTAATCAGTTACCGTTTTCGCGCGGGTTTGGTCTTGAGCCGCGTGTGGAATACAGGATCTGCGGCACGGCCATATGCCCCTCGGCCTTGACCCGGCTGGAACGTTCGTGTGGGTTGGACGGGATGTGATGGCTCGGCCGGCATGAGAGACGATTAGTATGCCGACAGTGAAAGGGTTTTCGTTTGCCATCATGATGGGCTCTTACTGTAGCACCTTCACCCCGTCAACGTCGCAGCCGTGCAACAAGTGTCGGTCCGGCGGCCCTCACTGCTAACTGGCGCTCGCCGGCCAAGCTCCCCTGGGCAGGTTGCATTGCGACGAAGCATTGAGCGCAACCCTTCCACCACTCACTCGGCTTCAGGACCATCTGTAGGCAGTCAAAAGCCCCCCCGCACCACAATGGCCAGCCAGCCAGCCAGCCAGCACCAAACCACGGCTAGACAATGGAACGCATCGTACAGAGACATGCGCCAGCCGCAGGTCTGCACACCTGCCCGCGCGTTCGCACCAAGGCGTCATGTCACGCAACGAGTCGGAGGCGGGAGAGTAACGAGTGAAAAGAAAAACCAGGTTTATTTTCGATCTCGATTGCCACCCCGCCAAGAGGCCCGATCGGGGACGGTGTCATCATCATCATCGTCCCATCTGCAATGGCTCCGTTTTGTATGAAGCGGTTAGCTTGGACCCCTAGGAGCATTCTCCCCGCGGGCATGCAACCATGTCGTGGGCATGACATCATGCGCCGTAGCAGCGTCACCGCACCACACACACACGCACAGTCTCTCTTATTACACACTGCGGGCGTAGCGACCGACCCCCTCTACAATAAAACGGCAGCGTTTGGGTGTGCCCGTCGATCCAAAGCGTCTCTACATATTATTCGAACTTACAAAAACCATTCCCACCATACCATCGAACCCCAGAAGTCAACCTTCAATCCTCAATCACCCACCTTGAAGGAACAACTCGTCAATTTCAGTCAACATGTCCTTCCTCACCGAGCGCTTCCTCCGCATCGCCACGCCCGCCTCGCGCGTCGCCCTCGCCACCGCGTCAAGAACGACGACAACAACGGCTTCACGCACCGCGCGGGCCACCCCGTTTTCCACCACCTCGCCCGCGAGGAAAACGCCCACCGAGGCCGCCAAGGAGGGCCTCAAGAAGGCGGACCGCGCTGTGAGCGACAATATTCTCGTCCCTGGCCTGGACGCTGCTGGTACGTGATTGAGCCATGTGATCCTGCCCGCTCGCTCTGGCTTATCCCCCACCCTGCGCGCCCCGCGCCCACTTACACGGGAATGCAACAAACGCTGACGGCATTCGTTCACAGCCAAGGCCAAGGAAGCTGCGCAAAACATGACCGCGGGCGAGGCCAAGGGCAAGGCCGAGGAGCTCAAGGGCCAGGCTAAGGGTGAGGCGCAAGAGCTCAAGGGTCAGGCCAAGGGCGCTTTCAATGAGGCGGCTGGCAAGGCCAAGGGTGCTGCCGAGGAAGTGAAGGGGAAGTTGTAATGGCTTCTCATGTTGGACTATAAGAGGCGCTTGTTGGAGTAGGACGCTGTACGATTCACGCATCATTCTCATGTAAAAGTACGCATTCAATGGAGTATTGGAGCATTTCGATCAATTCAGACACTTACTTTGCATTACTTTCTCACTGCTATCATGCTAAAGATCCTCCGCATCGTAAATTATCAGACGCATTTTGTGCCACCGCACTCATATTATGCAGGCGTCAATAGCCGCAAATCGAACATAGCAGCAAGTTGGGTATCAAGTGAGCGGGCAACTCCGCTGCCTCAGCAACGTCCACACTCCACAGTCCTCACCCCCGAAATCATTTTTATCACCTCACCGAACAGCAACGTCTTTGACGCATTCAAGCCTGGTGCGTGGCCTTCTCGTTCGTCGGCGCCGTCGCTGGCTTGTGGTCGAACTCGCCGAGCGGGAATCGGACCCAGGTTGTGGCCGGCGTCATGAGGCCCGCGCTGCCCGCATAAAACGCAGCGAGAGCGCTAAAGACGGCAAACACTCCTCCGGCGCGGTTTACGCGGACGGCGTTGGTGGCATGCGAGGTCGCGATGAACTGGGCGATGCTGAGGAAGAAGAAAGACAGGAAAAGGAAGCCGAGGACGACGAGGATGGCAATGTTGGTGCGCAGCGCGGCGATGAAGAAGATGAGCGTCAGGAAGCACCACAGGATGAGAAAGATGCCCAGTGCAAACGTGTACGCGCGCTCGTTGCCGGCGTACGCCTCCTTGATGCCGAGCGAGGGCACGAGAAACATGGCAAAGGCGAGCCAGAAGGCGCCATAGGAGCAGTGGACCGTGGTACCAAAGGTGTTGCCGACGCGGAACTGCATGATGCCGGCGATGAACTGGGCAGCGCCGCCGAAGAAGATGGCGAGGCCGAAGACGGCCTGGTCAGGACCGACATTGCCGAGAGGATTTGAGTTTGGAAGTCTGTATCGTCACCGTTAGCAACATGGCCTCTCGTAACGGTTCGCGGAGCTTCACTCACCCTGCGCCGCATTGGTACAAGCCAAGCACAAAAGTGGTCAACGCAAAGCTGATGAGGCCGAGGGGACCAGGGTTGGCAATGTTGAAGAACTGCGGGTCGTACACCTGGGACACGGTGAGCTGTCGAGGCCTGAGACCCGGAGCGTGGGCGGCGTGGTCGTGTTCCTGGGGCGCATGGCCATTCTCGTAGGCCTGCTGATCCACCGAGGTGGCAGGAGGAGCGTTGGAAGCCATTGCTTATGCGGTTGAGGCGCTGGAGCAGGTAGGGAGATGGTGTCAGTGAAAGATGTTGTGCGACGAGGGGACGGGTGCCAGAGTCTGGGCGCCAGGGGTCGAGACGAGACGAGGCGAGCCCCCTCTTATACGTGCGAGCCCGGGAAAACAATGCCGCTCGAGCGGGATCAAGGCTAGCCGTCCATCCCATCCCATCGAGGCGAGCAGCAGAGCACCGATGGCTTGTCACTCATTGCCCGATGGGCCATTGGCTTTCTTGGCCCTCCCTTGCCGCGGTGTAGCACACGCGCGACGCTACCTGGTAAAACCACCACTACCTGGTGCGAGCAGCACGGGCGCAGCACACAAGACAGGGTACTAGGGCCATGTCATGTCATGTTTGCGGGGGAGAGATGGGCATCGGCGAAGGCGTGTGACTCCGAGGGGTCCGGCGAATGCGCATGGACGGACGTGCGGGTGGCAGCGTGGGTAGCTTCGTGATTCGACGCGGCTACCCACCCACGAAGCTTTCGACGTCGTTTCTGGTGCAAGCCACTGCCGGCATGGGAACAGCTCCGGGCAAGCTTCCCCCGGTTTTCGTCAAGTGCCGGCGTCAACGGCGCGCGCCAATGACGCCGGGGGCGGACCCCGCCACTTGACGACGGCGACGGGCAGCGGGCGGGCATGATGTGCGAATGATGGTGGGCGTGCGCATGCTGGAGTGCGTGATTGCCCCCCATGTAGGTCGGGGTGGACGATCCATCTGCTGCGTGGTGCTGCGTCCACAGCGCCGCTGCTCGATGGCATCGCTGCCGCTACTGTTGCCGTTGTTGTCGCCGTCGCGGTAGCCGTCGTCGTCGTCGCTCTCGGTCGTCAGCCAGGCTGCACGCAAACGTGGGCGGCGCAGCGGGCGTCCGAGACGCACGAATGAGACAGGCAATTTGTGCGACCTGGCTGCACGAGACAGCCTTGGAAGCGTGGAAGCCAAGCCGGTCGCAGATCGAGGCAAGGGATCGAGACGCTCACACATGTCGCAGACAGAATCAGAGACCGGTACCCCGAGATTTTTGGTCGAAGCGAGCAAGCAACACCATCCGGCCGAGACTGGAAAGATCACGAGACGTTGCTCCTCCGGCCTCCCTTCCTTTCCGGGATGGCGATGCTCCTTCCCTTTCGTGACACGGGACGCGCCGGCCAGGCAACGACGCCAGGCTCCCACATGGATCTAGTCCATGTCCCAGACGGAGATCTCAAGGCAATGAGACTTGCAGAGTAAAATTCCCATCCCTGAAAGAAGTACCCGTGGAGAAAGTCTACCTGCCAGCTTTCGTACCAGCCTCGAACTGGCACGCCTCATGCGGTCCCCGGAGCTCCCCTTGACTCGGTGGAAGATGTCGATTTAGCTCCGGTAAGGAACGGCTCCTTTTACCCCTCCAACCAGGCGAGTCACGTGGCCGAGCCCATCGCTGGGGTCGGCAGCCAGGATCATTACGCGCGGCTTCAATTTCCCTTCGCTCATTGATTCTCAAGCCCACGTGGGTTCTCGCCTCCGGAGAGTACGGAAAATGAGCCTTGAGATCAAATATCCCGACCACATCCGAGTCCATGAGCGTTGCGGCATCTGCTGTGCCTGGTTTCAGGTTGGAGAAGCCATTACAGCACGTAGGTGATGCGTTTTACTCATTGCTGCTGCTCTGCTGCGTCCATCTGTCCCTTTCTGTCTTTGTTTTCTCGACAGCATAATGACTGGTTTTGTGTCTCACACTATAGTTGGCGGCGATCAAAAGTCACGATCATTGTGGGTTTGTGACGTCGACACATTCCCGAAAGATATATACACGTATGACTTCTGCCTGAACCAATATTGTCGCTGGTGTGAGGAATCGCGGGAAAGTGTCACGGTGCACAACGACTGCTTGCAGATTCTTTTACACGGCGCGACGCATGTTGGAACTCCTCTTTACTCCTGCTGGGAGACGGCTGTCCATCGATCTCTGTGGCGAGGACATGATCCACTAGACCTGGAGGTCCCGGTGAACCTAGTCAATGCTATCGGGTTAGCGACAACCGCCCTTCTCAAAGCACACCGGACGTTTCCATTGCCACCCGAGATTGCAGGCATCATATGGAAATATTGTAAAACCAGCCTCTTTGCCAGGTATTACAACGCGCTCGAGTTTTGCACCAGCTTGAAAGACGGCAACGTGCACCACGGAAGCACCAGCCGCCCACCCTCTTCATCTTGCGCCCTTAGAGATGTACTTTCCTGGAAGCGAGGCGGCCCCGTCAAGTTGGGCAAGCCTGCGACATCGTGTCCATTTATTCAGCTCACCATAGACGCTCTGGGGTGTAGAGAGATCAAGGGGTTAGAAAGTTGGCCAGATGAGCAGGCGCGTCACGAGCCTGGAAACAGCCTGGCGTATGTCGTCGAAGACGCCGCGAGCCTCTCCGTAGTCATGGTCAAGTTTCAGGTATGCACGCTGCCGTCCTGGGGGTGCCAGTTCACCAATATGGCTGTGCTTGAAAGTTGACCTGGCGAAACAGTCCAACTCTGCTCGTTTGGAATTCCCACAAGAGAAAGAACATCAGCGAATCAAGATATGGAATACGCGTTGCCCCCCAGACCCGAGGCAGATTGGGATATTCCCGGATCGTCAAGGCTGGCCTAAGGAACTGGCGGCTCTGAAAGTTGCTCGTGTCGGCTCCTTCAACGGCATCACGTTCTTCATGTCTGGCTACAGCCTGGATGCAATACATCTTCACACGGCATCGGGGCCGTGTGCGCAGGACACTGTTGACCGCTTGGCATCGCGTCATTATGCACGCAAAAGTGCGTGGGCTTACATCCCTCTACCGGCCACGGACCACATTGCAGAATTTGGGCTACGGGTGCTGCGCAAAGGAGGGGATAACTCTCACAATGACAAGCACTTGGACATTTCATGCTTATGCCTCTTGGTGAGTCGGCTGGGATTGGTGCAAAATAATTTACATGTACTGACCGAATTGGGCCTCATTAGTTTCGAATGTCCAAAGCCGGGGACATCATCGTGGGCCCCTTTGATCGACCTGGATCCCAGAGGGACATATGGTTGAGTAAGGATCCACATGGTCTCATTTTCGGATTTAATCGTGTGTCTATGCAAAGTTTGGGCCTTGCGGGAGCGTATCCAAGACAGATACAGACCGAGTTCCCGTCACCTTCGGCGCCACAGCCTTTGAGCACTCCACCCTTTGCCAAGGCTCTATTCTCATCTGGGAGTTTAGATGGAGTGGCCAAGGCTACCACCTTCTATGAAGAAGACTCCGAGTTTGTACGGGGAGTTCTTCTGCAGTATAAGGACGGTTCCTACCGGGCGCTAGGACAGTGCCGGCTCGGAGTGGATCAGGTCCTCACCAAAGAGTGCCCGTCCGGCTTCTGCCTGTCGGGGATTAGACAGGAAAGAAAGGTCAAGGTCAGGTTTTCAGATACCACCGGCCATGTACATGATGGAGAAGGTTGGACATGCGTACCAACTCAAGGAAGTGTTGAGTGGTGGTTTGATTCTCAGCAAGCGTTTGTAGCCATCTACAACCCGCTACTCTTTGGGGGACAGCCCTTCCAGTATTGGCCGAAGAGGCCCTTTTACCCTGGATAGCATTGCAAAGTAGTCTATTGGGCTGCCTGACGGCCGTTGCCAACCTTAAAACGCCTGGACTAAACATGGCTTGGTGAAGCCAATAAGTTTCAATGTATCTCTAGCATTTGTTGTAACTGAATGTCGGCCTCTGTGCTGGTGCGCTCGCTGCACTGACGTTCACGATAGATGTGCCCTGTGCACCAGCTACCAACAGAACCCCCTGGGGCCGTCGTAAATCCGGGCTCCAGTGAGATGCCAGCACTAAAAAACACCGTCCATGGATCCTCCACCCCGCTGCAACTCGGACCCGAGCGCCCCGCAATTGTTACCGCCATGAGCCGAACTCGCCGCCCCGCAGAGCCGCCCATTCTCGACTTCCAGTCTCCATCCAGCGCAATCATCATTCAGCCTCATCTCACGCACGCGACATCCGCCCCATCCACGCCCGTGCGGCTACAGCGCATTCAGAAACATGTGACGGCCCTCTCGACGCCAGGCATCATCCGCCGTCAGTCCCGCCGCGCATCACCGCATCATGTTGAAATCCTCCGCCGCCGTGCTGTGCACCACGTGCGCGGCCCCCTCGCTAGCCGCCACAGCATCGTCGTCGATATCAACGTCGACGCCGACATGGACCGCGGCGCCGGTTCTCACACAGCGCCGCCGCGCGACGCTGCAACCTCCAAAGACCGGCACGAGATGTCTGAGGAGGTACGCGACGCAAAATGGCGCAGACCATCAGATCCCCGCCTGGCCGCGCTCCCCGAACCCGACGCCCTACGAGATCTTCGACATCCATCGATCGTCTCCCTACACGAAGCGGCGCTTCTATCAGCTGGTCAAGCTCTACCACCCCGACACCCACGACCACTACCATCGCAGCGAGTCGACACGTGCGGGCTCGTCGAGCCTCTCCAACGCCACCCGCCTCGAGCGCTACCGCCTCGTCGTCGCCGCCAACAACCTCCTCAGCGACCCTGACAAGCGCCGCCTATACGACTCGCACGGCATCGGCTGGACCGACGGCCACCGCGCCCCAACCCTGCGCGAAGCCGACCGCGCGTGGCGGCACCAGCCCGGCAACGCAGCCAACAACGCCACCTGGGAGGACTGGGAGCGCTGGCACGAGGCCCGCCAGGGTCACCGCCGCGAGCCCATGTATATGAGCAACGGCCTGTTTGCAACCCTCGTCGTTATGATGTGCATGGTCGGCGCCATGGCGCAGGCCAACCGCGCCGAGACGTCGGGCACTCAATTCGTCGAGTTCACGCAGGAGCGCAACGCCGCCATCGGCCGGCAGATGATGAAGGAGAGCATGGCTGCCGCGGGCAGATCCAAGGACGAGCGAGTCGACTCATTCCTCCGCGAGAGGGAGAACGTGTCCTACGACTACGTCCCCAGCAGGCACGACTCGGACGAGCACTCTGGGGAGGTGCCGCGATAACACGATGCATGACTCTACTCGTACTCTCTGTTTGAAGCATAAGCAATATCCGTCTAGATTAAAACTTGCGCATCTCCATCTATATGCTCGCTATATGCAGACGTTCGTAAGGCGTTTCGTAAGGCGTCACATCATGAGTATCATGAGGAATAAATGCTGTCGTCGCGTCGTTGTACCGGCTTACACATTCTTGACTTCCGTGCTCAGACCGTCGTCGGTCGTGTCCCCCGTGTCGCGCGTCCGGCTGCGGGCTTGGCCGAGGTCCAGCTCGGGCGGCGGCCCGGGGATCTTGCGGCCGAGGCCCGGCACGTAGCCGCTGGCCTCGAGCTCCTCGTCGGCCGACGTGCCGATCCGGCGGTTGATGACGTTGTCGATGCGCAGGCGCGGGGGACCCGAGTTGAGGCTCGTGCCGTTCTTGGGCGGGCCGGCTGTCTTTCCATTAGCACACAAAGAAAATCGCGTTTGAGGTCAAGGTCACTTACATAGAACCAAGTCAAAGAGCTTGACGATGACGGGTCCCCAGACCGTCATGGCAATGATTTGGCCGTAGGACCACTTGCTCGCCTCGAAGCTGTCCGAGTTGAAGACCTTGATGAGGGAGACCATGTAGAGGATGTTGATGACGAGGTAGGCCAGCTCAAGGAGGCGCCAGACCCAGCGCTTGGCGCGCAGCCAGGCGACCTTGTAGCGTCCCGCGGGCCCGCGGCCGGCACGGTAGCGGCCGATGCGAAGGTGGCTGGTCCAGCGGTGGGTGCGCAGCGTCCAGCTCATCTGATCTACGACGAGAACAACCATGGCAAAGGTGTCGAGCACGAGAAAGACCATCTTGTAAAGCAGCGGGCGCGGGAAGAAGCCGAGGTTGATGCCATCGACGCCATGCATGGCAGCGCAGTAGCTCCGCGGACTCGGGTTCCCGCCGCAGGCATCAATGCGAGTCTCCTTGCGGAAGAGGTTGAAGGCGTCGCGGAAGTAGACCTTTTGGGTGGTGGCGACGATGGCGAGGAGGTACTCGACGACGAAGCCCAGGAACGTGTGCCAGTTGCGGATGCCCTCGTTGTGCAGGCAGATCTGGACGAGGAACATGGGCAGCACGCCGTTCTGGCTGACGTGGAAGGCGACGGCGGCGTTGACCATGATCTCGCCCCAGAAGGTGCCCTCCTGCGAGTTGACGACGATGGCGAGGATGGAGGCGATCTGGATGGCGAAGACGAACCAGCACTGCGCCTCCTGGAACTCGACGAGCGTGGTGGCGATGGCGATGCTGGTGCGCGACAGGGCCGACGAGTCGCGCCAGATGAGCGTCTCGATGCGCGTGAGCCGCCGCTGGAGACGCAGCGACGAGGAGGGGGCCGGTGCTAACGCTCCTCCTCCTCCTACCCCGCCTGCTCGTCCCTGTTGCCGCTTCTGCGACTGCTGCTCCTGCCGTTCCCGTTGCTGCGCCTCCAACTGCTGCCGCTGCTCCTCCTCCTTGAGTCGGCCGCGCTCCGAAAAGGAGACGTACAGCGTGAAGAACCTGGTGGCCAGGTACAGCATGCTGGAGAAGCAGACCTGGAGGACATACGAGATGAGGACCTGCCGACAGTCCACGGTGAGCTTGCTGTCCTTGTTCACGAGATAGGAGTGGGGTGGGGAGTGAGTTCGACTTACACCGGGCCCAAAGATATCCGGGTTGATCTCGGCAGCAATGTCCGGGCAAAACGTGTTGAGGGCGTCAAACACGTCCCCCGGGAGCGACTGCTGCGTCAGCGCCTTGACCGAGTCGTTGCAGGGCGTGCGGATGCCGTCCTCGCCGCACGCCGCCTGCGCGCAGGCCACAAACGCCGACAGCACGGGCCGCTCGTCGAAGGCGGCGAGCGAGCCGCCGGGGCCCATGAGGGCGCTGGCGTTGCGCTCGGCCTGCTCGGGGATGTAGAAGCGGGCGCTGTGCCGGTCACCTTGTCCGCCTCCGCCGCCGCTATCTCCATTGCCGTTGCCATTACCGCTGCCGTCGCGGCTCCAGTAGGCGATGCTGGCGAGGGCGGCGCAGTTGTAAAACGTGTCGAGGGAGCTGAAGAGCGACGAGGCGTTGCGGCACGCGCGCGTGCAGTCGATCGCGCTCGCGGGGTCGTCCACGTCCACCTGGCAGCCCGTCGGGAAGAGCAGCACGTTTTGGTCGCCGTCGAGCCCCGTGGCGATGAGCTGCGCCTTGGAGAGCGTCGTGTCCTGCCCGCTGGCGAGCAGCTCCAGGTCGTGGAACGGGTAGAAGCGCGTGGCGCCGCCGACCTCGGGCGACAGGAAGCTGACGGTGAGGGCCGGCGGCGCGGCGGAGGAGGTGGACGTGGAGGCGGTGGACGAGGAGGAAGAGGCTGCCGCGGCGGCGACGGCGAGGGAGGCGGTGATGGCGGTCAGCGCGGGAGGGACGGCGCTGCCCACGGACATTGCGCTCCCCTTCCGTCCGGGCGGATCACGATGCGCGGCCGTGCCTCGTCGGTGAGCTGCGGCTGCTCCGTGGCGCCGGCGCCGGCAGCGGGATCGGGCGGGAGAGCAACGGCCGGTGCGGCGGCGGCGGCGGCGGCGGGGGAGGGGAAGGACAACGCTTCGGGGGCGGCAACGTCAGCGAGCCGCGGCGTGGATGCATTCTCGTCAACGGACGCCTTTGAGTTCTCCCAAGGCTCGTCGTCGTCGTCTACTACAAAGGAGAAACAGCCACAGCAGCCAATGCCCGCCCAAACAGCCAGAAACGCTGCCTGGTGAACAAAGGAACAGAGGTGGAGGCAGCGGGGAGGGAAGGGGAAAAAACGAGAAGAGAGAGAGTGACGGAGAGAGACAGAGGAAGAGAGCAAAAGCAGAATGGTCCGCGCGCCAAGCATTGAAGTGCTGACAACGACGAACCAACCCTCCGCCAACGCAACGCCCGGCAACAACCCTTGCAGCGGTGGGATCGTCACCGACTGAAGCTGCAGTGGTGGGGTCGCGCGTTTCCCAGACAGGGACAAGGGTGCCCGCAACAAGGCCAAGCCCGCCCGGCCAGCATGCATGCAGGCAGGCAGTTTTGTGATCATCTGCGGGTAAAGTCGTCTTGGCCCAACGGATGAGGCGGGCGTGGATGCCCGCGCAGGGCGGCTTGGTCACCTGCCGTGGTGTTCACGTTGCCAGGGCGGGCGGCGGGTTCCATGTTCTGATTCGACGTCGTCATCTGCAGCGATGGTTTTAAGGTGGTGACGATGATGCTGCCGGCCGGCCCCATGTCTCAGCTGGGCACGCCACTGTTTGGTTCAGGGCTTGGGCCTGGATCGGAGCCGCATTTCCGTGCGACGCCAGATTCTGCGGCTCAATGTTGCCGGCTGCGGTTGCCGTGGATAGGTGCATGCGCTTGCAGCTCTCAACTTAGGGCTTTGATGGTAGAGCCCAATGCAAGCCGCGACGACGACGACGACGAGCCCGACATGTCCAAACAGGTGTTTTCATCCAGCTTGATTGCGTTTAGTGTTTCGAGCTCGTCATCAGGCCCAAAGCTATGGCAATTCAAATTCGAATTGGTTGTGGCTCATCAATTGTCCAGTTCACAGCTCGTAGATGCCTCGCCCCAAAATATATACCGTCTGGCGCGGTCGCCCAAGACCGAAAGGAAAGGCGCCGGCCCCGGTGCCAGCCGACTGCGGTTTCTCAAACTCATCGCACGGGTATGGAGCTTCAATCATGCCTGACCTCTTATGGTGTCGAAAATCACTGTCCGCAAAAATGAAGATGCTGGGCGACCGTCGTGTACTTGATAGTGGACTTGTCAGTCGACCTCTGCGCTGCCTTGTAATTGGACCAGACGATACGTTCAGAGCAAAGGGTTCTAGAAAACCCAAGTCACTTGGAATGCCATTGTAGCGCGTCCACGTTTCATGTTTGCTCAAAGCTAACCCGACCCATGCTCCACAACGTGAAGTCGTGGTTTCAGGGCGCTGGCCCTTCTGATTGATCGGCGTAAAATGCGCCGAGGTTAACCTGACCCGACCTCCTCTAGCTAACCCGACCCATGCTCCACATTCGCGCTCCCAACTCTTGTCGTGTTCCTGTGTTCGCATGTCCAAGCGCCTGGACAAAATACCATGACCTGTACTTTAACATTTGCTCATGTTAATCTACCCATGCTTCAAGCATCGCCTCGGCGCAAGAACAATGTAAGTGCTGCAAGTCGCTGCTGGCAGCGCGTCAAAGGATCAGTCTCTCTGTGTTGAACCACCAGTCCACGACCAGGCAAAGCTCCGTCAGCCCAAATGACAGAGAGACAACTGCATGACAGATAGACAACTACAATTCATTGCTAACACAAAAATAATGAACAAGAGGGTCGGGTCGACTTGGAAGATGTCCCACTGATTACCATCCTCGGGACCCTGGGGTTGGGCGAGGTTCGGGGGCTACGCCATGTCTAATGTTAACTTCATTAAGCTGCGCTCAGTGCTACGCGCAAGCACTGACAATTTCGACAAGCAGAGAGCAGAGCATGAGCTCCAGTACGGCCATGGTCAATATACTGAGCAACTATTCAAAACTCACTAGGGGAAACTGACGTCCGGCTGCCTAGTCGGTGCGCGCCCGCACCGACCGTCGGGCGGCTCCAGTCAAGTCGCCGGCATGCAAGTCAAACTCCACACGGCGGTCTCACGGCAGCAACACCTGCATCATAGGCAGACGGACAGACCTAAACGTGGGTTTCCCGGCCTTTCCCGGCGGACCATCAATACAATGCAAATGCCAAGGTTGAGGTCCCTCAGTCTGTGCGCGTGCCTGCACCGACGTGAGCTTTGGCTGCGGAGTTGAGGTATTCGCATGCATGTGCATATGCAGTCTCCCGAGTCAGGCACAGGCATTATCTCGGAATCTAGCGCTTGGTGGTCCTCTAGGCGGATTTTGATACAAATACGTGTCTGCACCCTCGCTCGGAAGCTTGACTGTATTGCTTCCTTAGTCCAGTCTAGCCTACAGGCTCACGTTCACTCGTTTCTAATCTCGACCACACTCATTTTATCCCTACCATACAGCACATCTGCGAACATGCGAGGAACTTTGCTGTTCGCACTCCTCGCAGCCACCACCGCCGCTCTTCCAACATCTCAGGCGAACATGCCCGGCAGCATCGCCAACGTTGGCGCAAATAAAGCGCCCTCACGGTCCGGCGCCGCACCCCGAAAGAAGCCGGCTGGCATATCATGGGCGCTCACCTTTGGCAAAAAGCGCGCCGTCTGATGTGGCCAACCCGGGCAGGTGTGTCAGTGACCAAGGGGCTGCTCGTCATACCGTGGACTGCGGTGTTAGCATCCTGACTTGACTGGAACGGCGAGGAGGAGAGCTTGTTCCAGGAAGGAAGAACTTTGTTTGGAGAGGGAGCAGTCCTGTTAGTGACACAGGACTCTGACGGCTATTGTTGGCAACTACGGGGGACTCTATTACATCACAGATGTTGCGCTACGACAACTCGCAGCTTGGCAGGGTGATTATGGGTCATGTCAAATAGGGGTGGCCTGTCAGTGCCCCAGAAAACGATACTCTTAGAATCGGACACGCGCACGCCTTTGGAGGCTAATCTTCCGAAGCTTTGGGCAGTGGCCCTTGATACACCCGTCTCTTGTCGTTCATGGCCAGCGGCCACAGGTCCGCGAGGTGCTGCGTCTGCGTCTGCAGCATCGCACCCACGTCGTCCCAAAGCAGGCTCCCAAGAATGCGCAGCGTCCCCTCGTAGCCCGGAGACTCCTCAGCCCGTTGGGGGTCGTTGTCCTTTGGATCGTAATCCACGTCAATGGCAAGCACGAAGCCTCCCTGGTCGGACGGAGGGGCAAGGTAGGAGTCGATGACGGCCTTGTCGGCGGCCAGGAGGATATCGGTGCGAGCGCCCTTGACGGCGTCGGAGTCTCTCAGCGACTGGAAGTGCCTGTTGAGTCGTTAGCCTCAGATGAGAGTGCACGTACGATGCAGCGCAACGTACTCTCTAGCGGCGGCAACGTCGCCGTCCGGGATGCCCAAGTCCCTCGCGTCCCGCCACTCGACCTTGGAACGCCCCTTTATCTTGTCGACGCCTTCCAGCTCCGCGCCCCAGTTCGAGATATCCAACTCAAACTTGTTCTTGAATGCGTCCCATTCCTCGTCGGTATGGTCGTGTGAGAGACGGTAGCCCACGTATGCCCATTCCCATTCATGCTTAGGCATGGACAGAACGCGCTGCGCACTCGTGACCCAAAGCTCCTCCCCAGGGAGCTCATCCGCGGCCTTTCCTCGCAGCTCTATCCTCGCCTTGTTCTGCGCCCTGACCTGGCTGCGGGCTGATTCAGCCGGTCCCTCTTTGCTTCCCAACGGATCATCGCCGTCGCTGCGCTCCGTCCACGTCTCCACCCGCGAGAGGTACTTGAGCCGACAGTAGTAGTCCGCTTTGCGTACCATAGTGTTTGCGGCGAAGTGAATCGGCTCCTCGCGGTAAGGATTGCTCATGTCAGGCCCAGGGACATCGTCCTGCGACGGCAGATCACCGCCCTTGTACCCGTCCATGGGGATGAAGATGGCGGTGTCTGCCTGGGCGGCGTTCTCGACCAAATCGTGAATCTTGTTTGTGAGGTCCCACATTTGGTCATCATAAGTTGGGAATAGCATGAACGATTGCGCGGGCGCCTGGTTGGCAAGGTCCTCAAGGATCGGTCCGCGAAGGCGCTCGACGTGGCTGATGGCCCAATGGTGGGAGCGATTGGAGATGCTCTGGAAGTGATCTGAAATGAATTCATGCCATCGCGAAGTGAGCAGCACGGGCTCCTTGTCCTCGATGGCGCGTTTGGCATTGACTGCCTTTTCGAAGGCGTCGAGGTGGTCCCAGATGAGGTTGTACGTCTCGCGCAGGGCAGCTTTGATAGGCGGCATATTGAAGTAGTGAAAGACGTTTGTGACAGCAGCAATGTACTGGCAGGCCTCGTGAAAGTTTTCCGCGTCGTCGAGGCGCAGGTCATGCCAGCGACGCTCGGAGATGGGCATGATGCCTTCCCAGATGCGCGACTTCATGGCATGCAGCTCTTTGGAGATGCTCACGAGGCGGTCCGGGTCCTCGAACGAGCCGATGCGGATCATGACCTGTGTGACGAGGACATCATGGCTGGCGTCGAGGGGTGGGAGCGCCCACTCGCTGAAGGGCTGCTGCATGAGCATGAGGACCTCAGGGTCCAGGGGCGGGAGCGCGGACGGCCTGCCGCTCGGCAGCCGGCCCCCGATGCTGGCCTCGATGAAGTGCGGAATGGTCTGGGGCTCAAGGATGCGGTCCACAATCCACAGCTTCGCGTCAACCTCGGCCTTGGAGGCGCAGAGGTTCATGATGTGGTCCGTGGCGCCCGAGGGGGTGTTGCTGCGAGCGATGCGGTTCTGGCGCAGCTCGTCGGACATGTGGGTGCCGTTCCTGCTGAGCAGCAGGTCGAGCTGGAGGAGGAGCTGTGAGGGATTCATGGCGGGCTGCTGCTGGGATTCGGTATCGCCGCGCCGTGGTGGTGGTTCTCCAGACATAATTGAGATTTACGACGCGCGACGACAGCTTCGTGGTGTTTGCGCACAACTACTGTTGCGACAGGGGCTAACGAGTGGGCTACGGTGGCGAATCGAATCGGCTCAGCGTTTCCCAGAAGGGCGTTTGCGGTGCCTCTTAGTGCCATTGTTCCTGAAGCTACTTATATGGCACCGCCGACCGGCGGTTTCCTCACTGGGGGGGCTGGAGCCTTGAATTGACGCGGAGACTGTCAAAGATGGGATACCTAAGTGCACGTGCCAGGGAACCAAGGTTACTACAGGCACCAGCGCTACTGCTGCCTGGGGAAGTAATAAACGAAAGGAGGCGGTGAGTTGCTCTGAGAGTGAGTGCTGCGCTCTTAGCCAGGACAGCACGACGTGCTGCATGTGGAATCACTGGAGGCTGCATGTGAGTCCGCCATGGACCCAACGGACATCATCAAATCCGGCCGCGATGAAACTCGCGAGACTTCGCAATGGACACTATTCGCTGCACTGCTCTCACTCTGCTTTCTTTGGCTTAAGCCGAGCGTGCGTTCGCCAATGCCCTAGTTGTGGCGCTTGGGTCAAGGTCGCAATTGGCCTCTGGAAGACACTGATGAGGGTGCGGGTCGAACCGCTCCATACCTGTGGATTGTCGACATCCTGGCTTGATCAACCGTCAACACTCCCCACACTCGGCTGCGCCGGGTTGATGGCCCGTCCAAGCCAGCCCCAAAGCCGCTCCAAGGTCTTCCGCGCTGGGGCTCAGAACTTCAACGTTGGTTGTTAGCTGTCACTACCGAACATCAATAGCTCATACCAGCAACGGTGTGGACCGGCCGCCGCGGTCTCATTGATGCCCCTAAGATGTGTCGCTGCCGCATAATATGAAATGACGAATCTTGCATGAAGCTGTGAAGAAAGACAATCTGAGGCCCTGCATACGCCCACGTCGCAGGCTGGAGCTCAGCTTGGCTACGGACCCCCTCAATTCCCTGGTTCCTCAGGAACACCCGGACCGCGTGAGAGGCTGAATACCGCGATAGGCTGCGACCTCGTTGGCTTGATATTCCAAGTACGTACCGTTGGCGGCTCTGAGCTAATGGCGCAACAAACAAACTTTCCACCGAGCAAGCCGACGAAGTTCAGCTGCGACTCGGTTCTAGACACAGCAGCTGTGCATGCCGTGCCTGCCGCCAATTACGACAATGTTACATCATTTCTGCTTGCTCAATACCCATGGTGGTAAATATAAAGCATGCGGGGAGCGATGCGGTCTCCTGTGGTTTGGGTCGAAGAGGAAACTATCGTCCATTGGGATGTACGCCAGAGACAATAATTGAAACCGTTGCCCACGGTGAAACAAAGAGACAGGCAAAGATGAAAGCCCGCGGAGCCCTGCGAGCAGGGGCTATCTTCTGCCACTTCATAATTTTCGCGTCAGCCGTCATCGTCATGGGCCTCGTTTCGTCATTCATTGACCGGTCGCCGTTCCGGGGCTACAGAGTTGTGTACCTAGAGGTCATTGTAGGTTCTCTCCAGTGTCCTACTGATGCGGCTGTTGCGGGCTCTCTAACCTGACTATCTACGTAGTCCGTCTTCACCGTGTTCATCTACCTGTTCGCTATATTCTTCCCGATGTCCAGGTCGTATCGCGGCTATATGGCCCCCGTCAGCTGGATCTTCACGTACTTGTGGATCACCGCCTTCGTCTTCTCCTCGCAGGTCTGGAGCGGCGCCGCTTGTGCAAACGAGCAGCCAAGCACGGCTAGTTGTTCAAAGAAGAAGACGGTCGAGGCCTTTACATTTATTGCCTTGTATGTATCCCTGTCTTCGATGGTCGAATTGCTAACGGCGTCGATGCAGCTGGTTCCAATTACTCGATCTGATGCTGGAGGGTGCTTTGTTTGTTCTGACTCGTACGAGCGGCGCACCCGCAGAACATGAAGCGTCGGCGGCGACTAAAGAGAGGCCTGGCACTGGGCACACTGACGCGAGCGCTGCATTGCCTGCGACGCAAAGCCCAGCGTCCACCGGGGCGCACGACGGAACCTAAAGACCGATTCGGAGGAGAACGGTTTGGGGCAGCGAATAATATGGTCCGACGAAGACTTGAAGGGCCATAGGCTGTGATTGTGCAGGGCTGGCCGTTCATCAGCCTCTGTTTGTGTTTCCGACGAAGGGGCATGGAATAGGAGAAACAACATGCCATTTCCTAGTTGTGATGTTTAGGCTAGGTCGCTAGGGATGCTATTGTTGCAAGGTGAGGCGGACCGCGTACTTGAGGGAACCTGAGTTAGCACTTGCGCGAGCAGACGTGGCATTAATCAATCGTAGCCTTCCTGTGGGAACCACTTGGGGATTGCCTCCAACAAGATAAATCCAATGCAATACCTCCTATGCGCAGCAAGCATGCTTGGCCACATGCTCTACTTGACCATGCAATGCAATCTTTTGACACCATTGTAGCGGGGCGGTCACATCCGTGTGCCATCAAGCTCATCATGTGGTTTCTCTCGTCCTTCTGGGGTCAATTAGAGTGAACACCCAGGACCATCCCACATGCAGAGGGCGGCTGGTGTTTTCTATGCATGCAGTCTGCACTGGCCTCATCATTCTGGCATGGATCAAGTCCTTTCAACTGTAAGACTCATTTTCCAGGCACTCCGCGTTGCAGTTGCCAAATATTCGGCGTCACTATTTAAGTACGATCATTGATGGATGTCACGAGCGACACGGCCCAGCGGTCCTAGCCTTCGGAGTAATGTGCCGTATGAGGTACTTCTCGAGACACCTGGCTCACCTGGCTGCGCGACCACAGCCGCACAGCGAATCGGCTCACCTGAGGTCGCGCGGGTGGCCCGGCGCGGCGGAGCGACCAGGGCGCTTGCCACTCCGTCCTTGTAACCAGAATGATTGATTGGCTCTTCATGTTTGCGGCCGACAACAACTGGAAAAGTCGGCCGAAGAAAGGGTCAGGGACAGGGATTATGATGTTTCGTCAATACATCTAATCCGTTCTCAGTAGATTTAGCCTCGAGACCCCAGCAGCCGGTGTCTTAGCGGAGTCAACTTCCCGCTCGCGGCCCTGGCCAATGCTGAGTATGATTGGTTACCGATGGAACTACATGCAAAAGACCTGGCAATGGCCCATGTCCAGCTTCTGCAAGTAAAACATCCTGGAACCAACAGCATAGCACCTTGCCGCCGCCTCATGGCTCACGTAACTGTGAAGGGGGGAGGATGTGATTTGGGAGGGAGAGTCTTCTCCCCTCCGCCTGCGAAACTCTCTTTCTTTGTTCTCCACGGTTTCGTTGATCTGCCCATGAGGCGCTGACGACCGCGCAACTTTCCGATGTCCGCCAGACTGCCCCGATTCCTCCTCGATCCGATCGCATGAGCTTCTCCTATATTCTCCTGTTTACCTTTGTCTCCCCTCTGTCGTTGTTAACATTGGGCGCGGCAGCTGCCGTCTCTGGATGCCATGGCGGCAAATCTCCAAGCGGTTCTGGTCGCCGTTCTGATGGGCGCCGTCGGGACGAAGCGCACCGCAGCCGAATTTGTTCACCCACCACCATGGATCCCAGGCTTGCAAAACCCATTACAAGACAATCCACGATATGTGTGGGGTTCTAATGTTGCCGTCGAATGGAAAGATTCTTCGGGCGACGACTCTGACCTTGTATTTGGCTTATACTACCCTCGCAAACTCTCTGATCCGAATCATGACGCTCTGTATTTTGTTAAAAGTAAGTTTCAATGAGATGAAACGGCTCCCCTACTGGATCCGCAATTTGCCCTGTCATGGCGCTGTGCCATCCTGCAGTCTGAGGGCACTCTGTCGTGGCGTGTTTTATTTCAATGTTTTCTGATCACGCACAGCTTCAATACCGAGCTCGACGACCACATTTACCTGGAACGCGACCGTGCTCGGGGAGGAGGGCCTAGTGCCAAGCGGTTCGGACGCCATTTGTTACCTGCTGCTGATGCTTGTGAATTCCGGTTCAGTCAAGTTCTCATCAAGCTACTTCAATGTGTCACTTCCACCCCAGGCGACCTCTCCAACGTCCGCCTCAAGCGCATTCCCTACCACGACTACGACCACGACCCTCTCTGGAACGACTGCGGTACCAAGCAGCACAACTACGCCTTCTGCGACCAGCGAGCCGGCGAGTTCTGGTCTCTCACACGGAGCTGCGGCAGGCATTGGCGTGGGTGTGACGTTGGGATGCATACTCGTATTGGGTGGCTTGGGCTTCATGTGGTGGCGGCGCAGGAAGAGCCGACGGGAAGCGAACAGCACAGCTGAGAATTGGCAACAACAGCCGCGATTAGAAGAGCCGTCGCAGCAAGAATCAGGTCCGGTACTAGGGTTGGAAGGACAGGACTCTCAGGGGTTTGGCGGAATGGACAAACGCAGCACAATTATTTCGGAACTGGATGGCGGCCAGAGCAGCATTGTGCACGAAAAGCCATGAGGATTCGTGTTCAGAGTGTTTAATTTATCTTAGCAAGCGTTCAAAGGGCTGTGTCTCACTTGCGCAATGAACCTAGTGAGCTGCTTTTCTCAGGTCTGGCGCTTCGCCATTTCACTTTTTGCCTCCTAGGGCACCACACGGGACTGTTGCCACCTTTACAGCTCGTTGCCAATGACCTTCCACTCCTCGGCAAAGCTCTCCTCAAAGTCCCTGCGTGTCTTGGTTGGCGCCCAGCCAATCTTGCGCGCCAGGTCCGCCCTCGTCCGCGAATGCGACGCGAACCCCAGCTCCGCAAACTCGGCCGGCAGCGTCTTGCCGCCAAACGCCTCGGCCGCGACGGCCAGCGACTGCTCTCTCACCTCGTCGGTCGGCAGGAAGCCCGCCTCGCGGCCCGAGCGAGCGACGCGCTCCGACACATCGCGCCACGTATGATGGCCCGTCTCGTTGAAGTAGACACCCTTCTTGTTGGACGGCAGCGCCGCCGCTTCGTCGCCGCCGCGCAGCAGCTTGGCCAACACCAGCTCGTACAGCTGCGTCAGGTCCTCGATGTGCACATGGTCCCACTGAGCCTTGCCGGGGCCCATGACCGACGTGAAGCCTTGTCGCTTGGCCGCTCGCATAATGGCGTCGATCTGGATCGACGTGCGGTTGAAGAGTCCGCTACCGATGCCGTAGATGGTCGGCGACATGAGGATGTAGGTCTTGACGCCTGCCGCCTCGCCCTTTTCGAGGACGACCAGGTCCGTCGTGCGCTGCGGGTACTTTTCGAGGTCCTCGCGCCGCCGCTCGTAGGCATATATGTCGTCGGCCTCGTCGGAGAAGACGTGTGTCTCTGTGTATGTGCCCGTGATGGGCCGGTCTCCCAGGCTCGACGTTCCTGAGGTCTGTGTCCGAGTTCACGTCAGTATCATCCGGCAGATCATCGCGCATGGATATCCGTACGTGAATGAGGTACGCCGGTTTCCCCGTCTCCTTCTGCCGCTCCGCCAGTCCCTCGATGATAGCCTCGGCCGCCTTGGGGTGGAAGGCGAGCGCCGAGTTAAGGACAATGTCATGCTGGCTGGCCGCCTTCCTCACGGCCTCGAAATCGTCAAGTCCAGGGAAGACGATTCCATTGACGCCCTTTTTCTTGAGCAGTTCGGCGTGCTCCGGCTTGCGGACTAGGGCTGAGATGCTCAGGTCCTTGATTTGCGGGTTAGACGACGCGAGCAGCGTTGAGAGCACCGACCCGCCGCTGGAGCGCTGTTAGCAGCCATGAAACGTCAATAGCCGGCTGTGAGACATACATGTACCCGGTCGCGCCAGTGATGAGAAGCTTTGTCGAGCCCATTGTTCCGATCGAGAGCTGGTGAAATGCCGATGAGATTGCTTCAATTGGAGTGAAAATGCTGGTCCCGACGGATCGCTCCTCCAAGCGAGCGTCAGGATCCAGCCATCTTTTAAGTTACAAGCCATGACCGCCGCGCTCGTCGAGACGCTTTCAGAAATTAATAATTGACTTTGGAGCTGAAGATTACAAATTGCCCCCGGCAAGCAAGCCGCGGGAACAAGCACGCCTCGCTCTGACGTTATTTCCTCAGCCGGCACCTTGGTCGATCCGTGCCACACTGCCGGGCGAGACGAGCGGGGGGGGGAAGTGTTCAGATTGATCACCACGACGACAGGCGTTCAGCTAGTGTGCGCCAGCGTCGGAGATGTCTCGGCGGGTCAATTACAAAGCAGTGACTTCTGAGATCCTTTATTTGTCTTGGCTGTCGATTCTCTTACTCAAGGCACTTTGACACGAACGAACGCTTTTGGAGAACATCCGACGTCTCGCCAATGGCCACGTGCGGGTTCAGAGCAGAAGCAAAACGCTCCATACCAGCCCATATTGGTTTTCGTCACTGAGCAGGGTGCCTCCCAGCAAGTCTTCACCACCGCTTTGGGGTTGGGGTGGACAGGGGGTTTCTAGTGGGACTTGGAAGTTGTGGAGCCAGTCACAACTCCCGCAGCAAATAGAGAAAAATAACGCAAGCTCTTTCAACAACCACAGGGCGGATGGTTTAGTGGTATAATTCTCCCTTAGCATCTTCATTCCTAATGAAGCGCCACATCTGGGAGAGGTCCGGGGTTCGATTCCCCGTTCGTCCAGTGATAGGTTCTTCGGAACCTTCTCTTTTGTCGCTTGTATCGACATCCTCCTTTAGAGGCAGGTCCGTACATGTATATCGCTACATTTATTTTTGACTTGGCACTCAGTTGGTCAATGTTTTTTTGTTCCTCTCCCGTCCTAGGTGCTTCTCCGGCACTAGATGGCGAGCCATAGATGAGCTGTCCGAGGGCCGGAGACTCCAACAGGATGCTGATAAGGGGACGCCGAAATCTCCACGACTTGCCTTTTTTTTCTTAACCGGAAGGCCCCTACCCTACACAGTTCATCAAGAATAACAAACATTAATTAACACCTGCCGTGCATCAATATACCTTCGCAAGGCACCATCGTCGTTCCACTTGATGCTTGGACGCTATTTTCATTACCGCTAAGGCACTACCGCGACGTTTTATGTCGGCTAGCGTGGACGTGCCGAATTCATTATCGTTTCCATCGGAGTGATCACAAAAGTTGAACACGTCGCTGGGATCGGCCGACTTACGACACCTTTTAGCACACACAACGCACGATTGACAACGGTCCTTTCACAACAGACTTCCACGTCGTTGAGAATTTCAGGGTGGTCAAAGCATATATCCCTTCTAAAGTCCACGCAGGCTCCTCTTCACATGAGTACATAGCGTCGCCAATTTGCCCTGCAATCACGTCGTGCCACAATGTGAACTTGATGGATGTGTGGTGCATTCATGTCCCCTGGCGGAGTCTCAAGCGAGCCGCTGTGGAAGGAGCATCGCGAAGAGTAAGAAAAGATGTGTTTTTCTCAAGATGCGAACGAGACGCGGCTTCGACGCGACCTGAGCGTGACAAGAAAGGGTAACATTCTGCTTGTGTGCTCATGGCCTGGTTTCCTCCGGTAAGTCGAGCAGCTCAGACAATCAGTGCCCCAAGAGCCAACAACATAGGACCGCTGACGCGTTCGAGACCTGCAGCTCCAGCGGTGGCTTTAGCCGTTGTAGAGGACTGAGCGGCTGTGGTAGGCGAAGGAGAGGCAGAGCCCGACTCGGCAGTGCTAGAGGGACTGGAGGAGACCGTTCCGCCGCCACTTCCACCTTGCTCGCAGAGCTTCTGGGTAGCGGGAAGAACCTTGTCTGTAGCGCTTGTCAGTGCCTCTTCAAAGCGCTTGCAAGGTGATGAAGTCAATGGGCCTCGAGCACGTACTAAGCGCAGCATCCTGACCGCAGGACTTGAGGATGCAGCCCGTATTCGTTGAATCGCCCCGAATGGTATCAAAGTTCTTGCAGATGCAAGCAAAGTCATCCGTGGCGCAGCTGGTGTTTTTCTTGATGGACGCGTCCAGGCAGGGCCAGGCGCAGTCCGGGATATCGCTGCGCGATTGAGCGGCGACCCAAGGGGCCAGGAGGAGCGTGGCGACAGCAAATGGCTTCATAGCTTCTTTGGAAAGTATCCAATAAGGGATGATAAAACCTTCTAAGTCGTAATGAGGTGCGGTTTGGCAAGTGCCGGCTGATATGCAAGGAAGAGGTGAAAGATGACAGGTTATGTGCTGCGGAAAAGGGGGAAAGGCGGAGGTCGACCACGGCGGGCTTATGTAGACGGACAGAGTGCAAACCCCCGCCGTTCGTTGCCACAAGCCTCGGGAAGGGGATAAATCGACAGCTTGTGACAGCAATATCCGGGTCAATTAGCTATCGCCCGATTACTCCGCTTGGTGATTTCATGGAGTGATATAAGGCGATAGTGCTGGCGCCAAGCCCCCAAGCTTATCCTCCAAAGGATCAATCGAGGAGCCGTCTCCCTTTCACCCGACTATGCGACATTCCGTTCGCATTCTTAGATTCCATGCTGTTATTTGACATGCTGGGATCCTGCTATACGACAGAAGGGTGGCTGTTCGGTTAGCTTGGGCTTGGGCCGAGCTGGCTATACCTGGCGAAAGCTGATTGCGTGGTTCTCACACTTTGACTACATGTACGCTTTTAAGGGTGTTCAACATCAGGCTCATCGGGATGCGAAGTCTTATATCTATGCTTCATTTGCTCTGTTCACATCTTCAGATTCTGTATTTCCATTTCATGATCGCCAAACACCACCCGTCAGTACTCAAGCCTCGTACCGAAAATTCTCATTCGCGCGGTCAGTCATATCCATGAATGCGGTTCGCGCAGCCTCTTCGTGGTTCACAAGCTTCACCTGGTCCTTCTTCTTGTTCAGATGGAGGAGGTACCAGCGGAAGACGGCCAACAAAACAAAGCTCAACGACGTCATGGAGAGAATAATCTTCCAAGCCGTCGGATAATGGTCATCTTTCTCCTGGGTCCGCACAGTCAACGGTGCGATGCCATTGGACGCGCAGTAGGATGCCCAGACGAGACCCGATGTGACGGCTTTCTTGGTGTGACCAGCCGTGTTGGCTGCCATCAGTGTGAGGACCATGACCACGGTGGTGGCGAAAATCGACGTCAAGTAGAAGCCCCAGAGGGGTGTCATCTTGGTGCTCCAGTCGGATTTCCATACCATGACGGAGCCTGAAATGACTGGGAGACAGCTGACCATGCCGAATATGGAGCGGCTGTGAGGGATGTAGACTGCTCCTGTGCCACACAGAAGGAGGGACACAAAGAGTGTGGCGCCAGCTCCTCCAAGGAGGAGAACAGTCTTCAGGGGAGGATACTAAACATTCATGAGTCAGCCAACGTCTCTAGTGACAATACTGCGTCAATGAGCAGAGCTTACGCCAAAGGACTGAACGATGATCGATCCAAAGCCAGTAGAGGCGCCGTTGGTCAGGCTGAGAGCAAAGACCATGACCATGTAGAAATACGTCTTGGGGTCGGTAAAAGCCTCGCGAATTTGCTCGCGCTTGATCGTCTTGTTTTCGATTCCGATTTGCTCGTACCGTAGTCGCTCGATGGCGACAACCTTGAGCCTCTGGGGAAGGAAGCGTGCAGTGACGGGGCTATCGGGGAGTATGAAAAAGAGCAGAATGCCCCAAACAGCCGTGACGCATCCGATGATGGTGAACTGATATCGCCAAGGCTCTAACGGCCCCTTGATCTGGCCAATGGCATATAAGAGCAATGCGCCGATTAGCACACCCATTCCCGATGCTGAGTACCATATTGCGTATCGAAGTGGCTGCTCGCGGCGTCGATACCACATGACCGTAATGAGGGAGAATGCGGGTGCGAGGCCGGCTTCGGCGACTCCAAGGAAGAAACGCTGCGCAAGTAGGCCCTCGTAAGACTTGACGGCAACCGTGCAAGTGGTGACACAGCCCCAGACAAACACCTTGAAGTGTCAGCTTTACCACTTTGCCCAAAACATGGGCTAGTAGTGTAACTTACAATAACAGAAGTATATCTACCAAGCGGAAATTTCTGACTCAAGTATACACCCGGAAGAACTGTATAAATTTCTGTTTAGATGTACAAGAAAAGTGGTATCGGAGTTATGGGGCCACTCACGTCCAACGAGATATCCCCAATAGAAGATTAGAGAGCAGTAGGAGTATCTGGAAGAGTCGACGACGATTTTGTCCCCTTGATAGCCGCTAGACTCGGTTTTAGCATCGAAGGCTACTTGTAGGGTGTTCGGACGCGAGCACTCACAGCTTTATCAGGTCCAGGTCAGTTAAGATACCGAAGAGAGCAGCTCCTGTCAGGCATGACTTGTCCATGTACTGCAGAGCGTATGTGATGAACATGACAGGCATCAGGACGCAGTCTATGCGTCGGAGGGTCTGTCTTTGCTCTTCCGGAGAGACATCACCAGCGACCAAGGTGTCCACGAGCTGAAGAGCGACATCCCCCTTGAAATGCGAACCCGTGCCCGGCTTGCCATCGGAAGGAAAGTCGGATTCATCGAGTTGCCGGTGCTCCGCGTTCAAGTCGGAAGGCTTCTCCACATGCATTGTGTTTGCGCGCTGGAACTTCCAGGCTCGGCAGGTCTGAGTTGTCTGATATGGCTTGCTCGAAACGCGGTTACCTTTGGGCCATCACGCGTACTCGTTCAGTCGCGAGGCCTTCTTATGTATTATGCGAAGTGCAGAGGCGACTGCGCATGGAGGGCTCCCTCGCACCGACTAAAGCACTCCACCCAGTGCCAATCGAAAGCTCGTGCCTCGGACGCCACCGCTGTCCTTGAGCTCCCCGCGTGACGATAGACTGCCTTCCCCTGGAGTTGTTGGCCCAGCCCAATCCAGGTGCATCACGGCCGGCCCCGGACTCCGGGCATTCCATGTTCTCGTGAAAGATGATTGGCTGCGCCGGCAAACGCAGCTTTATGATTGGCTGTGTCGGCAAACTTGCATCCCCGGCCGGATAGTTCCAGATTAAGAGACACACTAACAAGATGACCCCCGCAAAATGCCAAAGTAGCGTAGCCGCACCAGATTGTGGAGGGCGGGGTTTGGATCAAGAAGGTTGATCCTTTCGCGATGCTGTATCATTCCTGTAGCGATTACTGGAGAATCTCCAACAAGAGGGGCTGATTGCCGTCGCATAATGCGGGGCCTGGTCGAGGCTGAGCCAAATGCATGATGCCCAACCCACTTCAAGCAACGCGTGAATCCCAAAGGTGTCCCAGATGGTGGAACAGGCCTCTCGAACCCAGCACTTGGTTGATGTTTTCTCCAAGTAGCAGTTGATGCGCCTCCGATTCCATATATCTCCGCAAGACAAGCAGAGGCCACTGAACTCGTACGGCCATCTCCTTATCGTCATGGATCACCAGACGCAACGTAGTCAGTGTCTCTTTAAGCAGATCCTGGCAGCACGTGTTCTCGCGATGGCATCGCCGTGAACAGAAGAGTCTGTGTGTGTATACCGCCAGACTCCGATACTCGGCCACGGCAAACTGAATTGCCTGCAGCTCATGCTTCCGCATAGGCACGTCAGATCTCCGGCCAACTGCCAAGAGGTCTTGGAAACGCTGATAGATGCGCGCGGTCAGTCACATGAAAAAGTTGAAGCCGTGTACAACTGTAGCAGATAAGAAGTGGCTTACCTTGCCAATCTGATCGAGCTCGCGCTGCCAAGTAGTTCCATCTCCTGCACCATTGGACTGGTCATGCTGGGCGACAAGGAGCTTGCCTTTGAGCAGGCAGCACTCGTGGTAGAACTGTAGTGGTCGAGAAACAGAGATGTCATCGACTAGCTCCTCTGTCGGATATCCCGGCATCCACATGTTGCGCAGCGCATCCCGAGTGTTGTGGAACAGCTGATCCATTACTGAGACGCACGACTCCTTGTGCCCGGCTTCGCGCCACAGCCTTGGTAGAGAACCCTGGTGTATCGGAACATTGAGGTTCAAGTTGATGTACCTGGGTCATCTTGTCAGAACTAAACGCTGTCCAGTTGGGCTCAGAGGTCACCAACATTGTGAACAAGAGCAGCTGCTGGCCGAGTAGCGGAAGCCCGGCCAAGGATAAATCCTGTTTTGTCGCAAACATTGTCGCCAGAAACGCATACAGTCCCCGTAAATGCGCCTCCATTCCGGATGCGTGCCGGCCGAATTGCTGTTCGTACACCACCATGAGAAAGAAAATCGCCAAGACTTCATCCAGGCACTTGGCCGAGCGATAGTCAAGCTCACGCAGAATGACTCTGAACTCTTCAAGAGCCCGTCTGTAGTACGCAACGCCATCATGCCGAGGCAGGGCATGCGTGGGCCTCGGTTTCAGCTGCTGCGCGCAACGCATCATCTCTAGCTCGCTGGCCGAGATGGCTAGGATCATTCTCATCGCTGCGGGGGAGCCTGATGCCACGCGGCCACGCAGATAGTGCAACGAGGACCATCTCCACGACTTCCCCAGTACTCGTATCAATAGCGTGTGCGGAAAAAAGGAAAGGTACTCAAGGTCTTTCGACGAAAGCCCTGTGGAGCTGAGTAGTCTCAAGTCGGGGATAGCGAGCTTGGGGATCGGATTGGGGGCGTCACGCTCCCTCGGAAGTAGAAGGCGACAATGTACCGGGCCGTCACGATTCTTCGGGCTCCCGGGTGCTTGCTTCCGGGGCTGGCGACGAGCGACTGCAAGCCATTCGCATGGCAACCGCGCCCCTTGACATCGGTTACAGACTGGCCGCGCTTCGTCGCATTTGAGTTTGCGGGTCCGACAGGTTGAGCATCCTTGGGGTACCTTGCGTGAGATAAACGGGCAAAATCGTGGCAAAATTGGACGAACCTGTTCTGGACCGCGTCCGGGTGTTCTTGGTATCAGAGGAAGTGTCCGACATGGACTCCGACAGCGGCGAAGGGTTCGCCTCGGCAGTGCCGGGGGTCAAGCTCTCGCCTGGTCGGCCACCAGGCTGAGCCGAACCTTCTGGCATCGGACGGGTGAGTAAGGTGAGCCGCCAGAGTTCGTCGCTTCTTCTCCACAGGATCCTGTGACCGTGCAGTAAGAAAGCTTCGAGATTGATCGTAGTTGCAGGAGGATAAGGAGGGGGAGGGGATTTGGGATGGATAGGGGTCTAGGGACCGACGGCGGCTTCTTATGGTTGGCTCGAATATTAGCGACATTCGCCTCACAATTGGCTGCAGCGCCAACGCTAGAAAGTAGGACAACAATTGTCTCCACTTGCCAAACTAGAGGTTGGGGTTATCGGAAGTCCGGAGCCGTCTTGCCAAGTAGCTGCCGTATAAGCCACCATGAGTGATTGCTCAAATACGAGGAGGTCGGTTCGTGGTTTCAGCGAGAGAGAGAGAAGGGGTGATCGAGAACAGGAGTGACTGCATGTGTCCAATACATACCAATCTGGAACTGACTACGAAAATGGCGACGACGCAAGAGACAATTGCCAAGCAGCTGGCTGAGACGGTGGCCAAGCACGAAGAAGAGCTATGGAGGGTGAATCAAGAGGTTCGTCAACGATGACATTCAACACCTTCTCGCCCCCAGTCATTGACGCTCCAAGCTAACCCAAGGGCACAGATTCACAGCCACCCAGAGCTGGCATTCGAGGAAACACATGCGCACGACACGGTCTGCGGAATGCTGGAAGCACTTGGCTACAACGTCACGCGCCATGCTCACAACCTCAAGACGGCATTCGAAGTCGAGGCTGGCACCGGCGGCGGAGTCATAGTATACAACGCCGAGTACGATGCCCTGCCAGGCATTGGTCATGCTTGCGGACACAACCTGATTGCCACTTCCTCCATTGCGGCATTCCTGGCCACTGCAGAGGCTCTGAAGGCAAACAGCATCAGCGGCCGGGTGCGTCTTCTCGGCACTCCCGGAGAGGAGGAAGGCGGAGGCAAGGTGGCTTTGCTGGACGCCGGGGCCTACCAAGGTGTCGATGCATGCCTTATGGGACACCCCGGGCCTCGCCTCGCACCTGTCGATGGTGTCATACACGTCCCATTCTTGGCCGTCGCCGGAGTTACAGTCACCTTCAACGGCGTCAATGCCCATGCTGGTAATGCGCCTTGGCTTGGAAAGAACGCATTGGACGCTGCCGTTGGCGCTTACAACAACATCTCTATGCTGCGGCAGCAGATGTCTCCAGAGCAGAGAGTACATGCAGTGATCAGTCATGGTGGCGATCGGGCAAATGTCATTCCTCACAAGACGGAGATGAGGATTCTTGTCCGAGCGTCCACTAACGCCGACCTGGAGGCAACTCGCCCGCGAATTGCATCATGCTGCGAAGGTGCTGCGACCGCCACAGGTTGTACCGTGGACTTCAAGTGGTATACTTCCCCTTGCCTTGCAACTGCCTCGTCGAACGACCAACAATGAACGGGCACTGATCGAAACTATTCAGGGATCACCACTACAAAGATCTCCAATGCAGCGGCCTCATTGAGAACACGTTTGAGAAGAACGCCGGCCTACAGGGTCGAACGTGGATGGCAAAGGCACCAACAGGAAGTGGCGCTTCGACGGACCAAGGCAAGTACAGATGCTCAACATTAGTTCATCTCCACGGTACCATTACTTGGCCCTACAAGAATACTAATGGGTTTGACGCATAGGAAATGTCAGCTACGAGGTTCCAAGCATCCACCCAATTTTCCTCCTCGACGTAGAGGACCCATCGATCGGCCCACACCATCCCAAGTTCGCGGAGACAGCAGGCACAAAGCCTTCCTTTACTATTGCTCTCGACTTTGCCAAAGTCATGGCGGCAACTGGGTTGGATATTCTGCAGAATAGTTCTTTCCGTGAAGAGCTGAACTCCGAGCTCGCGACGGCGCAGAAAGACCGGTCTTGATGCTGTGTGGACCATTTTATGAGCAAGCAGAGCTCATACGGTCCATGAAGCCGCTATGCGAGGAACTCTTCCGGAAGCACGGTCACGCTTGTACATGTATCAATGGTGTACTTAAGCTTGTCATCATCTGCTTTCACTAGACGAGCGAATATCACATGCTCCTTGAACGATCAAGATCCTGGTCCTCTGCTTTAGGCTGTTACAGAACGGCCATGTGTTGCGCTATCTGAGGAAGAAGGACGTCAGCGCTGCATCTGGGCCCATGTGCGCTTCGTCTGTCAAGCGCTGCTCGGTGCTTAGGTAGACGTCTGGGAGCCACTCGGGCTTTGACTCTCCCAGCGCCATGCGAGCAATAGCTTGACCACACAGCCACGCCTGACACATGCCATATCCGTTGAAGCCTGCAGCCACCCACTCTCCGCCCTCATGTTTTCTGCCGCTTACACTCGCAGGCAGTTCACCCACAATCGGGACTTGGTCAGCCGTCATGCCTAGAATCCCAGACCAAAGCCGATGAAGCGCAGGCGTGGAGGATAGCGTGTTGTTCGTTATCGGATTGGTCCATCCTTTACTGAACAGCTTCTGCGAGAGCAAGGTCGTGAGGTTGCGTGCCGAGTCACCGCTGATGACAGAGTCATCTGAAGACAAAAAGTCATCCAACCTCTGCAAATCTCCCCCTACAAAGAGATCGCCGGTCTTGGCGTTTTGCTGCATCCAGTATAGACCTTGCTCGACCACAGTGGTGCTAGGATCCCAAGACTGCTTCGAATGAAACAGCCAAGAGTAGGCACGGTTACCCCATTGAGGACCTTGCTTTTGTGTCGACATAGACAGTCGGCAGGGGAAAAGAGCTCCCCTGAGCTTGGGAAGAAGATGACCGGTGAACCCGTTAACGCAGTGAAAGATCTTTGCGGCTCTCACAGTCCCGCGAGGGGTGACCACAGTGTAGGGGTATGCGCTGTCAGAAGCATGCGAGACAGTGATGGAAGTCACTGGAGTCTTTGTTTCGATGGAGAATCGCTCGGGGTACCGCTCAAGGAGCCGCTGCAGCAAGTTTGTGACAAGCTTGTAAGGCCAAAAGACGCGAGATTGAACGACCAACGCTCCTTTGCAGTGCCTAAAGTTATACTCCTATCGGACAACGTCAGGGCACGCTCGCGCATCTAGTGTGGTCGCATCGATACTGAAAATTACCTTTTCTGCGGCTCCGCCGTCCACGATTGCATATTTCTGTTCTGAGCCATGGACGGCCTCTTCGTACATGCGAACAGATCGACTGGCTTCTTCAAAGCCTTCTTGATCTGTGAAGGCGGAGACCGTCGTGACGTCGCGTATCTCGCTAACTTGATCAAGCTCCTCGGCGATTGCGACTTTTACAATCTCGTCCAATGTGAGGTCACAGAACAAGGCAATCTGCTTAGCAGCCTCTGCTCCAAAACCAGCGACAAAGCGTCCGTAGAACTGCGGAACGTGGCTCAACAGGAAGCCTCCATTGCGGCTCGTTGCGCCGGTAGTCAAAGAACGAGCTTCGAACATGGTGACGGACTTGGCACCGTTAAGTTCGGACTCAAGGATGGTCTTTGCAGCGCTGCAGCCGGTGATGCCGGAGCCAATTATGGCGAAATCCGTGTACTGAGGCAACTCTTTTGACTGGACCTTAGCGAAAGGATGTGGCGGCTCTTGCCAGGCTGAGACAGTTGGGTTCGGTGGAGGAACGCCCGGATCCTGGACGACTTGGCCGGCCAATTTAGCCAGTAAAGCCTGAGGAAGTTCAGGGACGGCCATCTTTGCTTTTGAGTAAGGTTGGTGTTGCGTTCGATTCAGTTCGACTTCGAAGTGTGATCCACGGCTGTTACGTCCTCTAAGATCCGTGCCATGGCTTTTATGTTCTCACGATACCCATAAGCGTTCATAACGCAACACAACCATCATATCAGGCATCGATAGACGCGGAGAATACTTCGGTTCCGGGGAGCTTCCTGATCAACTGATGTGAATCGGCCACGAAGTCGGTATCGAGCGGCACCGCGGGTCCGAGCAGCGTCGGCACTCTAGCAACGTTTCATTGAATCACCGACTATCGCCGCCATGGTTTGCCAGGTACAAAAGGTTAAACGGCCCGCAAACAGATGGGTGTGGCGGATTAGTACGTGGCTTTGAGCCAAGCTACCCCGCGGTTGAGTTGAGTGCTGCTGCTGGCGCGGCGGATCCGGTCGGCTCTCGGGATGCACCTCTACCACAAAGGGAATCAACATCATTGAGTGATATTCCCACCAGCAGGTCAAATCTCCGAGTCATTTACTTCGTGTTTGGGGCGTGATTCCGCGATGACCGAAAGCTGGCTGGAAGCGGGCCCCGTGTGCGAAGCTCATTGCAGGTTGATGCCGCGACACTCTCTTCCACCTAGGCATCTCATAGAATCTGAGGCTATTTTGGGTCTGAAGACAGGCTCTAGTTGTGCTTGGCAATAAGCAATTAAGGGGTCGATTAGGCAGATGCTATAGTAGGTCAATGTCGATACATGTTTTGTGCATGCGGCGATATAGACTGCAACATCAGTCTGGGAACATCTGCCAACCCCATTTCATTGGAAAGGTACTCTATACTACTTTCCCTGTATCTATTCTTTAATCGATTCAACAACTTGATCCCGCGGAAAGCCGAGTCTCTCCATACACGCAAAAAAGCGCTCCGGCCCAGCCCAATCTTCTGGGCAATATACGCCAGGATGCTGCTGAGACCCCATGTCAAGCACCATGAGCGCGAAGGCTGCGTTGCATGCTCCTATAATCGTTGCCATGCTCATACCTAGGGGTGAGTCTTTTACACCCTGTGGGGTGCGCCTGATGGCCACGGCAGGGCGTCCATTGCGGGTGCCAATACCCCGGACCAGCATACCAGAGCGACGGGGTGCTTGTTTCCCTCGCGCGGAGTTGATCAAAAAGCGCAGAACCTCGCCTGTTGTGCACTCTCCATTTTTGATCTGCTCGATCATGCCCCAGAGCGCAAGACGCCACGGTTTCAGAGACCGAACGCCATCAGAAGCCATCTGGTGCAGCTGGTTGAGCGTAACATTTCCGCCCTGGAGTCCCTCAGTAATTGAGCCAAAGGTTTCACTCCAGCTTGCAGACGAAGTTCTCTGCATTTGCTCGAGGAAATCGACGGCAGCGTCCATAGTGAGAGCGCCGGACTGGACACCAGCCCCGATTCCTCGTGCAAAGCCGTTGTATGGTGCAGGGTTGAGCGCACCGAGGGTCCGAATTCGAGTGACATTGGGGAACCGGCGCGGTAGAGTAACTGGCTCTGGATGAACACTCTCATGGAAAAGAACCTCAGAGCCGTCCAACACGGGAGCATAAGCCGTTTCAACCCAGTTCTCGTGGACCGCTGGCTTTCCGTCGGCCCAGGTCAAGCATGGCCCGCCGGTGATGTGGACGAGGTGTTCCAGAACCTCTCTGCCCAATTGTCCGCCTTCTTCGCTGACGAGCCAACAAATGTCCAAAGTATGGAGGGTGTCGAGCTCCTTGGCAACTTCAAGGGCCAACAGGTTGGACATGCCAGGCGAGGAACCGCAGTTGATGTAGCAAGGCACACCTTCCTTCTTCGCCCGCTCATGCAAAGCGAGAGACTCTTGTGTGCTATGCACGTCGTCGGAGTAGTCGAGATAAGGAACCTTGGCGTCGATGCATGCCGTCAGAACAGGCGTTGAAGTGCGATAGTACGGCTGTGCTCCCTGAATGACAAGGGCAGCGTCGGCAATGACGCTGCGCAGCGCATTAGGGTCGAAGAGGTCCACCTTTCTTGTGGTGACATGGCGATCGGGCAAAAGGCTGGCAGCAACTCGACGAAGTGCGTCCTCATCAGTGTCTGCGAGGACAATGGGGATGGTGCTCGCTTTAGCAAAGATCCGGATCGCTTCGCCGCATATTGCGTCGCCAGCCCCGATAAATATAACTGGCTTGGAGTTTTGCATGACGATGATCAGGTTCAGGATTTCCGTACAGCGAAAAATGATGCGCGTTGTTCCGAGGGAAGCCAGAATGCTACCTTTATATGATCACGCAATGATGAGCCAAGGGGTCGGCAGCCCGCTCATTGAGATCGCGCAGCTCTAACCAGCTGCTGAGCAAGCAATGGATGTAACGGCCTAGCGGAGGCGGATCCTAGAGGGCAGGTAGATGTGTTTGGGGGTTAGGCCGGAGTGGCCTCGGTTCCGAGCCACGCGGGACCGAGTTCCGCCGCCATTAGACTCTCGTCGGCTCAGACAAGAGAATTACAATGGCAAGTCAATAGGTAGAGGGCAGCTTCGGGGCGACACGGGGCCGCAGCTTATCGACTACAACTCGGTGCTTGCCTATGTCTCGCGGCCAGCAATTCACAACATTGAATGGTTAGGGAGCGTCGCAAACTCCGGCGGGCAGTCCGGAGTGACCGCCCTGGCGATTAAAGTATAGATGCGCAGTTCACAGGCATTGGGACACTCGCAAGGTTTAGTAAACAATTCATCTAGCCTGGGAAGTGCCTATCAAGTCTCCTCGCTCGATTGTTGCAAACTGAAGCTACCCATGATCGTGATGAGCAGCACCAGGGAGTTCCATACCCGCTCCGACGCAGCTAGGCACTGGGTTTATGAGAAACAACGTAGCGAGTCACCAGATACAAGACACTGGCAGTGCCCAGACATGCCCCCGTGAAAGCTTGCATAGGCACATAATCCGTCCCTCCCGTGTTTGCAAGCATCCGCCCGGCAACTGGTCCGCTGGCGAGAACAGGAAAAGACAGCACAAACATACTGATGCCTACAGAGTCGTTAATGCTGTGCACAACTGTGGATATACCGGATGCAAAATCTTACCGTTCCATGTACCAATAAGCTCTGGATCGGGCACCAGCAAAGCTATACACGGCGAAAAGATCGCTTGGATCCCTCCAGCCAGGAACCCGTAGACCACAGTCCACGTAACTACACCTGAAAAGCTCTGTGCAGCAACCCAGGCAGCCGCTGTAATCGTGCATGCGAATGCAACAGCCGTGATGGTGTTGAAGAAACCAACGCTGCGATCGGCCACGACGCCTAGGACAAGGCATCCCAAGAAAGCTGATCCGTTGAGAATAGCTGTGAGGTAGAACGCCTCGTGATCAGAAGCCCCATACTGCAAGCCGTACAGGGAAATGAAGAACTGGAGGGTAAAAGAGTGCATCATTAGAGAAATATTCCTGGTCAGGCATGGAGATGGCGCACTTACATAGGGTATAAATAGTACTAAGAAGAAGAAGAAGTTGGCAGCTGTAAAAATGACCATACTTTTATTCGTGAAGTAGCCCTTTATCTCGAACTTCGCGGCTTTTGTGTCTCGAGGTAAACGGCGTTGAAGGAGAAGAACCGAGCTCGTCATAAGAAAAAGCTGCACGAAGCCGAAGACCCGAAACATCCACCCAAGTGAAATCCCGTGAAGATTAAGCAGTCGATCCGCGACTATCGGCCAGATGACACCTGCAAAGTCCCATGGTTGTCAGTACATGATTCCTGGGTCAGAGCCGGTCATGAACGCACCTCCAAGGCTCTGGCCTGACATGACTATGCCGACAGCCAGTCCGCGTCGTTTTTCGAACCACTGTGATTGAATTGATAAAGCGGGCGTGAAGATGAGTCCGAGTCCTATTGCTGTGCATAGCCCTTGCGAGAGCATAAATTGGTAGTACCTGGTTGATATCGAGGACATCATGGTTCCCAGCACCAACAGAAACCCGCCCAGCGCGACGGGTACTCTTGGTCCAAAGGCATCAGACATCCCACCCGACAAAATGCCAAAGAAGAAGCAGCCCCAGAGTTGAAGGCTGCCAATCCACGATATCTGATCCGCACTATAGTCGGGAAGCGTCACGATGCTGTAGTAGCTCTGGAAAATGGAGAAGCTGCTGAGATAGCCGATGCTCGTGGTAAATGCAATCAGGCCACCAAGAACCGTCATCCAAGCCTTGGTTCCCCCATCTGGAAACGGGCTTTCTCCGGCGACCATGGTCGCATCGTGAGTTGAATCAGTTTGCAGCTCCAAATGCATGCAACTGTCCTCGTTCTTGGTATGGCTCACGGCGGGGTCCATTGCAATTGAAGATTTCGACTATCTGAATAAATTCAGGAATGCACTGTACAATATTTCTTGGCCGCAAGAGCGGACGTGTGTATGAGTTTTAAACGTCTGTTTACACGAATTCTCAATTACCTAGATCCGAGCGAATAGCTTCGTAGCGGGCAAAACCGTTTGCACCGGTCGCAGATTGCGGGGAAGGTTTTCGCTGAAGCAGCCACAGCACGCCACGGCAAGCCATCAGGTTCGCTTTTGTTTCGCATGATTGTTGCTAGGTTTTCTGGGGATTCGCGTGGGCTGGAAACATCCGGGGTGGCATCCGGCAAGTTGGTCCACACTACTGATCATGGGTGAGACGGAGAGCGCTGGTGATGGATGGGCCACATTACACTGCGGCCGGAGCAGGCATGTCATTGACCGCCAAACTCATCCTAGAGCAACGACGCCCATGTCCCCGATCCTCACAATCGAACTGAACCAGGCGAGGCACTGGTGAAATGACTGTGCCGAGATTCCGAGGCGGCGCACACGGACGCAGGTCGGTTGGCGGACCCCGACGCCTCCAGCTGGCGGCTCCGACGGCTCCGGCGGCTCCGAGGTTCGGCCCCACTTGGCCGGAATCACTGGCGGGGTAGCACTCCGAACGGTGGCGATTGCGGCTGCCTTTCTGTGTTCTTGAGGTAGGGCAGTCGACGCATATTTGCAAATTGCGAGGGAAAGTGGCTCTGCCGTGCATTACCTGGATCTTCGGCGTCGAATCTGGATATATCTGCGACAACTTTGGGCTGCCGATGGTCACGGACAGAACTGTCGCTAAATGGCATGCATTCGCGATCTGTATCTTCATGAAAGACAACAGTTTACTCTTTCCGTCAGTAATCAAATAACGTGTACGAAGCACTATACCACCTCATGTCTTCAAAGTTGTGTAGAGCCGCCATGAAGCCGTTCAAAGGCACATGCATCGTGCTGCCTCAACACTGAGCCACAGGAATCTCACGAGCGATTGCTGGTGCTATGTCCTGCCGCAGTCTCGCCCCGGCACATCTGCCGTCCCTCTTTGTGGCTTGCTCGAAAGTGCGGGATAGGGCCGCCCTGGAACCCTCGTCTCCACTGATTTAGTCCGGGGGAACAGGAAATGGCGGGCACCAATTGCCTTCTGTGCATTTGTCCGGGGCAGCTCCATGTCGTTATCCCCTTCCCGACTGTCGGACATTTGCAAGAGCACAAGCACTCCCCTCGAACAATTCTTATCACTCAGTAAAGCGACTTACAACATATGATGGAATCATTGTTCACGCATGATGTTTATTATTCCGGCTGGCAATCGGGCCATCAGGATGACAGATATGTGGACACCGAAGAACCATTCACTGACCTCCTGGGGCTACAATCGGCCGAGACTCACACTCATGGGAGCTTTGACGCGGGAAGCAACATAGAAGCCGCTTTCGATGGCTTTCACCAAGCTTTTAGCGATCTCGACGGTCCTTCGGCAGAGTTCGCTGCGATTTGGGCGGGAGAGGTCGGAGAGCTACCGCGTAACTACGCCAAAGGACCAGCCATTGCCACGCAAGAGAATTACTCGTTGGACGAGTCCCAGCTCTCGCCTCCTTTGACTACTATCAGTAACCACGATAGCCAGATTGGACGGGCGATTGCAAACAGTGGATTTGTACAGGATCTAGGGGCTCCAGTCCAGCATATACCGGGCAGACGACAACAGCGGCGTCAGAACCACGCCTGCGACCCATGCCGCGTGTCGAAAAAGGCATGCGACTTGCCCCGTGGTATAGCTACGCGGAACCGCAAACCCACTACGCCCTGCTCCGCGTGCAAGATTCGCGGTTCGGAATGCACCGTGTCTTGGCTCGCCAGCAGGAAACCGCTCAAACATCATGCGAGTGTGCCTGTTGAGCCCGCTGAGGAGACCGTCGGCAGCGGCAGCGCAGGTTCGACCGCTACGAGCAATGTGAGCGACTCGGTCTACGCAGCTCTGGCTTCCATATCAGCCCTGGAAACGGAGCTTTCGAGGCGATTGATTGCCGACAGAACATGCTCGCTGCAGTTTGGCCTCTACGTTGACATATCCGATTCGTTTCTCTCGCAGTGCCTTCTTGAGGGGAGCATGCCGCCTTTCTACAAATGCGGGATTGCAGCCTACGAGACGCTCAGCACAAGCGTTCAGCTGTCCACATACATCAAGAGAGCTGAGGAATGGGTCGCGAGCTGCTGGAAGAATCCTACCGACCAAACCCGCGGCCCGCTACCCAAGACGGAGGGGCCGTGTCTATTCCGGGCTGTGAGTGTTCTCGACGCGCTGTTGGGTCCTCCGTATGCGTCCTCCCGGGACGCAGCCATCACGGAGACATACAAATGGGTTGCAATTGCGTCAGCGGCTCAATTCGCAAATGGCGATTATGCGGAGAGCATGGATGGATCCCCAGAGAACACAGGAACCTCGAGGGATAGGGACATTGCTCTAGTCTCGTGGCGAAAGGCCAAGGCGATGGTGTTTGGGAACATGTCAGCCACGAGATCATTTCGTCTGGCGCTATCGCTCGTTATCTTTGGCAACATCACGCCGCCGCAAACCATGAGCGTTGATAGCCCTGCTGAGCAAGACACAGAGGACGCGAGCTATGCGTTTTGCGAAGGCATCAAGCGCCTTAGGCGACTCTGCTCGCGAGCGCGCAACGGCATTGCAGCCCCTAACAATACGGCCTCGGCCAAAGCGACCACGAGCCCCAAGCTTGGGGCACATCAGCAGCACATCCTGAATCTGGCGGCGGACGTCCTCGAGTCGATTCGGGAGCTGGTTGGGGCCCTCGAGTGGCTGGTTTCACTATACAATGCCGTTGCCATTGGCACGTCATACGGAAAGACCTGCCCTTTCCCCCCAGAGCTAGAAGACGATGAAGCAGGTGACGGCCCGGTATTGCAATCGCCCACCCCGGTCAGCATGACAGACGTCGACATTTCATCACTGTCGGTGGCCCAGCCTCATCAGCGTCAAGTCGAGGACTCGATCATGACGCGTGCGAGGCAGGATGGGCAACCGTTCACTGAGTTTTGGCGGCGCAATACCCACGACGACGAGTCTGTGCTCCATTCTGGAAGGCTGTCGGTGTCCCTTTCCATTGTCGTATGGAGGGCGCTGGCTCGGTTCACGCTCGCTGCGGACATGGTCCGGAAGGACTACACAAAGGCCAACTACGGTGATATTGATCGGCACTATGTCGCCATGGCAGCCCTCATAGAGCTCTGGAGACGATGCTTTGGGTCCTTTGACCAAAAGACAAGATCCTCTCTCCTGCAGTCACAGCGCCAGGTCTGGCGTATGTGCAGCTTTTCCTCGGTCGACACTGACCTTGCCATCCTCTTGTTCTGCGATGTCGCGCAGAGGTTGGAGACGAGTCTCGCGGAGCTACCCCCAACACATATCCCCGCCGCCGAGCGACTCTGCTGTTCTCTTCGGTCAACAAAGGTATACCGCTCAAAGCAGCGGCTGGTGAGTGCCATGCAAGTCGCCATCATCTCGTCGACGAGTCAAGTTCCAGCATCCGCCACTGCGGCGCCGGGATGTAAAAGCGACCTGCCGGTGTACGCGCGGCGCATGTGTGCACATCCAGTAAGTACCTCCCCTTCTTTCCCTCAAAAGCATTAAATTGGCTCGCTAATGATTGCGACAGTCGCCGTGGATGATGGTCCAGTCACATCGCCTTGCCGCACGAGCCTTTTCGGAAGAAGTGGCTGCATCCATCGCTTCGGGTTCTCTGCATGCTGAGCGCGTTTCTGAGATGACACTCGGTCTGAATACTTGTGTCAAGGGCCTGCGTGAGCTGGAAAGCAACTTGTTCATATCGACCAGGGCTTAGGCTCTGCGATCAATTGCGTGGGGGCTTTGAAGATCGACATCCCCAGCACTGTCCGCACATCTCACGTTGGACGAATGCGCAGTCGCAGGCGTTGGATTTAGTGGTCGCTGAATGTTAGGACGAGGCGGGCGTCGATCGGAAGGTATATTGGGCATCGGTGGGTTCATGTTATCAACTCGTAAATTGAAGTAAGTCTTGCAAACAAGGAAGCCATCATCAGGCGGTTGTCTGGTCAGTCATGCTCGTCGTGCGGACACCTCTATCATAGAAAAGCCATCTCTGTCAGCAAGTCGCCGGAAGCCTTGAGCTTCACCAGTTGATACATGGTGAGCATGCCCGACCTTGTGTAAAGGAGGGCACTGCGTTGGACACCGCACCACAGGCGAATCCCGTGGCTGCGTCAAGTCACGCAGTGGCATCGTGGTGCAGACGACACTTCAACTGCAACTTGTTTCGCGAGATGAGCGTGGTACGCAATTCGTGGCCGTTCGGCTGCGTGCGTTGGGCGATACGGTCGTGGCCGAAGCCGTCGTGTCCGATGTGTCTCGAGGCGAGCAGCAGCAACTCCTCACTGCGGAACTCCCTCACCCTTCTTCATGAATACTTACCACGGAGTGCGGCACTCGGTCGGCAGCCATTCCCCGCCGACGTATTCCTCCCAACCGCATTACCGACAGAGATGGGAGGAGGCTGGAGTCCGTCCCCTGCCGAGCGCCCGAGCCTATCGATCCATCCGCCCACGGCGCATGGACGTATGCCGGACAACCGTCAGTCGGCAAGACACGGCCGCGCATACACTCTCAGCTTCTTTCTTTGCATAAGCAACGCAAAATAGCTCGCAATCACATCTCAGCGCGTGCTGCAGCGCGGCGCAGAGTGTCTCTGCGATTATCCGTTATTAGTGCATCAAACAAGTTTGGAGGCTGGGGGCTGGGGCAAGACTCAGCTGGCCATGGGTGCGAATAGTCCCAGATTCCGCGCGCTGCCATATCAACGGGCGGATCCTGGGAGGGCTATAAATCAAGGTGCCTTGGCATGCAAAGCATGGTGTCTGCGGCAAGTAGATCAATGCTAGGAAAACCTTGTTGCGGCCGAGGAATTCAGGAGGTTGCTCTCCCTCGGATGGAGGGGCGGGCGAGTGGATGCAGACCACACCTCCCTTGTTGCCCACGTTGCCTAGCATCATCATCGTCCTTCATCCCATCTACTACCGCGCATCAAACAGGAAATGACCATGGCCAGCTGCCTGAACAGAACAACCGGGCAACCTGAAAAATGCCCTGCTGGCCAGTGGAACCTTGCCCTTCAGCCGGGCAACGTGCGCTGATTCACAGCACAGTTGAGCACAAGGCAGCGCGCCCATCGCACGACCGCCTCCCCGGCAACGCAGCTGGCACCAGACCGACCGCTCGTCTGTTCATGTTCAACCCTGCCGCTGACGCTGCCGCGCAACACTGCTCCCTGTTCCTCAGGCCATAAGAAACCAGTCGTGTGCGCCCGCCTGCCAGTGACTCAAGGACCGGCCGCCCACGTATTTAGTTTTCTGTCATCGCGCGCCAGCTGTGCCGACCTCTTTCTCTCCTCCTCCTCCTCCTCCCTCCTCTCCTCCTCCCTTCCACCCGCGCACACGACTCAACACACAAACTCCATACAAAAGTCCACCACACCACGCACGCCCAACGCACTCGCGTTACCATCTCCGCAACGGTAAGTCATATTTCGTCATTCTCTTCAGCGTGGGATTTTTGCCATTTTCTGGAACGAAGTATCGCAGATTCTGCTGTATCGCGTTCCTGAGGCCCCCCGCCATCATCCCTCGCAGATCCCAAACTCTATCCTCCCTTCCAACGTCGACGACGCAGCCGTTTCGCCCTTTTGACTTGGGTTCTTAACCCAGGGTCGAGAACATCGTCTTTTCTCTGCTTTGGTGTCGTTTGTGTTCGATCCAAGACGGCTGCTCTTTCGCATCGCCATCCTCCCTTCTTCACCCTTTTCTCGTCCGTGTGTCTGTGTGTGCATCTTCCTTTCGATTCTAACGATTCAAATTTGTGTGTTGCAGGTCAACCATTCGTTTGCCAAACCTACCACACGTCTTCACTCTGCGTTCGACAAAAACGCCACAACCGTTTTCTTTGTCTCTCTGAAGAGACACTCGTCTGAAACGAAACGACTCAGCGGGAAAATACCATCAACTAGACGACATGTCTGCGGCTAAGATGGCCTTTGTCAACAGCATCATGGTGCTCGTCGCCGTGTTCGCTGCCGGTGTCTTTGGCGCCGCCCAGGCTCCTTATTGTGCGTTTCCCCCCAGAACCAGATTCCTTCGCTTTCGAGCATGGTTACTGACTGAACTCTCTGCAGCGAATGGCCAGGTCACCGAGACTGCTCCTCCCCAGGAGCTCGGATCCACCACCTCGGCTGGTAAGCCTTCCCCCTTCCTCCCTCTCACGCCCCTGTGTACGTGTACAATCCCTGACCTTGTTCCGATCCCAGGCTCGCTGGTCTACTCCCTCAACATGTGCACCATCGTCCACTCCACCAACTGCCAGGTCTCCCTGTCGACTGGCGGCGCCGCGCCCCCAGCTGCCAAGTCCTCCGCCGCCGCGGCTGCGCCCGCTCCCGGCTCCGGCAGCAGCGCTGCGGGCGGTGGTTCTGGCGGTCCGCCTCCCACTGCTTCAGACAAGCCCGCCGCGCCCACCGTCATCACGAGCACCAACGCGGGCGGCAGCCCCGTCGTCGTGACCCAGACCCCTGGCGCTGAGTCCTCCGCCCTCGCCGGTGGCCGCACCCTCTCCTCTGGCGCTGGTGCTTCTGGCTCTGCCACGGAGTCTTCGACCGGTGCCGAGGCCACCCAGTCGCCTGGCGGTGCTTCCGGTACTGCCTCTGGCTCTGGCGTTCCGCCCACTCCTACCGGCGGCGCCAACAACGCCGTCGGCCTTGTCAAGGGCATCGCCTATGGCGCCGCGGCCATGGCCATGGCTTTCGTCGTCTAAACCATCCTCTTCAGGTCCAGCAGGTGCTGGTGGGCTTTGACCGACGTTCAAAGCCCATCGTATAGGTGGACTTGCATCACGACGGAACGGCTGGGACTCTTTTCTTTCTTCTGTCAGGCATAGGATCGGATGGAGGCATAAAGGAGGGGCACTCGTACATGGTTTGCATCGCGGCATCTTGCATGAGAACGCCAAGGCATCGGCGTCTTAATACCCTTCTGTAGCTAGGTGCTGTCTTCGGCACACAATAAACGACTGGTAATGATTCAAAACGCGGGCCGTCGCTCCACCCTCGGTGATTGTATCGTGGTATCTAAATTCGCAGCGCATACAGAGTTTGGTGAAATGTTGCAGGACACGCTCTCAGCCACGCAACGCCATCGCCGCCATGCCATGTATGTATGTGCCTCGCCCCGTTACATCTACGCCGCTTTGTCGTGGCAGATGGGGCAGCCACTCTGGACCTTATCCTTCAGCAGCCGTGCTCTCATGACCTTCATCCCGACCGCGTATCTGCTCCTCTCTCCCTCGTCCGGCCCTAGGTCTACGTCCGGTTTCCTCTTGCCTTTGTGAAGCATCTCCAACAGATGGCTCACGTGGAACCCGTGACCGCAGGCAAAGCCCAGTAACGTTTCCATCTCATACTCCGTAAACAGCTCGTGGCAGCTTGCACAGCGTCCGGGCTGCGGCGCTTGAGGATCGGGCTCGGCTTTGCCCTCGTCGGCACCTTGCTGCGCTGGCCCTCCGCCCACACTGGAGGCTGCCTTACCTTCCAGCACCTTGAGATCGGGCAACACAACCTCAAACTTGATGCCCCTACGCTGTCCGGCGCGAAGCTCGTTCTGTGCAGAGGCGAGCTCGCTCCTCAATATGCGAGCCGCTCCAGAGCTGATGCTGTGCTGAAGTTCGTGCTCCTTCATCATGTGCGTGAGACCCTCCCTGAGACCCTTAATCTCAAGCCCCTCTGGTATGCGCCGGACCAACGTTATGGGGTTGATGGCTGTGCCGACTTGCTCGAGAAGGGCACGGATGAAGCTCGGCTTGTCCATGCTGTACTTGAGCAGATCCTCCCACAGATCCGGATCGTCCTGTTCCTTGGCAAACTCGATGGCTTTCTGGACGTTGTTTAAGCGGTCGATGATGAGGAACAGGGCTCGCTTCATCTGGCCCGTTTTGGAATAGAGGTACACCAATTCGTCGTAGTACTCAAACGTCTCACACTCTTGTACGGCCTGGGACATGTCAGCTCACGACGCCTTGGTTCCACGGTCTGTCGCAAAGTCTTACCTTTTCGAATGTGTACGATGTCGATGTCTTCAAGAAGCCCATCAGCAAGGCCCGTTCGTAAGTGGCGAACAAATGCACCGCCAAATCGGCAAAGTCGTCGACCAAGGACTGGCTGTCCAGGACCAGTCGGTCCATGTTCTCGCCGCTGTGTTCCTTGATGCCCTCGCCACGCCATAGCCCTTTGAGGTAAAAGTACAAGTACCGGTCCATGTGCTTCGCTTGTAGTTGCTCCACCACGACCTCTGGGCGCACAAGCCCGTGCTGTGCCTCGTCCACGAGGAGTGTAATCGCCTCCGACGTCGCGTCCACCAGCTCCTGCTCGGACATGTGGTCCACTCGATCTGGCGAGACCCTCAGACCAATAAAGCTGGGGATGTCGTCCGCGACTGCCTCGGCGAGGTGGCCTTCTCGAATAAGTCGGAACGCTGAGTCGGCATCGTGTAGCTTGATGTAGCATTTCAGGGCATCCCGGTTCCGCCCACTGGCCTCGTACAGGCGGGCAAGACTTTCCATGACGATGCGCCAGTCTCGACCCTTTTCGCCGTCCTCAACACTGTCCTCGCGAACATCACGGTATTTCAGCTGGTTCTCCAGCGTTGTGCTGACCGTATTGACGTCGAAGAGTTCGGTTGACCATCGATCGAGTAGCTCCCTGAACCTCGGCTTGTCGCCTTGCATGTAGTGGCCCAGAATCACCTCGTATATCGTTGATGGCAGGGGTGGGTGCATAGGCTCGCAGGGGATGGAGTTGGCGATGTCGTCAAACTTCTTGGCTCCAGCGAAAGTCCACACCCATTTCTCCCATCGATCGGGAGTCGTGAGGACCTTGCCGCACACCCGTCCTGCTTCCGCCCAGTCGCCTTCCTCGACGAGCTCCTGTATCCACAGCTCTCCTATTCTCCGCTTCTCCTTCTCGGCGGTAGACCATACGTTCCTTTGGTTGGATTCCGTGACAGAATCGTCATCAAAGAAGTCGTCGGTCCCAATACGCCGCTTCGAAGGTGTAGGCGGTGCCGCGTCCCCGGGCTTCTCTAGTGGCGTCGTCAGGATGTCTGGGTTCTCGTCGAGGAGCTCCCACGCCCGTTGATACTGCTCATGCTCCACCAACCACGACAGGTGGTCCGCCAAGTCTCTCTTGGTCCCGAGAATGCATTCGTAAGGGCTGTGGATGAAGATTTTTGCACCGGGCTTGGCCAGGTTTGGATGGACTGATGGAACTGCGTCCGTGCTTGGTCGTACTATCCCGCTGGTGCTTGCCGTCCTCGCTCCGGGGGTGGCATCGTCACCGCTGTCTCTGCTTCGTATGCTTGCACCCGAACTGAAGAGCGATCTCGGGTTGATTGCAGCATTCCATACCTCCGAGCCAAACCCAGCGAGTGCCTCCAAGGCGCCCCTCGAGGCGTTTGCCGAGGCTGCTGTGTGCGCTGGCAGGACCCCCAAGTGGTAGTCGGCTGCCGAGAGTCGCTCAAAGCGACTGATGTTGAGGCTGTTCCTGTCCACCTCTGCCTGAGAATTTAGGTCGATTAATCGGAGCTCCGGCGGTAGGTTATTCTGTCGCCGGCGAATCCCACCAGAAGGTCCACTGCCTGTCGACCCGATCGACGATCTTGATTTGTGGCCGCGAGCGGGCGGATGCGAACCTTCTTCGTCGTCTTCCTCGTCAGGTTTGCAGAATGCCAACACAAGCAGTAAACTTTGGGTATATAATGAAATTCCAGAAATGATGCAATCCATTCGAAGACTGGGGTTATGTCAGCAGAAGCTTCAAGGAGTTCCTGTCAAAGCGACGACTCACATTTTGGCAATCTCTGCTCGTCCTGCTGTCCTTTCGCCGGCTTGTTTACCAGTTCCCGGGCCCCCTGGATGGACGTGGATAAACCAAATGGAGCTACCCCAGCCAACGAGAAGACGCTCTATGCTTCTGTTGCCATTGGCGGCCTGCGCGTGTGGCTTGTTAATGGCGTCGGATTGATGAGACGGGGTTGTCTCGTCGGTCTCAACCGCCTTCTCATCTATCCACTCCACGCGACCACGCCACACGCCGGCCATCGTCTCCCACTCGGCCGTTTGGGGACGGTCCAAATGGCCGATGCGTTTCCACGCGTGGTCCGAGTCCGCACTCTCCAAGTGAGACTTGGACCGCATAAGTTTGATACCATGCTCCGTCAGCCAGACAACATACTTTCCTGAGAGCGACCATTTGATGCAGCTGATGGTCCCTTCACCCGAGTGAAGAACTGTGTCTTTACCGCTGTTGCTGCTGAGCCCCATACTGCCCAGCCAGCCAGACGCCGTGGCCGCAGCAGTCCCTGTGGTTGTCGACGTGCTCCGGCCAGGTCCTCCGCCAACGGTAAGTATGAGCTGACCGGCAAGGCCTCCCGAGAGATAAGTACGGTCCGTCTTGAAATCGGGGGACAGCGCCACGGCTTGGACCGGCCGGGCAAAGTTCCGTAGTTGGACATCCTTCAGGTCCAACAGAGACTGAACGCAGACATTGCCATCCATTGACGAGGTTGCTACGTATATGTCATTGGATGGAATCCTTGGCAGCGGTATGGGTTCTTTCGGTCGACGCGACGCTGCGGCCGGGGACGCTGCCGCATCTGATTGCCGCGAAGCCGGTCGTCCTTGGGAGGCGGGTGGTCGGATAGCAGAGTCGGTCTTGTCGTTGGACAGCGGCGGCGGGTATGGAGAGATGGATATGCTGGTGACCGAGGCGGAGTGCGCGTGGTAGACTCGAAGGGGCTGGAAGATGGGCAGCTGGAGGACATGCTACAGATATGTTAGTTCGTCCGGTCAAGTGTGAACGAATTACTGACAATGTTGCCGTTGTGCGTTCCAACGATCTGGTTAGAGGACGGTTAGCATGGCACAGGCGAGGACGGTGGCTACGGTCTTGATACCATTTTGTCGCCTGCGACGAGAAAGGCGCTTGTCGCATCGCCGTTGCGATACACAGCTCGCAGATGCTGGGTCAGTGGCGCGTACTTCAGCCGTGGCTCCTCTTCTTCCTCCTCCTCTTCGTCTTCGTCGTCATCGTCCTCCTCAACACCGTCATCATCCTCCTCATCATCGTCTTCTTCCTCGTTGCTTATGTCCTCGCCCTCATCGTCATCTGAGAACTGCGAATCCGACTTGCGGCGATCGCTAGGCGCTGTCTCGGCCTTCGCTGTCTCCGCCGACGGCTTGGTGGCCAGGTCGTTTCCCTTGCGCGCCTCGTAATGGCCGTTGCTGCTTGGTTGCACATCGTCGTCTTGCCTCGGCTGAGGCGGCTGGTCCGTCATTGCGGCGACCGCTCGAGCTCATGCCGGGGCGTTGCGCGGCCCTTGGCATGCAAGTGGAACTCAGGGCGGAACGGCGCGGCCGTCTTCGCAGCACATGGAAAGCTTGCGGGCCGCTGGGCGGTCGTCGTCGTCGGGGCCGCGCGGGTTGAGGATGAAGAGGGTGGAGGAAGCTGCCCGGGCTTCATCTCGCGGCAAGGCAGCACCTGTTAGTCGCTCCGGCCGCCGTACCTTGCAGCGCCTCAGCGCAGCTCATGCCCAGTACGTCACGGCCTGGTGACCTGTGCTAAACTGAGGGGAGCTTAGGTCACTGAGCACGCCCTATTCCGAAAGAAGCAACCACCTGTAACCCCACCAAGGCGCACCTCCACTGCCGCCATTTGCATCGGACCTTCAACGTCCGCTAACAGAGGCGCGTCGACACGCGACTGTTGCTTCCCGGCGTCCAGGCTTCCTCCCGCCGCCGCCTCGACGACCGATCAGCAATTCCACGAGTGGTCCGTCACCATCTTCCACAGCATTGGCGCCAAATACGAGCCAGCCACGACCCGAGCGACACAACCGGTGGCCCATGGCGCTCTCTAAACAATGGCGACGGTCAAGTCCCTGGGGCTGCACAAGCCAGCCGGGCTTCACCATGCGGTCCAGGAAAATCTGATACAACCAGACGCCCCAGCGTCTTCGTACGTCTGGGACGTTACGGTGGGCGAAGACGAGAACGAAGACGAGCTGCTGACCACGAAAAACTCCGTCGTCTGGTGCCGCGGGCGCATCTTTCGAAAGGCCTTCAAGTTCGACCTCGAGAAGGAACCCGTCACGCAGGCTCTCCTCGCTTATTTTCCCTCGTCCGAAGCGAACAAAACCAAACGCGATGCGTCCAAGAAGGCACAGGATGTTGCCCTTACCCTCGAAAAAGCCCTGGTAGTCTTCCTCAAGACGCAGGCTCACATCTACTTTCTGTCTGGGACGAGCCACATCGTCCATATGCCCTTCGAGGTCGAGTCTGCCGTTGCCGGGCCAGTCGGCGTCGTCATACAGCGAAAGGCAAAGGCCGAAAGCACGGCTCCCGTGTCTCTAAAGTTTCCTCGCGCGCCGCCGAGCTCGTTCGTGTCATCCCAGATCACGGCGTTCAACAGCTCTCAACAAACGACTTTCTCCGTAGAGGGGCTTGGAAATCCAAAGGCCCTCCATCTCAGTCTGCGCTCGACGCTGGAGAACATGTGGGATGCTCCTATGGAGCAGCCAGAGTCTCACTGGCCGCGGCTCCTGTCTCTGACCGACCCCTTGGCGGAGATTGGCCTGGTAGTCACGGATCCCGAGTCTCAGGCCCCTCGAACAACAAGACGGGCGACGGCGGGGAAGCCTGTCTTCCTGGACCCAGCAGAGGAGATACTGCATATAGAGCAAATCGACCTACCTGTGGCGTCTGCTAAGAGGCTACGCGATCCCCTCGTCCTCGGCGTCTCCATCAATCGAGAAACCAGCTCGTACAGCGTGTGGCGCATGACGTATCTTCGGCACGAAGACCAGTTCATCGGGCAGAACAAAAAGACAAAGAAGCAAAACGGTCGTCGTCGAAGCTCAATGCAGCCTGGGTTCGCGAGCGGCACGTCGACGCCAGTCCAGCAGAATTTCCGGGAAAGCTTTGGTGCACCGCTACCCGGAAAGCGGCAACGAAAGAGCGAGAAGCTTGAGAAGCCGCTCGATCTGGTAACGTCACTCGAGCAGCAAGATACGGAGGGCCCTGGGGTTGCTCGGCGTAGCTCTCGCCGACTAAGCTCAATGCTTGCTCGAGCAGATCTCTCAGCATCTCACGAGCGATCCGTCTTTGCCGACCAGCCGCTTGTGCCCAACACTGGGGTCTCCAAACGGCACGAGCATGGACGGTCAAGCTCCAGCTTCCAACATCCGGTTCGTCCGAGTCTTGGTAGCCTGCTCGAGGCACCCATCGATGCTGGGCTCGACGAAGGCCTACACAACATGGGACTAGACGATCACGATTTCGATGGTTTGCAGCGTGAAATTCTCTTCACCCGAATCCACACGATATCGCTGGACAACACTCATCTTCGGTACTCAGCATCGACAAGGCCAGCTCGTGACCAATCCAAGGTCTTCATTCTTACAGCCCCAGCATTTGCCATCGACGACCAGCAGCGCACGCAGCTTCTCATTGCCATTCAAGACTCATTTGAGAGACGCCTGCAGCTGATAACGCTACATGTCAAAGTGCAAGACAAGTTTGGCCAGGCAGCCACATCCATCGTACCCAGGGAGCAGTGGAAAGTTCAGAACGTGGTGGACTCGTCGAAACTTGTCGACGGGGACCTGTCGGTCATCTTAGTCCTTTCCGAAGCCATGGATGGGCGCCACGAATTGAGCACTCAGGCCCCGTGGATAGAACTGACCAAAGTTTCTCTGTCGTTGCTCTTCGTGGACGATACGAGGGACCTGCAATACCGAGGCCGCGCGCCTGATCGAGACGTCAAGCACAGGAAGTCCGAGGTCATCGATCTGAGCAACGGCGGCATCACCGGCATTCGCTTTCCGCGAAAGAATGGCCTCGTCGACGTAGCGGACGCGGACGGTCGCCTTCACCAGCTGAAAATTCAACTGCAACCTTCTTGTCCCCAAGTCCGAAGAGCCTTGGAAATTTGCAGGAGCGTGCTACCGGATTCACTTGGCGGGCGAGTTCATGCCGGATGGCTACACGCCGTGCAGTGGCTGAACTCTCAGGGCGAATCTGTTGTTAACGTGGAATGGTCCGCATTAGCTGTTCTACTCTTTGCCTCGTTTCTGAACCTTGGCAGATCGGACGCCAAGCCAACACCAGCAGCTCGCCTGCCAGTGCGCCGCAAGAGGCCCCCATCGGGCTCGATCGGCTCCATAAAGGAATCCGAGGATTGGCGGGCGTTGGAGATGTCTGAAACTACAAACGCACTTGGCTGTCCAGTCTGGATGCTGAACAAGGGCTGGCAGTGGGCTCTCGACGAGGACGAAGAGCCTGCGTCGTTGTCTCTTCAGAGTGAGCATGGTACTTCTCAGAAGTTTGTTTCAAGACATATTGCTCTAGCGAGGGAGTACATGGCTTCGCCACTGGGCGAAGCAGCCCTTGGTGCGTCTGGGTACCTGCCCACAGCGCTTGGGCGGAACACAGACGCACGCCGCAAGGTTGCCGTTGACATCTTTATGGCACTACACCTCCTGCTGGAGGAACAAAAGCTGGACATTACCACGCCAGAGTACGTTTCGCCCGGAAGGGCGGACTTGAGGGTATTGTTGTGTCAGATTGCCAGATGGCTGAAGTGGCACGGTTTCTGGTCCATTTATGAGCTCGGTATCCAGGAGGATGTCGATTCGCGCCACGACACTGGTAGGTTTCAATTCCAGCATCCCGTGTTGCAGCTTGCTAACTTATGGCAGAGCTGAATTTGAAGTCCCCGATTCCTCAACCTCCAGTCGTGCCGGATGTCCTCGAATGGATCCAGTCGCGCCTTGTTGGTTTGCGAGGAAAACCATGTTTGACACCTGCAGACATATACTTTGCCAGCTCCCGGCTTTCTGAGGCCGAAAAGTTGGAGGACAGTAGATGGGATTTGATCACCCCTCGTACTCTCATGATGAAGCGATTCTTCAAGATCATCAAGCCAAAGTCGACAGCCGTCCAGATGGTGGAAGCAATGCGAGATTGTGGGTTCACGAGTCTTGTCTTGGAAACCCTTCCGGAGGCCGTGTTGGCGCCTCTACTGGATGCGATATCTCTCTGTCAGCCCCATCCACCCTCGCAATGGTCGCATGAGCTCCTGGAACTGGTCAACCGTAGCGACATCAGCCTTATCTTATCCTCGGAGAAGCGGCCGCGCTTGGCAACGTCAAGCATCCTGGTAAGGACTCTCTTCGTGTCAATGGGAACAATACTAAAGCTCCGAATAGGCCCCGACGCACGTCGCTTCTTGGGACTTTCGGCTTCTTTGCCAGAGCGTGGAGGAGACGAATAGCCTGGGATACGACGAGGGCGACGGCACCGAACGACAGGCCGTCATCAGGGCACTGTTCAAAGACGATCGCCGTCTCAATGAAGCCCAAGATCTGCTCTCAACTCACAAGGCCAGGGTCGTCCGCCTGGACCCGAACCCAAGCTGGCCCGAAAGCGAGTATCTTGAGAAGCAAAAGGAGCTCGTCTCACGGATTGCTACGGGCACGTTGGCGATTCCAGCCGGACGTGCATTGCTATACTTCAGCCTACGATACCCACTCATCACGCAAAAGTTTCACATCGGCGGCTTCAACCTCAACTGCGTTGTCAAACCGGCCAATGTCACTGTCGGTGTTGACAAGGCCTTGTTCACGGAAGAAAAGGTCTGCTGGGGCTTCTTCCACCAGGGCGTTGCGGCAGGATTGGCCATCTCTCCGCAAGCCAAGGGTATCGATACATCTTGGATCCTATACAACAAGCCGGGCCAGGAACTGAGCAACCGCCACGCAGGCTTCCTCCTTGCCCTCGGTCTCAACGGGCATCTCAAGGGGGTCGCGAAGTGGGTTGCCTTCAAGTACCTAACGCCGAAGCACACCATGACCTCCATCGGGTTGCTTTTGGGCCTCGCGGCGTCTTACATGGGAACCATGGACTCCCTCATCACACGACTCCTCTCCGTGCATGCCACACGCATGCTCCCTCGCGGTGCAGCAGAGCTCAATCTCTCGCCTCTCACTCAGACATCGGGCATCATGGGTATCGGGCTGCTGTACTGCAACAGTCAGCACCGGCGTATGAGCGAGATCATGCTGTCTGAAATCGAGCATGTTGATGACGAGGATGAGGAGGAGCCGCTGCGAAGCGAATGTTACCGCCTGGCCGCAGGGTTCGCCCTGGGTCTGATCAACCTCGGCAAAGGCAACGATCTCAAAGGATTGCACGACATGAGGCTTACCGAAAAACTGGTTGCGCACGCTACCGCAACAAAGAACGTCGATATCGTTCACATCCTGGACCGAGCCGCAGCGGGTGCTGTCATGGCTATTGCCCTCATATTCATGAAGTCGGAGGACCAAATCGTGGCTCGCAAGATCGACGTGCCTGATTCCGTCCTCCAGTTTGACTACATCCGCCCAGACATTCTCCTGCTGCGGACTGTCACCAAAAATCTCATTCTATGGTCCAAGATTGAGCCAACGTTTGCTTGGGTCCATAACAACCTGCCCGCTGCTTACCGTCACAGGCATAAGCTCATGGGCATTACGAAGCTGCGGTCCATCGACCTGTCCTTTTACAGCATCCTGACTGGGCTGTGTCTTTCGGTTGCCCTGCGCTTCTCAGGCAGTGCGTCAACCAAAGTGCGGGATCTTCTCTTGCATTATCTCGATCAGTTCATGCGCATATCGAGGATACCCGCTACTCCTCGCGAGCATCCCGATGCCGCTCCGCGTTATGATGAGGAACTTGCGCGATCAAATGCCCGGATGTGTCAAGACATCGTTGCGCTTTCCTGCTCGATAGTCATGGCGGGCACGGGCGACATCCCCGTTCTCCGCCGACTACGTGCACTCCATGGCCGAGACGATCCCGACACGCCATACGGATCCCATCTCGCGGCTCATTTGGCCATCGGCTCGCTATTCCTCGGATGCGGCACGGCAACCTTTGGATCTAGCAACAAAGCAATCGCCGCTCTCCTCATCGCATTTTATCCCGTCTTCCCCACGACCGTCATGGACAACCGCGCACACCTCCAGGCATTCCGATACTTTTGGGTGCTGGCGGCAGAGCAGCGCTGTCTCGTCGCCAAGGACAGTATTACAGGACAACCGGTGTCCGTCTCGGTGCAGATCAAGATGAAAGACAGTTCCTCGTGCGAACATGTTCAAAGAACAACTCCTTGCCTGCTACCTCCGCTTGATGAGATTGCTAGCCTATCAACCTCATGCGGACCTCAGTACTGGGACGTCGAGCTCGACTTCTCCAACGAGGATGTCAAGCGGGCTTTCACCGAGTCGCAGAGTCTGTACCTGCAGCGCCGACCTCCTCGCGAAGGCGAGTTCACATCCACCTTGCGAGAACTGGGCAAGGACACTAGAGGCGAGAATCCGTTCGAGTGGCTGTTCAACCTGGAGCCGCTGCAGGACGTGACGCATGCCGAGAAGGCGTCCCTGCTGGAGGCCACCAACCGCCAAGCAGAGGTTGGCTCCGCCCTAGATGCCCGCCTGGAGCTCGAGCGCGGCATCTCCGAGGGCGGCGACAGGGAGCGCCTCGAGGGCGCGAGACTCCTCTTCGAATGGGGCGCCACTCGCGACCGCCTGTTGAAGACCGATCACCCACCGTCAGCGTCACAAGGAGCTGCTCATTCTCAGTCCTTTGGCACCGCCGACAGCCAGTCCACCATAAGGCCACCGCCGGCCGAGGGCAGCTCCTCCCACCGCGAGAACTCTCCTCCGGACACGCCGCCGACGCCGCGGGCGAGCGAAGACGTGTGGTGGATGCGGGACAGCGCCATCGAGGCCCTCAAGGGAAAGGTGTGGCTGGCCGCGCAGGAGGGGTCTGAGTCGTAGAATGCCTGTGTGTCTGCTACGGATAGTGTGTAGCGAGGTCGGGCTGGGCCTTGGAGGGCTTGGCACAGGCGGCAGGAGGCTACGAGGGGTGATGTCCATGCGTCCTGTGGAAAGCCGGCAGATGAATCATGACTTGACGTTACCAAGGCAAGACTAAATAATCACGGGGAAGATATAGATCTACTGCACGTTTGTTACGTATCAGCTTGTCCCGCCACCAGCCCTGCCTGACCCTGAAGCATACCACCTACAGCTTAGTGAAGGCCTCTCAGACCGTGGTTTCAAGTTCCCCGAATGTGTGTCTGCCTTCAATAACTTTTTTTTTCTTTTCAAAAAGAAGAGACATGTCTTCACTCGGTAGCTTTCAAGAACAGATATTCATCTTTTATAAGATCATTCGATTCATCCGCTGCCTCTGCAACGCCAACAAGGCAACAGAAGTGCGTTTTCCCGCGATATCTATGCCTGTTTTCTCCCCCCGTGTCTTCCCTCCCCCCTTGCCTCCCCAACTCATAAAACCCTCCCCTCCCGGATTCCCGAACAGAGACTTAAAAAACGCCATGCAATGCAAACCGCATCACCAGAGACTAAAAAAACGGGGATGGGCAGCGGGGGAGGGAAGGGGGGAGGCATAGCCACAACAGCACTAGATATCTAGACCATCCTTGGCCAGACCGCGGACCAAGAACCGTGTCCCATGCGTTTCCTCATGAGCGCGGCTTTTCAACAGCCCAAAGATAACAGACAGGTCTTCTTTCTCTTTCTGTCTTGCGAGGCGCTTCGCTCTTGTTCGTTTTCCCATGTCCCGCGACTCACCGAGTCGTCGGCAACCTCTATAGCCCGCCCACTCCAAGGTACAGTGGCGGGCGAAAAGAGTTTCCATATTCCTCCCCACGACGGTAGCCGCCGAGCCTCATCAAGACCACGAGCAGCACCCGCGGGGAGCGCGTCACGTCGTCATGTCCTCGCAGCGTCTGGCGCGCGCAGCTTACTTCGACACAGCGGCGTTCAGGACCTGTGTCCTGAAGAAGCCGCCCTTGGTCTTCTCGATGACCTGCTGGTAGACGTTGTTGGGCGGGTGGTTCATGATGACGGTGCCGTCCTTGCTGTCGATCTTGGCGTCCAGTCTCGTCTCGCGGATCAGGTTGACAATCCACTTCTCGCCCTCGTCGGGGTTCAGGCCGAGCTTGCCGCTCAGGTCGCGGATGTTCATGCGGCTAAAGATCTTGCAGTAGCTCTCACAGATGAGGTGGCGGGCGGCGGAGACAAAGGCATCGGCCGACGAGGCGAGGAAGAAATCGCTGCGGCAGACCTCCTCCGCCTCGCGGAGGGCATCGCGGGCGGCGTCGAAGTCGTGGGCGATGTACAGCGCGTGGATGAACTGCGTGATGGGGTCGACGTACTCGTACGCCTCCTGGCGGACGTAGCGGACGACGTCCTTGAGCTGCTTCTGCTGGATGGAGCTGTTGCGGGCACGCGTGCGGCCGGTGATAACGGCGGCGATCAGGTACCGCAGGACCCAGGGGCACGAGGTCTGGATGGTGTTGATGTAGGCGGCGGAGAAGAACATGTCCAGGATGGGCTCGCGGGCGCCGTCCCAGTTGAACAGGGGGAAGAGGGACCAGTGGATGAGCATGGTCCGGTGGTCGAGCTGCGCGCGGGGGTTGTTGAAGAGCTTGGTGTCGATACCTTCCCTGACATTCTTCAGCTCGTCCACGGCGGACTCCCAGTTGGTCGACAGGATCTCGGACGCGAGCTTTCCCCAGGTCGAGGCGGAGACCTTGTCGTTGTCGGTGGACAGGACACGGAACTGGTAGAGCATGTCGGCGGCCGGGCCGTACTGCCCGCATCGGAACTGGAACTGCCCAAAGTCGTACAGGGCGTTGACCATTTCCATCGTGACCTGTCGTCGCGATCCCGTCAGCACTTGAACACTCCCTTCGCGCGTCCCATCATCGCCCCACTTACCCCATGCTGGTTCTTCAAGAACTCCAAGTTGGCGACCTTGTCACTCCGGAGGCCGTTGACGACCTCGTCCTGCGTCAGGAGATCGGCAATCTTGGCCGTCGCCTGCTCGTACTTCTCCAGCTGCGCCAGAACCTCTTGTCGCTTCTTCGTGTACTCGGCCGGGGGGTCGGCAACGCCGTGCAGGTCGCAGTACAGGGTCGCGACGTAGTCGGTCATGTTGGTGTCCTCGAGCAGCTTAATCTTGCCGGACACAATCTTCTTTGCCTTCTCGTCCTCGCCCTTCTCCTCCGCCTTGTCGCCCTCGAACTGGATCAACGGGAACAGCAGGTGACGGCTGAGGTGAGGCGCCAGCAGGGGCATGATCGACGAAACATCGGCCGAGACGGCCTTGAGAACATCCTCCATGATGGGCGGTTTGAGGCTGGAGCGGGAGCGACGGGTTCGATGGGATGCGCGTGGTCTCGCCGAACGGGGGGTTGGTGCCGGGAGGGTGGTTCGCTCGTCGCAAAGGTGGAAAGGACGCTGCAAAACCGTACCGTTGCAAATGGAGGGGCAGATTTTTGGTGAATTTCGCCAATGCCACAAAGTGCTGTGGGGGTTTGGCGACGCGCCGGGGATTTGCCGGCACTTGCGTGGTGGGCGGTCATGTGATCTGTAGTTTTTCTGAGGAGCTCCTCCAGATGCATTGACGATTTGAGGTGGAAGCTCGCGACGCGGACCATGAAAGGCTGATACAGAAGTCTTCGCAATTGCTGGCTCAATCGAGGTTCGGTTCATCTTCGTCGAGATTCTCCGGGCGGTCTCTCCACAAACACCCCATACAGGAACCGGCCAAAGTTATTTACACCAGCAGCTTTCCGACGCATCTGCCGTCGACATCACGAGACAGGCACAATGAACCAATTCCTCCCGCGAGCCGTCTTACGGGGGCGCACAATTGCCCTCCGCTCCGCTTGTCTCCAGCGCGCCCAGCCGATCTCCTCCCGGCTCTCCACGATCACACAAACCGCAGCCTTCTCGCAAGCCACGACGAGCTCAAGTCGAACACACAGCCAGCCTCCCGTCCCTCCGCCGTCCAAGTCACCAGCGGAGCTCGCGACTCTGCCCTATGTCGTCAGACGGACACCGTCCGCCCAGCTTCCGATCTATAGGCGCACCATGTCCGGTGGTACGCGACAAGTTGCGCTGATAAAGAAAGTTGATGGCGATCGGAGGAAGTTGCTGGACGACATCGTCGGGGCGCTGCAGATTCCCAAGGAGGAGATCAGAATCAACCCCACAACACAACACATAGAAATGAAGGTAAGGCTCGCGGGTACGGTTCCAGATACCATCACTTTGCTAACGTGCTACTCAAGGGCGTTCACTACGACTCGGCGCGGACGTGGCTGCTAGAGCAGGGATTCTAAGGCATGGGCAAGGCGCGGCATCCAATGTGACCGCCATTGTACAATTTGCGATGCTTGCGAGCAAAGACGAGTGTATAGTACAGCGTGAATCATGTTGACGACAATAATCAAGTGTACATTATCAGAAAAGACTTGAAGCAGGAGCTCACCATTACTCGTGGTATCAGTGTATCTCACATTCCTGCACCTATTTACACCAGCTTGTACGCCACGGAACCCCCACTATTCCTATCTCCAAACAAAACGAGCTGGAATTTCCATGCAACTCTAACTGTGCGCCGTCATCTGATGTGCCAAAACCCAAGTTGGAAACAGCCGGATGCACCCGGGGGCATCCACTCCGCGCTTCGCAGTCGCCACGATCGCCGTATCCAAGAAATATACCGCTCCAGGAAACTATCAATAGACGCCTAATCATTTTCCGCCGAGCCCCTGATGTTACATGTTGTAGATGGCCGTCAGCTGCGGGAGCATGCCCTCCTTTGTCCACTCCGGTGCTTGCATCGTCAAGGCGTTCATGAGCAGTTGGGATTGCGGGAGTAAGTCGCTCGGGACAGACGAGCTGCGGTTCTGAGGATCCCGAGCCTTCTCTACCAGCCTCCTGAGCAGGGCGACAGCCACGACAACAATATACACAAGCTCGGGGTCTTTTCTGGGAGGCGGAGCGCGATTCGCGCCCCTGGCGGCCGGCGGGGGCGGTGGTGGCGGTTTTTCGTACAACATGCCGAGGTCCTGAACCAGCCGGTAGATGTTCTGAGCGAGCTGATTTTCTGACGTGAGCCAGCTCCTCGCGACGCCAGCCTCGGGTCCTGGTGCTAGTGACGCTAGAATCTCCGCAGATAGCAACCCTTGCATCAGGAATGGCTTTCGCGTCTCGATGAGTGAAGGGAGGGCGGGGTTCCGATTCTGCTCCTTCGTCTTGTCGGGCAACGGCGAGATGGCCAGAGCAAATGTTCGAGTTAGCAGCTCGTATGCCCCAGCGTTGTTTGCATCCGTCGAGAACAGCTGCTTGTAGTAGCCCCGATTTGGCTCGTCTCGTGCCAGCAGTTTAGCGAGCGCGTCGACGGAGTGAGGGGCGTAGGAGTGGAGGCTGGGTTCGTAAGTCGGGAAGTGGAGGGCCTTGTTGGTGGTAGTAGGGCCAGGTGTCGGAGCAAAAGAGAGCAAGAACTGGAGAAGGCACAGTGCCTGTTCCCGCCCGGGTATCTCTATCGAGCCTGCAACGTTGGAGAGCAGAACGACCACGTCCTTCATGAAGTCCAGGGTGTTGCTGTGGGTGCGCAGCAGCATCGTGCGGGTGCCGAGGTATCGAATAACGACGCAGAGCATCTTGATGACTGATTCGTCTGCGAGGAAGTTGTGGTTGTCATTTTGTTCGCCAGGGAAGGAGACGTTGCGCAGGATTGTGGTGATGCAAATGAGCCTGTCGACGGCACGGTCCAGCTGGTACTCGGTCGAACCAAACACCGGAACGTCCCTCACTGCCCATCGCTCCACCCTGCAAGCCCTGACCACCTCCTCGTAAGGCGTGAGCTGGATTTCGTCGCAAACCTCCACCGTGTGCTCGGCCAGCAGGTCCAGCTGCTCTTCTGCACAGTCGACCAGAGCATCGACCAGATCCTCACAGTAGCGTAGTTGCATGAAGTGCATCTGCCCTGGTGATGCCGACACGGTGGCAAGAGTGTCGAGAGCCAAGCGCACTTCTCCGTGAATACCACTTTGGAGACTCCTCGTAAGAGCGTGGATATCAATGTTGCCGAGATCGTTGACTGAAGGCACGGATGGCTCCCACCTCTCCAGCTCAGCTCCCAGCGAGCTCGCAGCATGGAGGTCGACACCGCCGTATGTCGACAGCTCCCGCGCACAGGGGCTGTACTCGTCAGACTTTGGGGGTAGGCGTGGCATGGTCGGATCGGTGGCGGTCGCTGTCATGGGAGCAGGGTGTCGTGGGTCGCCCGGCGTCATGGACATGCTGCCAGGCCGTTGATGAGCAGGGGATTGCATCGAGAAGTCGTTCGGAACAGAGGCATGTGACAAGCTGTTGCGGTTGTGGCCGGGAACAGTCGGCGGCGGCGGCTGCTGCTGCGCCTGCGGCGTGGAAAAACCATTGACAGGAGGCTGTCCGGCCTTCACTGGCGTCTGCTGCTGTGGTTGAGGCGGTTGTTGTCCAGGCGGCATTTGTCCTTGGCTCATTTGCTGGCCAGGCTGCATCTGCTTCTGCGGTGTGCCTTGGTTCGCCATGCCGACGTTCTGTTGCATCATCCTCTGCTTCTGCTGTGCCATCCAAACTTCCTCGAATTTTGACAGGTTCCTCTCGTACACCTGTTTCAACGTCGGCGCAACGGTCGGGATCTGCGCCGGCAATCCGAGAGCATGGGCAATATGAACCCAGCCATTCGCCGCCGTCACGTTCTTGAAGCCACCCTTAGATTGTACCACCTGGAACAACATGACGAGGTTGACCGGCCGGTCACCAACAATTGGATTCGGGTCGAGTGGAAGGCCCTTGGCATTCATCAACGTGGTGAGATTCTTCATGAACTGCTCCGGGTTGATGTTGGCCATTGGCCGAGGTTGCTGTCGCATGGCGCCTTGAGGTACCTGGCCATTAGCCACACCTTGCATCTGCTGCTTTGGCATCATTCCTCGGCCCATGTTTTGGGCCTGCATCTGCGCCTGCATCTGCATGTTTCCCTGGAGCTGCTGTTGAAGGCGCATCTGATAGGCGGCCATCTTCTGCTGGTCCGACATGTTCTGCGGCCGATGTTGCGGCGGCACCTGTCCCTGCTGTGGTTGCTGGCCGTGTTGGGCGTGTTGCTGTTGCTGCTGCTGTTGGTGGTGATGTTGCTGCTGCTGTTGCTGCATCTGCTGCTGCATCTGCTGGTACATCTGGGGAGTCATTTGGCCCATGTGCTGGGGCATCTGGCCCATCTGCCGACCCATCTGCTGGCCCATGTGCGGGCCAACTTGCTGGCCCATCTGCTGCGCCATCATCATGTCGGCAGTCATCGCGTTAGGGTTGGGCGACGGACGCGGATTTGATGGCGACGGTGCGAAACCAGGGTTGTATCCCTGCGGCATGTTTTGCATGTACGCGTTCGGCTGCGGAGTGCCATGCTCTGAGGGTATGGGCGACGCCTGGGAGCCACCGCCGAACTGCTGGGCGCCGGGCGAGAATGGGTGGGGAGACGCGGTCGCTACTCGCTGAGGCACATTGCCCGGTCGCATTTGGTTTCCCATGATGGGCGAGGGACTCGCGTTCGCGGAGCCGTTCGGCTGGAGGTGCGGAAACTGTCCCGCAGTTTGTTGCGGCGCCATGGAAACGCCAGCCTGGAAGCCAGGAAAGTTTTGCTGCTGAGGCGTTTCGGAACGCGACGGCGGCTGCATCCCAGGGTTCTGCCGGGGGGAGCCCGTGATGCTGTCTTCGCGCGGTCGGGGTCGCTTGGATGGAATGACCGAGTTTGGTTGATAAACGTGATTCGGGTTCGGCTGGTTCTGCGGCTGCTGGTTCTGGCCCTGGTAGGCGCCGGTCGGGGAGGCGTGGCGCATCGGACCGTTTTGCATCGCCGCCATCTGTTGCTGGTTCGCGAATTGGTTAGGGTTGAATTGGGCCTGGTTGGCCATGAAGGCAGACGGATCCATCATGGCACCAGCGGCGTTTGGGTCGTTCATGTGCGGGAAGCCGTTGTTGCCATTGTGGTTGGGGGCGGCGTCGTTCATCCAGGCGCTCATGGCGACGAGCCGGCAGGCTGTGCGCGACGGGAGTCAGCAAGCGGCAGTCAGAAGGCCGACGTCCCATTGAAGGGCGCAGGGATGGAAGGATGATGGGGCCGTGACACGGCGCGAAGGGTGGTGATGGATGGACAGAACGATCAGAGAGAGCCGAGTCGCGTCGCGGGTTGGTGGAGGAGTGTGTGCGTTTGGGTGTGTGCTGGGTGGTCTGGGTGGGAAAACGGGCGACCAGGCGGGCGACGAGTGAGCCGGCGCAGGGCCTGGCCGGGACAAAAGGTGCTGAGCCCAGCAGCACAGGGGACGGGGGGGGCGCGATGAGGTGGAGNCGATGAGGTGGAGGCAGCGCCGGGCAGGGAGGGGCCACCGCCGGCGCGCGTTGAGTCGCTGAGAGCAGCAGCGCGGCGGCTGGGGGGGCAGCCCAGAACGGGGACCGCCTGGCGAGCCACTGGGCCCGACGGCTGGAGCGCACGCGCAGGGGAGGCGGACAGGTAGGTAGGCGGGCAGCCTGGGCTACCAAGGTAAGGTAGGTAGGGTGGTGGAGCGGCGCGACGGGCAGACTGGGAATGGGCAGACGGCAAGGAAGGTCGGGTACATGCGAGGACGAGCAACAGAGAGAGACTTGGACGTACCATGCAGAACGGCAGCGCCTCGGCCGGTGCAAGACGGTGCGCTTCCGGGACGAATGAGCCGTGTCGAGGTAGGACTTGCGAGGACTCGCGACACCAGTCATGGACGGCCAGCTGGTCCGCCAGGCGCCGTCAACTCAAGCGGGCAAGCACGCGAGGGAGGCTCAGGGGTGGAGTCGGAAGCGGCCAGGCCGTGATGCCAACTGGACAGCGCGGCGCGAAAACCCGCAGGCGCGCTGAAGCAACGGGCGGGATGGCGTGGAGGGAGAAAATTTTCGTACCGGCCCGGCAGTGTCCAGGCCGCCTCGCCAGCCGCAACAATGCCCAAGACGTTAGAGAGCCACAAGGGATGGGGGTCGCGGGTCGCGGGTCGCCTCGTGACGCCTGAGCAAGAAATAACTCTCGGTTCTGCGGCCAGGGGGTACCGGCAACGGGTACGGTTCGGCTGCGGCGAGTTGCGGTGCGTGGAAGCGAGGCGGAGGGAGGGAATGGCGACGCCAGCCTGGCTGATGGTCTTACCTAAGGCCACGCCGCGTGCGATGCTCCTGAAATTGGCCCCATGCGCCGCGCTAGGCCGCTTCCGGCTTACTGCCGAGAGAAGCTCCGCTTGGCACGTTGCCGCGTGTCCAATCAGCGCAGCGGATAGGACCCTGCTAGTGCCAGGCTGTCTCACGCTAGGTGAATGGCAGAAGTCGAACGCAAACCCCTAGCAGATCGGGCTCCGCCAACTACCATCCGCCTAACAGCCCGGCTCAGGCGTGCCAGGATGGCTGCGTTCCGACCATCTCACAACTCCAAACTGCTTAACTGAACCGCTGCAGCGGGCGTAGAGACAGCTTGTCGCCAGCAACAGGGTGGTGTCCTTGTCGAGTAACAGCCCCAAGCGACTGATGGCCCAGATTCCTTCATGCAAAGTCGACGGGCCGCGACCCGGGGTTTCGTCGTCTGCGCGCTGGCGATGTTCAATCGTAAGACCGGTGCTCACCGCCGTTCGCTGGCCTCATTCGCAATCTGCCTCTCAGGAGGTCAACACTGGAAGCGCCGTTTCGCGAATTGCAATGTCACTTTGTCGTCGCCGTCGTCAACTCTGTCGTCCTTGGGTCGTTCGACCCTCAGCGAGAGACTTGGCGTCGGTTCACACAAGTCAGTGCTGGCTGGAGGCAGACCCGTTCGGCGCATATCCGGCCGTGCGCGGACACGACACATGGCTCGTCGCGTTGTGACCACCAACTTGGCCGATAGGAGATGCTGTCGACAATGGAATGGCTTCATGTGATGCCTGCCCAGAGTGAAAAGATCCAGTCTCGTGCGACGTGACGCCAATTGCAGATCCCGAACATCGACAAACGAGTTGCAGCCGCCTGACAAGACAGGTTGGCAGCGCCGCAAGGACCGGCCCGAACTGCTGCAGCTTCATGCCTCGACGGCCTCGCCTGCCCTCGGAGTCGTGATGTCGGAGCTGCAGCACCCCGGCCAAAAGGCAATTGTCGTGGTCTGGTCAGTCCTTGGCGAGCTTGATCCCCCACGGCGGAGTCGCAGCGCCGTGTCGTGTCCCGGCAGGTCGTCCGTCGCTGCGAGCAGGCACGGGGCATGCGAGCATGTCGTGGAAGCTCGCCGACGAGGCAATGGCCCGATGCCCGCACCACATCGTTGCTTTCTTGTTTCCCATCCATCCATCCATCCCTCCCTTTCGTCGAACAAGATTTGGGTGTCGGCCTGACACGTCCTCCCGCCTGCATGGGCAACAGGATGGCGCTCCACGGCAGCCCCACCACAGGCACACGGCGAATGGGGCGGCATGCCACCACCAGCCCAGGCGGGTGGACGGCCAGGACCACCCACCCTCATCCGCATTCGCGGCGGCAGATCGTCTCGGAGCGATGGCGCGATGAATCGGATGGGATGGGCGGCCGGCCGACAATGGCCTCGATGTTTTTTTGTTGTGCGTCGTCGCTGCTGAGGCGCCGCCTGCCATGGCGCAAAGCTTGTGGCCCGGGCTGAGCCTGCCGACGTCCTCGTCGTCACTGATGACTGGCAGGCCGGGGGGGCCCTCGACAGCGTCGTGGTTGCAAGGCAGTGGCTGGAAGCATATCCGCCGTAGATGGATCCTGGGGTCGCCTGGTGACGCCGTTTGATGCCGCTCTCCACAAGGGTATGCCGGGCGGTCGAGCAACCCCTGTCACGCACGCCCGCGTGGCCAAACCCGTGCTGTCTGGCAGCCTGTCGAGCCTTCCACTGCCCCGTTGGTGGAAGGGAGTCATTTCTCTGCTGGTGCTGGTGCTGGTGCTGGCCGACGAGTCCGTCGCCGATTGAATTGTCGATTTTGCTGTCTTCTTCCGGGTTTCTTCGTCTCTGCTGCTGGCGACTGGCGCTCATCCGTCTCCCGGTCGGCAGTCGGCGTCGCCGCCGGACAGGGCGCCGTCCACTGAAGGGACCGCCATAGCAGCCACTAACAGCGCAGCGCGCAGTGCTCGCGGACTGGCGGCCATGTAAGTGCGAGGGCAAGGCCGGCGACGCGCGGACAGCACAACGCCGCAAAAACCAGCACAGGAGGAGCCGGAAAACGTGGGAATGGGGAGCAATCCGTGAGGAAGCAGAGGAAAAAAGGTGTTTGGAAACGGGAGGAGCGAGAGCGGTCGCGAAGAGAAGTCGGGGGAAGGGGGGTCAGTTATGTGAGCGAGCCAGCGGATGACTAGGTAGGTGACCTGACCGGCCTGGCCTGGGCTGGGCCGGCCTTGCTGGCCTTCCCGCTGGCCTGCTGGTGGCCCTGCCTGTGTGCGCTGTGTGCCCGCACTGCCCGGCCATTTCCACTGCGGTCCATAGGTGTTCACTCATCAGCGTCTGCAGGCGTCACCGACCCAGCATGGAGGGAGTGCCTGGGGGCGCGAAAAACTTCGTCACCACCCACGGTTGGATCGAAGCGCACGACGCATCGATTGAATGAGGCCGTCGTCTCAGACGCCTGTCGTCCAATCCGTTGCTCATCTCCAAAAGAGGCTTTCTCGCAAATCCCTCTCGCCGCCATCCTTTCTTCTTCCCACTCGCGGGCTGGGCTGCGGCGGGCAGCGTCGCGGCGTCGGGTCCCCGCCCCTGCCCACCCGCGCGTGGGCCTCGCACACCTCGTCGTCCATCCCTCCTTCGACGGGCAGCAGCCCAGACCACCTCACGCTGCGCAGGCAGCCCAGACGAGACAGACATTTCTACGAGACGCCAGACGAGACGAGTCACCATCCTCAGAAGCGGCCCAACCGCCACGCGCTTGGCGAACGGGACCGGCCCCCTCGTTTCTCCTCGTCTGTCCCGTCAACGGCAGGGTGCGGTTGGGTGGCAGGCCAAGAAAGGCGTGGCCGTCTGAGAAACTCGTTCGTTATCGTCCCGTCGTGGTGGTGCTGCGCTTCCAGGTCTGGCAAACGCTAGACACGCAACATGGCCTCGCTCGCTCGACAAGGAGGGAGGCACCCCCTCCGTCTTCCTAATTGACTCGGCCGTCCGTCCGTCAATCAATCAGTTCCTTCACCGGCCTGGGACAGAGGGCGGTGCCCGAGCCCAAATGTCCCGCGAACCCGAAACACCTGTCCAACTCAGTGTCTGTTGCTCCTGGCCCTGCCTGTGAATCTCTGCATCCCTCACCCCACATCGAGGCGTCGTGGGTGGCGACTTTTGTTATTAGCCCTCCAAGCCCTCTCTCGCACCGCCAATGTGCCTCCCCCGATTCTCCAGCGTGTCAGCCTGCCTCGCTGCCCATAGACACGCGCCGCTTCGCACATCCGCTGGACGCTGGAATTTCGGCGACGAAAATGCCAAATGACTCGTCGCCTGCGAGACAGGCCGCCGGGGAAGCTGGGGTTGCAAACGAGGGCCCGATCGACTTGGGTCGCCGGTGCTGCAGCAGACAGCCGTAGCAGCTGCAGATCTGTTTCACGGCCCCAGAGCACCCCCCGCGGTTTCGCTCCCCAAAACATGGCCAAGAACGGCCTTGACTCTGTCTAATATTCGTCCACGTTCTTCGCCGGCGACCTGGTTTCTGTCGAATCCTGCTCGAATCTCCCGCCGGAGCAAGCCGTCCAGGTGGATGGCAGGGCCATGTCTGAGATAACTCTCAGCGTACCCACGGCTGCACTAATGAGGCTTGTATGCTGGCCCATGTCGATAGTCTTGCACACCAAATCATACCCGGCTGCCGAGATGAATGGGCGCGATGCATTTATCCCGCTGCTGGGCCCCCTGTTGCTCAAACGGCCAGAGTCGTTGCGCCCTATGCCGCCGCGTCGGCGCCGGCTGACTGCTACCCAAGGAACAAAGTATGACAAGGTGCTCGACTCGCTCACGCACGCACATGCACGTCGTACGAAAGCACACGTACATCATCTTCCTGCCCACTTGGATGGGGCTCCCTCTCCTGCAGGGAGTGGCGCGATAAGGTCTTTCTGGGCTGTTTGTTGGACGGTCCTGTCCTGCGTTTGGGCTGGATGACGCCCCGTTCGCGCCGGCGACTTCGTGCCGTTCTTCACAATGGTGTGCTGCAACTTCGGGAGCGCCCTGGCCTGGCCGTCTCCTGCTGGCTCGATATCCCGATTAAGCATTGCGCCCCCGCATGTCAAACTGGGTGGTGTGGGGGTCCTCATTCATCCCTCCGCCGTCGTCCAACGACCAGCCAACGACGCTCGCGGGAACGCGACATGTGCGCTAGTTACCCTGTATGACCTCAATGCCAGATATTGTCCGCCAGGCAAAGGGCAACCTGTCAGCCGCCACATGAAGTTTAAAGAGTGCGATTGATGGTTCGCTCTTGCTGGCTTTTGGCAAAATTTTTGAGCCCAATTCTGTTGGTGTTTACCGCCGCGCCGTGAGATGACGCCGGCATGGTGCAATTCTTGGACGCTGCACGTTCACGAGCGGCGGGTATCCCTAGGAGTGTGGCACGACGTTCCCCACATGCCTCCATAAATCATTTGAAGTATCTACGAGTAGAATGCCCGAGATTAAACCACCTTGTTCTTCGTGAGTTCCAGGACCGCCCTTATGCCGTCGTCGAGATCCTCTAGCGCCAAGTACTCATCTATCCACGCAGCCGTCTTTTGTGCGAGCCTCGTCCGATCAGTGGTAGACTCGAGCTTCTCTGTCAACCGGCCCAGGACTGTCCGCAGGTTCGAAGGGAAGTCTGCGGTGTGCGGGCTCAGGCCGAGGATGGGCTGCCTGATATAGCAGCTGCAAGTGGCAGGGTCGTCGGGGAACTGCTCCTCCATCACGTTCAACACGTGCTGAGCCACCTTGGGCTGCACCGAAACGTCGCGGAAGCCACCAAGCATGACGTAAAACACCTCGGCGACCTCTGGCTTGAAGAAGGCCTGCTTACGCGATATGTCGAAAATGGCGATTGGTATCGCTCCGTCCATTGCCGGATTTGACTTGAGCTGCTCCGACTCTTGCTCGTCGATGGCCTTGGCCTGCGCCCGAGACGGCACGGGCAACTCGTTGTCTTCGTCCTCGCCCTCGTCGCTGTCTTCAATCCGTAGCTCGTCGTCGGCGTCGACCCGATCCGGCCGCAGCGGATCTTTGGCGGCCTTCCCGGGCTTGGCCTTGCGCTTGTCGACCTTGGCCAGCCACTCCATCTCGGACCTGGCGTATTCAACCCACAGTCCGCACTCCTTGTTGCAGAAGCGGCAGCCACGCATGAAAAAGCCACGCGACGAGGCCATGTCTCCGTTGCGGGCGGCGCGCCGGCCGGCCATGACCCACAGCTCGGGGTCGGTCGGGTTCATGCGCAGGGCGTTCGTCATGGTCTTCCGCCACCGCTTCGTCGCCTTGACGTTGGCAGTGTAGGCCAGGTATTCGCGCCACAGCTCGCCGCTCTGGGGGTGCCTGTTGACGGCTCGCTCGTAGATGGCCAGGACGCGGCCCTGCCCGGCGTGTGCCGAGTTGAGGTGTCGAATCTTGAGCCGCTTGCAGCGCTTCGACTTGAGCGCCTCGAGAGACTGCTCCCACTTGGCGTACGAGGACCATTCGGTGGGCATGTTGCCAGGCGATAGGACCCTGTGCTCGTAGTCGTTGCGCTTCTGGACAATGTTGCGAATCTCCTCCTGCGAATCCTAGTCAGCTGCATGTTGCCGATAGTGGTGATGGGAGCAAGCTGTGCTTACCTTGGAGAAAACTCCCTTGTCTTCCCATTCGCGCAGCTGCGGAACTGACCGCTCGAGGTAGAACCTCGCCTTTTCGGCGACGCCTGCCATGGTTTTGGTTGCGCGGCGTGGAAATGCGACTGTGTTGCGAGCGGAGGGTCAGAACAAGACGCAACGACTGGCACTCCTCCATTGGAGGCGCTGGAAGTTTTCGCGAGGCTGCTGGAAATTTTTAGCGGGGCTGTGTCCCAAGCTCAGCCTTGCCGAGGCGCAGCGCTCTGACTGGCCGGGCTGCTCCCGCGCGGAGACGAAGCCATTCCATTGGACAGCCCGTGCGTCTGCAATTGACTGGACCGCTTCAGGGGTCCGTTACTGATTTCGGCACGCTGCCCGCGGTGGGTCCAGGCGCTGAACCTTGGGGCAGCGCACTTAGGCAGGGGGCCAGGGGGGCAGGTGCGCGCCAGGCGCATCTCGCGGGCTGGTCGGGGGATTGGCACGCGCGGTCGCGACTCCGGTCGAGTTTGGCAGCTCCGAGGCTTCGCTGGCCAAATCTCACCACTTCCACGACTCCAAGACTGCACCTCCCCCACTCCTTCATCCTCCACTTCTCCTCCACCCCGTCGAGCTGTCCTCTTCGGATATTCCGGATGGTGGTGACCTGATTTTCCCTCCTTCATTCACATTCGTTTCTCTTTGTCTGCCGCCATGGGATCGAAATACAAGGACAAGGACGGCGGCGTCGTCCTCAGCTTCGGCGGCCAGTGGGTGAGCTGGGCGCACACAGCAGTCGCCTACAGTGAGTTTCCGCGCCGTTGCGGCTTCAAGGCGGCTTTCCGATGCTGATTGATGCTGCAGCCGCCTTTCTCAGCGCGCTCATCGTTGGCGTCGCGCTGCACTACCACAAGATTGTCCAGAATGAGTTCTACGGCTATCCCGACGAATGGTTCCCGTCCGTCTCCGCGACGATTGGCGATCGATATCCCGAGCGATCCTTTTTCATGATCTTCATCGCCATCACCTCTGGTACGGCCGCCGGAGAATGCTCGTGCGATGCATGCTGACTGTCGCAGGGCCTCGCTTTGCCCTCGTCGGCCTCTTTTACCTCCTCACGCGGAAACCGGGAACGAAGCTCCCCGGCTTCGTCGCGTCCATGGGTATCCTGCGCACCCTGACGTGCGGTGGCTGGACCTATATCACGTCGACCGATGACCACGACTGGCACGACATTCTCATGATTTCTTACATTGTGGCCACCCTCCCTTGGACCACCGGGTGCATTGCTCTGAGCCCGGCGAACCCAACCGCCATCAAGTACCGCAAGTATCTTGCTGGCGCCTTCTTTGGAACACTCGTTCCCTTGATTTACTTTTTCATTCGGCACAAGGTCCACCGCGTTGCCGGCGGTACGTATCTATGGATCAGACCCTCTCGTAGCTTGAGCTGACCGATACAGCCTACACAACCTATGCCTTTTTTGAGTGGGCGTTGATCATCCTCGATGTTGGGTTTGATGCCGTCACGGCTCTAGACTTTTCAACGTTTGAAGTTCTGGTCAGAGATGTCAAGGGGACCAGCAAGGGGTACGTCCAATGGCTTCCGATATAAGGTAGTGCTGGCTTGCCGTACAGTCACTCCCAATAGATTTGATCCTTGAATCTGAGCCAATGTCTAAGTTGATTATAGTGAAAACTCTTCCTCGGTCCCGTCTGCCGTCCTGGAGAAGGAGTAAGTTCGATCCAGACGAGTCTTCTATGCCGCGCTGACAGAGATACAGAAAGGACAAGGCCACTGGCGGCGTCTTCTCTCTGCGCTTCACGTGGACGGAGGCCTTAGACACTGCCGCAGATGTCTATCACGGTGTAAGAGATGTGCGCCTGAGCCCGAGTAGCTCCTGATCTGACCGCATTACAGTTCGTCTTTTGGTCCATGTTGACCAGCCTGGGACTGCTCGTATGGTGTAAGTGCAACGATGGCCCGCTGCAGTGCGCCGCTAACACACCCCAGTCTTCCCCCTCTGGCACATGGGCATTTCCGGTTACGAAGCCTTCGTCCTGGTTTCGATTTCGCCGGTGTTGCTAGTTGGGCCCCTTCGATCCGTCATTGTCAGCAACCTCCGTATCATCCACGTCCTGTCGCTGGCTGGCGTTGCGGCGTATCTGGTGATTGACCCAGTCTACCGCCTCTTCACTGTTGGCTTCGGCGTGGCCCTTGCCACGTTGGGCTGGGTTGGTACTTTGTATGCCGAGTCCATCCACGAGACCCGTTTCGAGTCGAAGCTTCTGGGTCTGATGGTGGGCTTGATCCTTTCGTCGACCGCCAAGTTCGCGTGGCAGACCAACAACCCCATCTGGCCCATCATGCATGCTGCCAATGGCGGTTGGAACGCGACAGGCCTCGTTCTCGGCATCCTCGCCGCGCTGCGCTTTACCCGCAGGGCGCCGCTCACCAGTGGTTCCGCACCTGACAGCAAGCTCGGAGGGTCCGCTCTTCTTGCTGCTTTTGGCGTCGGCGGATTGTTCTTCGGCCTCCACTCGCTCCTGTCAGACACCAGCACGATGATTCTCTGGGTGTGGGAGGGATTCCCCATCCGTGGGCCGTACTTTTCTACCCACGGTTGGTGCACCCTGGCCGCCATGTCGCTGGGTCTTTTCGCCGGCATCTCGAAGCCCTCGCTGGCCGGCAGCTGGCCGCAGTACGCCATTGGTACCGCCGGTGCCATGGTGCTCACGTTCTTCAGCCACTGGACCGGGTATTATGGCGGCCTTGTCATCGCTTTCTACCTGATGGCCGTGGCCGTGCCCTTGATCTCCACCGCGTCCAAGAAGAGTCCCGCGACAACCTTTGGCCTCGGGTTTGGCATCTACATCTTCTTGGTCCTGTTCCACGTGTGGGTCGTTGCGTACGCGTTCGTCCCCGGTGGTCCTCTTGTGCGCGAGCACACGGACTGGATCATGTACATCACGATGGGCCTGATTGGCGCCGGTGTCTTCAACTACAACGCGTCCCAGCCGAAACGCCAGCAGCCCCGGCGGTCGTCTCCGTCGCAGCACAAGAAGTACTTTGCGGTCTCTACGCTGGTCGTCAACATTCTCTTCCTGTGTGCTGCGTTCAAGCGCTTCCCCACAAACGACTACAAGCCGTACCATGCCGAGGATCGTGTGCTGACGGCCGGCATCTGGACCATTCACTTCTCGCTGGACAACGACATGTGGTCGTCTGAGTACCGAATGCGAGATTTGATCAAGGAGTTGGAGCTTGACGTCGTGGGCCTCCTCGAGTCGGACCTGCAGCGCATCATCATGGGCAACCGCGACACGACCCAGTTCCTTGCAGAGGACCTCGGCATGTACGTCGACTACGGGCCCGGCCCCAACAAGCACACGTGGGGTGCCGCCCTCCTCTCCAAGTTCCCCATCGTCGAGTCCAAGCACCATTTCCTGCCCAGCCCCGTCGGCGAGCTGGCCCCGGCCATCCACGCAACGCTCGACGTCTACGGCGAGCTGATCGACGTCTTCGTCTTCCACTCCGGCCAGGAGGAGGACCCCGAGGACCGGCGCCTGCAGTCAGAGTACCTGGCCAAGCTTATGGGCTCGACGCCCCGCCCGGCCTTCCTCCTCAGCTACCTCGTGACCAAGCCGCTCGAGGGCAACTACAACACGTACGTGAGCAAGACGTCGGGCATGCACGACATCGACTACACGGACTGGGACCGCTGGTGCGAGTACATCCTGTACAAGGGCCTCAAGCGCGTAGGCTACGCGCGCGTCAGCCGCAGCACCATCACCGACACGGAGCTCCAGGTCGGCAAGTTTGTCATCCCGCGCTCCAGCGCCGAGGCCGCCCAGCTCGAGGCCCGGCCCGCCGAGGAGCGCGACCGCCGCGTCCAGGAGCACGAGGTGCCCGCCGGGTGGAGGTTCCCCGCCATGTTCAGGGGCAACGGCGTGAGGGACCACCGGTACCACGTCTTTGACGAGCCGCGATACTTTAACTAGTTGGCTGAGTCACCAACTAGATGAAGAGGAGGACGGATGTACTGGTGCTTGGCTGCGTGGTTATACATTTATATAATATTTGGTGACACGTGGGAAACATACAGAGACTATCTAGTACAGTAATCGAGAAAAGATGTGTATGATATATGCGAGCGTATGATGGTGGCTAGCTGTTCTTTCACATAGATGAGTGATGGAACATCATGTTAGTTGGCTTTCGTCTTGATCTTGATCGGGTAGTGGAAGTGGTCCAAACAACCTATGTGACATGTGGTATATAATCTTGCGTAGACTGCGACTGCGACTGCGACCGTGTTGACCAGTTCATACGTATGTCCAAAAAATGATGAAGTGCAAGCCTCCCTTCTTTTCTCGGGGACAGTTTCGCGAAAGGCCGTCCGTCTCCTTGAGATGCAAACACCCCCCCAAACGCCGTCTAATGCTCTCTCTCCGTCGTCACAACCGTGGACAACCCCACTGCAGTATACACCCCCCATCGGCCATGGGGATAGTCAAAACGCGCGATGTCGACCAACTTTGCGTCGCTTTAAAAGTCCCACTGCGTGCACTCCCTCGGCGGGGGAAGCTCCGGCATGACGCCGCCCTCGAATGTGCCGGTCCGGGCAAACGCCTCCCACTGCGCCTTGGTCGTCTGGTCGTACGCCTCGGGCGGCAGCTCCGTGTCCTTGTAGTAGGGGGGCGGGCCGTTGGGGAACCAGATGCGCGTCCACGTGCCGTCGAAGGCGCGGAGGCCCGGCTGGCCGTCCTTGTACGAGACGGGCTTGCCCTTGAACGCGGAGAGGCTGCCGTCCATGCCCCTGGCGGTGTAGCTCTCGATGGGCGGGTGCTGCTTCGCGCTGCCGGGCGGATAGGGGTTCCCTGCGGGAGCGGCTCCGGCGGCGGGCTTTTGTTCCTGCTGGGGGGCTGCGCCAAAGGGGCTGGGTCGCGAGGCCGCGGCTGGTTGCTGTTGTTGGCCGAAGGGGTTGGGTGCGCCCTGGGCGCTTTGCGGCGCGTTTTGTGCGAAGGGATTGCTGGCGGCTTGTCCTAATGTGCCATTTATTTGAGGCTGGGACGGTTGCCCGAATGGGTTGTTGGCGGCCGGCTGCTGTTGCTGCTGCTGCTGATTTGCGGCTCCGAAGGGGTTCGCCGCCGGGGTAGACGCCTGACCGAATGGACTGGCACCGGTTTGGCCGCCCGGATGGGCAAAGGGACTGGTCGCGTTCTGGTTTGGCGCCGCAGACGAGAATGGATTTGGCGCCGCGTTGGCAGGGCCGGAGGTCTGCGCGCCAAAGGGACTTGTCGCGGGGGCTTTGTCGCCTGCACCAGCGCCCATGGTCCCAAAGGGGCTCGAGCCCGGCGCCGCGTTGGTGTTCGCATTGGATCCAAAGGGGTTTGGCTTCTGGCCGAGCTGTCCAGTTTGTCCAAAGGCGCTGCCTTGTGTGCTGGGTTGCGCAGGCTGGCCAAAAGCAGGGGCCCCAAAGGGGTTGGGCTTTGCACCGAGGGCGGACGCTTGACCAAAGGCAGAGGCAGGCTGGGCGGCCTGGCCGAATGCCGATGCGCCTCCCTGCGCTGCTTGTCCGAAGGGTGATGACGAGGATGATTGTTGTGAGGGCTGGCCAAAGGCGGACGCTGGCTGGGATGGTTGTCCAAACGCGGCCGCCGGCTGAGCAGGCTGGCCAAAGGCGGGAGTGCCGAAGGGGTTGGGTTTCTGGCCCAGGGCCGAGGGCTGTCCGAAGGCGCCGCCGGCGGGTTGTGAAGGCGCGCCAAACGCTGACGGAGTGTTGCCGGCTCCCGTGGAAAAGGGGTTCGCCTGCGCCGGGGCGGCACCCATTTGCCTTGCCCGCTTTGCTACTTCAAACTCCCCAAAGGGGGCTCCCTGCGTGCCTTCGCGGCAGACGTCGTGCCTGTTGGGATGCTGAGACTCTCGTTCGACGATGAAGCGCGCGGCGCCCTGGACATCTCGGAGCGCAGTCTCCATCTGCTGCTGCGCATTCTGATAGAGTTGCTGTGCCTCGTTGAGCTACAGGAATGTTAGCCGGTGCGACTCTTACGGATAGACGTTGCATGAGAAGACTTACCGCTTGCTGCTCATTGCCCGACGCCTTGCCTGCGAGGTAATGCAGTCGCAGCTCCTCGAAGCTCTGCTCGCGCGGGTATCCTCCAAAGAGCTGATCGGGCGCATCTCTCCCGGGGCCGTAGGCGGACAATATCCATTGGGGCTTCTCGAGTGTCAGATCCTTCTCGATGGTCTCGCCCGAGACGCTGTACTTGGCTAGTCGGGAGTCAGCCTCGGCCTTTGAAAGCCCGTACATCTTGTCTTCAGTAAGACTTTATTGTTCTTGCTTACTTAGGGCATTTTGGCCTCCGGCGGCGGCTCCCCCTCCTAGGGCGCCAAAGCGGTTCTGGTTCTGGGGTTTGGGGTGTTCGAATCGGCAGCTATCTGTGAATCGGCGCTCGAAGTCAGTCTGGCTGCAAAAAGCTTTGATCTGCGACGCCCCCAAAAAGAGATTTGAAGGCGCACGGCGCGCAACGAAGAGAAGGGGGAAACACGCACTGCCAAACTTGCAATTGCCCTGCTGATAGAATTTGCAGATTGCCATGGCAGGCAGCGGCGGCGGCGGCGGCGGCGGCGGCCTCCTCCTCGCGAGGACGGGCGTGGCGGCAAAGGTCCTCGCTGCGGCGCTGGGTGTCTGGATGAGCGCGGCGGCCGCCGTCACGTCATGTCGGGAGAAGAACGAGGGCGGCGAGGCGGCGGACGCGACAATGGAGCGCCTGGCGGGACTGCTCCGGTCGCGGCGGCGGAAGCGGAAGAGGAACGGCGGCAGTGGGCGGTCGCAGGAGCGAGGGGAAGGCGGCGAGGTCGAGAAGCGGGATCGAAGTTGAGACGCGAAAAGGAACATTGCCCAGCGCGGACCTCAGCGGGTGGTTCCAGTCCCGTCAGCCTCGCGCAGCCTCGACTCGCCCAGCCAGATGTAGGTAGACGTGTCGCCCCCGGGCCGCTGTGTCTTGCTGGGCTGCCCTGTGCTGGGGCGTGATGGACTGTGCCTCCAGGGCTCCGGCAGTGCTCTTTTGGCGCGTCCAGGGTGAGGCTGGCGGCCGGCGCGGGCTTGGATTTTAGCGCGTTTTCGGCAACGATGCGCTGCGAGGTCCACTGGGATGATCCCCGCGGCACGGGGTGAGACGTCGACCTTTGTCGATCTCTCGACACATCGAACAATGGCCTCGAGGATGGTGTTGGTGAAACGCCTGCGACTCTTGCCTTGATCCCGGCCGGCCCGGCAAGCTGCTTTTGGAACGCCCAGCAGTCGTGTCACCTCGGAAGGACTGTTCCCCTCTCCGGGAACAAGTGGGCATCGTCCGAGCCTGTCTCGCCGGGGCTACTTGACCCTCGTCAGCTCACATCATGGGTCGCCAAGGCATCACTCATCAACCATTCAATGCATTTGACTAGCCTCGTCCCTACTTCCCAAGCTCGGCCTGCTGGCGCGTCCACTTCTCCCGCCATCCCGGGAAAAAGGGGTTCTCCTCGAGCGTCCGGTGCTCCCAGTCCGCCTCCATCAGCCCCGTCTCCATCTGATGCCGCTCAAACTCCTGCAGCAGCGGGTGCAGCATGTGCGCCAGCGGCGCCGTCTTCTTGTACTGCAGCAGGTTGCCCTTGCTGTCGCTCACCACCTTGAGCGCCAGCGACGGCACGTACGGCTCGTCCCTGAGCTCCGCGACCGGGTAGAAGTAGGCCTTGAAGTTGAAGACGATGGCCCCCGAGAGCGGCAGCCGCCGCAGCGTCTGCCAGTCGACGCGGAAGAAGAGGTCCTCTGGCCGCACCGACGGGTCGCTGGCCACGTCGCGGCTCAGCTCGGGGTGGCCCGGCGGCACGTAGAGGTGCTGCCCGACTTCGAATCCCCACGCTCCCCGCTGGACCGGCTTGTTTGTCGGCATCTTGGTGAAGAAGCTATCGCGCGCAAACGGTCAGCCCAGTGATCCCTGGCTAGGGGGCTCTTGTCTGCAGACTCACCGATCCATGCTCATCTCCATCTTCTCCTTGTAATCCGGCACTGGGCTGTGGATGCCCGGCAGCCCGAGCCCAATCTTGGTTCCCAGACTCCAGCCGGTAGACGCGCAGATGACGCCCGCGCGGAACCGATAGCTGCCCGTCTCCGGGTCTCGCAGCATGATGGCAAAGTCCTCCGGCACATTCTCCAGCAGGAACATGAGCGGGTCGCCGCCGTCGAGCTCGAAGCTCTTGCCGCGGATTCCGTTGACAAAGGTCCTGCCCTCGAGGGAGAATTGGCGCGGATATCTTGCGCAGAGGAACTGGATGACCATCTCCATGAGCTCCTTGCAGGCGAGTTCAGAGCCGGGGAGCGCCCGTAACACGTCCTTGCCATACTGGGCGAAAATGTCCAGCCGGTGCTGGACCATGTTGAGGTATGTGCTCTCAAGCTCAATCCAGTAGTCGGGCTCCATTCTCTGGATTGCTGACGCGAGGGAACAGTCGAGTTAGTCTCTGTTGAGAACATCGTGAAGGTGAAACCTATCTCACCCATTGTCTGGTGGTAAGGCCATCTAAACGGCCTATATGGCCTGGGCAGAGTGGCGTTGATATCAAAGTCCTCGAGAGGCTCCGGCAAAGGGACTTCTGACAGCGCTGCATAGTTGGGGAAGTCCCCTAAAGCCAACACTTCGCCAACGCGGATGCCGCTGAACAGGAAGCTTTTGGGGTCCGCGCGTCGATAGTCGGCGTCCATCTCCAGCACCGACTTGGACAGCTCGGAAGGGTCGATGTCATCCTTGTCTGGGGTAAACCTCGCATCGATGCTGGCGAGCAGCCGGCGCTGTGACGGAGGAAACGTCTGTGAATGGACATGCTTTATCTGTGGAGTCGTTGCCCTGGACGCATTCTGATGAGTCCCAAATCGTTTATACACGGCTCTCAGGCATTGCGCGATGACACCAAACAGGAGGAGGAAGCTGCCGAAGCGAAGCGCCGAAGGCAGGGCCGCGAGAGACTGAGAGAACGCGCCATGCTGAAGATCAAAAGACATTGCTCATGAATTCGGGCACAGTGAGTGTGGCCTGGCCGCGATGAGAAGACGCAGTATCATGAAAAAAGGATGTGGGAGTGTACAGTACGTAGATGCTGTGACAAAACTCGCAACGGCACCGAGTACTAAACACGACATTGGGCTTGCGCCTCGAGTCTACGCACTGACTGGACTCGTCAACTCTAATCGTGGACCTCGAGTTCCCCGCAGCCATGATACCGACAACAACACCCAGTCATATCGAGGGCGTGTGATAGCCCCAAGCTACTGTGCTGTAGGCATCGTAGCCCCCGAGAACGGACCTCTGCCCGCCATGTCGGGGCTTCGTGGCTTGCAACGAAACATGCCCAGGCGCGCAAGGCAAGACACGCTCCGGGGCTTACAATCCCTTGATTGCCGGCTGTACGACTTGCAGCCCGCCCGCATGACCGCGTCTCGTGGAAGCCACATTGTTCTCCCTACATCCGCCAAATGCAGACAACCATCTGAGAGGGAGGGAGGGGGGTTCCATGCTGTTGGCAGCGATACGGGGACTGTATTCGGTTTAGTGGCGCTCCCCGGATAGCAGGGAGGGAGACTACGGGAGCCCAAGCCGAGTCGTCCCACCGTCTCTCCCACACGCACCCCCACACGACACGACGCCCGCACACCCTCCAGGGCGCCGGCATTCGGGATGTGTCCAAGACGCGCCGCGACAATAGGGCGTGAGGAGACACATCGAGATTTGCAATGGTTTCTCTAGAGTTTGGATCATCTGCGGAATCGCGATATATTGGCAGAACGGCGGCGTGGTGCTAGCTGTTGAGCAACATCGTGAATCATCCAACGCGTCACTTACACGGACTGGCCCTCCGTAACACATCTCGATACGTCGGCCACGGAGTTACACGCTTTGGCACACATAAATGCACATCATCTATTCGAAGACGCAGCCAAGATCTAGCACCACTACGTACTGCGACTACCCTCATGACCGCAGATAGCTGCACACCGCCTCGGCCCAGCGCGGCGCCCCCTTGTAGTACCACATGTCCGGCACGTTTCCCTGGCGCAGCCCGTCGATGGCGTCGGCGAACTCGGCGCCCCTGCCTTCGTCCTTGATCTCAGCGACGTTGTAGAGGTACGTCTTGAAGCTGAAGAGGATGGCCTGCGTCTCTGGCAGGCGGCTAAGCGTCTGCAGCTCGGAGCGCAGAAATGTCTGGACAACAGGTTATGCGTCAGCGGGCAGGTCCTTCTCATGTGGCGGCGTATCTTGGGCTGGCATTGGGAGAGAGGCTTACATCGTCCATCTTGACTTCTTGGTCTGGCGACTCCTCGTGCTCCTTAACGCGCGGATTGGCTTGGCAGGCAAACAGCTCCGGATGAGTCTGCACAGACCACTAGCTCGTTGTTTATCCATCAGCGATGATCCTCGAATGGCAATGGGAAAAATCGTCAGAGGAGACCGTGGCAGGGTTACTTACATTCGCCCTCTTCACCGGCCTGCCGACCGCCAGCTTGGCAAAGTACCGCTCCATGCTCGGCCCAATCTTGTCGTACCCCGGCACCGTCGCGTGAATGTCCTTGAGCAGCTTGCCGAGCTTCTCCGCCGGGTCGAAGCTCGACGGGAAGCAGCACACGTACGCGACGAGGCGGTGGCCCTCGGGCGTGGGCAGCAGCAGGAAAAGCTCCTCCTCGACGATCTCGCCGAGGCTGCGCAGCGCGTCCCTTGTGTCCTGCGGGGGGTTCACGGGGAAGGATGTGCCGGCGACGAGGTTCTCGAACAGTGCGCCGCCGCCGACGTTTTCGCTGAGGCGGAACAGGGATGGGAAGCGTGCGGGCAGGTACTCGGTGAGGAGGTACCGGTAGAGCTCTCGCACGGGGGCCTCTCCGCCTGGGACGTAGCCTAGGACCGTGTCGGGGAAGTTGGAGAGGAGGTGCTGGCGGTGCTTGATGCGGTCGAGGTAGCCCTTGTCAATGGTGATGAGCTCCGATGGCGTGTCGGTCTTGATTCCTGTGAGGTGATCTGTCAGTGTTGTTCTTATTCCTCGGTGTATGCGCTGCTCACCCATGGAGATGTTGTATATGGGCCTGAAGACGCGCATTTTCCGCCGGTCCGCCACCTGCCACTCAAACTGGTCCAGCGGCTCGATCAAAGCCGCCTTGTCGCTCCTGCCGAGCGCCGCTCCGTTGAGAGACGCCGCCGAATCGCGCTTCCATCTCTGCGTCTGGTAGATCAACTCAGAGTTAGATGAGTAGGTCCATGGGCAACCATGTTCCTCGCTTTTGCGACTATACCTTTGAATACGCGAGCAGCAATGACAAAAGTGCCACGGCAAAGGCTGAGACCGTGACCAAGTTGGCACTGCAGACGGATCTGAGCTGTATGATGGTGCCGTCGAGCATAGTGAATGCCTGGCTCGCTGGCTCGTCTGGCCGCGCGTGCTGCAGACGTGCAGTGAAGTCGCCAGGTCCTGTACAAGAGCAACCTGAAAAAAGGACGAAGTTGTATTGTGGAGTCGTTGGCTTCGCGAACCGGCGTCAAGCCCGGATGACAGCCGTGACTGACCCCCTTGGCCTCAAAGTTCAACGTAGCGCGGGTTGCTGCCGGAGCTTGGAGGCGGCTACTAGATGGATTCACCCACCCCACGGGTGCCCGGGGCGGAACAGCACCCGGACAAAGTGGTCCTTATCCGGACCTGAAATGAGAAATCGCACTACACTTCTACGGCACAGTGTTGTACCATACTGTATGTTTTAGCCGCCAGTTTGCTTATCTGCGTTTGCGGTAGGCAGTCCCTTGTCGAGGTCATGTGGTGCTTGCTCCAAGGGTCTGTGTCCCTGTATCGCCGGTGTAAGTGTCACCGACTTCGGATACAATGCCGTGGAGCGACTGGACGCGGCTTCGCAGGGAATTCACGTTGTCACAACTGCAACTGCCATGGAGAAACCCAATACCGACTCAGCTGAGATGCATTACACGTGGCTCGTGATGCACCACGTGCCTCCCATCGAGCCACCGCTCCAGCCTCAACTGCATCATTCCAGTCCCTCATTCTGAACCGCCGCATGCGGTACACGTCCCAAGCATCCCGCATCTCATGTTGAGCAAGGTGCACAGCGAGAGAGGCGAGGGGGTTCCGCACTCCGAGCTACCGCACAGGCCAGCCCCTCCACCTCCCTCCGGCGTGGCGCCGGCATGGGGGGG